TATTAATTAATTTAATTATATAATTAAATTTTATAATAATTAATATATTATTTATATTATTTATAATATTTTAATATTATATATAATTATTTATTATTTTTATTAATTATATAATATAATTATAAAAATATATTTATAATATTAATAGTTAGTTTAACTTATATATAAGAAGTAATTAGTTAAAATAGAGTGAATTAATAATAGTTAGAAGGTCTACCTAGCTAGGTAGTGAAGCACCTAGTTAGGTTAGCTAGACCTACTAACTAAACTTAGTCCGTGCGTACGTATAGGCCCACTAGCCTTGTAGTGGCTAATCCACTACAGCTTGCTATTCCTATACTAGCAACTTTTTAGTTTTCTAAAATTAAGGTCCAACATCCCTTCCTTTCAGTTAATTAGAGAGCTTTATTTATTAATAAAGTAGGTTTTAACTAAATCGCTTAGAATTACTACTAAATATATGATTGCAATTTGCTCGATTTAAGCGCCTAAAAAACGCTTCAAATCGATGTTTTATGAATCGCCTAAATCGCTCGAATTTGAATTGCTTTAGTAGGTGAAATCGAGCCTAAATTGCTAATTAGTCGCTTGCCGGGCCGTTACTATGTAGCACCAACTGCCAACACCTAGCTAGTCGGCCAGTCGGTCAGTTAGCCCTTCTAATAGTTTCTTCTTTAGTGGTGAACTATCGCTTACTTCGTCGATCCTTCGTCTTCTTGGTTAGCCAATTAAATAGCTATAGTATCTCTTTCTTATTAGGGTAGGGTATTTAAATAAGGGTAAGGAGGGCTTTAAGTAGTGTCTTAGTACTTAGCCTAGTATAAATACCGCTAAAATAGAGGTTATTATAAAAATCTTTAAAAAACTTTAATTTAACTTATTTAAAATAGTCTTTAATTTAATTTTTAAAGGTTTTATAAAAGTATTAAAAGTTTTTATTAGAGTAATAATTAAAGTTATTAATAAACTATTAAACTTCCTTATTATTAATTTTAATAATTATATATTTCTTTTTATAAATATTATTAATATACTTTTTTATTTTATTTTTTAATTTAAACTTTTTATTATAATATAAATAGAAATATTATTAATATATATTTATAATAGTTATAAATAATTTTATTTTTAAATTTAAAGTTATAATAGCTATACTTATTAAAGTATTTTTATTTAAATATTATAAAAGAGAAAAAGAAAGAAGTTAAAAGTATATAAAAGTTATTTATTTAATTAATTATTTAAATAATATAAAAAGGTAAATAGATAAATAAGTTAATTAATAAATAGTTAAATATTAGTTTAAAAGTTTAATAAATAAATTTAAATTATTAATTATAAAAGAAAGTTATTATTAAAGTTATAAAATTTAATTAATAAAAGTATTTTATTTAATTAATTTATATTTAAATAGTTTAAATAATTTTATTTTTAAAAAATTATAATAATAATAATATTATTATTAATTTATTTTTAAAACTATAATAATAAAATAACTTTATTAATTTATTTTTTAAATTTAATATTTAAATAATTTAAATAATTTACTTTATTATTAAAAGTTAATTAATAATTAATTAATAATAATTAATTTAATTTATATATAAAAATAATTAATTAAAATAAAATAAATTAATAATAATTAAAAGTTTATTTAATTAAATAATAAAGTATTTAATTAAATTAATTAAATTTATTAATTAAATTTAATTTATATATATATATATATAAGTTTATTAACTTTATAATAATTAATTTATTATAATTTATTATTTTTATAAATATTATATAATATTTTAAATAAAATAATAATTATAAATTAAATTTATATTTTTATATATAATATTATAATTAATTTATTTTAAATAATTATATATAATATTATAATAATATAAAATAAAATATTTTAATATTTTAAAATATATTTTATATATTATAATATTATAAAATTAATATATTATAATAAATTTTAATTTTATATTTATATATATTTATATATTATTAAATTAAATTTAAAATAAAATTATAATAATATAAATATTAATAAAATTTATTAATAAAAATAAAAAAGAAAATAAAATATTTAAATATTTTATTAATTTAAAATTATATAAATATAAATTTTAAAATAATTAAATTTTATTTTTAATTTATAAATAATTATATTATTTATTATATTATTAAAATATTAAATTATTTTTATTAATTTTATAAAAATAAAATATATATATATAATTATATAATTTATATATATATATAACAATATATAAAAATATATTATATTATTTATTATTTAAAATTAATTTAATAAATATTAAATTTAAATAATAATAAATTATATTAAAATATATTAAAATATATTAAAATATATTAAAATATATTAAAAATATATTAAATAAATAATAATATTTTATTATAAATTATTTATATTTTTAATTTTATTATTAAATTAAAATAAATAATTAAAATTTTAAAAAAATAAAATAAAATATATTTATTAAAAATTAATTTAATTAAATTTATTATATAAAACTTTTATAATAACTTTATAATTATTTATAATATTATTTATTATTAAAAATATTTTTATATTAATATATTAAATTATATTTAATTTATTTAAATTAATATTATTAATTTATTAAAAATTAAAATTATTATAAATTATAAATTAATTTAATATTATTAAATATTATATATAATATTATTATATAATTTAATTTTAAATTAATTAAAATAAATAAAAATAAAAATTATTATTTTTAAAAGTTTTAATTTTATTTAAATAAATATTTATTAAATAAAATTATTTAAAAATAATTATTTAATTTATTATATTATTAAATTAAAAATAATTAAATAAAATAATTATATTTTATTATTTAAATTTATAATTTTAATAATTTTATAAAAAAATTATTAATAATTAAATTTATAATTATATAAAAATAAATTTTATTTAAAAATTATTATTATTTAAAATAATTAATATATTTTAAAAAGTTAAAATTATAAATTTAATTTAAAATATATTAAAATTTATAAAATTTTAAATTTAAATTTAAAAACTTTAATTTAAAATTTAATTTATTTAAAAATATTAAATAAATTTAAAAAAGTTTAAATAAAATTAAATTAAATTAAATTATAATATAATAAAATAATAAAATAAAAATTAATTAAAAATTATAATTATAAATTATTTATATTTATTTAATTTTATTTTTAAATTAAAAATAAATAATTAAAATTTTTAAAAATAAAATATAATATATATTTTAAAAATTAATTTAATTAAATTTATTATATAAAACTTTTATAATAACTTATAATATTATTTATTATTAAAAATATATTTTAATATTAATATATTAAGTTATATTTAATTAATTTAAATTAATATTTTTAATTTATTAAAAATTAAAATTATTATAAATTATAAATTAATTTAATATTAATAAATATTATATATAAATATTAAATTTATTATATTAATTATTTATATTTTTAATTTTATTATTAAATTAAAATAAATAATTAAAATTTTAAAATAATAAAATTTATATATTTTATTAATTTAAATATTTATAATAATAAATTTAAATTATTATTTTTATTTAATTTTAAATTAAATAATAATTTTATATTATATTAAATTAATTAAATAATAATATAATAAATAAATTAAATTAATAAATTTTTAAAATTTAAATATTTTATTATTTATTATAATTTATATTATATAATAAATAATAATAAAATAAAAATAATAAATAATTTTTATTATATATAATTTATAAATATATTATAAAATTCTATTTAATTAAATTAAAATAAATATTAATAAATATTTTAAATTTAATATTAAATTATATTTTTAATTTAAATATTTTTATTATTATTATTTTAATTAAAATATTTATATAAATTTATAAATTATTTATTATAAAATTTAATTTTAATTAAATTATATTAAATAATTTATTAATTATAATTATTTTAAAATAATTAATAATTAATTAATAAATTAAATTTCTTTAAAATAAATTATTTTAAATATAATATTATTAAAAATATTTAAAATTTATTATTTAATTTATATTAAAAATTAATATAAATTTATTTAATTAAAAAACTTTTTTTAAAATTTAATTTAATTTTTTAAAATTTAAATTTTATATAATATTAAATTTTAAATTTTTATTTAATTATTTTATAAAATTTTAAATATTTAAATAAATTAATTTAAAATTTAATAAAATATTATAAAATATATGTTGGTTGGCTTAGCTTACGCGTAAGAAGTGGTTGAAGTGGTGTGTCTTGGTGTTGGTTAGAAGGTCTGCCTGGTGGGCGCGGAAGCGCCTAGTTGGGTTGGCCAGACCTTGTTGACTAAGCAGTTGGCCCGTGCATATGCACGGACCACTATTGACCTGGCTTGTAGTGGCTAATCCATTGCAGCCTACTATTCCCATACTGGCACCTTTTTAGTCTTCCAAAATCTTCCTTCCAGCCAATTAGAGAGCTCCATTTGCTGACAAAGCAGTTTTCGACTAAATTGCTCTAATTGCTTAGAATTGCCACCAAACGTGCAATTGCAATTTGCTTGATTTAAGCGGTCTAAAACGCTCCAAATTGACGTTTTGCGAATCGCCCAAATCGCTCGAATTCGAATTGCTTTAGTAGGCGAAATCGAGTCTAAATTGCCAATTGCTTGCCGGGCCGTTTGCCAGGTGGTCGCCAACTGCAGCCATGTTTGGCTAGTTGGCCCTTTTGGCAGTTTCTTCTTCTTCTGTGGTTAATGCTTCGAATCGACGTTTATAAGTCGCCTAGTTGCCCAATTGCCAATTGCTTGCCGGGCCGTTGCCAGTTGCTTGCCAATTGTAACCAATTGTCGGTTGATCCATAACCGTCGGTCGGTCTAGTTGGTCCTTCTGGCAGTCTCTTTCCTTGTGGCTTGGCTAGCCAAGGCGCTTTGGTGTGCGTTGGGTGGGCTTCCTCTAGTCAGAGTAGCAATTGTCGAAATCGTCGTCGAAGTTGCAATTGTCGCAATCATTACTATAGTTGAAATTGTCGTCTGGGCAGCAGTTGTCGCCTAGGTCGAAGTCTTCGTTTGGGGCAAAGTCTGGTCCACCTTCGTCTAAGTAGCAGTCCTCCTCTTCCTCATAGTCTTGGTCTCCGCCAGCGATGTAGTTGTCTTGGTTGGGCTTGGATTGGCGGGTTGGGGCGAAGCCACCAAAGCCACCGCCGCCGCCGCCACTGCCAGCAAGGCTGACTGGGGCGAAGCCACTATTCGCAACGGGCTTGGGCTTAGGCTTGGTCGGCCTGCTCGTAGGGTTGGCGATGTAGGGCCAGCCTGGCCAGGGAATCTGCTTGATCCAAGCACCTCTCATGTGGCGATTGAAGTACTCTGGTTCAGTGAGGTATTCCTTCCACTTGTTGCTGTGAGCATTACAAGTCTGGGTTAATACAACCTTGAACTCGTAATGGGTAAAGGGCTTGTTGATTGGTGGGGCGGGAGTCCTCTTAGGAAACTCGTACTGGGTAAGAGGGTTGTTGATCGGTCGGGTAGAAGTCTTTGTCTGGGGCACCGTTTGTTTGGGCGCTGCCTGCTTAGGCGCTACCTGCTTGGTCGGCTTGGTAGGGGGGTTGATAGGTGGCTTGGTTGCTTGGGCGCTGCCTGCTTGGTTGGTTGCTTGGGTAGTTTGGGCAGCCTTCTGGGCCGCTGCGTGTTCCTCCTTATGGGTATCGCCAATGTGCTTCTTCATCTTGTTTTTTGACTTGAACTTCTTTTGGTAGTACGGGCAGGAGCACTGTTGGCGCGCGCCTATAGTAGCTGTGGACGACTTCATCGCGAGAGACTTGGGGGTTGTGGGCAGCCATGACGCCAGAGTGTTTTTGTTTGGGTGTTGCGAGAGAGAGAGAGAGAAGTCGAAAGAGTGTATGAAAGTTGCTTGCTTGGGTGATGTAAGGTAGGCTGGCAAACGGGTTGATTGGCAGGCAGCCAAACGGGTTGGCGGGCATACAGCCAAACGCCAGTTTGAGGGTAGGCTCGAATTGTCGATTCGCGAGAGGGATTGCCCGACAGGTAGAAAAGGCTGCTACGGCCATTCGTAGTCTGACGCTTCTTGTAGGCTGTCGCGAGAGAGGTTTGTCGCGAGAGAGAGTGTTGTCGCTAGAGTTGCAAGACTTGCCCAGCGAAGGGGTCCTGCTTGGTGGTTGATTGCGCCTGGGCAGCCCAGACGACTCGCCTTCTTTAGGCTGCGACGACGATGGCAGCATTGTTGATTCGTCTTCTTCAGACTTGACGCTTAAGCAGCTTAGACGATTTACCTTGCTGTTAGAAGCCAGTTGGCAACTGATTAGTGTCGGTTGGCTTAGCTTACGCGTAAGAAGTGGTTGAAGTGGTGTGTTTTGGTGTTGGTTAGAAGGTTTGCCTGGTGGGCGTGGAAGCGCCCAGTTGGGTTGGCCAGACCTTGCTGACTAAGCAGTTGGCCTGTGCGTACGCACGGACCACTATCAACCTGGCTTGCAGTAGCTAATCCACTGCAGCCTACTATTCCCATAATATATTTATTTTTTAAATTTATTAAAATTAATTTATTTATAATAGTTAAAAATAATAATAAATTATAAATTAAATTATTATAAATATATAATATTAATTTAATAAATTAAATTTTTTATTTTTATTAATTAATTTAAAAAACTTTATATATTATTTTTATAATATTATTAATAAAAACTTTTTTTAATTTAATTAATAAATTAATATTATTAATATAATAATAAAATATTTTATAAAAATTAATTTTATATTAAAATTTTAATATATATATATTATTATTATTATTTAAATTATTTATATTAATTATTATTAATAAATAATATTAAAATTAAATTTTTATATATTAAAATAATTAAAAATATTAATTATAATTATAAAATAAAATAAAAATTAAAATATTATTTTATTTATATAAATAAAGTTTTAATTTTTTATTAATTTTAAAATTAATATATTATATTATATTTATTTTAATAAATTAATATAATTTAATATATTAATATAAAAAAATATTTTTAATAATAAATAATATTATAAATATAAATTATAAAATTATTATAAAAATTTTATATAATAAATTTAATTAAATTAATTTTTAAAAATATATTATATTTTATTTTTAAAATTTTAACTATTTACTTTTAATTTAATAATAAAATTAAAAATATAAATAATTTATATTTATTTTAATATTTTAAAAATTATTAAATATTTTTAAAATATATATTTTAAAATTTTAAATATTAAAATAAAAACTTTATATTTTATTTATTTAAAATAATAATTTAAAAATAAATAATATTTTAAAATTATATAAAATTAATTTATAAATTTAAAATTATATAAAACTTTTAAATTAATATAATATTTATTTTTATTATATTTAAATATTATTAAAATAAATTTTAAATTTATTTATTTAATTAAAAATTAATATTTATTTATTTAATAATTATATTTATTTATTTAATTTTTAATTATTTATTTAATATAAAAATTTATATATAAAATTTATATAAAATTATATATTTAATTAAAATCTTTTAAATTTTAATATTTTTAATATAAACTTTTATATATTTTTAATATATTTTTAATATATTTTTAATATTTTTAATATATTTTTAATATACTTTTAAATTTTTAATTTATATATATTTATATTTTTATTAAATATTTAAATATTAATTAAATATTAAAAATTAAAAGTTTAAAATTAAAAATTAAAAAAATTAAAAATTAAAAATATATAATTTTATTTTTATTTTTAATTTTTAATTTTTAATATTTAATTAATATTTAAATATATATAAATTAAAAATATATTAAAATATATTTAAAATATTAAAAGTTTATATTTAAAATATTAAAATTAAAAGAAAATTATATTATAAAGTTTTTAATATTAATTTAAAAATATTTATAAATATAAAAATTATTTAAAAATTAATATTAAATAAATAATTAATAAAAATAAATAAATAAATATAATTATTAAATAAATAAATATTAACTTTTAATTAACTTTTAAAATATAAATTAATAAAAATTTTAAAAACTTTTATTTTTTATATATTATAAAATAAATTAAATAAAATTATTATTAAATTTAATAAATAAATAAAATTAAATTAAAAGTTTATTAAATTAAAAATAATAATAATTATAATATATATATTTATATTAAAAGTTATTAATTTTAAAATTAAAAATTTAAATTTATTTAATAAATATTTAAATAATAATTTTTTAAATTTAATAAATAATAATTTTATTTAATTTATATTATAAAGTTTATTATAAATAAAAATAAAATTAAATAAATATATTTATAAATATATATAAATAAATAAAATTCTTTATTATATATAATAATTAACTATAAGTACCTTTATTTAAAGGTTTAGGAAGCCTTAATATATAGTTTAATTAGGTGATCCTAAGTTAAGTAGTAGAATATTTATATAAATTATCTTGTGTAGATATAGAGGTCGCAGGGTAGGGCGAGCACCGTAGGAGCCTGTGTTATTAGCTCGACTAATGGGACACTACACTCCCATCCCATAGGCCTTAACAGGCCGGAATTGCAGGTCATGTATGGTAGTTGCCCTGAAGACAAGCCTTGATTGTCCAATCGTGTGAATGCTAAAAGCGTGTCGAAGAGATGCAAGCGGATTGATGGGCATCGTGAGGCCTTGGCTTTCCAGATCGCTAGCCCACATAGAGATCTCGTCAACGGCAGGTTCACAGCCCAACACTTGTCTTCCTTTTTCCAACCTGAACGCCTTCGCTAATGCAGAATACAAGCCACCGAGACAGTCGGCCCTCGGAGGGCCTGCTTCAACAGGAGTGTCACCAAGCTTAAGCTGACTGCTATAGCCTCGCTCACTGCAGCAGCTCCTCGCAGGTCCAGTCCTCGTAGCTGCGAGGTGTTAGCAAGGCGAGCGGGCCAGCTAGGGGCCAGGAGACGTACTATCCATCAGGCATGTATCGCCGCACAATCAGGGGGACCTTCTTCTCCCGCAGCTCCTTGATGGCTATTTGAAGCGGGTCGGTCTCTCCCTCGAGATCGACGAGAACGGGAGCGTTCATGCTGCGATGATGTTAGCCTCCTCGTCCTCGGCATATCGCGCCAGCCGTGACCAGCCCATAATGCGGGCGCGCGTACCTGATCTGCAGAGCCCGTGTGCCCAGGATACGAGCCTTCTCGTACTTTGTCATGTAAGGCGTCGTAGTCCGCTGGTCGTTGGGGATCTTCTTGTCCTTGTGCGACTTGACGCTGTCCTTTGCGGCGGCTGCAGGGTCGCCCGAGGGGACGATGTTGTCGGCGTCCTCGTCGGCGGCGCCATTTGCGCCTCCCTCGGCGCCGTCCTGGGGCTCAGGCGAGTAGTACTCTTCCTGCAGATCGTCCTCGTCGTAGTAGGGCTCCTCGCTGTGGAAAGAGAGTCGCCTTAGCACACCATTCTTGAGAGGCGCGCGACGGCGCGCCTTCGACCCAAGTCGAGACTTACCCTCCTCCGGCTCCTCCAACCTCGTTTCCAAAGTCGTCTTCGCCGCCGCCGTAGTCAGACATTATGCTTTGTGTGTGTTGGGTCTGTTGGGTGAGTGCCGAGTCGGGTCGTGGGTGGGCGGGTCAGGTTGGAATGGATTCTTTGTGTTGGGAGCGCCGGAAGAAGGGGCGGCTGGCTTTGCGACGAAGCAGGCAATCGCAGAAAACTTTAGCTGTACGTAGTACCGAAAGGCTGAAATCCACAGGGATGCTACGTTGGCGCCCCACCAATCAAAATCCGTCAAATCCGAGAAGGGCCCCACAACAGCTGACTTCGCATCGCCCAGGCCCCAAGGCTGGGGGAAAAAAGTTCGAGCAGAAGCACTTAAAGACCGACGCTCGATTCATCTTGCTCCACTGCACTTGCCTACTGCACGCCGCCAAGTTGCGAGCGTCAAAATGAAGCGCAAGGCAGATGACGAGGCATCTGAGGGCCCATCGAAACGGCAATTGGTTGATTCGGGCCCTGAAATCAGCACAGGCATGCACAATCGCCTCGCCCTACCGCCATTGCACCTTGTCGCTAACCAAACTGCAGCCGAAGACAGCGTTTCTCACATCGGCAGCGATGATGCTACGAGCGTCCAGACACCAGCCGAGGCCCAGACCTCCCCGACTGTTGTGAGCGCGACCTCACGAGCCTCCAAGAGGCGCAACTACCCCTCCGAGCAAAAGACGAGCAAATGCACCTGGCCGGGCTGCCCCAAGACCTTCAACCGGCCCGCACGCCTCGTGGCCCACTTGCGCTCCCACACCAACGAGCGACCGTACAAGTGCACCCACGAGGGCTGCGACAAAGACTACACCGAGAGCAAGCACCTGAAGCTCCACCTCATCTCCCACACCAAGGAGACCAAGTACAAGTGCGACAAATGCGACAAGTCCTTCGCGACGGGCACCAGGCTGCGCCGGCACCAGGCGGTGCACGAGGGCCAGGAGCGGTTCCGGTGCAGGGACTACCCGCCGTGCAACCAGTCATTCCGCAAGCACCAGACGCTCCAGCGGCACATCCTCAAGGAGCACGAGGGCAAGAAGGCGTACCCGTGCACGCACGAGGGCTGCGGCGCGTCGTACGACTCGGCCAACTCGCTGCGGAGCCACGCCGAGCGGGACCACGGGGAGATCCGGTTCTGGTGCGGCGAGTGCTGCGAGGACGCCGCCAACAACCCGGGCGACGAGACCAAGCAGCCCGTGGGCTTCACGACGCAGTTCCTGCTGGACGCGCACATGCGGCAGGACCACGTCAACTGCATCTTCTGCGACGTCAGGTTCTCGGGCGCCTATCATCTGGAGCAGCACATGGAGATGTACCACTCCGGGCTGTCGGTCGAAGACCGCAAGACGGTCCCCTGTACGTTCCCGGGCTGCACCAAGAAGTTCACCAAGAAGGCCAACATGAACAGCCACTACCGCTCCGCGCACGAGGGCAAGCGCTTCGTCTGTGGCAAGGTGAACACGTTCGACGTCGCCGGCCTGGAGGACTGGAACTGGACCGAGGAGGGCTGCGGCGAGGGCTTCGTCGACAAGGCCAGGATGGCGCAGCACATTCTCTTTGTGCACCTGGGCAGGCCCCGCCCGCTGGCCGACGCGGGCTTGACGGCCTGCGCACCCAAGGCCGCTGGCCCCGCCAGTTTTCTTAACGAGATCTCTGGCGTCGCGAACGAGGAGCGCCGCCAGATCGTCTGCACCGCACCCGACTGCGCCGCACGCTTCATACGCTACGCCGACCTCCACAACCACGTCCAGGCCCGGCACCCCGAGCATGCCGCCGAGGTCCTGCTTTTGGGCGAGTCTGAGGTCCCACGACTGCACAACGGGGACGTTGTCTGGGGCGACAGCCCCGCCGACGCTGGTGGTGAGCAGCCGCAGTCCCCCGACTGGGGTCTGGCCTATGGCGACGCCGCCGCTAGGTCCGTTGCGTCGCAGCCACAGCCGGACTGGGACCGCGAAGAGGCGAACTTGATGCAGCTAATTGAGCTGGGTGACTCGGCCATCGACCCAAGTCTCTTGCTCCACGCTTGAGGTACAGATGGATAGGGCCAGACGAGAACAGATAGATGGTGTTTGCTTCTTTGCTATTTCGATGGACCAGAGCTTATGGAGATACCCTTTTGATTTGAAACAGGCGCAATAGGTAAAAACAAAAGTGGCATTACGTCGTTGTGGACGCACGTAAGGGGCATATTTGATCACAACAGCGGCGCGGAGGGGCGAATGGGTTGCTACAAACATCTTGGCCGAACTTGTTGGAACAGTCACCCTCTTCTTAAGAAAAGAGATGAACAAGAGACTCTCACAGGTCATAATAACAATGCTTTGATTCAATATGAAGGTGGTGCCGGTTCCTTTGGGGACCCCCTCCCCCGGGGGGCGATTTTGGTATCCCCTGATGATTAAAAAGCAATGGTGAATTCGCCTTGACCAATGTGTTCCCACTCCCAGTTGCACCACCCTGCCACAAAAACCGTTGTAAAAGAATACGCCGTACCCGAAACCCCGGATGCTGCCAAGCTCCTCGGGGGAAAACACGCCAAAAAACCAGAATCCCACTGCTTTGACCATATCTATCCACCCATGCACCGTGCTATATGATATTCACTCTTGCCACCACGCCTTTGGAGTGTGGATGGCTCATTCTGAGTTTTCTCTGCCGATTACAGTCTCCCTTCGTGCTAACCCCACTAATTCTGATACACAAACGTGCCAGCACCAGGTCACCTCAAAACTCAGTGGTGGCCGGCAATTGCATTGCTCACTCCCAAGAGCACCGTGCCGAGGAACGCAAAGGCGATGCTCAGGTTGCGGTTGTGGTTCAAACTCAGGCTCTCGACAAAGAGCTGCAGAGCAACACTCGTCATGATGCCCGCCGTGGCAGCGAAAAGGATCGCATAGGCGGTATTGTCAATTCCGACCTCGCCGCCAGAGCCAAAGAACCTGAACAGCAGCCATGCTATGCCAGCTCCCATAGGCTGGCTGAAGCCGCCAAGAAGACTGGACCAGGCTATCGCTTTCAGGCGCGAACCTAGAGCCATGTACAATGGAAGGGCCATGGCGAACCCCTCGGCAATGTTGTGGACAAAGAGAGCCATGAAGACATTGAAACCGAGTTGGGGGTTCGCGTGGTTGGTGGCGTAGGTGATGAAGCCCTCGGGGAACTTGTGCAGCGCGATTGCGATGACGGTCTGCAGGCCGATGGACAGAAACGCATTGGCCGGGACATGGTGGTGATGAGCTGCACCGTCTTGGGCTTCCAGATCGGTGCTTGCCTCTGACATGTGGTCATGGGAGTAGTCATCCTCTAGGTGAGGGTGGTGATCGTGGTGATGTTGATCGTGATCGTAGTGGTCGTAGAGGCCGGTCCCAGCCGTTGCCTCCTGTGAACGGCTGCGGCCGGCCTGACGGAGCGGGCTGAGAGGTGAAGCCGCCCCCGAATCAACCTCACTACCCTCCTCCGATAGCCTCTCGAACAGCGGCGCTGTAGGCTGAAAGACGCTCTTGTTCATGCGGGAAAGGGAGCGTGAGTTCTGCCTTGACACCGCGGACCGCGAGGCCACGTGCTTGAAGCACTCTTGCCCGCAGGGGTCACTGTAACCAAAGCAAGGGCCATCGACATCACAGGTCCGCTTGGTGTCCTTGACGAAGGACATGACGCGGTCGCGCATGTCAATGAGGGATGGGCGACGACCAACGCTGGCAGAGGAATACTTGGGAGCCAGTGTCTGTTGATGCAGGCTGTCCGTAACAGCCGAGAGGCCGTGCTGTTGGGGATCTGGATGTGGGCGTCCGTTGGCCTGCTGGTTCCCGGCAGATGATAGGAGCGGCGTGGACTCTGAGACGCGCGGGTGACCGTGGGAGTCGTCGTGGGCATGCGAGTGTGCGTGGCCATTTTCGTGCAGCTTGGTGACGGTGGTTACCCTTCTCCCCTGGGACGACAGCCGCGTCCTCGCCCTACCGATACGCGAGGGCTGGCGGCTCGCACCATGAGCGTGATCGTGCTTCGCATGGCCGTCGGCTTCATCCGCGTCGTCGTGGGTGTGATCGCAGTCAACCACATGCGAGGGCATGACGCGGTGGAGCAGCCTCGACACAACCTGGATCCCCAGAAAGCCGGCAACAAAGCACCCCATCATGATCAAGCCGGCATCCATCGAGTCGTACTTGTCCTTGCGCAAGTACTCTTCGGACTCGGGCAGCATACTATGCAGTGCCGAGAATATCTGTGGGTTGGGCTTCGTCAGCGAGACTGGACAGAGTGGATGGAGGGTCTGCATACCATGACACCAAAACTCAGACTGAGTGAGCAGGCCAAGAAGGAATTGCTGTCCTGTATGCGGAAGTCTTGCTTGCCCGGTATGTAGCGGATCAACAAGTCGACGCATATCACACAGGCGCCCACGACGCAGGCTGCCGAGAGGTATGGCGTTAGTACAAGACATGCTACTTGTTTCAAGATCACGGCCCAGAGCCCCTAAAGGCATCGTGCCGGGAGGATAGAGGTCGGGGGGGGGGGGAGGTTATCACCTACCTATGCCGCTCACAACGCACATGATCCACCCGCGGGTGTCATTGCTCACTTCTGCCACCTCCATGATGGGCTGTCAGAGCCCTCCGGCCCTCTTGCTGGCACCGACGTTGAGGGGCCCTGGAACTGCAGGCTGTACTGGTTGGAGCGTGTAATGGGAACAAGAGACAAGGCGAGGACTCGAGCAGCCTTTGGACGGGAGTAAGCTGGGGATTTGACCTGTGGGTTGTTTTCTGGTCTGGCTGCGGGCGGAAGAGATGGTGCTGCAGTGCTGCAGTGCTGCAGTGCTGCTGACCAGCGATTTGAAGTGTGGAAGGCGCGTCTCTGCCCTCCTACCCGTCTCGTCGTGTCCGGACTGGTGTTCTGCAGTGCCCTGGTGCCCAAAGTGCCCAACAATCCGGATGCGACTGACACAAAGGGTTTGTAGGGTAAAATGGCCGCACAAAGCACTTGAGGTGATGCAGGGCGCCGCCGTCTGTGGCTTTGGGGTTGACGTGCAGGGCCGAAAGGGGAAAAAGATTCGACACGACAGAAAGTTGTAGAATGGACAGACAGACAGACAGACAGACAGACAGACAGGCCGACACAGACGGCCGGAATCTGTTGGGCTTAGGAACAGGAGGAAGCAGATGTGTATCGCAGGTATGCAGGTATGCAGGTAGGCAGGCCGGCGGGCTGGAGGCCAATGGACCACCTGCATTCATCAGCGTCTAGTCGATGTCATATTGTCGCCGCTACGCAGTACGGCGAAAAGCAGAAACGGCGTGGGGCTTGTTCACTTCTGGACCGCCTGGCCGCCTGGCCCAGCGACTCAGGGTTGCCCCTGACAAATGGCGAGCTGCCTTTTTTTCAGCACAACAGCCTGCAGCCTGCAGTGCCTGTGGCCAGCGAGAACCTCTCTGGTCCCTACGGGCCAAAAAGTGACGGAGTGACGGAGCCTTCTTGCCTTCCCACACCCTTGTCCATCCACACTTGGCGCGGTTGCTGCTAACAACCAACCCACGTCAGTGCGTCGCCCCGGGAGGTCCCTTGCGACGAGGGCCTTGGAGGGCCCAACACAGTAATAACCTTGGAAGCCAAGGATTGGCCGAGTGACCTCCCCATGTGCATGGCATGCCGCTGATCTGACAGATATTGATGTTTTGTTGTGTGCATTTCAATTCCTTCTCTCCTCACCGAGTATCCGGCTACACAGCAGTTGTAGAAGTGTGGTATTGCCATCTCAGTCAGGAGTCAGCCCCGGCTACTACATCGTAGGCTTTTCCTCGATGTGCCGGCCCCATCAGGGTTCTCTCTCCAACTCGTGATACTGTTGTCTGGTCCTCTTCTGCCGTCGACATCAGCCACGCCAGAGAATACGATCGATCGGGTCTTGGGGCCTCTTTTGTTGTGGTCAGACAGGCCTCACGACCAAAACAGTCACAGAAGCCAAAGGTGAAGACGCCAGGGTCAAGCTGAGGGCCCCGCCGAGGTCAAGCGACAGCAGTCAGCGACCGACGGCAGCAACCAGATCAGATGAGAGAGGTGGGCTGCCAGCTAACAGGCCGGCAGGGCGGCAGATTGACAAACTATACGGAGTACCTCCACGGGGCTAACCCGCTATGGCAGCAGGCGCACTGGCCCCTCCAAGCTGCATCCCTGCCCCTGCCCAGACCCCCACGGCACGCTGCGCGACACGACTCGACCCGCCTCGACTCAACACGACCCGTGCTGCATCTGCCATGTGCTTGGGAGCACTGGCCGGAAGGCTGACGAAAATTTCCCAGCCCAGTCACCAAGCCCGCCCAGCCAGAGCAACAAACGCCCTCAGCTGCTCAGCCTAACCCCACGAGGCTACATACGCCCCATCCTCAGCCGCGTGAGAGAGGCCTGTTGCCCGCCTTGTCGCCCGCCTGACCTCGTCACCCTCTCACCACGCAGCCCCCGTCTGCGCCCCCGTATAAATCGCAAAAGAGGCCCCGTCGTCCTCGCGACGCCCCAGCCCGCCACCATGTCGAAAGCCACCTTCGCAATCATCGCAGCTGTGAGCGCTGGAACTGGCGCCGCCGTAACTGCAGCTATCATGAGGCCAGACAAGAAAGACTCCCCCTCGAGAATCGTCACGACCACGACCACGACCGTTGCGACCGGGACACCCCCAAAGACAGCTCCCGTGCCCGTCCCGGCGCAGCAGGTCTGGTCCTCGCAGCCCGCCGCCCTCAACGCCCCCGTCAACCCCGCCGGCCTCTTCGAGTATGGCTTCCCCGGGCCCGTCTCCGACCTGGCCACCCGCTCCGCCCTCGTCTCCTCCTACGACCGCCGCCTGCGCAACCCCCACTGGGTCGTCGAGCACATCACCCCGGAGTCGCTCGCCATGCGCGAGGGCGACCGTAAGCACAGCGCCTTCGCCGAGGACCCCTCCGTCCCGGACAAGTTCAAGGCCAAGCTCAAAGACTACTTCCGCTCCGGCTTCGACCGCGGCCACCAGGTCCCCGCCGCCGACTGCAAGTGGAGCCAGCGCGCCATGGACGACACCTTCTACCTGTCCAACATGTGCCCCCAGGTCGGCGAGGGCTTCAACCGCGACTACTGGGCCCACTTTGAGGACTTTTGCCGCCGCCTGACCGACCGCTACCCCAGCGTGCGCATCGCCACCGGGCCCCTGTACCTGCCCCGTCGCGACCCCGCCGACGGCAAGTGGTACGTCCGCTACGAGATGATCGGCAACCCGCCCAACGTCGCCGTGCCCACCCACTTCTACAAGGTCATCTTCGCCGAGGACGGCTCCCCGGGCGGGCCCGTTGCCCTCGGCGCCTTCGTCCTGCCCAACGCCCCCATCCCCAACCACAAGCCCATCACCGACTTCGAGGTGCCCCTCGAGGCCGTCGAGCGCGCCAGCGGCCTCGAGTTCGCCTCCAAGCTGCCCGCCTCCCGGCGGCGGCGCCTATGCGCGGAGCACACCTGTGCGCTAGTCATCCGCGAGTATGCAGAGAGGCAGAAGGCGTTTGGCAAGGAGGGGCCCAAGGCGCTCGTGGCTCCGGCCAAGTGATTGACCTTTTTTGGGGGGGGGGGGCAAGAGGGGGCAAGAGGGATTATTTTGTTTCAACATGATGAGATTGGCGTATTTGGAGGTGCAAGACCAGGAATAAGGAGAGAGGAATATGACCCACCAAGTGGACATGGTCAAACGGGTGCATTTTCAAGCGTGGCATCATCTCGTTTCTCATAATCATGGCGGCATTGCGAGGCATATGCATTTCGAAGGTTGAGCTTGACGAGTGCTTCGGGCCTGGAAAGAAAGAGCGCGCGCCTCACAGATTGATATTGATCGCATGTGGGATTTCAACGAGGCGGCATCACGAAACACCCCACCTCTCCGTCAGCCAGCAGCCGTTGGCCAAGGCGGCGGTAGATGGGCTTAGATAGTCAATGACACAGTCTGTCTTCAGACTCGACTACCTGCCCATGATGTGGTACGATCCAAACCTGTAGAGAATCAACAACAGGTTTGTGCATTGCCAGTGCTTATTCACTATGCATACTCTACTGGCATTCCTGTATGCCCAACCTGCTTGCGTCTCCAAGTGCTTGGGATATCATCAAGTCAAAGTCCTTCCATGCGAAATAGTAGCTACCTCCCTGCTGATCTCCCCCAAGATGCACATCCAGCTGTTGTGGCCTTGTTCCTGAGCTTGGCTGCGACATGCCGACACCGCAACTTTGACCACACAAGCCGTTCCAGCAGCGTGCGCAAGTTGCGACCCTGTAGCAAACCAACCCCCCACTAAGGGATGCGAATCCCCGCTTCAACCTAGATGCCTGCCATTCGGCCATATCCACATCCTGCCTTCAGTGAAGGCACATTCGTTATTCTCTTCAGCGCCCCTGTCTGGTCTTACTTGCCAGCAGCGCTCGGCGGTATCGTCCACAACCCCGACTTTAGTCAAAAGAAGACTGGATTGGACCTCATACGAGCTTGGTTGGGGATTGCCCGTGAGCGCAATCTAGCAGCCATGTCGACCGTCGTGCAGACCATACTTAGGCCCTGGGGTTCAAAGGTCGGGTTGAGGGCAATCGGCCAACTTTTCAGAACTGCTTGAACAATGAGCTTTGGTCCCATGAAGCCCCACAATCAAGGTCTCAGGGGTTGCTTTGTGGGCATAGGTGTTGCCTGCAACCCTGTACCGTGTTTCAATCCTTACACGACGGCCCTAGGTCCATAGGCAGGTCCTTCAGTGTGCACGAGTGTAGTTGCCCCTCTTTTGCTCCATCTTCAGGCTCTCCTCCTGACTGGGCAACGGTGCCCGTCTCCGGACCGAGCCATTATCAGCTCCAGCGCCGGGGTCTCGATCCATTCCGGGACCGCCCATACCAGGGATTGGAGGAGGTACGAAGCCAGGTGGAAGCTGAGAATTGGGTGGCGGAGGGATGAGACCTGGAGGCAGTAAGCCCGGTGGTGGAGGGGCGACTCCACTGCCAGGAGGGGGCGGCAAAGGAATACCAGCCTTCTTCATCATCTCGGCGATCTGTGCGAGATCTGGTGGGTTGTTCGGGTCCATACCGGGGAGCAGCGGAGGGACGCCATTCAGACTTGGAGGAGGTATCGGGAATGGAAGATTCGGCGGCGGCGCACCACCGACCCCAGGGATCGGGGGCGGCGGGGGAACATAAGAACCACTGCCGGGTAGTGGCAGACCGGGGATTCCGATTCCGGGGAATGCGGACGCTGATTTGAGGGGCATCTTCTGGTCCTCCAGCCCATCCATCTCGTCCTCGGCCTCTTGAGCTTCCTCCTCTTGCCTCTGCCTCCGGTTCTTTGAGCCAACGAATGTCCCATGCGCCATAGCCGCCGCCTCACCAATATGATATTGGTCTTTCAGATAATCCGTGTCGCCAGGCCTCGCGCGCGTCCAGAACCGTGTGAGACGGTCATTCGAGCCCGATGCCAGGATATGACCAAGCGGGTGCCAGTCTAGCGACCAGATGGCCATATCGTGCGCGAAAGGAACCTTGTGAGCTGGGTAGATTGTCTGCGCAGGGGCTGTCTCCTTGTCAGGGGCGTCGTAGACGGCAACCGATGACGATGTTCCCTCAGGCGTGTTCGGCTCGTCCAGGAGGTAGTGGAACAGGGAGCCGTCTCCGCCACCGGTGCTGAGGAGATTGGCATGGACAGGATGCCAGGTGAGGGTAGAAACATCCTTTTCGTGGCCCCGGATCAGACAGATATCTCGCATCATCCGCAGGTCAAAGATTCGGGCAGTCTGGTCCCGCCCCGCAGTGGCCAGACACAGACCAACAACTCGTTCGAACATGACCTTGGTGACAGTGTTCTTGTGGCCATGCAGGGTCGTCAGACAACGGCCGTTACGAGGATCCCAGAGCTTGACCAGATGGTCCTTGGAGCCGGAGACAACAAGGCCCTTGTTGGGATGCCAGTCGCAGGTCTTGGCGTCCCAGCCGTGGCCTGTCAGCGTCGTGTCCTCACGGCCGGCGGCAAAGTCGAAGATCTTCAAGGTCGAATCATCCGAGGCGGTGATGAACTTGGTGTCGGTGGGAGCCATAGCAAGGTCCCTGATAGCGTCGTGGTGGCCACGGATGCTCTCGACGTTGTTGAAGTTGGGCTGCCAATACTTGATGACGCCGTCATGATCTGCCGATATCAGCCAGTCGTCGCTGTGGGAGTACTCGAGGGCACGAATGGCGGAGTCGTGGGCCTGCATGATAGTCTCGAAGTTGAAGGCCGTGCCATTCCACAGCGTGAACTCTCCACTACTGGAGGCCGTCAATAGACGACGACCCTCTGGTGTCCACCTGACGACATTCACGGGGTGTTTGACCTTGTTGAGAGACTGGTGGACCCATCGGCCTGGTACGGAGTCTGCTGCGTTGCAAGGTCTGGCAGCTGGTGGGAGCATCTGAGGAGCATGGTCAGTCAATTGGTCCATCCAGAAAGCCTCGGGGATCACCAACATCTATCAAGTAGCTGGGGCTTGGGCGTTCGACTTCGCCTCGGTAGGACCCCTTGTATCTGGGCTGCCATTGGCGCATCCAGTGGGTGACGGTTGCGCCATAGTCAGTCACGGGCCCTGTATTTGAGAGCGGTCAGCAGGAAGTCTGAGTTGTTGACACAGTGAAACAGTACTGGGCCTATCCTCCCGAAAGAACTCCAAATAAGTCCTCATTGTGGTGGGAGCCATGTCTGAGCGGGATCCTCACGGAGGGCGAGGTGAGAGCATGGGAAGGTGTCGAGTGCGATGCAGCGAGTGCGAAAAGGAGCATCTAGATAGTAGCAAGGTGCAGCGGTGGTCCCGAGATGAGCTTGGGGACAGCACCTCGGGGACATGGTTGGCAGCTGGCCAAACAATTCACTCAACATCAAAGAAACATTCAGCTGGACTTACGCCTGCCCTTGGCCTTCATGTAGACATCATAGCCTCCTTCATCCCCTCCTCTGCCACCTCCCTTGTCGAAGTCCCTCCGCGGGGCGTAAGCCATGACGGCTTTAAGCCCATGCAGCACAGTATTGGGAGCTGAGAGGTGCGACCCAGGCCGTTGAAACCGTGCTGATATCTCCCCAATATGAATGATTATTCTGTTGGAACCAGCAGGCTGAGAGGCTGAAGTAAGGCGATGCTGATGCTGGGATGATGAATGAAAGTGGACCGCTAGAGTCTGTATGTATGTAGCCTCCCCTACAAGGTGACCGGCAAAGGAGCTCAGGTGGACCGTTTTCAGGGCACGGGCCAATTGCGGCTGGGTGGTCTTCGACACAGAAGAGTCGACTTTTGCCGGCCAGTCTCGGCCCGATGCTGTGTACATACCTACCTAGGTACCTAGGTACTTAGGTATGTACTTAAGTACTTGCCTTGGAGGCTCTCTCCTACATAGGTACCTAGGTAGGTAGTATGTATTCACGCTTGGGAAGGACTAGTAACCCCTGCCTCAACTGACAGCTCCTTGTGATCGACAGCAGGAGGCTCTGCGTCATACTGTAAGACAGCATCTACAGTAGACCATGCCATGGTAACAAGACTCGGCAACTGACAGATGCCTCTTCCCAAGAAAGAACAAACAGGTGCATGCACCAGCCAGGCTTGGTGGTGTGAGGATGAGGGGGTATTGACGGCTTGCCTGCTTCTGAATTGAGTGAGTACCTAGGTACTTAGGTACCTAGGTACTTAAGTAGGTATTGAGATGTGGCACGTTACAAGGTGTCGGGATATGACGGCATTCGAGTGTGGCGAGAGCTCATGTATGGCGTAGTCTACCTAGGTACAAGTCTACCTAGGTCCAGTGTAGCTCCTGCAACTCAAGGACTGGTACAAGGAGATCAATGGACTTGCAGACTTGCCATTTTCTTTTGCTTACGACCAGGTCCGAGGTGATAATGAACTTGTTAACAGCCAGCGTACCGCCACGCACACCCTGACAAGCACATGCTGGTGTGGTGCGGTGCAGGCGCAGATTCAGATTGCAGATTGAGATGCGGACCAAGCATCCAACATCCCAGAAGTGTTGAGTCTAGAAGCTGCATTAGCACCGCCAGTCGGAGTTTAATCCACTGGGCTCGCTGGCCAGGCTGCCAGGCTCGCTGCTCCGCCCGTCCATCCGCCCGCTCGCCCGCCTGGCCGTCTGCAATGTGCGCAGTGCTCCGTACCAAGTGATGATTGGGCTGCCCGGCACCATTCCAAGAGCCGACGTGCTCGATTGTATGCAGCTTGGAAGTGTAGATCGCACTTGGCCCAACATTCCCGCATTCGATTTAAAGCACCACGACATCCCAATTGCTCTCTTGTTGATCTCAGGCGACGCGACTGAACCCATGTAGGAGCGGTCTGTGAATTTCCACTGATGGTCCGACCCCCTTCAGCGCTCAGACCACGGACGTGCAAATTAAACTCCTGAGTGGACAGGCGACAAGCTGCACTGCCAGACTGCACAGGTACCGAGGACGGGAGCGAGCAGGGGAAACAACAAAGGAAATCACTCAATTGCGGCTTCTAAACCGGCCCAGCACCTCACACAACCACAACGAAGCCGTACTCAGGGGCCCGCTTCGTTACCAATCGACCTCAGCTCGCCGCCCGTGGCGTGCAGGTCCCATCTGCCTGCCTGCATTCTCAATCGCGCGGCCAATTGACGCTCTCATGCCCTCGCCATGGACGCAGCAACCTCCAGTGGCGTAGACGCCACCGCCAGAGCGGTTCATCGCGCCACCCCGGATCCTCCACCACCTGCGAAAGGTCACACAGACGCCGACGACAGCCCCAGTGACGCAAAGAGGAACACCGAGGAGCTTAAGAAGGCCCTCCTGAGAAAGTATCGCCATACGGTGGCCGTGCATTCCAAGGTCAGGCCTTCAACCCTGAGCCATGACGCCTCACAGACACCGAGCTTCATCGGGTTCAGGAACCTCGGCCTGATCGTGCTCAGTAAGTCGGTCTCATGATGAGGGCACTCACGCCTTGCCGCGCACAGGAGCGCTGACGTGCCAACTAGTCGCCGGCAACCTTCGGCTGTTGATAGAGAACATACAGAAGGTCGGCCTCCTCTCCTCGGATCGGTTGCGCGTGTCCTCGGCAGCTGGGGACAGACGCTGACTTGAGGACAGTACGGTGTGCTCATTTGCATAAGGTGCCATGACTTCCGCAGACAAGACCTTCTGGTCGGCTTCATCCTCTACACCTTCGTGCCGTGCTGCCTGCTCATTGCCTACCTGATCGAGCTCTTCGCGGCCTACGAGGCGCGCACCTCCCTGCTCCGGGCCTACAACAGGGAGAAGAAGGACGGCAGCTCGTCCCCTACCCTGGAGGAGCAGGCACGCTTCAGGACCACCTGGTACATCATCATGGCCCTGCACTTCGCCAACATCTCCACCGCCCTCGTCATCACCTCGCTGGTGGTCTATTATTATGTCAACCACCCGCTCATCGGCACCATCGTGGAGATGCACGCCATCATCGTCTGGCTCAAGACAGCCTCTTATGCCCTGACGAACCGGGACTTCAGGCACTCATACCTGCACCCCCAGACTGGCGAGCGCGAGGCCATCCCCGAGCTGTACAAGTCTTGCGAGTACCCGGAGAACATAACCTTTGGGAACCTGTGTTACTTTTGGTGGGCCCCGACGCTCGTGTACCAGCCAGTCTACCCCCGGAACGACAAGATCAGGTGGATCTTCGTGCTCAAACGCTCCGCAGAGGTCCTAGGCTTGTGTGTTGCCATGTGGATACTCAGCGCGCAGTACGCCGCACCCACGCTTCAGAATTCGTTGACGGCGATAGCAAACAGGGACGTGGTTGCGACTCTGGAGAGGCTGCTGAAACTGTCGACAATCTCCCTCGTTATTTGGCTGGCGGGGTTTTTCGCCTTGTTTCAGTCCTTCCTCAACGCACTGGCCGAGGTCACGAGATTCGGGGACCGATCCTTTTACGACGACTGTAAGTCCCCTACCTACCAGCTCGAGGCACCGCCGCCCGCGCGGCTCAGCCAGCATACTGACCGTCAATGAAAAGGGTGGAACAGCGACAGCCTCGGAACGTACTGGCGGACCTGGAACAAACCGGTCTCTTGTTACTTTAGGCGGCACGTCTTCCAGCCTCTTATGGGGAGGGGATACTCGTACAACTTCTCTGCGATAGTCGTATTTACGATATCGGCTTTTCTGCACGAGTTGGCAGTCGGGATCCCCACGCATAAAATCATCGGTCCGTTCCCCGCCTCAAAATGACCTCATCCCAACCCCCAGCCACTGACCCTGGATGTCTCAACAGGTGTTGCCTTTCTGGGCATGTTGTTGCAACTTCCTCTCGTTGCCCTGACCAAATTCTTTGAAAGATCCGAGTCGCCCACCAAGAGAATGATCGGGAACTGCATTTTTTGGTTTACTTTCTCCATATTTGGACAACCCTTTGCCGCTCTCATCTACTTCTATGCTTGGCAGAACGAATACGGGAGTATCAGCGACAAGTGGAGGTACGGCAGGAAGTAGGCCTGGTAAAGCCAATAGGTAGCTATACTTGTAATCAGCGGCTGTACCAGCATACATTGGGTTCTCAACATCATCCTGAATAGCCTGTGTTACGGTTTACGTAATTGTCAAATCAATCGACACAGTTCGCAGCCATACTTTCATTCTCATTTTGGTCAAGGAAGCACTGGCCTAGGCAATGGTTGGTCCAATACAAGCTTCGTATACCGCCCCAGTACCATGTCTTGGTTTCTATCAGCGGTTGACAATGTGCCCACTTATACCCAGCGGCTACTACAAATTTGATGACAGCATCTCAATGAACAAAATCGCACAAGGTTTCCCTAATCGACGGGCCACCATGACATATGCTCACCTTGTCTGCAACTAAACTCTCCATGTTTGCATCGACCTGGCCTGCCTTGGGAGGCGCAAGTCATCTACTTCATGCATCCAACAAGAGGCCATGTTGAGGTTATATGCCTTCTTACAATATCTATCCCCCAAACCTGTTCACTAGTGTGGGTAACTAACTACCTCGGTGTTTGCACTCCACCGCAAGACAGACACAGGCCACTTTCCATCCGCCAACATCTAAGCCATGACGCTGTCCATCCTGGACCAAGGTTGCCCATAGTCAAGCTCTCTACCAACGTTATTTTCCGTCTCAAAAGAACCGCCGCTGCCGCCACCGTGTCTGAAAATCCAATCTAGAGACCGGTACTATGGCACGAATGGGATCTTGGTGCCCGTCTTCTTCCTGTAGTCGACGTACTCGTCCCCAAAGAACTTTACCAAGAAGACCTCCTCGTGCCTGATGCGCCTGCTGAAGAAGAGCCACAGCAAGGCGGCGTAGGCGAAGAAGCACAGCACGTTGCCCATGGCCAGCTGGGTGCCCAGCCCCCACCAGAAGAAGCCGAAGTAGCTGGGATGCCTCAGGGTGCCGTAGATGCCGGTGGTGACGAGGATGTGCTCGCGCTTCTGGGTCTGCTGCACGATGTGGTTGAAGCTGGGCCCGGCCTGGACCATGGCCGCGCTGCGGACGACCTGGCCGACGACGACGAGGGAGATGCCCAGGAGCATGAGGAGGGGCGCGGTGCCGAAGGGGGCCCAGGACCGCGAGGGGAAGAAGACGCAGGTGACGAGGCACTCGAGCGAGGCGGCGGTGTGGGCGATGGCGTAGGCGGGCCAGTTTGCGGTCAGCAGGAAGGAGGACACGTCTGCCTCGCGGGTGTTGTAGGCGGCGGTGGTCCAGAACTCGAGGAAGTGAAAGGCGGCCAGCGACGCCAGGAAGAAGGGCAGGCGCCACAGGGGGCTGGCGGTGGTGGCGAGGACCAGGGCGGTGGTGATGACGGCGAGGGCGAGAGCGGCGCCCAGGCAGAAGGCGCGCAGGGCAATGCCGGACAGGCTCTTGGGCTGGCCCGGGAAGTAGGGCTTGTCCGGGCTGTAGGCCTCGAAGGACGACTGCGAGGTCGGGCTGAGGATGGGCAGGGTGTCAGTGTCGGGCGGCAGCATCAGGTTCGGGGGCGGGGAGCGCGGGGTGGCAGCCGAGGGGCTCGAGGAGCCCGAGACCTGCGAGTCGAGCAGGGCGATGTGTGCCAGCGACCGGCGCCTGTTGCGGGTGGTGATGGTGGTGGAAGTCTGCCTCTCGCCTCCATCCTCTTGCGGCCTGGGAGGTCCTCTTGGTGGAGGGGAAGAGGGTAGGGAGATGGTGGATGTGGATGTGGACGTGGACGTGGAGACAGATGTGGAGTAGGCCATATTGGGCAATAGTGAAGGCTAGGGTCGCATGCGATGTGTGCTCGCGTGAGTCCCACGAGGAGGAGGAGGGCGAGGGAAAGGGGCAGGGCTGTGCGAGAGGGTGGAAGCCGTGCGGATTATGAGACATGCGTGTCTTACCTTTGTCGCCCTCTGAAGGTGGTAGGGCTAGCCATCACCTCAAAGGGTTACGACCTGTGAGATGGGAGGTGGTTCAATGAGGTAGAGAGGGCTCTGTGCGGTTGCTAGGTCGATCTCTTGGACAAAGAGGGCAGCCCAGACGGCCGTGTTGTATGTGGCCGCGGTCCAGTAAAATGGTTCAAATCCCACCTCGAGTACGGCCACCCTCCGCCCTGTGCGCAGCCCTGGCAGCCGTTGCACTGCTCGCCCTGTCTACCAGTCGGTGCTCTAGCACAGTCCAGCATGTCAAGACTGCCCAAGTAGTGTTGTCTGCACTTTTGCTGGCGCAGGGGACTACTGTGTATGGGGTCGAAATAATAAAGACGGTGCTACGCAAGGATCAGGACGACGTCAATCCTAGGCCAGTTAGCGGAAAATCTGGCCGCAACCGGTACCGACGGGCACTTTGTGTGTGGGCCGGTACGGCATGGGATGCGGGAGGGCGGGGGGGTACGGGGGCCGGGCGGACTTGTACCTATGTACCTAGGTACTCTGTACCGCATCAATCCCCAGCCAGTAGTCAGTCACTCAATCAGTCAGCCACCAACACCTCCTCCTCGAATGCGATAGCACATCTGCATCGCGAGAACATATCCTTCTTCGTCTGTGAACAGTTTGTTTTTCCTCTCGTGCTGAGTTGCGCTGGCTCTCAGCTTCAAGCATGGCAGCTCCAAAAGTTGACCCGGTCGAGAACAAACGCCGTATGGAGGCGGGAGAGCTGTACTACTGCTTCACCCCTGAGTTGGTCGCAGAGAGGAGGCGGGCCTTTCTGGCTTACACCCGCTTCAACAAAGCAGATGACGTCTCCCGAAGGGAAAGCCTGGAGCTCCTCAAAGAGTATATACTATACATACACCCCTCCGGCGTCCCGGATTCCATGCGGTAACTCTGCTGCCGCCTTTCGAATGCTGATAGAGTGGCGCCAGGATCACCCTCGACAAGACCCCTTTGCCGCCAAAGCTTCCCGACATGACTGATGAGGATGATGAGGCTCTGCTCGACGACTTTCCCATAGTGTATCCTCCCCTGAGAACCGACTATGGGTACAACATTAGGTATGTTCTGCAAGCAACCTGCTCGCAGTGGGTTGGTTTGGGATGCTGACGCTGGACCCGCGCACGGCAGACTGGGAAACAATGTCATGATCAACTTCAACAGTACTTTTGTCGATACATGCCCAATCGAGTTCGGCTCACGCACCATGGTCGGTCCTAACTGCAGCTTCTTCAGTGGCACTCACCCCCTCGACCCAACTGTGCGGAACGGCACGCGTGGGCCAGAGAGCGGGAAACCCATCAAGATCGGCGAGGACTGCTGGTTCGGGGGGAACTGTATCGTCCTGCCCGGCGTGACCATCGGGAACGGCGTGACGGTTGGTGCGGGCAGCGTTGTGACCAAGGACGTTCCGGCGTACCACTGCGTCGCAGGTAACCCGGCGAGGATCATCCGGAAGATCGAGGTCTCGGGCCAGGAACCAAGCAAGCCCGAGGGCACTCAAGTCCTGGTCGGAGAGGACGCTGCAGTAGTCCAGGCCTAGGGTTGATAGCATCGGCATCCTTCACAGGCAGCCTTCATAGACCTCCAGAATACGAGAAGGACGAGACGACGAGCACGAAGACGTTGGCCCAGCCCCAGATGAACGGAATCCACGTCGTCATGTACCACCCAGCCGCGCGGTAAATGGCACCGACCCTGTGGTCGATGAGACTGCCGTCAGCAACTGACCATGGTGGATTGATTGATTGATTGATTGATTGGCAGGTGATGCGGGGATACTACGCACATGGCGCCAGTGACGCTGCCAGCGACCAAGGCCTCCAGCGCCGCGATGGCCGAGTAGATAATGGGTAGTGTCCACAGGTACTTCCAGTTCGTCTTCTTCTTGCCGATCTGCACGATGAGGGCTATGCCTATGGCGGCCCAGTGGAAGCAGGCGTACATGACGAAGGTCCATATCAACGTGAAGCGCCACATGTCACTCAGGTGGTAGAGCACAAAACGGTCCTCCAGCGGCGGCCAGAACAGAGACGGCCATCCTGGCGTCTTGTATCCGGCCGGCGGAAACGGGTGATCCTCGGTCCCGATGCTGCGTCTCATTAGCGTTATGAAGGGAACCTGGGGAGAGCCTGAAATCGGGAGGGTTTCTCACGTTGGGTCCATGGCTTCGATGCCTCAATGTGCTGCTGCACTTGTCGTGGTGGTGATGAACAGGGATGGGTAGCCGTACTGCCGTTGTGCCTAGGCGAGCGGGTGTGAGGTCAGAGCTCCCTCCCACTTAAGCCGCGCCGCTGTGCCGAGGTCCAAGCACGCCGCAGCGCCTCCGGCAACGCGAGCCCACGCCCGCTGATCGACTTTACTTTCCATCTCCATGTGCGACAGCAGATACCGCATTCCTGCCAATAGTTGCGTATTCTTCGGATCCAAGACCTCTGATGTTGTAATCAAACCCCACGACAAACCTGCCCGTGATGCCGGCCGACCGCCTTCTCAACCAGCTGCTTGCGCTGTACCAGACCGTCCACGACGACCCCCAAACAGATCGCATCTTCGGCACCACCCTGTCCCTCCTCACCGAGCTGTCGAATCCCCTCAACCTGTCGCTTCTGACCTCTCAGTTCCTCCATGCACCCGCGATATGGCACCAACGGCACGCCCCCGACCCGCTGCGATCCACCTGCCTGCGCGTCCTGGGCGTCTACAACACCGCCGCGATCCACGTCCGCCGCAACGAGCTCGAGAATGACGACCGCAGGCGTGCTGGGATCCCCCTGACAGGCGGCGGTCTGACAAGCGAGGCGTGGGCCAGGGCCGTTGTCAAGGGGGCCGATGACAAGTCCAGCCGCTGGCAGCACCTGCTGGTGCTGGCGGGCATCCTGATGGGCTTCGAGGGCAACGAGAGGCACGGCCTGTCCGGGGGCATGATAGCCACGCTGGAGCAAGCCGTCGCCACGGCTGCGAACCTCTCGCTGCGAGCGCTGTCAAGAGAACCCCCGCTGGCTGCCGCGGCCGTGGTCCTCGCGCTGAATTACGCCTTCCCTCTCATGTCGGAAAGCGCGAGGGCATCGGTAGATTGCGGCGCGCTGCTTCCTGTGGCGATACAGGCCTTTGTTGGGGATTCTGGGTACCACGGCGGCGCCTTCCTGGAGCCCATCGAGGCTGACGTCGCCCAGGTGGGCCAGAAGCTGGACTGGCCCGAGGCGTCCATGTCCTTCGCAGCCGTCCGTCAGCTCTCCTCCAGGCCATTGGTCGAGTCCGCTGGGCCGCTCTCGAAACTGATCGCCTTCGCTGCCGAGCATGCGAGAGATCACCGCTTGGTTATGCGCGCCCAAGACGAGCTCGTCGGATTCACGGCAGGACTACTCGGCCAATGGCGGAAACTCGGCCTGTCTGGCATCGACCTGGCAGACGAGAGTGCATGTCTCACGGGGGACAGCTTGCGAGTCACCTGGCCGGCCCTCTGGCGCCTACTTACCTCTGTCCTGTTCGGGGTCGTTGCCATATTACGGGCTGTGACAGCCAGAAGCCTGCTCGACCCTCATTTGAGAAACGATGCGACTGCTCCTCTCGTCGCCGCCAAGACCCTACATATATACAGGAACCTGTATTTCATCTCGTCGAGAGGAAACGACAGCTTCCAGGTCTATGCATTTTCTTACAACACCTGCATCGATATTCTGGCGAGATATCGTGAGTCGGCCACAGCATTCTTGAGGGACACACTGCCGCCGAATTCCGGCACGATACCGACGCATGCATTGCATCAGGTGCTGGACCTGTTCTACCTGAACACGGCAGAGCACCTGCCGCTGAACCTGACATCAGAAACATGCGAGGCGCTCATCATCCAGCCTGCAAGCATATACCTATCACATTCAATGCCACTGTCCAGGAGGATGGTCGAGCTCTTCGAAGCAGCGCACTCCGCAACCCTCTCTGTCCTGTCGTGTCCCCAGAATGGCCCCATAGCTGTCAGCGTGGCTCCCTTCTACGCAGAGACGCTCCTGATGGCGTTCCCTTCCCACATCTCCCCGCGGCAATTCAGGCTCGCCTTCAGGACTCTTATGCAGATACTGTCTCCTCCGTTTCCAGTGTCTGCCACTAATCCAGAACTTGCCGAGACGCTGTTGGAAATGATCCGCTTCAGAGTACCGACGGCCGGCCAGAGCTATCTTCCGCCCAGCCCCGACCAAGGGCAGACGGCCCAGGAGCCGGCATCGGAACAAAGCGCCTTGGTTCTGACCTTGATTGATGCCCTCCCCTTCCTACACCTGCCAATCGTGGAGGACTGGCTGACGATCGTCGGCACGACTCTGCACGAGATTCCTGACGTCGCAATGAGGGAGTCCACAAAGCAGAGGCTCTGGGAGATACTGGGATCTGGCGAGATGGATGTCGAGAGGGCAGCAGTCGGCGTCGCCTGGTGGGGCACAAAGGGAGGTCGAGAATTGGTCCTCTTCGGTCCGAATCAGCTGAGGGGACAGGAGCCTTTCTTGATGAGCGGTGCCATTGTTGACGAAAAGGGGGCTAGCAGGCTATAAGCTCGGGAGGCAACCGGCTGAGCTCTGGTTGCCGCGAGCTTTGGAGGAACTGACGATGTTACATCGATGAGTGTTTTTCGGCCAGATCCTTGAAAGAGCCTCAAGCCTTTGGGTTAGCTTTCCAGCTCTGAGCAGAGGCCTCATGTGCCAGGGTGCTGTCTCGGTGGCTCCGTATGATTGGAGGGACGGGTGAGGCGGCGACTCGGTGTGGCACCACGATCGCCTGGACCGCTAGCGCCGAGCTGAACCACACGCGTACCGGATTATGACTGCTCAGACGCTGACCCGCGTCACCGTCACCGTCAATTTAGACGTCCATACTAAGCCGTCATTCCCAATAGCAAAGAGTAGGCGCCGTTGACGAAGCCAGGGACAAGGCCGCGGGGTAAACTGCTAGAACCCAGGAATCCGTTACACGCACGACGCCACCGTCGCGCTACTAGCGCTGGTGATGAAGTCGGCTCCAGAGCCCTGCAAGCCCTGGCAGAAACTTGGCAAAGGCCGGGGCGTGGAGCAGGGCAGGGGTAGCTTAGCTCCCGGCGCCGCTCCTGGGCTGAGCTTGCCCCGCGAGAGCCCAAGCCGCTCGTGGAGTCCGCTCAATGCACCAAATCTCGATCATTCACGTTGCGAATGACGCCATGCCTCCCGCCAGCCTTTGTGTGGCTGTTGCGAAACATTGTGTTGCTATGAGCTGCTCTTGGGTCTCCCAGCCGCGGGCCAATCGCGTCCCTCCACCTTGATCATACACGATGTGACCAGAGGGCGCCTGGAGGGCTGTTCCCGGGTTGAAGTCGACCTACCCAGCCATGTTTGGGCTGAGTCTAGACCTAACCCGTACTTGCGCACATGTTGGAACGAGACTCCGAGCCCAAATCAAGATTCGGGCCTGGGAAGCATTGGCTGACCGGGCAGCCACCAAATCAGACGGCGGCCCCATCCCCGTGGCCCTGGAGAAGCGTGGCAGGCTATCACCGGTATGGTAGGTCTGGGGATGGCTTGGAGCGCGCTCACCAGCTTCCCTGGTTTCAGCCCGTACTCCGTGGTACGCGGCTTGCTCGGTGACGTAGGGCATGGGGCTCCCTCCCGCTCTCAATATCAAGGGTAGTTGTGAGAAATTGGTTGTCTATAAAGGTCCGGAGCCCCTCGGGTCAGTCTGCATTATTCTTTGGACGACAAGGACTTGAGCCTACATACTAGCCAGATATTCTACTACCAGCAAGCATCTACACCTCCCATAATGTCTTTCAACGACAACGACAACGTGAGAAAAACTTGCCCTTGGGTGAACCTGCAGACTGGCATGCTAAACTTTGAGACAGTCCAACTACGGCGGCAACGACTCGAGCCTTGTAAGTCCCCCTTTCCGTGTCTCTCTATGCCCCAGTCTACAGCGCACAGTCTAACATACAAGAGGTAGGGCTCTGAGCGCCGTGGACAAGACACCTACGGCAGCGGCGGCAACGACTCCTCTTACGGAGACAGTCAGCGCACCGGCGGTAACTTTGGCGGCGACTCTCTGTCTTCCAACCGCCGGGATGACAGCGGCCTCGGTGCTTCGACCGGATCCGACTCGTACGGCTCGGGCGGTGACACCCTAGGCAGCTCCGGGCGCACGGGCGGCCTGGATGACAACCTGGGCTCGTCTGGCCGCAACACCGACAGCGGGTTTGGCTCATCCCGCCGGGATGATGACAACCTCGGGAGCTCTGGCCGCACTGGCGGCATCGGGTCGGACTCCTATGGCTCGGGCGGAGACTCTCTTGGCAGCTCGGGACGCACCGGTGGTATCGGTTCGGACTCGTACGGCTCGGGCGGAGATAACCTCGGCAGCTCTGGCCGGACTGGTGGCGTCGGGTCTGACAACTATGGGTCCAGCGGCAACGTCGACAGTGGCTTTGGCTCCACCCGCCGCGACGACGACAACCTGGGCAGCTCGGGACGTACTGGTGGCATTGGCTCCGACTCCTACGGCTCAGGCGGGGATAACCTCGGCAGCTCGGGACGGACTGGCGGTATTGGCTCCGATTCCTACGGCTCAGGCGGGGACAACCTGGGCAGCTCAGGCCGCACCGGTGGCGGCCTTGACTCGTCCGACAACTACGGCTCCTCTGGCCGCAACACCGATAGCGGGTTCGGAGGCGGCTCTGACAATACCACGGGGCTCGGCTCCAGTGGCGCGGGCTCCGACTCGTACGGCACCAGCGGGACGTCGCACGGTCGCGACAACGACGAGTATGGCAGCAGCGGCAAGACTGGCAGCGGCAAGAATGATTCTACGTTCGGCAAGATCCTCGAGAAGGCTGGCGATGTGCTGAAGAATGAGAAGCTTGAGCAGAAGGGCCGTGAGAAGAGGGAGGGTGCTGGTCTTGGTTCGTCCAATGATTACTAGAAGCCTGGGTGTCTTGAAATAGGATGTGAAGCCTTTGATATTTATTCTGACTACTTAATGAATTGAACATGATGTCTGCCATCCTGAATTTTGAACTATGTTCTTGCGTGCATTGCGGATATTTCGCTTCCACCCTGCACATATGAAATTAGTCGGAGAGGTTGACACGGTTTACGGCAAATAGCACACATACGGAGAGGTGATTGTGGTATCTATCAATTAATTGTGTTTACATTGCTCATGCTCTGAGAGGGTGATCCGGGTGTAGAGGTGGTAGCGACTCGGTAGACTAAATACATAGTCAAGGACAACACCTACAGTTTATGTGACATGCAGTGCTCAATGTCAGAGCGACAAAAGAAGCTTTTTAACTAGATACCGTCCCATAAGAGTATCTGAAATTGTCCTATAGTAGGTCACCCCATAGGATATTATGCATCAAGCTATTCTACCGTGTTTTAGTCAACAAGAGGTCATCATACATAAGCTTTATTCCATAGGAGGGTGTCTTCTAGAGATTGTCTTTTGAGAAATTGTTCTACGGAAGCCATTCTAGGGGAGCGTCTTTGATAGGGGCTTGTGCGAAGGGGGCAACTATGTGTGTTGATCTTTTTTGCAGGATCAATTGATTGACAAGAAGATGAAGGAGGTTTGGAGTGATGTGAGTCTACAGGCTCTAGAAGATCCCCGCTAGAACTGTCCACATCCAAGTGGTATAGCTGTAATTGTTATCGTGTTGGTAAGCTACATCATGTGAATGTGTTGCTCTTGCATGAGCGTAGTTCACATAGGCCGCCGGGCCGAATTCCTTCACTAATAGTCGCACTCGAGTTGACCGGAGTTAGCCGAGCACTATCTGGTTGGACGCCTGGGGAAGATATTCCACACCAATTGGGGGTTGATCAGAGCAATTCGGTCCATCTCACCCTCTCAATGTGGAAGTCATATCGGCGATCACAGCCCCGGAGGCGCAACATCTGAACGCCAACATGCCGCTCACAGCGGTGATCGGTTCCGGCTGTACACCCTCTCAGGTCAGATTTTCCCTTGGCCGTAATCACTCGTGCCATCATGCAGCAGTAAGCCTGCTAGCCGGCATGCTCGTGCTGGGGAAATGCGAGATGACCGGACCCCCTTCCCACTTCTGAGATGTCCTCGAGTAATCGTCGTTTCCTCATGCACCCCACATCTTCTCCTCGTCTTTATTTCGCGAGAGCACAGGCACAGGTCATGCTCACCTCTCACAATGTCCAACCAAACCGACTTGTACGTCTCCAACGGAACTTGCTATTATGGAGGAGGGCAGATCTCTGACCCACGTTACATACCATGCGGCAATGCCGAACTCTCCGGCGTTCAACACTGCTGTTTCGAGGGCTCGTACTGTCTCAAGAGCTACGCGTGCTATGACACACCGAGTGAGTACACTGCGCCTCGAGGTGTTTTCTCACTCGAAATACAGTATACACTGACTGTACGGACAGCCGGAGTAACCTACCTCGCCGGGTGCACCGATCCCACCTTCTTGGACGAGCAATGCGCGCAAAAGCCCGGATACACAGGGCAACAGTGGGTGGCCCTGGCGCGCTGCAGCGGCGAGAACATTTCTCTCTGGACAGGCTGTGCGCACCATCCAAGCCAAGTCGAGCTCGAGAAGGAAAACTGCAGCTGCAACCTAACTAATGTCTTGATCGAGAACACCAACGGGCAGTCCAGCCTCGGCGAGATCGGCAGCCTGCCAACGTCTGCGGGCGGAACAATCTCATTCAATCCTACCGCCCTGCCCACTTATGCAGTGACCACAACCGAGGGCTCTTCAAGCGTGGCGTCCGGCACTGCGACTGCGACTGCCGCGGAGGGTGCGTCAGGCGGCGCCAGTGACGGGCTGTCTGGCGGCGCCAAGGCCGGAATCGCTGTCGGGTCGATCATTGGAGGACTGCTGGTGCTCGGGGCTCTGGCTTTTCTTTTCCGCGGGGCGTACCGGCGGAGGGTCGACCAGGCCGTGGCTGCCCGGACCTCACGGACAGGTTCAGCGCCGCCGCCGCCGCCTCCGCAGGAGCCCAGTCCCATGTCCCAACCATCGTCGCATGTGTCGCCGGCCCCTCCGTACAATGTGGCTGCGCAAATCTCCAAGCCTGAGGGGGATGACCATATCGCGGGACTTGGGTACAAATCTGAGATGCCAGGTGAGAGCACCTACAAGCCTGAGTTACCGGGCGATATGGGTGCTGCTGATGCAGGCCGGAGACATGAGCTTGGTACGTGATTCACTGTGGGCTGGTGCGATGGGAATCATACCAGGACGGCTTCATAACTGTGTGGTCAGCTGCGTGCATGTGATAGGCTATCCGAATAGTCCTGAACGTGGCTCTGTGCAGCACTTTAATCTTTGAACATCACCAACATGCCACGAGAGCCGTCGTTCATCGTCCAATCGTAGGGCGCAGACTGACTTCCAGTTTCGGGGTTGTCGGATGGCGTACAAATGTCTCACAACAGTCAGCGGCCAAGTAAACAGTAACGGGGTAATTAGGGCTGATTTGGAGGATGACATGAGTGTCAGTGGCTTTGCCATGCCTTCAATCGGCTTAGGAGCCTGCGCCACGTTGGAATCCAATATACATATCACCGCATTGTCCGCAGTTGGTGAAGCGAGGGAAGTTGAAAGTTCCAGGTGGCATAGGACCAAGTAGGAGCAGCCATCATACCTAGGTATCAATCATCAAACAACATTCTGACACTGACAACTCACCATGAACACTTACCAGCCACACAATGCTCCACCACCTTCCCCTCAGACTCTGATGGTGCGCCCCTCAAAGACAGATCCGAATATCAAGGTTATCCACCCAGGGGGCGTTGCCGATACCTCGCCGCCGCTTTACTCCCTTTCGGTTTCCAACGACTCGAAACCAAACGTCGTTGTCTACCGCGGGCCACACTCGCCATCCAACATAATCGGCACCGCCGTCTTCCACTCGCTCTCTGGAAAGATCGACCTTGTCTTTCACGGGCAACCCATGACCATAAAACCGAGTGGCATGACCGTCGCGTACCATTTCGAGTTTCCGCCAGTGGGCAAGCTCAAGTGGCAGCCAAACCAGACGACGGGCATGGGCTTGGAGCTCCGGGATGCCAGTGGGATGAAGGTGGTCAAGCTCAAATCGACTGGCTTTGGCTCGGGGGAGAGGGTGTTTGAGATGATGGTGCCATGCGACCCGAGGTTTGTGGACTTGGTCGTGCTGTCGGGGTGGGCAGTAAGAGCAAATATGGACAAGGACAATTCTGCCGTGGCTGAAATCCTTGGAGCAGTGCTGGGGGGGTAAATGAGCTTGGGGGGTGAGCACCGTGGTGAGAAGATACCTAGATACCTGGGCACTCAAGTAGGTAGGTAGGAGGGAGCTTGCTGTGACAGCGGTCACCAATGCAAAGGAAATGGCCGCACTGCTAGGAAGGGAAATGGGCTGGGTAACAAGGAGGGAGACAATATAAATGGCCTTGTAGACAGGATACGTAGAAGACCAGGTGAGCGGAGCGAACCGGTTCATACCAATTTCTGAGCGAGCGTGAGCGAGCCATCACAGGCTCTTCAAGAGGCACCACCCTTCCCCGTCCGGAGCCCCTCGTGAAGATGTTCATACAAGAGCCTCGTACCACGACCGGAGCCCCTCCCGTCGAAGCAAGATGGTAATAATGTTGCCTGATGTGAACAGACCTGCATAACATGGGTAAGACCTGATTGTACACCGAGGTACCGATAGGTACCTACCTAGTTAGGATGTAGGTACCCCGTTCAGTCCTTCGAAAAAAGGTGAATAAGACCCAAACGTTTCAGACAGACCGTTTCAAAAGACCGTTTCAAAAAGAGACAAAAAACCGTTTTGAAAAAAAAATAAAAATGATGAGACTGGGACTTGAACCCAGGAGGATTGCTCCACCAGGAATTGATGTTAAGATTAACCTTAACCTGGCGCCATAACCTTTTGTAGGTGTTAGCGTGTGAATGATTTAAGCGCTTTGAATAAGTGGAACTTACCAACTCGGCCATCTCACCGTGCTCACTCACCAACTTTTACAAACTAAGACCCTCAGTCTTACTGTTTTTAATAACTTCCACATAAAGCAATAAATAAAACAAGTATAGTAATAATAAATAATAAATTACCTTAAATACTTAAGTAATTATTTTAGTTTTAATTATAATATAATAAAATAATATTTAAAAATATAATTTTTTAATAAAATAATTTATTATATAATAATAAAAAAATAAATTTATAAAAAATAAATATTATAAAATAAATAAATATATATAATATAAAGAATTTAAGTAATAATAGTATATTTAAAGTATAAAAAGCTACTAATTATTACTTTTCCTCTTTTTTTAAAGGTCTTATAGCCTCCTTTTATACTCCTTTACCCTCCCTAAACGTTAACTGAAGAACTAGACTGAGGGCTCTAAGTGGGAGATGTGCATGAGCTGCTACAACGAAGCTATCTAGGGGCTCTCTCAGAGTTGTCTCGGTGGTCCCTGACAAAACCCGTCTCAGAAGTGGAACCATTCTATGACACAGAGCAAGGGTGACCTTTGGGGCTAATTTGCACCCTGGCATCTCGCCTCGGAGACGCTTTATGTTGTTTGAGACTGCATTTGGTCTGGCCATGCCCGGGCCTTTCACCTGATGATACATACCCCGGGGCCTCGAGTTCAGTCCTTCATACCTTATGTGTGGGAATTTCAAAACAAAATCACGCCACTTGAGGGTTACCGGTATCCGATCCATCCTGCTGACGGGATCGAAAGGACTTTCTACGCCGCAGCATCTTTGCCGGTTTCCTCCACGCTGAACTTTGCGCACACCACGGCGAAGGGTGTGAATCAGTCGGTGTTGCAAGGCAATCCTCCTGATTCACCACCACTGCTTCACATGAGTGGACTCCTCAAAAAGTGGCTTACCAACTGGAGCGCCCTGACCGCATGCCTTGAAGTGGTGAGTCAACCATTTGTGGCCGTTCTTCAAAAGTCGTGCCAAGCTTGTTCTCGAGCACTGTGTTGTGTGGTGATGTTCTTGGCGGGCGACGGTGGTGTTATATACATCAAATAAGTCTTGAGGCGAGTATTGTGACTCTGTGTACCCGTATACCCTGAGATTCATGTTCAGACTGAAGTAGATGGGGGAGGTAGCCTCCGGGGCTGTACGGCATTGGGGATAGGTTGAGGGCGCGATGTCGACGGTTGATGGCCAAACCTGCGAGATTTATTGGCGATGACCCTACTATGGATCTGGATTGTATTTAATTACCGGCTTTCGATGCTGTGGGTTCTTCCTGGCAACAAGGCGGACCTTCGTGCTTTTCCTTTCACCTTTCTCCCTATTCTACTTCCAGCCGAGCCTGGTAAAGGTAATCCTTATTGTCAACATCTATCTGGTTCTACTCAAGTAGACTTGACCTCAATCAAGCGCGTTACTATTTGAATGCCTCTGGTGCCTCGACGCTCATAGCAATCAACCAGAGAAGCAACCAATCCAAACAACACCGACCCGACCCTCACGTGAAGGCTAAACCAACCGGCCGCGACAATGCCGTGCCCTAGTACTAGTACCAACTCATCTCCGCTTCCATGACCGACCTTCACCTTTGCATTTCGAGCTGGTCGGCAACCTCATCCTGGCCGAAGCCGGGCTTCGAAGCACTCAATCCAGGCAGGCGAACCGCGGCACCCCGCATTTCATTCTATACAGACTTTGGTTTTAACGTGGTATACCAATCCAGGGTCGTAGCCACGCCGTATTGCGTATGCCCCAGTTTTATCCGCCTATGACATTCCTTTCAATACGATGGAGCTCCTGTGGCGGGGTGGATTAGCACGGCAACTATGCATGTAAGTGAACTTCACTGCTCGCAGAATACGACGCAAATAATCACTGACTTGGCCATGAGCACCGCGGGATTCCCACGGACGTCACAATGAAGCGAGACGTCACGCCAGGGAAAATAGGCTCGATAATGATTATAAATATGGGAACGCCAGGCGTTGCAGAATCCTCTTTCGCCATGCCAGCCAGCCATCACAGCCGGCCCATCTGTGCGAGCCTCTGCTCCTTCCACGATGCAGCCCACCGCCCTGGCCCTGGCCGTTGGCGCCAACCTCATTGCTGCCCAGTCTGTCCCCTCACCACCCTCTCCTGAGGCCTTCGAGATCGTCGAGCTGCCCCTCCCGCCCGTCTCGTCGAACACGGATGAGGGCGCCTGCACCTCCAGCATCAACCCCAGCGGCACCGGGTGTATAGGCCAGGCAGCGGGCGAGTTCCAAGCAGGCGACTTCACTCCTGATGGCAACAACGTCATCGTCAACGTCGAATTCGTGGGCGCTCCAGCGGCCCCAGACCCAGCGTCCATCTACTTGGGCGAGCAGGTCATCCTGATCAAGGCCGATGGAACCAAATTCTCCACAGGCGACCCTTGGAAGTGCCTCTCCTGTGGAGTGCCGGCTGCCAATGCCGTCTCCCTCGACCCCGAGCGTGACTATCCACATGTCCTGCGCAGTGGTACCAAGGCCCTCTGGGGCCACAACATCCTCGACTGCGACGGAGAACTCCTCGAGAGCGATGCCTGCACCCCGGACAAGACGCACATCTACCCCATCCACTGGCCGACCGCCACCGACGGCTCTGGAAAGGGCGGCAGTCCCCGTGAGCTCCGCCTGCACCCGGATGACACCCACATGGGCTGGAGCTCCTTTACCGCCGATGGAGGCCAGTTTGCCTACTACGGCCGTCTCGAGTTCAACGCGGAGCCCACCTCGGGAGAGCCTCTCGCCCCTCGCTACGATCTGGTGGACGTCAACCTGCTCGTCGACCCGACCCGCTTCCAGCCTTACACCGTCAACGGCACGGAGCTGAGCATCCGCGAGGACACCATTAATGTTGGCGAACTACGTGGCTTCAGCGGTAACGGAGACGAGATCACCTATATCGGCAACCCCAGAGAGTCGGACAACATCGACCTCTTCGCCGTGCACCTCAGGACGGGCGCTGTCCGAAGGATTACCAGCCACCCTGAATACGCGGACCCCATGGCCTTCTCGGCAGACAACGAGTGGTTTGTCGCAATGGATACTCGGGGCTCCAACAGGCAGATGTGGATGGCGGGTATGCGAGGGATTCCTCCCGTGGCAGACCTCGTGACGGTGACGGCCGCTGCCTCCACGCGTAACAACGGCGCCCGCAGGTTCTTCCAGCCCATCCTGATCGACCGCCACGGCGACCGCGGCGACTACTTCGGCCAGCAGGTCAACGCGGCAGGAGACGGCAGCAACGGCGCCGTCAATGACCGCAACTGGAACGGCAGGGCGGACCCGGCCTTGTCCCTCGACAGCTCCAAAATCACTTACTGGCAAGCCCTGGTCGTCTCGCCCGCCTGCGGCGGCGCGAACCCCCTGCCCTGCCCGGAGTCAACGGCCCAGGGCGGGCGCGAATACCGCGTGATGCTGGCTCGCCGCACCGACCGCGGGCCTACGGAGCCCGCCCCGGTGTTCGAGGCCGGCGACGAAATCCCCTGGGCCACGCCGTTCCCACCCGGGTCGACCGTCCCGGACCAGTTCACCCTCGCGGAGGGCAACTACACCCTGCAGGGCCGGGTCTCTGGCTCCGCCGATGTGAGTGTCACTGCGAGCCTGTCCAAGGTCAGCGGCGTGGGCAGTGTGTCTGTCAACTACACGGACTTCTCGGACGACGGCGACCACATAATTGACGGCCACGAGGACGTTTCGCTCAACATTGACCCATCGAACCCGTGGACGAACGAGGTCAACTGGGTGTCTGACATTGTGCAGACAGGTGTGGTCAACGGGACTAAGATCACGAGCCCTGGGGGATTCCACTTGGTCATCGACGCCCAGCTGAACGTCTTTAATGCCTCTGGGATGTTGACCACGACGCTTGACGGGGTTGTGTACAATCAACCGGCCAACGGTACTTAATTGGATTAGTTATAGGCATCTCTTATTTCTTTCTATATATCTATGGCGCAAGGCTGAGGCCACAAGCACCTATCGTATTATAACTACTGTTATCGACATCATATTCTTTCCAAGCGCTGGGTCTAGAGTGCTTACCACCGTATAAAGGCGCTACGTATGTCCTCGGACGTATACGGAATAGAAGTGAAACCACATAAAGGCGCTACATACATTTTATATGTATAGGGATTAAAAACGAAACCACCTCCTTCCTTCAACGTTTGGTCGCGTCAACAGTAGAGCTCAGAAAACCAATTTACAAATGGCTCATAGTCCATACATGTCTACGTTGAGAGCTCTGTAGCAGCCCCGCAAGAGCGAGGAGGGCCGAGGGTCCAGTACACTAAGCGTCAATATTTGGTCTTCGCGATTTACTGTGTGACGATGATTCTGTCCACTATCCTGTCTGTCAAGGCATGGTTTGTCCTACTTGGGGCATTTGTAGTGCACCCACTTAGTTCATCGACCTCCAGGTTGTCTTTGCGAAAGTCCACGCTCCTGCTGAACGCGACTCCAGTGACTTGTCTGTCATGCAGCACCAAAGTCTGCACGACTGTTGATCACCTCGAGAAGTCCAGGCTAGCGGTGGCACCTTGCACCAAAAGCGAAGCGCGAGAGCCTCGATCTTTGCCGCTTGCCCCCAATCGGCCAGAAATGCCGGCACGATCCGTCGCACAAGAATGTATGCTCGTAGCCTCCATTCCCGTGAAGGCGTGTACCTGCGTGTCCTGCGCCCGGAGTTGTTGTTCCTTGGCCAGTCATCCTGTCATCCAGTGTCATCTGTCTCAGTTCCGGGACGCCCTGCCCAGTCCTGTTGTCCCAACTGCTAGTGCACCAATGCTTGTGCTGTGTGCGCCGTGGACGATTGGCGCTGCAGTCTCACGCAGCGGGAGCAAGATCTCGGGACCATCCGCGGTTTCGACCGCAGGTGCGAGGATGCAGTCATGGAGGTCAGCAGAAGAAAGAAGGAATCTATCACACCGCAGCGAGAATTTTTCGGCGTCTCTTGTTGTGACATGCTACGGACAAATTTCAGCACATGGGGATATGCGAGAGCCTGCCAGGAACCCTGCCTGATGCATGCAGGCACCTGGCCTACACGTGCATTCTCTGTCGCCAGCACGCCTGGAGGATCGGTCCCAATGCAGCGGACCGGCGATGGAAAAAGCACAAACATGCGTCGGCCGGGCTCCTGGAAGCGGATTCATCTTCAGAGCCGCCGGAATGGACTTTGCTTGTTGAGATAAGCATGGCAGAGTTGGTTGGACGCCCGGGCAACCCGCGTGTGAAGTCTGAGGTGGTGTTTGTGTGGTTTGGGGTATCGCCTGCAGGGTCGAAGCATCACTGCCATTGAGGCCTTCCGCATCACCAAGATAGCGTCATAATACGACCTCACCCGGTTTGGGGGCGAATTTTCAAGCACGTCCTTCTGGAAGACCCGATTACGAGTGTGGCAGTGACCCCCGTATTGTGAGTGGTGCCATTGGCTAGCTCAGGGGAAAGACGAGCAGGCAGGCCTCAGCGTGGCCTGGAGGGTTGAGGTGCCAGAATGTCCTGAATGTCAAGAGTGAGCGGCGGCGTCACCCAGCCCAAAATAGAACCTCGGGAAGCCGCCCGCCCGCATGGCCGCCCCGTTGGGACTGGGCCTGGATCTGGGCCTGCGGCGTCTTGGCCATCGGCCCTTGAAACGGGGTGGCCTCGGGGCCAGCCAGGACGACGGTTTTGGTTGTTGGTCCGTTGGAAGGATGGACAATCTTGAAAAAGGCATTGAGCGTGGCCATGGCGTCTTGGGGCCCTCGTGACGAGGAGAACGAATCGCAACGGCTTCCTCGGACTTTGTGGTTGTTGTCCAATTCCCTCGGGCCTTGTGACCTCAGACTGTGGCTGAACCTAGGGGTTCCCCAGTAGGCGCAGAGCAGGGGGAGAAAAAAAAAAGGAGTTCCAGAAACGTCCCGCAGCGGCCGGCGAGCGCGCATGGCTCGGGGTCAGCTGCACGCGGCACGTCGTCGTCAGGAATTTTTCAACCCCGGGATTTTGGACGACGTCTCTTCCCCAGGACCGAGTCAAGAGCCAAGGGGTTGGGGCCCATTGGCAAGGGAGCAGAGGGAATCCGGGGTAATCTTGATACAATTGATTGGGATGATGGCGAGCTACCCCGGATTATTGGGCTGGGACTGGCACGCATGGGGCTCTGCCGGAGCGCGATCAAGTAAAATGGGGGTAATATCAGGCAAAATGGGGGTAACAGAAACTCGCGAGAGCGTCACTAATGCCCGCCCACCAAGGGGCGTCAGGGGTGTCAGCACCGGCGCGGACAACAAGAACAGCACCCAGCGGGTGGGGTCAGCCGCTGCCGGGCCACCGGTGGACTTGGGAAAGCGGACCAGAGCCTCCCGGACAAGCCTCGAATGCTTGGGAGCCCTGGGGCCCCTCCTCGTGCCCATGGTCGGCGAGGCCTGAGACGCAGGCGTGCCCCCGGTTGTTACGTACAAGCCGTCAAGCTTGACACATCGTCGAGGTCACGTTGCCGCCCTCTGTCGCTGCATAGGGCAATTCGGTCGATGCCGTTCGTAATTTGGGGCGTTGGAGAGGCACAAGATGCTGGTACGAGCCTGTACATGCTGTCAAAGTCCCTCGTCTTTGCGCGCGAGAGATTCTGAGGGGATGCATGTCGACGTTGGTGGGGCCCGGATGGCTCTCCCTATCATCAGTGGCGGTCAATTGCCCAGCACAGCACAGCACAAGACCGCCACAACGGCCCGCCAGAGACTGTGTGCTCCAGCAGCAGACTGACAGACTGACAGACTGACAGACACACAGACTGACTGACCGACTGACTGATGAGTGAGCACGGGACCGTGCAGCCGAAAAGCTTCCGCCTCTCGGGAGGCTTGTCCAACCAGTTTGGAGGCTTCGTCGAGCTGCGTCAAGCTGCATCGTCCGAGACTGTAAGCGGGCGGGCAGGCTGGTAAGCTCCCAGACCGCATTGCCTGCTGGGCGGGAGTTGGATTCCTGGGCTTGCTGACTGGTGTGCTCTGCCGCTCGACAATATTCGCGAAAACCTCACACCTCGACGCGTCCATTCCTGGCAATGATGGCAGCGGCTGGTGGGGTTTGTTGTGTAGGTACTAGACCTGCGGAGTAGAGCCTCGAATAACCGTAGCCTTTACGCTGTGAGGCCTAGTCAACATGTGAAGAACGTCGGCTCGCCCCACTATTTTCAGGTACCGGCCGTCTGTTCCCGCCAGGTACTCCGTACCAGCCGTCCACTGGTACCCTATCAGGACTAGCCCGTGCCGTCCATGTCGGAATCGGGCAGTAAGAACAACCATCACTTGCGCAATTGCTAATTGCTGTGGTAACCTTGAAAGTCACGATGGACGATGGAGAGGGGCCCCCCTGGGACTTTCTTTGACTCATGGATTGATTCATGGATGGACCACGACAGCTTCGAAGTTCGGACGGGCGAGGGCTGCTAAGCTATATAAGAGGGCGTGAGGGCGCACCCTCCTGCAGCCCATGGCCTCGACCCGGCCTGTGAGAGAGATGGTGTTGAACCTCGAGTACCTTTAATAGTCTAACACCGTCATCATCTATCACCGCTTCTTGTTGCCTCCCTCCCCCTCCGTGCCGTCCCGTACCGCTGCCTCGAGGCCGACCAACTCGAAAAAGGGTAAGAAAGGATTCCCCTAGGCCCGCATATCACAGACACACCATCCTCAGCTCGTCCCTGCTCGGATCCCTCTGTCAGTTGGGCGAGTTGGCGAGCCCTTGCCTTATCTCTCAGCTGGGCAGTCTGGGTGACACAGACCAGCTGGCTACGCCGCTGCAGTGCCAGGTCGTATCGGCGTCCCGCTGTGCTGTGGGCCCGGCCTGTCATGGAGGAGCTGGGGCAGCCTGGCAGAGGGAGCCTCGGCCCGCCTGGGACGCCTGGAGCTGAGAGCGACTGCCTGCGCCGCCCTGCCTGCTAGCATGCTGCCGGGAGCCGAGCTCAGACGTTCTGCCCCATGCGGATAGCCAGGGCGGCCGGCGGGCGGCCGGCTCCAAGCCCACTCTCCCCCGAACTGGTTCTCGAATCTCTTGGATTCTGAGTTTGGGCTGAGGATGCGTTCGGGCGCAGAGGTGGCTGAACGGGGGCCAGTCGAGTGTCACTCAAGTGATTGACCCTTGACGGATGACATCAATCCGAAGTTACGCCAGCACCCAGCACCCACAGGAGGCACAAGCACAAGCACAAGCACAAGCACAGCACTCGCGCAGACACGCAAACTCGCACTATCCAGCACCAACGCACAAGCCCATTCCCTGGCACTCGATCCCCCCTTTCCCTTTGTTCGCCATTGCCTCTGGCCGTCAGCCACAACCCCCAGCTTCCCAGCTCCCAGCTCCCAGCTCCCAGCTCCCAGCTCCCAGCTCCCAGATCCCAGCTCCCAGCCCCGAGATCCCAGATCCGAGATCCCAGTTTGTTGCCCCGGCGGCCCTAATAATAACAAAACAACAGGCCAATACGAGTTGCACCTCTCGGATAACGTCGATTACCGTCGTCTAGATCGGGCCAACCACTTAGACCAAGGTGAATAAATATCCCAGCTCGAGGAGCTGACGGAACACCAACGCACGGCGGTAAGCACCAGATCTCACCCTCCCCCCAAAGATATCTCATCCTTTGTTCTTTGTCCTCTCCACGGCTCTTATCTCTTCACACCAACAAATCTGCCGTTCTAACGGGTTTTGGTCACAAAGTAAAGAAGAGAAAACCCAGGGCAGACAGGATACAGCTGTCATTTTGGAGAGGCAGCTCATACCCCTTTATCGACTATCCGTCGAAAGCTGATCCCTCCAGACCGACCGCCCTTGGGACTAGAAAGGCCTCGCCCGCGAAGCAACGGACGATAACACTGCTCGACTGCATTCTTCAGCCCCCCCCTGAGAGCCATTGGGCACCGTTCGCACTCTAGCCACTGCGGATTGATCGCCGACCATTGACTGGATTCATTTTCTAGTCAACACGGTACGTCCGGTCTGCCCGGCTCCCCTTCCCCCTGTTCACCTGTGAACATCACCTACATTATCTTTCCTTTTCACCCTGATCACACCTCTTGAGAGCGGTGAACAAGTGCATGGCCGGCCACCCATCTGTTGAGGCTGCACAGACGAGTTGCAGGGGCCCAGTAATGTTGCCATGTGGGCCATATTCTCACTCATCCACGTGCGTCGTCGTTTCTCGTACCTCGTGTACATGCCAGTCTGGATGCCAGCGCTCCCGATAAGCAACCGCCAGCCAGTCAGGGAAACCCTGCTGGCCAACGACCGCTCCTTCTTTTGGTTGTGTTTCCCGTTGAAACAAAACACATCTGACCGCTCGCGGCTCCTCTGCTAAGCGGTGGGGGGGCCGCCGGCCATGGCTTGACCCGGGTTGGCCGTCTGAGATCCATATTGTTCTTTGACGCTTTTCTGTCGTTTCTGCCCTGCCCCGGCCTGGCCCTGGGCCCAACTTTGCCGAACCTCGACCTGGTGTCGTGCCCGTTACGGCGTGACCACTAGCATCGACCAAGGTACCACAAACACGGTGCGCCATGTATACCGTTGTATCTGGTATGGATGCACAATGCCACGGTCCTCTCTTCCACCCATGGCTTGGATCTTCCCCCATCCATTATGGCTAGGTCTGGTTGCTGCCAAAAAGGGTCGTCACAAAGACATGCCTTGTACCGCACCCTTGAACCTCTAGACCTGCTCATATACATACTGCCTCTGCCCCCATCACCACTCCTCCAGCCCATTGTCCTGTCCCTTTCCCCCAGGAGCAAAGCCCAAGACTACCAGTGTTCTTCCTCCCTCAAATTCTTTCTCGTCTTTCAAGCCTTTTCTTTCTCATTTCACACACGTACACAATATACCATGGCAGCTGCTACACTGCGGTCTCCCGTCACACCGGGGCTGACGATAAAGACTGACTTTGAGAGCTGTGATAGTTTCCCCACATACATAGACCCCTTTGAAGACTCTGACGAAACCTTCATCGACGGAGCCAGCATGCCTTCCTCGTCCTCTTCAAGTCCCCTCAACCCCAGCCAGAAGCTGGTCGATACGGTCACAGAAGACCCTTCAAGACACGCCTCGCCCCAGCCCACCTCAGTTCACGTCCCCGCCCGCTCCGGACTGAACGGCAGCAATGGCGTCGGTGGCAATGGCTACAGGGTGATGCGTTCGGCCACAGTAGGGTACATTGCCCCCGAATTCAAAGGCAAGGCGGAGCAGATGAAGTCAGGTGAGCAGATACGACCCCCGTCTCCTCCTCTTGCACCGTTCTGACTCGGAATTGGAAACAGTCCGGGATCTGATCCTGAAGAACGACTGGATTCCCGAGAGCCGGGTAGATGCCCAGATTGCGTGGTTCTACAACGACCTCGGCATCGATGATGTATACTTTGAACTTGAGACTACGCCTGTTATTGCAGACCACATTACTGCTCTCTATGCCGCCAAGGTGGCCGCCTACTCTCGCAAGGACAAGCGGGAAGAGATCCGGCTGGACATGGAGGCCAGTGACCATGCCATCTACATCGACACCAGCGAGCCTGGAAAGAGTGCCGTCGGTGGCCCTCGTTTCGAGACCAGGCTCGAAAACAAGTACCTGGATGGTAACCTTACCGACCGATTCCGTGTGGAGACCTTCCGTTCCTCGGGAGTCTTGGGAGACAAGGCCGATGCCAAGGCCTCCCTCCGCTGTTACTTTGTCTACCAGTGTCAGTTTGTCGAGCCCAAAGCCGACCCCAAGGAAACCCGCCTGGAGGTCATCAGCGACCGCATGTTCCTGGCCAAGGCCACAGACAACACGAAGCAGATGTACCGCGAGATCATTGAGGTCGCCGTCAGCCGCACGGGTCCGGTCATTGAGGTGTTCGACCATGCCGGGGCCCAGGAGAAGCGCCTTGTCGTGGCCTTCCGGTCACGCACCGCCAGGGGTCTTTTCAGTGCCCTCTCCGACCTGTACCACTACTACGGCGTGACAAGCTCCCGCAAATACGTCGAGCAGTTCTCGAATGGAATAACAGTCATGAGTATATACCTCAAGCCCGCGACAAACCTCGGCGGTGGATACCCACCCTTCGACCAGTCCATCCACCAAATCATGAAGGAGACGTCACTCTTGTACTGCATCCCCCAGAACAAGCTGCACCCGCTCTTCACCTCGGGCCAGCTGAGTCTCCAAGAGGCCATCTACGGCCACTGTGTCTGGGTGTTTACCCAGCACTTCCTGAATCGCCTCGGGTCAGAATACGTCTCTCTCTCAGAAGCTCTTGATATCAGGAAGACTGCGCACCAGGAAATCCTGTCCAAGCTGAAGCGCCGGTTGAGGACCGAGACCTTCACGCCCGACTACATCCTAGAGATCATCGCCTCGTTCCCCCAGCTGGTCAGAGCTCTGTACGCTTCATTCGCCAAGGTCCATCTCAGCGTCGGCCCAGAGTTTGAGCGACACACCATCGACCCCACGCCCGCTGTGGAGATCCTGTCTGATGAGCAGCTCAAGACGCTCATCACCAGAGAGGTCTCGACAGACCACGAGGAGATGGTCTGGAATGCCGCTCGGGCTTTCAACAATGCCATCCTGAAGACGAACTACTTCACCCCCACAAAGGTGGCTCTCAGCTTCCGTCTGGACCCATCGTTCCTGCCAGAGGTGGAATACCCCAAGAGGCTGTTTGGAATGTTCCTCGTCATCTCAGCCGAGTCCCGTGGATTCCACCTTCGCTTCAAGGATGTCGCCCGCGGTGGCATTCGGATTGTCAAGTCTCGGAGCAAGGAGGCATATGCCATCAACGCTCGCAACATGTTTGACGAGAACTACGGCCTCGCAAGCACGCAGCAGCGCAAGAACAAGGACATCCCCGAGGGTGGCTCCAAGGGTGTGGTCTTGCTGGACCCCAAACAGCAGGATAAGGCCCAGGAGGCATTCGAGAAGTACATTGACAGTATTCTCGACCTGCTCCTGCCCGCTGAGACCCCCGGGATCAAGAACCCGATTGTCGACCTCTATGGCAAGCAGGAGATTCTGTTCATGGGCCCAGACGAGAACACGGCCGATCTCGTCGACTGGGCTACTGAGCACGCCCGTACTCGTGGCGCCCCGTGGTGGAAGTCCTTCTTCACCGGCAAGTCTCCCAGGCTGGGTGGTATTCCTCATGACAGCTACGGTATGACAACACTGAGCGTGCGCGAGTACGTCAAGGGCGTCTACCGGAAGCTGGAGCTCGACCCAGCCACCGTCAGGAAGATGCAAACCGGTGGTCCCGACGGTGATCTGGGAAGCAACGAGATCCTGCTCAGCAACGAGAAGTACACGTCGGTTGTGGATGGCTCTGGCGTGCTCGTCGACCCCAACGGGCTCGACAAGGAGGAGCTCATCCGCCTGGCCAAGCAGCGTGTCATGATTGCTCAGTACGATCTGTCCAAGCTGTCCAAGGACGGCTACAGGGTGCTGTGCGATGACTCGAACATCACGCTCCCCAGCGGCGAGTTCGTCGGCAACGGCACCTCGTTCCGCAACACCTACCACCTCCGTGACACTGGCTTCACCGACATGTTTGTCCCCTGTGGCGGTCGCCCCGAGTCGATCGATCTTGTCAGCGTGGCCAAGCTCATCAAGGACGGCAAGTCGACGATACCTTATATCGTTGAGGGTGCCAACCTCTTCATCACCCAGGACGCCAAGCTGCGTCTTGAAGAGGCCGGGTGTGTTGTGTTCAAGGATGCAAGTGCCAACAAGGGCGGCGTGACCTCGTCCTCCCAGGAGGTCCTGGCATCGCTCAGCTTTGACGAGGAGGGCTTCGTCCAGCACATGTGCCACGACGCCAAGGGCAACGCGCCCGAGTTCTACAAGGCGTACGTCAAGTCCGTGCAAGACAAGATCCGCGAGAACGCCAGGCTCGAGTTTGAGGCCATCTGGCGCGAGCACGAGGAGACGGGCCTCCCGCGGTCCGTCCTCTCTGACAAGCTATCTGTGGCCATCACCGACCTGGACGAGGAGCTGCAGCACAGCGACCTCTGGAAGAACATCCGCATCCGCAAGGCGGTCCTGCGCGACGCCCTCCCGCAGCTCCTGCTGGACAAGATCGGGCTCGACACCGTCATCGAGAGAGTGCCGGACTCTTACCTGTGCGCCATCTTCGGCTCGTACCTGGCCAGTCGGTTCGTGTACGAATTCGGCAGCCAGCCGAGCCAGTTCGCCTTCTACGACTTGTGAGTTCCCACGACCTGGACCTGCCCTGCCCTCTCTTGTCCTGAAAGTAACCTGAATACTGACAATACCACTACAGCATGTCGAAGAGGATGTCAAAGATTGCACAGGATTAGACAAAAGCTGCTTGAGCGGTTGGCTTCATGTAGGACTGTACAAATTGGGGTGTCTTTCTTTCGGCCACAGGAGTTTATAGGCTGGTTGCATTTTGGATCCCATCTTTTAGACTGCAAGACTTGTTTTGCTGCGCTCTAACCGGCCAGCACTGGGTCCGTCGACCCGTACCGCCACACGAGGCGGATGATGAAGAATGAAATGTCCCTTGACGATTCTCTCAATTCGCACATACCGCACACACATTTGCCGTGCCGCGTTCCCTTTTGACTCAGTGTGACTGCACCACCGAGCACTAGTTCTTTCTTTGTTGCCCCCACTGCCTTCCAGACAAAATGTTGGTGCCACAGTGTGCCACAGGGCCAAGATGCGGGGACGGCGCGATGAAGCGCTGAAGTCGAAAATTTTGAAGCTAAAGAAAGCACCAAAGACCTGTGGTGCACGCAGGTGCTTCCAGACATTGGGAGTATTTTCAGCTTGACGCTCAATTGGGCCAGTAAGGGTTGTTGGTGCAGGGATCATGCTCTTTGGTCCGTGTCATTAGAGCTGATACTAACTACTCTGTACCTAGGGAGTACGGATACCGACCTACATTCTCTGGTATTGCCAGCCCGCTTTGTTGCTACTACTCTGGCCATGAGCGAAGAGAATGACGCTGTATAGCCCTCTTTCCTCGCCCACTATTTCGCCCGGCGACACCAGAGCAATGGATCCCACTCCGTGCGCGTTGTGCTAACCCCGACAGGACCGCATCCTCGCCCCCTGCCATGGCGACGGCGACGGCGAGCTTGTCCAGCTCCAACGCCCCCGAGAACGTGCAGAAGCACATCCGGCTGTTATCAGCCAGCGTCTCGGGCAATGACACCCGGGTCCTGGAGCTTCTGACCGAGGACACCTGGACCTCGCAGGCAGATCACCACGCACTGCGCCAGGCACTGGTCAAGGTCGGAACCAAGGGCAACCTCAAGGTCCTGCGCCTGTTGCTCAAGCACGGCGCCGGCGTCCACCCGAGGCGGGAGAACGAGCTGTCGCCGCTCTTCAAGGCCGCCGAGGCCGAACACCTGGCCGTGACCACCGAGCTCCTGGAGCACGGCGCTGATCCCAACTGGCGCGGCAAGAATGGCCAGGCCGCCCTGTTCCCTGCTTGCATGCGCGGCCACAACGCTGTCGTCAAGGCGCTCCTCGACAGAGGCGCGGATGTCAACGGCGGTAGGAACCACGACGGGAGGCCCGGCGACAGAGACGGCCGGACCCCGCTGCTCTTCCTCGCCTCGGAGAAGCGCGGCAGGTGGACCATGGACACCGTCAAGCTCTTGCTGCAGCACAAGGATGTCAACCTGGACCCGCGAGACTCCATCGGGAGGACGCCCCTGCACTGGACAGCGACCAACAGCTATCTCGACCTGGCGCGCGCCCTGCTCAGCGGCGAGTTCGGGAAGCAGGCCGACATCAACGCCTCTCAGAACCGGGGCAAGACGGCGCTCCACCTGGCCGCAGAGCACAACCAGGTCGACTTCGTCGACCTCCTGCTGGCCTACGGCGCCCACCTGGACGCCGTGTCGGACGGGCGCTGGACGCCGCTGCACAATGCCTGCGACAAGGGCCATGATGTCGTGGTTGCCAGACTCCTCGCTGCGGGCGCCAATGTCAATGCTGAACTGTCCAACCGCATGACTCCCTTGCACTGGGCCGCCTTCAACGGGCATGCACCTGTCGTCAGGCTTCTCCTAGAGAGGCCTGAGACGAACATCTCCATCAAGGATCAGTTCGAGCGGACTGCCTTGCTCTGCGCGGCTGAGAGGCACCACAAGGACCTTGTGCATCTTCTCTCCCCTTCCAGGGCTTCGCACAGGCTGTCCGAGAGCGCCCGAGAAGCCTCCAAGCTGTTCTCTGCGACCGTGGTTGACTTTGGGGACTTCCAGGAGATGAAGTATCGGAAGGGTGATGTCCAGGAGAAGAAGAAGCAGCTGGTCTTCAAACCCTCCATCTACGACTTGCTCTATGGCTGGGAGGACAGCGAGAAGAACGTGCCCACAGTTCCAATCCTGGCCAAGAATGTGAAGTGGGAGCCGCACTTCCGATGGATCCACCTGCCTGCAAACAACATCGCATGGATGGAGACTCTCCTGGCCAAGTCATTCGTCGAGGGCGGGTTTCGCGACGTGGAGGGCTTCAAGGCCCTCGAGAAGTGTTTCGATCAGGAGCATAGAGGAGTTTACGCGCATGCAAAGTTCATGAGGACCTTTTCTCATCGCGTGCCAAGCCGGCGTGCTGAGAAGGATGATGTCGCCCTGGGGAGTGTCTCCGAACAGGCTGCCGAGACGGCGGCGGCGGTTGCGGAATCTATAATCACAGATACCTCGGAAAACAGCATATTAAAACCAGAAGTCAAGAAGAAGAGCAAATCCGAGCAAATGAACGAACGCCACCCGGGCAAGCAGCAGAAGCGCAAGAAAGGCAACCCCGGCAACCCGCCTGGTACCAAAGAGGCCAAGCTCAGCAGCAGGCAATCGTCGTTCGCGCCGTCCTTTGCGTCAACAGAGGCTTTCAGACAGCTTGTAAACAATGGGAAGATGGTCCTGTTTGTATGGCGAGCCCCTCCCCTGTCGTCAAGTCGAATCCCGCTCACACGCACAGATGCCCTTCCTGCATTACGAGACCCACGACCGGCGGCTGAGCATGGCCGAGACTATCCAGAGGGCCCGTACCGGGGCCAAGCCACAGCGACACGCATCGCGTGATGAACTTCTCGTTCACGCATATGTCAACAACCTCCACCCGAGGCGGACGCTCGACCAGTTCTTCTACCATGGCATCGACACCACACAGCGTGACAATGACCAGGTCGTCTGGAGATATTGTCGAGAGCATCGAATGGAGCCAAAGGTTTTCATGGTGGACCAGCTTTGTAAGCAACACCCGTGCCCCCCTCGTCAAGAGATCCCAATGTTTTGAAGCTCTGAGATTTGGCTAATCTTGAACCTCTCAGGGCTGTGGATTCTTGGTGGTGGTCAGTACTCCCAACCCCCCCTCCACTCGATCATCGCTGACCAAGACTTTGCTTCTAGACACTGTCATCACTTGTTTTCCTCAGCGATGGGATCAGCCTCCACAAGATCCACTAAATGTCATTGACGGCATAGTTGAGGAGACCAATGCGAAGACAAGGCCACCAATCCAGTCTGTTTATGACCTAGCAATGGTCATTACTGGAAGAGCATCTGGATTATTTGAGTGCGTCTGTTCCTCGCTATCTCCTGCCATGAGACGCAATCTTGGGCATGTCATACAGAATTACCTTCATCTAGGATACCCTCCCACAGGATACCTTCCCACAGGATACCCTCCTACCCTCCTACCCTCCTACCCTCCCACAGTATACCCTCCCACATGCTCTTCAAACAGTCGACTGACAAGGTTGTACAGCCGGCATCGCCTACATGAACAACAATTCCAGTTCCTTGACATGTTTGAGAGCAGCATCGGGCACATAACAGACCAGGAGAGCCGACTCTTTAGCAAATTCCACAAAGCTTCAGAGAAGTCGACCCAGTGGCTGAAACGCTACCGCCGCGGTGGAAGCGGCAGCCGGAATGATGAGCTGTCGGATGACTTGCTGAACATACACCAGGAGACAAAGCTTTTGGCAGAGATCAAAGACATACAAGATGAATTGAACATCATCGCTGTGGTGCTGAACTCACAACTCAATGTGTTGAAAGAATTCCAAAACAACATCACCGAAGAGCTGCGGTTAGAGGGGAGCCGGAGAACAACCGATGGCGTCATCAAGGAAATCCGGCGACGCTTTCAGGAGCAAGAGCGTCTGCTCGAAGTCCACGAGAACGACATTGACCGAATGGAGGGACAGGCCGAAGGCATCTACAGCAGTTTGACGAACCTGCTGGATCTGAAGCAGAAACATTCGAACGCCCTCGAGGCGCGATTCGCTCGGGAGCAAGCGATCATAGCCGCGAAGCAAGGTGTGTCCCACCTCTTGTGATTCCCCACCGCTCGTGGTCTCAACGGGCGTCTGACAGTCAATAGGCCAAACCATTATGGTCTTCACCATTGTGACTATCATTTTCCTCCCGATGTCGTTCATTGCAGCCTTTTTCGCCATCAATTTCCAGGATTGGGGAGACCATCTTACGATAGGATACGTCACAAAGTATATGTTTGGGATCGGTTTGGCCATCTCCTTCGTCTTTGTGACCATGGCTTTCCTGGTGCATGATATCTCGGAAGCCTGGAAGTCACTGATTCGGACCGCAAAATCCTATCTAGGTCGACTGAGGCGCCGGAGGACGCCGTTACAGGATGAGGGAGACCAGCCAGATGACATCTCGATGCGGACCGCGAGAGACAACAAGCCAGGGACTGCTGGCGCTGCGTCCACGGGCGCATATCGGACGCACTTTGACGATATGGAGTGGAAAAGGGGCATAGATAATTACACCTTGCGGATGAGCCGCGACCGCGACCGTTACGACCACGCTCGGTTCGGACTATCCCCAGTTCGATATGGCGGGCGGAAGCTCAGTGTCGGCAGTGGCCATGGTGCCTCTTTGATCCGACGAAGTTTCGACGCACGCCGCGGGAGACCAAGTGCTGACCTCGAGAGGGGCAGGGATCCTTCAAGAGTACGATGAGCACCCAGGAACGCCAGCACACGTGTGCTGATGGGCAGTCTCTATCTGCTGTCAAGGGACATGACGAAATGGAGCAACAGTATCAATTAATTCGAACCCCGTACTGCAAGGTCCCTCGACGTCATAGTTGGGAGCGGTATGCTCTCTGCTCTCGCCAGTGTCTCAAGCCATGTGTAGATTTGACAATACTGGTATGCCAGATGACTGCTGGTGGTCTTGTAATGGTCGCCGCGTCCTCCAGTGTCCTCGTCTGTATGGTGGACGTTCTCGCCGTCGTCGCGGTTGTGGCCGAAGACGAGGTGATGGACTTTAAAATTGAACCCAGTTTGTCCGTCCAATACCCGCCAATCCGTCGTGCCGGATGGTTATCGCCATCCTGTTCCAGATCGGCCGTCTCATCTTGCGGTGTTGCTGTCATTCCAAAAAGCCTCCTCACAGACTGTTGTATTCGGTCGTAGACGGGGTGAAGTGTCGGCACACAGGCTGAGATGAGCATGAGCTGGGAAGAGAGTCAGTCCGACAGAAGTACTTCTTCGAGCCCGAAACTGTGTGGGTGCGAGACGCTTACACATCCTTCGACTGTGGTCCATGTTGTGAGGTGAGCGACTTCGTCTTCCAGGTGTTAGCGAGGTAACAAGCGCATCTAGGCTCATTGCTTGACTCACAGAAGAAATCAGGACTTGCATTGGCTCCCAGTAATGAGGTTTTGTAGCCTCCTGCGGCCGACGCTCTGCGAGCAACTCGCTCTTAGTTCCCGGCTCTCCCGGCTCACACGGGGTCAACCAAGAAAAGGGACATACTGGAGACTTACGAGACACCTAATCCGAGCATTATGCTTAACGTGAATTTCTTCCTCTTGTTACAAGTGAGGCGATTGAACACGACCGCTGGGTAGACGGCAAAGTACAGATCAAGAGCCGCGGAGAATGCTTGACAGACGAAGCGTGAGCGTAGTCTCGGAGCTTCGACGAGGATAAGGACATGGTATGCTCACCAGCAGCAAAATAACAGTACTGGACAAACTGGATCGACTGCAGACATCTGGCACCTTCAACGGTCGGGTCCCACGATGCTTGGACGGGTTTGCAGCCGAAAAAGGCCAAGAAGGAAACGGCAAGGAACCCAAGCAGGCAAATCACGACCAAAGACCACATGGCGGCCTTGTGAAGCTCACCTGGCTTGAATACCCTGCACAGCAAACTCACGACCGACATCTTGGACACGGCAAGGTTTATACTGGTCCCCGAATGTCAGTCGCCAATACCGCAACATGGCCCAAGGTCCGAGGGTAAACGGACAAAACTTACACGCTGGGAGGCGTCCCGATGGTGAACCAAAACTTGGCCCTCGCCTGTTGCTCTTGTGAGAGCACGGCGTTGTGGCGGCCGAGACCGTTGAAGAAACCGACTGTCATGAAGGCCACGTTGATCCACACCATTGCCAGCGACAGCACGCTCAGCCACTCCTCGGCGTAGAGCCTCCTCCGCATGATCCTGGAGCAGCCGTAGGCCCTGGCGGCGACAAAGACGGTGGCGGCGGCGGCCAAGGAGAGGAGAACCGCCCTGGCCTGGGGTGCGAGAGTCTCCTCCTCGGTCATGCCGGGCGGCGTCGTGTTGTCGTCGTCAGTTCAGCAGTGTGACTCATCTCTGGCTGGGTAGGCAGCTGTTGGAGGCTGTTGGTGATGATATTTTTACTGCGCAGGCGGGTGCATATGCGTGGGGGCGGACGAACGGCCAGGATGGATCTGCGTGTGCATAATTACGGTGTCAGTCGACTCCACTGCTGGTGCTGATGCTGCCCAGTTGCCTGTATTTGAATCAGGGAGGTACGTGCTCTCTTCCGGAGCGCTGAGATGTGGTACGTAGGCATCTCGACCAGACGCGGCCGCAGAGCCGAGAAGCCTATCGCGCTTGGCCGAGGGTTGCACGGCCAGCCATGTCGATGTTATTGACCGTCCCGCAAAGCTTATGTGGGCGGTGTAAGCGTTGAATGACTCGAGGCTGCCGTTCAACGGTTCAGTACGGAGTTATCGGGATCGTGGGGGAGAAGCATATTTTGATGATCGCCACCGTCGTCGATCTCGGCTCCCCCTGTCCAGATGCATGTATGAATTAGAGACGATCCATGGGGGAAAAGTAGCATGGCGTCTGAAGGGGGGGGTGGGGGGTGGCTGCTTCAATACATTGTGGTATGGACTTATATATCTTTCTCTGTTGTCCAGCCCCAGTTGTGAGCATTGCCCTCTCTCCTTTTCCATTGTGGTCTCAGATGGGAAGTTCCAGAACAGATATTTGACTTTGGCTATACGAGCAGAACAGTTCATAATGCCCGCTGCCCAATAGTGACAAACATTAGTCCCTTGGTGCTGCTTTTGTTTACTTCGTGCCCCTTCTCCCATGCCAGCTGAGAGATGAGGCATCTCTCTGCTGGGGTGTTGTTCTCTGGGAAGACCTCCTCCAGGGGTGGTGGTTTAAGTATCGCATATGCTCCAACAAAGCGTAGACTCTTTGCCTTTGGGCAGTGAGTCTGGGCCCCCAAAACTGGGCTCCGTGGCGCTGCGGTTCTGTCAAAGTGGGGGCCACCTTAGCCGCTGCCCCAAGCTTCCGCCCCCTCATCACCTAGAGCTTCGATCAGGGCCACCTGGCTACGTCACAATCAACAGCTGTCGGGTTTCATTCTGCCGCGTCCCAAGTCTTTCAACCTCCAACTGCACTTCCTTATTTACACTCTAGGAAGCTCCGGCCGGACTTGACCAACTGCTGCCCCCCCTTTTCTAGCTTTTCACTTGGTGAATGCAACACCCCTTGCTACGCCTGACTGTAGCATCACCTGGCCGGATCGAGCTACCATCCCAACAATGTCCTTCAAGGAGCACGACCAGGGCCTCGCCCCTGGCCTGATGGAGGCCCGGGAGAAGGAGGTCATGGACGAGATCGACAAGCTAATCGACAAGAAGCTACACTTTGCCCTGGCTCGAATCATCCCAAGCGACCCGGACGCTGCCCGCATCGTCGAGGACCCCGATATCAAGGAGCAGGCAAACAACCTCAAGACCGCGGTTGCCGCCATCGTGGAGAGACACGAATGCATCATCTCCACCATCGCCAAGTCGAAGAAGGACAAGGACAGTGACAAGCCTGTATGAGAAGGTCATGCCATCCCCGACTGGAGACAGGGAGGCGTAGCTAGGGGATCAAACCAGTCTTCGGAATACCAGAACTACTGAGCAACATCGTGTTCGACGGCAAGACTCGTCAATGTTGTGCATGGTCATCGTGAATCTCACAGCTAGTCAGGTCTCATTGCAAGAGCACTGTGGTTACTCAGTCGGAGAACCCCCCTCGGACAGGTCTTGCCAGACCTTGGGAACTGGCAACGCATACAAGGGTGACTGATCACGGCCACCACCACAAGTGTACGTTGTCCCGTACCAAGACATATATCAGCGGTTGTGATTATTCTTTTGTCTTGGAAGAGTCCACCTCTCTCCTTCCCGGTCTTCTGTGGCATTTTTGTTCTTCGTGGTCTTGTGTTGTGTCCCTGTGCAGGAGGAGAGAGTCAGCGATGATGGGGCCATGTGCTCTGGGCATGTTTCTGATGTCTGTAAGTACACACTCAGCCGCGGCTGAGTTACCGGGTGATTGGGATCTTGACTCGCATACCAGGCTAACGAGAAGGTTGTCTTGACAGCTGTCAGACTAAAGCTAAGTTGGGCTCTGAAGGTGTGTTGACATGGGAAAGTCCATGAGGGAGATGATGCAAATTCCTGGTAGCGGGATATGCCGCGCGCATCATCTTACGGGGTGGGTCGTCTGTCGGAGATTTCCCAGGCTGCCATATGCAGGCAGGGCTAAGTCCCGGGTTTGGCCCCTTCCGCAGGCCAGTCAAAGCCTCTCGACCAACGAAACGAACTGGGGAGCCGATTCCCGAGTCATGACATCCGCAACCCTGAGGAATAGCGCGACAAACCAACTCACATCCCCGTGCGCACAGAGCGTGTTCGTGATCGCCTTCATCCAACACGCCGGTTTGCCCCACCTGAAGAGAAATGAGGCACCCAGGACCAGGCGCCATGATGATATTGTGCTGGTGACCTCGGCACGTTCTGGCGCAGGATGGTCCCACGGAGGCCTAACCGCTGGGGCCCATCATCCCAGCCGGCTGGGTCGTGGAGTTGGAGAGAAAGCACATGCAATACAAGCGACGTCTGGGCACCCCATTCACACAGCGGGTCACTGTAAGGCCCATATTTATCGTCAGAATCTGCTAAAAGAACCCTGCCCATCCAAGCCGTCGTACCAGGCGTTCGGTTGACCGGATGTGAACCATCTTCTCAGCTGGCATGAGGAGCTGAGTGGCTACAGCAAACAGGAGCCTCGTGGGTCACAAGGACTGCAAGCCCCTGAATGCGAGATCCGCTCCCAGAAAAGACAGAACAACGATCTGGTTTTTGCTACATAACAACTGAGGATCGATTGTGGCTATGACCCATTTTGATGCCCACTATTGAGTCTCGTCGCAGTTTTGCGCCCACGTGGTTACCGACTCACCTTCTAGAGAGGAAGAGCATCACCAGGGATTATCGACAGCTAGGGCGGGCCCCACAAGAGGCGAGACCGGGGCGAGTTTAATTACCTGGACGGTAAAGCACTGTTCGCTCCAGACAGCCGGTTCGCAAGCTGACCCTCGATCCCGATCCGGGCAGAAGACCACATGTGCTCTTGACGAGAAGTGAAAGACGCCTGATGTCCAGCGCCGTCAATTACACCCCTTGCATCTCCTTGCTGGCGCCGTCGAGGCAAGCTCTCAGGCTTGCGTGCACGGATGAGTACGGACGACGATGGATTCCTATACGCCGCTGCCTTTGACCAACACGGTTGAGGCGCATTTGGTGATCAATACCGTCTTGGTTGCCGTCACGGTGGTCGTGGTTGGGCTGCGAGTCCTCTCTCGAATTCTAGCCCGGTCGAAGCTGGGAGTAGACGACTACTTGACCATTCTAGCCCTTCCTCAAGGGGTTACAATGCTGGTGTTGCAAGGAATGCGTAAGTTTGAGCTTTTGATCTTCCACCCATTGGACAACCCCTTTCGGGCTCAGGCCCTGTAGGATGCTGTCCTAAAAGAAAGCCTCGGGGATAAGCTTCCACAGGGCAACTTTTGTTTGGGACAAACTTCTAGCAGAATTAATGATCTGAAGAGTAAAGTATGTCTTGCTAATGCCGTCGTCCAGTGGCAAGATCGGGCCTTGGTCACCCCTATCCGGCCATCATTGGAAACTGGTATTTCATTGACACTGTAAGTCTACAACCTGCCAGAGAATACGTCCCGTCTTTCGCGCCCCGGCATTCTGATGAAATTATTTCATGACAGCTTCTTCTACCATTCGATGCGTTTTTCGGCGCCTGCGTCCTGACGACGAAACTCAGCGTCCTGTTCTTTTACCGTCGAGTGTTCACCAGCCGTACCATGCGCATCGCGACCTTGGTGACCTTGGTGCTCGTAGTACTCTGGGGAATCGGCAATCTCTTGCAGACTTTTCTGGTTTGCCATATGATAGACGGCATCTGGTACGACTTTTTCTTTTGTTCAGCAAACCCACGATTTCATCCAGTGGGCCCCCCTCTCGGCCATCCCGGCAACCACGAGCTTGCGGTGAGAGGTCCGGCTAACCTCTCAGCAGGCACGCTACCAATCCCAATTTCTGTCCCGACCTCCAGGCGAGCTTCATCTCAATAGGGCTCTTCAATCTAATCACCAACACCATCATTATGCTTGTACCGCTTTACACAGTCTGGACCCTCCAAAAGGTCCGCGTGTCGACCCGATTGGGACTCAGCGCAGTGTTTTTGCTAAATCTCATGTGAGTAATGTCTCGGCTGCGCAGGCCGTTCATCGGCGCCGCAATAAATTCAGGGTGTACACTCGCTGACACCACCCTAGGGTTACCGTGGTTTCTGTCACAAGGATTGCTATGATGATTGGCGTCAAGGATCTCAACGAAGTTCTGAGCAGCATGGTCATAGTGACATTTATGTCAGTGCTCGAGGTGAACCTGAGTATACTTTGCAACAGCCTGCCAATGCTGCTTCCGCTCTACACCTACTGGAAGCACCGCAGGTTTGGAGGCGACGGGGAGGACGAGTACGTCTCGAGATTGAGAGGGGACAGCCAGTCGGGCAGGCACGAGCACCTCGTGGAGAACCTGACGAATGGTATTCCGCTTGAGACCATTTACGGGAAGGACAACGTACACTTCACAACAACGGTCGGGCGAGGCGACAGGCCGAGACGGACGAATTACGAACAATCTGAGGACGACGGGTCGGACTCAGAATCGACGAGAAGGCTTCCGCGGAACGCGCAGGCTATTACGATCGAAACGAAATGGTCGATAACGGAGGAAAGCGTGAAATAGTTAATAAGCACACATGTCATTGCCATACCAACACCACGTCTCGGAGTCGACAAGACGCCAGAGCCAACTCCCTATGCCAAAATGCCTGAGTCTTGGTATATTCACGTGCCATAAGAGGCTCTTGTAAACAACGTTATCTCACCAGAGGGTGTTATAATCCTAAATAGGTCAGAGGAGATTGTCCTGTAGGAGATTTCCCCATGAGAGGTTTGGGGAGAGATACCGTGGCCGCATAGTGGACACCCGAGCAGGGCTCGTACCGTTCAATACGACTCACCACCAACGTGTCCAATGCGAGTCACCAAACCTTGAACCTGACGCGACGCCAACGGCCCGGTCCTACGCTCGGGCTATGCCGGTTGACTTCCGGACCGCCGGCCTTTAAAAGCTTGGTGGGGCGGGGGTCGAGGATTGAGGATGCGAACACCTCAACCGGGCCCGCACTGCCCACGTGGTGAGAGTAGCTCATGGCCGCGAGGACCCGCCAGGGCGGCATTGTCCGAATACTAAAAGTAGCAAAGAGCTCTCGAGCCAGAATTGTCGATTAACATGCAGCCCCGCCCATGACTTCGCAAATGCCCAGCGTGTAAGCAGTCCACACCAGTTGAATGGTCAGTGCAAGGCCAATAAGCTTACAGAGGACAGTTGATGCTGGGAACAACGGCCATGCCTTGGTCAGGCTTACTTACGGATAAGCGGTCTCACACCTCAGCAGATTGTCCTGGAATAAATTCTAATTTTAAGCTTATCTTCGCAGGGCTTTTCTGACAGGTCACAATCCGCTGTGATGGCGCTAGCTGCCCTTCCACCAACTGAGGGGTTCATTAGCAACCAACTACCTGGGCTGGGTCTGTGGACGACCTGGGCTGGGCAAAATAGGTGACTTAAAACGTGGTCTCCTCCTCTCCCAACTTTCACTTTGCAAACGAGTTTGCTGTAGTTGCTTTAGTCTGATGTCCCGCCTGCTGAGAAGGGCCGAGGCATGACAATAATCTGCAAAGGAAGTACACTTCGGCCTCTGCTGCTCCGATCCATATTTGGGCTCCTTACGAGTTCTAGGCAGCCATGGCCGTTGCAGAGTTCCTCCGAGCCGGGACTGCTCTGCTCCAGGTCGTGGTGGGCAATGACGCCGAACCTCTAGATATAGGTTGCTGGGTCGACCAGTTCCAAGGACTGGCGACAAGCCTTGATCATGAGGGCAAGGTTGGCACCGCAGCCTGCGGTGCGAGTGTGGAAAGAGCCTGCTGGAAGATCTCTCAGGATGTTCTCATCCGACTGCGACGGCTGAGCACGAACAGGACAGAGTCCTCTTCTGAGAGCAACAACTCGAACGGTGATCTACGTAGTGTCTTTACCGAGCAGGATTTGGAATCATTCCGCACACAATTGTTCACGGTACAGATGCGTTGGCAGGGCCTCCAACCAGAGGAGCAGCTGTAAGCTACATCACCCAACCAATGCGGCGCCCTTTGTGTGACACAGGGGCATTAGGCTGAACGAAATACATAGCGGCGATATTGCATCCCAGCTGTCCGCCACCATCTCAGAAGCACCACTCGTTGAGGACAGCACACTGGCGGGACCAGACAACAATACCCAGAGCAAGAATGGGCGCCCCAGGCAGGCACCGCCAAAGGGGCTGCTTCAGGATTTCATCCTCGAGAGCTTGAGCTTCGAAACCATGGAGAGCAGGGAGCAAGATGTGGCCAAAGCACACGGCGACTCGTTCGACTGGATCTTCAACAGCGACAGCAGTCAGCCCTCGGCGAGCGATCCCAGATTTACGGAGTGGCTCTCGACCGATGACTTGGGAAGCATTTACTGGAGTGAGTCAAACCTCTCCCCCCCCCCCCAGTCTTGCCCCCCAGGAGGCTATCCTATGGCGTGTTGGTCTTTACCAGAACGTCCGATAAGTGTTGCCGCGCTGGCTGAGACTTCAGAATTTGTTGCTAAGACAACTTAGTTACCGGGAAACCAGGATCGGGCAAGTCTACGCTGATGCGCTACCTATCGGAGCACAGCGAAACGAGAAGATCGCTTCAGACCTGGGCGGGTGACAAGCAAGTTGCAATCGCCGGCTTCTACTTCTGGGTCAGTGGATCCGAGGACCAGCGGTCACGGGTCGGCCTCTTGCGATCCTTGTTACATCAACTCCTATCGCTCTACCCAGACAACATCCCCGGGGCGTTTCCCCGTCTATGGCAGAAGCTATGCGGCATGACCACGAAGGAGAGGATAGGCATGGGACTGGAGTGGACCGGCCCTGAGCTCACCAGCGGACTGCTGCGCTTGCTGGGCACCGGGCTCTCGCAGGCCAAGGTCTGCTTTTTTGTGGACGGGCTGGATGAGCTTGATGGGGACCATGAGAACATGATCCGCTTCTTCCGCGACCTAGGGTCTGGGAAGAATGGCTCACAGGTCAAGCTGTGCCTCTCTTCGCGGCCGTGGGAGGTGTTTGAACGGGCGTTCGCGCGTTCGGTCCCCAGCCTGCGATTGCAGGAGCTGATTCTGGGTGACTTGACCCAGTATGCTTCCGACAGTCTGTATGTGGAAGCTTTTTCTTGTGTCATTTCATACCGGCTTCTTTCACAGACCATGAGCCCAGCTCTCACATGTCCTAACCTCTCCTGGTGCAATCTCCCCTGGGGTAACCTACAGCCCAGAAGGACTCGGGATACCCTCCCATAGGATACCCTCTTACAGAACAACTAAATCTCTTACGAGGCCACTGACATATTGCAGGCGGAGGAATCAACACATTCGCCGAGCTCTCCGGGAGAGCACCGACGACGCCAAACAGCTTGTGCACGAGATCGTGGCATCTGCCGATGGTGTGTTCCTTTGGGCTCGACTTGTGGTCCGACAGATTATCAAAAAGTTCGGCAGTGCCCAAACGACGGTTGCGGACATCCGAGGCCATCTTTCCAGTTTCCCCACCGAGCTCGCAGACCTCTTTGAAAAGCTGGTGTTTACGGACCAGCCAGAGAAGAAAACGAACGAGACATCAAAACTGTTGCAGCTCGTACACGCTCAGGAGACGGTAGCTGAGTTTATTAAGGACGAGTCAGCCACGTCTTTGTCCATCTGGGACCTCGCGTTTGCCTCGAGAGCAGAAGACAACACGCTTGCCCTGACCAAGTCAGTAGAAGAAGCGGATGATGAAACGGTAATCCGTCGCTGTGCCGAAACTCAGGACTGGGTCCAACGAAGCTCGGTAGGACTCCTCGATATCTTCCCGCGACAAAGGCAGGGAAATAGCGCTGCACGAGAGGCTCGCTTTGCAGAAAGCGATACGGTGGAGACTCTGGCTCGGAAATTAGCAGGACACAAGGTTACGTACCTTCATCGAACGGTCCGCGACTGGCTCTTGCACCCAACTGGCAATCCAATCTGGCTCCGGCTGAAAGCGGCAGTAGAAAGATCAGATACCTTTGACCCCCACCTGTATCTGCTTCGGTCCTATGTCCTGCGAATGAAACATCCTCTCGAGCAGATTGAACACCATCGCCGCTTGGATGAGTGGTACCCAGACATTGCGCTGAGCCTGACGCATGCGCGTCACATCGCCAAAGACGATGAGGGCTTCCAGACAAAGTTGGTCAATGAGCTGGACAAGACGATCTCGTGGTACTGGCTCACAAAGCCATCGAGTCTTGAAGACCACTGGGCACGCAACCGTTTCGGCACCTTCGAGGAGAGGCGCGGGGACAAACTTTCCATCCCCTTTCCCTTCCTCGCCCTTTGTACGAAATTCGGACTGGAGAAGTATGTCCTCGACAGCTTGGATGCGATGGCCGATGATAAGTCCGAGCCTAATGGCAATGCACCGAGCACCCCGGGAATCGCAGACTCGGCGCTGCCACGGGAGGGGACTCCTCTCCTCTATCGAGCCCTCGAGTTTCTTTGCTCCCGGCAGAAGACCATCTATCCGCTCTCCTCGCCAGCATTTGTCAAGTCTCTGCTAGGGTACTCGCAAAAGTACTCAAACCATGGGGTTCTCGGCCCGCTCATCGGTAGTCCCAACAAGGAGTTCCAGACGAAGCTCCTGCATGTCAAGGATGCCACCCCGTGGGTCCTGGTGCTCCGATCGGTCAGGGACGCAAAGCGCAGGGGTTGGATTAGACCCTTCGATATTGAACCCTTGGGCACGGAGAGGTGGACAGAGATCATAGAATGCCTCGTCCTAGAGGGAGGCGCCAACAGACAGGTCATCATCCGCGATGACGGGTGGGATCCGGAGACAAATGCCCTGCAAGTGCTGGGGAATGGAGGCTTGCTCCATGGCTACGGGGACTGGTGGGTTGAGGAAAGACTGGGGAGGCTCTTTTCGCGGGACGGGTAGTCAGCACGGGGCGAGACGTGTAGGATACTTACATACCGCCATAGCATACATAATCGCAAAGGTATTAAAAGTCTATGTCACCAGCCTGCTCGAGTGTCCATCCACTACATACGGGGCCACAATATCGTTGCCCCAGAACCTCCTGCCGCGATGGTATATAGCTTTTTGAAGGTATGGTGCATTTACAGCAGAAATGCATGTAATGTATATCCACACATTTGAGTTTCTTAGCTCTAATGCAAACAATCGCACTCTGTCCCTGTCGAGTCGGCAGCAACGGGCCAAAAAATGGCGGGCGAGGCTGGGTTGAGTTGCGGGAGCATTCCACGTCTTTCTTCTAGAAGCAGCATTAGCCCAGACAAGACCTGGGCCAGCGGACCCCGCAGCCGGGGCACAGACAGTTCCGCTGCTCTGGTTGCACGCGGGCCAGGCGTGGCCTGCAGGCCCCTGCGTCAAGGCAGGCTCAGGGCCTTGCTTGGCTTTCCGGAGCAGCCAAGATACCTAGGTACCTAGGTACTTAAGTGTCTGGGTACCTCTTGCATTGGTCTGCTGCCAGGGTTGAGGGGCAGGGCTGTGGTGGCAGGGTAGTCTTCGCGGTACTTTGTACGCAGCAGGCAGGCAGGCAGGCAGGGCGGGATACATGGTTAGACAAGGTACCTACCTTCCTCACTGCAGACTACTGTGTATGCTACGGCACCTCAGATCTCACGTCGGGTTCGGGGTCCATCAGATTGAATTTGCGACCACTCACTCTTGCACGCACTTTGCCCGCACCTTCACTTCTGGCCATTCTACCTTCTCACACCACCATCGTTTTTTTTTTGGGAGCAACCTGCCAGGCCTGCCTCGCTCTTCGCAGCCTGTTCTCCATTACCAGCGCTCATATAGCCAAAAGAGAAAAAATCAGCGTTATTTACTTTACACTTCAGCCTTGTCCGTTTCAGTGGCGCATTCCTGCAGAGCACACACCACCAAAGGCAGTCGTCGCTTGGTCGCCACTCCTCCCGCGTGGTGCGCTCGAGAAGTAGCACGCGATCCGTCAGAGCCCGCCCGCGACTGCAAACTTTGTGCCCCGTGGCTACCTAGCCATCTACCACTTCCCTGCTAGCCAGGTAGCGCTCGTTTGTCTCAATATGTTTTCCAAGCAGCCCAAGTTTACGCCCAAGACACTGCCCAAGCCCAAGATCCGCACCGTCAGCGTCGAGGTACCTAAAAAGCCCAGCACTCCGGTGAATGGGAGACGCGCAGTCGGCACGAGCAGTTCGCCCCGGCCCTCGACATCCTCCATAGTCGCCAGAGGCACGCCAAAGCCTGCCAACGGACGTCCTCGAGCCAGCAAAAGTCCCTTCACCTCCTCCGACGAGAAGGGCTACCTCGCCCCACCCTCAAACGGTCGCAAGCGCATACGCTCCCCCGCCACCGACAGCGATCGCGTCGCCTTCGACTCAGACGGCGACAGCGCCGAAGAGGATGATGACGACTGGGAAAGTCGCCTGAAGCGGCGCAAGATGTCAACGCGCATGGACCCTAACCGCAAGCTGCGGCATTCTGCGCTGGCCGACCTTGCTGCCAACGGCTACAAGGACACGGGCAAGGCTCCCAAGATCGTGCACGCCGCGGATCTCTTCTCGGCCTCGCAGGGGGACAAGCCCCTCTTCCCCGATGCCGAGCCTGAGGACCTCGTGGTCAAGCTGCAGTATCCGGGCTCCCTGACAAGAGAACGGTATGTCTCATGATTTGCGCTGGCACAGCTGCCGCTGCCCTCCCCCACCAGGTGGACTTGTGTGCTGACCCTGCGGCTACAGGTTCGTGCTTTCGGACGGCAGAGACAAGCTCAAGGTCTTCGAGGACATCACAAAAGTCGTGCACAATGTTCAAGAGTCATTTCTCACACCAGCACAGGCCCAGGAGCACGGTTTTAAGGACATCGTTCGACAGCTGGAGCGTAACTCGAACTCCCAGTACCTGAATCTGGCAGGCTACAAGGCCGCCATAGAAAGATACAATACTGTTGTGCTCCACCTCCTCAAGACCGGCGCAATAGCCACGACCATCGACAAGCAACACGAGCTCTCTGAAAACCTAATCAACCATATCCTGACTCAGGTCTACGACCGCGTGGTCACTCCCAAGGTAGATATCCTGAAGAAGTACGAAAACGGCACCGACAATGTCTACGGCGAGATGAACAGAAGCTTTGTGCGCCAGGCGCTCTGCCAGAACCTGCAGATGAAATCGGACCAGGTCTTTGTGGATCTGGGGTCTGGCGTTGGAAACGTGACGCTCCAGACAGCGCTCGAGATAGGCTGCGAGAGCTGGGGCTGCGAGATGATGGACGGCCCGGCGGAGCTGGCCAAGGCCCAGCACTCGGAGTTCCGCGCTCGCTGCAAGCTCTGGGGCATCCAGCCGGGCAGGATCCGGTTCGTGCATGGCGACTTCACAAAGGAAGAATCCATCAGGGACGTGCTTAAGCGGGCTGATGTGGTGTTGGCCAACAACTTTGCATTCACGCCGGAGCTGAACGACAAGCTCAAGATAATGTTCTTGGACTTGAAGGAGGGCTGCAAGCTCGTGTCGCTCAAGAACTTTGTCAGCTCCTCGGCATACCACACCAACGATATTGCCACCCAGATCCTCGACGTTGAGAAGTACCAATGGCCCGAGAAAGGCGTCAGCTGGACGGACAGGCAGGGCGACTACTTCATTGCGACCAAAAAGTAGGGGCTGGGTCGGAGCAACAGGCGACGATCCTGACTCGGCGGCATTAGCTGATTGCCAAAAGGACGGAAAGTTGCACATAGAAGGAAGGATGCATTTTGTGACAATTTATACCCCCCCTCGCACACATATGGGAGCAGCGCATAGGGAGTATCGATTGGAGAGGCGGTCTTGTGTGGAAGGTTGGGGTCTGGGGGCTGTGTTTATTTCTCATGACGCACCTTTTTCCAAAGCATTGTAGCGAGCAGAGACAGCATATAGAGAAGAGGCCTGCGGCCAGCGTAAGCAATAACGATACCCTTCTCTACCCTGACAAGCCTCATCATGCCTCCGTGTGGTGGGCAGTCGCGCCAGGCCGTTCTTTTCGGCATCGTTTGGTGTCATGCCTAGATTTCAGTGTCAACATTCATATCGCCCCGACTCATACTTCACGGCCCGTCGCCGCGCTTCTCGTTCGCGGCATTCATGTCGTCGGCCTCTTGGCGCGCCCGCCTCATCCAGCGCTCGATCAGCTGCTTGTTCTCGGCGGCGATCTTGGCCTTCTGCGCCTCGGCGACGTTGAGCTGCATCTCGAGGGCCAGCACCTCGTCCTGCATCTGCTGCATCATGTGCTTCTTGACGCGCAGCTCCTCGGCCTGATCCCCCACCCGCAGCCGCAGCGCGTCCCGCTCCCCCGACAGGTCGCGTATGGCCCGCGCCTGCGACCGTTGCGTTGTCTGCAGGGCGTCGCGCTCGCTGGTCGTCTTGCGGAGGCGCGCCTCCAGGGAGGACTTCTGGCGGAGGGCTTCGGCTAGGTCGGCGCGTAGGCGGGACTGGGTTGGGTCGGGGGTGGCTGTGGGAGGTTCTTTGGCCGTTGACTGTTGCGCGCTGGAGGCTGACGAGGTCGCTGATTGCCAGTGGGCCTTCTCGGCTTCGAGGGCTGCTATGCGGTCGTTGAGGAGTGAGCCTGGAGGGTGCGGAGGGAGGCGCGTTAGTTTATGAATACGGGCCTGGTCTTGCTGAGCATGCAAGGGGATGGACGTTTCGGATCTGAGGGAGAACTTACAAGCCTCGACGAGCTCATGGTTGACTGGGCTGTTCTTCTCAGCTTCAAGGATCGAAGAGAGGTAGTCCTCTTTCCAGCCCGGCATGTTGTATGAGAGATGTACTGTGGAAAGGGGTGTGTGAGCTGCGACGGGAGCTTGAACTGGTGCAGCTTCTGATCTTGATGCCTCTCGCGTGGGTGATGGAGATCGGGGTCGGGATGAGGTGGAAACAATCTCCCAATCATCGTCGCCCCCAAGCGATGACGATGCATCCATGTCCAGCTGTCGAGGCGGGCGGGTCCCCCAGGGTCTTATCTCAGTTGCTCTCCCGCGCTCTCCCGCCAAGCTGGGGCATGTGAAGGGCGCCTAAAGGTTGCACCCCCCATCCGTGCAGGCCGTGCTGCGACGGTGAGCGCTTATCGATAGCTGTTGTGCTCTGGTGGAGTAGGGCGGCCCCTCGCTGGCTGGTGCGGCTACCTGGGTACCAACCAACCTGGCTGGGTCCTGATCTATAGCCGCGTGTGGCTTGCTCTGGAGCAGTACAGTACACTCACTCACTGAGCTTCGCCGAGGCTCATCTCACAACACCGGTTCGACCTGCATTGTGTTCGGAATCTGCCACGCCATTGATAATCCCTCTTGAAGACGACATCACGCCTGATAAGCGAATGAGTCTTTCAGGAGGCCCCAAAGATGCGATGAGGTTATAAGGCGCGACGATGGACTCGACACACCCCACAGCCGGCTGGGAGAAGGTCGGCGACCGGTTCTATCGCAAGATACAGCTCTATACGGCCGTGTTTGATCTCGACTTGGACCTCGATAACTTTTTTGTCGCCGGAGCCCCCTATGGCGGCGCTGTAGGTGTGTTTCCTCGTCTCCTGTTGCAACCCCCTCGAGGCATGGTTGCATGGGGTATACTTGCGTGAACCTTGCTCAGCATCACGACGGCTCCCAGCCTGCCTCACGTCAAGGACAACACGAGGAACTGACGCCATGCAGCCCTTTACCGCGACGAGAGCAAAATCCTAGCTTATCGAACTGGGAAATCATCCAAGCCCAGTTTAGACATATACAGTTGCGCTGGGAAGCTGATCAAGAGCATCCCCTGGGAACACGGCACGATCAAGGGCCTTGGCTGGTCAGAGGACGAGAAGCTTCTGGTTGTGACCAAAGATGGCATTGTACGGTGCTATTATGACCTCCAGGGCGACTTTACCCAGTTCTCCCTTGGCAGCGGCGCCGAGGACCACGGAGTGCAATCCTGCAAGTTCTACGAATCAGGGCTCGTGGCCTTGCTGAACAACAACACCTTGATCTCGGTATCCTCGTACGACGAGCCACGGCCCAAGCCCCTGGCTCAACCCCCCGAGGGAGCTGTGCATTCATGGACAATCATACCCCCGGCTTACACCCTGTCGCGCTCGGTCGAGGCATTACTCAGTATCCACGAGACTGTTTACATGGCAGACGCTACAGAGGTGGAAGACCGCTTCCTAGACAAGGGGCCCTTTACCCACCTCGCAGTCTCGCCAAATGGCAAGTTTGCTGCCTTGTACACGCAGACTGGCAAGACGCACGTCATTACAAGTGACTTCCAGAACCGGTTGACAGAGTACGATTCCAGGTCAAGGATTCCTCCAAAGTACGTCCAATGGTGTGGGAACGATGCCGTTGTCATTGCCTGGGAGGACGAGGTACACGTTGTTGGCCCAGGAGGCGCTACGGCCAAGTTCTTTTACGAGGGAAGGGTGCATGTGGTCCAAGATCATGATGGCGTTCGTATTCTCACCAACGATGTTTGTGACTTGGTTCAGAAAGTGCCGGATGTCACCGATGAGGTGTTCAGATTCGGAACGGAGTCTCCTGCCTCCATCCTGGTGGATGCCGTCGCCCAGCTGGACGCCCATTCGCCCAAAGCCGACGACAACATCCAACTCATCCGTTCCAACCTTGTCGAGGCAGTCGACACCTGCGTTAACGCCGCAGGACAAGAGTTCAGTATCCACTGGCAGAAGCAGCTGCTCAAGGCCGCCTCGTTCGGCAAGTCTGTGCTGGACATTTACAACAGCGACGATTTCGTCGACATGTGTGAGACGCTTCGAGTCCTCAACGCGGTACGGTATTATGAGGTTGGACTGCCTATATCGTATGATCAGTTCCAGCGCCTGACGCCCGAAGGACTTATCAGCCGCCTGCTTAACCGCCATGAGTACCTGCTTGCTCTTCGCATAGCAGGGTATCTGCGGTTGTCTTCAGACAAGATCTACGTGCACTGGGCATCCTCAAAAGTCCGCACAGGCTCGGAAGACGACGACACTATCTGCCGACTTATAGTCGACAAACTTTCCGGCAAGCCAGGCATATCCTTTGAAGCAATCGCCCGCGCCGCGTACGATGAGGGCAGAGGACGCCTGGCCACCGAGCTACTCAACCATGAACCTCGGGCCGGCCGGCAAGTGCCACTGCTTCTCAGCATGGAAGAGGACGAGATGGCCCTTGACAAAGCAATTGAGAGCGGCGACACCGACCTCGTCTACTTCGTCCTGCACACGCTGCGCCGCAAGCTTCCCCTGGCTGCCTTCTTCCGTACTATCAATCACAGACCAGTGGCCACGGCGCTGGTTGAGTCGGCTGCGATCCGCGAAGACGACAGTACCCTCCTCAAAGATCTGTACTACCAAGACGACCGTCGTCTAGACGGCGCGTCCGTGTTCATGCGAGAGTCTCTCTCACAGCCGGGCAGCCGGACAGCTTCGGACAAGCTGGCGCTGGCGGCCAAGCTGTTGAGTGACAACAGCAAGGAGCACGCGTTTGAGCTGGCTGCGACAAAGGAGGCCGCGACACTGTTGCGAATGCAGGAGGCCTTTGACCGTGACCTCACCGACACGTTTACGGGGCTCAGTGTCAACGAGACCATGTTCAAGCTCATCAGGCTGGGCTACAGCGGGCGAGCCAAGAAGATCCAGAGCGAGTTCAAAGTGCCGGAGAAGGTGGCCTGGTGGATCCGCCTGCGGGCGCTGGTCGCCAAGCGTGATTGGAATGAGCTCGAGGATATCTCGAAGCACCGGAAGAGCCCCATCGGGTGGGAGGTAAGTCATGCCGACCTAGACATGACGATGCGAAAGATTCTGACCGCAGACGATAGCCGTTTTACAACCTCATACTTCAGGCAGGCAACCCCCGCCTCGCCTCAGTCTTTATTCCAAAATGTGCCAACCTCGAGCCGGGTGCCTCCATCACCATGTACGAAAAGTGCGGCATGTGTGTCAAGGCTGCAGAGGAGGCAGTCAAGATCAAAGACCAGGAGGCGTGGCAGAAACTACTGGAGGCTGCGGGCAAGAACACCCAGGAGGGGAGGGAGATCGAGCGGCTTGGTCATCAGGTGTTCAAGAGATAGCAGTACATATGTAGCCCGTAGCAGTCAGAGCCTGGTGGGTCCGGGCCGCGCCGTCGCACTCCAAGCAGCGCGGCGTCCCTATTGAATTTGGTCCGCGCGAGACGGACGCCGCACACCACCGGCTTTCCTTGCCTCTTGTGTCCAGCGGGGGCGAGCGACTGGCTCATCATGTGAGGCTGAGGGCCTTGATGTCCACACCGACAGGCCAAAGCACCCTGATGGTCGAGCAGCTACGAGGACGCCATCTCACTGGTTCGTTCCTACATGAACTTTGTCCTCAGGACACCCTACTTTGAACTTGACAAGTCCCGGTGACGATTTTTCAACACACGCAACTTTTTTCTTCTCCGTCCTTCCATCCCGAGATATCACGTCCCTCAACCCACACAACAACACACCATGGCCCACGAGAACGTCTGGAACTCCCACCCACGCAACTACGGCAAGGGCTCCAGGGGCTGCCGAGTCACGGGCGACAAGAAGAAGTCCGGCCTGATCCGCAAGTACGGCCTGAACATGTCCAGGCAGGCTTTCCGCGAGAACGCCGAGGCGATCGGCTTCAAGAAGGTGGGTCCTCTTCCTGTCCTGCGGCGCGATGCAGCGTGTAGGCTTCTAGGGTGGTTGCTAACGTGCTTGCCCAGTACCGATGAGGGACACCTGTACGCCATGGTCTTGCTTTCTTGGAAGGGCTTTTGATGCGAGCAACATATCAATTTGGAGGCGGACCATCCAAAGGAAATAGACCTAGCCGTGGTAATAAACTCAAATTCCCATCTCTCATCATGGGGAGAATCATCAAACAACACTGCGAATCGGCAACATGTATGACCTTGTATACATTGAGATATGGTGTCTAGTCTATTTTACACGTATTGTCCAAAAGCCTTGGACGTCCTTCCGGTGGATCTTTGCGATTATTAGGCGCCAGAATCAAGGCATACCTCTCTCTGAGAAAGGAGGCGAGTTTCGCCTTGCCACTTTAGTCCTGGGGAAACTCATTTCGTGTAGCCTCCCGAGTAGAGTGTTGGGTACAACGACCCGAATCCGTGGCGACAAAAGCCATATTCACTGTCCCACTAACCATGCCTCCCCAGTCCAGACCGGTGAATCGTGTCCTGGATCTCGTCCCATGACAGCGTCCTTGTTGTGGTACCCGGGGCCTCGGCCTCCTGCAGCACCACTGTCGGCGCGCCACTCCCTCGGCCGCGGTTGTTGACCATGCCACCGACAACCATCTTGGCCACGCGCTTCAGGTCGTTGATCGTGAGCTCGCTGATCCTCCTGGTCATCTCGCGCACTGGGATCTTGCGGCCGTGGACCTGGACCTGCCTCCCCAGGTCCTCGAGCTCGACCATGCGGCTCTCGAGGTTCATGAGCAGGCTGGACCGCAGCTGGTTCTTGGCGCGGGTGACCTCGACTTGGTTCAGGCGGGAGAAGCCGGAGTCGAGCGTCAGGGCGCGGAGTTCCCGGCACATGATCTCGAGCATCTTGGCCGTTCGACCCGGGTAGCAGGACGCGGCGATGCCGAACAGACCGCTGTCGGTGTAGCTGTGGTTGAAAGCGACGCACGACTCGACCCAGCCGTATTGGTTCAAGACATTGGTGTAGAGGCGGGAGTACATGCCCTTGCCTGGGCCTCCAGCTGAGAAGGAGCCGCCGCCTCCGAGAAGGGTCTGCAGAGTGGCGAGGGCGAAGATGTCATCCGAAGAGATGGGAAGACCCTCGAAAGCAAGGTGGATGTGTGTAAAGGCGGGCATCATGGGGTTGGGAGAAGGCGGCTGGGTGGGGAGGGAGAGGAAGCCACCTGTGTATCTGGCGGGGCGGCTAAGGTCCTCGCCAGAGATGGGAATGTAAGGGGACGAGGCGATGGAGGCGTTGTGTTGTGCCGACGTGGAGAGATTCTTCAAGAAGGGTATTTTGGAGAGGAGCTTGGAGGACTGCTGGGGCGACCCGGAGGACAAGGAGGACGCAGACGACGCGGCAGAGTCGCTGGTCTGCGAGCTCGTCTCGGATGCCGATGAGGCCTCGGATGCAGCGTCTGAGACTGCCGGCAGCTCGGGGCCCTGCATGTCACCAAAGTGCTGTTCGGCCAGCCTGACGGCCTCGCTGTGAGGTACTCCGGCGAAGGCGACCACCATGCGCTCTGGCCTGAAGAAAGCGTTCCTGTAGGCCTGGATGACATTCCTGTCGATGGCGCCGAGGCGGTCCTGCGGGCAGAGCAAAGGGTTGCCAAGGGTGTTGTCCTTGAAGGCCGCCGTGTGGACCAGCTCGGGCAGGATGAGCTCTGGCTTTGACCAGATCTCGGTGATCTCATACTCGGCGGTGAGCAGTTGTTGCTGCACCTCCTCTTCCGTGAGCTTGGGATCCCGTATTGTTTCGGCGAGCAGGCCAACCGCTGTGGGGATGGCGGTGTTGAATGTGGCGGCCTGGTACATCATGGATTCTCGTGAGGACGCACATTGCACGTTCCCACCGAGGTTTTCGACTTGTTCTAGAATCTCGTCGGCCGAGTGTGTCGAGGTGGACTTGAAGGCCAGCCGGTCCATGATGTGGCTTGCGCCGCGCAAGTATGCGTTCTCGTACCGCGAGCCGGCGTCTATGTAGACGCCCATGCCCGAGAAGGCATCTGGCAGGGCTTCTGTGGCAACCCGGATGCCATTTGGGAGTGTAGTGATGTCGCTCAGCTCCGTGGGTTCCTGAGGGGCCATGGATTAGCAGGCTGGGAGGGCACGCGGGTGGATGGGGCTGGCTGGGTGGCATACTCGCGCAGCGGGAGGAGGGGCGACGGTGGCCAAGGACCTTGTTAGGAATGATGATGGCCTGGCACTGATGGTGTGAGGTTTCGCGAGGCCGTGCAGCCTTGCGGGCAAACGCGAGCTACATGAGCGCAACATCTTTGCTTCAGGCTCGCTTGGACGAGGCTGGCGAGTTCCGGTGATGTCAAGGCCAAAGAATTGTTCGAGGGCGATTTGCCCCAGCCGCGCAGCCGGGCTTATCGATAAGCTGCTCTAACAGCGTGCCCTGGCCCCTGGCAGGCCTGGTGCATGTAATTGGCAGTGCCTTTTTTGTCTTTAGTCCTCAGCACTCTGATCTGGCCGTTCAACCAGATATCACTTCTGGCTGATGCCCTCGGAAAAGATGAATCGATTCACTGCTTGATGCTACTGCACCCGAGGCTCAAGCCAGATCTTTGCAAAACCAGACAAAAGCCTCATCACATGCCATCCGAAAAGGTCCCCGGATTCTCGCGGGCACAATGACGAGACGGAGGGATTCGTGTCAGAGCAGGGTTGGACGCTGGCCAGATATACTTCATGAACTAATCGGGAACGTCTATGCATCAAACCTTGGAATATTCTCAGAGCAGTAGGAGACTTCAGACGGTGAACCGGGCCAAGAGCAGAGTGGTTCGATAGCAGAGTCAAGGCTTGTTCGGTCCATGACCACACTGGGTCTGTGTTCATCGTTCATCCAGCCAGGGCTCCTAACCACGCGTGTGGGAATGCCCAAGGACCAACTGCAGTCCTTGACCGGCAGCTTCAAGGAGGAAGGATCGGGCGCCCGTCAGAAGTTGCCTTCATGAATCATAGATCCGTCTCACGGGCTGCAGGAATCAAGTAGGAGGAATTAAGTAGAAGGCTGTTGAGAATGCTGACCAGATCTGCTGCAGTGGCCACCGATCTGACAGGATGGAGACATGCACGCAGGACATGCACGCAGGACATTGACGCTCGAGTTGCAGCAGACGAAGGGGCTGCCAGCACAGTGGCGGCCGCATTGGGCGAGCGCATGGCAGCCCCGGGCAAGGCTCAGCAAGGCTCAGCAATGCCGGTCCGTGGCAGTCGTCATGCTGTCAGATCATGTGGCCCAGCGCCGAGTCGGTGCCAGTGTGCCAGTGTGCCAGTATGCCAGAATGTCAGAATGCCAGACATGGAGAACTCTGGGCTCTGGGGGATAATGATAATGTCACGCCACGCAGGGGTGGGCACGGAAGTCAGGTTGGGGAAGTCAGACGGGCCTGGCGTCTCACGAGAGACCACACTAGCAGGGCATAATGCGTCCCTGTGGGCGAGATAGTCCAAGATACTACGTACCCAGGTAGTAAGTACTTGTTTATATTGACGGTTCGCCGGGAGCTAACAACCTTGGAAGGTAATAAAATGATAGCCGCCGGAATTGCTCCTACCACAATACCCCAGTTTAATTTGAGTTCAGCCTCTTCCCGCTGCAGGTTGCAGGTTGCAGGTTGCAGATTCCAGATTCCATGGTCTCACTCCCCGCCCCCCCCCCCCCCAGGCCAGTGCCAGTGATGCTTATTATCATTAGTGCCGGGTCTGGCGAGTGCGGGTGATGTGCGCTTACCGAGTACCCCGTTGCCCTTTGTTGCTGAGGGAAATATAGATACACAGCAGAGGACGTAGCGCCCCTCCACCTTCCCGTAGCGCCCCCGTAATCCCGGCTGGGAGTGAGCTCCGGATGCGAGCCTGGCGGGAAGCCACTGCCCAAGTGCTGTTTGAGAGGATGCTCAGCGTGTTTCGTTTCCGCTGGCGCAGGTGGGGCAGCTCGACTGGTGGTTGCTGCGTCTCTGCAGTCCCTACAACATCCGTGAGATGATGCCCATCCTGCCATCTTGGCCCTGCCAGCCCTGCCTGGCTGGGACGCCGATCCCCCGCGTGGTTTTTGTCTTGGAGGGCTGGACAAGTGCAGGCTTGAACCTGTCTCTCCTGCCCTTGTCTTGCCCTGTCTTGCCCTGTCTTGCCTTGGCTGCCTTGTCTTGACACATCTCTGCATGTCTCGTGCCTTGCGCACAGGGCTCAGGGCTCAGGGCTCAGGCACAGGTATCCAGGTATCCCGACCTCGTGGCAACCACGGCTCACAACCCAACCCGTCGAGGCGCGATATCCGAGGCGGCGGGCCTGCACTAGCCACTCTGGCGGCTTCATCAACGGGCAACGGCATCCTTTCCTGGGGCAGCCAGAGGCCTAGACTTGTTAGGGCCTGGCCTAGGCAGTCGGACGAGGGCCAGGCCCTTGCCAGCCGTCTTGTCCAATCTCTTTCTGAACGGGAAGTGCGGTCTGGTCGTCCCAGATAGGAGCATCTTCGGGGGGCAGCCTGGGGTGTCACGACCAGATGGGAACCCAGGTGGATACTACTACGTCCATTTACGGAGTGCTACCTCTCTGCGACGCCGGCTGGGGCAAGCCTTGTTCTTCTGGGGCTGCGCAGACTGCTGCGCATATCGTGATCGTGCTGTAGTAGTAGCATCTCCAAAGCTGGGTGCTGGTGGGCAGGCTCGTCGCTGACATTTGCAATCAAGGGGAGCCTGTGCTGTATCTGCGTATCCGTGTATCTGAGTGTCTGTACCATATCTGTGTGTGGCCAAAGACTGGTGTGTAATCGGCTTGACGTATCCAAATCTGTATTTGATCTTGCCTGCGGTAGCTACCATACGCAGGTACTTACTTAGTACACACACACACTCACACACACACCACACGCCACACATCAAGTTTTGCCCTGCCTCTCTTTCTGCACCGCATTTCTTGTCTCTGTTTTATTATTCGTGTCTGTCTGTCTGTCTGTCTGTCTGTCCGGTGTATCCGATTCTATTCAGCCTCGTCTTCCACACACACACACACACCCACGCACACACCCACGCACACACCCACGCCGCCTTTCGCATTTGCTGCCATCCGGCATTTTCCATCGCCAACATCGCGCACGCGCACGCCCACTTGCCCGGGCCAGCCAAGCTGATATTGGTTTTGCGAAATTGCTACTCCAGTCTTCAAGACCCATAATTGTCGCGCCCCGGCGAAACCCACGGGCCAACGTCAGGCAGTCGGGCGGTCAGGAAGTCAGTATTGCCTCCTTCCTTCCGTCGCAGCCGCCTCCCGCTCTCTCGAGGTCCGACCTGCAGTTTTCTCTTCACCCCCGACCTCAGGTGCCCCTGCCCCCGAGAACGCCTCACCACCGCCCAGGTGACCCTAATCCCAGAGTCACAATAGCATCGCCTCGTCTCGTCGCAGCCCACCAGAACCTGCAACGCCCTTGTCACCCTGCGCATTGGGAGCCACAGTACGAGCGCAGCCCGAGACTAACTGAGTGCACGGTCGACGAGAAGTCATCCACAGCCAGCCAGTCCACGCCGAATCTGACTTCTGAGTCGAGAGCCCGGTCGAGCTCCCCCAGCCAAGGGGCGCCCGAGGAAATCTCAAAAAGGGCCCTTCCCTTATAACCGCCCGTCTCACCACCCACGGCTACGGGCTACCACAGCACACAGTACATTGCTTCACACCCAGCCCGTTCGCCGACCTCGTCTGGGAACCAGTCTGCCCACTTCAACATCGCTCAGCCCAGTGAATGGAATAAGTGGACTTTTCCCATCTGTGCTGCACTGCTGTTCTGGACGAGACCCGGCCTCTTCCTCCCCCCCCCCCCTTCTGGAGGGAGCCCCAACAACCCAGCCAAGCAAACAACCGAAGTTGGCTTGCGAATTGGCCTCGACCTCTGCAAGCAATCCTACAACGCCAGGACTCCCGACCACTTGCTTTGCCCCATCCACTAGGCGGCCACTCCCCGCAGGCCAGGGCCCCGCTCGACCCGCCGTTTGCTCTGCAGCGCCGCAGACCTGCAAGTGGAAGCGCCATCCGATACGGAGTACAGAGGCAGACAAAGGCCCCAACTGCGCCGCCACCCTTGCTTGATTGGAAGAACCGTGTATACAGCCCTCCTGAAAGCCTGTACCTCCGTACTAGTATCACCTGCACTGGGGACAACTCACTGGCTTGCGGCTGCCCAACTGCTCGCTATTTTGCCTAACAACCCCCGGTCACACCTGACTGACTGACTGACGGACGGGCTGATAGCAAGGGAGAAGACCGGCAGGATCAAGCCAGGCAGCCCAGGCTGGGTTTGGATCGTCCTATTAGTCTTCCTGCCTCTCAGTCATCCCGCCTCGCACGCAGCCGTGAGCCGGCTGCACTGTCCCAGCCCAACCAAGTCCAGCCCTCGATTGGACTGGCGGCAAAGCGATCCGTCGTCATTGTCGCAGTTTTCTGCCCGTGCACATTTCGTTTCCAACCCAACTCAACTGAAATGTTTACGTCTCCTGCACCTGCGGCACTGACCGGTTCTGTTCCCTTGGCAGCCTCGCCTCCATCCATCTCTGCCTCCGCCTCGACATATCATCAATCCGGGTCGACTTCCAGGACAAGAAGGGGCCTGAGTTATCTCCGCAACTACACCCATCAGCACCTGCTCTCGAGGGATCACAGCGGCTCCTCCTCCTCCTCCACCAACGCAAACACCTCCGCAGACTCTTCCTCCCGGCCCCGGCCCGACCTCACGCGATCGACCTCTCACACTCCTAGGACCTCCAACACGACCAACAACAACATCTCGGCCCCCGACGACTTCACGGCCAACTCGCGCCGTTTCACGCTAGTGCCTACTCTGTCCCACCCCTTAGGCCCATCGTCGAGGTCCACTCCTGACGACCTAGACCTAGCCGACGAGCCCGCTGCTGTGCAATCCGACTCAATAGGGGCGCCTCCCCCGGGCACTGCTGTCACCACATCAGCAGAGCCAAACTCACAACCCCGTCGCAGCATGACGCGGTCGAGAGCCGCGACCACAGGCAGTGCAATGGCTTCCTCAACCAACGATACCGCCGAGTCTGGCAACCCCAGCGGCGTTCTGCCCTCAATCCGCTTTTCCGTCTTCGTCGACCCTCGGAGCCAACGACCGTCCCTGCACTTCTCCCCGATAGCCCGCACGCTGCCGAGCGGGTCTGAGATCATCCGCGTCGGTCGCTATTCCGAGCGAGACAGCCAGCCAGCCGTGCCGGCAAACGTGCCGTCGGCCGCTCCGGTCGGCTTCAAGTCCAAGGTCGTAAGCCGCCGCCACTGCGAGTTCTGGTATGAGGATGGCAAATGGTTCATCAAGGATGTTAAGAGCAGCAGTGGCACGTTCCTAAATCATATACGACTCAGCCCGCCCGGCCAGGAATCCAAGCCTTTCCCGGTCAACGATGGGGATGTGGTGCAGCTGGGCATCGACTTTAAGGGAGGCGAGGAGATGATCTTCCGCTGCGTAAAGATGCGGCTGGAGTTGAATCGCGGCTGGCAGAACAAGCTGAACAAGTTCAAGTACGTCCCCGGGAGCACCCATGGGTCGTCGCTCCTTCGCGCATGCCGGCCTATGCCTTTACTAACTCGACACTTGCAGTATGAACTCGCACAAGCGCCTGTGGAATATGACCAAGACTGAGGGGGCAGGCGGCCAGAACTATTCCCAGGACTGCTCTATCTGTTTGAACTCGATTGCTGTAAGTCTCGCATTTTCGTCAACTCCCGTCTCTCTCTAGCTCGCGGAGCACCTGCTGACCCCCTCCACTGCAGCCTTGCCAGTGTCTTTTCGTGGCGCCCTGCTCTCACACATGGCATTTCAAATGCATCCGCAGTCTTCTGTCGTCGCCGCACTACCCGATCTTCATCTGTCCAAACTGCCGCGCAGCTGCGGATCTTGAGGCTGAGGTGGAGGACCCCGAAGATTGGGAACAGCTCGAGGACGAGGCTGAAGGCCAGGATGCCGAAGATCCAGAGGGCAGCCGCTCGAAGGGTCCTCGCCTGGACCCTGCTCCTGTAGACGTGCCGAGACAGTCTGTGGACAGGATAAGGACATCGCTCGAGCGCGCGCGAGCCACTGCTGCTGAACGAGCGAGGACTTCAATCGAGCGGTCACGATCACGAACAAACGTATCGGCAGCGATCGCATCGGCAAACGAGACCCCAGAAGCCGCGATGGCCACTGCTGATAATGCCGCCTCCGCCGAGGCAGCTATGAGTGATGGTGGGGCCAGCACGCCGTCGACGACGTCATCTCGACCCAGCGGCGAGGCTTCGCACGCAACCTCTGACCCGGTGCCTATCAACGGCCGCCGAACTCCCAGCCCGAATAGTATCGGTAACCATGTGACCAACGGACACGAGGGGCCCATCACACCGAGGAATGATGCGGGCCCATGGGTGTTTGACGGGAGCGGGGCGCGGATTGGCGTCGCTCCCACCGCTCCCGCCGCTCCCGTTGCTGGAGCCAGACAGAGTCTGAACGGGGTGGTTGATACGGAGATGGAGGACTGATACCCGACAAACCCTACTTTAATACCTGGAGGAACAAACAAGTCACGCCAGAGACCTATCCAACAACTGGACACAAGCACATAAACAATACTTTGCACCGAGACGCGGGACCATGACGGCAGATTGCATAAGTGGAGCTATAGGTGCGGAAATGGTGCAGATATCAGCAGCGAGCATGGTTTTGTCCTTCCCCTTGATTTTTTCCTCGACCCCTCCCACATATCTCGCCTCGTCGTTGCATCACGTCTGCTGCATGGTTGTCGGGACCTCACCGGCTGGATTTTAGGGCGAGGACGGGATATGGTCCGGCTTTTTGTTATTTATTAATATCGAATTGGCATTTCCAAAGCACAAGCTTTGCCCCTGTGTGTGCGCGACGAGGCCACAGCGTGTGTATCGCTCACTGCAGTAGCTACCTAGGTACTGTGTGATGAGCCTGCTATGGAGTACCCACTAACAGGACGATCTATCTGCCACCTGATTGATAGACTCGTACATCATAATACCTCGTCGAAGACTTTCTTGCAAGATAGCCTTCATCAAGGAGAATTCCACTAGACAGTCTCATATGGGACTACCAAATAGAAGGTCAGTCAGCCACATGGACACCGCCATGACCTTTCGCATTTCTCTGGTGTTGCGGCTGTGTCACTGCAAAGGTACATGTGATTCTTATCCCGGAAGAATTACTGCATGGTACGAGCAGTTGCGCTGGGCTCGGCAATTTCAAGGTCAGTCTGGCGGGACTGACAAGGCGCGAGGACGGTCAATGTGTACCTAGGTAGTCTCCGAGGATCGTAACTCGTTGTCTCTAGTCGAAAATTTCCATCTCGGGGCCCTTGCTTGTCCTGGGTGGGCTGCTTATCAATAAGCGTTCGGCCTGAAGGCAGTTTCTGATGGTATTATATTCTTAGAGGGCATCGCTACAAATGCTCGCCCGGTGACAAGCGAGAATAGTTATACAGGCTCCGCCAGCCCGAGCTAGCAATGCTCTTGAATGCACGCCGTACTCCAGGTATCCCTTCCGACCCTGTTGTTGTTCCTGACTCCCGCTTCCAAAGATCGACATAAAAAAAAGAAAGAAAAAAAGAAGCAAGGCTAGGCCAACCGTACAGCCAGTCTGTCCGTCTGTGCGTCTGTCGGTCCGTCCGTACATGCATAGTGATAAAAGAAACAGCCAGCACACACGTAGTCTGGGGTTCCCAAGTCTAAAGCTTTGATCTAACCGCCTCAAGTCTATACTTGACATCCTTCAGCGCCTTGGTGGTCGGCTTCCAGTCGTCAAACTGCCTCAGCAGCTCCTCCGTCTCGGCGCTCAGCTCCGTCTTGACAAAGTCCTCCTCCAGCAGGCCGCGCATGATCCACGGGAGCAGGTAGGGGTTCGAGGCGGTCAGACCTTCGAACTTTTGGATCTCGCACGGGACGTCACCCGCATTTGTGGTTTCGAGCGCGTGGGCGATGGCAAGGCTGGTGGAGGCTGGTTAGCGCATGCCGTGGGCATGACTGGGGAGTCCAAGGGTGTTGATTGATTGATTGATTGATTGATTGTGTGGGGGCTGGCCAAGACTTACTCATATACCTGGCCATCGTCATAAAGGCGCGAATGGCCCTCGCCACCGTAGAGGCTCCCTGCCAGAGGGACGGAGAGCTCACGGATCAGGCCGTGGTCGGATACGCCCAGGTTGCGGAGCTTGCACGCGAAGCCCACCAGGTGCGCAATGAAATCGGGCGCGTGTATCCTCCCATCTATGAACACGGCCCTGTATATGTAAGGGTGGCTGGCGGGAGAGTACACGGCCGACTCTATGGGGACGAGCTGGTCGTCGATGCTGCCGACATATGTGATGCGGACGCCGTAGGCCAGCACCGCCTTGAGCGAGGCCTCGTACCTCTTTGAGACCTCGCTCTCCGGGTTTGCGAACTCCCACAGTTCTGCAGCGCTGCCCATCAGCATGCCCATGCCGGACTTGTAGTCAGGGAACGGCCCCAGATTCACTCCTGCCATGGCACAGACTCCGATCTTGGCATTGGTGATGATGCGGAGCTCGATCAGCTTGGCAAGCAGCATGATCGAGACGGGGACGCCCTGGGAATGGCACGAGACGATGATCAGATCAGCCGCTCTAATGTGATCTATCCAGTTGAGAAGCAGCTTCCACAGGTTCTCAACCCGTTCGGCAATCTTGCCCTCGCCCTCCAGTGCTACCTTCTCGATCTCGCAGTCACCGCAGCCATGGCTCTCGGCCCACCTCCTGATACCTTCGGCGCCGTGGTCGGCAAACTTGAGCGATGTGCCAGTCGGTTGGCCGATCATGGCCCTGAGATATGTAGCCGGGAAGAGGCCATGTACGCCTATAGCCAGCGCCTTCTTCACCTTTGGTGGCTCCTGGGTGAGGAAGACGTGTTTTGTGGGCTTTTGCTGGGTTCGCAAGAGTAACGAGGCTATTTGTTTGAGGATGGATGGGTTCTCCTTCATCTTGTACGTGCCCTTGAAGGATGGCAGCAGTAGATTGGGAGGTGTTGGTTTGGTTGCCGTGGTCGGTGTTTTCGCCTTGGTCTTACTCGGCGACTCTGCCTTGACAGAAGCTGCGTCTGACTGAGGAGGCGTCTGAGGGCGTGACGGTATAGGGTCAATGTCCATGGACTGGGGCCTGTTTCTCTTCTTCTTGGCAACCTTGTCTTTGATCTGCTTCATCTTTCCAGGGGCTTCTTTGGGCGGTTCTGGTTTCGGAGACTGGTCCCGTCCCATATCTGTTGAATTCGCCCTCTTGGGATGGTTTTCGGAGCCATCTCCCATCACAGCCAGCTCTCCCGGCTCTGTGGTTCTTTTTGGTTCTCCGGGTGATTTTGGGGTGTCCTTGGACCAGAATGCCCAGGTCGACCCAGCCGCAGGCTTGGTTGCAGGCTCGGGATTGGCTGGTGGTGCATCACTCATGACCGTATCCTCGGGGTCCTTTGCAGGCGCCGCACTTGACTCTGGGGCCTTCACAGACTCCTCGTTGCCAGCCGTAGAGGCGGCGCCGCTGCCTGACCAGAATGGAATCCACATGGTCAAAGAGCGCTGTGGGCCGGTAGCTACTGGCTGCTCAGATGCCCCTGGCGCAACTGTATTATTCTCAGGCTCAGGCGCAGGCAGTGGCTCGGTCTGGGAACGTCCATTTCCTTCCTTTGGAGATGGGCCGTTTTCCTGTAGTGTGGTTTGGTTTTCGGTTGTGATTTTCTCCGGCACTGGGTTTGATGTGAACCAGCCGCCCAACCAGCCCGATGACGTCGCGGGTCTTTGCGGCGTATCCGCAGTTGGCGGTTCATGCATGTCGACGTCGGGCGCGGCGGGTGCGACATTGTCTTTCGAGGTGTCGTCGGCAGCATCCGCAGCATCATCTTTTGAGGCAGGATTGTTTTTGCCATCCTGCACCGCGGCTTTTGCATCGTCCTTGGCCGCCGGTTCATCAGTGTCCGTCTCTCGGACCTTGGGCATCGTGTTGACCGAGGCCTGACTCGCCCCACTCAGGCTCGCAGCGTCGCTGGTCCTCTTTGGTTCGAAGCGGCTGAAATCAGGCGTAGAGCCAGCCTTGAGGGGGCTGCCTAGTATTGTCTCCCTCTGGATGGACGTAGAAGGCGTGGACTTGCGAGGCCACGATCCGTACCAACTCCTCGTCTTGTGGACCTGTACCGGGTGTCAGGGGGCTCTGTGCCGGCGGCGGTGGGGACGGGGGAAAAGACTCACCGTCTTGTTGCCCTCGTGGACAGACACGGCACTGCTGTCGCTCCTGAGGCTCTTGCTGGTGGTGTCGAGTTGTCGGAGTGCGGGCTGCGATGGTGACGGCGAGGTCACTGGGGCCGCGGACAGGTCGCTAACCTGTGACGAAGTGCTGGCGCGTGTAGGCTGCAGCGATGTGGTGGAGCTCGACGGGCCCGGAGCGCCGCCGCCGCCACCACGCCGGGCTCGTTTCCTAGAGATCATGACGATGGTATTCACCAGGCCGGGCTCATTGTCGTGTCGGGGGTAAGAGCGGCGCCTCTCATTGTTGCGGATTCGCCCGGGTGTTTGTTTGGCATAATGATCAGCTGCGAGCGACTGAACCAGCCAGCCCCTACTACGTAATGCCCGCCCGTCACGGAAGCCCCATGTTTGTCCAGTCGACTCACCCCTCCTAAGGTAACCCCGGGAGCCCCACCACGGGCACCCCGGTAGCTGCTACTGTACGGAGTACCTTCGTACCCTGTAGCTGGGTCTCGTGTGCTGTAGCATCTGGTGCACTGGAAGACTTCTGGAATGTTGACAACTCTATCTCCCAAGGCCCGTTCTGCTGACACAACACAGGATATTTCGTGGTTATAGTCTCATTTCCAAACCCTACAGATTTGACCGGGTATTCGAGATACCAAACAGCATCTGGAGCTGTTGTGAACAACTTCCAAGGTTGTTGTGTAAAGACGGAAGCGTGCCTGGCAACCCGTGAGATAATAAGCAATCGGCTATCCCAGGGTCCCCTGCGACTCCCCACATATTATCTTATCGATAACGGCCATCCTCGAATTTCTTCAAAAATCTATTTTTCGAATCCGTAGCATATCGCCTCGCATATACGTCGCAAAGACATACAGCTCGCCCCGGCTCGCACTTATTGTCGGGCTGACTGCTCTCTCAATTTATGGAATCATGAGCACCCTCAAGCGGAAAGGGGCGCCATCTGGCAATGCCTCCAAGAAGGATTCTCCCTCCAAGAAGGTGAAATCAGAGAAGCCCGCGGACAAGACCCCCGGAACCAAGTCCTCCAGAACCCCCGACAAGAAGGCCGCAAAGTCTACGGATAAGCCTGCGTCCTCTGCGCCTCCGATCGCCCGCCTCAAGCAGGAGGAGCCGCTCTTCCCCAGAGGTGGTGGCAGCGTTCTTACCCCCCTGGAGCACAAACAAATCACCATCCAAGCGAAGCAAGACGCCCTTTTCGAGGAAGAGTCGGGCAAGGCGCCCAAGAAGGGGGACAAGGACACAAAGAAAAAGAAGCGCAAGTCTTCCGGCAAGGATGCCAAGCAGGGCGACAAGCCTGCCCACGATCCTGACGCTGTCAAGATCGAGGGTCTCAACTACAAGGTAAGAACCGGCGTGTCGCGAGAAAGCCAACCAGTGTGGCTGAGCTGACGTGCTCTGTAGCGCCTTGTAAAAGGTTCACTGGTCCTCGGTCAGATCTGCGACATCAACGATCTCGAACTTACTGTGGCCCTGCCCAACAATCTCGTTGGCCATGTCTCCATCACCTCGGTCTCCCCCGGCCTGACGAAACGTGTCGAGGCGGCGGCGGCGGCAGATGACAGCGATGCCGACGACGAGGAGTCGGCCGAAGACGATGCCGACCTCAAGAATCTCTTTGAAATCGGCCAGTACCTTCGCGCTTACGTCGTATCCACCGTCGAGGACTCGTCCGCCCTGCCCAGCAAATCGAAGAGGCGGATAGAACTGTCCCTGCGGCCAGAGGACACAAATTCCACAATCACACAGCAGGAATTGGTTGCGAACAGCACAGTGATGGCTGCCGTGGCCAGTGTGGAGGACCATGGGTACGTGATGGACCTTGGTCTGGCAGAGACAAAGATCACCGGCTTCCTCCCGAGGAAAGAGGTCGATCCGGCGATCCGTGAGGGTCGGCTGCAGCCGGGCAGTGTTCTTCTGTGCATGGCTACGGGCCTGAGCGGGAATCGCAAGGTTGTGCAGTTGACGGCCCGCACCGACAAGATGGCCAGCCCCAAGAGCTTTCCATCCGAGGCCACGACGGTCGACACCTTTGCCCCTGGCACTGCCGTCGATGTCCTGGTATCTGAGGTTTCGGACCGGGGAATTATTGGAAAGGTATTGGGTCATCTCGATGTCACTGCCGATCATGTTCATTCCGGGGTTGGCCCGCATGGCACAGATCTGGAGGTCAAGTACAAGGTTGGCTCGAGGATCAAGGCCAGGGTGATCTGTACTTTCCCGGATGCCAGGCAGCCTAAGCTGGGCATCTCGATCCTGGATCATGTTCTGTCCTTCCGGACCCCGAGCGCTCAAGTCGAGGGCAGTGAGAAAAACCCGCTGGACGCACTCCCGATATCTTCAGTGGTCGAGACTTGTGTGGTGAAGAGGGTCGAGGCCGATATCGGTCTGTTTGTCGATGTGGGCATCAAGGGCGTCCCTGGATTCGTGCACATATCTCGGGTCAAGGACGGCAAAGTCGACGGGCTGTACGAGTCCAGTGGCCCGTACAAGCTAGAGTCGGTGCACCGGGGAAGGGTAGTAGGATACAATGCCTTTGACGGATTGTTCCTGCTCTCCATGGAGAAGAGCGTCCTCGAACAGCCATTCTTGCGTGTGGAAGACGTGCCTGTTGGGGACGTTGTCGACGGCGTTGTTGAAAAGATTGTGGTTGGCGAGAATGGCGTGCACGGAATCATCGTCAAGATCGCCGAGGGCATATCTGGGCTCGTCCCCGAGATGCACCTCTCCGATGTTAAGCTACAGCACCCTGAGAAGAAGTTCAAAGTCGGCTTGAAGGTCAAGACACGAGTCTTGTCGACTGACTCCCACAAGCGACAACTGCGCCTCACGCTGAAGAAGACCTTGGTCAACTCCGACGCGACTCCAATCAAGGCATTTGACGAGGTCTCCGTCGGAATGCAGGTACTGGGGACGATCATCAATGTCCTGCACAACGGTGCTATTGTCCAGTTCTACGGTCGTCTCCGGGGCTTCCTCCCCCTGTCTGAGATGAGCGAGGCTTACATTCAAAACCCAAAGGAGCACTTCCGTCAGGGTCAAGTCGTCAATGTCCATGTCATTGACGTGGATGCTGCCACGAGTCGACTCATTGTCTCGTGCAAGGACCCTTCGGCCTTCGGAATCGATAAGCAACTGGCCCTGAAGAACCTCAGCATTGGTGACGTTGTCTCGGGCAAGGTCAGCCAGAAGACCGAGGACGACGTTTTTGTTGAGCTTGAGGGCAGCCTGCTCAAGGCGGTGCTCCCTGTCGGACAGTTGACGGACAAGAGTCGCCAAAAGAACCTGGCCGCTTTGAAGAGGATACACGTCGGTCAGACTCTAACTGATCTGGCCGTGCTGGAGAAGAACGAGGGCCGGCGAGCTCTCACTGTCACGTTGAAGCCAAGCCTGGTCGAAGCCGCCAAGAACGGAAAACTCCCCGCCAACTGGGACAAGGTCAAGGTTGGTGACCTGATCCACGGATTCGTTCGAAATGTTACACCTACTGCTGTCTTTGTGCAGTTCGGTGGCATGGCGACAGCATTGCTTCCAGCTGCCATGATACCTCAAGAACGACACAAGGAGCAGGACTTTGGTTTGCACAAGCTACAATCTCTGTCTGTGAAGGTTGTGTCTGTTGACCGGGATCATGCCCGTGCTGTGGTTGCCATTCCTTCTGTTGCAGATGCGAAGGAGCCGAGGCCATCCAAGCTCACCAACAAACCCGTCGAGAACCCGGTGGACGATTCAATCAAGAGCGAAGACGACATTGTTGTCGGCAGGGTGACGAAGGCCAAGATCATCTCTATCAAGAGCACGCAGCTCAACGTCCAGCTCGCTGATAATCTTCAAGGACGTGTGGATGTTTCCCAAGTCTTCGACTCCTGGGACGAGATCCGCCACCCGAAGAACCCGCTCCAGAAGTTCAAGCCGAAGCAGACGATCAAAGTCAAGGTCCTCGGAGTCCATGATGCAAGAAATCATCGCTTCCTGCCCATCTCGCATCGCTCAACACACTCTCTTATTGAGCTATCCGCCAAGCCCAGTGATCTGAAGGAGGAGGGTGCCTGCGATCCCCTCACCCTTGACCAGATCACAGAGGATTCAGAGTGGATAGGATTTGTGAACAACATCAAGGCCAACTATATCTGGGTCAACCTTTCACCGTCTGTCCGAGGCAGAATCGCCGCCAGCGACGCTTCTGACGACCTCGGCCAGCTCGGCAACCTCCCTGGAAACTTCCCCATTGGCTGTGCTATGAAGGTGCGGGTCAAGGCAGTCGAGGCGTCCAAGAACCGCCTTGATCTTACTGCTAGGACCTCAAACGAATCCAATGCCATCACCTGGGACAACATCAAAAAGGGTCTGGTCCTCCCCGGCAAGGTGACCAAGGTCACTGACAGATCAGTTCTGGTTCAGCTGAGCGAGGATGTCTCCGCTCCTGTCCACCTTGTTGACTTGGCAGACGACTACGACGACGCCAACCCCAAAAATTTCACGAGAAACGAGATTGTCCGAGTGGCCATTATCGATGTCGATCCAAGCAACAAGAAGGTCAGGCTTTCGGCACGCTCGTCGCGGGTCCTCAACTCTGCCTTACCAGTCAAGGATCGTGAGATCACCCTGGTTTCTGCTCTCAAGACAGGCGATATTGTGCGAGGGTTTGTCAGGCGTGTTGCAGACCAAGGCTTGTTTGTCAACCTTGGCGGCCACATCACAGCCTTCGTCAAGATCACAGACCTATCAGACACATTCCTGAAGAATTGGAAGGAGCATTTCCGGATGGACCAGCTCGTGAAGGGCCGCGTTATTGCCATCGATTCAGACCTTGGACAGGTTAATCTCAGCCTGAAGGACTCGCTTGTCAACAAGGACTACGTACCTCCTCGAACCCTCGCCGACTTCAAGGAAGGCGAGGTAGTAAAGGGCAAGGTCCGCAGTGTTGAAGACTTTGGCGCTTTTATCGTCATTGACGGGTCTGCAAACGTCAGTGGGCTCTGCCACCGGAGCCAGATGGCGGAGAAGTCCGTCAAGGATGCCCGTAAACTTTACAGTGCCGGGGATGTGGTCAAGGCCCGGATTCTGAAGATCAATTCCGAGAAGAAACAGATCAGTTTCGGTCTCAAGGCGTCCTACTTTGAGGACGGCGGTGAGGGCTCTGACGAAGAGTCGGACGACGAGGCAGGAGGCGCGTTGGATTCTGACGAGGATGACGACAGCGACGAGGATGACGAGTTCATGGATGCCGCCGAGGTGCTCATTCAAGGCACAGACAACATCGATAACTCAGACTCAGACTCAGACTCAGACGACGCTGAAATGGTGGACGCAGCTTCTGGAGATGCCGGTGGCCTCGACGCTGGTGGTTTTGACTGGTCTGCCGGGGCTCTGGATGAGGCTGGTGATGAGTCGGCCGCTGAAGTAGACGAGGCCGACGACAGCAAAGACAAGAAGAAGAAGAAGAGGAAGGCGGAAATCCAAGTTGACAGGACAGCTCAATTGGATGTCAACGGGCCCCAGACTGCGGAAGATTATGAAAGGCTTTTGCTTGGACAACCGGATTCCTCTGACCTGTGGATTCGTTACATGGCATTCCAGGCACAAGTCAGTGAACCAGCAAGGGCACGCGAAATTGCGGAGCGCGCTCTCAAGACTATCAACATACGCGAGGAGACTGAGAAGCTCAACGTATGGGTTGCCTACCTGAACCTGGAGAACCACTTCGGCACGGATGAGACGCTGGCTGAGGTCTTCAAACGTGCGTGCCAGTACAACGACGAGCAAGTAGTGCATGAGCGGTTGATCAACATCTACGTCGTGACCGGGAAACATGATGTAAGCCCTTTTCCTCCTCGGTTGTATAGCATGACAGCACTGACTATTGTACAGAAAGCCGACGACCTGTACCAGGCGGCCATCAAGAAGTTTGGTGCCAAGTCGCCACAAGTCTGGATCAACTATGCAACCTTCCTTCACAACACTGTCAAGGACCCAGAACGTGCTCGCGCACTCATCCACCGTGCAACACAACGACTTCCAAATCATGCTCACCTCCCGCTGATGACCAAGTTCGCCGGCCTGGAATTCAGATCCGCCAGCGGCAACCCCGAGCACGGCCGAACAGTGTTCGAGGGTATACTCTCGGCCTATCCGAAGAAGTTTGACCTCTGGAACCAACTGCTCGACCTCGAGATCTCGACGTACAGCGCGGCGAAGAAGAGCGAGGACGGCAACGCAGACCCCACACACGTCAGGGAGGTCTTCGAGCGCGGCACCAAGACCAAGGGGCTGAAGCCGCTCAAGGCCAAGAAGTGGTTCCAGAGGTGGGCCAAGTGGGAGGAGGAGAACGGCGATGCCAAGAGCAAGCAGAAGGTCATGGCCAAGGCCACGGAGTGGACGAGAGAGGCCGAGGCGAGGAAGCAGAAGGGCGAGGAGGAGGACGAGGAGTGATAGATGTCTATATGTGCTATACCCCAGGCAGGAAAGAAGCTGTATCAGTTTTGGACAAGGGAAAAGTATAAATTCAGAGCGTTGATCGTGCAGATTGCGGCCTTCCCGACCGGTAATAACTCCGTTACTGGATTCCCGGTGAAGTTCCGGAAACCCGTCTACAGCGGCCAGGCTTCAATGTTCCCCCCAAAGAGTCCTGTACGTGTGTTGATTATTCAGTCCAGTTGTCAGAGCATGTCTGCCGGGCTAGACTCTCGAAGACGATCGATTCAGATGCACTCCCGAACCCAATCTCCGGGCCGCCGAGCCCTCACCCACGCACCACGGTGATTTGAGTTGCCTTCAGAATTCATCATTAACATTATCCATACCCGTTCACCGGAGCGGAGCGGATTTCATCTCTCCCGAACGCGGGCAGTCGGCCGTCTATCTCACCGTAAAAGCTGCTGTGAGCTGCGACGAGGCAATGAAACCGTCACCGCCAAGCCCCAGCATCCACATTCAACCAGATGATATATTCTTTCAGACCATGAAAGTCATGCGAAACTGGCCCGTAAATAGTACAATGACTGCCGCTTTAGAAATGTAGACAGGCCCCTCTTGCTACACCGTCCTATCCCAGAACCCCGGCGTATCCGCAGCAGAAGGATGTGGCACATAGACTCGCTTCGAGGGTTCGCGAATCTCACGCGTTTGTCAGATCCGGCGTGAAGGGCAGGACCCGTGTCTCATTGCGTGAACCCAGAAGTCCATTGCACACTTGTCGACAGGAGGCCTAGGGGAAAACGCATCCAAATTCTCGTCACCCCACAGTAGCACGTTCCGTCTCCCGGTTCGCCATTTGATTGCACTGTTTCTGCCAATATTCACGGTATATATAACCACCTGATGACATTTCACGCTGTTCAGTGAGAAAAAGATCGACCAGCTCGACCGTCGCATGGGGGAAGTCCTCGAGCTGCTCCAGGAGTCACTGCCTTGCAGTATCCTGGGTCACAGATAAGGGGTAGCCTGGAAGCGCTTTCCCACATTGTCTCTTCACTGAGAGAGCAGACGGCCGCCAGAGAGTTGGCGTACATACCCTCACATCCGCCCGAGCCAACGACCCGTTCCACCCGGGAATGCGTTGCCTCCGATCAAGAAGACGGTGGAGCTCGCTCGCATCGATAGAAATACACGCCAACTACGCGCTTTAAGCGCTCCGGACGTCAAATAGCATGGAACGGGCGAGAAGAACGTCGAGGCCGATCGCGACGAGTCCTGAGGTCGTCACCCTGCGCCCCCATGCTGGCCGCGCAAGACACAGCGGTATACTGCAAGAGCATAGTATATAGTTTCGCTTCTATTCCATATACGTGGTTTCGCTTCTATTCCGTATACGTCCGAGGACATACATGGCGCCTTCATACGGTGATAGCGGAAATTATGTGCGGCTCAATTGATGATATGTCGGCAACTATTGTAGCAGAGACTTATAAGCCGCAGGCTTGTGTTTGGAATTGCCTGGCCTACACTAGAAGAACAACCTAGGAGTGACGGGACGGGTCTTGTGCATTGCTAGGAAGTAACGAATTCAGACTAGGCATTCTGGTCTTTTGGCCGGACAGGCAGAGCATGTGGCTAGCAATAACGCACTCCCGTTGCAATAGGGAGAGTGATTAAAGTTGTTGAACCGATCGTTACAGCATCCGAGTGGCTTCATATTATGAGCAGTAACAAATCCTGCCAATGGATGTCAAATCAAACTATTGCACGACTTGCTACTCTATCTCTCTTTCCCACGCCCATACGAGATGCCTCAGGAGAGCCCAGAGACCAGCAATTTTCCAAAAAGTTCTACAACATGACATCCCACTTGAGGATGAACAAAGGATTCATCGCACTTCGCATCAATGCAACTCGTACCTTGACCGCTTCCAACCCCCATTTCAACAGCACAGATGCGCGAATCGCCAGCTAGCCCTATCCCGGAGTATGCCGTGGCCACAGCCACACCGAGACTTTTTGCGATCTTTTCTCGTGCCAACTTTGTATGTACCAAGGGACCAGTGCGGGATCAGGCACGCAGGCGTAGCCTGTCATGTCTCGCCACTGACACATGTCAGCATGCCTAAGGGAAAAAAAGTTGAAAGGATAAGAGTTTTTCGCTTTGCTTTCGCCTATCGTTGCACGCCCAGGTGGGGTCCAAAATTCTCCTCGTGGCTACTGTGGTAGAAGCTTTCTACCAGGATGGCATCAGAGAGCTTCTGCAGGGTCTAGCATCGAGTCAGCGCAACAGGACTATGTCCGCGGATCAAATCAAAGGCGGCGCGGCCCGGCCATCGTCCGTTACTGTGCAGGCGCCTGTGTGCATGAGCGTACCGAGGCCAAAGTTCACGCTCGTCCTCCACCAATTTTGTTGTTTTGTTGTCACTGAATTGTCAAGCACATGGTCTCGTTATAGTATATCGTATAGCTTGGCTTCGAGTAGCAAGTGCTATAGGTATCCATAATACATGTTGTACACGCTGTACCATACCCTCTCTAAATCGGTCCACATGTTCAGGTCTGTTCCCAAAACGTGTACTCCGGTGAAATGAGACAAGAAGCAGAAAGTTGTCCAAACTTGGCAAACCAGACACCCATCAATGCACTTTGTCATAAGTCGGAGCTCTATCCAGGAAACAACCGATCTGCGCCATGCTCATGCAAACGAAAAATGAACGCACGTAATTCAAAAACCTCTTACTATGTCCGACTCCAAATCGACGAAAAGAGCCGGCCCTGATTCGAAGAAGAAAGAAAAATAAAATCAAGTAATTCAACGCCTCTGAAGCTGCGCGAGCAAGGTGTCTTCGTCTTTCACCAACTCCAATACAAGCAGTCTTCAATGCCCGGTCGCATTGCTGCTCTCAGCCTGCGTTTCCCGTGATGTGTGCTGAGGGTATATGTTTCGGGAGAGCCTGCAAGAAACAGGTGGGCATGAGTTTAGCTGGTCTCTCTTATCGGTGTAGTCGGCGGACCTGTAATCGTATCGGCCACATAGGCATGGTGTTGGGCTGATAGGTTTTTTTTTTGTGCCTTGTTCCATTCACGGTCGTCCTTCTGATCGACGTCGATAGTGATGTATTTGGCAATGCCCCGGCCTCGGTGTCCCAATCCAAATCTTGGAATGGTCAGCGGCCGTAGGTCTCATGATCCGATTAAAGTGCCCCGCTGTTGGGGCCTCGCAGCCGATCAATCCTCGGCGGCGGTGCGTGCTCCAGCAGATTATGAGGTGGGGCGAATCGACCGTTGCGGTTCATCAAAGTCCAGCTGTCGTCGCGGTCTCGAGTGAGCGGTGACCGAAGCGAGAAAGAGAAAAATTTTGTTCCTGGTGTTCTGCTGCGGCTAGTGCATAACCAGATCTCGCAAGGGTCCAGAACCCCAGGTTCCACAGGACCTGCATTCGACCTAACGGTGTGGAGACAGCGTCACTTGTGGACCACAGGATCTGTAATCCTTGCATGTCCTGCATGATGATGTTGCTGTGGCATGAGTCGTGGTTTCCGAAACCTTGATGTGCGTCCCGCGATATCGGCTGGTCAGAACGTCTGCTCTGGCAGCCTTGCAGATAACAAGGCCGCCCTGCATTCGCCCGACACTTTCGGCTGAGTCAAGAGATGTGCTTCTGGCCGATCGGATCAACGCTGATAAGCCGCACGGGATGATGTTTCTGGGAGCGACACGCCGGAGACGCAATGCCAACCCCACGCTCGCTCTGGTGGCCGGGCCGTGAGATTCGTGGCCGACGACAGGCACGCGCGGTAAATATGCGTCGCTGTTCTTCAATGAGCGTATCAATACGTCACCGAGACCCATCGTGTCGGAACGCCGTCGGCGCCAGTCTCATAGGGCTTCGTGCTCGTCTTCCTGGGAGGGAGTGCCCACCGGGCTCGACCGGGCCGTTGCTCGTCCAACTTGCCGCTCCTGCGCATGGCCATTTCCATAACGGCAATGCGGATAAAGTCGGAATTTTCCCGCATTTCACGCTGTCTTGGACCAGGGGAGAAGGAGAAACCCGCTTCTTTGCCTCGCGTTGACTGGTCCCCATTTGAGGAACGGGGCACCGCATTTTGACCCCGGGAGCCTGCTGGCGCACTCCTCGACCGGTGTACCTTGTACGTCTGCATCTGGATCGAGGCGGTAAAGGTGCTGCGTGAATTTTGCGACGATGACGATGCTTGCGATTCCAGCCGGGAAGTCTGCGTCGGGTTCAGATATCTCCGCACAGCCGCGGATGGTTCTTCGTCCAGGGTTGGTGGCATGCGCTCGTCCGTGAAGGGCACATTGGGCTCCATGGTCAGTATCGAGCGTGTGAGGAAGTCCTCGGGCGGGATCGATGGCATGTTCATGTTCGAGAATGAGCGCGCAGCGTTCCGTAGGGCGCGTAGGCTCGAGGTCAGGTTGGATTTGAAGGCGGACCTGAGGGGCCGCAAGGCGAGCCTCATGCCCCCCTTCTTCTCCTCTGTCTCCGGGGACGCATCGAACACGCTGAAGTCGAGCTCTTCTGTCTCCTCATCAACTGATAACGGGTGCTCCTCTCTCTTTCCAGGCGGCGAAGACACGGGCGTCAGCGACCTCCTCGTGGGCTGCATTCTCCGACCCCTCATCGGACTCGAGGGTGTGCCAACCGAGGACAACGTGTCGGTCGAGAAGGAATCGGTCAATGATGGCATCGACTGCACAGACTCGTAGGAGACGGTCCTTGTCGAGAGCGGGGATGCGATGGTGCTCTCCCCGATGGACAGGTCGTCGTCCTCCAACTCTTCGGGCGGGCTCAACAGGACATCCAGCGGCCCCTTGATAAAGTTCAGACTCAGCTCCTTCTCGGATTCCTGGCTCTGCTCCAGTATCGATTCAACAGTCATGCGCTTCTCCTTGTCCTTGGCCACACGCTGCCGTTGAGCGCGCTGGGTTCTGGGCGGGGGGATAGCGGTGACCGCCAGGAGTGCAGCCACCGAGGGGGGGATCGCATCGGGAGACTGCACCTCGCCCCACCGGGGGGAGCTAGAACGCTGCCGTCGTTGCTCATGATAGCGGTGGCTGCGTTGTTTTGGCGGGTTGACAGCATCCCTTTTGGACCTGGTGGGGATCTGCACCGGGCTTGTGGGAGTGGTCGGCCTCGAGCAAGTCGTGGTCGCGGATCTCGGGGGACTCGGGGTTGGAGTCGCGTGACTTGATTTGACAGGCCGTCGCGATGTCACAGCCATTTTCGTGGTAGTAACGCTTGCTGTTGAAGTGCGGGGCCCGTAAGGAAAGGTGAAATCTCGACCATACTTGCCGTCTGGCGGAGGGGTGGAAGGTGGGCTGTCGAGGGGTGAGAAGAAGTGAAGGTAGCCAGGAGAAACAGAAGTCGGGCTGGAGACGGGGGCACGGGGATTTTGGTTCGGCCTGGAAAAAAGGAGGGACCTGGGCGACATCATCTTGCTGTATGTGCTAGTCTGGGCCTGACAAGGCTTGGCCTAGGGAGAGTGCAGGTATGCAGACGTGGTGCAGCCGTGGACATGTCCGGTACGACTGTGAGTAATGAGAACGTGGCAGGGGGCCCTGCGACGGGTTTGGGCCGGCTCCTGAGCGTGCAGGCGTGCAGGCGTGCAGGCGTGCAGGCGTGTGGTAATGCAGTGGGCCTGGGCGTGGTCGAGAAGCCAACTGGAAGGTTTTGATTTAGCCAGACTGGACCCAGGAAATGCCGGGCAGGGTAGGGCTATGATGCTTATTTGCAGAGTCGAGCGGTGGGCTGGAAGGGTTTTGGTTCAGGGTCTCATTGCTTGTACGTAAGAGTACGTAACGAGAACGTTGTCAGGATGCAGGGCCGGGCCAGTCAAAGGCAAACCGGTCGGTCGGGATTGGCTGCCGAGTCTGTTTTTGGGCCCTGTTCGGTGGCCAGTTCGCGTTTCGTTGTCTTGTGTGTTGGCCTGGGACAGAGCGAGGGCCGAGGGCAGGCAGGATCATATATCAAGTTCAACAAGGTCAACAAGGCCTCTGTGCCTCGCGCTTGGCCTCCCAATGATAAGCTTTCCGACAGGCCACACAGTACCAGGCCGTGCAGATGTTTCTTGCTGCCACTCGCAGGTGGGAACAGCGGGCGGGGTGGAGCGTGGTAAGATGTCGCGTGCGGCGTGGGAGAGAGGGTCTTTTGACCCTTTGTCGCTGGGTGGACGGCGTCGTATGCTCCGCCCCGGCTGGACGGCCAAGGTTCAAAATCGAAAACCAAGCTGGGTCTCGTCTGGCGCGGCGAATGGAATCGAATCAGATCGGGGTGGATCACAGACAGGACACACAGTAGTAGTAAGTAGTGTAGAGAGAAGGGACCTGCCAGGCTGCGTGTGACCTCATCGGGAGCCTCCGCCGGCTGCTTGGGGATTTCGTCACTGGGTATCCGTATTTCAATGGAACCCGGTGAGAACCTTCTACTCCTTGTTTCTCCCTCTCAGACAGACACCTGAAGACTGCTGACTGCTGCTCCGAGTACACGAGTACACGATGGGTTGTGTTTTGGAGGGGGTGTGTGTCTTCCCTTTGCTGCACAACAAAGAAAGAGGCGTCCGTGGGCTCCGGGCCAGCATGGAGTGAGAAGTGTGCCTGATTATAAGACGGGCGGCAGGGCGGGAGGGACAGGCAGGCGTCCTGATACTGAAGTGGCACTGATACCGATTACCGATAGGGATGGCCCAACGAGGGAGGAGCAGCTGCACCAGCGTCCAGCAGCAGTGACGCTGGCAGGCTGGGTGACGACCAGGTACAGTACGTGCCCAACTTGGCAGGAGCCAGGTACTCAACATGGCCAAAACGGGTGAGACGAGACATGCGCGGGACCAGCTGATAAGGGAAGGAGACAAGGGCGGGCTACCAGGGATTACCGCTGCTCACGCGCGAGGGACTGTGCCTTCCCGAGGAACCCCCAAAAAGTCGCAACTCTATTCCCTGGGCTGTGACTGGCCCCCCCCCGGCCCCCTTGGGCACCCCAAGGCTGGCTTGGCTGGGACCCTTTCCCTCGCTGATAGCATCTCAACACGAGACAGGCCGAGCAGGCCCAGAAACAGGCTGAGCCGGACATGACTGACGCAGTGACACATTCCTGGGCAGAGGTGCCCTTGCTACGTGTGTTTCTTCGGGTGGCCAAGGCATGGGCATGGCAGGATGGTCAGCGCTGCAGGATCCTGGTTGTTGTTCATCTGCTGTTTGACTGTCCTTCCTGCCCTTCCTGCCCTCGAGCACACGACCAACCTGCGAGAGCACACTAGCCCGGGCCTCGGTGCGCACGCTCGACCTTGGCCTCTGTCGCATGACCCCCCAGCCCGCCAGCCTGCCCAACCCGACTGAGAACAAGTACCTACACAAAGCTACAGTACTCCCTCCCCGAAGCATAATTACTCCGCATGGTGTGTGAGCGTACGCGTGTGTGTGTGACCATGACGATGACTGTATCCGAGTTCCCCGTCGGCCACGCTCCCCGCCATGTCTGTCTCATCATGTCTCTTTTTTGATTACCATGATTATTAACGTCTTCCCAGGCCAAAATCGGACTCAGATGACTGACTCGGGGCAGGCATCTGGGTGAGACACGGGCACGTGGGGGGTCAAGTCGGAAAAGCTATTACTGTCTGGTACTCCGTACTCCATCGTCCATTGCCATGTTATTATTGTGGTCGATGCTAGTCGGCTCCACTCCCGTAGCGTCCCCACAGTCGTCTTTTATCGTCGGCTGTCCTGGCGTCCTCCGTCTTGACCTTCCTCATCTCTCCTGGTGAGAGCACCCATGTTGGAAGGACAGAAGAATTGTTCAATCTCCCAAGGCCCTAACAATCAAAAGCCCACCGGGTAATATGGCCAGGCTGCTTTTGGCTGTCCGGCGACCCGGGACTGCCACCCTTCTGGAAGCCTTCCTCCAAATTTTGGTCGCAGGGATCTTGATTGACCTGGACGAACACCGGCCGGAATGGAATGATGGGGTCACCTCTGACGCTCTGTCATTAGACAAGACTAGTACCGAGATGGGCACTCCGTAACCCGCACCCACGACTCCCACATTTCTGTCTTCAATTTCGCATGTGTTGTGGGCACCGGCGCGTTGAGATTTCGGGCTTGTCTCACCTGGCAGCCTGGCTCATATGCCTTGATGCCTCGACCTGGACGTCTTTCTCATGCAGTCGGGCAGTCTCAACCACGGTTGAGCCAGCCATGTACACGCCGACACGTCGACAACACCGCTGTCAACGCCACAGATCCACATTCTACCCGGGCCTGTCTACTAAGCCCTACCTGCAGAAGTAGGACATTGTCTGTGCTGGCCCGTGTCCACGCTGCTCCGCGCGGGACAAAGCAATTCTCAGTCACCCGGCACGCCTGAGCTTGACTACTGCTGCGTGGGGCCCAATCCGCATCATCTTTGTTGGGCAAAGTACTCCGTAATACCGCAGTAGATTGATTGATTGATTGATCGATTGATCAACACTTGCCCTGCGCTGACACCCGTCGGCATCTGTGGCCAGGCGGGGCCTCTCATTACTGTTTTGAATATGCGACGGCAGCTTCGGCATATTCCTAATAATTGCCGGTGCAGCCGTCGCCCGCCCGCAGCGTTTGTTGCACAACGGCTTTGGGCACATAAAGCAAGGACAATTCCGTCCTCTGCATCACCTTTATTAGCGCACACCTGGCTGTCGGTCGAGGGTCGGGCCTCAGCCTCTGGGGAAGCGTCACATCCCAAGGTGTCAAGCTGCAGGCGTCTCAATCCAGCCATTTCTTATCACCTCTCGCTCATTCGCTGCGACACCTGGTCTTTGTGCTGGCCCTGCCCTCGGCGCGCCTTGCCTTTGTGTAACCCACCACCCACCAGCCTACCAGCCGGCCTGCACTTTGACGGCACTCCGGATTTGACTCATATATTTATGGGGATCTTTAGGCCCTGACATACTCCGTACTGCCAGGGCTGTGTAGATTATTCTGCCACAGCGCCGGAAGCGTAGGTGCCGGCCGATCGATGGGCGCTCTTTGACCTACTCCAAAGACGCACACAACTGTCAGCCTGTCAGCCTGTGGTGCCCGGGGAGCCTCGATTTCCCCCGGCGTCTCTGGACCCCTGGCACAGAGGTTCCCACCTTGGATCGTCACAAGGCCAGCGGCTGATTGGGATAGACAAAGCTGAAAGGGTGGCGGGAGCCCACGCCTCTGCCAGCCCACTGTACTGCGTACACAGTATTTTCACATGTCCCACAGGGGAGAACGTGCTCGCTGGGGTTGGTGCTTGGGCAATCGGTCCACAAGTGGATATGGCAAGGCATCAGTGCTCCTCTGCACATCAGGTGATGCGCACCTGCGAGAATGGTCTCCGTGATAGGACCCGAGTCCCTCGAACTGACTGCAGTAGTTTGCGAAACTGCTTGCTATACACGACAGACAGACAGACAGACAGACAGACAGACACGGTTGAGAACCCGGAGATGTACAAATCACCTTTCCCCATACAATTAAAGTTAGGTTTTGCGGAGGCTCCCGTCGTGCTGAAATGCGCTACCACTGCAGTGGTCTTATCGACTTGCGCAAGCCGTATCTGATGTTTGACGAGACGCCCTCCCCCCCAACTGGACCACCAACACCTGGTGACATCGACCACCAAATACTGTGTGTCTCAAATATTCAATCTCCAAATTATATCCATTCTCATCCCGTGGCCCCAATCCAGTACCACCCACTTCTTTGCCCCCCCCCGCGCGCATGATGCCTATAATACACCACACGGGGAACAGCCGCACCGATCGGCTCAAGCGGTTCCAAAGCTGATGACTATGGTGCCTGGGGTAGGCTTTCAAACCATTGGCTTCCCCTCCCCCCTTCTTCCCGGGCCCCCGAAAACCAGCCGGGCTGGCGGCAACCCCGGCGGGATCACAAGCTGGTCGAGGCTACGGCGGGGTCGCTGATCGACGGCGCTCGCTCCATCACCCCCGGGGTCATCGATGCCAACGTTGATCGTCGACAGGGCTCGAGGGGCGCTGTCGTCCAGTCAGCCCGCAAACGGCCAGCCCACTCTCCGTGGTCGCCTCAAAGACAGTCCAGTCCGTGCTCCTCGTCGCCATCTCCCGGGGCGGTGTACGCACACACGTAGCGCCATGTGCGGTTTTTACTTCAGGGTATCCGTAGAAACTACAATACAGGTAGAATTCGCGAGGCCTGCGTATCCGACCTCGGCTCCTGGACAACCGCGCTCAGCATTCTTTGGCGCAAGCTGGTAACTAACAGACCCGTCGTGCATTGATGAAGCAATTTAGAATAGACATTACTATAACCCAGACTCTGTAAACAAAGCCGTCACTTCATATGGCACTCGCTCTCTCTCAGGCAAGCATCCACAGAACCCCCCGAACCCAATATCCCCACCGTCATCCGCATGGGCTGGTCCCACGCCGAACGTCCATCAATACAGGAATCTGGCTTGAAGAACTGCACAAGCATCACTATTCAAGCACGAGGAGAATGACAGTGCATATGCTTCAATAAAATACCCCCTAACGCCTAATGCTTGCTGAGTTTATAATGCGGGAGTTTTCCGCCCACCGCCCAAACCCTCAACGAGTTATTCCTGCCATGCCCATGCAAGAAATGAGCGAACGACACCCCTCGCAGAAACTCGCAGAGAATAAAAATTAGGCAGACTCCATTGCGTAATGGAAGGCAAGTCATTCTGACCTGCTTATAATCGTCTTACGATCGTTGCCACCTCAGGTCCCCATTTTCCAGACGCTCGTCTTGATCCAACCCCAACTGAAAAGAAAGGCAATAGGGCCGCCCTTGCAGGATCCCACCGCATGCAAGTTTGCTCACCTCTTGCGATTATATACAATTAATTATAGCGTGTACAAGGAAGTCACCAATTCAGCCTTGTCGGCGTCCCTTCTAGTTTCCCTGCCTGGCTTTCATCAACCCCTTCATGGGCCCGGGTAGCAAACCCCCGCGAGTGCTCTCCTCGCCGGTGTTGCTCCTCTCCCTCTCGAGGGCAGACCCCGTCTCGTCCTCCTCGATGACGTCGTCCACAGCCATGCTCGCGCTCCTCGACGACCAGCGCGACGCCGGCCGACGTTCGGTGTTGGCTTGAATCGGGGCGGTCGATGGCGATGCCGGCGGCCGTTCCCGGTCTGTCCTGTTGTCCTTGTTCAGCTTGGACGTGAGGGCCGTGAACTTTTCCTTGAAGAACCCTCCCGCATTGCTCTCGCTCTTGCCACTGGCGCTGTTCAACGCGCTGAGCATTGTCCGGCGCCTCTCGACACCCGACTCGGGGGAGATGGTGTTCGGACTTTGTTGGATGCTCATGTTGCTTCCTCGGCGCTGACTGTTTCCACTGTTCCCGAACCCACCGTTGAATGACCGCATGCTGCTGCTAGAGGACGGCCGCAGCATGTTGACCCCGAAACCAGCGTGCTTGTTGCTGCTCGACTCCGAGTTGGTTCTGTCCTTGGGCGTTGGTGGTGTCATCATCAAGAAGCTGGGTACAACAGGGCCAAAACCCTGCTGAGAGCTCGTGGCACTACCACTGCCCGATGGGGGGTTGCTGGTGTTTACGTTCAGATGCCCGCTCCTGAGTGACTTGCTGCTGGATGCTACGCTCGAACTGCGGCTCGTGCTCCGCGGGATGGGAACGGACGACCCTGAGCCATGCAATGACCTTGGCGGCGACCTGGAAAAGTCCACCGTGGCTGACCCGAATATGCTCGAAGAATCGTCGCCGCTGTTGTTCTGGCTGTCACCTATCGCCGGGGCTGCTAGCAAGACCGAACTGTTCGCAAGCTCGCGAAGTTTCGACTGTTGCGCCGTGTTAGGCCGATGTCTGAACTTGTTGCCGATGATGGCGCCGGTATGGCTAATCAAGGCCTTCATCACCCGGCTCTTCAAGGCCAGAGCAAGGTCGAGATTCGACCACATCTTGTTGTGGTACTCGATTGTGGGCAGACGGAAGACGAAGTCGTGCACGTCCTCGATGTTGCGCTCGCCCTTGCCCTTGTAGCTCAGACAGAGGACAACCGATGGTAGCTTGATGTATGCGAACGTCATGTAGCTAGACGCTCGACTGATCATCTTGGTCAGATCGTCTGACGGCGCTTCGTCCTTGTTGTCTGACCTGCGGAGGTTGAAGCGCGACTTCTTCGAGTCCGAGTTCACCGAGCTGGCGTCAACCTTGGACGAGTAGCCCGTGTTCGTCCTACCAACGCCGGGACGCGTGGGGTTGGGAGTGGCTCGAAGCGAGTCCCACGACCGCTTCCTGGCGAGGCCCTTGTTCTTTGACCCGAACAGCTTGAATGGGGCGGACTCGGCCGAGTGAACGCTGAGCGCCTTGTTGCTCTTTGGGGGGCTCCGCTTGGCCTCAGACGTTAGCGTAGGACGCAGACGAAGCTCCAGTGAGCCGGCCCGAGTCGAGAAGTTTCCAGGGTCGAGCCGATCTATATCAGACACAGCCGTGGCAGGCCGCGCGTATTCTTGAATCGAGTCGTCATCGTCATCTGCTGCCTCGTCTCCTGGTATGGCCTGCTTCAGCATGAAAGGAGAGGCGTTCTGACCGTCGCCTCCAAATTTGTCCCCGTCCATTTCCGGGAAGATGTACTCGAACAGTTTCTTGCCCACCTCTCGTTCCAATTGGACCTTGAGCGGGAAGAGGTTGACCTCGAAATGTTCCATGACGGGGATGCCGGCAATCGCCTCGAGCATGTACCAGTACACGGTGATCATGGGCTGACTGTTCAAGACCGAGGCGGATTTGGCATCTTCGAGGTACGGTGCGACCATCTCAGGATAGATCGCGTCGGGCAATAAATTGAGACCCAGTACCTTGCCAACACGTATCAAGTTGATGTGTGAGCCATCAGAATTGTCCGTCCTGTCATACTCGACATCCCGGAGTTGCAGCTCGCACAAGGGCTCATTGGCATCCCGGATCAGGTGCCATACGATGTCCTTCACCGAGATGGACCACTTGAGTAGCGCATTGCTCTGCGACGTATCGTGCTTTCGCTGAGAAGTTGTGATGGCCTTCATCATGAAGAACAGCTCGTCCTCGCAAGCTGCAAGGTCCCTCTCGAGGAGCAGCCTATCCTGCCAGCCCTGCTCGTCCAGGTACTTGGAATGAATTTGGAAGTATGATTTGATGTCTTCCAGCTGCCTGATCCGTTCTTGCAACTTGGTTACCATCTCTGGCGTGCCTCGCAGATCGCTGAAGTCGGATGCCAACATGATCTTTTCCAGGCGCTCGCTGCGAGTCTTCTCCAGAGGCTCGTTGTACATGAGCAGGTCCAACACGATGACGTAAATCGCGTAGTACTGCGAAGAATTGCAGATGGCGCGGGCCTGGGGGAATTCGACCCAGAGATTGTCCATGCGACTTTCCGTGGCTTCGTTCGACTCGCCGTCCGCCGCATCACCCGAGTTGACCTCGTCGTTATACTTGAGACGGAGTGTGTTGTATTTGTCGTAGCGGAGCATAGCCGATGTTTTCTGAACAACACGCTTGAAGCCGACGGGGTCTGTTTGGTAGTCGGACATCACCTCCATGGGCACCCAAGGGGGCCAGGCCGAGCCACTCGGTGCACCGTAGACGCTACCAGAGTACATGGGAAGCAGCTGGCTCGAGAACCACTTCTGGTGAGAGACGAAAAATTGCGTACTGTCCATGTTGACCAAAAACCGCCGCTGGACAAGACCGCTGACGGAATCGGATATCCTGTCCTTGTCCAAGACCTCGACCACTTTCAACTCCATGCCCTTGCTAGTTAGCATGACAACGTGTTTCTTATTCTTCTCGCTTTGAAGCTGAATCTGCGGGGCGATGAGGCGGACGTGGTAGCTGTTCTGTGGCGTGAAGCCGTCAGCAATGCCGCTGGTGAGGTCCTCCATGGCCACGTTCGGAGCAGCATCAGGACCAGAGTCCTGATCAGAATCATTGGCGTTGACAAATCTCCGGCCATCCTGGAGGATCTGCTTGATCCTGTCTTCGATGCCATTTTGTGTGCCCTGTGCGGACCCGTTTGATTTTGGCGTCGCAGTGGGCTCGGATTTTCCGGTGTCTTTAGTACCATTTGCACTTTTGATCTTGGTTTGTTCTTCCACAATGTCCAGTATGAACTTGACGGCCGGTCGCGAGAGGTAGTAGACAAAACCCCGTCGCTGACTGACCTGGTGGATGTAGCGGAGTATGATGTTTCGCAGGAGGTTGTTCCACTTGAGTTGCAAATTGTGCATGACGAAGCGGTTCAAGAAGTCGCTAGCGAACTCGGCACCTGTAGGTAGCGACATTGTCTGCTCACCAGTGCCGACAGAAGTGTCTGATTTGCCATTCTGACCGTTGGCCACATTGTAGAAGGCACCACGTGGATCCTGCGCGGGCTTGGCGGTCATCTGGTTTAGAAGGTTCTCGAGGAAGTCCTTCTTTTCATGGAGAAGGCTACTGTGCATGAGGAGAGCCTCGAGATGTGTTCGAGCATCAGGATCATGGTCCCCGTCTCTGACGACTCTCAGCTCTGCCTCACCAACATTACGGTCGTGGTTCTTAGTCTGTTCCGCTAGCTGATCGAGGCGCTGCTGGACGAGTTGAGCTTGCACACGCCGAGGGTCATCGTCCTGACTCATTATACACAAATGGGTAGGCTCGTGTCCAAAAGGACTGGTCCTGTCTGGATCTCCGGCTATGACGCCGCCAATGTCGGTCTGTCGGAAATAAGTGAGCCTAGGACAGTAGGCAAGGGGCAGGATCTTCGTGTCCGGGTTCGGTTCAGCTGGCAAGATCCAATCCAGCTCGACAAAGTCATCCATGTCTACCCAGCTGAAATCATTGTCGGGGATTGTGAATTTTGACAGATCCGTGCCCTCGTCTTCCTGCTGGCTCATGAGCGAGCCGATATGGTTCTTCCTGATCGCCTCTGTTGTTGTGCCTTTGATACTAGCAGATACAGCACGAACATCTGCGGCGGCCAGGTCCAACTGGCCTGCATGGATCTTCATCCCGGTAGTCCGGCTGCCTGCCTTGTGTCCCTTGTCGCTGGTGTTGAATTCCTCGCGTCTCATGTGGAGATCCAGCTTCCAGCTGTCAAAACGGACCTTGAGGCCAGTGGCGGACACGGCGTTCTCGTCATAATCCTCCACGTCCTTGTGCTTGTAAATATGACTCAAGAATAACGGCGCGAGCAACAGATTGAACTTGATGGTCCCGAGGTGTCTGCCAAACTTTTTGCTGCTCTTCTCTCGTCCTGGCCAGAGTGGACCTTGTCGGACAGGTAAGGACATGGGTCCGCCGAACAACGTCCACCATGCGAAGAAGTGTGTGAAGAATCGTGGCGTAAGATGGACGGTGTTGTAACTTCTTGAGGGCTCCACATCAGCAGACGCCCAGTCACGGTCCACTGGTGCTCTGACAGCAATGGACAAGTGGATGTGCTGACTCCTGAAACCCCTGAAGGCGTCATATGGGACGCCATTGACGGGCTTTGCATATTCAGGTGCCTTGAGAACCACGTCATAATGGGGGCTGAACTCGAAATTCCTCTTGCCATTCTCGATGGCTTGTTCGAAAACGAGCCCCGCCAGCCACTGAACCTTGCCCGATAGTTTCATGACTACCTTCTTGAAGGCAGAGCCAGATTTCATGCTGTCTTCGCTGATCACACTGTCGTTATCGGCAGTCCGACGAGCCGCTTCTCGTGCGTAGTGCCCAAAGTCGGGCACGGCGAGGACGTACTCGCCACTGTCTACTGTCATGAAGCGTTTGGGGTCATCGTCGGATCGGATGCTCCATCTGACATCGTTTCGCCAGCACATGAGGAAGCCAGCACCATTCCCAGTGATCTGGTACGGATCTCTGGACCCCTTGAGGCAGAAGTGAACATCGCCATCCCCTTTCCAAGCGATGCGTACGCGGGAATGGAAATTGAGCCGGATCTTGTCCCAGAAGCCAACACGCTCGGACGGATCCGACTGTGGCTTCGTGAACGACTCAATAACCATCATCATGTCCTGGATGGCGGGCTGGTACGATGGGCCCCAGGTGATCCTCGTTGGCAATGCCGTATTGACGTCGACGTACATATCGGAGAACGACTTGATCGGGCCGATGGTGCGCCTGACATCGATAGAATAGCCGGGTTGTTTGGTGCCTTCTGCGTGTGGGGGTGAGGGGGGGATGACATTCACTCGGACACTCCTCGTAGACTCAACGCCGCGGAATTCTTCTGCAATGACAAAGTCTGTCTTTAATGACAAAGCCGGTATGCGTGTCGATTGTCCGGCCTTGAGACTGGGCACGTGTATGAGGGGCAGCGGGTAGTCTCTCAGCGACACTCTTGCTTCTCCCATGTTGATTTGGACATTCATGGGGACCAGCAAGGAATACTTCATGTCCCGGGGCATTCCCTTGCCGACCCTGTGGAGGAATTCTGGTAGCTGCTTCAACGGGAAAGAAGGCTTGTCGATCATGAAATGCAGGTCGTGAATCAAGGCCGACATGAGAGCTGGCCGTTCTGGCATCTCCAGAATGCTCTCGTTGTCCTCGAAATCATCCGGGATATTGCTTGTGCCCCAGAAAGCACCCCTTATATCTTTCATGCCATTGCGGGCCATGAGGTAAAAGCGATCGATGCGAGACCTCCAGCTCTTGGAGTTGTGCTCGTTCAGTTTCGCTCGGGCATCCGCGATAGAAACCAGGGTATGCCCGCTAATACCACAACCATTTTCTGGATCGTATCTCGGCGCACGACCTCTTTCACGCCCGCCGCTGCTCTCTGGCCGACGACCATCGGCACTCTGACTCCGGACCCAGGAAGCACCAGAGTGGCTCGAGCGTCCTCTGCCAGCGGCCGATCGGGCTCGAACGCCGGTCTCTTTTCTCGCCTCCTCGTGGATCTTCTTCACTTTCACCTTGAAGGCCTCCTCGCGGGCTAGTCTCTGCATCTGCTCTATACGACCAGCCCGGTAGATCATGCCAAGCTTCCACTCAAATGCACCGTCCTCGAGCTCAAATAGCAGCGACTTGCATTTCACTGACACTTTCGGTACGTTCTTGGGCCCTTCAGGGCCTTTGTCCAAAACGTACTCGTCCGTGCCTGTCCTGAAGCGGTGGTGAAGTTGCTTGACAGCTTTGATCACGTTGTTGACGTTGTCGGATACCTTGTTGAAAACGAGCTCGTTCGGAACAGCACCCCGGACAGCATCTGCAACGACGTCAAACATTTTTTCGTCTTGATAGCCGCCAGTTGGTAGCTTCCGGCGAGATTCTCGGTAGTCGAGACGCCCATTCTTGATGCTGAGAAGCTTGCTCCAGACCCTGCGCATCCGTGGGGGCTCGGAGTAGAGTCTGACCAGCCTCGTATGGAAGAATGGCGGGGACCAACGATGGCGCCCGGCTTCCAGGTTGTGCACGTGTAGCATCATTGGCGGGTCTGATGGCATGTCTGCCTTGATTTGCACAAAAGTCGCTTTGAAATCCACTGATATTAATTCAGCTACTGGCGCGTGCTCCTCGTCGGTGGAGGAGTAGTCTTGCGTGGGAGGCGACAGATACTGCGCACTGAGACTGTGCCTCGGTGTAGTCGGCGTAGTTGGCATCTGCGGTGTCTGGGGCGCCTCTCCCAGATCGGCACTGTCCTTGCTAGAACGCAGGAAGGCTTTTCGAAGGACAGAAACAGCAACCCCCACGGCGTAATGCCGGTAGAGAGAATACTGTACCAGAAGCGTCTTCACATGTGAATTGATGTGGAACACAGGACCCTGATGGTCACTCGCAGTCGAGAGGGCGACTTCAAAGCGAGGTATGCTGAGAAAAGGGTCAACCTCCCAGCGATCGGCTGACTCAACGACGAAAGCTTCTAGGCCACGGACGTGGAAAGCTATCCGGCGTCCATCGCCGGGGCTTTGATGTTTTTTCCTCGGGGACGGAGGGAGGTTCTTGAGGATTTCTGGATCGAGCGACACGCTCACGCGACTGTTGGCCCGTTTCCTAGCCGGCCGGCGAGGCAGGCCCTCGAGCCTTTGGGCTCGGTATTCAGCTGTCCAAGTGTCCAGCGAGAGAGAGACGCCTCGCGAGTCCTCGGACACACCTGCGTCAACCCCTGCGATCTCGGCGCTGAAGTCGGATGCCTGCAGCTGAAAGTGAAGGAGCCAAGTCGGCACACCCCGCAGGAAATTGGAATGCTTGGAAGATTTTGGGCTAGCTTTCTTTTTGGGCCCGGCCTCCAGACGCAACTGTTGGACGATCTGTTGCAAACCGTCTGTGATTTCTGGTCGAACAAGTCTGATGGCAAAAGTCTGCAAGTTACCATTGGCAACGACTGCAACATCGGGGGACGCGCTCAGATTGACCTTCAGGTCAAATGATTCTGTTTCCACCAGGTCGAAGCGTTCACCTTCAGAAGTCTGGTAGTATAGGTTGTGAGATTGAATCCTCAGGTTAGAAGCCAAGGAGTAGTGCAGCTCCTCCCCGGACGGATGGAATGACTCTGCATCGAGGGAGATGGAGGATATAGAAGAAATGATCAAATCAAAGTCATCGGGGTCGGCGTCCTTCTGGACAGGGGGGAGAGCTATGCGGACGACTGGCTCGTGCATGGAGAACTTGATGGTGGCTTTGGGAAGTAGCCGTGAGATCAACATGTGCCGCTGTTGAGGAGCTGTTGTTCTCGCCCTCTTGGGTTTGGACCGGAGCATGGCGAGGAGAAGCGGGAGGTGCTTCGGATCCAGGTCCACCGAAGGCGAGGTAACGACAGAGTTCGCAAACAGGATGTTGGCGTTCCTCTGCTCTGCGTTGTCGTTGCTGGGAAGCTGGACGGTCTTGGCAGGAAGTGTTGTCCGGACCGTCGTTGTCGCCATTGGCACATAGAGCAACCGTTGCGGGCTGCCATGTCCATCGTCAAGGCCTATGGAAATCGACAAGGCAGCAAGGAGTGCCTCATGGGCAATGTCCGTCGAAGGGAAGTACATCCTATGAGCAGGGGACTTCGGATCCAGTCGATGGAGGTCTATGCCGACTTCTTTCATGGAGGCGTTCAGGATTACTGGTGGACCGGCCGTCTTCACGGCCTCGATCTTCTTGGTCAGGGCGAAGAAGCTGACCGCAAACTGTACCTCCTTAATGCCCCTCAGTATGGAACTGACGAACTCCTTGGAATCCGAAACAGCCTGCATGAGCTCGTCGTCGGTACTCCCCGGCTCTTCAAGCTCCTGGACAACCTTGTCGACGTACTCATCCAGTGGCTCATCTGCGTGTGGGCTGGCTGTGGTCTCGAGCTTGCGCTTCTGGTAGCGCTTGGCTGATTCGCGGATCTCGTCCAGGGGGACGTGGACACGGCCGAGCTTCAGGGCAATCGAGGCGTCTCGCAGACCGTCCAGCTGTTCATAGAGGAACCCATGCACGTTCAGAGTCGAATGGTCGAGGACTTCGATGGATTCGCTGCCAATGGGCGTGAAGAGGACGCTTCTGATAGTCATGATCCATTCGGCCTGGTTCTTGCCGTGGCTTTTCCCGGACCTGGGCCCCCAGAAAAACCGAGCCCGGTCCACCATCTTCCGCCGGGTGTCGACAGCGACCGTAACGCTCCCGAACTGGACGTGGCCGACGTCCAAGACGTTGAGCGTTGAGTTTGTTGCCACCACGTCTACCAGGCGCAGCCAGTTGACGTTCCGGTGTAGTCTTTTGATGCGCTCCTTGATCTTTGTGAGGTGCTTCCATGTCTCGCTGCGCTGGACGCTCGCGGTGGCACGTCGGACGAGAGGTGTCTTGGGAACTTTCAAGGAAGCCTCCTCTTTCTTATGTGGCGCAGGGTCGTCGGGGTCCCTGGCGAGGGCGCCGTTGGCCTTGCTACGATCCAGCTCGACGAGGTCGACCGTGACGACGAGCTCACTGACGACGATGCTGAGCCATGTCGGCTGTGCGAAGGTTGGCCTGTGGACGTTGAGCCCAAGCCCTCTGATCTCGATCTTGACACCATCTTTTGGGACGTAAGCGAGGCGGCGCAGGGAGAAGTAGCCGATGCGTTGGATGGAGAGGCCGGTCAGGATTCGGAGAATGGCGAAGAGGACGAAGGAGGATAGATAGAGGACGACAAAGACGCCGAATATGAAGGTCGGGTTCAGGAGCGCCATGTCGAGGCGAAAGGCGACAGCGCTCTACCTGGCGCGCGCCGTTGTACTATCTGAGGTCATTTATGGTCAGCCTCCTCCCTCTATCTCCGGCCGGCCCGCACGAGGGGGACTGGGCGGACGGCGGGGGCGGGATGAGTGGGCAGTGGACGGTGTGTGAGCACTGAGTAGTGGTGTTTCCCGGCACGCGACATACATGAACGGGTCCAATTTTGTATCATTGTCCATTAGAGCGCTCACTATACCAGCCTCGGGCAGGGTATAGAAATGTTGGGGAAGGTTTAGTGTAATGGGACGCCAAGCAATTGGAGGTCGCGATGGTCAAATTGAGTTACACGCGGTGGGAGCTTGCAGCTTGACGGGGCGGCGGCGAACAGCAGCACAAGGACCAGGTGACTGCGCAGGCCTGCTATTTTGTGCGGGAGCACCGTGGTCGGCGCGGACCTTGGGGGGAGCCTGGTGACAGAAGGGGCGTAAGGGGCCAGCAGAAGGGGAGGGAAAGGTGTCACAAAGGAGGAGAGATGGCCGGCGACAAGGCTACACCAAGCCAGGAGTCCGCGATGGTGTTTGTGTGTCTTTGGTTTGGCGAGACGGGCGGAGTGCCGGGGACTGGCAGACAAGCGTTCCGGCAGAGATGTTATTGTGCCTGGTCGAGTCGAGCCGGATCGAGTTGTCGAGTCGCGGGTGGTTTGAACTTTGGCCATAGGTTCACGGCTCGAGCCGAGAATGACAGACACTGGAGACGGAATTGGAGACAGCTGCGCTCACGGATGGGCCAGCAGCCCAGGCGTGCATCATGACGGGGGACCTTGGGCCCCCCCCCTGGGCCCCACGGAGGCTGCCCCCTGCCCGCCCGCTGGCGGCCTTCCATTCGGCTTCTTCAGCCCTTCTTCCCCGCCTCAATCTCTCGAGAGATTCTGATGGGCTGGGGCTTCATCTGTCCCTCACCCTCACCCTCGCCCACGCCCACGCCCACCCACCCTGGCCCGTTTTATCGTATTTCTCCCGTTCAGGACTCGGCGTGGGCGGTCGCTCAGCACTGACAAAGGCGGGAATATTCTCCCACACTACCCTGAACTCGTACGAATACGGAAAACGTCCGGCCCCTCCGGAGCCCGTCGTGCGGTCTGCGAGATGGGGTCTGCAGTCTGGACAGGGTACTCCTCGCCTCAGGTGTTCCTCCCAAGAAAACCACACAACGATTCATGGCGTGCACGAGCACGAGCACGAGCACGGGTACTGTGTAGTCGACATCACGGTCGTGGCTGGGATAACAAGCACCTCGTAGCATTCACGTGGAGGGGTCGCACGAGAAACATCATCGTCCATCGTCCTGCAGGAACTGGTTCAGACCCACCGTTCTGCTACCGGACCGAAGGCCGTGGGCATGGGTGCATCCTCATCTCCCATCGCGAATCTGAGAGCTAAGACTCGTCACCAAGGTTAATGCCTAGTGAGTGGTCTTGGGCATCCTTTTTTGATCAAAGTCTTCTTTTTCGAAATGCGCAGTGCTTTGTCTGGCTTTCTCCACCGCACGTGGTTTTGCGGTGTCGCCCAATCTACGTGGATTTATCAGCCTTGAGGGGCCACCTGCGTTCAAAGCCTCTCAGAAGCAGTTTGCCATATCCGTCGCCAAGGTGATCACCTTTATTAACCTGGGCCCTACCCATAACCCTGTCCGACTGTGTTGAGCCGTCACCCTGGCCCATGCACATGGTCTCAATCCAAACGCCAGATGCAGTTGCGGTCCTCGCCTGTTCTGTTGAGTCGATGCAGGGTTTGGGTCAGTCAGGGTTGCCAGCTAACACCTACCTGGGTACTTGTACCTGGGGTATTCAGGTACGCAAACCAAGGCAAAACTAACGTGCTGGTGTGTACTAACGACGTTGGAAGAGGTTCAAGGAGGACTTCAACAGGTTACCGTGGCCGGCGGAGCATGTGTGTGTAATTGTGCGCCTAATGCGGCAGGGGGCTTGCAGTACGGAGTAGCACCGCGTATCGGTCATCGATGAGGCTCTTCCGCCCCCTGTCGACGTAGCAGTAGATGTCGTGGGGCTTGGGACCATCTTTGCGCCACGCCCGTTGCATCGAAGCACGACTTACATCACCATGAAAGCATCGAACACAGTGCAGTAGCTTACATATAGGCATCCCAAGCGCTACTCTCCTCTGCGTGTGATGAAGCGACACTGGGTGCAAACCAGTCGCAGCACTTTGGCTGGGAGACGTGCTGATGATCTCATTATACACATATTCATTACATCACAGCTTGGGATGACGTCTCGCGCAGCCTGTCCAGTCCTCGGTTTTCTCGCCGGGCTGCGTGCTATATAAATGCTCAAGCAAACGTCCTGCAAACCCACGATACTTGATCCAGCATCTCCGACCGTGCACTCAACTTTGCAACGTGAGCATAACCATTGTCCTTGTCAGACCTGCCCTGAGAACCCTCGACCACCGACCAATCACACAAGATGGCACCGTCCAAGGAGGAGCTCAACAAGATTGCCCAGGACGCTGAGCGCGACCTGAACTCCTACCAGGCGAAACAAGGTCTCAACAATGTCTCAGTGGAGGATGCCGGCGTTGACTCCATCGTTGAGAACAAGTTCCCGGGTGCCGAAGTGAAAGTCGGCACCGAGATCAGCACAAACGCCGGTTACAACCGGAGAATTCCCCCAGAGGAGGGCGGTGAGCTTGACGACCGTGGAAGGTATGTGTCTTCCCCATAGCCCACAGCGTATGGACGATCGTTAACAGCTGGGCAGGCAAACCACTGGCAAAGACTTTGAGGGCACCGGAGGTCCAGAGCACAAGATCGCCCAGGCTCAAGACGAACGCGGTGGCCACAACGACAACGACGTCATTCCCAAGAAGGCCATCTGAATTACGAACACAGAAGGCGCGCATAGCCTACCACAAGGCGGTGATACCAGCCGTTAGAAGGAACCCGCAGGGCTCGGTGGTAATAGAGATGAGCCCTTCCTACGGGTCACCACTTCGGCGCAGGGGACGCTTCGCGACTGAGACCCTGGGGCAGACGTTAACAAGGTTGGATCTAGCTGATCTCTCGGGAGAGCGCGGCGTTCACGGTGGAATGGACAATATGAAGATCGGCTAGCCTGGCATGTATTAGCACATCCGCATAATCGGACTCAAGGGTTGTCTGTTGTTGCACCTTAGTCGTGATCATTTCCCTCCGTGCCTGTGGACGTGATATACTGGAACTTGCCCTGCACTGCCCAATTGCCATGGTGCGTGCCGGTCATGATATAATTTTCCGGGCCTTGCAGTCAGGCAGTCAGGCAGACACGCTGACAAGATGGCCACTTCATCTCTCAGATCTCTTCCCATTGGTTCATGCTTTAGTGCTCGACTCTGTTGCGGGTTTGGGCCTGGACTCCTCTTCTGCGAGGAGAGCTGCTCTGTTCTCGTCAAGGATGGCCAAATCCGCCTCGACCCTGAGGATCTTTTCCTCGAGCATGACCTTGTAGTCTTCGTCCGAAAGCTTGGTCATTGGACTCCATTTCGAAGTGAACCAACCATTGCTCTTCTTTGCAGGGGTTTCAGACCCGGACCAGCTGTTGGATGCCAATTGACCACCAGCTCCGAGCAGAGAGAAGATGACAGAGCCTGGGAGGATGCTCCTGGGCCCGCGCAGCAGTAGGCCCACAGGGACGACAGAAACTGCGCCGGCTATTGCACTTGCGCCAACCTTCTGAGCCGGCGTAACGTTGTGCTCCGGACCATACCTCGCGACAGCCATTTTTCTTGTACCTATAACGGCGCATTAGGGATTTGGCCTCTTTAATCGAGCCCCCCTAGCAAGGCCGGAGACATACCGTAAAATACAGAGCTGATGCCAAACCACTGAAAGCCGGAGACCAGGGAAAACAGAACAGGAGTTTTGACGCCACGAATAATGCTACTTGTTGCGCCGAACAGTATCCCGCAGACCCCTACTCACAAGTCAGCGTCCCTGTGCGTGGCAATTGAGGGTATGATGTGGAACTGAGCAGTACCTGCGCCAGCTCCAAGCTGGATGCTCTTGGCCAGCACATCCACGGCCTCGTCGGGCTGCTCGCTACGGCGTGTCCCTGTGCCTGTGGCCCTCGCAAGGGTCTCAGGAGCTGGTTGTTGGCCCATGACTATCGACCCAGTGGCGAAATGAATGTGCTGTGCTGTGCTGGCCCGTTACCTCGCCCCCGAAACAGCTGGGGCGAATGGATATGCGTGCAATCGACGTTGGCCGTCGGCCTGCAGCCAGGTGGACGTACGGTGCGTGGCCTGTTACGCCGGATAGGCGCATACCCAGGTACGGAGTACAGCAAGTACCTGTTTGATGAATACTCCGTACCACCATTTCAGTACTGACGGACGGGTTTGCCCCACCGCCTGCGCTATACCCAAATGGTTCTGGCGAGGCCACAGTCCACGCTGGTAGAGGGGGGCCGAATCAAATCCAGAGCCGGACGGGCCAAAAATTTCAATAGGCACACACATTGAGCCAACCCGCACCGAAGAATACGAGCGAATACCCCATCTCACCTCTTTGAGCGGGAGAGAATCCAGACAAGACCACCACGAGAGCCCCTCCCCATCCACCCACACAGCTGGACCCGTCACCACCACCTCACGCCCTACAGCCCAGGACCTGCCGACATCCCTTTGGCATTCGTTCCTGGCCTTGGACTCGCAGCCCTCCCCTGAAACCCTGCCTGCAGAGCCTGCAGACGAGAGCGAGGCGCGCAGAGCGGAACAAACGATCGCTCCGGCGAAACCCACCCCAAACCCCAGCAGCTCCCGCACCTGGCAGCAGCAACTTTTTTTTGCTCGCGGCTTTTCATCACCCCTTGACTACGTGCCTCGATCATCGTCGCGCGTAGCCAACAACAACCCAATACCGCAATCATGGGTACGGTGATCCATTTGCCCGGCTCATAAACTAATTCTTGCTGACGTCTCACCCGTCCAGCTCCCAAGAAGAAGGAGGTCCAGAAGCTCTCCCTCAATGAGTTCATGAACGACAACTGTGAGTGAACCCCCGCCGCCTTCCGCCACCTTCCTCCCCCTTCCTGGCTTCGCACCCCCATTCTACTGGCTCTACTCGGAGCATGGACTGACCAGCTCGGCAGCTTTCGGAGGCGGAGGTAGCAACTGGGCCGACGAAGTTGAGGAGACCTATGGTAAGTCCCCAATCCTACAACTATTCACATCACGCTTCCCGTCCTTCCCTCCGTCGCATCCATTACAAACCCCAGGTGACGGTCAAGCCTGGCCTGACCAGCCAAGTTCCCTACTCTCTGGCATCTCACTGACGCCGGATCCTAGGAACCCAACCCCTTCCCGCCTCCGACCGCCGTGGCGCTGGTGGAGCCGGCGGCTACGGCTCGGGCTTTGGTGGTTCGAGCGATAGATACGCGGGTATGCTTCATCCCAACCAGCCGTTTGCGACTTGTCCTCCTGCCCAACAGCTGACACCCTGCTCAGGATATGCTCGTCAGGAGCGTGAATACCCACAGGAATTGCCGACCAAGCCCCCATACACTGCCCACCTTGGCAACCTCTCCTACGATGCGACCCAGGAATCCGTGACCGACTTCTTCGCCGGCTGCGATGTCGTCAGCGTCCGCATAGTCGAGGACAGGGCTGAGATGCGCCCCAAGGGATTTGGGTATGCCGAGTTTGCCACCGTCGACGGCTTGAAGAAGGCGCTTGAGCTTGAGGGACAGAGCTTCGAGGGCCGCAACATCCGCATCCGCATCGCCGACCCACGTGCGTACTATGCCACCCCCACACGCTTGACTTGAAACAGACCGTACTGACCCCCTTTCAGCCAAGGATAGACATGGAAATGAGAGCACCAGGGACTTCTCCAACTGGGAGCGAAAGGGCCCCCTGGCCCCAGAGCCTGGTCGCAATGACCGACGTGGTCCCCGCGATTTCGAGCCGCGTGCCCCCCGCGACGGACCAGGTGACGACTCGAGACTAAAGGATATATCCTGGGAGAGGAAGGGACCTCTGCAGCCACTTTCTCCTCCTCCCATGGAGCGTGGTGGGTCCCGCGGTGGTGGAAGCCGATCTCGAACTACGGACAGCGAGCGGGGCGATTCTTTCCGTGACAGGAGGGCCTCCCCCTGGGGTCCCGGTGAAGGGCGTCAGGATGGATCCCGACCGCCTCGCCGCGAGTTTGTTGAGCGACCAGAGAGAGCTCCCACCGCTGCTGAGAGCAACAACCAGTGGCGCTCTGCGATGCGACCCGACCCTCCCGCGCAGTCCCCAGCCCCGTCTCGTCCTGCCAGTGAGGCACCTTCTTCACCTGCCCTCGCACCCGCTGCTCCTGCCGCTCCTGGCGGTCGCCCAAAGCTCAACCTGGCCAAGCGTACTGTCCCCGAGGCCCCTGGTGTCATGTCACCCTCTCTTACATCCGACTCCAAAGCTAGCCCCTTTGGTGCGGCCAGGCCTATTGATACTGCCGCTCGTGAGAGGATGATCGAGGAGAAGCACCAGCAGGCGCTCAAGGAGAAGAAGGAAGCTGAAGAAAAGGCGAAGGAAGAGCGCCGGCTGGCCAAGGAGGCCGCCGAGAAGGAAGCCGCCGAGAAGGCAGCTGCCGAGAAGGAAGCCCCTGAGGCTGTCAACACCAACGGCGACGCCGAGGAGAAGGCAGATGCCCCTGCCAGCACCGAGCCTGCGCCAGATGCCGCGGCTGCTGAGGCAGGAAAGACCGAGAACGGCGAGAATGCCGCAGAGACATCAGAGAAGGCCCCACCGCGAGCCCCGGCGGCTGCTCCGTCGCGAGCCGAGAGCGGAAACTGGAGATCGTCGACGGCAGAGCGGGGTAGCCGCGGAGGCTACGCTGGGCGAGGGGAGCGCCGCGGAGGCGGTGGCCCTCGGGGTGGGCGTGGCTTTGATGAGCGCCAGCCCAGCCGAGGCGGCCGCGGATATGAAGAGCGCCAATTCAGCCGGGGTAGCGGCGGCCGTGGGCTTGAAGAACGCCAGCCCAGCCGTCGTGGCGGCGAACCATCGACGCCTACTACACCTACTGTTGATGAAGACGGCTGGACCACCGTCTCCGGCGCCGCGAAGAACCGCCGCGGCCGCCCTGTTGCCTCTTGAACTTGTACAAAACCCGGCGTTCCGGCTCGAGCTTGAAAGCACAAAAGAGATGTGACAGGCTTCTCACTTGTCGTCTTCTGGTCTGGATTGTTGCGCCGCTTAGTCCCTGCTGCGTTCAGGGGAGGAGAAGTTGCTTGAGAACAAAAGGATTTCATGCTTCTGATCAGTTTCGGTCACGAATCAAAAAGAAAACGGTTGAATGGGCGGCGTGGCTTGGCGTCGCGGGAATTTCAGCATTTTAGTCACGACTTCTCTCATTCCCCATGGTCTCCTCTCAGCATTATCCATTACACGGCGACCTCTTATCATCTCTTCTGAGAAGTCTTAAATCGGATCGGATCTTCCCCAGGCACATACAGTGATGTTGCTGCGAGAAGGAGACATGGTTTCTATACTCTGGAAGATGTTGATGCGACTATGCGGATGAAGCGGAAACATGATCGAATATACCATCATGCTGTTTTTCGGATAAGACAGCGCGATGAAAGAGGGGAAAGGCGAAAAGAAGTGGCTGAGTTGCTCTTTAAGGACGAAGGAGATTCTGAAGTGACGTTTGATACCTTACTCCTGCGCATCGACCACATCATAGACTAAATTCAGAGAAAACCAACTTTCTGTTCCTGTGACGGTGCTTACTCCCGACATTAATCGTTTGTTTAAGTATCATTTGCGCTCTGCGGAGTCCCATGCGTGGCTCTGTGTTGTGGCTGCATATCTACTCTAAGGGCCTGGCATGGAGGCAAACAACCTTCTAAGCTAGCATTACCTCTTCAAAGTCTTCTGCTTCTCCGCGCTGAGCGCCACCGTCCTGCCCTCGACCAGCATGCCCTTCTTCCGCCTCACCTTGTCCATGTACCGCTTGGCGACGTTCTCCTTGTCACCGAACTCGCCCAGGTCCTCCATCTGCTCCTCAGTGAAGGGCACCCAGAAGGGGTCCTCGTCGAGGACCTCGAAGCCGGTAAAGATGAGCTGCGGCTGCGCGGCGCCCGAAGTGCGCTTGCGCATGTCGTCCGCGAAGCCGAAGGACTCGGCCACGGGCAGGAGTGACTGGATTGTGAAGAAGGGCGTGCCCTCGTTCATGGCCTCGGCCAGCACACGGCCTCGGCGGCGTGTCAGGACATCATAGACGCGGCCTAGAACTTCGGCTGTTTGGGGGGAAACATAGTGTTAGATCTGTACTCTCAAGAGTTGCTTGCGAGAAGGGGCCAGGTGACTTACTGCTTGCTTGGATCTCGCACGAGTACATCGCCAGCATCAACCGCGGCGACCAGTCCAAAAACCCCTTGTGTATGGACTGCTGTACCGTCTTGAGCACTTCGCCGGTGAGACGGCCGAGGTTCTCACGGGCGGATGCGTCACCATCACCGGTGATAGCCACGTCTTCGATGAATACGGCAATGCCCTGCACCGGCTCCCGGCAGAGCGGCCCCTGGGCTGTGGCGAGTTGGAAGCCGTATGTGATCTTGTCGGCAAGATGGTGGCCGCGTAGCTCCTCGTTGGCTTCTGGACGGCTCTCCTGGTTCTTGTCGGTTTCAAAGGCCTTGGGCAAGCATCCCTCCTTTGTGGCGTCAATCAGCAAGTTGGGGCCTGTGCGACGCGGGCCAAATGCTGCTATGGAATCGACCATGTTCTTGAAAGGTTCACGCCCCTTGCCGGACTCCAGAAGGCTCCTGAGCTGGTTCTTGAGGTCCTCTGGCGAGAGGAACTTCGTCCCTATTATATCCGCATCGTCATCGATGCTTTGCTGATCGGTGTCAAGCTCCTCCGAAGCCTCATCCCCATCTTGCTCGGAACCATTCGCACCCCATTTCTTAGAGTGGAGGTTCTTGATTGCACCGGCGTTCTTGTTGAGGAAGTCTGTGACTTCAGATGGCAAAGGTCGCACTCGCAGCGTTAAAGTCACCTGCTTGGAACTCGTGATTCCAACCACAGCGCCTCGGCCGAGCTCCTTGTTGGCCGGAGGCCGCATTTCCTCAGCGCGAACGATCGTCTCCTTGTACGGCACTATGGGCTCGCCTGCCTGTATCTCACAGCGAGCGAAACGCTCCTGCAGATCCCTCAGGCATCGTTCGAGATGCAACTCGCCAGCTGTGACCAGCACGTGCTCACCGCTTGAGAATTGCTCGTACTCGGCGCATGCGTCCGCTTGCACGAGAAGCTTCAGACCCTCAATCATCTTGTCGAGGTCGTATGGATTTGCTGGCTCCAGGGCGACTCTGACAATTGGCTTGCCGGCCATGTTCGCCACGCCGGCCAGGTTTACAGCGCCGTCGAGCTGAGAGCACAGTGTCCCAGATTTGAGGATCCCCGAACCATCCAGACCACCGATACCAAACACAACCCCGGCTGGAACACTGTCCAGGCTTTCCAGGTTACGTCCCATGAGCATGTACAATGCGGTCACGGTAACTTTCTTCGGAACAGGTGGATGTTGCGGGTTTGCCGGGGAGAATTTGGGCGGAATGACATATATCTCGTCGCCCACTGATAGGGTCCCAGAGTATATCCGTGCGAAGCCGATCAGATGTTCAGGGTCGACAGTCTCTTGTTCAGGCTGCGATGGCAGTTCCTCATCTTCCAAGGTGGCACTGTCCAGCGCGACAGCAAGCGCGTCGACTGGCCCACGGTTCTCCACAGCGGCCTGAGCTCGAGCGGCCTCTGCTCGCTTTTTCCGCGCGAGCTCTCTTGCTTCTTCAGGGCTGAGCTGCCCGCGCCGCTTGTTGTGTGGGAGCTCGCTCTCGGGTATTGACACCATCTTGCTGACGTACGCCACCACAGGATCAGACTTGGAGTACTTGAAATTGACCATAGCGTCGCGAATTTCCGGCGCGATGTGGTCACCTCCAGGCGAATCATCAAGCAATTCCGGCACTCTGTCTGCTTGCGCGCTGCGAGGTGATGGTAAAGACTCGATGACTGAGACGAGCAGTGCTACTGAAAGTGGAAGCCACGCCGAGACCACGGCCGAAAGGAGTGTCCGCGGGTCTCTTGCGTTGATCACGTGCCGAGGAATGGTGATGTTGAGTGATTTGGTGATCTTTTCGAGCAGTGCTGGGTCTCCCTTCCCATTGTCCCCGCCGGTAGTGGCAGCATACACAGCCCATACTTGCTCGAGAACAAGCTGGACAAATAGTGGCTTCATGTTGCGGCCTTTCAGGTGCTTGCGCCCCAAAACCTTCTTGGTCTTCGGGTCCAGATAGAAATCTCCCCAGAGGACCTTTTCCAGAACGCTGCGCTTTATGCCAAGCTTCTTCTCGTAAAGCCCAGCAAACTGTCGGACGGTGAAGGCCCAGCCATCCACAGCGCTGCCGAAGATGACGTTGTTCTTCTCGGGTGCAAAGTAGAGCTCCTCGTCGTCTCGCTCCTCAAACTGCAGGTCGCCGGATTCAGCCTGCTGGTCTGCTAGCTGAGGACCCTTGGCGGCAGACGCCTGTACTCTCTCGTCGATCCTCTCGCGCCAGTTGAGATCTTCCTCCATTCTCTCGCCTTGGAAGAAGCTCCCCAGGACAGCATTTACCTGCTCCAGGAGCTTGCTCAGGTGCACATAGGCCTCATTTGGTGTCATCTTCAGCTCAGTAATGAGCCGGTCCATCTTGTTGATCACCAACAACGGCTTGAGCTTTTCCTCCCACGTCTGACGCAGGACAGTCACTGTCTGACTGCACACGCCCTCGACGGCATCGACCAGGACGACGGCCCCATCACACAGACGAGACGCAGTGGAAACCTCACTGCTGAAGTCAATGTGGCCGGGTGAATCGATCAGGTTGACGAGATACTCCTTGGGTTCTGGGTTGGCATCGGGGCTTGCCCTCCGCAGCATGCTGAAGTAGAGCGATATTGCTGAAGATTCCATGGTGATTCCCCGTTCCTGCTCATCTGGTCTCGAGTCGAGGTAGCGCACCTTTCCGGCCAGCTTTGGCGAGATGATGCCATTGGTGGCAAGTAGTGCGTCGGTGAGTGATGTCTTGCCATGGTCAACGTGTGCGAGGATGCATATCTAAGACGCATTAGAAACACTCTGCTGGGTATGGCTTCCATGGCGGTGATCTCATGTCCAAACACATGGGCTGAGAAACCCCTCTCTTCACCAGGGGTTGAGATCGCTCACATTGCGAATGTCATCTGGTTTTTGCTGGAGTTTTGCCAGCTGTTCTGGGCTGACGACGGGCATCTTGGTATTCTACAAAACAAAGAGACGAAAACAACGGTATGAGATGTAAATGAATGGGCTTGAGAAGTATCAGTTACAAGAGAGGTATCACGGATCAGCAAGCGCTCTTATGCACATAAAGTAGTTGCAGTCAACCAGGCAAAACCTGCCATTTTAAGGTGCAAGATATTGTTCAGAATGAGCCATACTGCCTCGACCTGAGCCAGTCATGGGCAATGGCGGGGCTGTACTGTTAGCGGGCTCCCGCCTTGCCGGGCGCATTTGCTAACACCTATACTGTCTAGTGGCTGCTGAGTGACGGAAGATGGCGGGGCTCTCGAGACCTGTGCAGAGATTGTGAAAGGAGTGAAGGCCCCCATCCCGGCATACGTTCAACAACAAGCCTGCATTCTCTCTGCATTGAGCATCATTCCGAACGTCGAGCAGCCCCGGTCCAAACAGCCCCGCCCCTGCCTGAGCATCGCTTGACAGCTCATCCGAGCCTCCTGCATCCCAGCAGACCCAAGCCAAGTCAGAGCCAAAGCGCGGCATCTCATTCACTTATCGGGGACTTGCGCTTACGGCGGCGCTGCTTGGCTGTGTTGCCCACAAGATCCGATTTTTACCAAACTCCGCGCGAAATCTCAGCAACCAGCTGCCGCGGACGCGACCTCTCTGCCAACACACGCCCCTAGATATCCGCCAAGATGGCCACCTTCCAGAATGGCGCAGCTCCTGCGCGAGTTCTCGATGACAGCGATGTGGAGGAGGAAGCACTGGTCGCCGATTACCAGGAGCAGGTCCAGTACGAGGATGGGGCCGAACTCTCGCAGGTCAACTCCTTGACCATGGCCCAGCAGACCGACGACATCCAGTCACGACTTGCCGCTGCCGCCCAGCCCCTCGACTTCGCCGCCCCCCTCGAGGTCAAGTTCCAGAGCTACGACTCCTACTGCAGCCTGTTCCACTTCATCCTCAACTCTGAGGGCCCCGTTGATCTCGAGCCCCCATCTGTGAGCACCTGTCCCACACCCGCCCGCCCGCCTGGTCATGGACAAGGATCGTTGTGAGGCTGACCTGCGGACACAGTACTACTGGGCTTGGGATGTCATCGACGAGTTCATCTACCAGTTTAACTCCTTCTCTTCCTACCGTATGCGAATCGCGAGACAGGCCAACAATGAGGAGGAGATCCAGAACCTGCGGGAGAACCCCAACACGTGGGGTTGCTACAGCGTCCTCAACGTGCTGTACTCCCTGATCCAGCGGTCCAACATCCTGGAGCAGCTGGCTGCCGGGCGTCGCGGCGAGGACCCCATGGCGGTCGCGGGCGAGTACGGAACCAAGAGCCTCTACCGCATGCTTGGCTACTTCTCCATCATCGGCCTGCTGCGCGTCCACTGTCTGCTCGGCGACTTCAGCCTCGCCCTCAAGACCCTCGACGACATCGAGCTCAACAAGAAGGCCATGTTCGCCCGTGTCATGGCTGCCCACTTCACGACCTACTACTATGTTGGGTTCTCCTACATGATGATGCGCCGCTACGCCGACGCCATCCGCATGTTCAGCCACATCCTCGTCTACGTTTCGCGGACCAAGCAGTTCCAGAAGAGCGCCCAGTACGACTCTATCACCAAGGTCAGCATTCACCATCCTCATTTCACCGGAGGCACGGGTGACGATGTCCTCGGGGTGGTCAAGTCCCAGGCACTAGCCGCGGGACGATCACCATCACCCTGTTGGGTTAGGGACATGGCATACTAACAGGTGCAAATAGAAAAACGACCAAATGCTGGCGCTGATCGCCATCTGTGTCGCCTTCCAGCCCACTCGCCTGGACGACACCATCCACACGGCGCTGCGCGAGAAGTACGGCGACCAGCTGCTTAAGCTGCAGCGCGGTGGACCCGAGTCTCTGCCCATCTTCGAGGAGCTCTTCCGCAACGCCTGCCCCAAGTTCATCTCCCCTGTTCCCCCAGACTTCGACAACCCGGAGTCCAACATCGACCCCATCGAGCACCACCTGTCCATCTTCATGGATGAGGTCAAGACCAACATGTGGAGCCCAACCGTCAAGTCCTACCTGCGTCTTTACACCACCATGGATCTCAAGAAGCTGGCTGGCTTCCTCGAGGTCCAGCCGGAGGAGCTCCGGTCATGGCTTCTTGTCACCAAGCAGCGGACCAAGCAGCTGCGCTGGACAGAGCGTGGCCTGCTTGATGGTGAGCTGATCAACGTCAGCGATCTGGACTATGCCATGCAAGGTGTAAGTATTATGCGCGATATTGTCTCCCTCAGTCGCTCAGTGTGCTAATGACTACCACCAGGACCTGATCCACGTGTCGGAAGCCAAGGTCGGCCGCAAGCTTGTGGACTGGTACCTGCGGAACCTCTCCCGCACTTATGCGTGAGCGGAGCCGACATCCCGAGGATTGGGACTTTGAACAAGTGGCCGTTTGTGTGATTTGGAAATCGCGGATGAAAAGGTCTGCATTGCACAAGGCGTTCCGGACATTAGGGAACTCAGGGAGGGCTCGGGAAGCAGCAAAATGCCCCTGACGGGTTAGGAAGCCCATTCGAATCGGGCCGGAAGGCTGACATCCTGATGGGACGAAGTCGGAAGCCCACAGACAGCCACACCAGTGGGAGAGGTGCCTCAAAATCTTGGCAGCGTGCGATGATTTGGTAACGATGCACTCCCCGGCAGATGCCGATGTTTCTGAGTGTCAGGTCCTTGACCGCCTCGGCGCGGAGACCATGACGAACTAGAAGATAGAGGACTTGGCAATGCTGAAAGAAAGTCATGTGAGGGTGGGAATAGGTGCCAACTGTTTGCCGGTCCAAAACTGTCGTGCTGGAACCGATTCAGCGTTGTATCGCGAATGTATGATCTTGCTTGAGCACCCGACATTGAGAATCAGGCCTCGTCCAACATGAGAATGCCGCAGAGGTATCCGTACCAAGCCTGCGCTAAGAGACCACCCACAGGAGGGCGCCCACCAATGGCTCCGTGCCGAACGACTTCCTCATAAGCAGAGCTGATGACAACCACACTCCCGTCCCCAGCGTGCATATGCCAAGCCTCAGGTAGCTGGGACTCCTTCCCTCCTGTTTTGACCTGCAGGCGTCCTGGGAGCTGGCTCGTCTTCCGGTCGGAGATATAGAAATTACGAGGCCAAGGTTCGGCCGGGGGCAGGTAAGCACTGTCGTAGTAGAAACGGCATTTCCTGTGCGACCGGCCCGGGCATCACATCATCAAAGACACCAGCCTCGAGCTCGGTAGGGCAGATTGTAGAATATACAAGCCATGTGGGCGGCGAGCTGTGTGGGGGACGTCCACGCTTATGACGCCCACCACCACCACCACCGCCATCCTGCAGGACGGTAGCTGGAAACAACGGACACAGGATTGGCCGTTATCTCATCTCATTTCCACCGCAATGGTTGTTAATATTGCTCCCGCGCGGTAGTGCTATCTAAATGACCGGGGCGGGAACTGATGTTGGCCCATGTCCCTGTTGGTGAGCGCCTGCCGAGATGCCAGGAAAAGGGAGCAGCCGCGGGCGAAGTCTTGACCCTGGCCGGGTGGCCGGGAGGGTTTGTGTGGTGGTGCCTATCAAGCGGACACGACGTCGTGCTGGCCCAATGGGCCAATGGATAATAGGTCGGGGGATTAATAGAAGGCCTCGCGAGATGTGATCCACCGTGAGCGACCTCATGTCTCTACCCGTACAACATGGCCAAAGTCCCAGCCGCTGAGAGATTCCCAAATTGCGCCCCCCCCCCCATATCTGGGTAATGTACTTGGCGTGCTTGCGATCTTCCTCACATATGCCAGGGGTGACATGCCGTCCAGCCGGCATACCGCCCCCCTCGAGGCGTCCAGAACGCCAGAGAGGGTCTTGGAAGCCCAGAGGGCCCAGACAACAGCCGGGCGGGTGAAGATGGAGCATTTGAGGACCCACACGGCCCAACACAGGCGCGCAGGATCTGTGGCCTGCGTGGCGTCACCAAACATTTTGCAGACATACGTCGAGGCTCCTGGGGCGCCCGAGGACAGGAGGCAGGATCCCCGTGCTGGGGCACTACCCATTCTTGGCTGAGCAACGGATCGCCTTGGCCTCGGCCGGCAGCTGGCATCAGCCTGGGTGTGAGCACCAGAATGGCACAGGGGGGGCATGGTGGTGAGAGAGGGGGCAACTGAGGCACAGGGCCACCCATTCATGATCTTGGGGCATGGATTTCATGGACTTGGGCGGCCGGGCTGCCGTGTGCGGTGTTGGCCTGCTGGCCTGCTGGCCTGCTGGGCCCAGATGCAACACCATCCGGGCTCTCCCACAGGCTTAGCAGCCACCGAGGTGGGCTCCGAGAGCGAAAGAGAGTCAAGAACCTGGGACAGGCCAAGAAGCCAAGTCCTGCACTGGGTGCGACGGCGCTGTCTGAAGGTGGCCGATTCCTGGGGAAGCCCACCTGGGCTGCTGGGCTGCTGGGCTGCCTGGCTACCATGGCTAGAGGACAAGACGGGTATGGATGTTGTTTTCTGAGGCAGTGATTTGAGTGCCAAGGTGGTCAGGGTTGGTACGTACCCCGGCCGGGAAGAGAACAAACGCCTTGACTTGTATTGTTCGTGTGTATGTACATACTATACTGCACGCACACCCAGGCAAGTTAGATATGCCCATACCGGCCACCTGGTCGGACTGCATTCTACGTATGCCACAGTACTCATGCCATGTCATGTCATATTGACCTGATCTGCACACATGTGCCACGGGGTTCGTATGAATAGAGCAGTCGGCCGCTGTTCTGCGAGAATGAGACAGCGCCCCGCCAAGTGTTTCTTTTTCCCCTTCCATCCTCAAAAAGGTCCAACAAACGGCACGGGAGAAGAGATAGAACAAGGCAAAAACACCCAGTCCAGCCCACGCACAGGGCGTGGTCAGAGCTTCGTTCTCTTGGCCCCCCTTTCCCGTCTTCTTCTTTTCCCACGTTGTCAGACCAGCAGCAGAGGACTTGTCTCGTCTTGTTTTTGCCTGCTACCGCTACTGCTGCTGCTGCTGCTGCCGCCAACACGCCGACTCCACGCACCACAAACGCACGCCGAGGCAGCACTGCCACCAGTTGCCCGACCAACTTCCAGATTTGTGCACCTCCCACCGCAGCACCGTCACCTGTCGAACTGCAGCACCCGTCGTTCCGTTCCGTTCCACGCCCAGCCAAGCTGCGGAATACCGGCCTTCTGGCAGGCCAACTATCCTCGCGTTGCTGTTGGGTTGCAGTTCGTGGGGGGGAAAGACCGGCAGAATTGTGTTGGAGCAGTTCCTTCCTACGACACCACATATTACAAACCAAACCAAACAACAACTAGCCTCGTCCCTGTCGCCGCTCCCTATCTGGCGCAAACCCAATTTACAATCCCCAGAGTCACATTTGCTATTTCGAAGCTTACCTAGGTGGGCCAGCGGCGCCTCCGTCTGTTCTTTTCAGAGCACATTCGGGGAGTCTGTGAGTGCCCGTGAAGAGCCTGCGGGCCCCCAAGGGCTTCAAAGTGGTAAGCTCTGCTTTGGTACGGAGCACGACAACTCGACTGGTCACCTGCCTGCCCGTCCATCACAATCAAACCACACGGATATACGCCAGCCAAGCTTCAACCGCACCAGCCTGCAAACCTTATAGGAGTCGCTCAGCCTCCGCCACTGGGGCTCCTTTCCCTCTGAACCGCCAGGCAAACGGCACACGAGCTTGGGAAGCGTCATCACAGACCACGGCCTGAGCCTCTGGGCCAAATTGCCAATAACCCCATCGCTGCCCGACAGAGGAGAAAACCCATGGTCACTAAAATCAACAGCCAGCCCCAGAAACCCATCCTGACCCCAACCCCTGCCTCAGCTTCGGTAGCTTCTACTACAAAGCTGGAGCCTAGCTCCCCAGACGACCATACGGCCCCCCTGCCGCAACCCACATGCATACGAGTTCCTAGACTTGTCTGCACACCCGTGATGGAGGCTACCAAGGCCCTGGCCCAGAGACTCAGTCTACGGCGGCGAGGTTCACGATGGAGAGACAGGAGATGGAGCGCCACCAAGTCGACAGCCGGAGACTCCCCTGCTCCTGCGCCTGCGCCTGGGGCTGGTGACTCACCTGTAAAGAAAGCAACGGCGCCCGCACCGGCACCTGCGCCCCCGACGACAACCAAGACTGCATCTGTAGATGTGACGGCGGCCGAATCCGAAAAGGTGGCAGATTCGAGCCCGCCGCAACCTGACGAGACCATCCCCAGCCCAGGCTCGGGCATATCGCCCACCACCATCGTCGCGCAGACGCAGACGCAGACGCAGACGCAGACGCAGCCCCAGTCGCCGAAGCACACGGGCCACAGCGAGGGCATGAGGAAAAGCCAGGATGAGCGCATCACTGATTCCGTCACCGAGATCGAGTACTTCCCGCATGTGGACACGCCGGGCACACACGTCGAGGACAGCCCCGAGGTAGACACCCAGGCCAGCAAGATCACGTTCGCCATACCGACCAAGGGCTCCAAGGAGGACGAGAGCAGCCAGGACGCAAGTCGCCAATCCGACGAGATTCACACGGCCACCTCGAGCGCCTCTCCGTCGACCGCCGTCAGCCCCAGGGAGTCACAGGACGACTACGACGAGGATGCCGGGCGATCGAGCACGCTGAGTGGCATCAGTGGGAACGGGTCACGGCAGTCGAGCATCAACTCTGTGGCGTTTCAGCTGCCCAAAATGTCCCTGCCGCAAGGTCGCACGAGACGGCCAAAGAACTCTCCGCCGCCACTATCAAGGTGAGTCAGGTCCGGATTTTTATGGCAGCTTACTCTGTTTCGTAAACATACACCCATCCTATCCTCATTGAATTCGGGGGGGATCTTCCCGCCTTGTGTGCCCGGAGGACGCTCATCGGCGCAGTGTATCTGCGTGCTTGTGTCCCGAGTACTTCCTGGGTGCACGGCGATGTGTGTTGTGTACTGGAGAAGAATGCTGCTGGAGTTAGCACATGGAGAAAAGAGTCGACCAGGGGCTTGCGGTTGCAGACCCGGCAAGATTTTAACTGCTCTGTCACACATTGTCCGGCCTACCGCACCTTGGGAGCTCCACTGTGCGCCAGAGGACAGCCATTCCTGGTTCACGTCCGGTCGAGAAACCCAACCACTTATTTCAGGCTCTCCAGGCGGGGAAGCTGTCTTAAATGCCCGCCTCCTCCGCAGAGCCCACACACACACGAGATTATCAAATCATGCACGGCAAGCGTCGCTAAAATCTCGCACCATCCTGACACGAGAGAGAAGCTCAACCCGGTCAACACTCGACTTCTGGGTGTGTGTGAGCGTCCGGCTGCAATTGTGCCCAGGGCCGGGGCCAAGGGAGCCAGCCAGCCTCTCGTCATTTACTACCACAGCAGTACCTGCTCACTGCGTGTAGCGGCGGCTAACCCCACCACGCCCATCACCCCGCTTCGTGCAAAGTTGCTCCTCTCCTTCCCACTCTTCCAGCCCGCCAAGAGGGTCCGGGGCCCCCCTTTTCCAGTCAAGTGGCTTCCTCGAGGCTGCCCAAGACTGCCTGCCAGAGTTAGTGACCAAAAAGCCAGTGGGAAAGGAATCCTGCGTATGCACATGCAGACAGACCAGTCGTTCGTACTTGGCCCTGGAGTGCTGCTTGCTTGCTACCTTGCTTTCGCGGCTGGCTTCGTCAATGGGGCTGAGCATTGTCGAACCTGCTACTCTTCACATCACCAGCGCCCGTCATCATTTCCCTTCTGCCTGCCCCTGCACGAATCACACTCAACGAGAAGCCTCAACTGCGTGCATACACACAACACGCTGAAGCCGTCGAACCCCTCGCGAACTGCTGCGCTTCCTTTATAATTTTTTTTAAAAATACTTTTTCTCTCCCCTCGCAGAGCTGTCGCACTCGACACCTAGGAGATCACCGTCACGCGCGCACTGTTGCCAGCACCCAGACCGCAAACATGGCGTCACTGACTGAAGACGGCTCCCACAGGTTTCGAAAGCACGTAACTTTCAACAATGTGCAGATTGGCGAGCCCACGAAGAACAACTTCCCCTCGTATACTCTGGTCGTGCGCCATCTAGGTTTCTACTCGAAGCGACGCTCGCGGACCTTCATGGTCGGTATCGACGACCATCAATACTCCGACGAGGCTCTGCAGTGGCTGTTCGACAAGTTTGTCGAAGATGGCGACGAGATAATCTGTGTGCGCGTTGTTGAGAAAGATGTCCGCCAGCTCGAGACCGACAGGAGGATAGCCGATTTCCAGGCAGAGGCCAATGCCGAGGTTGAGAGGATCAAAGCCAAGAGCGGCGACGGCAAGGCCATTAGTATCGTCCTCGAGTACGCTGTGGGTAAGCTCCACTCGACGTTTCAACGCTTGGTACGTTTGTCCCCCCTCCGTAGATCGCACCCTGTGCCCAACCAGATGTGCTCTCTGCCCGTGTCATCGTGCCCGCTCTGACTGAACATTGTTGAGCAGATACAACTACACCAGCCCAGCATGTTGATCGTCGGCACAAGAGGAAGAACCCTCGGGGGTTTCCAAGGGCTCATGGCCACGCGAAATTCGTTCTCCAAGTACTGTCTGCAGTACTGTCCAGTACCAGTCGTGGTTGTCAGGCCCGACGAGAAAAGACAGAAAAAGAAGGGCAAGCGTGATGCGGATCCAGAGAAACAGAGCTACCGGCAGATGCTGCAGTCGAACCATGGGATCCACGAGGCAGACAGCGACGCTGCTGATGAGTGGGGGATCGAGTCCAAACTGACTGCCGATGAGGAGGCCGGAAAGGTGGCGAGGGCGATGGGCCTGCCAGCCAAGTTTGATCCGACCTTGAAACCATTCAGGAAGGCGGAGCGGCAGCGCAGCTCCCTCAGTCAGATCAGCCAGGCCACAAGCACGGAGGAGCCCGGACGGCTCATCTCTACGCCGACGATAACACCCTCTGCCAGCGCGGCAAACAGCGAGGACGAAGGCAGTGGCGAAGAGGACGAGGAGGGCGAGGGTGAGTTCGAGGTCACTAGCGGCGCACAGCTCCTCAAGGCCCAGAGGAAGGAGCTTGAGGAGAAACAGAAGGAACAGGAGAAGAAGGACCGGCTGCACAAGATGGAGGTTGGAGAGGCGGCAGCGTTGTTGAAGCATAAACCCAGCGAGGAGGAGGACGACGAGGACGACGAGGATGACGACGAGGACGACGAGGACGGTGGAGGCGCCATAAGGGCGACGTCACCGGAGTGAGCCTCGCCATTCTGATGTCTCTTCGTTGCTCGATCCGTGGGCAACATTTCCATCATTCCTTTTTTTTTTTTTTTTTGACCCTCCTCGCACCACATCATCGCGAGAGCATTTTTGGTTTGATTCCCCATGAGCAAGGAGTTGAGGGTTACTGAGCACCTAGAGCGGACACTTCAAAAGGGCAAGTCATGTCACTGGGCGAGAAACGTTGGGGGTTTCCGGAACGCCGCTCGTGTAAATGGTCACATCTCAGGTGTTCCACAGTCACCGCCGGGTCATGGTAGTAGCATTTCTTTTCTCCGCGGGCGGCTGTTGAGTTGTTACCAACAAAGTCCAATCAATCAATCAGTCAATGAAAGAAACAAATCAAAACACCAAATCGAGTAGCACCGAATCAATCTATCCATGGTTCCAGCCGCGGCGGGATTTACCTTCGAGATGTAGCTTCTTGTGCTGATGACAAGCCCCTCCCGAGTACGGATGCGAAAAGCTGGGCAGCCGTGCTCCAACGACGGCACGAGGGTCGGACATCAACAAGCTGGAGATCCTTGTCAAACTCTCGGAAGTATGTAGACTTACAGTATGAGGAGTGGCAGCACGACCGTGACCGTGAAAGCCCACTGCACACGTGCAAACTATATGTATTTACATAACATATCATATGGATACGAACTGGGACTGCTCGGGAGCCGGTTTCTGGGGACCCCCGCCATCCTGCGCGAGGGTTTCAGGGGTTTCTTGGCCGGGCAATACATAGTACGGAATACTGGTGGCCAGGACGTACGCAAGGTACTCGGTACCTGAACTACCTGGGTGCTAGTGCCTTCTGGGTGACCTCCTACCTGACCTGGGCCGGCAGTCGGGGACGCTGGGGTGTCGGATGGATCTCCTCTGCAGCATCCCATTCCATTGGCACCTCGACGGGTGATCTTCATCTGCTTAATTTTCAGACAAAACATAACCACCCTACCTGGTCTCTGGCGGTTGCGAAACCCAACACTTTGTGATCACAAGGAAGCTGTTACTCCGGCTGTCCTGCAATGTCTCAACGCTGAACCCACCCCAAACCGTCGCCCAGCAAACAGCAGCTTGTCGCTCATCGACCTCATCGACTAACAAAGACGGCCGCCGAGTCCTGAAATGCAATCCATGTCTATCTCGACGACGGCCTTTGGCACAACCCTCCCTCGAACCTTGCTCGACACCACCCTCCCCGCCGACCCCGACTCTGCCGCGCGTCTCTAGAGCGGCCAACAACTGCAAATGCCACTCCCCAAATACTCCTGTGACGATGACGCGTGTTCCGCCGCCCCGCCAGCCTCGACCACCACCTGGGTCGGCATGATCCTGTCGCTCACCCCCTTCATCCTGACCTTCTTCGCCGTCTCCACCGCCGTCTCCAAGAAGCTCATCCCCCGGCTGTCCCGTATATCCGCGGCCCGCGACGGCGAGGACCACCTCCTCCCGGCGAGCGCACCGCCCTCCCTGCAGCAGGTCCACTCGGAGCACGGCTCCAAGTCACTGCGGAGGCGGCTGGCCGCCGCCACCGTCGCCGCCACCATCGGGTTGGCCACCGTGCTGGGCGAGCTGATCCTGGCCGAGATCTCCGACGTCGTGAGCGCGGCTGCGAGGGACGCCGCCCTCAGGCTCGTCGTCCCCACCCTGCTGCTCTTCCTCGTCGGCGTCATCCCCTTCCTCGAGATCCAGAGCGTCCTGGCCGGATCCGGGCTGTGTAGCTTTCAGCGCACCGCCAAGGGGAGGTTTCCCCGCTGGGCTTGGACCCTGCAAGGCTTCGGCTTCGGGCTGTGGCTGTTCGTATTCTGGAGTATTGGCAAGGCCGTCCCCGCGGGCCATGCGGGCGACGAGGGCTTTATCTACTCGAGGAGTGCGAGACACAAGGGCGGCTTCGATGCGACGGGCATGACCCTGGGGCTAAGGTGGAAAGATGGCGCCAGCCTGCCCTGGACAGTAGACACTATTGCGCGGGCGTGCCTGGAGCGCATCGGTATTATTGGTATATCGCTTATGGCGCTGCTCTCGGGGTTCGCGAGTGTGTCGAGCCCATACTCGATGTTGGCGGATAGCACCTCAAGGAGAAAGAGACCCATCACCGACGCGGACATTGCGAGGAAGCTCGCCGGGCTGGAGGCCACGGGAGAGCTGCTGGTTACCAAGCGACACAGGTTGCGGTCGTTGCAGAGGAAACAGGCCGCAACAACAGATTCTAACGCCAACGCGGGCTCTTCTGGCGTCATGGGCAAGATTGTGGGGTCGCTCAAGGGCATCGGCGGCGGGGGCGACGCAGCAGAAATCAAGGCCCTGCAGATGGAGATATCGGGGCTGGAGACCATGGAATCAAATCTTTCTTCGGCGCTCTCGGCCCTCCGAAGCAAACAGGCCGCCCAGGCGCGTGCGGGCACCGCATGGGGCCGGTTGCTTACCATCCCGGCCTACATATTCAGCATCTACTGCGTCTACCGAATCCTCGCTACTTCCCTGACCTCGTTCCGCCGGCTCTACTACCCAGCGTCGGCGAGTTTCAGCTCCTCGGACCCCATCAACCGTTTCCTCGGCCTGCTCGCGAAGCACTGGGACCCGAAGCTCGATCAGATGGCCTGGGCGCGGCAGATCTCCTTCCTCCTGTCGGGGGTGATCCTGATCGCGAGCGCCAACGCCGTCGTCCAGACCTTCCACATCTTCGCCAAGTGGGCACCCGGGCTGCTCCAGCAGGCCCAGGCGAACCTGGCGCTCCTGATCGGGCAGACCAGCGCGACCTACGTTATCAGCGCCGGCCTGCTCCTCCGGAGCAACCTGCCCAAGGACATGGGCAGCGCGGTGGGCCACGCGCTGGAGAGCGCCCTCGAGCCGACGTTTGTCGACCGCTGGTTCGAGGCATGGTTCTTGCTCTCGAGCCTGGCTACCGCTGTTGGTATCTGGGTGGGCAGGAGACTACATGGGCATAGCGGAATTGGTGGCGAGTGGGATGAATGGGATGAGTTTGCGGGCGAGGAGATGGCCCAGAAGAGGTCCTGATGTTAGATCGCTCAGCCTCATGTTATAACACTTTCTTGCTACCAGACTATAGATTATTTATTTTTATTTTTGATTCTTCTCAATGTGTCTGTCCACCTGCTCCCGGTCGTCCCCTGGTTTTATTTGGATTTATGCATACATGTTGCACATGTCTGACTAAATTAATTTCCGTTGGCGAAGCCTTAACCCTTTGCAGGGCTCCCTTGCGAACAAAGCGGGCTTTCGAGGACGTCGATAACGCCGGTCAGCTTCTCACGCCAGGTCCCCTGTTTTCAAGCACATTGTATCTCGCCAGAGACATGGAAGATTGTTAACGAGAGCCTAGCAGTCGGTCATGGCACGTCGGTGGATTTTCAACGCCTTCAGACACCAATCCGTTTTATCTATCACGCCAATTTATTTCTAGACCATCTTCAATACATGCACTTATTCCACGGCCACCAGCTTGAGCCAGCACCTCGCCTTGTCAGTTCGCCCTAGACCCGCTCCACGCCCTGGAAGTGGCTGACAAGCACGACAATTCCCGTGCCAGATCGGTCCGACCCCAGAGCCCAGACCGGCAGAACCCCCCCAACCTTCACTTGGTCCCCAGGATGCTCGAGCCCGACTGCTCCTGGTGAAGCTGGTGGGAGGTCTTGACGCCGTCGCGGCGCTTGAGGTCGGCCAGGGCCTTGCCCGTGTTGGAGGAAGGGCCCCCACCGATGACCTTGTCGTTCTCGATCTGGTGCTGGGCGATCTGTCTTGGGCTCGCGAACATGGAGAAGAGCACGACGACGCCGAGGCCGAGGCCGAGGGTCACCGCCGTGCGGAAGGCGAACCCGCTGCTTGCGCGGGAGATTGCCAGTCAGCCGTGAGACCCCAGAGTTGGGGGGAGGGGAGGGCAGGGAAGGGAGGGTGCTGTCATACCGGTTCTGCTTCTGCCGGTGTTCAACATCTGGAGGCTCCTGTCCGTATGGCCCGCCCAGGTCGTCGTTCTTCTTGTCAAGTGGTGGTATCGGGGAGTAGTTGGCTCGCTGGGATGCTGCGGACGGTGCTGCTAGCCGGATGGGCAGACGCCTGGGTCTCACTGCGGCTGTGGCCAGAGGCCGGGATATGAGAAACCTCGTGGATGACATGTTTGTTGATAATGGGTCTATGATTGGTGTTTACTATGCAAGAATATCCAGTGGAGTGAAGACCATTTGGTGAAGGCATTGAAGGAGAGGAAGAGCACACGTGAGGCTCTCGGGCTTCCTACCGTCCGGCAGCAGCTAGGACATACAAGTGCAAGTCTTCCATATTGCGCCTTGGTCTGGGCTGCGTGGTCGCATTCCAGCTGATGATTACATCACCAGGGGTGTGTTGCCGCTTTCAGGGTCCATGATGCAGAGACTCTCGAAGCTAGGGCGGCTCGACTCGGCCTGACCGTGGTATGACCTTGGTATGAGTACTGTAGCGGCCGAGCACATCCTAGTAGGCAAGATAACTGCAGGCAAACCTGCGAAGAGCCTCAGTATGAGATTCAACCTACCACCGGGAGCTGATGCTGCCAGATCAAATACACATGTCCATACTCGGCCAAGTATTCGGCCGCAGGACCTGTCCAGGTCATACAGCACCTTGCAGATGTGCTACACTCACATAGCGCAGTAGGGGAGCAGTCGTGCTGGTAAGCAGACGTGCATTGTGTCCAGTAATATACCATCGGCGCCCCAGCCTGCCTTTATTGCGACACCCGCTGCAGACTGACGAGTTACCGTTCCAGAAAACGCTGCCTGGGGCCATTGCTTATGGGCCAAATTGGGAAGCCACTGCACTAATAGCCGTCGACAATGACGACAGCTCCCTCACGGCACGCATGGGGGAATTCACTCAACCCGGTCAGTCAGACCTGGAAAGAAGACCCAATAGAGCGACTGCCCATGCAATTCTCCTTTCATAAAAGAGTATGTGGGCGACACAGTCACGCCCTTGGAAATTACGCAGCCCGTATGGGTTGCCTGTCTTGAAGATATCTTCCTAAATAAGCGTCCCATAGTCATTGTCTTCCTAAAACACACAAGTTTCTCCTACAGAAGGTTGCCTGGGGGTCTTGTGGGAAACAGTCCCACGATCCAAGGTCGATCTCGCGGTACGTCATCGGCCGATATCCAGGCAGTCGGCCAAACTTGGAGTGCATTTGCCTTTGCCTTTGTTTTTGCCTCCAGGAGGGGGACATATCTGTGGGCTCTGGGCATCTGGTCTATGCTCGGCTTGGACGAAAGCTACTGTTTGTCTATTCCAAGAAGGGCGTAGGAACTCGCGATCTGTACCACAAGAGACGAGAGCTTGCCGCGCTTAGAGAGAGAGAGCTTCTTCAGTGGGGCCGACTAGTGGAATGAATGCCTAGCCCAGCCGCGGGCCAGCACCAGCAGCAGCACCAGCAGCAGCAGTAGCTCGTCACTCATTCCTTGGGGCCCTGGGGCCATGATGATGCCTCGTTGATGTGATGGTCAGGGAGGCTGCTCCTCTGTATTCTGTATGGAGTACTCCCAGACGTCCCAGCACACTGTTCCTGTTTCTGGCGGTGTAAAAGTGGTTCCTGGGAAGCCTGGCAACCTGGGGGGCAGGCAGGCAGGGTAGGACAGCTCTCCATCGCGGCAGCTGGCAGCCAATCAAGCAGGCGTTTCCGGCCTCCAGCCTCGGCAGGGGTGGGCACGCCGTTTCTCGTCTGCCCCAATCCCGTGTTTCATGTGCCCCGAGCACCTGCTAGCCTTTGGACAGGATTGGCCTGTCCGCGCGGTAAGCCAGCAGCTCCCCCAGATCACAGCTTCTGGTCTCAAGAACGGGCCATTGAAACAACGGAGCCTCACAAGGCAGGCAGGCATGTATTCGACTCGCAGCGAATCAAACTCGGCCTGGCTCGCACCTGCAGCCTGCAGCCTGCAGAGCCTGCGTCGTCGGCAAGGCGTCCCGAGGCAGTTGACACGGCGAGATGCGAGATGGCGGCTCTTAACAAGAGATAATAAGGAAGCTGCGGCTGTCTGGAGTCGCAGTGTTTCTCAGACTCCCGCTTCTCGTGTTTCTGGTTTCTGCTGCATCTGCTGCAGTCCTCGACGGCTCGTCCAGGGGTCTCTTGGATCTACTACTGCGTACAGCTTCGGTCAAACAGTTCAAACACCACCCCGGCCTGTCGAAGCCATAACCCCCCTGGCGTTTGAACGTCCTCTCACACTCCCACCAACCACCCTGTCACCTGCACTGCGCAGTTGGGAGCTGTCAGGCCGTGCCTACATCTCCCCTGGCGAGCTGGCGGGTGGTTCGCCTCAAGACCTAAAACCAAGCCTCGGATCGAGTGGGTGTGTGTGTGTGTGTGGGTGAATCGCCACTTCGTCATAACCATCTTAAACCTCGGGTGGTTGCTGCTTTGGATGCCACCAGCTCTCCTTCTCGTGTTAACTTTCTGCCTGTCCACCTGACAGCCACTGCGTTTCGACATTGAGCTTGGTCCCCTTTCACCCGCATACCTGGGATTCCGCGCCGGACGCCGTCTTCTCGCCTTTTCGTCCGGTCAGCATCGAAGTCGCGATTGGTGGTCCGAGACTCACGCAGCGTCCACTCGTCCCATCGGTCCAATTTCTTCGGCTCGCCTGCGGCAATCGACATTGACAGTCTTGGAGCCCCCGCCCTGATCTCACCACGCACGACGGTCACGCGAAGAGTGGTGTTGGCTCAGACGACCAGGGAGGCTGGGTGACGGGCTGTTGCTGCTGAGCCCTGATAAACCCTCTCCTGGTGTGTGTGTTTCGACTAGCAAGGCTTGGTGACGATCGACAGCTATCAAAACTGCCAGCTGGAACAGTTGACATCTTAATTGAAGGATTCTTGGCTTAACATCCGCATTGACCGGGAAAGGTCTCCCACGCTCTGCCGGTCTTATTCAGTCGTCTTCGGGCAGTGCCCATCACCGCGAAGCTAGTACACATCACCTCATCTTTCACCACGGCCTGACACATAACGAGTTTCGGCCAACTACCCGGCGCCCACACGCACGCACTGACCCGGTTCGTCACGGGTGACGAGCAATCCCGGCCTTGTGTCTTACAAAGATCTTATTGTTTGGTCCGGCAGACTACAAGACCATTTGGCCCTGCTGCCGGCACTCAATCCCACCCTCAGCTCTCGTCCCTGTAACACATGGCCCCGGGGCCTATTTTGTGGGATGGAATCCAGTTCGGCTCGATGACAACCTCGTGCACCAACATACTGAGCTGGGAGTCTAGGGAGACAAAGGCAACCCGCAGGATGGCAGCCCATGCCCGGGCGAGGCGGAGGCAGCCGTCACAGCTATGGGGCTTGGCGGCCATGCTCTCAACGGCAGCGGCCGTCTCCCTCAACGACCTCCAGCCGATCGCGAATGGGGTCCTGCCCACGTCGTGCAACATGGCATACAACACTCCGTTTATGGGATGTACCCAGGCCGATTTTGCTTCAGGAGAGCGTTGCTCCAGCACATGCCGGGATGGCATCAAGACGGTTGAGGATGTCGTCAATGATGTCTGCGACGATGTTCCCTCGGTTAGGGATTCGGTGCTTGACTTTGCACAGCGCAGAGTCTTGCTGTTGCATACGTGTGACGGGAACGGGGACGACATCACACTGGCACAGACAACCAGCACGACTGCGATAATAGCAACAACCAGCATAGCGCCTCCGCCTACCATTGTAGTGCCGCCGCCACCACCACCGCCACTGACCACCAGCATCGCTGCGCCGCCCACCGTCGCCCCGTCAATCCCCGTTATTTTTACACCTCCTGCTTTGAGCTCAACCTCGAGGAGCCTTGGCTCGTTCACGATAATACCGACACCTGAGCCACCGGTTACCTCCAACACTCTGGTTGTTCCGCCGGTACAGTCCACAGATACAGCCACCTCTGTCATCACCACCGTAATTCCACCGCTGCCGACAACTTCTGCCACGACATCGCAGTTATTGCCACCCCCTCCGAGTGATACACAAACGAGTTCGCAAACAGTGACACAGTCATCAAGCACTTTTACGACGAGTGCCACCGCGGAACCATCGTCTCAAGATGATGGAGGTGGCCGGGGTCAGGGCCGGGGCGGGGGGAGCCCATTCGACGCTCAAGTCTCACTGTCTTCGAGACTCTATTGTGCAAATCTGCCTCTCTGCCTCACCGTTGGTGCTATGCTTATCGGTTTTATGGTCCGATAGAAGGCATGGCCTGGTCCCTGAAGATGCAGGGCCAATTGATATTTTGAAGATGGGAGCGAACAAGACCCTCGTGTCTCGTGTGTTTATACCAGCGCCAGGAGTTTTGGGAGTCTCATTTGTCCAGGTTTATTTATGACGACAACGACGACGACGACGAATTGGAGAGGTTATTGCAGTGTCGTCAGCATCATTCAAGAGCTGATTTGTCATTTTTGGAAGGATCGTCTCTCGAGACCTGCATTGGCGGCAAAAACTGGGGGCGGGCATAAAGCTCATGATATCCAAACCATGTATTACTAGATGACTAGGAAAAAGACGGCTGGGCGATATGGGAGCTGATGAGCTCGTTTGAGTCGCTGAAAGGCCCGAAATTTTGGTGGCAATTTGTGCCTACAAAACAATAGATGAATAACACGTGGATACCGCCGATCACACGCCAGGTTCAGTAACACAGACACGTTCATGTACCGTGCACGAGTTTAGTGCGGATGAGGTAGGCTCAGGAATTTGTTCAATAAGAGGAATGATTGAGAGGAAGGAAGGTAAAGGATTGAGACCAAGGAGGATTGGAGCTAGAAGCTTAGTATCTTGCATATACGAGTTTGTCGTGTAAGGTTATGGTATGGTGATCTATGGCGCTCTACTTTTGGAGCAATTCTATGTGTTCATCGCTTATGTACAACACCAGTCAGTCTCTCCGCAGACAACTCCCTCGCCTGATTTGTGTTTCCACAACATGTCATAAATGCCTAGCAGCTGCATTGAATTCGTCTCGCTGTCTGCCCGAACACGTGTCTGGCGTGCAAGCGTCATCAGACCCGACCACGCCCCGATCATGCCGTCTCCCTCCACAGCTTGCTCATCTGTATCAGCCCAGGGATGCACCCGCCAGCGCCGACCACGAGGTCCGAGAGGAAACCCCCCTCCACGCTCCAGTGCAGGGTGAGGGGCGTCCAGGCCAGGTTGATGGCGGCGCTCCGCCTCAGGGCGTCGACCTTGGCGCGCTCCTCGGGGCTCGCCGCGGTGTAGTCCTGGCCGCGCCGGGCGACGAACTCGGCGAGCAGGCGGCCCAGCTCGATGGCCGTGTAGACGCCCAGGAAGCGCGCCCCGACCACGTAGGCCTTGCCCTGCTGCGCGGGCGTCCAGCCCAGCACACCCCGGCCCGACAGGTACGCGCCGTTCTCGAGGACCTGGAAGCCGGCGCAGGCGATCAGCTGGGCCCAGCTGACGAGGGTGGCCAGCTTGCCCTCGGCCTCGGCTGCTGCCTTTTCGGAGCCGTCCTCGTCCTTGGCGCGCGCGGCCAGCAGGTTGAGCACCAGCCTCTTGGCCCAGAAGTACATGCCGACCAGGCTCCACAGCCGGGCGATGGTGCGGGCCTCGGAGGCCAGGCTGCCCAGGTTCTTGAGCCTCGTGGCGAGCAGGGCTGCGAGGCGGGCGGCGAGGGCGGAGAGGGGCGGGACGGGGGCCCCGGCGGCAGCCTCGACCACGACGGCGGTCTTGCCGGGGAGGGTGAGGACGAGGGCGACCAGGTCGCGGGGCGTGTACGGCGAGTCGGAGCGGCGGAGGAGGTACTGCGAGAGGTTGGCGAGGGTGGCGCCTGTGAAGCGCGAGGTGTAGCAGATGAAGAGGAGGAGGGTGTCGATGCCGGCGGGCGTGGCGAGGCAGCGCTGCAGGTGGGACACGAAGGCGTCTGCGTCTGAGGGGAGGGTCCTGAGGAGCGCGGCGAGGCTGCTCCTCCGGGCTGCCGGCTTGGGCTCGGGCGTCTTGGAGTCTGCTGGCGTGGAGGAGGGGATGGGCTCGCCGGTGGGGAGGTCGGCGATGGCGGTTGCGCCGGTCTCGGGGGCGGATGCTGTCTCTGTCATGTTGGCCGTGGCTGTGGTCTTGGTTTTGGGGCGGGCGTTGGGTTGAGTGAAGGTCGGCCACAGGTTAGGTTGTGAAGGGCAGGAAAGCGTGGGCGCGGTCTGGAACGCGTGGTGGTCACGGCAGGACAGGGACTCGCGAAGCGGTATGTGGGTGGGTTTTGCCGGCGTGCCGAGGTTAGAAAGATGGTTTGATGTGAGGCACTCGAGACAGGGAGAGAGGGACGGATATAGCCCACCGCCGCACAACAGATGGAAGCCAGAGATTGCCAGTCAAAAGAGTTCAGAGCAGAGGCCAGACAATCACACAAACCAGAGGGAGCAAGAGAAAGCCCGGGCAGGAACATTCGAGGAACTATCTACGCAATGGCGCAGGCGATGGACGGTTTGCGGGGCGTCGAGGGCCGAACCAAAGCCTCGGAGATGAGATAAGATTAGATCCTCATGCCCGCTTTTCGGGCGGGCTGGGGCACCACAGTACTCCGTATTCCGTGGGCAGTTCCGCGGCCCATTACCAAGAACCACGCGACAATCCCTGCTTTGCTCATGAGCCGAGCACAATGGAGGTTACTGTTACCAGATTAGGAAGTTCTGGAGAGGCGTTGTGGAAACTCGCTCGAGTCAATTTTTTTTCTTCTTCTTTGCATCCTGGCATGACACTCACAGTGGTCGTGCATGATGGGGTTGATCAGACAGCCAGTGCAAGGTTGAGTACTGTGTTGAGGAGTTATTATTGTTCTTTTTAGGGTTAGCCCGGGCTCATGTTCTATGTATATTGTTATATACATAGCACTGTGTATGTGACCTTGGAATTCCGAGGCAAGCAGGTAGGTAAACAATAGTACACTAGGTGGTGACCACGGTCCATGCTTTCTTCGGCAGTGGTTCTGTGTATCCACTATCGGATCAGATAAAAGGTAGTCCATAAAATTTGAGTCTTGGGGACCAGCGGCCTCGGCCAAGATCCGTCAGTACCCGCTGGAGTGAGGGTTAGGCTTCCCGTTGCAACAACCACAGGCGGGCATGCATTGTCATTTCATCTTCTCCCAAGCGAGCATCACCAGTTGACCCCTCTCGTCGTCTACCCAGGCTCCGGCCATACGCCTCGAGACCATTGCCATGCGAGGTCAGGCACCCGTCAGCCAGCTGCGGTCACCACGGTCAGCCACATGCACCTCGTGGGGAATTATTTCCCCTCTATTTATCCCTCCTCTATTTATCCCTCCCATTAGTGGGTTAAATCAAATCCTTGCCGTCAGCCATCACTTGGTCCTTCGTCGCAGCAGTCCATCGGGTCTTGTGGCAGCCGCTTTTGCATAGTCGCTGCTCGGGAGCAGGTGTGCGCCTGGGCAGTCTCACTGTGGCCCTCACTATGGCCCTCACTATGGCCCTCACTGTCGCCATCGAGCAGCAATGTTATTGCCTGTCTGTCTGTCTGCCTGTCTAAAAGAAACCGGCATCCCAAAGCAGCAAATTATTCATAAAAACACAACCTTGGACTCCGGCCCTGATGCAATGACGCTCCCTCGAACACGGCTCCTTCTGCTCGCCATCCGCTTCCCCTATTCGAACTCTCGATGTCTTCTCACAAAGTCTCGTTTCTGGCCTTTCGGAGCGGCCAGACTGGACCACTCGGCCGCTTCTTCTGGTCTCGAGCTCCAACAGGTTGCGCCATTTTGTACTTCTTGAACACACAACGCTGTCAAGCTCCGGCCTCATGTCTGGCTTGTTGTGCTTCCCGTCTCATCGTCAGACCCAGACGAGCCGCGGCTGCTTTTAGACGTCGTTGAGCCGCTTGGAATGGCCGTGCTTGACGCAGCGGATGAACTGTCGCGCAGCCGGGGGATCTGAGCCTCTTCGTTTGCAAGAGCCTGGTGGACAGCGATTTCGTTCCCCCTTGGCGGGACTGCCTTCCTAGGCAGGCTGAACGAGTGGCCGCGGTCAGGAGGTGATTTGACGTAGAACTCGATCCAGACCGGAACAGCGAGGCCGTGGTGGCTCCAGTACTGGATTGCCTCTTCTGCGTCAGGCCACGAGTCTTCGTTCCGTATATCAACCCCTGGCAGGTTCTGATCATCGGCTGCACAGCCACGCCGGAACAGCATGACGGCACGGTCTATTGCCACCGTGAAGCTGTCCAGCGGCAGGGCATGGCGTGTCGCGACCTCCTGGCTAGCCGCCCTCGCGATGGTCTGTCGTAGAACGAGCCGCTGCTGTGACTTGGGGACCTGGATCATCTTTGCCGTCCGACAGGCACATATTGGACCCGCAAAGCCCCCCTTCTTGCTCGCGGGCAACCTGTGGCTGAGGTAGAGTCGGTAAGTCACCGGCGTGTCGAGCTTGACGGCTGGCCGGGGCGACATGGTGGCAAGGACAGGGTGAAGTAAAAAAAGGCACACAGTTGCCACAGGAAAAAGGCCCCAGCTCAGAAGCATGGGACATAAAATCATTTAACAACGGCACCGCGCATCTTATGGCCTGCCCAGAAGGGCGAGGGCGAGGAAACAAGCTTTCTCTTAGGGTCCCTCCGCCCCCTGCCGACAGGGAGGCATGGACCTGTCAAACACAGATCCTTTGTGACGTTGGTGGAGCTGGAATCGCCGATCAACACGTATCGCACATGTATTTTTCAAGGCAAAGTTGCTTCCAGCCAGCCAGCCTCTGCTAGCCCGTGGTTCCTGAATCCTTCGCGGCCGGCCGCGCCCCAGTTCAGGTGTAGTCCGATGCCCCCGCCAGCATCCCACGCTGCCGCCGCCCCAGAGGCACCCCTCACTCGACAACAGCCCAAAACCCGATGACGGGTACTTGACCCCGCTGTCTTACTTGGAATGACAGATTGTGGGTGTACTTTGTGCCATCAATACCTAGGTATGCGGACGCCACGATCTGCAGGAGATGGGATGTGATACCCGAATCGCAGGGGACGCAAGTGGGACCAACTCCTCCCTCGCGATCCTGCAAAAGACACATGCATATTATAGGACCCTTTGTGCAGCGAACCAATGAGCCGCGCGTAACGCGCACTGCTGGCAGGATCGCGGCTTATGGGCGTGGCTTACCGTGCATGACTGTGCAGCTGCGTCTCTGCAACTTACCCCGGCATGGCAGATGTGCCGCTCAACCTCTGCAGATTTATTTCAGTTTAGCAGAGCATGCCAGTGGCTTCGGAAGTATACAGAATAGAGGCCAATCCAGTTAAATACAATGGTTGAATGGGTGGACTGGGTGAAGGTGACGCCTCGATCAACTTCAGTAGCATGTCGATGATAATGATCTCGGTGGGGCTGAATTTTCGCGGTTGTCAGCCGCCGGAGAGGTATGATATTAGCGGCATCTAGGATCACCAATTCAGCTCATGATCCAGCTATTGGATTTTACCAGATAGGATTTTAATGAGCTAGCATCCACCTACCTAACTCTAATATCTACCTACTTAGTAATTTCTATAAACCTACCTAATACCTACTTTTAATATATAAAGTTTTTATAAAACTATATACCTAACTAGAATTCTTTAAATTTTTAATACTTAAGGTATATATTCCTTTTAATACTCCGTTTAACACTTTTTTAATATCTTTTTTAATACTTTTTTTAATATACCTTTTAGTATACTTTCTAGCTTACCTTTTAATATACCTTCTAACTTATATATATTTAAGTATTAATTAAGTATTTAAATATTAATTAAATATTAAAGGTTAGAAATTAAAAAATAAAAGTAAAACTATACTTTTCTAACTTTTAATATTTTTTTAACTTTTAATACTTTTAACTTTTAATTTTTAATATTTAATTAATATTTAAGTACTTAATTAATATTTAAATATATATAAATTAAAAGGTTTAAAAGAATATTAAAAATAATATTAAAAGATATATTAAAAGTAGTATTAAAAGAGTATATACTTTAAATATTAAATATTAAAGAAGGAAATTATCTTATAAAATCTTTTAATATTAATTTAGAAAATATTTATAAATATAAAAGAGTTATTAAAAAAGTAAATATTAAATAAGTTTATAAAAATTATTAAATAAATAGATATTAAAGTTAAATAAATAAATATTAACTTAATTTTAATTATTATATAATTTTACTTTTATTTTATATATATTTAAAAATATTTATAATACTTTTATATAATAATAAGTATTAAATATTAAATATTTAAAAATAATATAATATTATTAATAATAATTATAATATAATAAATATTTATAACTTTAATTTTATAATATATAAATAAAGTTAAAAGTATTATTTTAATAATAATAATAATAAAATTATATATAAAAATAATTTATAAATATTATAAAGCTTTTTAAAATATAAAGTTAAAAGATTTATAATTATAATTTTTAATTAATTTTTATTTAACTATTTTATTATATTATAACTTAATTTAATTTTTAACTTTATTTAAATCTTTTTTAAACTTTATAAAAGCTTTTATTTTTATAAATATAAACTTTAAATTAAAATCTTTAAGTTTAAGTTTAAGATTCTTATAAATTATAATATATTTTAAATTAGATTTATAATTCTTTAGCTTTTTAAAAATATATTAATTATTTTAAATAATAATAACTTTTCTTTAAAGTAAAGATCTATCTTTATATAGTTATAAATTTAATTATTAATAATTATTTTTCTTCTATAAAACTATTAGAATTATAAATTTAAATATTATATATAGTAATAAAGTATAGTTATTTTATTTAATTATCTTTAGTTTAATAGTATAATAGGTTAAGTAACTACTTTTAAATAGTTTTACTTATAGAGTTAATAGATAAATATTTATTTAAATAAAGTTAAAACTTATATATATCCTTTAAAGGAATAGTAATTTTATTTTTATCTATTTTAATTAACTTATATTTACTTAAATTATATAATAACTTTATATATAAAGTTTAATAGTATTAAAACTAGATAGCTTATAGTTTATAATAACTTTAACTTTTAATAAATTAGTTTATATTAAAACTAATAATATTAATTTAAATTACTTAAATATAACTTAATATATTAATATAAAAGGTATCTTTTAATAATAAATAGTATTATAAATAGTAATAATAGATTATAAAGTTATTATAAAAGTTTTATATAATAAATTTAATTAAGTTAATCTTTAAAAATATTATATTTTATTTTTAAAATCTTAACTATTTATTTTTAACTTAATAATAAAATTAAAGAAATATAAATAGTTTATAATTTATAAATATTATAAAGAATTATATAATAAAATTAAATTTAAAAATAATAATTATATAAATAAATTATATAAATAATTTGTAAATTAAAATATCATTTTTAAATATATATATATATATATATATTAATAAAGCTTTTATTAAATAATAATTAAAACTAAAGATTAAAGGTAGTAAGTAAGTTTTATAAAAGTTTTATAAATTCTTTTATTAATAAAGTTATTATATTATTACTTTTACTTTAAAACTTAAAAGTAACTTTCCTTTCTTCTTTTTCCTTAAATAACCTTACTTTAAATTTATTTTATTTAATATAAACTTAAAATTTTTATATTATAAAGTTTAAATAATATTTTAATAATTTTATAAAATTTAAAATTATAATTTTTATTTAACTCTTTTAATATATAATTAAAAACTTATAATTATAATTTTTAATTACTTTTATTTATTCATTTTATTATATTATAATTTAATTTAATTTTTAATTTAATTTAAATCTCTTTTAAATTTTTAATCTTTTAATTTTAAAAAGTTAAAACTTTATATTTTAAATTTAAATTTTAAACTTTTATAAATTTTAATATATTTTAATTAAATTTATAATTTTTATTCTTTTAAAAGTATATTAATTATCTTAAATATTAATAATTTTTTAAAATAAAAGTTTATTTTATATAATTATAAACTTAAATATTATATATAATAATAAAATATAATTACTTTATTTAAAAGTTATATTCTAATTTAATAAAAATATAATAAATTAAATAACTACTTTTAAATAATATTATTTATAAAGTTAATAAATAAATATTTATTTAAATAAAATAAAAACTTTAATTAAAGAAATAATAACTTTATTTTATTTATTTTAATTAATTTATTTAAATTATATAATAAATATTATATTCTAAAATAATAAATAATATTATAAATATAATAAATTATAAAGTTATTATAAAAGTTTTATATAATAAATTTAATTAAATTAATTTTAAAAGATATTTTATATTTTTTTAAAAACTTTAACTATTAATTTTAATTTAATAATAAAATTTAAAAATATAAAAGTTTATAATTTTATTTAAATATAAAATTAAATATTTATATTTATTAAAATAATTAATATATTTAAAAATATACTTTTAATATATTAATATTAATTTATATTATTAATTTATTATATATAATAAAAGTTATACTTATTAATTATATATTTTTATAAAATTTTAAATTTTTACTTTTTATTATAGTTTTTAATTTAATAATTTATTTATTATTTATTATTTTATTAATTTTTAATATTAATATTATTATTACTTTAACTATTAATAAGTTAATAAATAAATAATTAAAATTATAAATAGAAGAGTAGTTATATTTATAAAAAAAAGTATTTAATAAATAGATAGTTAAGATTATAAAAGTACTTTAAATAAATAATTAAAATAATATTAAATAAAGTCTTTTAATTAATTATAACTTTTAAAAACTTTTATAATTAATTTATATAAATATATTAATTATTTTAATAAGTATAAATATTTATTCTTTTAAATATATAATTAATTTTAAAAGTTTAAAATAAAAAATAATTTATAATATATTACTTTTAAATTTTTATAATAAATTATTAAATTTTTAAAAGAGTTTTAATAACAATTTATAAAATATAAAGAAAAATATAATAAGTTTATTTTTTAAATTTATATTTTTATTATTAAAATTATTAACTTTTTAATAATTTAAAAGTATAAATAAAAAAATTTAAAGTTTCTTTATAAAATAATTATAAAAATATATTAAAAGTTATTAAAAACTTTATATATAAACTTTAAAAAAAGAAATAAATAGTTAAATAAAAAGATAGTTATATAGTGTAAAGGAAAAATATAGTGTGGCTGAAACTATTTTAATTATTAATATATATTTAAGTATACTTCCGCCCGCCGGGTTTCTTATTATCGAGGAGTGGCCTAAATACGTATGTGTCTGTGGACTGGGAGAAGGAGAGAGTGTTTGTTCGTGGTGACACATCCTGCAGATGGTGCAATATTCACTCGGTGGGAAGACCATTGCGCCACTGCGCATGGCCTTAGTGAGATACAAAAACAGCCTTGCATATCGCCTAGCAGGCACGGCAGTCTTTACTAACTGGGACACGGTTGAGGCCAGCGAGGATTTAGTTAGCCGAGCAGCTTTAGAACGTGTGAAATTAATTCATTTTTTCGTCGGCTATATGCAGTCGTCTAGATTAATTATGCAGAGCTTGCCCCAAATAGTCCCAATGTTATTTTATTACGAATTCAGTGGTTGAGTCACCTCCAAGTGATCCAGACTTCTGAAAAAGGCGCTCAACCGCTGGCCAGTTAATCTCTATTCGCTGTTATACTTCAACGCTTACATACCACTTACATTCAAAAGTTTCTCAGAAATGGTCTTTCAAGTCCTCGCATCCCAGTTCGCCATCTGTGCCTGAAAACCCTCTAAGTCCAATACTGGCTCCGGCGCCACTCAGAAACACAGCAATAACCATAACCTTGATAGATATCCAGATACGCAAAACAGAACGTAAATTAAAGCTAACTGATACCAATTAGACTTTTGTGTGTTGCAACTTGTGCCCCCTCGCAGTTTCGCTAAAATACACCTAGCTTGTCTATCTGTGTCAAGCGCGGACCCGTCGAGTCAAGCGATCAACCTATATGATCCACCATCCCCCCACTTCAAGCACATACGGCCATAGATACAGGAAAATACGGGATCCCGTCCGCTCTCCCTTAGTCAAGTCTGTAGTCGCTGGATTAGTAGTTGGGTCGGTGACGACCAGCGAATACCCGGTGCTGTATGTTTTGTTTTGCTCTGAAATGCTTTTTGCCTCCATATCCCCCTGCCACGATGAACAGGAGGCCCACAGTGTGCTCACTCATGGTAAATTTGTTTGTACCAATACTTCTATGTGACATTGAACAGCTCCCTTGATGAGCTTTGTTTTCCCTAGTAACTCGTTGGATACCTTGGTGGCTGGGGGGCCCTCTTTGTCTTGACGTGTGTTCTTGCCAGGAGTTTCTCCGGTGTCAAGGTGCCCAGCTCAGCCTTCATTAAGCAGGACCTTGTCCTCACTCGGAAAATAAGCTGTATACACGAAGCCGTGGTCTGATAATCGAATGTGGAAGTAGTTTCGTTTCTAATTCCCACACATAGAAACCGTATCTAGCGCCTTCACAGTGGCAAACACTCGAGAGCCAGTATTTAAAAATAACACAATGCCAATAACAGTGAAGAGAGAATACAATATGTGGGCCCGTGTCCTCGGCCTCACGTCGCACAGACAAGGCCAGGATGCATCTTTGAATGTGGAAAAGGTAGAGAAAATATGCCAAACAGCCAAACTATAGAGGTGAAAAAGCAGGTACCAATCCACAGGGTTAGCCCCCCTCTATATACCTATTCCTCTACACAAACTGCTCTCGTACCCCGGGTGAAATTTCAGCCCTGCCCGCTTTATGTCACCCACAATGAGACCACCTCATCTTGAAAAGGCCATCAAGGGGTCCAAGGACTTTTCATAGCAGATGCCCCCAGCAAAATCTAGACGAGCTCGACCTCATTATGGTGGGACAGACAGGCCGTTCTATACATCGCGAAGATCCTGCCCTGCTGGACCCGGAATTTGATCCTGATTGATATTGCAGAGAAGGGTCCAAAAGTCACCGACCTGCTCAGGAACTCCTTATAAGACCCATCATCAGAGGGGTGTACCAGGCGGAAAACACAGCGGGCTACATGTGCCGTGTCGGCTTTGCGGTGTGGATCAACCTGAGAGCAGTCAGATGCTTGATATGATTATGGACTCGGTCAATCTTGCCACCGCGGCACTGCCGGCGCTGACCACACAGGCTAATATCAAATGTTGAAATATTCTTTCAAATGCCTCCGTACGGCTTGAGGTGAAATGCGGAGTCAAGGCCTTTGTACGTGGAAGGATTGGCCTCTGCAAGCAAGAAGATCCCTCCAAACTCGGTCAAATAAATAGGGACGTACAGTATAGACTTACCAACAACAGTGGGTAAGGAAACAATAATTCTGTAACATCCCGTAAGAGAGAGAAAGGACCGCAGGCTACTTTAATGTTGCATTATCATGCATGGCTTAGGGCTGATACCACGAGACGAAGCCACTTCCTAGGCGCCCCGGTAGCGTAAACTATAGCTCCAGCGCCATCTCTTGGCATTTCACCACCGAGTGACTCTACCCGGCGAAATGTAGGGGCTAGGTCACGGGTAGCCTGAGACGTTACATTTCAGCACGCTCCTTGAATGTATTTATTTAACTGCACTGTTACTTCCAGAAGACGGAACCAATTCCTAATCGAGTTATAACCCAAACAACGCTTTCTTCGTCTCCTTGCCTCCCATTCTCGCAACCTCGTCCTACAATGTCTTCAGTGGACCCGAGCCGACCAGATATTGTCGCCTTTATGGCCAAGGCGTCCGATGCCTTGGGCCGTGAGCTCCCAGCTCCCAAGGACGTCTTTGCATTTGGAGGCAACAACCCGCGAGTAACCGATGAGCTTCTTCAGTTGGCTATCGACGGCAAAAAGACGGCCACTACATCGTGGCCCATCCCGCAACCGCTGCACTGGGGCCCCGGGGACCTGTCAGTCATCCTCAACGGCAAAGGAGAGCCCGCAGCTGTCATGACGACTTTGTCGTTTGTCGAGTGCAGATTCAAGGACGTGGCTGAGGACTTTGCGCTGGCGGAGGCTGAGGGAGATTATGAGGACTACCGGGAGGGTCATATCGCTTTCTACAGGCAGGAGGAGAACGGCCACGAGTTTGGTGACGAAAGCATGGTCCTGTGCGAGCGATTCGAGGTCATTTATTCGAGCTCCTAGACAGCCAAGCATGTAATAGCGGTGGTTCCCATCAGTTCTGAATGATGCATCTGATTATAATGTGAATTCGAGGAGTAGCTTACAGTGAGATGCACGGCGCTGCGTTATGGATTCCTTCACACAGGTAGCCTTGTACAGAATCGATATGTCTGATATTGGTATGCTCGAAGTTGGAGTTGGATATAATTTGCTCATCTTGGCTAAAGACTTGGGCGTAGTTTAGTGGCGGGATTTGAACCCCGACCTCGCCTGCACACAAATGCTCCCAAGCGACTGAGACTCATAACATCCTCACCAATGCATGGGGCAGTCTATCCTGAACTGCCGTACAAAGTCGGCTTCACTAGAACTCCTCCCCTTATCGTCCATCCGGCCAAAGCGGGGGCGACAGTAGCTTACATTATTGAGCCGCCATGTTACTGTATGAAGCCGCTAGTATACTCTCAGAAACTTTCCTTGGCCTCCTCGATCTGAGTGTAATGCGGTTGAATCGACGTGAAAAGATGTCACTATGGCCTGGTGTGCATGGTTGCGCATATCCGTGGTGCATGACCGCCAGGGTTGCCGTTCACTACACTCAGTGTAGTAGTGTAGTGTAGTGGGTGTAAATAAGCCCACTACACTCCATTACACTAAGGGTATTTTCAAGTCCACTACATTACACTAAGGAGCCCAGTGTGTGTAATATAGTGGGTTTAAGTGTAAATAGGGGGGGGGTAAGGGGGAGGAGGGTGATAGAGGGAGAGGAAGGGAGGAAAGGGGAGAGGAAAGCTGACTAAGTGGTTAGATAAGATAAGATAAGATAAGATAAGATAAGAGGAGGAGGAGGAGGAGGAGGAGGAGGAAAAAGATTACTTATTTACCTATTTATTCACCTATTTATTCACCTATTTATTCACCTACTTATTCACCTACTTATTCACCTACTTATTCACCTATTTATTCACCTACTTATTCACCTATTTATTCACCTATTTATTCACCTATTTATTTACATACCCCCCAACCCCCCCCTAGCCCACCCCCCTGCATTTTAACCCACTACACTACACACACTTACACTAAAGGCCTATACACTACACTACATTTACACTAAGGGTATTTTGAAGTCCACTATACTACACTGACGAGCCCAGTGCGTGTAGTGTAGTGGGCGGCAACCCTGATGACCGCGAGGGGTGCTGGTGAGCTGGTCATTGGATCAGGAGTCTGTCCTCTGCGTCGGGTTCTTGCACTTCCGCATCCTCTGTGGAGCCTCTAGTCTTGGTCTTGGAGGGACCGGGTAATTCCTCTTTGGACTGGGGGCCCTCTTCCACCCCAGTCTCCTCTTCATCGAGACTTTGCTGCGGTATAGGCAACAGACTAGCCACGCTCGCTCATTCTACTGCCATTTGATCTTGTAAAAGCGGCTGGGCAAGTGCTCGACGAGCTTCTCGTGCTTTCCCATGCTAGGTCATTGACCGGCTTCTAGCGGTGCTCGGAGGTAAGTTGGGTTTGCTCGTCATCATCAAGGACCACGGTATTGGTATGGAGGTTGTGTGCGGCGCCCCGGCAAGCGACCTCCCTTGCTTGTCGTCGCTCGATGTGAGGTGGTCCCTTGCCATGACGAGGAAGCCGGTGGCATCCTCACCACGGTCGCCTCTTACTGGTATGGGGACTCATCCACGCATCTTCTGACACTGGATATTTCCTCGGCGTCTCGATCATGGCTTAGGTCACTCAGAACTAGTCGAGATCTTTTTGGGGGAGGAAGTTGGTCCCAGACCACGTCTTCCATCTCCACCAATCCCAGGAGGTCTTTACCTATGCCCGATCTTTCGGTACCCGGGTATCGAGGATGCCAGAGTCCACAGAAGAGTGTCCAAGCAGAGGATGCCACATGGTAGGGTGTCGTGAGAGGTCAGGCTGAGATCAACCCATGAGAGATCAATACATGACAGATCAACCTGCAGGAGGCCATTCCGTACATCCCACCACAGGTCAACCCGCGAGGTCTCTATATGAGCATATCCTGTGGGAGCATATACCATGAGAGGTTGAATGCAAAAAGAGGCAAAGTCATGCCAAGAGCAATCGTGGAGATTGCATCTGCAGGCAGTGCAGTGGGCCAGTGCGCAGCCAAAACGGTGTACAATCATTGGCCGAGGCCGCACGTGGGCGGCTGGGCGGGAGCTAGCCACACTAGCCAATCAGCGCCAGCCACGCGGCAGGGCCGGGCCCCCCCACCCCTTACCCAATGCGGCGGAGATGGGCCGCGCCCCCCACCGCCGCCCATCTGAATTTTCCCACTTCTACCCTCATATTGCAACACTCGCCATACCCCACAACACAACAGGTCCGGTGGTGTAGTTGGTTCATCACATCAGTCTAACATAGAACAGCCGTAAGAAGCTGTTAATGGAAGCACTGAAGGTCCCCGGTTCAAGCCCGGGCCAGATCACAGTTGTTATTTTTTGCGCCTTTTGGTGTCTTTTTGTGCTGGCGACACTTGCTCCCAGACCTGGCATGCTCTATGTGAGTCGGTGTCTGTTGTCTGGGGGCTGGGTTGTGTGTGCTGGTGCCCTGGGACCGTCTTGAGGCGGCAGCGTCCACACCCAACACCCAACACCCAGCCACCCGGTCTCGTGTTTTGGCACGGCATGCACGTCCTGCCACACGGTGGCTTTGTTTTCTTATCGAGATTTGACACCTCATTACACTCGGATCTTGCAGGTGTGAGCTTACGGAGTACATACAAAAGTCTCACGCACAGGAGCTGCGAGGGCGGGCCTCTGCTGTCAGTCGACAGACACGGCACCGCAACACAGACCGAGGCAATCTGCTCCACGTGCAACACGAAACAAAAAGTTCCTTATCGTGGGTCCCAGCGGATTGTTTATCGCTAGATCGGGCTGTATGTGGTCTGCACCCATGTCCCAGCCCGCTGCATACGGTGCTGAGTCGCGCAGACTGCCACACGAGGAGCTTCGTTTCGACACGGCGGGTGGGGTGCAGTACAGCTTTATCTGGCCGATCTTGGGGACACCGGCGTGGCAGGGCAAGGATTCTTCCTCCAAGGCATTATGTGATCATCAAAACCGTCGATCGTCTGGTCTTTGGGGTTCGAGGCCGGACCTTGAACATCTGGGGATAAAGCTTGGCACATCTTGCTCGACAGGAATTGTCCTGCCAGCCCAGGCCCGGCTTCCGCATACTGCACAAGACAACAATTGGGGTTTGTCCTCCCTGGAGGCTGGTTCTTGAGGCACATCCTGCCGAGAGGATTGGTGACATCACGGATCCAACCCCGGCCGCTCATCCAGGCCGCTATTGCCCTCGCTTGCTTCATACGGCGCCGACTGCCAAAAAGACACGAGCTTTGCCGTCTTGGGAGATATGGCCTCGCCTGACTTCGGGTTGCGATGCTGACCCCACGGATCCGCAGTCCAAAGGAAATGACTCTGGACGTAAGGAGATCGACCTGAGGGGCTGCAGGGGAGCAGAGCAGCTAGCCCGGGCCTCGGGACAGACGCATGGAGGACCGGGGCCGAGCCCCTGGCCCCACAAATGGAAATAAGATGCTGGGCTCGGAGTCGCCCGAGATCTGCAAACCTAGTAGGGGGATGGGTGGTGGACCACTGGCACTGCAGCCGTCTTGCCGCTTGAGGCTCTTCACAAAATCCCCCCTTTCTGCGCGAAACCTTCACAACCGGCCTAATGCACACCTGAGGCTCGCTTCGCTCGTTGGCACGCGCGCCCAGACTCGGGCTGCTCGGCCGTCATCCATCCCACAACTCCCACAACTCCCACGCTAGGAAAGCCTGTCTGCCTGTCTCGGTAACTTGCCGCCGCCCTCCTCACCGCGCCTACCTGGACCTCCGCCGAGTGCAGTCGTCGACGGATCAATTCTCTGGTCTTGGCGGTTTCATATTACATTGTTTCCCTCCAGGCCCCCCATGGAGCCGCCTTCGTTATCATTGGCCTGTCAGCGGGATGCGGCTCAGGCACAGCTAGACGTCCCCCTGTCTCATGCGGGTCGATGTTTGATGTTTCTCCGTTTGGACTTGATAGATCCTTACAGATCCAGGCCGCCGGTCCACGACGGCATCGCGGGCCTATGAGAGGCCTTCCGCCACGCTTCTTTTGTGGGAGGTTGGCCATATGCGGCCCTGGCATACCCACTTCAATAAACTCGAGCGTCTATGACCCCGGAAGCCTCGCGCCAGGACGCTGGGCAATCTCCCCCCTCCCCCTCGTGTCTGTCTCCTGGCGACGACACAAACACGGACAGGACGTACTTATACCAGGCTCGCCGAGCCGTCGATCTTTTGGTTTCTCGTGCTTTTGTTCCTCAACCTCGTTCAATTCGTCGTCTTCACACACCGACCATTCATTCTTTCACGGGTCTGCCTGGGGCTGCCATTCATTTCAACACAAGCTGTTAACCATTGTCGATCGTTCATTCAACCCAACCAAAAACCCCCTTTCCGCCCCTTCGCTCACCAGTAGTGAATATCACATCAAAATCAAAATGGCTGCCAAGATCACCCTCGCTCTCATTGCCTCCGCGACCCTTGTTGCTGGCCACGGATATGTGACCAACGCGACTATCGGAGGAACCGAGTACGAGTTCTACCAGCCGTACCAAGGTAAGGCCGTCGTCCCCCTGGAATTCCTCACCGTGTTTTGGCAGACGCTGATTTGCTCGTGTCTTCCCCCGTTTCACAGACCCTTACAAGACCCCTGCTCCGGAGAGGGTCTCCCGCAAGATCACCGGCAACGGCCCAGTCGAGGATGTCACCTCAGCCGCCATCCAGTGCGGTGCTGACACCGCCCCGGCTGCCCTCGTCGCCGAGGCCGCCGCTGGCTCCGACGTTGAGCTCTTCTGGACCCTGTGGCCCGAGTCCCACATCGGCCCTTCGATCACCTACATGGCCAAGTGCGAGGGTGACTGCACTTCCTATGAGCCTGGAACCGACGCTGTCTGGTTCAAGATCCAGGAGAAGGGCCGTGAGGGCACCTCTGACACCTGGGGATCTACCCCTGTCATGACCGCTGGTGGCAGCATCTCCTACACCATCCCCGAGTGTCTCGAGCCTGGCAACTACCTCGTCCGCCACGAGCTGATCGCCCTCCACTCGGCTGCCAGCTACCCCGGCGCCCAGTTCTACCCCGGCTGCCACCAGATCAAGGTCACCGGCGGTGGATCCACCGCCCCCACCGACCTTGTCGCCTTCCCTGGCGCCTACAAGGGCACTGACGCCGGTATCGCGTACAACGCCTACACCTCCTCGGAGTACACCGTCCCCGGCCCCGCTCTGTTCACCTGCTCCGGCTCGTCATCGGGCTCTGCCGGCTCTGCGGGCTCCGCTGCCTCGAGCGCTGCCGCACCGTCCTCTACGCTGGCTACGGTTACTAAGGCTTCAACTGCCGCCCCTGTTGCTACCGATGCTGCCGACGACGATGAGGCTTGTGACGTCCCTGCTACAACCACCGCTGCTAGCACTAGCTCTGTGGCTGCTAATGTTGCCGCTGCCGCCACTTCTGATGCCTCGGACGACGAGGCTTGCGATGCTGAGGAGACTGTTACCGCTACTATCACCTCCGCCGCTGCCCCCGCCGAGACTGGTGCTGCTGACGACGAATGCCCCGCTGAGGAGGAGCCGCCTGTCGAGGAGACCGGCGACGATGAGTGTGAGGCTTAAGTGACGCACGCACATGGTCTGTCGCGCGTCCTATGTACGTGATGAGGCTTGTCGACTCACTACGATGACGATGTTGACTTGAGACACGGGTGTTTGGATAAACGATACAAGTGTTGCATACTCGGTGCTGCACGTGCTTATTTCATCATTGTAAATATTACTGGTGTCCTGGCTAGACTGGGCGAGAATATACATCTGCGGAACATACAATCACGCTCATCTGTCCTTGATGATGCGTCAAACGTGTCCAACAACCCTCACTCGTGATCGTATACACCAAATCAGTCGTATTTCTAGCCGTGTGCCTTTCCTGAGGAGTCTTTCTGCCTGCATTTAAACATTGAGGTATCCCAGGTGCCGTGGCAGTAGAGTGGGCAATGGCTAACTGGTATACACTCCTACCCTGACACTCATTCCCAGAGGAAAAGGACCAGTTGACTGCAAGTAGAAATGATTGGCACAATCCAACCATCGCTATTCTGTGCTCTCATTGCATTCTCATGTTACCACTTCACATGACATGATCTGGAATCGGCTCTGAGGCGACGAGTAAGATCTCGACATCGCCATTGAGATAGACAGATCCGGGATTTAGACGGATTCCTCCCATGACCCATCCGAAACCATCGCTCTCATCGCCTTGATCGTACTCTCCACAGCCAGCTTTGCCATGTCTTCCTCGGCAACCCTCTTCTCCGATAAGGCTGCGTCGTCAAGACCGGGATGATACCACTCAAAGGTGTAGGTCATGAACAGTTCGCCATCAGACCCTCGGCTGACAATGTTGCTGATGTTGTTTCCCTCGGGCTGCCGGAATTCGATCTTGGCTGGATAGAAAGTCGTGACAACCTCTACTACGCGCCTGTTTCCCTGTCGGAACGTGACCACGCGTGTCGTGACGGGCCGCTCCTGCGTATCTTTGGTCTCCGATACGACCTCGGTATTCAAGATAGCCCCACTCACAAAATCCTCTGCTCGACGTATTTTCCGCCGAAGGAGAGCCCAGATTTGTTGCTCAGTGAGCTTGGGCTCCGCCGATGGCGGGTTGATCGGAGCGGTGTACGTAACGTAGTTTGCAGGCATCTTGGGTTGAAGTGGTCAATCTGAGGAAGACTAATGTCTTTAAGAACAGGATGGGACGAACATTCAAGGGTATTGACAGACTGTAGTTGAAGAAAAGTGCGCAGGCTAGTCTACAGCTCTAATGCCGACGTCCCCGCGTTGCTCAGATGTGCTCGGACACCTGGCCGGATATCCCCAAATGATCTTCTCGTAGCACCTGCAGGAATCCTGAATTGTGTGACAACTCTGAGGATTGCTTACCATAGTGAAAGATCATTCACTTCCGTTGGATGACAAGAAATTGTACCTAGAAGTTCACCTCCTACATTTCCTTATTCATGCTCACATTACCCAGGATAAGATGTTGTCACGCACGTGATGAACTTCAAGTTACCTATAAATTTAAGCAATGTAATTAGAGGTAATAATTACTACTAGTTAATTAATTAACTCATTTAATTAAATGAGTATAATAATAAACTGGATATTCTAGTATAGGTAGAATTTTGATAGTAGGTGTGAAGTGTAAAATAGTGGCTATAGCAACCTATGGATTTTAGTAAAACCTATATACTTGTTGTGTGGCCGCGACATCTGTGAAGGCCGTGGGTATTACTTATCCTACCACCTGGTAGAATCAACCTATAGCAGCTTAATCTCTTCTAGAACAGTCCCAGCGGGATAGCATTCTATAGGGTATACCCTTCTGTTACAAACTCATATGGGACGCCCTCCTCGAGGAAAGCCCCATGGATATGTTTTGTTGTTTTGTAGATAATAAATGTTATTTTCCTATCTCTAACAGGCTACCGCTGCTAAATATCTATAAAATGCATTATATGTAAGACTTCTGTGTCGATTTCACGCAGATTTTACGAGACTCTCGGCGCCGGTCTCCTCCATCTATTATCGGGCGATAGAAAACAGTGTGGCTTTGGCATTCTGTGAAGGATGGTTGCACCGGATAAGCTCTTGCTGTGCAACCACAAACCATCCGGCCTACCAATGTGGTTGGACAACAGCGCGCTGAAATGGAGTCAGGAGCGGAAATTTGCGATTTTCCAGAGTGACGATGTGGATTGATCTTTGTGCGACACCCATGGGTTGGCGGCCCTCCTTCAGCAGTTCTACGAATCGCTGACCCAAGATTGGTCTTCACTTACAGCCACTTGCTTTCGATGATGCACACATGACTAGCTACCCCGAGGGTCACCGACCCATGTTCGGTTCACAAGTTCCTTCGTCATCAGGAGGGCTGGGATCATGCGTTCGCATCCGTCATCCGGCGGTTTTGTTTTCTTGGCACAAAGCTTATGCACTTGACAAGCGGCTTATACGCCGCTTACTATTGCGTGTAGATAGATTCGTCACTCGGTGTATTACTAGCTTAAGCCATGGTAACATCAGACCCTTGCGGCCGCTGTGGCAGTCGTCGCTGCCGAGGTGGTCGCAGGCGCTGTGGTTGCTGTGGCCGTGGTCGCGCTGGTGGTGCTTGTCGAACCCCCGGACGATGTGGAACTGGCCACTGTCGCCTGGACGACTTGGCCGAGCGCGTTGAAGATAATATTTACAAGTGTGCCCAGGGGTTCGTACTTGTACGTCTTCTGTACGAGTCCGCCCGAGAGTGTTTTCGCCTCCCCTGTGAATGTCATGTTCTGGTCGAAGTTCCCCACAATGGTAGACACCGTGTTGCCCACGTCGCCGACGACCTCTTGCACCTGAGATATCTATTGTCAGTATCGAGCCCTGGATAGAGGATGAGTTTGCGCTTCTGATGGTCTACCCCAGAAATTGCTGCACGCCGGGATCGCGCAACAGACAGAAACGCAGAAGTGAATTCTGAGCTCCAAGGCGCAACTTACAATATTTCCAAGGTTGTCGATGATGAAATTGATCTTGGAGTTGCCTTGAACGATGCTGCCCAGAAGACTGTCCACTGCAGCAACTACTTCGGTGACAACATCTGTCACTTCATTCAGGAGGTTGATGAGCAGAGGGTTCAAGTCCAAGCTCGCAAGCGTTCGGTTGACGATGGACACCACTGCGGAAGCGTGGATCAGCAAATATTTTCAGAGTGGCCTCAAGATGCAAGCCTTACAGTTGCCCAGCCGGATGATCAGCTCCAGCTCGGCTTCGACGTCCGCAATAGTGATGTTAACTTTAGAGACGCCGATCTCGACACCAGCATTGATGGTAACGAGGGAAGCAATTTCGGCGTTGAGGTTGATCTCCGCTTGGAGGTTGTCTACGATCAGCCTGAGACTTTATTAGCAATGGTCCACAGAGAAGGGACCTCGAGAACAGCATACTCGATCTTCTTGACAGAGATGTTAGGGACTCTGAGAAGCACATCCGGCGGTCCCTTTGTGCTGCTGCTTCCAGCAGATGTCGTAGTTCCGGAACCACCACCAACATTAGTCGTGGAGTTTGACGAAGTGCCTCCCCCCGAACCAACTGTTCCCGTCGGGCTGGTCGTCACCGCGGTGGTTGCATCTATTGTGCTTGCTTCTGCTGTCGAATCCGTGGTTGCAGGTGTCGAATCCGTGGTTGCAGAAGGTGTCTGCGCTGCGGATAGGGAAAAGACGGAGCACAAGGCGAGAAAGAGGAACGTGTAAGACCGCATGCTGTCGGTGTTGCCCAAAGAATGCACCAACACTGCCTGGAATATTCTGCCCGTGTGAGGATAAAGGAGTGGATTCCGGTCAATGAGGTGTCCCCGAGGCAAAAGAGTGAGCCTTGAGAGATGTGTCGGATGAGTAGTGCGAGCCTTGAGCAGGAGGGTGTGCAGCAGTCGAGCAACAAAGGGATGCGCGCAAAAGCTGATGACCTTTAGGAATAAGAATTAAGCGCACGTCAGAAAGGAAGGCTAGTGCGTGAGTGGACTAACAGCCCCATGGGATCAATGCTAAACTTGTGCAGCCATCCTGGCTTACAAGGTTCTGAAAAACCGGTATGTAAGTGAGCCCGGTTGGCAATCAGCAGGGAATGGGCAGTGGTGCCCTATGACCCAGAGTCCCACGCGTCCTAGACCGGCCGTTTTCCCGGGGAAAGAAGCCGTGAGCATCTCGATCAGACATGGGGATTTGATATTTTCCAAGGAAAAGTCTGGCTCGAGAACATGGCCAAAATGCCCGACCCACTGCGGAACCGGTGCACAATGCGAGCTCTGACGAGTCAGGGGGCCGCGAACAAGCATTGGGCCATAGATATGTGTGCCGTTATAGCTGCGACTGTCCTACCCGTCTGCCCATCTGGAGGCCCTAAGGACGTTCCTGGCGATTTTACAGGCTCGGGGACAAATGAGCCCAGCGTAATGGGCAAGTTCCGCCCGTCAGTCTGTCTTGGCTCTTGTTCAAGCCTCCTGCATGTCGCAGCACTCACACCCTGCCCCTTTTCACCTCGTCTCATGCCGTCCTATGCAGTAGCGCGGCACTAGCCGAGCCACAACCAAAGTCATCGATGGGCTATGATTCTCAGTATCCCTGAACCCGGCGGGAGCCCGGGCACACTGGCAGCTTTCACAGGCTCCTAGCATCGCGGTAGAGCTAGCTGGGGACTTCTCTCGAGGAAAAGTGGTCCGGTGAGAGAGAATTGGTGCCGCCGCCGATTGATCTTGGGCCCGAAATCCTGCTCCATCATGCATCTTCCTGGCCGTTAAGACCCATCAACCGTTGATATCACAACTCACGCCAGGTTGGTCCAACATAGGGGAGCCCTCGGAGTTCGTCCAGCTAGAAGACCATCTGGGCACTCTTCTGACACCAGTCTCTCCCTTTTTACCACACACCGTCAGGTGCCTTCTTCTCGCAGCGGGGTGTGCTTCTTCTTACCTGGGTAGTTGCCCATCGCCAGTCTGCTGTCTCCCAGCCAGACCACAACGCTTTTTCCTCGTCTTCTGTTGGACCTGCAGCGCCTTGCCTCACCCACTCACTCTTTTCTAATTCTTGCCAACTATTTCGCCCCTCATTTTTACCGCCCAATTACCCAGTCCACAATGTTGGCTCCAACAAAGGGCTTGCTCGCCCTCGGCCTGCTTGTCCTCTCCACATCCTGTGCAGAACATGGCAGCAGGCAAGATGATGGTTATATCGGCTACCGCCTCGACCAGCGTGGCGACCCGGAGGCGGCAGTCTACGAGACAGCCAACACCAATACCGACGCAGACTACGTGCTGCCAGAAGACCCCGATGTTTATCTGAATGCATCAGTCTACGTGGGCGAGATTGATATCGAGGTCGACAACATAACCGCAAAGGTCAACCTGCAAGCCGACGTCCTGAAACTGCTTCACTTCAGCGCCGGCGTCGACGCCTCCATCGATAGGGTCAAGCTCACAATCCAGAACATAAGCGCCAAGGTTGAGCTTGAAGCCCGTTTAGAGAATGTCGTTCAAATGTATGTCACCACCCTGTTTCCCTCAACACCTGGGCACATTGCTGCTTCCCACCGATCTGAGCGGTTGTTGACTTGATCACTTCAAGGGTCGGGGACGTGCTAGATTCCCTCGATCTGAATCCAATCATAGCGACTTTGGGAAATGATTTAGGAAAGATTGTCAACGGCACTGTTGGTGACCTGACATCTGGAGACTACGGCGGCAAAGAGAAGAGGGGCTTCGCCATGGACGAAGGTATCCTGTACAGCATCAACGACTATACAGGCAACACACATACCAACCGCGTGCTGGCTCAGAATGGAAACCTGCTCGACGTGAAGCTGGAAAACGACGGCGACGAGACGGGCCGCACAGTGGTAGGATACTACGAGCAAGACATGACCTTCACCGGGCACAACAAGACGATCAGCATCGACGGAGAGGTTAAGGAGTTTGAGTTGCAGTACATGTACACCCCCTTCCCAGGCATAGAGAGTGTTTGTTGGATCTATGTGAGCCCGACGGGTAAGGTGACGCGGACCCAGGTCATCGCGGAGACCTTTGGCGGTGGAGGTAGCACCATCAGTGACGACGGTGTTGACGACCTATGAGATTAGACTAAAGGAGTTAGGACCTCAGGGTGAAATAGGAGTATCCTTTCGCAACGAGCAGCTGTGGGTACCTAGGTACTCAAGCCAACACCATTGTGAGAATACAAGGTTTTTCTCACAACTCGACCCCTGCTGGGCGACGATACCGAGTTTCTCCTTCATTAATAGCCACGCTTGCTATCACGACTTCAAGGTGTGATCAATCAGTCAATCCCACAGCTATGCGCCATGGCAGCTGTCAATGTAACCCGGGCGGTTATACCAGCCCGCTCGCGATCATTTTTCGGAACAGCCGAACATACTTAGGTAGCAACCCCTTTTCTTCCATCTTGGAGAATTAAGCAGGCTGAGCTGCCCACCCAATGGCGACAAAGAGATTGATTGAAACAGCACCTGGGCCAAACCGGACGAAATGTTGTCGACGCTAGGCTAGTTCAATGTTGCCACCTCGAATTGGGTCACATTCATCAACGCTCGCTGTGGCTGACAGCCTGTCATCCGAACTGCAACGCCCTGTGCGTTCTGCTTGCTGTACTCCGTACCAAAAGCTACTGGACTATAAACATCGTATACGTCGTAGAGGGTGGGCATCGTCTTTGTTGAGTACTCATGTATCCTACCCAGCACCTGGCCTGCCATTTGTGGCAGAGTCGCAGCTCCACTATACAATGGCCTCGGAACAAAGTGCCCTGTTGATACTGGGAAGAAGCCAGACGCTTCCCGTTGTGTCTGTTTGCTCATGTACCAGAGCCTGGGCTGGCATCCTGGGCATAGAATGACGTCCGTCTTGGTAGCTAGGTGGTAGCGGCCTAGAACACGGTCTATTTGTGGTCTGGGGTGTGAAATTGCGACCTTCAGAAGCTAGGGTGCCAACCATAACAAGTTAGCCGCTGAGAATGCTCACTTGACGTGATTTCTAGTACATCCGGTTGAAATACTCCTGAAATCATTTGAGTTGGGCCCAAAGTGCGGTGCGCAACTCTGTAGACTACCATAGGGTAGGTCAACCGACTCTCCAGATTTGCTTCTGCGAGCTCACCCTAGGTTAGTCCACGACTCACACACGTCAAATATCCTTTCGGCAAGTGGATCTTGAAGGCAGTTGCCGGTGTATACCCTAAGGTAGGACAGGGAGTCCCTCGTGACGGCTGCTGCTGCTTGTTACAGGTAGGTGTCCATCGGCCCGTCCTAGGATCGACCTTGAGGCCGGGTGCCAAGGTAACATCGTCACCCACGGTCTCACCATGAGCTGCTAGTTTCGAATGTACAATGCCATGTGGCTGTGATCAGGAGGATTTCTAGCCGCTGTGACGCAATACCCGACAATTGAACAATTTGCGCATGAGGCCTTGTCGCAATTCGCATTTTCCACCCCCGGAGTTGATGGCTTAATCAGACGTTCAAAACATCTCATTTTTAGACTCACAAGCGCCCATGTCCTTGGACTCATCGCTGCATGCTTGTCATTATGGCTATACCGAAGGCGCTATGATTTGCAGGTGGCCTATCTTATAACCACAACAGCTCAAATCCCCATTTCCCAGAGTTCCAAAGTTGCTAGTCAACTTACACGTGGACACATCCAAGTAGAAGGGCATTAAATCGCGCCATAATAGTTGCCTGTCAGTAATGGGAAAAGTGAAGTGCTTGGGAGTTACATCTTGCTGTCCGCTCTCAGAGCACTACGCTTCAAACTTGATTATATGATCGGTAAAAGCACATGTTCGGACTTATTAACAGGGAGAGCAAATCAGCAGGGCATGAGCCTCACACTGGGCACAGTTGTATCTTTTATGGAGCGGTCAAGTTGATTGAGCTGCTTTGATCTTGATTTAGTAGATGCTGCCAGGAAGCTGGCCATATGCTTACACATGACCACTTTTTGACTTCTTGTATGGCCGGCCAGCCGCGCTTGCTAAGGACTGGGATATTTGGATCGGTCTAGCCTGGCCTTTTGTGGTGTGATCTGGGCGGCTTTCTCTTATGGTTCCCTTCCTTGGCTTTACTGTTTATGAATTGTATGAATGACCTGGTTTAGACATGGATCTTCCTGCGGGGGTTTCTATCCATAAATCAACAAATATCCAGCAGTCCTGTCGATAAACCCTAGAAGAATCTCCAGAGGGACTCGGGCCCTTTCCTCTTTTTGAACGCCCCATACCCTCTGCAGAGGGGATAAAGCACCGCCAGCACAAGCACCCAATTCGCCCAATAAACCCATTGACTGTCGATTCCCACAACGCGGTCGCCTGTATGTGGGTTAGTCCACCCTTTTTCGCGTCCGAACCTGGGCAGCCAGATCAGTCTGGTGGCGAGAAGCAGGACCAAGTGCGTGATGTAGAAGAATAGAGCCGAGTTCCCATAAACAAGCAGGGGGTTCAACACCGTCTTGGCAATGACTGTTGGAAGCGCACCAAAAAAGGCAAGCAGCAAAATGTTGAAGCCGATCCCATACGACCAAAACGCGATGTCAGGAGGGTACTTGACGAGGTAGAAAAATGACATCCAAGAGAGGAGGTAAGGGTTAGCGTTGGGATTGGCCTCATGCTCTGGCATGTGGAGACAGTCCTTGGAGAGGTTTCCAAATTGCAGCACGCGTGTCAGGACGAAGACAAGCAGGAATGGTAACGCTGCCATCAGGTTGCCGACCGCGAGCACCGTCTTGGTCCAAGGCCTCGCCACCACGACTCGGCCGTAGACAAGGCCCACGATGGCAAAGGACACCCAGGCCAGCGGCGGATAGGCCGAGACGAAACCACGTGCAAAGAACGGGTAGAACCACAGGCGGAACCAGTTGTTTCGTGGAGGATAGATTGCAGCTGAGGGACTGTCCGCTGGCCCCGATGACTCGCAGTGACCCCTAGTAGGAGAGAGCCACAGGTTCCACCAGATCGCCACCACCGCGAGGACTAACAGCGTGGCGTTGTGAAGATGCCATGAGATGTCAGAGGCACGGATAATCTTCCTGTCTGGCGCGATGTCCTCCTCGCCCCTTCGGTCGGCCAGCAACGGCTCGCTGGCGTCATCCTTCCTCGCATCCGGCAGGATCTTGAGCAGTCCGAAGGCCAATGACTCCTCAGTCCTCGAGACGAGCAGCCACAGCAGCCCGGCTAGGAGGTAATCCACGGCCAGCGCGAACAGCACGACAGGCATGAACCAGACCCTGCCGAGGGTGAGCACCAGCCCCAGAGGCACGCAAATCAGGGCGAGCACCAAGGCGCGGGTGACAAAGTGCCAGGCCATGCTGCCCGGGGACCATCCCAGGGCCCTGCGGGATGTCCCAAAGTAGGCAATGCCCATGCCGAGCAAGAAGGTGAAGCCCGCTGCACAGAGGTGAGTGAGCGAGCGGACGACGTAGGCAACTGACCGGTTCCAGCGGTGCACCGGGACCCCGCTGTCGGTCTCGCCATCGATGGCGGTCTCATGCTGCCAGGGACTCAGTGCGTATGTGTTGTACTCCAGGGCCATGAGCACCATCACCAGGCCCCGGAGGAGGTCTGGCGCGAGGGCTCTGGCGGTGGTGGAACCGGCGGACGTGGTGAGCTTTGAGGGCCCATCTTGGTTGCAACTCTGTGGCTGTGAGCCATTTGCAGCCGGGCAGAGAGCAGCTTCGTCTGGCTGTGCTGTTGGCTGATGAGACTGTTGACGTCGTGCATTCTCGTCATTGTCGTCATTGTTGTCATTGTCGGACAGGACGTCATCCTCAAAGCTGGTCTCCTGGACCGACGCCTCGGGGAGAGCGCGGACAACATCTTCCATGTTGGTGGAGGAGATAGAGGATGAACAAAAAGCCCTGCGAGACTGCGAGACTGCTCAAACAGCTATTCACGAGGATGCCCAACATTTGGATTGGAAGTGAAATCCCAAACTCGGCCGAGTTGATCTGCTCGCCGTAGGCAAGCTGCCACGCCTCTCAGTGGGGCCTAGGTGCTGTTGTACGGAGTGCTCCGTACCTATACCTACCTGGGTACTTAAGTAACTTGTTGAGCGCTAGCTGCTGCAGGCGACCGTCGTCAGCGGCCCGGATGAGATGCTCCGCTCGGCTGCCACACATTCTGCCACATGCGGCCTTTGCACAAGTCCAGTAAGAGCACTGTCACATTTCATTTCTAAGGTCAGTTAGCCTGCTCGTAGATTCTTCCCACCTTGGTACGTAATCATCATGAAGTCCTGGTGAACTCTGTGAGGCTTATTCGGGTAGATGATAACGCCTTTGATACAGTCAAGTATTATCCTGTAAACTAGTCTTTGGGGGTAAAAGGAATAAAAATGGAATCTGTGACGGCCGAGATGTGCTTGTATACTGGCTGCCCGGGCACTCCTTGCTTCGAAATGTCGACCGCGGCTCTCCTTGCTGCATCGAAGCTGGTAGTTGACACTCTTAGGATTACTGAAATTTACCTGCATATTGGGACGCCGAGTGGCCTCAAAGGTATCATAGTTGGCATTGTAGACCTAGTCTTTCCACTACCGGAACACCTTCAATGGCAAGCAAGCCAACCACCATAAAAGTAAGAAGCTTAACTATCTTAGTTAAGTATAGCTCTAATAGTACCGTATGAAGGCGCCATGTATGTCCTTGGATATATATGGAATAGAAGCGAAACCACATAATACGATAGGTGCTTATGGCCTCAGCCTTACGACATACAGATAAGGCTAAGGGGCACTGTCTTGACGATATAGAGCCTTTAAAAGACTATATACTCAGACAGGTGCTATAGTTGTAGAGAGAGCTATCGTAATCAACTCCTAGACCCGTAACAACCGCAACAAAACGACATGATGACTCATACAGACATGTAAAATGCAGACAGAATGTAACCTGCCAAGCCCGTGACAGGCGGAGGATCACCCGGGAGCCAACGCTGACGACCAGGGTCAGACCAACACACCACTCCGAGTCTAGTAGTAGCTGCATGCATGAAGCGAGACCAAGACTCATGATATTCCTCACATACCCAGGTGCCCGTTTGCTCGATGCTGCAAGACCCTCAGAGGTCCTGGCCCCTGAGCTCCTGCTCCGTCCAGTCCCACAGCTTCTTGGCCATCGCGTCGTCCTTGACGTACGGGCCACGCCGCCCGCCGGTCAGGTCAGCAACTGGGAAGTACATCTCGCCCGACTTGACGTCGGCCTTGGGCGCGGTTGCCCCCCACAGCTGGTTCAAGACGCCCTGCTCCACGGTGGTCAGGACCAGGTTGGCGATGGGCATCAGCGCCTTGGCAAACCAGTGGCGGTCCTGCACGTGCCGGGACAGGTTGGTCGTGACGACGCCCGGGTGGACGGCCGTCACCGTCCAGGCCGGGTGCAGCTTGGCCAGCTGCCGCGCGAACAGCGCGTTGGCGAGCTTGCTCTGCCCGTAGCGCGCCCACCTCCCCACGGGCTCCTGCTCCGTCTTGAGCGTGTCGAACTCGATGCCGTCCTTGGGCGCCATGGCCACCGCCGCCGAGGTGAGCACGACCACCCGCACGTCTGAGGAGGGCTCAGCCGCCGTCTTTTCGAGGAGAGGGGTCAGCAGCTTCGTCAGCAGGGCGTGGCCCACGTGGTTGGTGCCGAACTGGATCTCGTAGCCGTCCTTGGTCAGCCCTGGGTCGGAGGCCATGATGCCGGCATTGAGGAGCAGGACGTCGAGCCGCTGCGACGACTGGCTGAAGCTGCGTGCTGCACTCTTGATGGAGTCGAGCGAGGACAGGTCCAGGCTGAGCGGCCTGAGGTTGGCGCTGGGGACCTCCTTCTTGACCTCCTTGATCGCCTGGTCGGCCTTCTCGGTTGTCCTGGATGTGAGCCAAATCTCCTTGGGTCCGTGGCGGGCAAGGTCCAGCACTGACTGTAGTCCTAGACCGCTGTTGGCGCCAGTGACGAGAATGACCTTGCCGGACAGGTCGGGGATGTCTTTGGCAGTGAAGCCCGCGCTGCTGAATGGCCACATTCTGAGGGTCTCTCGGGCCGTACGGTACAGATTCAAGTGCTTGGTTCTCTTCTAGCAGGTTGTCTGACGGTAGCCGCACCGCCGTCGAGGTTGGGGGGAGGGGATCCCGAAGCACGAGATAACCGGGAGGCCGGGATCGAAATCATATCTCGGTGGTTCCCCACTGGCGTGAAGCTCTAGCTCAAGCTCCAGTGTTCCATGGGCGCCCCCTGGGTCAAACGCGACCCTGACGGACCGGCTCGAGTCAGACCCGGAAGAGCCAGCAACACAGGGGTAGACCTCGGGAAGGAAGCAGGAGCATCTACTACTTACCTAGGTAAGTATGTAGTAGTGTGTAGTAGTGTGCTTGAGTAGCGACCTCCCGCAAACGGCCAATCGGGTGCATCGTGAAGGCCTTCCATTACCGGTATTATCACAGCCAAGTAGGACCCGGGCTATGGGCATACCCAGGCATCCAAGTCACATCGCCCGCTGCGATCCGAGCAAGCACTCAAGGTTATGCGCGGGCAGGGAGGGGCGTTGGTGGGAAGATGTCTGGCAGGCCAGGGCTTGCTATGCTCGATGCTGTTTCTCAAAAATGTTTCTGGATATCCCGTGCTTCCCCCCTACCACTTCCAGGGCCGGACTTCGGAGGTCTCGGTAATCCGAAGACCAGCAAAAGTCACGTCTCCCAGGTACCTGGGGCTCCACCCTGCGCTGGGGAACGCGGCGGAGGGTCCCGCTCTGTCGGTACTCGGTACGGAGCACTGTGTAGCATGTCGTCATCCCCACTCCCCAGCCAGCCAGCCAGCGACAATATCATGCCAGATATATAACATGACAGTCTTCCTGTAGATCACCGACAGCCCAAGGCCATCCAAAAAAAAAACCCCAAACTTCGCCATGACTACCTACATGCCGGCACTGACCCTGCCTGACCGGCTGTTCGCCAGCCCGGCTGCGTCGATCCTGACGCCCATCGTCCTCGGCAGTGCAGTGGGCATCGGAGTCTCGAGTAAGTTGACGCCTTGGACTGGGCTCCTGGAGTCACCGCAGGCAGTCCCAGGAACCACGCTGACAACCAACCCATCAAGACAAGGACACCAAGACCACGTACATGCGCCTCCGCCAGCCACCCCTGTCACCACCAACATGGGTGTTCGGCCCAGTCTGGACCGTCCTCTACGGTGTCATGGGCTACGCCTCGTACAGAGCATACACCAACGGCACCAGTCCTTTGAGCACCCCTGACGTGATAGCCACGGCGAGACACGCCGCTACGGTCTACTCGGCCCAGCTTGTGCTTAACCTCATCTGGACCCCGCTGTTCTTCGGCCTCAAGAAGCCGGTTGCGGCAACCGTGGACATTGTGGCTCTGCTCAGCACCAACATCTACCTGACCTACCTGTGGAGCAGTGTGGATGAGGTGTCGGCATACTGCCAACTGCCTTACCTGGGATGGCTTGGCTTCGCGACCTACCTGTGTGCAGGTATCGGCCACGTGAACAATTGGGATCTGAAGGCCAAGGAACCAAAGTCCGAGTAGTACGCGGCACGGTGGCGATCGCATCACCGCCAGCCAGGTAAACAGAGGAGAGTCCCAATGGGCATTAATTGATTAATTAATTAATCAATACAACAAGTATCCCAGCCTGCTCTCAAGCTCCAGACCCGTCACACCTGCCCCCAGCTCATCGAGCTTGTCGGCGAGGCCCGCTCCCACGCCGCAGTCGTGAGCGTCCAATGTGGCGCGCAGCTCAGGCGACGAATCGGGAGTCAGGGTCTGCTTCGGCTCAGAATTCGGTGTCTTGCGCTTTCTCGATGTCCCCCCTACGCCTGCCGCGCCGTTTAACGACAGGCCGGGCGCGAGCCGGGCCAGCTGCGACCCTGCCTCCCCGACGGACTGCGAGATGCCCACGAAGCTCACCCCGATGAAGGGCCTGGATGGCCTGGGCCACGTGAGATCGTGCCGGCGCAGAGATTTGACCAGCGATCCTAGCAGGAAGGTGTCACACCCGCGCGGACATGGTGTTTCGTCCACCTGCAGGGAATCAATGGTCTTGTAGACGACATCCAGCGCCTGCCGTACTAGCTGCTGTCTCTGCCTGTCGATTTCCCCTGCGGGACTTGTTAGTAGACGGGACATTTATGTGCGCGCGCGCGCGAGCACCTACTGATCAGGCCATCCCGGAGCTGCAAGCCCAGGCTCCGTATCGGACCATTGCTCTGCAGTATCGCCACATTGGACACCCTCTTGAAGACATCTTGTTGGCGGAAAACGTAGGAGGCATAAATCCAAAGGACAAGGTCCCTCCCATACTTGGTCGGAAGAGCACCCCCGAGCCCCTCAAACCACCTCTCGGCGTAGACCTCCACGGCCTCGTGGAACTTGAACGCATCCACAAACACCGCGATCTTGGCCAGCAGTTCCAGGTCGACGGACCTGGGCACCTTGCGCCCGCGCCCGTGCACCGCGTCCATGACTACGATGACTGCCTTGGGGTCGTACCCGCCCAGCGTGACGTGGACCCTGCCGTCGGCCTCGACCGGGTTCTCGTGCCGGAACTTGTTCCGGAAGTGCTTCGACGCGAGGCCGAGGTGCCGGGACGAGACCTTGACGCGCACCTCAGGCGCGGAGGCTATGGAGGCGTAGGTGTTGGGCGGCCGCGAGGTGCCGCGCAGGATGCCGGCATAGACGGACGATGCGTCGGACGGGGGTGGTGTCTCCTCCCATGGCGCAAAGGACTTGGAAGGGGTGGGGATTATGATTAGGGTGTCCGCATCGGGATCAACTTCATATAGCCTGAACATTGTGATTATGGTGCCTGCTTGATAGCCCAGGGATCTGGATAGGGTCGATGTGCCCGGCGGGTCCGGCGCAGGATGGCGAAGAGAGGCGTCTGCAGAGAGAAATCCCGCTGCTTCTCACAAATTGAACAATTTTTGGACGAGTTCCCACGAGCAACGGCTGACGAGAGGCAGGATTGAAAGCGGGGATCTTTCATGAGGTGGCAGGATTACGTGAGGGGATTCTCGCATCACGCAATACCCAGTGAGGCAGTGAGGCTTGGACCAACGGGCTTGGCTGCCTTTGTTCGTCTTAGCCGCTGCGCCCATCGATTGACACCCTCTCGACAACCAACCGAGAATACAATCGGCGCTAGTCCCAAGCTGTTGGTATCGTGAAGAAAACGAAGCTCCCCTCGCTGCGATTGCCTGGTGCTGTTCCCACGGGCAGCCGGCTAGGCTTGGCTTCTCAAGCCGACACCGAGCAGTGTTTTGCATGTGGCCACAGAGGGAGTAAGCTTGCTTCTGGCTCGTTGGTCAGCTTCTGTTTTGGGTGGGAGACTCCGCCTGGTGTTATCTTCCAGGTACGTTGGCCTCGTGGAACAGAGACTCACAATCACGATTCTTGGCTTTGCCTCTCGTTCTGCACACCCACATGATCATGATCCACTTTCGAAACTCGGTCAATATGAGTTGAATTGTGCTCGTCAGTTCTGAGTTTCTTCGGGTTTCTTGACACGCTCACAGGGCTGTCCTTGAGTATAAGACGAAGACCTACACACATCGCTTGCTGGCCACGAGATTTGATCATGGCACTCGCCTTTATTGTTGCAAGAGACCGTTTAGATGAGCTGCTTTGGTAGTCGCCGTGCCTTGCGCCATCAAGACCCATCCTGGTGGCTTCGCCGAATCTTGTCCTAACCATCCAATTCGACATCTAGAAGTTCTCTGAACCTCTCAGAATGTGACAGTTCGAGATTCGTAATCGAAGCGCTTCAATAGTATTGCATCGACCGCTCCATGTCAACGTCCGGAAGTACTGCGTTGTGGTCAACCATTATTGGCACTGCATTTTTCTAAACGCTGGGTCTTGAGCCTTTGCCACTGTATGAAGGCGCCACACATGTTTTATATGCATGGGGATTAGAAACGAGACCACAGGTTGTGGTCATCAGGTCTGGATCCGTCAATTGGCTCTTCAGTTTCGGCGGCAACCGTCGTAAGGACCCGTATGACCACGCCCACAATACAGCTTCGTAGATATACAGATTAAGAACGAGACCACATTGTGACCCGGAATCTAGACCATAGTCTATCTCACAACCCTGACAGTACCGAAGTAGACCTTGCAAGCGATTTGTTCCAGAAGGACCCTGTGAAAAGTATGCTGGCAGCCCACTCTGCATGTAACGTGCGCAACCAGAATCAACCACTAGCCAAACATTATCCTTTTTGACGATTCACGGCTTTCAACTCAAAATAAAAGCACTAGTTTTGTAATTCTATGCATAACTAAATCTCTCACATCAGCGTATGGGAATGCCAAGCGATTCGGGCGTGGGGGGTTCAGATGTGATGTCCCAAGAGCTCCTCCGGACGATGCTGCCACGTACGGCCCTGCAGGGCACGAGCTCGGCTCTGTGGCTCAATAGGATTGGAGCAACAACAAAGAGGTGAAAACAACCACGTCTTATGATTGTGACTGACTGCAGTCCAACGGAGAATGCCCACGAGAGTCAGCCTTCTGCTCCGACGTTCGCACACCAGTTGACGGCCCAGTCAGCAAGTCGCCGCGAAGAGCAACGACCAACATAACGAACTGCTGTTGAGTCATGTATTGTGTACTCTCCTATGTGTTCAAGACATAGTAATACTCGGTTCCTAGACAGCCCGGCGTTCTCTGCATCAGACTGCTCCTACGATGGCCAGAACAAGTTGCAGATTCCAGGGAATGTTTCACTATTCTGAGCTGTTCGAAAGGAAGGGAGCTGTCTCGGACAGTTTCTTCTTCCATACACCACGGTGACCGACTAGGGTGAGGGGATACACCCGTAATGATCAACTTGTAGGTGCGGAGACCACGTTGCACTAGCAAATAGCGACTGGTAATCTAGCGAGAATGGGACTCCGGCAGTACTAGATGTTGAAAAATGCGCGAGTCAGCTCCGGAATTATTGCACGTTGCCGCGTCACTGGAATGCCCAACAAGGGGGCTTGTGCTCGTTGCTCGAGGCAGACGCTGAGAAGACTGCTCCCAAACAGGATGAATTTCCACCGCGATTTCGGTAACGTTCCATCTTGGATGAAAGTTCAAACTTGCTAGTAACAATGAGGCTGTGGTCAATACATGCCGCTAGGCACCTTGTCCATTTCGAGCCGCCACCGGGTGTTGGGCAACCAGGCACTTAAATTCATCTAGTATGCAGGCATTCACCGCTATGGCACTTTGGAGCCGAGAGCTGATCAAGCTGGGAGAGCATGGAAACTGTAAGTCATCCGGCCTGATCGACTACTTAATACCGGTACTTGGGAGTGTCTAGGCATTGTACTGGGCATTCTCCCTGTGTCAGTACAGCACTTTTTGAACGTTCCCACACAATCTTCTGGTTTCAGCTTGTGTGTTACCAGATGAAGATGTGCATTGAAATCATTATCAAGGGCTAGGTCCGTATTCGCACTCGGCATTGCGTATTTAGCTCGCCAAGTAGTTGTGAATCATAAACTTCAACGCATCTCTATGGACAGTCAGTCTGTACGGTTACGAAATTCAACAAAATTAGATTTGGTGAATTATTCACGTCTATTTGGAAGGTACAAGACTCTATGGCCGCCACTTGAGGCATGGGAAGGCAGGTCTTTGATATATGTGACCTACTATCACCCTTATCCTGCTTACAAGAGTGCTCGTGACTGTTTCAAGATGCATGCATTGCTTCTCGAATAACTGCCAAAGTCAAGCGTTTTGGAGAAGGTTCTCATTCCTGTGCTGGTGCACGCCGACTTCTGGTGAGATCAAATGAGACCACATCCCCTAGCAGGGCCAAAGTGATGACTCGGGTCGCGACGAAACAACCCGTGCTGTGGAACAGCGCTAAATATCCCCTACCCCCCGGGGAATTTTCTTTGACGTCGTAGTCTCTTCAAGAATCTTGAGTATTTCCCAAGCTTGGTAGAGCACTTGGGACTGTGGACTTTTGGTCTCGTCCTAATACTGATTGCTGGGGAACAAGTGTTCAATGTTATGACGAGCCGCTGTCTGAGAAAAACGAAGTTGCGCCCCCCCCCCCGGCTAAATTACCCCTGTTTAAGAGTTAAACCTCCCTTTTAAAAGTAGTCTTTTCTTATATAACTTTCTTAATACTTAATTTAAAACTATATAAAAAATATATTTATAATCCTTATTAAAATCTCTATATAGCTATAATTTTAGAATATTTATTATAAAGCTTTTATTATAGGAGGTATAAAGGCTACTTAAGTTGATAAGATAAGAAAGTGTACGGACTTCTTACTTAATTAACCTCTAACTTTAATAATATAAGAACTTTTACTAAAAATTATTTTAAAAATTTATATTTATAAAGATATTTATAAGGATTATAAAAGTATTTTTTATATATTTTTAAGTTAAGTATAAAGAGAGTTATTAAAAGAAGACTATTTTAAAAGGGAGTTAAGAGATTGGTTTAACTTTTTGAATAGGGGGTATTTAACCGGGGGGGGCGTAACTTCGTTTTTCTCAGACAGCGGCTTGTTCGGGACGTGCACTGAGGGTCATGTTGCTTTGCATGAAAATTGCGGGGGTTCGCACGTACTTGCAACATATCTACAGGGGATCAGCCCGCAATTGGCCTGAAGTACGGAGTATAGCCTGCGTTTCAAAGGCAAGAAAGGCTGGCTCTCGGGAATCCGGTGATGGCAAACAAGAATTTCTTGGGAGCTAGAATGCGACATGGGTGCACCAAGTTGATTGGCTGGTTGTGGAGTGAAGTTTTGGTATCCAACACGTGGGGCAACTCGATGCATGCAGGAACCCATCAGGGTCTTTTTGATGCAATGTGCCCTAGTGTAGATTACTCGTGGCAGTGGGAACAGGAATTTGAGAAAAGGACCCTCCCATACGACCCTGATCAAATCCGAATCTAAGCTGGGCCCGTTCAGGCGCTTGCAGCCTGTGGGCACTACGGCAACATGCCCCGTGTTTATATCAAGGTTTCGTAAACGTCATCTCGAGAATTCGGAAAGCTTGGCAAGCAGGCTGAAAGAATGGCCAACGGTAGCTGTCACGTCGCCAGGCAGGCACCCGGGAAGCTGACCGTCGCAATCATCACCCGGCTCACCTCAATTCCGTTCACCTACTACCAAAGCCTGGTCCGCACCATGGGCCGGGCCGCTCGGGGCTTGAAATGCTTGCTTTCCACTTGATATAGGCCTGGGCAAGAAGGCCGTACCTGCGGCACATTCTGACCGACTCTGTGTCAGGGATCGGCCGGGCTTCTGCAGTGATTTGACTATTCCAAATTGTTTATGAGAGAACCGATGGCTTTCTGTGAGGCTACTGGTTAGAAGACAAGATTTCGAGTCATTTGTACACTATATGAGCAGAGTGTATAATACATCACACCGTCGCACTCCCGCACACCAAGACGGGATTTGGAATTTAGAGTTCTGAGAAGCGGGCGGCATGCCGGGGTTGTCTCTCGCACCACAGCCACCTGGGCCCTAGAGTTCAGGCCGATGGAGGCGTGACAAGGCAAAGATATGACTCGTGCTGAAGCAGCGAGATTCTACGGGATTGTCACAGCTTGGAATATAGTTCGTCAAAGTGTAGCAGCAACCACTGGACGCGGACCCCAGCTCCTGGGTGTTAACCCACAAGCGGCCACCTGGTAGTCTTGCACACCCGGTACTCTCGGGTTTGGCCCCCATGATGACCCTTGGGGTCCGTTTTCTCATGCGCGGTATGGTGGATCCGTCCGGGCGTTCATTGCCAACCGGCTTGTGGAGTTGGCCAGGTCCTGGGAACGGTCACCTTCCTGGAAACACGCGCAGATCCACTGAATAAGGTTCTAACTGTCTGTGCATCTCCGGCGAGAACACCGTTCATCTCACACTGCAGTGTATCCCAAGACAACATTTGAGATGTCCGCGCCGCAACAACACTCCTGGGAAGCTCCGCGAATGGCCGGTTGCCATCGGCGCTTGAGGATGCGGGCTTTCACTTCTCGGTCGACTCTCCGGTGCATCCTTGATCCCTCACCCCTACCGTTCAGATGGGACACTCTATGGGCGGCACTTGCTCACACGTGTGCTACTCTGAGTGATAACATCCTAGCGGTTTCCTCTCCCCACTTCTTTTGCCCACCTGCCTCAACCTCCCGAGCATCGCGAGAGCCATGAGCTCACCGAAAAGGCTGTCATCTGAACTAACAGGCTACAGGTTGCCGAGTCCATGTGCGGACCATGAGCAACACGGGGAGCTTCATACCCGCTGCACCGCCGCCATCCGGCGTGACGTCGAATCCATCGCATCCTGAAGATGTCGGGCACACCGCCGCGCTGGTGGTGTCAGTGGTCTGCACAGCCATCTTCAACATTCTTTTCTTCATCCACGCCTACGTAAAACTCCGGGTGAAGCAGGGCAAATTCCTTTTTGAGGACTGTAAGCATTGTTCCTTTTCAATATCATGAGGCGTTCAACTCTGATGTCTGGCAGGGTTTTGTTTAGCAGCATGGGTGCGTCGAACGAGGAAACTGCCGTCTTCCTTCTGGGCTCTGACATATTCAGATTTGCACCAATGTCCTGGCCGCTTCCATGCTAGGGTGTGAGTTAAAACGATTGCATTTGTTCAGTGTTATTGAGATGCTGACACGATGAAGTGACCCTGAATGGCGCCGGACAGAATGTATGGGACATGAGTCTGGAAAGATATACCAATTTCCTGAAGGTACTGCTGAACAGAAGCTTCTCCTGAGGCCAACCACGAACTAATACACGCTTTCGCAGTGGCTGTACATCAGCAGTTGTGTTTACAGCCCAGCGGCATTTTTTACCAAGGCTACGTTGCTGTTGCTCATTGCTCGTGTCTTCTCCGTCAAACCAATGTTCTCCAGAGGGGTCAAGATTTTTATATGTACGCTGGCCTTGGCTTATCTTCCGGCCCAAGGCCTCAAGGCCTTTATTTGCACTCCTGTTTCAGCTTTCTGGGAACCAGCATATAACACCGTCACGACCGGGAAGAACCGGTACTGCCTCGACCAAGCACAGCTTTTCATGTGCGATGTTTCGATCGCTATCATCACTGATGTGGTTATTCTGATTCTCCCGATCCCACTGGTATGGGGAATGCGAGCACCTCGGAGACAAAAGGTCAAGATGATAATCCTGTTGGGGGCCGGTGGTGCCGCGACGGCGTCGACAGTCGTCAGGGCCTATCTCATCGTCAAGTACATGCACTCAAAAAGTAGGCAAGACTGTGTGTCATGACTTATTTTGCACTCGTATTTGCGGCTCCTTTGTTTCTTGATAATCTCTGACATTCTCTTCAGACATGCCCGGTGATTTCGCCGGGACAGTAATAACGACGGTTCTAGAGTTGTCCGTCGGGTTTGCTTGTGTGTGCCTCCCGTCGGCGAAGCTCGTATTCGACAGAGCGACAACGTCAATTGATAGCACCCACCGGAACTGGTTCGGCAGGATGGCATCAACCGCCCCAGAAAGGAAACCGGGCAGCGCATCGACCTACTGGGAATCGATTCGGTCCAAGGTGACCACAACAACGCGATCGGGTAGTACGATAGCAAGGGGTCTTTCGTCGCCTAGATTCTCTCGGCCATGGAGACGTGGGAATGACATAGAGCTTGGCTTTAGCAGTGAACCGGTCGTCTTCCAGCAACGCCTAGAGGTTCCCAGCCTGAGGTCAACCTCTGATGCGAGATCCTTCATCAGCCGAGGTGGCGACCACCGGGGTCTGACGGATGCAGAATTTGCACATTGCTTGGAGCAACTATCGTCCCAGAAAGGCCAGGAAGATGAATTTACGGACAGCAGGAAAGGCTCTAATTTTACCGTCAACTTGGAGGATGCCAAGTGATCAATGACCTTCGCCAGGGGCAGGAACCTTGGTGATTTAATATTCCGCGGGTCGACATCAATGTAATTTTTTGAACAGCAATGGCCCAGGAGGACAGATACCTACGACCGTTCGAAGCACGATAATCATTGGCACTGCTGTGCTGCGTTGTGTTGATTCTGTACTACTATCTCCTCACTGGCTTCTTCCCGTCACAAGCTCTGGATTAGGTCACTTAAGAGCCGAAACACAAGGCGGTACTGAAGTCCAACCTTATTAGATATTTGTTTACTAAGTTGGATTTTCCGCGTCTCGGCGGCAAATAAACCCCCGATCTGAATGGGGTCGAGGGGCCGATGGTTTCGGCCAGAATACCTGTGAGGTACTGCCTACACGCCCGGTCTCCCATCAACCCGCCAGCATAAGTAAGTAGCTTCACTGAGTGTGAGTGGTTACTTCAAAGCTCCAATGCCAGTATGCTTTGTCGTCATCGGTAATACAATCGACTTTGTGCAAGCGGCGAAAAAGAATAAAATACATCTGCTGATTCAAACATGGGCAGAAGAACACGGGATATTATGCGAATGCAGAATTCAATCCAACTGAAGCCAGCTGATTCTTCATCTTTCATGTAGGCGCTACTTGACAAGTCTTGTTTCTGCTCAGACATCAGAGCGGCCGAGATGGTTCGTCAGTAATGAGCAGCTTTGCAATAAACGGGATGTTCTGCTGCTTCCTGCCAGTGATGCCAGGTGGAAGGGAGACTGCTCGATAGAACCGATTTCGCTTCTACTCCGTATACCTCCGAAGCTCGACAGAACCTAGCGCAAGCAGTCACTGAAAGAAAACTAGCTTCAGTGGGAGCTGGTCCATTCTGAATTGGCAAGTGTGCCCATGGAAAATGAGGGTGTATCGTGCCAGTGTGTGGTCTCCCCCGGATAGATTGGAGACCGAGGGATCTAACCGAAGACACAGTTTCCTCCATAATGAGACAGCGCAAGCCACATTTTATCTATAGAGCATCCGAAGTTCAGTTGGCCACCTCGTGTGCCATTAAGCCTTACAGAGACACTGGGAATCAACTCATTCCTGAGGCTAATGTGGCGAGGCGAACAGCAAGATTTCACGCGAGGTTGCGCATGACTCTTACGCAGGCACAAATTGAACCAAGACTCGTGGACATAAGCCGGGTGTTACACATATAGTAACTTTGCCATGCAAGTATTCAACAGTATGTGCCGATACAAGTCGCTCCATATTTGCTCACAAATTTATGGCCTCACCTCCAGGCGTGTTTAATTGATTGATTTAATTGTGGGACTTGAAGTGAAATGCTTACAAAACCGAATCCAACTCGGCTGCCAGGCAGACACCAGGATTCGATTCATTCATGAAGTCCGGTGCGCTCCAAATATTCGGCACCCTCCCAGGGTCACACATCATTGATACTAGTATCTTCCCGAATCTTGATCGACTGCCTCTGTAGCTGAAGCCCTCGGAACGATTGCCCCGAGCCCAATTCCTCAAGGATCTCCAGTGGTGCAGACACCACACGGTCCAGGTGCAAAACGAGGACAACCCTCACAACAACTTCTTGATGCTGAAGCGTATCCTCGCCAAGGAAAAAGCCCCTGGGCCTCTCGAGCAATGGCGAAGCCGAGTTTCTCAGCCTGCAGCTGATTACCGGAGCGGCAATTACCAGCCATATGTCTGGATGGACTTTTCTTGGGGCGATGGCCATATACCCCCGAGTTCTGAAGCGTGGGCGGGAGCTTCTGGATGCGACAGTCGGCTGCAGAATGCCCGGGTGGGAGGACTTAGAGTCCCTGACTTACGGGAGGTGCTTGATGAAGTAAGTGTGGTACTCGAGGCCGCCAGTCGCCCTTGGGACATCCCCACACGACCACCAGGGAGCTGGTGTACAACGTAAACATTTGAAGGGCTTGCGAATCCCAGCTGGAGCAAGGCTTCACCTGAGCGCCTGGGTATCACATCACTCGCCAAACCGTTACTCTGACCCGAAGATCTTTGATGCGTCCTGGTGCGAGAGCGATGGCCTCACAAGTCAGCAGAGTACCAACTTGTCCGATCTCATCAAACGCGACCACTTTTCTTGGGGGCGGTGAGGAGAATGTGCCCTGGAATTCACATCGCAGAGAGGTCACTCTATGTTGCTATTGTGTGGATAGTTTTGGCCCTTGACATCGGCATTCCTCACCGTGCGAAGCTGCTTCTGAGCCCGAGTGATCACTGCGGCTTCATGCCTGCTAGCCTGGATGTGGATCTGCCCGTGACGCTCAAGGTGAGAAGTGAGAATACGAGACAAATTTTAGATAAATACTGGGCGGCCCAGCAAGGAACAGGATATTAGGGTAATGCGAGAGGACTGGATGATGGACCAGTGACGTGGTGGCCTCGGTCGAGTGAGGCATCCTGGCTGGGACGTGGTTGTTAAATTATCGATGATTGCAATCACTTCTGCATCTTTGATCAGACCATGATCGACTATTCCGTAACCGTATTGGGATCCTCCCTACCTATGTCCTAAAAGTAGGCCTCATTCCTCTCATCAGAGCTACTTCTAAAATGTAGGGTTGGACATTGGGAAGCCGGATGCACCATGATACCGGATCAACCAATCAAACATTGTAGTTCTTACCTAGGTAACAATGTGAACAAACGCGAAAAAAGCTCCTTCATCGATCCGGTATCTAGGTGCATCCGGCATCTCCATACTAGACTCTAGCAACTGGTGAGCCTTTGGAAATGGTGAAGACCCGCTTATACGGATAACGGAATGACATATTCCATCCTGTCTCGCAATGTTCAGGGCTGTGTTCCGGCCAACGTACAAAATGCCGTCGAGAGTTGAGAGTGGTTCCAGCTGGGCGGGGAAAATCAACAATGGAGCCACAGCTCCCTATAGCGTCTAGCCTTCAAAGTATTCAGAACATGAAGCATTTTTGTTGAATGAGGGTCTTCTCAAGCCGGCGGTGAGCAAAGTTCTCGCTGGCCACTCAATGCAGGGCTTAACTGACCTGAGACCGCCTCCTTGCCAAGCAAACATTCTCAGGGACGTTATGTGATTTAATCTTGGTATTTGATTGGACCATTTTTTGTAAGACATGTGGTTCTTAAAAGCTGTTACCCAGCCAATTTCACTGTCACGTTTGGATGTGCGGGAAGGGAACTGGCGGACTATCATGGGCGGAGATGGCTGAGACAGTTTGGCCTACTGTGGTCGTGGCTCCTTACGTAAATATTAGTATATTTTCATGGTTCAAGACTAAGACTGCGTTGGCAGCCAAGCAGCTTACCTTGTACTCTGTATGGGTGATTTCCACTACAGAGGAAACTCGTACCGGAGAGGATCACAAATCAAGGTCCCGATGACTGCTCTCGGGCTCAGCTTTCCACAGGCAGCCCTCAGGCCCATTCCTCAGCAAGGAGAGGATGGCTTCCATGTATCACAGTCACCGGATATTTCCGCGTATCGATGATCGCCTTCGGCAGGGGCGAGCAACGGCGCGGTGCGGTTGTTTCTGAATTCACAGTCACGCTTCAGCATGCCTTGAAACAGACGTCATGGGAACCTCGGCTGTATTTTCTAGGGCGTGTCTCACCACACAAAATAACTCGGCGAGGCTAGGCGAAGGATGTTCCTCCCGCCGAAGCGCCCCACGGTTCGCATTCCCGGCCCGAGAAGACAAAATCCATTCTGGGATATGTCTCAGTTCTTCAGGGATGCTTGATGATCCTAGGGAGGTTCGAAGGAACCAGGTAAAAGGATTCCAACCTCGGCTGGGACCTCGTTTCGCACAAAATCTGGAAAATCATATCACCTGTTCGAATAATTGTGGCTTGCGATGCCTTTGTTAAGGGCGAGGAATGTCAACACTGCCGGTGACCAAGGCGAATTCTGAGGATTCTACTCGAGCCCGGCTTGAACACGCCAGAGGGTTCGACGGTTCTAGGGAGGTTGCAAGGAAAAACGATGAGCAAAACGAGTATAAAGCTGTCTTGACTTTCCTTCCCCCAGAAATAACGTCCTATCCTCGTCACTGTGCCCTCGCAGGATTTGAGTCTCCTATATCCAAGCCCTTTTGACTACTGTCCGACAAACCACTACCAATTGTCAACAGGGTTTCAGATCACAATCAAAATGAAGGCCTTCACCGCGATCTTTGCTATTGGAGCCATCCTCAGCACCACCTTGGCCTCACCCGTTGCTGTCGGCGATGTGGCCGTCGAACGACTTGAGGTCGAACAGCGTGATGTTGAGGTCGATATCGCCACTCGACAGCTTGAACCAATCTCCGGGCTGCCGAGTTTGCCACCTATCACACTTCCCGCAAATCCAAGTGACTTGGGCCCTGCCCTCTCAAATGCCCTGTCGCAGGTAGTGACTATCCTTGGCGTCATCAGTAAGTGGTGCTCCAACCCAGCTGGTTGAACATACTGCCTAACAAGTCTCACAAAGGGGCTGGTCTTCCTCAGACACCTGGGCTCCCACCACTGCCAGATCTGCCTGCTCTCCCTGGAGTCACAATCCCAGCCCCTGGCTTGCCAGTATCGCCTGATGCTCTAGTAGCACAACTTGCTTTGCTGCAAAGTCGGCTTGCGATCCTTCAACAAATTTTTGGTAGCCTTCCAATTGGTGCAAACCTCGACCAATTGAGGGATGCTCTGAACATTCTCAGACAGATCCAGGCTCAGACGACCCCTGTTCTCGCCGTCATCCGCAGCCTCGTCGGTATGCAGACCCCGTTTAATTACACAAAATCTTATATTCTATCGAGATTATAGGAACAGAGAAAGACTAACAGCAGCTAGGATCCGGTGGTCTTCCGTTGCCTGCAAACCTCCCGGGTGTCGAGGCTATCTCATCGATCCTGAGCACTCTTCTGAGCCTGCTCGGCGCCCTATTTGGAGTTCTCCCAATCTTTGGAGGTATTGGTGGCGCTGCGAATTAATGGCATACATCTATCTACAGGCCTTCCCATCCGGCAGAGTGTTTTATGACTGTTGATAGCTCATTTCAAGCTTCTGGGTGATAGTGGTATCCGGCTGTGAGCGGAGCAGGTTATATTGGCAAGCTGTGGCTCGCCAGTGAACATGTGCTATTCACTCGTGCCAGACGGTTGGTGGAAGCGTGGTATGAATCGGTATGATCCAAGGCATTGAGACCTTTGTTTCGGGCAGTGAGAAGCGAGGCTGCTCTGCTTTTTGTGCTTATACCATTCTAAGTCGATCATTTTCATACCGTTGCAGAACTGATATTAATTTCGTGCTGAAGAAGCCACTTTGATTTGAAGTGACTGAATACAAACAACAAGAATGGGAAGCATGTCCCAGGTGAGACTTCTGATTAGGTTCGACGGGAAAAGTTTCGTTGGCTGGCCAAGTCTGTCAAGTGTCTTATCATGAAATCGACCAAAAGTGTGAGCTCAGGACCTGGGGGTTCCAGCCAGCAACGGCGATATGAGAGAATCTCATGGACTGGTCTCTCCCGTTTCAAGACGAACCAATGACATTTACCCCGACTGCCTGCCTGGGCATGTATTTGGCAGGTCGCCTGGAGCCAAGCCATGTCAAGTGGATTAAATCGAAAACATCAGACATGCCTCCAGACCACCGTCTCGCAGCCCCATTTGAGGGAACCTACACGAGTCCTTCAAACGTCGGATGTCTGTTGCAGGAAACAAAGATCAGCGGACAATTGGTGGTGACAGGGCATATCAGACAGCCATCGTAACATTCGAATCGTTTCCCTACCCATAACGTGGATGCTAATCGGGAGCTGGACCCTGGGTTGGCGACAGAAGGTCGAGCGACTCTTCAGGGGCACGAGCCAACCCCCGCGGCTTCCCCATGGTCTGCAGTAGAGTGGGTTGATCATCCGAGGTGGGGGTTTGGTTGGTGGGGTCGGAGCCCTACTCAGCTTGCAGGCTGCAGCAAGCAGTGCTCCCTTGGCATCGTCGATTCCCCCCCGCCGAAACCATTCTTGCCCTCCCAGCCAAGAAAGGGACAAGCATCTCACGACAAGCATCTCGCGGCCAGGCGTTATTGCCAGCGACCAGTCATGCGAGGCATGTTCGGATGCTTCTCATACTTCTCTGGTTTGTGCAGGAGCATCAGGGGTCGGTCGGGACGGGTTGTTCGCATGTGTTGACGCAGCACAGATGATGCAGTGCAACGCCGACGCACACGTCCTGCCCAAAAGAGCTCGCCCGACGAACCGTGCAATGAATGGCAGTTGAATCGCCCTTCGGTTGCATCAAGCCACATGGCCCCATTTCGCCGCTGCAAGCCAGCTCAACGGCTGGTTGTACACTGGATTACCCACGAGCATCTCAGGCTCCTGCGTCGCATCAGCCTCGAGACACTTGCAGGACTACGTAATTGACGCCAACTCCGCCATCTTCCGCTGCCTGACAACAGCCTAACCACATGACTGGGCGATAGTCATGACCCAGCAGGACAGTCACTGGCCAGAAACCGCTGTCATCGGCAACCGGCTTCTGATTATCAGCTTGTCAGACCAGGCATCCTCCCTCGTTCTCTCGCCCCTTTCGAAGCACCGTGTGTGCGGCTCTGGTGGGGCGTGGGTTGACGCCTCGTGCCGGGGGTAGCCCCAGTCGCCACGTTGTAGTTGTTCTCAGCCGCAGTCAGTCTGACACCAGCTGAGCCATGGGATCGCGGAAACTCGCGATACTTGGACCTCGGCGCCTGGAGTGTGACCTCCGTTGGGGGCTTGACACCCTGCTGCCGAAACTCGAAATGCAGCACCCTTCACCAACACGGCCAGGGTCGCCGTCCACGGCGGTGGTACCGCTGTCGACCGATCCTCGACATTGCGGGAGGCCCACAAATGCGCCGTGGCTGCGGACAGTCTGACGGGGTGTGCCCAAGTCAATTTGAAGCGTCAACCAACCGTCCAGAGCCCTCGCACCCGTCGCGGTCGCCGAACAGGGAACACCACGGCGGGTCACAGGCAGAAGCGCGCGTGGATTCCCCCCGTCCCTCTCTGAGGGCCGCGAGGGCAAACAGCACGTCATGGCAATGTGGGCTGAGTCGCCGGCGCATGATGGAGGCATGCCTTCCTGGTAGCAACGTGAAGGATTTGGGCTCTGGGGGCTTGAGACGGACCTGGAACCAGGCGCCGGCCGCTGTCAGGCCTGAGTACCGTCGCACGCATTACGCCTCGTTGAGCAAGCTTACGCCCCGTCCTGCACACATCTGATTCAGATGAGCGATGTGTGTCTCTCCGGGCTCTCATATCACAGTGTCTGCCGAACCACCCAGTGCCATTCTGTGTGGCATTGGATATACGTTTGCCGTTTTCGGCCCTGCAATGCCGCTATTCCTGTGTGGAGGGGAGGGGCAGAAGCTCCACAAGCGGCGCGACCTTTCACCCTTGTGACTCGATTCGCCGACTCGTACAGCACACACGCCGTGGCTGCTCTGCCACTTTGCCCATGTTGATAATTTCACCACAAACTCGGTCTTGCGGCGACTCGAATCTTCGGATTCCCACCGGGGCCTCGAGCCATTGTCGAACCGGATGAAAGGCCATTCTCACCTGGGCAGTGCCTGCAGGTCCTGTCCTGCGCTGCACGTCTGTCGCGCAGCTACCCGGTGCATTAGCCCGGCATCAGCACATGTACCCAGCAAAAAGACCGCCGTCAGGTCAGGCCCTCGTGGAATCGTATTTCCTACTGGCGAGGGAGAAGCACACGAAACGGATTCGCAATAACTCTGCTCAAGACCCTGACTGTCTTTGTGTTTCACGGCCGCAGAATCGACGCCTTCTGTTTATGCGCTTCGGGGGTTGGCGAGGTCAGCTAAGGGGTCTCCAAAGGTCTGGGGGTGGGCCGGGTACGTACAGGGATTCTATTTTTCGACGCCGCCGCGCCGTCGAGTCTCTTCGGCTCCGTGCTGTTGGGTGCGCAGCCAGCTCTCTTGGTCGCCAATGCCACCACCGCCCAGTCGGGTTGCCTCTTCCCACGCCCATCCACCACACGCCGGCGCCCACAAGCCCACACCCTCTTTTACGTCAACTCGCTACTCCCCGCGCGGCACTACCACAGTGCAAATCTTGACCAAAATGCGCAAACGCGTGTTGTCTGCTTACAGTATGTTTCCCCATGACGTCGAACGCCTCGCATACGGCACAGGGCGGGTCACCAGGCACTGGCGTTACGGATTCTCCAAATTTTTCTACTTGCCATTCTCTCGTGATCATGTCGCCATTCACAGGGTCCCTCATTCTTGCCAGGCGGCGTTGACACTCTGCGCCCAGCAACCAGTAGGCATCCTCGAAGCTAGTGGCTTACCGAGCTGTCAAGATGGCGCTCTAACGTCCTGACCTCAGTGCGCTCAGCCTCAGGCTTGTGTGAAGTAGCTGGTGCAAATAGTCACTTTTGTCTCCAGATGACTATTCCCCTCCTGTCTAGCTGCTTGCCTGGTGACCCTCCCACACGCGATGAGTCTTCGGTCACATCAGAAGCCGTGACCGGCAAGGAATAAGGCTTCCTTGCTTGGTTGATTGCTTGACCTCATCGCACGGTGCAACTTTTGTCATTGGCCCTCCTTCATGGTGACCATTATGTGCCAGACCCAAAACTGCTCGCGATGGAGTTGCGGCAGTCGTTCCCTCAGCGCAGCTGAGTTTCCTGCCCACGGGCTCGGTTTGAGTGCCTCGATATAGCTTGCTTTGTATTGAGAATAAAGTAAGTTCACCAGAGCTCAGGGCCCGCTGCGGCAAGGACGAGGGGAGCCCCCCCCCCGGGCGACAGCCAGAGAAAGGTTACCGGGTTTCAACCGTCTCGAAGACACACCTGCACAAGACCAAAGCACACAGTCGCAAGATGGGCAGCTGGAGCGACAGGGGCCAGGGGGCGTGCATGTGCATGGACCCCTGCAGCCCTGATGTGGCCATGGGATCCTGACCACTCCGGCTACCGATTTCCAGGCCATGGTGCCTCTTTAAGAGGTGTCTTGTCCTACCTATCGACCCGCATTTGGCCTCGTCGGTCACCACCTATATTTAAAGGGAATCGCAGTTCTGTTCCTTTGTATCCATCCGGCCCGGCCACAGCCTACATCATACCCGCCCAAGTTAGGCCCTTACGAAAGACCAGTTTCGAGTCTTGCAGACCAGAGCCGCCATTTGCTCTCGCATACACATCCCAGCCAACTAACCTCATCTCTGACCTGTCTCGACCAGAGCCCGTCACATAGACCGCTCGACCACACCATCGTCGACCGTCTTGTTCCGTTGACTTGTTGTTTTGAGCCTCCCACCCGACCAGCTTCGGCCTCGGATCGCATGTTCCCATGTCTTTACAGTCAGCCCGATATTTAAAAGATCGTTTCGTCTCTGACACGGCCGACTGACACAACCTGGGACCGGGCTTGGGCTGGACCTAAGTGGTTGCTTAAACTCTGACCCGCCAAAAAACATAGCCAGACCACACAAAGCGGCACAGGATCCTTCCCTGTCGTCGTCTTTGTCCACTTCGAAGCAAGCCTTTGGTCGACCTCATATTATAGAGACTGAGCCTTTGGTCGGCCCTCACATTATAGAGACCGACAGCTTCGACTGAAAACTCGACCGGCTTTCCACACCAGAGCCAACTTTCCAAACCTCGAGTCTTGACCAGCCGCCCCATCTGTTTCATACACACCCACCCACCGTCAAGATGTGTGTCAAGAACATCTACCATAACGCCTACGTCGATGGTGAGAAGGACGTCACTGAACGGGTTGACGCATGCCGATCCGGCCACATGTGCAGCGATCCCATAGTGCGCGAGTTCGACCGCAAGATCAACTGCACTAGATTACAGCTTTCGGTCGCCCCTGGGCGGAACGACTCTCCCTCTTCGTCGCTCAAGGACAGGCAGCCAACGCCCTACTACTTTGACCACCAGCCGTCTCCACCTTACAGCCAGAGTGACAGAGAACGTCGGCGTGACAAGCGTGCCAGCCAGCGACTCTACGTCGACGGAGACCGCGTGGCCGACTATGGCCTGCGCAGAAGCGGCTCTCGCCGGGCGGAACCGATCCCCATCCCCAAGGTGCGTCGGTCATCGACCATGCCAATCGATGATGGCTATTACAGCGAGCCAAGGCGTGAGCACCGTTCACGTCCCGTCATTGTTGAGGGCGGCGACCATTCTCGCCGTTCTTCTTCATCACAGCGACGGGAGTCATCTGCGGTTCCCTTGGGCCCTTACGATGTGTTATACAACTATGGTGCTGGGTCCTCCCGGCGGGACCGTGAAAGACACGCCCGTGACTCTTACCTGGAACCAACACGCTCGCACCGTCGCCACTCGAAGTCGCCCGTGGAAGTCCACACGGAGCCCGATCAATACGATCGTGAGCGCCGCCGCTCGAGGCGCGCGAAGCCTACCATCATCGACGGTCCTGCCACTACCGGCATCTCTGCTGATGTGGTCTATGGTTCTTCGCCCTTCGGCGGGTCATACGGCTCCTCGTATGGCTCGCACCCCTCTGAAGATGCTTGGGCACGCCACGCCGCGTTCGGCACCCAGACACCACCAGACAGCCGCGCCCCTGCTGTCAAGGGCGTCCGTTGGGATGATGACCCACGCGCCGCTCAGAACGCCAAGATCAACAGCCGGCCCAGGCTCAGCCGCTCTGCAACCATCACAGGAGCTGGGACTGGCTCACACCTCCACGGCGAGGTGAAGGGAATCCTGAAGAACACCAAGCCGACCACCTGGGGCACAGCCGCCGAGGCTGACTCTGGCCCCCCGCCAGCTGTCCAGCCTCTGCGGCGGGAGGAACTCGACGACCTGTACAAGTCTGCCCGGGGAATAGGCGTTGATGACCGGGAGACATCAACACAGCGGCAGGCCAGGCTGGAGAAAGAGGTGCGCGATGACAGAGAGTACCGCGACCGGCTCATGAATCGATTCAGCCCTCGGGACCGGCGATCATCCTTTGACATGCCACCCAGGCGCTTTACCGTGGAGAAGGGGTCAAGAGGAGGCAGGAGGTCCGAGGTATTCTATCCCGATGAGGGAAGATACAAGTACACGCAAGGGTATTGAGCTCAGTCCACTGACACTTTCCGACATACTGCATGGTTTATTGCAAGGCATCTGATTTGATCAGCGTTTGATTCTTCCGGTTTGGAGTTAGGAGCAAGGTCCGTCTCACTCGCTTCAGAGCATCTACAAAACAAAGACGGGAGGGAGCGTTGCACCGTGACAATAGAACCCATGCACTGCCGCATACAGCACAACATTCTTTATCATAGACAATTCAAACTTTTCTTTTGTTCGTCATATATGCTAGAACCTTTCTTCATCACAATGAAACCTCGAGTCCATGATGGCAGAATTCGATCCAAGGCATCAAACACACCCACACCAAACATTTCAGCAGCAGAACCAGACAACCAGATAAGCCGAGATGCGAAATAAACTTCGCACCATGACGCGAATGCCGATCATCACGGGCACACTCTGGGACCTAGACTGGGAATGCGGCCAGCCCCAGATCCACAGGTCACCAACCACGGGTGTCCGCCCGCCGAGGCCCAACCCGGCGGAGGATAGTATTGGCCAACCGGAGAAGCCCAACAGGTTGCTGTCCACGGGCGGATCCCCAAGCAGCCCGGAGTTTCCCAGCTCCTTGTTTGCATCGACCCGGCGGTCCGACCTTGGGGTGCCTGGGTGCTCGCCTCACTGCCGTCATCCGACCTCTTGGGGGGTGGCGGGCTGCCGGCACACCCCGGTCTGCCACAAGGCGAGCGAGTTCCACCAGCTGGGATGATCGCGGCACCGTCCATTCAAGTTTCCCCCAATTCCCGAGGCGGTGGGGCGCGCCATGCTGCACCCGCATTGCATGGCCTTTGCAGCAGGGCACCAGGGCAGCAGAGGATCGTGTCTCTTGATCGACTTGGCTAAGGCGTCTCACATTGCATACCACTACCAACCAAGAAAAAAAGGAAGGAAAAAAACAGTCCCCATCAGAGCCGGGCAATTCCTTCTATGGTGTTCTCCACTGCCGCGCCGGTTTGCTTGGTAGTACTCCCTGGGGGAACCCCCGGGGCAACGCACGGATGGGGCATGTTTCATCATCCTTCACTTGCGGGCCGCACAACAAGGGACGTGGAAGGCAAGCTGGCAAGCAGGGCTGCTGCTGCTACTGTGCCAGCCCGATGTGGGCCGGCCGGGCGGGCTGGCAGGCTGGCAGCGCTTGTCGAGGCTGTCCTTCGGGTGGACGCGATGCATGCGATTGCGGATCCAGCAGGGCATTGAAGCTATCTTTAGGCCCGCATGCGGCCGTGCCTATTCTCGTACTTGGACGCAGCGAGCATTGGGTCGCTACGCAGACGACTGAATCACGACGATGAGTTGTCACTTTTCCTCTTACACACAGTCAGAAATTTTTCAACTGGTCCATACTCTTTGAGAAAACCCGTTTGTCAACAAATTATGCGTGCAGAGCGTTGGGTTTCGCCACCGCGTCAGCAGCGCTGCCTTGATTTTTCCTGCTGGCGATGCCGAAGATCACTCTGCGCAGGTGGGAATCGTAGCCTGCATTACACGGCCAACGTGCTGTCACAACTCATTGTCTTCCGAGATATTGTCTTGCCGCCCTGAGCCCTGACCTGTTTGTCACACAGCATCAGGAAATGCGCAGGATCACGCCCCGGAGCAGAAGCCCAAGTGCAACCTAAGCCAGGCCGCCGCCGCCACTCCCAGGGTACCGACTGGAAGTGGAGGAACACCCTTACGTGTTCAGGCTGGTTTCGGAAACGACCCAGACACTATCTTGATGCCCACCCTCAGCACCGGAATCAGTCGTTCCAACCTTGCCGTGCAACCGTCCAGGGACGCCAACCTGATCGGTGGGCTGAAAGGTGAAATTCAACACAACCTGACTGCCAACCCTGAAGAACACTAAGAATTAACAAGATGAAGGGGAGTACACAGGACGTTGTGATTTACTTGAAATTCCAACCGTGGCTCTCGATCCGCGTTGCGCCGTAGTAGCATTTGTCGTGGGAGGAGAGCAGCTCTCCAAAAGGGTCCCCGTCCCTGTTGGTGACAATCCAGTAGCCGCCCGGCAAGAGTTCAGAATTAAAGACATCCGTTCTCCTTTTGCAGTCCCATCTTTCTATGTGCCCACCAGTTGCATTGGTGTCTATCCACTTGTCGAAGTTCCCTTTGTCGCAGGTCGATGTTGGGGACTGGGGTGTATCATTACTTGCCGTGTCCGTCTTTGTAGAGCCCCCAAGTTGAATGTCAGATACTGCGGACAGTGCTTGAGGGACCAAAGCTACAATGATAAGGCTCGATGTGATCATTTCGTTGCTTGATGATATTCCTGGTCGGTATGGAATACGATAAGTTTCCCGTGCCTGTGCCCTCTTGGAATTACTCTATAAATTTGGGTTGAGGCTTCGTGACTAGCCATAAACTATCCACGATTGCTCGCTCATTTCCTTAAAATCACTTGTGACTTGAGTCACAATTCTTGATGAGGCATTGGATGGGAGCGAATTGCCATCAGGTATGTGCAATTTTGTCCAGTGCTCTTGGGTGCTAGAGCGCCACCTGGGCAATGACTAGCACAGCGCTGTTTTCAACTCGTATTTGGGATAGAGCCCTAGCAAGTCCTTAGAAACTGTGTTAGTGGATAGAGTTTAATTTTAAAGATACAAGACGTGTACAAATATCCCAAAATCGTCTATCCTTATGATCGAAATTGTAGCCAGATATCCGTCTGTGCTCACGGTCGCGCACATGTTCCATTCGGTGACTTGCGTGCTGACGGAGTCGTTGGCAGCAATCACTCCCGTGACTGGTGAACCGTCATGGTCATACGGGACGGTAATTTCCCTACCTAGGTAACTAGTAAAGTCGATGACCGTGTCGCCAGATACAGTATCTGCGAATCAGTGCACTCAGACATTATTACAGGCTGGACGCAAGTTGCAGAAGCTGAATCCTTTCCTTCTGCTGTCGTTTCACCTGCCCAAGCGTGGATCTGCCGGAAGGCCTGGAGAACGCCTGCAGTGGCAATCTCTCCGAGCTGCGTCGCAAGGTCGCAGCGCATATGCGAGATCTGCGTGATACCACCATCCTGATCATCACCACCGCACAGGTCAGAGGGATCATGGGCCGCACCCGGGCAACAGGCTTGTGTCCTTGTGGGTGGACCCCAGGACCAAAGGTGCCCTATTATCAAGCTGAGAGACTACGCCACAGCTATTAGACATATTCACTCGGTTGTGAACACGTCACGATGTCTCGGGGCGGGTCGAATCGCGGTGGTCCGTGAAGAACACGCGGTAGCCCGCGAGGTGCAGGGTTGGCGGGAGCTACTCGTATTCTGTTAAAGGTGGTGGTGTATTGAGTGTGAGCCCTCACTCTTGGGTCCCTCACGGCGACGTGGTGGTGTGGGGGAGTACAGTATTGTGATCAGTACAGCGGAATGGTGATTGGTGGGCTCAGTCTTTAATATAAGAAGTGGGTGCGCCGCAGCTGCATGTCTTAGATAACCCCTGTAATGGATGATATCCAATGCTAGTCTCCTTCTTGGAACTATATTTATTATAAAATTACTAATTCCACTGGTGCAATGGAATACAGAAATTATTTTGTTCAGCCTGGGTTGCTTGGTATTGACTTCCGGCCTGAGAAGGTTGCCAGAACTTGAAGTACCTAGGTAGGGTGATTGCAGGCACTGAGTTGGATGAGTTTCCTATGCCACAAACTCTAAGACTTGTTATTCAGCATGTATCAATCCCATCAGAAGGTTCATGTTGGGAGGTTTGCCAGTCGCTTGTTGCCCAGAGACTGAGGTGATGCAACTCGATATCAACTTCCTTATGTTTCACCATTATTACCTGCCAACGGACTCGACTTCTCAGAGTCCCTCTTCTCCTTAACCCAGTTCTGTTTCAAACCTTTGTAGCGCTCATCAGCAATGCATCTTCTCCATACCGATTTAAAAATCTCGCTTGCTTCCTCCTTCTCCCTCCTCTTCCTCACGTCTTCCTCACTGCCGCCTGTCCAGTTTTGGAGCTTGTCTCCTGTGTCTTTTGCGTACTTCCGCCCTCCCTTGTGGTTTGCATATCTCCTTGCTCTCGTCATTCCCATTTGAATAAATTTTCGGGTCATGTCGGCACCGACGAAATCCTTCCTTTCCACGTAGGACTCGAAGATGGCCCAGAGAATCTCTGACGAGTTGCGGGCAACCGGAACCGTGCGAAAAGCCCAGTAAGGCAAAATCAGACCCTTGTATGGCTCAAAAGATAGCACACCAGTCTCTCCTCGCCCGATTTCGTAGGTGTATCGCAAAGTAGATGAGTCCAGAGCGGGTGTTGCAAGAGGTGAGGATGGAGGGGACTTCATGGGCCCAGGCTGTTTTACTGTGGCAGTACTCGAACGCATCTCGGGTACCTATGGAGTACTTCTCGTCCTTTATCAATCTCAGTGGCCCTGTTCTCGGCTTACTGTGGAAATCTGTAGTCGAGGGTTGGTGTTTCACCGTGAAAGGGCTGAATCGATGCTTTATGGCAGTAAGCGAAAATAAGATATCTAGGTAGGGTTCGCTGATTCTCGTTCTCTAGCCTTCACCACAACAAGCTGCCAAGCCGTGAATGTTGAATGGCATGCTGTCAAATCCATGGAGTCTGATGGCCGGAATCACCCAAGACATGGGCCAGAATAATAAGATGTGACGTCAACACTTTTTCTGGCCTAGAGTCGGGCCATAGATGCCTGGCTGTCACAACAACATTATGCTTTCATGTTTGGTTTTCAGACAACCCAACACAATTATATTGCCACAGAGAATTGATATGTAAACTTAACTTACCGTCAGCTATCTCTCTCTATACAACAGTTTGTGTGTGTGAAGTGAAGTGATGGACGACTCATCCACATGGCAGTGCTGTTATTAGAGCTGTGTTAGTCTCATTCTTTGATGTTTTCCCATCCTTGGTGTATAACTAGGTAGTTATACACGAAATTTTAACACAAAGACAATTAGAGAAAACTACAAGAGTTGAGTACCTAGGTGCATGGGGCTAATCCCCAGGTAGTGAAAATAGGTGTGCTTAGTGTCCAGGTGGTGAATATAAGACAATTTGGGCAAAATTTTTAGCACATCAACTACCTAGTTGACTTCACAACTATTGTGTCACAGTATATCTATTGAGTAGCTTTAGCCACACTATATTTTCCCTTTATACTATATAACTATCTTTTAGTTTAGCTACTTGTTTCTTCCCTTTAGAGCTTATATATAAAGTCTTTAATAGCTTTATATATATTTTTATAGTCTTTTTAGAGAGGAACTTTAAATTTACCCTTTTCTTTATTTTTATTATATTTTTTTATATTATTAAAGAGTTAGTAATTATTAATAATAAGAGTATAGATTTAAAGGAGGATAAGTTTATTATACTCTTTCTTTATTTTTTTATAAATTACTTTTAAGACTCTTTTTAAGAGTTTTAATATTTTATTATAAAAGTTTTAAAGGTAGTATATTATAAATTATTTCTTTATTTTAAGTTTTTAAAGTTAATAGTTATATATTTAAATAGAGGTTATAATACTTATTTAATAAAGGTTTTATTAATATATATATTTAAAGGGATGATTTTTAGCTAGACTTCTTTTAGTATAATTTATTTATATAGTAATTATTTTTAAAGATTTAATTTTATTATATAATTTCTTTATAGTAATTAGATTATAAACTACTTTTATTTATAATTTTAATTAATATTATTATTAAAATAATACCTTTTAGTTTTATTTATATATTATAAAGTTAAAGTTATAAGTATTTATTATATTATAATTATTATTATTAATATTATATTCTTTTTAAGTATTAGATTTTAAGTACTTATTATTATATAAAAGTGCTATATATATTCTTAAATGTATATAGAATAGAAGTAAAACTATATATCCATTGAGTCGATATGCATCTTTATACACTGGTGTGCTGCCATCCCCATATCCTTTTCACATCCGGCCTCTCTTTTTTCAGCCTTTAGGTGATCCTATGGCTCCCCATAATGCCCAGGATGAGGGCAAAATGGACCCCAATGCTGCATATTCACTCCACGATATGGACAGAATTGATCCTCCTCCACCACCACATCATGAGGACGATACCACAAAACAAATTGCTCAGAACGAAGCAAAACAGCATGCCTGGGTAGAACGCAACCAGGACTATGTGGAATCTTATGACTCACGCGGCCTGCACCATCTTCCGCTGCTCGCACCTTTGTGGGGTTATGATTATAGATGGTACAACAATAGGATCATAGCCCAGGTCGTCGAGGTGACGAGCCGGGCTGGACGTCGCCTCAACCCAGACGAAATGCAATTGGCCACCTCGCATTTTTCAAGAGGAATCGTTGCTAGCTCGTACGATCGACCAGTTGCTTTCGGAGCAACCGCTGTTGCCCTGTGGCGCGGGTGGTCTTCTTATCGATTGCCGTTCTACCAGCCCCGATTTACCACATTCGCGCACCCACAGGCTTCTGTCCGCCCTTTTCTGTCATCAATTTGTTGGCATTCGGCACGAACTGGGGTCTACGGACTACTTGGTTACGCCGCCTATGAACTTGTTGGACCGAAGTACCGCTTTTACATGAGCAATTCGTACTTTCTTGACAACATATTCTATGATCCTGGCTTGGATGGGCTAGTAGAAGACATCTGTGACAATCTTGACCGGCTTGACAGAGAGAGGGACTCACGGCAGGACAAGACGGAGTAGCTTGGGCCGACATCACCCTTTGCTCACCACAGTGCTGCCTCTACGATCTTCCCCAAAGTGCTGGGCACTTGTCATGTTCAGAGGGGGATTTAAACATTGAGGTACTAAAGACGATGCGAGGTGTTGATTTGGCGCTTCATCTTTACAGGCGTACCATGTCGTCTTGAACAGAAATGTGTACGTTGAGGACGGCCTGGTCTTCTGCATGGCGCTTTCGGCTGCTCGGACAGGGACGGTCGGGCGTGATCCCAAGGCGACCGATGATCTGGGCCGGTGAGTCGCTCTTCTCAGCCTGTACGGTCACGGCGGTCTTGTGCTCGTCACTGGTAAATTGACTCTTTTTGTTGCGCGCGGGTTTTGATATATCGGCAGAACGGGTGTTGTAGCTGATTTCTATGAGGTTCCCCGGTAGTGCACGATAGTGGCAGCTATACTGGATGTGTACAAGCTCAGAAGATTGCCATTAGTGACAACTGAGCTGATCTTTGCGAGGTGTTATCTCAATCTAATTTAGCAATCCGGAAAATATCCTATAATAAACTAATTAGGCTTTAACCACACTATATTTTTCCTTTACACTATATAATTACTTATTTCTTCCCTTTAAAACTTATATATAAAGTTTTTAATAATTTTATATTATTTTTAAATATTAAATTTTAAATACTTATTATTATATAAAGGTATTATATATATCCTTAAATATATATAGAATAAAAGTAAAACTATATAATGATCTAATCGACTTATAATTACCTATAAGCAAACTTATTTCCCGCTGCGCTGTACCTAGAAGGTGGTGGTAGGCAGGCATTTGAGTTACATATTGTACACATATAACCACCACTATATATTGGCAATTGCACCGCCATTTAGAAGCCCACTGTTAGAAGGTTGCACGTAATTTGCTTTTCCTTATAGAAAAGCTTTCTATTTTTGTGCCTACTGGTATCTTACTGAACTACGAAACAGGCATCTCGATTTGGACCAAGAACCTTGATGCCAACAAATACAACGTTCCAGGCTCACCCCCAGCGTGAAATCAGTCAAGCAATCGTGGAGGGCTAAAAATGTGCTACAGACTGCAAGTGTATTCATTTTCCTACGTCGGCAAGTCACGGCAGAAGCTCTCTGTATTTCTCGCGCATTTCAAGCGGGTGACGTCCTCAGCCATCCGGAAGCAGGTTTATCCTGCAATGTTGTTGCTGCGACTTGGCCTGGCTGACCTCGAAGCATGCAGATGGGCCCTCTCCCAAGCAAGACGTCATTCCAGCGCCCGCTGCCCGATTCAGTGACCCTTCTGACGTGGCCGATACTTGACTTGGATCCCTCGTCCACTAGATAACCACCCTTCAGCCCGGTGCAAGGCTTGAGATACGAGCCCGCTCTGGTTGAGGAAGCCGAGTTGTCACTACAGTTGGCAATACTACTACCAGCTTGTCAACGGCGGAATCCTGCCTGATTACTCGCTAATTATTCAAGGGTTTCATTTAGTCGATTAATTACGTTTATGTGGATCACTGGGATCCCATCCGACGTTCGGAGGGCGGATCTGGTAGAGTGATCAGGCACTCTTCTCGCAATTGTGCGGACACTCCTGCAGTATGCGGTAAGCTAGACCTACAGTCTTGACCGCAAAGAGCTCACTCACCAAGATGAAGTCTCCATCTCAAAGCTGCCTCTTTTCAGCGATTCAAGTATGCCAAAGCACTGTCTGCCATCAAAGGCCCATCAGTAGATCATCAGTGTGTAAAGGAACGTGGTGCACTGTGTTACTAACCTATGATAAGGATTGAAAGAAACTAGAACAGAGTGCATCAATATCGAATGACCTATGGTGGTTGTCTTTGTTGTGGAGATAGTCTGGAATACATATACAACGAAATACAAACCAAAGAGGGGTGGAAAACGCAAAACCTCTCAAATGGATAACAAAAGTTTACCACAAAGCGAGAAGTCTCCTTGGATATGAATACTATTAAGATGACCCGGAACTTCTTAACTTGAGAAACCACATATTTCAATCTTGCTCACACTCCCCTTCCCTAGCAGCCCCTAACCTTAGACTGAACTTTTATGAAGTAGCTCTTCTCGGCATTAATGTGTTCTTAATTACATTTTGTAATTAAATTTCACTACAACTTCAAGCGACATACTAATTCAAATTGGCGCAGCCTACAGCTCGAGAAAGTCTCGTCTGGAGTGATTATCACACAGGCTGTGAGATTGTTCCGAGTCAATTCGAGGGCCAATCCTTGCTCTTCAATAAAGTTTAATATATTAGCTTGTGGAAAGGGTACTATAATAATCCGAGGCCATCTGGACAAGCCCCAGAATTACCCGTACCTAAGCTCCAACTTGGCCCTCTAAATTCCCGACTGAACCTTGGAGAAGCCGGCGTGGACCCGTGGGCTCGACTTTTCTCGAAATAATCTAGCGCGTGTAGATAGCGCTTCAGCAAGTCATACGGGAAGGCAAGCTTAAATCTAAATTCAAATAGCTTCAGGGACGACGACCTCCGATTTGCAGGGCGTTGATCCGCAGGAGCTAACTGTATGTGTAGCTTTCCGCTTCCGGGGAATATCGCCCTCGAAGGAAGCTGAGGCTGCAGTACAACCAAGGTAATGAATCGTCACCGGCGTACTTGGCTCGGGCGAATACGGCGAATCCTTCCAGTGGTGCAGGACACATGTGAGATGCGATATCGCGTATTTGGAGATGTGGCTTGCTTGACACGCGCCATGAAACAAAGCCTGTGCGGTCCACTCGGGGGATTACTGCCACAACCCGTACATCTTGGTTTTTTGTTTATCGCAGCAGTGTTCAGTTTCGTCGTTGTGGGAATCGAAACAATGCCAATCCCGTACAGAGGAATTCTTGCTTGGCAAGTGGTGTTTTAGCATAAAACAGACTTGATTTGAGTTGCCCCGGAAGGTGGAAGTAGGGGCTGACATCGACTACTCGATTTAGGGTCCAAACTGTCCACCACTCTTGTGTACCCACTAATTGAGTCTTATTCGTACAGTTCGAGGGACTTCCATAACGATCTTGTCATAGGCTCACACGTGGTCACTTGACGCAACGGCCCTCCGACCCGCCAAACAAGGAATAAATGAATGTGGATACAGCTCAGAATTCGTGCTTGTGTAGTCTATGTGGGGACGTAGTAGCTTCCGCCCGTCGGAACATGTGAAGGAGCACACACTTCAAAGTTCAGCACTGTGGGCAGAGCTAGTCCCAGCCGCTTGCAGTCTGATCATACGATGGACGCCAAGGACAAGATTCACGGACCACGAGTTGCCATCGTGTTTCGAATGGTCTCCCTTGAGTGCGGGAAGTAAATAAAGCCAAGCTACCACAACAAGCCTATCTGAGTAGGCCCAAAAAAATGGCTCATGGGTGCCGAGAGTCAGCTCCTTGGCCGAAAGCAGGCGCGTGAAAGGTCCAGAGTCGACCAAACGGCTCCTTCACTGCTGGGGCTCCCCTATGACCGCCAAGCTGTTGAGGTGGAAATTTCCCGGAGCGGAGGGGACAGCTGTGATAAATCGTGCTGGCCCAGGACTCCAGCACATAGCACGATACAAGCTTTCCCCAAGGGAAGTGGCGTCGACAAGATTTACCAAGCTGGCCGGACATCAGCCACCCGTCTTGGTTGACAGTGAGGAAGCACACCGCCTGAGTAGCATGCTGCCGCCCAGCACCGCCGCCTTGCAGTAGGAGGCTCTGGTGTTGGATGTCGTGCTGCAGGGCAGTGTCATCTTCTCATGGTTGTGATGCATCTAAGATGCATCTCGAGTCAAAAAAAGCCGCATCTCGCTTTACCTGATCTGGCCTGTGAAGGATTTGAAGATCTTGCTGGGCGGCATCGTCCCGGGCCCATGCTTGCCATGCAGGCTGGCGTTCATCCGAGATTTTGTCTAGTGCTCGTGGTACTTGGTAGATTCTCAACTAGATTTGCATGCTACCTTGGCAGCCATCATGGAGTCGTGGATTTTAGTACGAGGCGACTGACTCCGTGAGGCCCCAACAATGGCGTGACTGAACCTGGATCCCGACCCCAGAGTGGACCCTAAATGATATTGAGACGTTAGCATTGATCCGTTCTGCTGGGTCTAACAACCCCGTGTGGAGCATGTCCTAGGGTGGACAAGACTGCAACCAGATAAAGCCCCGGCCGCATCGAGACCCCATGGGGAAGACTCTTCGAGCCAAAGGCGAGGCCTTACCCCTGTCCGACCAATCACAGCACAAAGCGAGATGCATCCCTTGCTGACCGCAAAGGAACCAACGATGTGCCCCCTCATCTTGGCCAGCACTTGGCAAACCGCTAAGATACTTGGCATAGCCATAGACCATGTACGCCCCTCGTCAGCCGTTGTCTCTTGTGCATATTGGCAGTGTCACGATGTGCCGGCGCAATCAGCACACACGGACAGCCTACACGGCCACTTGCAGTCTTCCGGATTCCTCCTTGCCCACCCGGTTGTCCCCAGTTTCGTAAAGATTTGTCGAGATGGTGTCGCACTAGTCAGCTGGAACGGAAAAGTTACGCAAAAGTTTAAGGGAGGGGGCAAACTGAGGCCCGCCGAGTGTATATAGAGGCACCACGTCCCGTGCCCAGAGCACCGAGATGTCTTGTCCCTCTTGAAGCCCAACTTTCCATTAACCTTGGCTCCAGTCCACTGTGCAGTCGGGAGCATTCCTATCCAAGGCCAAGCAGTATAGAGACTTGTCAAGCTTCTTCCAAGCCTCCTTGTTCAACAGCACTAAAAAGCCACCCCTCGCCCGCCCGCCATGGAGACGACTCATGAGCCGGCTGACCCCGTCGCCAAGGGCATAGTCCCAACGGCCAGTCAATCCATTCGTGACCTCTTCACGTGGAAGCAGCGTGTTGTCGTTACCGGGCCAGATGGCGAATCCTCCTGCGAGTGGGCAAAGCCCATCCCGCTGAAGAACCCCGTCAGCTTGATGGCCCAGCTGTCCGCAAAGGACTGGCTATTCTTCGTTGTTGGTTTCGCAGCCTGGACTGCCGATGCGTTCGACTTCCACGCACTGTCTATCCAGACTGTCAAATTGTGAGTAATCGCACATCCCCGTGCTCATTTTGTGGCTTTGAGCTAGGTCCTTTTCGGGAAAAACACGCGGGGGCCGACAGGAGCTGGGCGTAACCCGTGTAACATATGTTAATGCGCCAAGCTTTATAGAGCAAAATATTTTGATGTCTCTAAGACGAGCATCACCGAGGCCATCACCCTTACTCTGCTGCTCCGTTCAGTCGGCGCGGCCATGTTCGGGCTGGCTGGAGACAAGTGGGGAAGAAAGTGGCCGATGGTGGTCAACATGATTGTCCTCGGGCTGTTACAAGTCGCCACGATCTACTGCAGAACGTTTCAGCAGTTCCTTGCTGTTCGGTCATTGTTCGGCCTTTTCATGGGTGGTGTCTACGGTAATGCCATTGCCATGGCGCTGGAAAACAGTCCCGTGGACGCCAGAGGTCTCATGTCTGGTATCCTCCAACAAGGTTACTCATTCGGCTATGTCTGCGCCGCTTGTGCCAACCTTGGCGTGGGCGGTGCGGTCGACACATGGAAGACCGTCTTCTGGATCGCTGCCGGTCTTTCTATCGGAGTGGGCCTGATCCGCATGTGCTTCCCGGAATCGCAGCTGTTCATTGAGGCCCGCAAGGCCGGCAAGACCGGCGGCCATGCCACGCATTTCTGGAAGGAGACCAAGATCATGCTGGGACAGGAGTGGAAGATGTGCATTTACTGTATCATTTTGATGACCTGGTTTAACTGTGAGTTTCTGAAGCCTCATCCAGTAATCAGCGAGACAGGTCGGTGAGCTAACTCGGCAAAAGACTATAGCCACACCTCCCAAGACAGCTACACCACCTTCATGATCACGGAGAAGGGTCTGGACAACTCTGGGGCCAGCCGAGCCTCCATTCTCATGAAGGCAGGCGCCTGTGTTGGTGGCACCATCTTGGGATATATCAGCCAGTGGTTTGGTCGCCGCCGCACGATCGTCTGCGCGTCTCTCATCTCGGCCTGTCTGATCCCGGCCTGGATTCTTCCCACCACCGAGCGCTCGTTGTCGGCCAGCGGCTTTTTCATGCAGTTCTTCGTGCAGGGCGCGTGGGGTGTTATTCCTATCCATCTGAACGAGTTGTCGCCACCTGCCTTCCGCAGCAGTTTCCCGGGTATCACCTACCAGCTGGGCAACATGATCAGCAGCCCTTCGGCCCAGATTGTGAACGCCCTCGCGGAGAGCAACTTCATCAGGAACAGCGCGGGCGAGCTGGTCGAGGCCTATGGACCAGTCATGGGCATCGCGACTGCTATCATTGCAATCGGAATCGCCGTCACCACTGCCCTCGGTCCCGAGAAGAGAGGACGCGAGTTCTCGGCCAGGCCCGCTGGTATGAATATTGAGTCGGATAGCGAGGCCAAGGCCAAGGACATCGAGGCTGAGGCGGCTTCCATCCATGAGGTTGACAGGGTTCACTCGGAGAAGAAGGAGACAAATGTTTAAACGAATCAGATGAGACAGAAAACACACTCATGACTGACTTTGGACCGCTGTGCGATAGTCATATATATATCTAGGAACGCATCTGCGTATATACTCGGTTTATCTAGCATGCTAGATCCAGCTAGGCTGCTACTAGCGGGGGAAATAATGCTGTAGTATAGATTGAGCTAGAATTTGTATGGCAAGTTCATTGCATAAAAATTCTAGTGCTTGTGCGTGACTGATCAGGACTTGTCGTCCAACGCTTCATTATTATCAATACTACTAGGCGACTGCTTCAGAACACACCTCCCGGTGCGCCTTTTGCAAATGCTTTTTTAGTGATCTTGTGTATATACTGTTCTTGTGATGGCTTTTACACTAAGCTGTTTTGGCGGTCTCTAACCGATCCACTCTTTACGCACCCTGTCGGCCCTCTTGTACGAGGTGGCGCCTATGTATTGAATTCCGAATTCAATCGTCTCAGCGGTCTCATAGTCGTCTGCGTTGTTCCGGTCACCAAAGATTTTCATGGCTCGAACCACCAACTTGTAGGTACCAGCAGGTGCGTACTCGCCGGATGCAAGTCGTCCGTCCCAGGCAGGCGTCGATTGCGGGCCCCGGGGTTGATACTCATAAGGTGTCTGGTACAGATCACCAATGGTAGCAAGTCCGAGCGACTCGGTGGTGTTGACCTCCGAAGATGTGGGCACAACATCGATGCGGACCACTGCCGAGCCAAGTGCCAGATTGATGAACAACATCGGGTAGTCTGTGCTGTTCGAATTGTACTGGCTTTCGTTGGAGTGGCCGGGTGGCGGCAGCATGAAGGTGTGGTTCGCAGAGACGGGTGCTTCGGCGACGGCGACAGAGCTGCTCAGATACGTCTCAGCTGGATCTAAGACTGTGGCGGAGTGCAAAGACCCAGCAACGCCTAGGTAGGGGAGCGATAGGCTTGACGAGTCGGAACCGTTGATCGTGATGTAGCCCGAGTAGACGGGCAGCCTCGCTGCTTCAAGCCCAGCAGGAGGTGTAGCCTTTACGCTCACTATCTTGCGTTGGCCAGCCGGCAACGTGAAAGAGGTTCCGCTGATGAACTCAAGAGTCGCATAGTCGTTGTGGAGCTCGTTGGGGAAGGGGGCAGGGAAGATGCTGCCATTGGGGGGAAGGGTGTATCCAGTAGCCGCACCTACGTGGCCTAGAGTGTAGATGACCGAGGACTTTCCAGTGTTAGAAACCGCAAAGTTCTGCACGGGTAGTATGTTGTCCGTGTCGTTGAACGAGAGGCTGCTGACGCTGAGGAGAGACGTCGCGTATGCAGCATCGTAAGCTTGGACTATGCCCGAGCCTTGTTGCGCGGCTGGTGCCAGCAGAGGGTAGGTCTTCTGACCATCATTGAACAGGTTGGGGTTCGACGTCGAAGAAAGCGCGTTCTCGAGGGTCTTTGGGTCCTTTGTTCCCCTTACCTCCATCAGGAGAGCATAGATGCCGGCAACGAGGGGACAAGCCATGGACGTTCCCGAGAGCACCGCATAGGAACCTAGAGCAGTGGGATACGTGGAGAGGATGAGTCCGCCGGGGGACGCAAGCTGAGGCTTGAAGTCAACCTCATATGTCGGGCCCCAAGAAGTGTACAAGCTAAGGAATCCACCCGTCAGGTTGTTGGGCGTCAGAGTCAAGGACTTCTCCGCAGTGGCAGGGTCGGTCATCGCGACCGTCACATTTTGACCGGCTGAGAGCGCAGCTATCCACTTGGCCCCAGTGTCTGCGGTCACCATCGCAACAGCCTCAAGTCCTGGTACACTAGTCCCACTGACAGCAGTGGCACCACTTGGCACGTTGTTATAGATGATCACGTGACGTGCGCCCTTTGCAACCACGTTCGCCAGCTTCTGGACGAAAGTACAAGTGCCTCTGCGCACGAGGACGATGTACTCGGATAGGTCAGGAGTATCAGCCGGTAGAGCAGCACAGGCGTTTGCGGGATCGGTGGTGTCGTAGTTAACAGACCACAGAGGCAAAGTGACACCAGCCCAGGCCGCAGGCTGCCCGGCCGTAAAGCCAAAGGACTCCTCAGTTCCGTTGGACTCGACCGTATAACTAGCAAGGCTGAGTAGGGCCGGTGTCACCGAGTTGTCAATGGACGCAATAGCAGTTACTCCCTTCCCGTTTGCTGCGGTGCTGGCGTAGAAAAGACCTTCGGCGCCGTCGTTACCCGCGGAGATGGTGCAGGGGACGCCGTTCTCGACGATTCGTGAAACGGCCACTGCCCAAGGCTCCTCGCTCCAACCGGAAGGACCCCCGATAGACGCAGTGATGAGATCAGCGCCCGCCTCGTACGCCATGTTGAATGCAGCAATAAGGACATCTATCCGCAAAAGTTAGACCAGGGGTAACAATCAAAACCAGACAGAACAAGAGACGCGTACCATCCGGCGACGATCCGTCGCAACCGAAGACGCGGTAAGCGCCAAGGGTCACTCCTGTTGCGGCGCCAATAATGCCGTAAGGGTTGTTGGTCTGAGCGGCGACAATACCAGCGACGTGGGTTCCGTGACCACCGCAATCGAAAGGATCTGGGTCCGGGAATGGGACATTGGACCCATTGAACGCGTCTCCAACGAGATCGTAGCCGAAAGAGACTAGGCATCCGGGACCGAAGCAGCCACCGAGAGAGGGATGACGGTAATCGATCTGCAGTAGCAGTGTCAGCGGGAATTGACCGCAGCTAGATTCTTGGACTCGACTCGTCCGCCTCTGCAACCTCAAGCACAGAAATATAACCCCGATACAAGTAATGAAGCCATACGGCGTGACAAAGGATCCAAAATAGTAAATGACACCCAGGCCGAGGCAGGTGGAGGGGGGGGTATCAACTTACACCAGTATCAACAACTGCCACTTTAATTCCTTCGCCCACGACACCCTGGTCCCTCAGCTGGTTGACCTGGGTCATGATATGAGGCGAGAAGGTATCCTCTGGGGCTTGCCGCGTTTCCGCCGCACTGTCCTCTAGGGCATTTTCTCCTGCGACCCAGTGAACCTCGTGCTTGGGTACATTATAAAGTCTGACGGGCCACATATTCTTTACGGCAGGCTTTGTTCCCAGAAGATCAGCCTGGTCATTGGCGGTGTCAGTGTCATGGAAGCGGATAGAAGCGCCCTTGAACAGCTTGTAATCAAGCTTCATCCGGGTCGAGGCCACGTCTTGCACGGACGACAGCTCCGCGTCAACGTCAACCCCGTCCTCATACTCGACGATAAAGGCGCCTGGAACGACGTTGCTGGCCTGTACGAGACCAATGGCAGCCAGGAGGCCGCTCATGACTCTGAGTCCAACCATGGTGCCTCAGAAGAAGTCTACAGAGCCAGGAATCCTTCGAGAATAATGCAAGAGAAGGGTACAGCGGTAGACCAAAGCGAATGAGGGGACTGGAGGCAGCCAGACAGCAACTGCTGGAAAGAATGACTGGCAGGGGCGGCCGCACAACTTTCAAAATGAGATGCACATGCTAGGGGTGCGGGAACTTATATGCGTGGCGAGGGAGCAATCCACAAGGCAACGGTAACAATAAGTTGGGAATAGCCGCAGTGACTGACAGGGTGGAGGGGATTCTGCACATGCAGGCTCGTTGTCGCCATGTGCTTCACAGCAGGCACTGGGTACACGCCATGGGTGAGAAGCGTAGCTCGTGCGCTTGTGCAGCATGAGCAGCTGCTGTCAGGGCACCGCACCATCTATTCTGCACCTTACAGCCTCCAGATACATTGGCACGCACCCATGGAACGACTCGGTCTCGTCAACTAAGAAGTGTTCAGCTGCCAGGGCTGCCAGAGACACCCAAAGGCCAGGGGGCCAACTGGGAGTTTAACCGGCCTCCTTATCACGGTGGCTTGGTCAAGGGCACGAAGATCCGTTGGACGGGATTGGGAAGATGTGCAGGCAAGCAGGGTGCAGGGTCAGGAGCCATATCAGATACCTCGAGGGTAGTTTTCGACGGCGGCCCTGGGCAAAGCTTGGCTTTCCACACGGCCTTTGCCCAGGCAGGCAGGCAGTCGTGCACTCGGTGCGATGGCCAAGCTGGAGAGTTTTCGAGAAGGTGGGGACAAGGATTCATAAATGACAGGCTAATTCCCAGAGTTTGGACAATGAGGAAGGTGAGTGAGTGCTAGACCAGTCTGTTGCAGGACTTCCCAATGCTTGACAAAGGGTTCCCGCCTTGGACATCTCCACTGATCGAGGCTCCTCTCCAGGAACCGCTACCCAGGGCGTTGTGCTTTGCGACCACAGTCGTGTGGGTTGATGCACGGCCGGGCCGGAATATAGCTCGGCTCTCTGGTTGTTGTCAACAGTTCGTGTCGTTTCGTTTCGTTTCCTGTGATGTCTGATAGCACGTTGTTGGTGCGTGTCCGGCCTGTGGCGGTCGAATTAGGCTCAGATTTAGCTTCCTTCTTGATGGCCTGGAGAAGAGGGGCAATCCGCCGAGATTGAACGGCGCTTAATACGCTCGGCGCAGCCGCCAACTCGACCTCCCCCTTCCGGTCAAGCGCACTGGGCTCGCATTTGAGTCATTGACTTCATCAAATGCCGAGTGGTACGACCTGCTGCTCCAATGCAGACGACAAAATGAATTGAACGCCATGAGAAGAAAAGAAGGTGCCTGATATTGCCCCTATCTGGTCAGCTGGTCTGGTTGGTGTGGCGACAACGACCGGAAATTAGGGCAACGCTCGCCGAGGCTCTTAGCCTGGAATCTGGTCCCAGGGCTGCCAGGCTGCCAGGCAAGGACGGAGAGTGTTGGGAGATCGACAGGGAGACGCGTGCAGTGGATGATCGCCGGAAAAGCATTCGGATCCCAAGGCGCCGCGGGGGGTTCATTCCGGCTGCCTGCTTGAATATCATTGTGAAGATGCACGCCTCTCATATCCCGTCTCCCTGCCTCCGTGGCGCGGCTGCTCACCTTCGGGCTGAGACATAGACCTGTCCCTTTCAACCCGCACAAGCAGCGGTGTTTCGTCCTCGCAGTTATCCAATCAAGGAGCAGACCACGTAGCACCGGCATGCATGGAAGCTCGCACACGAGAGGTTGTGCAAAGGCCTCGGAGGTTTGGCAAAGTTGAAAGACTCGATGATGGACATTGATGTTTATTTGAATTGGGTTTCGTAGAAATTGCGGGTTCTACGGTCACGGCCTTCAGATTGGGCTCAGCAGATCTGCGCATGCCCGTCCTATGCTTGGGACGTCCTTGTATCTCGTCGGCGAGCTATCCATTGGACCGCCAGCCGCGCAAACTGCCAGGCTGCTCCTCATTGCAGCAGCTGTCGGGGCCGCTGCAGGAGCCACTGCAGAAAGCCACCTCCCCAGCTGTCGGGATGACTGGGTGACGATGGTCGGTCTTCGCAGACAGGAAGTTCCGTCATGAAGCCACTTGCGCAACAAGGGGCTTTCTCCGTGGTGACACCAGCTATGCTAGCAACTCCCTTGCAACCTCGTACGTGTTCATGAAGGCAATGCCTTCTTTCCTCCACGTGTCCGCCTCCACAAAAGGACCAGCCGTGGCATTCAGTACCATGTTTGTCGGCTCGTCCAAACTATATCTGGGCCATGTAGGCAGGGGCAGGAGGTCCACGTTCTTCCCCACGTTCCACGCGCTGGGGGGGTTTGGGTCAAGGTTGTGTACAAAGCTGATGTAGGCCACGGCGACGGACCGCGCAATCCTCAAGTCATTGTCATACGTCGGACTTGGGCCTAGAAGCCCGGTGATGTTCTGGAAGCTGAAGGCAACATTGTCAAAATGCTGGATCCCGGCGAGTTCCGTTTTGTTCCACAGGCGCGTGTCGAACCTGTACGAGTAGACGTCCTGTCCCGCGGCCCCAGCATAGACCTCGCACATCTTGCGCCGGCCAGAGTGCATCACCATGTCGCCGCCTATTGCGGCGCCCCTGCGCCATGCCAGCCCTCTCGATGGGAAGACAGAGCAGTTATTGATATAGAGTGGCGGCTCAACGCAGGGATCATCCGGGTACAGCTCTAGGAACTTCCGGATTGTTGGGGGCGACAGAGCATAGCTGCGCCACCATAAGAAGGCGTTGAAAAGATCTGTCTCGGTGTTGGGCCCTGACGGACCAAATGAGGTGCCTTCGTCCGTATTCGTCCCGGTGAGGAGGGGGATGGCGTTGTACTTGCCATCGCGGATGAGGGTGCTTGGATATCCGGTAAGGAAACTCCCATCGACAAGGGGATTCCAGACCTGTGATGGCGACGCCGCAAAAAGCTTGTCCTGGCCAAGCCCGCGCAGGCATGCAAGTTGATCACTCGCGGTGTAACAGCCCACGGTCCGCGTCAGGTTTTCCACGGGAGCAGTGTAGTACGCCAAGTCCTGTACCTGACAACCAGTTGGCCCACCGCTTTCGAGGATAGCGCCGCGGTACAGCCCATCGTCGCGGCCCTCGTGGCTAAGCAGATGATATGCGATGCTCTGGGCTCCGGCGCTCTCGCCCCAGATGACGACCCGTTCTGGATCACCTACGCTTCTCGGTAAGTGCGGGCTCGGAACCACATTGACAAGTTTGGGGCCTCACCTCCAAAAGCTCCGACATTTTCCTGTACCCACTGCAGCGCCAGCCTTTGATCAATCAAGCCCGCGTTGCTCGATCCCTCAGCCACCAGCGCGGGAGTCTGCAGGAAGCCCCACATCCCGAGACGATAATTCATGCTGACAGCGATCACAGGCTGTCCCATGTCCTGGCTAACCTTGACGATGCCGCTAAGGTTATACTGTGGGTCTGCCGTCGAACCCGCGTAAAGACCGCCTGGAGACAGCATTCCAAGTCAGCCACCCAGCCGCCAAGCAGGTAAAGGAGTAGCTTCACGCCAACACGTCAGAGGGTGGGCCACGGCACACGGGCGGCCATGGCCTGTCTCAAGATCTGCAGCGAGGGAAGACTTGGTGATAGAGGCGGGGATGGGGTGTGTTTGTTGTCGAAGGGGTAGAAATCGTGTGCAGAAGCTGCTTACCGCCATAAATCCAGACCAAGACAGGTAAGTCGGTATGGTTGCCAGCCGGGCGGATGACGTTGAGGGTGAGACAGTCTTCGGAAAGGTTGAAGTTGGAGCGGTACTGCATGCAGCTGTACCCATACTGAGATGCATCTCGAACGCCGTCGAAGGATTCGTTCACGCTGCGAGGCCACCTGAAACGCAGGTCTCCGACGGGAGGCTGCGCATAGGGCATACCAAGGAACAGGTCCTGGTCGTAGCCAGGCAGATAGCGGCCTTGATACGTCCCATTTCTGGTGGTGACGAGAGGAGCGGTGTCGCTGTCGTTGGAAACCGACAGAGTGCTACCGGGCTGCAGCATCAAAGATGCAACAGCAAGCGAGATGGGCCTCATGGCACTGATCTGTTTCCAAGTGAGAAATGCTCAGACTCTGACCCCCTGGCCAGGCCATCCAGAGCAGATGCTGCCGAGACGCGCCTTTGCTGCCATCTTATACTGGCAGACTGGCCCGTCATCCACGTCGCTGGGGCAGCTAATGCCCACAGGGCTGCCGCCATTTATTGGAGGGAAATTGAGTGCCGGATGAGCCAGGTATCGTCGTGGGCGATGACCCCAGCGGGCAAGCATTTGGAGAACAGGCAAGGGCTCCTGCGGGGTCGACTGAGGAGGCATGGTGGTTCCTGGTGGAAGCGAAAGCCTGGGCAAGCACAGCAAAATAGGGCCCTGTGGAACCAGAATATGGCGGAATGCCAGGAGAATCACGGAGGACAGACTCAGCCAGCGGCCAAACAATGTAACGGACCCGCATAAAGCCTATGAGGCATCTGTCGTGAGCGTCTGGGCAGTCTGGGCGAGGTCGAAAGGGGAACTGACCGTCGCTCCACGAGTCGCAGTCTTCACATGCAGCTTGCCAAGGTGGCTGGCCGCCGCTGTCTGCGGTGCTTCTGGCCTTGGGGCTTGTTGGGGCGCACGGGCCAGCGGCTCGTCCCAAGCCGAGGCAGCCAGCATGATGGGATGAAAGACTGACTGAGTTGTAGAAAGCTCTGCAATAACGTCATCGATGCTCCGACAAAGCGCAACAAGACACGCTCCAACGCTGAGGGTCAAAGTGATTAGATCTTCCACAACATGTGCTTTGACATCTGGAGCATCCGCAGATGCTCTCTTAGAGAGGTACAGGGTGGTTTCGAGTGGTTTCGTTTCTAATCCCCATACATATCAAATATATGCGGCACCTTTATACAGTGGTGAACGCTCAAGACCCTGCTTTTTTAAAAAAAAAAAAAAACAGTGCCAATAACAGTACTAAGAGATTACAGTACGTGGAGGGCAAGAAGGCTACCATTTGCGGGACAAGGTGACCTTCACGGTACTTTGGCACACAATACACGATGAACGCTGTTCACCTGGCGAGAGAAGCCTTCAAGACGACCGGGGGGAAGCAGAATATAATTGGCTTGGCCATTAGTGCACGAACGACTCACCAAAAAAGAGATGTTTTACACATTTTTCAGGAGATGAGAAACGATTCAGAGCTACTCGACCAGCAAAAAGACCAGCATTGCCACTGGTCAGGACGGCGACCTCGTTCTTAACTCGTTTTCAGATGAGTGGCACCGGTCAGCTGCTAGATTTTGAGCCTGTCGGATTCATGTGTTTTCTGTGTGAAGCAATAAAGCATTCCACGTAAACTTAGAAGGTAGAACATGTGTTGGGTAGAACATCCGAGTCATGGTAGGAGGGTATATATATCTAAATGGCGCAAGCAACATATGCGCCAAATGTCAGGGACCGCCGCGTTATTACAACACTCGCTAACTTCTAAATACGCATCTGATCTACGAGTTGACCTGCGCTTTCTCAAATGATTGTGATCTGCCGGCAGACGACCAACTTCGACCAGGAATCTATGCCGCCACCCTGACGTCTTTTACAACCACCGTCTGGCCGTTCTTCCACGGCGTTTTCCCACTCTTGTAGTGGTGCTCGTCCGCAAAGGACAGCACGTTGCCCTGCTTGGCGACGAGGGGGACAAGCAAGAGGTCGAGCAAAGCGCAGTCACCGCCGATATAAGGGGTTATGTACTGGTCCGCCAGTTTCCACAGAGGATTGTCCCATGCCACTACCCGGGTGTAAAGCCCCGAGATACCATTCATGTCCGAGGCATTCTTCTTTCTTATGCCCTGGTAATCCTTGAACACCCGGTTGAGCGCCTCTGTGCTAGGCTCAGGGGTCTCCGAGAGGAGCTCGTGCAGGCCATTTGTCAGGACTGCAGCAGACTGCCACCCGCTGTTGAGCCCAAGGCCGACGTTGGGTGTCATTTTGTGAACCGTGTCTCCGATCAGAACGGCCCGGTCACCGAACCAAGTTGGTGCGACGCCTTCTTCGAGTCCAGAGAAGTAAGACCACGTTGTCTCAGACCAGATGTCTTTGAACTTGATATCCTCCGAGACGCTGAGATCTTCAACCGTCTTGGCGAACTCCAACTTGTCGTCCTCCGTGTACCGTTTGCTGCCTCTTGTCGTCGCTGGCAAGCGCTCATAAACGACAAACATGGCCAGATCATGTCCTGGGATGACCTGAATGGAAGTCTTGTCGCCGTGCATCTCGTACAATGTCTGAGGATCAAGGCCCTTTGTCCGATTTGAGCAGCCATAGAGTGCTCGGTAACTTGTCGAGAATGGTTCGGCGTGTTTTTGGTCTCCCTTCGCGATGTGTTTCCGGACTGAGCTGTTGACGCCATCCGAGCCCACAACGATGGACCCTTCGTGGACGGTACCGTCCTTGCAGGTTACCTTGACGCCGCCTGCTGTGGTCTCAATCCCTGTCACCTCGACGTTGCTGACGATGCGGGAGCCATGCTCTGGAAGAGTGTTCAAAAGGTATTCGTGGAGTTTCGGCCTGTGAAAGCACATCCAGGGGTGTCCGAGCCTGACGGTGTTAGTCCCAGCCATCGCCAGAAGCATGGTCTTTCGCGAACTCACGCGACGCCGACTCTCTCCATCATGTTGCTCTTCTGCAGCACAGAACCATCTCTCCGCACGTTCTGCTTGTACTTGATCCCGCAGTCGATCTCCTCGGCTCCCTTCAACAAGCCGAGCTGGTCCAGAAGCCTCACGTTGTTCGGCCAGAGAGCCATTGAGGCTCCACCTTTCGGGACGAGGAGATCACTCCGCTCCAGGACGACGAAGTCAATGCCTGCCTTGGTCAGACAGTGCGCCAGGCCGAGACCCGACAAGCCACCGCCGACGATGATCACCTTGAAGCCCATCTTTTTTCGAGGCTGAAGATGCACAGAAAGAAAGCAGGATTGGGGACGTGACAATCAGTGCGACGTGGAGATCGTGCTGGCATTCACTTATCTAAAGCTTTTCTTTTCCCAACAGCATGGTCTAGAAGCGGATCCCGCGCCGCTTCAGGGCTCCACCGAAAGCCGGATTTGCAGCCCCTGCCCAGGTGGCTGTGGTCCACTTGATCTCCGGAGAGGAGTCGGCTGTCTAACCAACACGTGGGAAGTGGATTGCAACCGCGGCCGGGCTCAAACAGGAAATTACTTTCGCGGCCGAACGGCGCTTCTACGGCACGGACTTTTAGTACACTCTCTCGTTTCCGTCGAAAGCTGCGCAGACTTCACCCATGCTCCAGCGTCAAATATCGGGCGCTCCTGTTGGAATCTGGGGGTTTGACAGCACTGGCATTTTAGGCGAATCCGAGGGCTTATCATTTCTGGAGGGCTCCCCTACTAGTAGTTTCCACACTAACAAGCTCAAAGCACTTGAGGTTCCATCGGCAATCTCACCTGCATTCAATAGGGGTCGCCCGCCCTGCCGCCATTGCGCGCACCAGGGCAGGGTTTCCACAAAAGGTTTGGCAGGTGGGTCATCCATGAAAAGGGGAATCCCATACAACAGGAAAAACAGACATAGCGCGCCAACCCGACGGGCACGGGCTGAGAAGTACGTACATACCTATGTAGCGATCGAAGTGGCCCGCGCTCGGAGAATAATAATTTTAAGGTCCCGAGACCAAGTCCTTGTACATACAAGAGAATGGCAGGACCGGAGCCGACAACCCGGCAGATACGACTGATGTTGGTCATTGCTCATGGCCTGCGCATATGTGAGCGCCCGGGTGAGCGCCCGGGTGCCCATGCGCAACAACAACGATTCGTTTTGGTCGGCAATGGTCGTTGTCAACTGGTTGAAGTGGCAGCGGCCGAGCCTTACTAGTAGCTGCTACTTCCGAGTGTGACGCTATTAGAGCATGGATAAAGGGGCAACAATAGTGTTGTGGTTATAAGCTTGCAGTTGCCCTGAGCAGGCACATGTAGTCACCCGCTTGGTTGATGCCATCTAGGAATCGGGACGTCTTCTGCCACTTCCACGTTTCAGTTGTGTCCAGTGTTGGGAAGGTACTTACCTAGGTGGCTTCGCACGGCAATCTTTCCATGTTGCCGGACCTCCCCATTTCAGAGTTTTCCTCTTTTCGACTGTAGACCGTAAACATTGAACATCGACTCTATGCTCAGCGCATTCGTAATTGTGCATCATCAGCACCAGACTCCTATTCCTTACTTCTTCTTGAGTCTTCTCAGGCCACAGCAGCAGTCATGGGTTCCATCAATCCGGATACCAACACTTTTTCAACGCAAACAGAGGCAGCGCCCACATCGACGGGAGAGACTGCTGAGCCCGGCGAGATTTCCAAGCCCGAGCAAGGCGCAACGAAATCCGCGCCTAACGGCGCAACTGCTTCTACTACCAAGTCTGGCGATGATGTTGGGCGTGTGCGCACGCCGGAGCACGGGCCTAAAAAATTGAAGCTTACTCGCAAAACTGTCCCGTTAGAAAATGGTGTAAGCAAGACATCAAAGACACCAACGCCCGTGTAGCTTTGCCCCCATATACCATGTTCTTCAAGGGCAGCCATGACTTACCCGATAGCTAGGCTATCCCCGACCGCGATGCACATCCTGAGTCGCCAGCCCTTTCACCGCGTCACTATTGAGACCATTGGCTGACTTCCTGTACGGCAGTTTCTCGCCTGGGCACCAGAGACTTGGCGATCGGACCTCAAGCCCATGATCCGATACCTGGTCACTGATCATGATGGTAGCAACATTCGAATCAAATACTTGACCTGGGATCAACCACAAGACGAAAAGATCACGCTTGAAGATCGCCGACGTCCTGGCAACTTTTTCACAACGATAAGGTACCTAGCCTGCGAGCCTCTCGAGCTCAGAGGTGGCAACCAGTGGAATCACGCCACAATTGCCTTTGTTGAAGACGACAATGATGACGAAGACGGCGAACCGATTGTCGAATACGAGATTACTCAGCACACATGCATCAAACTCCCAAAAATGAGTGAGAGCGCAATCTGGGCAGAGAAACCCTGTGTCGAGTGGGCTGGCTTGCGGTTCAAGAACATCGCGTTGAGAGGCACGCTCTCGCCCTACGCACATAATCACTGTGGCAGGCTGCGCGTTGTCACGAATGAAGCAATCGGGGATGGAAAAAAGGAAATGGTCATGTGGGTTCTTTCTTTGCTGCTAGCTTGCCACTTGCCACTGCTCCAGGGTCTCGCCCTGGGTCAAGCCTCGAGCCTGGTAAGAAACGTTTGCACGGCCACATGCCAGTGGTATTTTCTTGAACTTGCAACTCGTGCAATCTTCTAATGTCCTTCTGACTGTATTTTCACAGGAAAATCTGGCCAACACCCACATGCAGCAAGTTTTCCCTGGAAAATGAAATGATGGCGTACAGAGCTTGTGACGGCAAGGGCATTACGCCGGAATTCATCGGATACGTCACGGAGCAGGGCAGGCATATTAGCATGTTGACAGCCTATCACTCTAAAGCGCACAAACCGGAGAACGACGAGGAAAAAGAACTGTGCCGTACAGTTCTGCACACTCTCCAGATCGAGACGGGTTGGCAGCGCAGGGCTCTAGCAAACCACAGGGACAACTTCCTGATTGAGGATGGCAGGGCCCTCCTCATTGACCTTTCCAAGGCGGACAATCCTGAAAGGATTGCCAAGAATGGGGGCGAGTGGGCACAGAAGCTCCTTGATGAGGACTTTGACCGGTATTGGAACTGGCCATCTCTCGTTGAGTAGCGGCCTCGTCGTCGCGCAAATCGATCGTGAACTAGGAATCCTCGCTGCGGATTTGTTCGACGAGGTTTGACGACAGATTCTGATTGAGGAGCCGAGTGTTGCAATGAAGGTCTCTAAGGTCCTTCTTGGTGGCTTCGTCCATCGAAGCAAGAGCCTGGCAGAATTCTCGATACGGGGTTGGCGACAGGGGCACCCACATGAACGAGTTCTCCGCAAGAATTCCAGTGCCAACGGGTATGTTGACGGTTGCGAAAAGGCCTTGGCCCATGGTCCTGATGTGCGAAAGGGTTGCAGACGGATCAAGTGCAAGACCTGGAATGAGGATTTGAGTAGAAGTGGAGGTGGGGGTTGTGAGGAAGAGAGAGGGAAGCCCGCCCTGACGTCCATAAGTACTTACCTAGGTAGGCAGCTCAAACGCTTCTGCAGCTGTGCCATAAGTGTATTACTGGTTTCGATTCTATTCCATATACATCCAAGGATGTATATAATACCGTTACATAATAATAAGTACTTAGCAGCTAATACTTGAAAAAATATATATTAATAATTCAAGTTACAATCTACTTGCCAGCCAAATTGTTGCAGTGTCTGCAAGTCAATAGGATCCTGGGGGGGGGGGGGTGAAGCCAGGTCACTAATACCTGCTGATATAATACAGCATGCTGATTGGCCAATGCTATGATGTCGAAATCTGCAGGCTTCAGCTGGGAACTGGGGCTACTGCGGGAACGCTTCTCCGATCTGGCAATAGCACTCCACCCGAGCTCTTGCAGCATCAGACATTTTCAACCCAGCCTCACATCAGACATCCACCAAGTATGCTGTGCCAGAGGTGCGCCAAACCCTTGCGTGGCAACTGCCTCGCCGCGCTGCCGAAGCGCACGATCCGCCAAGCTTCATCGAGCTCCGCGCTCCCCCGACGGCCGGCCCACCCCTCAACGTCCACAGCTCCGTGGGCTCCTTGGGCTCCTCGATCGCTCGCCAGATTCCCGACCACAGCCCTCCGAGCCGGCCCATCCAGATTAAATTCTTCTTCAGCACCGTCCGAAACAAGCTCGACGCCCGCCGGATCGACAGGCCCATCAGGCACTCTCGAGAAGCCTGACTTCCTCAACGAAGCCGAGTCCGAGGTCTGGGACCGCCTCGCCAAGGAGTTCAGCCCGGTGGAGCTGGTGGTGCAGGACATATCGGGCGGCTGTGGTTCCATGTATGGGATCGAGATAAGCTCGGAGAAGTTCCGCGGAGCAAACATGCTCAAGCAGCAGCGGATGGTCAACGCCGTCCTCGGCGACTTGATGAAGACATGGCATGGAGTGCAACTCAAGACGAGGGTTCCCTGAAGGATAGACTGGGCTGAAGAACAAACGAAACTGGCTGCATTGCCCCGGGTCAAAGCCTGGCCATCCGGTGTGGGTGCGCGGAGCTCTACAGAGGCAGCGTGGTTGCTCAGGGCGACATACAGACAGAAGTTGCCTCATTATACACGGCGGGCTAGACGGAACGGCCGCGCGGCGACCCTACAAGGTCGACTGTAATTAACAATCAGAAAAGGCCGGAAGTGCAGGCGTTGAAGGAGGGTCGGCGACCACTACGAGGATGCCCCGCCCTCGCTCACCAGCAGCCAATGCTCGGTGGAGCGCTCTCACGAGAAATCACTACTCAGGATATAAATGACATGTTATATGAGTTGGGAAAGAAGGCGATTCAATTCAGCGGCATGAGTACAGACCCGAGCCCTGCGTCCAGCTCCCGCTTGCCCTGCAAACACTAATCTGCTCCATGGTAGCCACATGGGTATTGTTTTGACACTGCTGCGTGCTTGTGTTGGACGCTTGTCTCGATACCCAAAAGAACGTGGATGCCACCGCACCTTTCTAGCCGAGTGGTTGCTGCGGCACTTGGAGGAGACGCCTTACTTCAATCCCCGGTTCCCTTTCTCTCGCACTTTTCGCATCTTCCAGCCACACGCTTCACGCGTAAATTGTTCTTGTCTATTGGTGGTAGGAGCCAGCAGTCCATGGCTGTTCGATAGAAGATTTCACAGCGGTCCCAGTTTGGTACACCAGACGTGACTCTGCACTACACTCTGAATTAGTATTTTAGAATACACTGTAGTGAATAATAAGGTGGCCCAATTTGTCCTCCCCATATCCGCGGTGTGGAATGTCATGCTATCCCAGGCTGTCCTGGTCAGCTTCGTTTGGGGCAAATACGAAGCCAATGGTAGGGGGTTTGTAGATACTCACACCGCATGCATATTTTTCAATGACCCACTCACACATTGCCGGACTCTGAAATCAAGCCAAGGTGCCGAGTACTCTGGTGTTTTTTGAATCGCTTATATCTTCTTGGGGAGGTGTGGTGAGCGAAGAAATGCAGCCCGAGCTCGAGTCCAAGTTCAGGGCTGAACAGATCTGCAGAAATTGTCAGCAAAGGAAATATATAAACCATTCGAATGCGTTTGAGTTGTCGTTCTCGCAATGTCACAGCTTCATGTCGGGTTTGTTGTCCATTGTCTTCTGTTGTCTCACCCATGCCAGTGAATCATGTTATTCAATGTTGGGAGGGAGCTCCTACCCTCGAGCACCATGCTCTCATAGCTCGGCATCGAATCAGGCAGCTAGGAAGCAAGTCTTGTTGTAGATCTGGGATGCTTCTCTAGATTCCTACCAATTCAGTCTTACGAAGCCAAATATGCTGAACTTGTTCAACGGTCTTGGAGTGCTGCGTGGTCTGATTGAGGACAGCCATGGCTTGCTTCCAATGCTAGTTATCCGGGTGAATCAGAGGGAAGCCACGAAATCGAAAACTTATTTTTATTTCCTACCCAATATCCGACCAGTACTTTTCACGGGCCCTGCCCTCTTGGATTTTGAAAATGCCCGGGGCTTTGTGGCATGTTCGGCTGGTTTGGTACTCATGCAGAAGCTGAATCAACAATCCAATTGAAAGGGGTGTTCACACAGTCCGGACGGTGTCAACTCTTTGGAATCCAACGAAAGCCCGAGCCAAACATTGATAAATGAACAAAACGCAACCCCTACCCCTGTCAACTTACACGAACCCCGGTCTGTCACAAGCGGGCTGGTGGCCGGGGGGTGGATGCACTGACCGCCTGCAGTCATCGGCGAGCTTCTAACCTACCGAGGTACCCAAGTACCTAGACACCTGCAGGTAGGTACCTACCTAGGTAGGTAAGGTAAAGTGTCTGGGTCCAGCTTCGACTTCTTCCTTCTGCAACCAACACCACAGGTTATTCGAGCAAGCCACCAGAAGCATCTTCCAAACTCGCCTTCAAGACCCCCAAAGTCCAAGTCCCAACCCCAGCATCACCTCGCCGCGCAAGCAACCAGAAAACACGGTCGATTCCCAAACCTGCAACCGCAATCGCAATCGCAATGAAGACCGATCAGTACCTCAATCTCTGTCTTGACCAGGCTGCCCTGTCCAGTCTCCACTACCGCCATGGATGCGTCGTCGTCAAGGGAGGCAAGGTCATCGGCCAGGGCTTCAACGACTGTCGCCCTGGATACGATGGCGGCAGTGTCCTGAAGACCGGTGTCCTGCCCAAGGCGGCGGCCAACGTCAAGCCTGACAAGCCGGACCCGCCAAAGTCCAAGAGCACCTTCAAGACGGTCGAGAGCACCTGCGGAGGTGGCCATCACGCCAACGCCCGTTTGACCTTGCACAGTGAGATGATGGCCATCAACTCGGCCCTGTCCTCCTGCAGTACGCTGGCTGCCAGCACCGTGTCTCACGTTAAACCGAGCTTCAAATTACTCGGTGATTCCAAACGCAAACGAGCGTTGCAGCGCGATGCAGTCCTCGCCTACACTGGTTCCGTGTGCCTCGCTACCTTCGGGCCGCAGGTTCAACAAGGTGCCGGCCCGGCTGAGGCGGTCGAGTGCCGTGTTAGACCTTCCGCATATAGATGCGACGACATCCTATCGCACGGCCAAGAAGCATGGCTATCACTATCATCACGGTCACCAGTCGAATCAGTATCAGAAAGACAAGGCGTACAACAAGTACAACAAGTACAAGTATAAGGCGGCGAGATCGTCGCAGCATGTTCCAGCACGAGGGCACACTGCTCAGAATTGCGAGAAATCCGACACTGACTCTGACGGTGATGCCGTGAAGGGCGCTTCTCAGAACATCACAGGGAGCAACAACGGCAAGTTTGGTCTGCAAAAGGTGGGTCGTATCATCCGATTTATCTGTGTTGTCGAAGTTTACTGACTAGGAACAGGCGCAAAATCAGCACCTTCTCGTGCCCAAGGGCCGCAACGTCAGGACCTCACCAGGCGTAAAGGAACGTATGAAGCATCCTAAGCTTGTCGGCGCTGACGTCTACGTTGCGCGCCTGGCAAACGAGAGTCCAGCCTCGCCAAGCGGAAAGAAAAAGAAGTGCCATGCGCATGACGAGCCAAGCGATGGGACTGTTGAGACGAGGAGTCCGGACACCTGCACCGCTTCTGCCATGACCGCTTCGACAGGGTCCCTGCATGATGAGCTGATCACCAAGATATCCAAGCCAAAGCCTTTGGCCTCGGCCTCGGAGGATGTCAGGCCAACGCCCACCGCCGCGGAATCGCGTCCGTGCTACCGCTGTGTCGCGTACATGCACTCAGTTGGCATAAAGCGCGTATTTTGGACCAACAATGAGGGCAACTGGGAGGGCGCTAAGATTCGGGACCTGGTGGATCAGCTCGACGGCACCACGCGCAGCGACACGGACACGCCCCTCGGACAGGCTGCAATGGGCGTGTTTGTTACCAAGCATGAAGTATTGATGCTTCGGAGACTGATCATGAGTGGCCAGGGGTAGGGGCATTTGAGTACAGTCTGTGAGTCTATTATCGATTTGAATCCTCGAGTCTTAATCCGGGCACCGTCCGCTGGAATCAAATGCCAACCTCCCTCTAAAAGCAAGTGCGCTTACACTATTGTGATCCCTGCCAGTGCTCGCTCATCAGAGCTATAGATCTTCTGCTTCTCAGAGCCGTCCAGGTTACACCTATATAAGGATCCACCGAGGTCGGTGAGATACATGTGACCAGCTTCCAAATCAAGCTTCAGCCCAATTGCCTCGTTCAGGTGTCTCACAAGCACCTCGTGCGACGTCCCACTGTCGTTCTTGACCACCAAGCCAGACTCAGGGTCCAAGACTGCCCTGTTCACGGAATTACCCAGCGGCAACTCACCACGGTCGGTCCAGTACAGTGTCTCGTTGAGTTCGTCAACCTCGAGGTCAATGGGCTCAGGCAGATTGTCCAAAAGGAGCCGGACGTCTGTCCGGTTCTCAGCCTCCTGCCCGGCGGGCGTGTCGATGCTAGCGCAGAAAATACGACCCTTTCCGGACTTCGAGGCTGCCTTTTGCGTCCAGTAGAACTTGTTATGCTTTCGAGAGACGGCAATGCCCACGCACCACTTTGTCTGGTCTGCAAAGCCCTCCGCCTCCGAGTCACCCGTCTTGATGATTGTCTCGAGCTCACCGCCGTCGTAGTTGCAGCGTAGCACCCTCATCCCCTCCCGGTCGCAGAAGTACAGCTTCTTGGACTCGGGCTCAACGACCAGCTGCTTGGGGGTGTTGACCGCGCCCTTGGGAACGATACACGTGGCGTCCGAGCCGTCGCCGAGGTTCGCGGAGAAGACCTCGCCGTCGGGCCGGCCGGGCGAGCCCATGCACGTCCAGAACATCCGCCCTGAGGACTTGTCAAGGTCGATGCCGTCCGGGTATGCCTGGCTCTTGGCGAGGACCTTCTGGTTCTTGCCGTCGCCTGAAATCTCCAGCACGAAGCCCGGGGCCGGTGAGATCTTGGTAGCAGCCAGTCCGAGGTCGAGGACCAGAAGGCGGGGGACACGTGGGTATAGACCTCCCTGTTGGCACTTCGCACCCAACTTTCCCTTGTCGACGTAATTTCTCTGCACGAAATCGACAGTCTTATCCGCGGGAAGTCCGCGCTCCGCAACGTAGTGCGACTCGATAAATGCGACCGTGTCCAGGCCAACGTCGTCCATCGTCTTGCATGGCGCCATCTCGGTCCTGAACATGGTTCTGAACATCTCGTCGATCTCCTGGGGCGTCGATACCTCCTCGGCCAAGATTGTGAGGGTCTCTCGCTTCACCGCCGCCCAGAGCCGATTTAAGATGAAGCCTGTCGACTCCTTGCGGGCCACGTAGGGCGTCGTTCCTGCCTCCATCTGCCTTTCACGAAGAAACTCAATGACGTCGGGATCTGTGAATCCGCATGTCATCAACTCAACGATGTTGTTTGTCGGTGGCATGTAGTAGTGGGTGTTGAGTATACGCGCCTTGGTCGCCTCGTACTTGATCTTTCCGAGCATCTCAGAGCTCTTGTATGAGCTGGAGTTGCTAGCGAGGATCGCATCCTTGGGCGCATGAGCCTCAAGGTCTGCAAAGGTGTCGATCTTGAGCTGGAGCTTCTCCGGGACGGCCTCAATCACCAGCCAGGCTCCCTGCACCGCATCGGACAGCTCTATCTGCGTTGATATCTCACCATAGCCGTTGAGGTTTGACTTGGCTGCCGGGAAGTCGCGGGCGTTTTCTCTGACATATTTCTCACAGGCTCTCCTCTGCGAGGCGTCGGGGTCCCTGACACACACGTCGTAACCCGCTGCCACCCAGCTTGTAGCTACGAGCGATGTCAGCCTGCGCTCATGTTGGTGCTCGGGCATGCATGAACTCGCCTATTCGCCGTCCTAGGACACCTCCACCCAGGATAGCAACTGGTCGGCTGTGATAATCCTCAGGAACTTTACAGGAAGAGCTCATGGTTATGGATGAATCAATGTCTTTTAAAAGTTGTTGCGAATTCCGTCAATGATCATTTTACAACACGGAGTCTCCATGGTGCTGCTAGAGCTGGCCGAGAGTTTCTTTTATCTCAAGGCTGCCCCCTAAGACCAGGTGGGCCGCCGCGGTCTCGCGATTACATGTCTGCGCCTGGCGGGCGACATCGACATGCGAAGTACATGACGACATCCGACTTGATCAAGAATTTTGATTGTTGGAGTCCAAGTTGTGGGATCTCGCGACATTCGTGGAAGGCGAAGGCCGGCTTGCTAGGGAGGCCAGTTAGTGGTGTGTTTTGGCTGAGGGAACGGCCTACCACATCAAAACCCCCTTGCTTGCAGTGAACAACCCGGGCTGTCCGCCAAACCCATAGGCGGAAATGCCTCGGCCAAGGCCGGTGCCTCGGCACAAGTGGGTCCACCGGCAGCCAGCCGACCGGAGCTTCCGGCTCAGGCGTGCACGATCCGGCCTTGGATAAACCATGATGTGCGCACTCGCCCCTTCCGAGCTTTCTAAACTGCATTTCAAATATGAAGTAATTATGCCAAAAAAATCGCTTCCATCCTCATGTGTTGAGTGTTTGAGACAGGAAACAAGCACTCGCCGTTATGATACGTTGCCCGATATGCTGAGTACATAACCTATGCCGCTGTATAAATCTACTGATTTGTTGTATCAGAATACGGAGATCCATATGTGATGTATCGAATTGCGTATCTACACTTTGTGACTGGTATGTGAACCATGGATCACCAGCATGAATCTGGACGCTATGCTGAAACTGGTCCAAGGTGATACTGTAACAGCACTTGAGTGTTAGGGCTTCTGATAAGCATAACATAACACGGGGGTTGTTTATTGACAAGAAACAATGTGCTTGATTTGAGAAAGGCTCCCTGAACTTTGGGCCCGCTGCTGGTCATTTTATGATACAGCGCGTATGCGAGTGCAAGATCGTGAAATGGGCAAGAGTCCCTTGCGCAATCCGGGGGCTGGGATGTTTCTACCACTTCGAAATCAGCTTTGATATGATAGAAGTTGATCTTTTGACTTGAGCTCAGCTGAGAAATCAGGCATTACTTGCACACAGAGGACCTCGGGACCTTGCAAGTTGAACTGAGAAATAATCTCCAGCCACATGCAATCCAGATAATTGAACATTTTCTGTCAAAAAAGCTCCACAGCGGCAGACTTTGCTCTGGGCAGACAATGACATCGAGAGAATTTATCTGCATCAGTATTTAGGTGGTTTCATTTTCTTATCATACACATGCAAAGGCCTGGTGTGATCCAGGGTCCTTTCACAAACTGATACCACCATACAGGGACAAAGGGGTATGTAGAACACTAATAGCAACAATCCAAAAGCATAATAGTACTTAAGTACTTTGCAGCCTCAGCCTTGTGAGAATTACTTCTAATAATCATGTAAGGCTGAGGCCACATGCTCCTATTATATTTTAACCACTGTCATTAAAACTATATGTTTTTTTTAAAAAAAAGAACGCTGGGTCTTAAGCGTTTACTACCTTATAAAGGGGCCATATATATCCTCGGACATATACGGAATAAAAGCGAAACCACATATAATTACAAGCTTATAGTTATTCTATAATTATATTACGAGAGTGACCGGTATACGATAGCCACCCTATACTCCTACTAAAAGGTATAGAATTATAGAACGTCCTGTAATTCAGAGTGTAGTCTATATGGCCGTGCCGTTACAGCTATGACTTCTCCGTGAGCACTCTTTCAGCGCGAATCATCGCACAGCCTCATCTCTACTTACATTATTAATGCCATCACATAGTTGATCTTTGTATTGTGAATATCTCTATATGATGGGCCGGGTGTATACTCTGACGTATTCATCATACTGGTGTGCCTATAAAGCTCTCGAGTTTTAGGCCTTACCGATCGCCCTTTCTGGAGAAAATTAACAGGACCCGCAAGCTGCCATTTGACCTTGATGGCGGAGAATTCTCGGGGTCGATCAGGTCCTCAAATGTCACAGAAACTAGCATCGAAGTTCCTTCTTCAACATGTGAAAAGCCAATCACACACGCAGTTTGTTTCACCATGTCCGGTCCTATCATCAAACAGGCACAGACCATGCACGGCTGAGCAGCACGTGCATTTGAACGTCACATCTCGCCTCAGCGCACGTCATATACACCTGATAATTTTAATGATCGCCGGAATGAAGACTTAAGTCAATGGACCAACGCCTCATGAGCAAGTCTTGGGGCCGTTGCGGGCCGTGAGTGGCCCGGTGCCACCTCCAGGGCTTCGTCAGGCCGTTGCTGAATCAGAGCCCGGGGGCCACCTACACACCGAGTGCCAAGCCGGGGGCCCAGGGTAACTTGGGTAACGAGAGTGGATACCGCCGTACGGGAGACAGGAGCTTTTCAGTTTCAAAGTTCCTCCGTCCAAGCTGCGGCGGAGCACTCGTGTGTGAGTCTTCCGAAATGAGGGCCCCGTCATCGAGGCTGACGTGAGGCAGTGCCTAGCACGGCAGACGTCGAGCAAGAGTTCAAGCGAGATGATACTGGCATGGAATTGTTTGGCAATGAATTCTACTTGGGTATGACTTCCTAGATAAGGGCCCAACTCAAACCCTATAGCGGCACTAATCAACACGCACAACCTGTAATTTGCCAAGTTCGTCTAGCAGGCTTGTCTTGTACATGTGTTTGGTTTTCGCGTACGAGCCTCTAGGAGGTACAAAACCCATATGAAGAGATTGCAGAGAAAAAGATTACAGTCAACGTGTGTTCGGCTTCCCCCGGATATTATTTCCAAGTGCAAAGTCTTGCGCTTGGCTCATGACAAGGTGAGCCCAACCTCACCCGATGGGTCTGAGCTGAGTAGCATGCATCAAATCAATTTCTTTTGGCGCCCATTCCGTGACAGACTGCATCGTGAAAATACGTGTCAAGGTCGTGACTCACAGATCGGGCTTGTAGCAAGACCTGAATCTGATGCCCAGGTGGTTAGCATTCTCGCATGCTCTCAAAGAGTTTTACACTGACACGTCAGTCTCGCAACAGTCTTCCCCTTTGCTTTACATCCAACTTCATAACCATGTTGCGCCCCTCCAATATCTGCAGTCGTGCTCAGGCAAGGGGAAACCCACGATTCAGTTAAGGGGTGCCAGGTACAAGGCGTGCATCACAAGAGCCACGGGGATGGAGGTCTATAATTGCCAGCGGACCGAACTATGGACCGGACCAGACCGCGGGAGGCGTATCAGATCGCCGGAAAGTGGGTCAAGGTGGATTCCACAGGTTGTGGCAGAAAGTCCTTCCCACATTTCGACCACTGTAGCATGTGCGCGAGTGCCACTCAATGTTGGGCTCGTGTTCTCGCTGGATTGCGCCCGCCCGCCCGCCTGCCCGCCGCTACCAAGGCTCCGCCCTTGTCGGGGACTCGGAGTGGCGAGGAAAGTCAAATAGATGGAGCCTGGCTTCTTCCGTGCACTGAATCGTGATGTTCAAACCAGTGGCGGGCTCCCGGAACAAACCGGGTGCGATCCATGGATGGGCTCCAGGCTTTTCGACGGCCGGGGCATCACGCACATGCAGCCTTCAAAGCTGGTGTTGGTTGCTCGCAAGCCCATATCACAACATCGACCGAATGCGACCGCAGCGGCTCTAATGCAGCTTGGACTTGGCGCCTGTGACGTGCTTGGCGGTCATGTGCGGCCGGGCTTGGCGGGCTGGGCAACAAGTACGCCCAGACGGGTCAGTCCGGTAACACAACGACTTGTAACGACATTGTAACCTGGCCGTGAGACCGGGCTGAGGACGCCCCCCGGATCAGGAATGAACAGTGGTAACTACATGTGGCGGAGCAGAGCAGGTGCAACGAAGGACAGGCTGAAACTACTTTGCGTTTGCACAATGGTTGACAGAGTTTACAATGGTCTTTTTGGGCATCGTGATAGTCATTCCACAGGTGTTACTTTTCCGAGTAACTGCAGATAGTCAAGACTGACGAAAAGTTCGCGAAGGAGAACAACAACAGAATTTGTGGGAAACAGGAGCCTCAGGGGCCTGACAGAATAAACGAGTGACGGCAGTTGGTCTTTTTTTTTTTTTTTTTGTTCTTGCTGTTTTCGTAACATTCTAGTCAAAATCAAATTAGTCTATGGGGATATCGTAACTACAGAAATGAGTGCCTGTTGAAGCATTCTGTGACTGTCTCCCAGTAATGCCTGTTTATCCGTCCGAGTTGGAATGGACGGTGAGTTCCTTTTTCCCCCATAGAAATCAGTCCCAGCCACAACGCCTGGCAGAAAGTGCAATGCTGGCAATTTTTGAATGCTGAAATCCACGATGCCAAAAGAACATGAAGAGAAAAGAAGAATGGATGTCAAATCCCTCCTTAGTGGTCGACGACGTCCTCGTCTCTGCCTGGGTACATGATGTCCTGGACAATAACAGCCCGGATGTGGTGGTACAGGACGAAGAAGTATGTGATCAGGATACACACAGACATGAACACAGCAAAGTCGAGCACGATCTTGCTGTTGATGGCGTTGCCGAGTGTGATGGTTGCGAGGGTGAAGCCGGTGTTGGGGAACACACTCGCCCACCAGCCGAGGTGGAAGTACTTGGGCCTGCTCTGGATGACGGCGAGGACGGCGACCCCCCACCACCAGAGGCTGAGGCCCCAGAGGTAGACGCCACCAAGGAGCGCCATCTGGCGGACAACGTGGACGTCAAAGATGCCGTTGCTGTCAAAGTCGAAGGTTTCGGGCAGGCCCTTTGACATGCCAATGAAGGCCAGGCAGGTGAAAGCCGGGGGGCCTACGTTCATGAAGAGACCGGCCCTGTGCTCACGGCTGGGAAGGCCAAATGACATCAGGCGTCCGACCATGTGAGCATACATGAGGAACGATACACTGATCCCGAGGCCCTGGCATGCGAGGCCACCGTAGATGATGGCGACGGACATGAACTCGGGCTGGGTCTCGGCGACGACCGAGGCGATGGTTCCCGAAAGCATGATGGGGAAGATGGGCAGGATCCAGGTGGGCATCATGGTCTTCACCTCGAGGTTGTGAGTGCGGAAGACGTAGCTGTACTGGGCGATGGCGAGGAGCAGTGTCACGGCCAGGTAGCTCCAGAATGCGACCTGGACGGCCCAGTTGAGGGTCTCATCGTTCTGGGGGATGGCGTAGCGATAAGTGCTCGTGATGAGTGTGGCGATGGAGAGGAAGAATGTGGGGAAGAAGAAGCCCTCGCGCTCGTGGCAGATGGACGCCTTGAGATCGCCCGGGTACAGGAAGAAGCGTGCGACCAGGGCACTGGCTGTGAGAGCAAAGAGGATGAGGGTGATGATATACACGACGAGACCTATCTGTCTCAGGCCGGGGAACTGATACGGTTGTGCAAAGATGAGAAGTGACAGTCCACCAGTGCTCATGATGAGCGTCCACCATGCCCAGGTGAAGTGGTGTAGCCGTTGCTTCAGCCCCAGCTTCGGCCTGTTGGGGTCGTAAATGTCATGGCCCATGTATGTCTGTCCCTTGTGGTCGTCCTTCTTGACCGCGTCGTCGTCATCCTCGTACTTCTCAAGGTCCCGCTCGCCCGAGGGGGTCGACACCCGCGTGCTGTCGTTGCTCCCCATCTGGGGGCTCTGGGGGCGGTTGTCGAAGCTGTTTGCGCGAGGGAGCGGTCGGGGCTCGAACAGTCCCTGCGGGGCGGCCTGGGGGTCCATGAAGGACGGCTTCTGTTCGAAGGATCTCCTTGTGCCCTCCATCTTGTCGTGGGGCAGCGGATATGCTCTTGGGTCGCAAGCCTCGGAACCGGTTGTCTATTCGGTGGGGGACATGTACGGCCTTGAGAATGCGTTTGTGGTGTGATATACCAAAGGGGGTTTCTGGTCGACGCCAACAAGCTCACCGCTAGGATGAGATTGACCGAGGAGGTATGTGCAGATGCAGAGGCAGCGAGCAGTGTAAACAGAGTTGAACGGTTCGAAACAAAAGTGCAAGCCAATAATGATGTGGGACCAGCCTGTGACAGAAGAAATGGATCAGAAAGAGCTGGGATATATATCGTCAAGAGGCACGGGGAGGGCAAGGCGAGTATTTCATGGGATAGGCATTAGAGTTATGTATTTTTGTTCAGAGCCCAGGTACGGGGATGGGCAGGCCAGCAGCGACATCAAATTGTAGATGGAGATCCACATGAGCCAAGCCCTTCGCCATGCCCGAGCAGCTGGTGTTCCAGAGGGCACACAAGAAGCTCCTAGGCACGGGAGACGGTTGCGAATGTGCAACGAATTGTTTCTGAATTTGGACTGGTCCCATGCCAGTACCACGTAGTGGCGACCTGGGTACAAGTGGTAAAACGCACACACAGACTGGTGGACTGGTGGACTGGGGATACATAGCTACTACCTCCTGCCTAGGTGGGAAGGTAGGCAGCACCCACCCCCCCCCCACCCCCCTCCCCGGCAAGTGAGTGTGAAGCGGCTCTTTTTCGTGACATGGCAGCCAAGAGTTTGGAAGAAGTGGGTACTACCGCCCGTCCAGGCCGTCAAGTACCATGTACTATCGACGCCAAGGACGGGCAGGACTAGAGCGTCTAGGAAAGAAGGACGGAAGCTTCAGATCTTCAATCTGGCGGGCGGCTGGTGGAGACTGCCGAGAGCAGACGCGACCCACATTTTAATATGCTTCGCGACGTGAAGGGCCAGAGGGCCTCAGGACCATGTCGTCCCGCTGCCCCTGAACTACAAAAAGAAGCAGCATGTAAGAGAAAGAGAGTGCGGGCGCGAAGAAACAATCTACCGCGTCAAGGACCACGGGAAGAAAGACAAGCATGCATCAAGACAATCAAGACAATCCAGACCGACGGTGGAGGGCTGGTGGGTATTTTGGAACCAGCACATGCAGGACAGACAGGGCATGATGTAAATAAACAGACACGGACACGGGCAGACACAGGCACACACAGGCAGGGCCGCATGAGCCTGTGGACAGAGCTTCTTCTGCACAGCCCGTTTCGGCGGATGTTTCTCAGCGCATGGTGGCATAATGATGGTGCACATGTGGGCGATCTGCATGCACGCATGGTGGCGGTGGCCTGCCTGCCTGCCTGTCTGGGTCAACGGTCGAGGGTGAGGTGAGTGAGTGACATTAACCAGCCTGCCAGTCTGCCAGCCCACTGCTGTTGTGTGCAGCGCTGCGTACTGCGTGCGGTTCTGCTGCTTGCCGAAACCTTAAAGAAACTTCTGCTCTTCGTCCCAAAACCCCTGCCCACGAGATTGTTTCGCCCGACTCGGCCGCTTGGCGACTTGGCGGGTCAGGGAGGGGGGGTCAGGACCGTCAGGACCGTCTGGCCAACTGCCTGAATCAGTCGGGTCGTTATCTGGACCCCCACGGAGTTGGGATGTGGCTTGATGAGGCTCTAGATGATCGACGGAGACAAGCGATCAAAATTAGAAGCAGGCCAAGACCCCTGAGGCCGGGAGAGCCAGCGGACGGCGCCGTCTCAAGGCCTTTGAAACCCACGCTGTCAGGCTGTCAAGGCCTCTCAGGCCTCTCTCTCTGCTGCCGCCATCTGCCAGCCGGCGAATTACCACCAACCGGAATCCTCTCCTCTGGTCTTCCAACCTCCCATGTCCCGGCACCCATGGCCTTGGCGAACCAGACCAGCCACTGGATCCGAACTCCACGGCCGCCTGCCGGCTCTGAGCTAGCTGGTGCTGTCTGGCCTGCTGGCCTGCTGGCCTCACCTCAGTCTTGCTCGTCGCTGCCCGAGTCCACTTTTGATAGGCGATCGCTGCAGTCCCCGTCGTGAGACGAGCGTCCATTCTTTGACGTGTCGTTGCTCCTTGGCAGGGCCTGCGTGGCTGCGTGGCCATCCATGCCTCTGCCCTCCCGCTGTCCTCACACCCACGGCTCCCAACGACACCCACGACATCCTTGCCTTCTTGGCCCAGTGCCACAAAAAGAATGCCCAGACTTCGCCGGCGGGTACCTTGCCCTCTACATCGGCCAAGAGCGCTCACCATGCACGCCGGGCCACGCAAGCTTCTCACCCGATCTGACTCGTTTCGTGCTCTAGCAATTGGCCATGCTGGCCGGCTCCCTTTGCGTTGGCGATATCGATATACATCAAGCGCATGTTATACCACCTACGAATCACAGCTCCAGCCCTTCTAGCCCGGCTCGCCGGTGTAACAGGTTCACAGACCCTCGCATCGCTGCCCCCCTATTGGCTGGGAGTCGATCCGACCTATGTCAACATTCCCCATGAGGGCCTGCAGCCCAGAACGCGTTGACTATCACCAGATGGGACTTCGGTGGCCCTTTCCGGACTCCCCGTGGTTGACCTGCCTGCGAGGCCACTTGCGCTGGCTGCTGAGCTTGCGCTTGCGGGCTCGTTGGGTAGGCTTCATTTTCTTCTCCTGATACTATCGACAGAGCCCTTGCCTGCCCAGGTGATCGCCGTGCCCACTCCTCACATTCGTGTTAGCCTCAGCTTCGGGCAGCAAGCCGCGCCTATGTGCTGTGGGTCTTCCAATCTTCGCCTCCCCTGGCCGTCGACCGCCCAGAGGTCACCTCGATTGTGGCACTCACGGTATCACCCAGCAAACCGTGCACATGCCCTAATGTCACAGCTGCAGCCCAGGGGAGGTCTGGCAGCCCGCCTGTTTGGGACATGCCCAGTCGATAGACCGTGGCGGAGCAGCTATCGCAATGAGTTACTACATGGTATTCAAATCTCACTCTCGAATCGTCCGCGTCGCTCACCATGTCGCTGAAACTATACCACTCCCGCGCTTGGTAAACCGTGGCGCCAAGTTCTGCGCGCATTGGGGGGAAACCGGATGAGCTGGTGGTGTCTTTCTTGCCGACACGGGACTCAGCCTTCCGACGTTTGCTCGTGCGGTAATGCGAATTAATATCCAATGGTGGATTGTATTAGTGGTATCAAAGGTGCCGCCGGACCTCACCTCTCATGCGCTCTCGCCGGTTATTGACTATCACGGTATTTCTAGCCGCCAGAAACACTTGGCCACGGTAAAAACCCAATTTGTCAAATGCAAAACCACTCCTGAACCGAAATACCTAGGTACTAGTAGTACTGGGGAGCATCATTCGCGGCCTTGGACGCGGTCCGGACGACAATGAGAGCCTGCATGGGCTTCACAATGCTATCATCTCATCACTACCATACTTTGCCAAGGTGATACCTCTCACGAGCCTTGTTCTCCAGGATGAGTAGTTGATACGGTCCCCGTGGTTCTGTACTCGCGTTCTACATATGTATCTCTCCCGTTGCGTTCCCAGGATTTCCGTATTTGACCCATGCCCCCGTCTCATTCTTGCCCGCGGAGAGCCCATACCGCAGGACAAGACTTTGTAGACACACCCTCGCCGGATACCCAACAAGGACCGTGAGCTCTTTTTCACCTCGATCCCTAGCGGCCTCGATCCCCGGGTTGACGACGTCTCGAGGTTGCTCCGCAAATCAGAAGCCGAAATGAAGAGACGAAATAGGCTGCGTACCGCCCTTCCAACTCCACCAGGGCGGGCATAATACTGTATATTAATAATAACACGTTATCGGTGTATTATCGATAAGCATAAACTTCCCGGTCACATATAATATGATCTTGGTGACAAAAACGCAGTGAACCCACAGAATTTCATGACCGTCTCAACACGAGGTTTCCAGTAGGGCAAGCATGTGAAAGAGAAAATACAATCTAAATCTGGCCCCCAGCACGACATCTTGTGCGCGCAAAAGAGTATAGTGATTTGTGTGGTTTACGTTACAATCAAAAAGTCTTGGGCCGTCACAGGGGAAAATGCTTACTTACCAATTGGCAATTGCCAAATTCTCACTCTGAAGCTTGTACCCATCCCCCAAGGCGCTTGACTCAGATCGCCAAGTACTAAGGGGACTAATTGCGCAACTGTTTCAATGATAAGCGAGTAGTGAGTGTGTTTCAAGTATAAGGGAATCGCAAGGGTTGAAACCACACAACCCCAATTCCTTAGATAACAAACCGCACAAAAAACATACACACATTGTGGATGCAGCTGCAGGAGACAAAGAATAGCTCCCGTGCCCCCGTGCCCCGGTACGGCATACACCTGGCAGACACGCGAAATTAGGCGCCGCCTTGGATAAATGTTTCTTAATTACTGCCGCGCCACTGCGCGCGTATTTTGTTTCTATAGCTAGCCTCTACCAAGCCCAGGTGTGTAGCAGGCCTGCCCTAGGGTAAATCCGAGATCGTTCCATAAATAGAACACTAATTGTTTCTGTGGTAGGTACCTACCTAGGTACCTAGGGTGCACATCGAGGCCTGCTGTTGGGGAGCTATTTGTGTAAACATTACAGAGCGGTTGTTACAGGACCGCCCACCCCCCTCCGAATCCGAACCCGTGAGGTATTTTTTTTCACAAGCACCCAATGAGAGGCAGACTTGGCCGCGGTGATGGAGAGCCGTCGAAGCTGGGCAGGTATCCGAGTTGATCTGGGTGGACTCACCGCGCCGTCGGGCCCCCTTGGTGACAGCTCATTGTCGCAGTCGCGCAATTTTCGGCGCTCGCGGTGCAGTGGTGGGACTCGTCCTGGCGCGGGAAGAGACGGATGGCGGACACATGAAACCGAATGCGAAGACAAACGAAGATGAACATGCCGTTCTGCGTTGGTTCACTGTTGTTGTGTTTTTGGCCAGACATGCGACGCGCTCAGGTCTTCGGGAGAAGCATCATCGATTCTAAAATTGGCGATCATGTCTGTTCTCAGACTGCCCAGGCCTTCCGTCAATGCGGACGGTGTAGGTGTTATGCAGAGGCGTTTTGCGTGCTACTCATATTTCTTGGGAGATGTGAAATCATTCCCAAAAGGAGGCGTGGTTTGTGCCATCTCGGCCCCACGGTGGCGATGGCATCAATCGTGTTTGCGACCCCGTGGTAGGTCAGAAACACAGCTAACTTAACTGATCACAAGCAGTAAATGGGCCGCCATCTCCAAGAATACAAGAGATAGACGACGGCGATCCGTTCCACGTCGGGGGCCGAAAAGAGAGAAACCCAAGAAAGAGACGTGTCATTCCGCTTGCCGATGAAATCCTGCCAGGGGCCGCCGTTGTTCACTCTTCCCGCGCCGATGCTTGGAATATTCTTGGCCTGCAGCCCACCTATGGACACGTGATTGACACACCGATCGTTGAGCGACATCACACCAGAGGTCAGAGGAGAAACGCAAGCAAGGGCAGCGGAATGACCTGTTCATATTTGGGAGACTGTAGAAACGGAAGGTATCTGGTATCAAAAGAATCGCATCACGGCTTTAGCAGGTTGAGCTTGGTGGTCCGAGACTGCTGATTCCCCGTCGTGAGTGAGTACGTGACGAGTCGGCGATTTTGACCAAGTACTCCCCGATATACATGAGCAGTAGGTAGGTACTGAGATTGTCAGTGTCATTTTGTGCCATTCGCCATTCAGTCACCGCGACTGTTTGCGTGGCTCTATTTCTACAAAAGCCCAGGCGTCTCAAAGCCTCGTGTCATGTGCTCGTACTCCTTCATGCTCGAAAAGGGCCGCTTGGGGCCGGGTTTGGTTGCATCTCAGCAATGCTATGTAGAACGTCACGATGATCGAGGCCACGCCTGCCCACCATCCCATGTACAAATGTCATGACGGTGACATTCCCCAGGCTGTCTGCTCAATCAAAACCAACTCTGGTTCTCCTTCTTTCCCTCTGGGGATCGTGCCCAGCTTGCCCCAGGCCAAAGTTATGCAGCCTCTCCCCAATAAGGTAGGCCTCATCTCGAATCCTGACCCTCCAGGATCGGAACACACCCAGCATACTCCGCAACATCGCCACACCAATAGCGCTCAGCAGCGCGGCGAAGAAACAGAAGCGGTGAACCAGAACCACCGCCGCGTCGTTGCTAGGGTCAATACCCGCAGCCATACCGTACGCGATGCACGCCCTCGCCAACAGTGGGGGCCCAAACACTGCTATGGTCCAGACTGATAGTCCCGGTACGACAAATGCGCGAGTGAGAACTTTGACGTCCGGCTCCAGCCAACCTCGCCTCAGCACGGCCCGAGTGGCAGCTGCAACACGGCTCTCGCGGTGCCAGGCGACGACGTATCGGGCGGCGAGCTTGAGGTAGATGACACCAATCGTCCAGGACTGCATCACGCGAACTGTGTGGCGAGGGTTTTGGACGCTGAGAAGAGTGCTGTCGGTGGCTGCGTCCTTCGATACGACCGCCCCGTACATGTACGTGTCAAGGGGTATCAAGACATACAACTCCATCAGACTGGCAACCATGAGTGGGAACACGACCAGCAGGAAGAAGTACGCGTAGACGAGCTTCGCTGCACGTGTCGCAGCGGCGGCGGCGCGGTGGAGTGTTTCGCGTTGTAGGATGTGCGAGGTGGTGCTGGCCACCCGCTTCTTGGCCTTCTTGTAAATATCCTTGAGGTGGAACAAAAAGTATGCGGCAGAGCCGAGGATGTATATGCCGATGCTGAAGGCATAGATGTCGTTTGTGCGGATGCGGTCAGGGATGAGTGACCGGAACATCCAGCGCCCGAAAAGCAGGGGGATAATTGTGAACCCCAGGCCCGTTGCGGCGGCGAATATCCAGATGAAGAGGATGAACAGGAAGATGCGCAGTCGGAAGTTTGGTGGAACATAGACAAACTGGTACTGAGGAGTGGAATAAAGATCGACGCCCGGCTGCTCAACGCGATCCTGCCTCAAGTTACCCTCCGTCACGTCCAGGAAGACCCTTTGGCCCTTGGGTATCTTCACTTGATCTGAGGCTGGAGCTCGCACGAAACGTCCATCCGGAATGAGCTGGCGGGTGCGCACTAGAGCGGCCTTCCTTGCGTTGGTGTCTTCCAGCTCCTGAGGGCTGAGCGGCAGGGCGGGCTTCGCTTTCCCACCTTCAAAGGTTCCTTTCCATGTCTTTGGTATGACTTTGCTGCCCTCAACTTCCAAGAACATTCTCTTCCAGACCGGTAAGGCCTGGTCTTCATTTGGCGGAAGCATTTGGATTCTTCCTTCTTCGTCAAGTTTTCTCTCGCCAAACAAGAACCATGTCAGGCGTAAGGTGCGGGCCAATTTGCGGAACCACCAGGTGTACATCGCGTGAAGCCCGTCGCTTGGCTTGAAGAATTTGACAGCGAGGGGCATTAAAAAATTGTAGAACAACAAGTCGATCGGAAATTCCAGGACAGGCTCGTTTGAGGAATAGTGGATGGGAAGTACGTTTTGGAACCCGTATGACAGAGCCCACACGACACCTCCAAGGCAGACGATAACTAGCGCGCCATACACAAAAGCAGAGAACAAGATCTTCCGCAGTTGGGTGGTCACGTTTCGCTCCAGAACATCTCGGACGGGATGGAACTCGGCATCATCAGGGTCGCGGATGAAGTCTGTCACAGCGTAAGTAAAAGTCTGTGCAGGGAACACATGATTGAGGCAACGTGAACTTACACAGCACACCCTTGCGCATTATCTTGCGGCACATGGACACGAACAGAGCAAAGTGGAACATGTACCCTGTGCCGACAAACCAATGCACAAAGATGGAAGTCAGAGGGTAGTTGACCGTGAACATCACACGGGACATGATCGTCGTGTTCTCGAACAACGGCAATAGCCCGATGTCCAGCAGTAGCCCGCAATACAGCGGGAAGACGAGCATCTCGATCCCGATGATGAGAATGACCTTCATGACGCCACTTGCCTGGTTCAATACATCTATCAGGGTAGCTTCCCACTCTTGCCCAACCCGCCCGGGGGATATGGGCCCGCCGCGACCTAGGTAAAGTGCGGCGGACAAGGACAACGCAACATATCCGCCCAGGATGGCCCAGACTCGGTCCATGGCGCTCCAAGACGCAAGTTCGGCTTTCAGAGGCAGCGGATTTTCAGAGCCACCAAGATCGATGACCCACGATGTCGGATCCAACACAAGACCAGGAAGTTCGCCCAAGCCTTGCCATACCGTCGTGGCAGCGATCGTGGCCCACGAGCCTAACTCGGCAGCCTTGGATGAATAGTCACCCCCAAAGAGGAACATCATCGACTTCCCGAGCGCCGTGAAAACAAGTGTCACCTGGCTCTTTAGGGTTACCAAAGCCAGGTGACTGACTGTTGAGAAATTGCGGACCTCGTCGGCCGATATGAAAGGTAGGTCTGTCCACATGCTGTCGAGTAATCTCTGGAAAGCGTTCTCGGTCATGTTCCACGAGCCTTGCATCGAATGGCTGATCATCTCTGGTCGCGTCGCACTAGGTTTGATGAGAGAGAAGAGCGTGTCTATAGCGCCAAATGATAGAGTGGACGCGAGTCCCACCAAGAGTAGTGCTGTGTCTTGCACCAACTTGGATAGGCTGAAGAGAATCCGAACAGGTCGGGCCGGGTTGGCGACCAACCAGATGGCGAGGCGCCCTAGGTTGTACGGCAGGAACACACCCAGGAAGAGTGTGATGGAGACCAGAAACGCGCAAAACAAGGCATTCTGGAACAGACCGGCAATGGGGCCACGCATCCCGAGGAGTTCGAGAATTCCCTCCAAGTCCTCAGCGTCTTCAATGGCCTCGGCTTCTGCATCGATCCCTGCGGCGGCGGCGGCCGCTGCCACTTCTTGGTCCTGCTCTTGGTCCTGGAGCTCTGGCAGGGGTTCCTGTGCGATTGCAACGGCTGCATCTTGGTCGTGGTCGAAGAACTCATCGGCAGCATCCGGCAAGGGTGGAAGCTCGTGGGCAGGGATTGCTTCGACGTCACGCCACATAAAGTCGGCAAGGCGTCGTGCGAGCCCATCCGCCTGAGGTGGTTCCTGGGCTATTTCTCCAATGTCCTCTGCATCTTCATTTGGTCGCACTTCAAACGGCTCATTGAAGTCCGGGAGGGCTTCCCACTCCATTGATTGACGAGTTTCCATTGCTGGATCTAAGATGCGTGCGTGTTCAGGATCCAGCTCGTTTGCAGGGACATCATCGACCTCGGAGGATCCCGGCGTCCGGCCGTGGGAGCTCGAAGGCGCACTTTCCGCCAAGGTGCTTGATGGTGGCGTTGCAAACGCCCAGGGTTGCGAAGCCGAGCCATTTCCTTCAGGAGGCGTCCTGTGGGATGAAACCATTCCCAAAGTAGGTGACTGTTGAGGATCTGCGCGCGAAGACTCCAGACGAGCATCCGGCCACGACCAATTATTATTGCCCAGGGGGTTGACGCCTCCGACTCTTTGCGGTCCATCCGTGGCAGATCGAGGCCTGGACATGTGGCTCTGTTCACCCGTGACATCCGATGACCCATTAGTCAGTGGCATCTTGCCTTTGCCAGAATGCCCGTCCTCTTGTGCGTCTTCTGTCCACGTCCACTCTGGCTCCGATCCCCACTCTGCCATCTGACTGGATGATTCCTCTTCCTCCGCATGAATTTCCGGTCGCTTCCGGTTGATCTGGGATTGAGTAAGTTGAACAAAGTAAGCAAGCCGGTCTTCGAGGTTCTCTTGGCGAATAATATTGATGATCGTTTCTGGGTCTCCCGCAGCCGCGCGGTGAATCCTCACATATTCGTCCACGGTGCTTCTTCCAACCTCGGCTACACGGGCATCCGGCGTACTGGGAAGGGCTGCTAAAGTCGTTTGCGTGCTCATGCTGTGCTGTGAGGTTTCTTCCAGGGGGGTGTCCGGGGTTGTTGTCGCAGCCCGTGCAAGGGTCTGACCATCGCCTGCTGGATGAAGACGGGGCTCCCCGACACGCGCCCAGGCGACGGGCACCTCTTCCTCGTTCCCATCAAGTGTTCCGTCCAACTCGAACTCTATGTCTTGCGCCTCGGGGCCGCGAAGCCTGTCGATATCTTCTGGGCGCAACCCATCTCTGGGGTCAGGCATATCCGCAGCTGGTGCGACATTCTCCTGGGGCGCGGCATTCTCTGCGGCAGCAAAGGCAGCTCGCATGTTCAGGTCTGGCTGCTGTTGGACGACGTAGTCCCGGACCAGGATAATCAAGATGAAGCAGATAATCACCAGTACGGTGATGATTTGTCCCTCGAGAATGTCGATCGCAAAACTGCCGAGCGCCGGCGAGGACGCGGAGATTTTCTGGAGAAACCTGACTTCGCTCAGAAGCGTGGGCTGGTGGGCAACGGTCGCGAGGGTGGTGTTCTGCAAGTTGGCTGACGTGTTGCCGCGAGACGCTGTGCCACCGATGTAGAATGTCCCCAAGAACATGTTGAGAAGAATGTTGGATAGCGGGTTGTCGGACGTGATGTTGATGCCGTAGAGAGTTGTAGTTGTCATGGCAGTGCTGCTCCGAGGGATATGGCTCATGAAGGCCTGGAGCGAGGCTGCGGTTGTCGTCGCCGCATGCAAGGGGCTTGATGGGCACGTAGCCGCACCGGCCGTCGACCCAGAACTCTCGCGCAGGACACTGCTGGCGTCTGACCTCCCAAAAACAGGGCCCAATCCCTCGTCGCTAAGCCAGAACAGCGCAGACCAGACTCTCCTCATGAGGTAGGGAAGCCAGACCAGCCATACCATCAGAACCAAGCCACCGCGAGCCCAAACCATCATATTACGGAACAGGTACTTTGCAATGTGGCTGATAAAGACGTAGAAGGGGACGGTCTTGGGCATGTTCGGGGCGTATAATTTAGTGAACCGGAAGGGCGTCTTGCACAGCTCGCAGTGCTTCTTTTGGGAGTGGGAGAGCCATTCCATCAGGCAGTCCTGGTGGACGTACTTGATGCTGCCACTGCATTTGCAAGGGTAGAAGAGCGGCTCGTCTGGCATGGCCTCGCCTCTACATATTCGGCAGGTGTCGGGATCGGATTGTGAGGTGGCATCTTGGGCAGGGGCGTGCGCGTGCCCGGAGCCGGAGCCGGAGCCGGAGCCGGAGGGGGTGCGCCTCAGCAGGGCATCGGGCTCTGGGTCGCCTGTTGAGACCCGGCGGCGCCTAGGTTCGGCCTGCAAAGGCTCGAATGTGTGGTGTTGATCCATGTTGTGCGATGGTAAGCTTGGTTGGGGCAGTGCCCCTCGGGAGCGATGTGGCTACGGGAGGTTCATGTGAAGTCCCGGCAATAGTCTTTGTGCGGATCGTCTTGTTCGGATTTCGAAGGCGTCGTCTAGGATGCGCAGCGACAGTCCCAGAAGGATGTACAGGCGGACGAGTGCCGTCGATGGCCGGTGGGCCAGAGGGTCGAAGGGTCGGAGGGTCGTTGAGATGTTGGGGTGGCCAAAATGCGGCGGCGGAGAAATCGTGACAAATTGGCTGACGTCCGTAGGTAATAAACGCAGGGATCGCTCGGAAGTCTTAGGACTTGCTCTGGGGGGATTAGGGCATCGATGTGTCCTGCAAGGAGCACAGCATCAACGGCTCGTAGGTATGCGGGCGGATGGCTGAGTATGGTGCCGCAGGCGATGGATTGAGAGGAAAGGATGATTGACCAACCGACTGATGTCGAAATGCTGACGGTCCGGTGTGCTGTGTGGTACGGAGTACAAGTGCAGCAGGCGGACCGCGGAAGGAGGCAGGGGAGGGTGAGAGGCGCAGGGGTCTGGACGGCCTAGATCTTAAGTCCGACACTGAGGGGAGCTTATCGATAGTTGGGGTATCAGGTGGGACCGACCCAAGCACCTAGCACCAACTGATAAGTACGTACCTAGGTACCTAGGTACTGGGGCACTTATACTTAGTCTACCTGTCTACCGTCTACCTGGGTTGGAGAATAGCAACCATGGAACATAGCAATCACATGGGAGAAACAGCTGCCAAAAGTACATCCATGTAATGCCTAGGTGATATAGATATATTGCACGTACTTGGTGGGATATACCACAGTCGGCCGCACACATGAAACGGTAGAGCTACATAGTATTCCTGTCGGCGAAGCTGGCAGGCCGGCAGCCGTTGATGCTGCAAGGCCAAGCCGCCTGTGCTCACTCCTTCAACAGACCAGCACTGGGCCGCAAACAGCCGGAGCCAACTCGAAGAACAAGCTGATGACGTCGGGGAGGATGTTGGGATGCTGGCAGGGTTGTACCGGACGGTTCCAGCGGTCTCCTTCAGCTTGCTGACTGCCTGCTGGTGCTGGTCTGCCAGATGCCTGGCCTTATCTGCATATGGCACTTGTTGCGCTAGAGCAGCAAAGTCTGGAAAATCTTGGACATGTGGCTTGGCACACACCATCGCCGGGTGTGCAATTGCACCTACGTACTGTGAATCGATCGATGTGGTGTTATCCCGGGCAGGTACTTACTTAGCCTACACAGACACACAGGTGGAAGAAGGCAGACACGATAGCAATAATAATAATAATATCCACTTGGTCTCTCTCCTGCACCTTTTTCTTACTCGGACTGTTGGTTGCACGCCAGGTCAGGCCAGTCCTGTTCCACTACCCTACCGAGGCGCCACTGACGTTCGAGCTCCCCCTGCTGCAGCAAGCTTGTTTTGCTGCAAAGGCCCCTGCACCTTGCAAATTGCCCAACCAGCAAAACCTCCGTTGTCCGGGTTCATTCGACTCGGCTTCCTCACGTCTTTGTCTCGCACCATCCTCTCCTCAGCCTCAGCCTCAGCACCCTGACACCTGCTGCACGCTGCTTGGACACGTCGTCCCTCCATATTGGTTTCTGGTCTCATGCAAAAATTTACTGACTTTGCATCGTGGTCCTCGCTTCGAGACATCCCCACAACGTGGCCCGGACAGGCCAGCCTGACTCGGAACCTCACTGCACTCACTGTCTCGTGATTGTTCGGTCCCCTCCCGCCCGATCCCCGGCCGTGGTCCGCTGCTGATTGCAGCCTCGCTGCCATGGAGCACGCAAATGGCTCCCCCAACGGCTACGCCAAGACGAAGAAGGGGCTCAACGGCGTGAATGGCCTGAATGGCATGAATGGCTTCGGCTCCTCCATCACCACCCATGCTGCCACCCCCCAGAGGAGATCAACACCGAAGCCGCGGCGTGGCCGTCTCTCGTGGCTCTTCAGCGCGCTTGCTCGGTACGCTTGCCCTGCCCAGAGCTGCGGCTCTGCCCTCACATACCGACTCCTGACTAGAACTAATCGCTGACTGACGGCCCTGGCAGCCTGTTTACCTGGTATTCGATTCTGAGCATTCTCTTCCGGTGTCCGGCCACACTCGAGGAATGCACCGATGCCTCGCCCCGGATCTGCAAGCCGTACTTCCAGCTGAAGCATGCCGTCTCTCCCCATGTCGAGCCTTACTACCACACATACGCTGCCCCCTACGTCGAGCTGGCCAGGCCGTACTACGACACGGTTGACCAGAGGGTCCTGTCGCCCTCCTGGGCTTATGCCACCAAGTATGGATCCCCGCGCGTCGCCCAGGCCCAAGCATTTGGCAAGGAGAAATGGGACAAGAGCCTGCAGCCAGAGTTGGTCAAGTACCAAGCTCTGGCCCAGGCCAAATACGACCAGACTCTTGCTCCCCATGTCAACCAGCTGTCCTCGGCCGTCGCGCCGTACTACGAGGTCGCAAGGACCAACGCTCTGCAGACGTACCACGACTACCTCCTGCCAAGCTACGTCTTCGTACAGCCCTACGCGCAGCAGGGATACGCCGCCGCCTCTACATTCACTACTGAGACAGCTGTGCCCTCCGCTGTCTGGGCTTGGAACAAGACGCTTGTTTTCCTAGATGGCACCGTCTGGCCCCAGGTCCGCTCCCTCTACACGGAGAATGTCGAGCCTCAGCTTCTGAAGATCGGCCAGAGGCTCGGGCGTTACAACGGCAACAGCACCCAGAAGGCCACCGAGGCTGTCTCCAGGTATGTCGTGTGGTTTTCTTACATGTGCTGGGCCCCTTGACTAAGTGATGGCAGTAGCACCGCGGCAAAGGCAGACTCGACCTTGACGAAGCCAACATCAGCTGCATCGTCCGCGTCAGCCACGCCCGTATCCAGCGAGGCCACCACCTCGACAGTCGAGCAGAGTTCCCCGTCCGATGTCGCACCGCCCAGCTCAGAGGAGCTGGCAGCCAACAGCGAGGCGGCAGCATCAAAGACTAAGCTGGGTGGGGAGCAGATCCCTGCTCCGGATGTTGCCCCAAACGAAAGTGAGGTCCGCCGCATCGCACGTGAGACTGTCGCCGAGGACCTTAAAGCGTGGCAAGAGAAATATGCCAAGGCCGCTGACGAGGGGGCTGCTGAGATCGACGATCGCATCGAGGAGATAGCGAAACGCATGATCGAAAGACAGGCCAAGACGATGGGCAAGTCCCTGGTTGGGCAGCTGAAAGACACCGTCGACAAAGAGCTGGCAACATTGAAGGCTGAGATCCAGGGCATTGTCAGCAAAGTCAAGAGCGGCTCCCAGTCTCCCGAGGCTGGCCAGGAGAAGGTCACTGCTGCCGTGCGGAAGGCTGGGCTAGAAATCAAGGACAGGTCACAGGACATCCGTAACTGGAGAACAAACTATGAGACCGAGATCGAGATCAGCGTCACCAAATTCGCCGAAGATCATTTCAAGATCCTCGACAGCATTCGGGACCTGGCGCTGCAAAAGATTGGCATGAAGTGGGCCTGGATGGATGGTGTCACCTACAAGGATTGGGCCAAATATCATCAGCTCAGGGAACGCTTCGACGAGTGGCAGACCGAGCTCAAGAACCTCATCACTTCCCACCCCCAATTGGAGTCTGCCCAGAACGAGGGGCTAGCTGTTGAAGGCCAGGCTATGGAACTGGCCCAATCGGCGGCCAAGGAACTTGCAAGCCTAAAGCAGGTTGCTGGTTTCAAGATCATTGCCCTCGATGACTCGGACGAGTTCGACCCCGAAGTCACGCGGACAGCTGCTGAGGAAGCAGAAAAGGCGGCAGCTGCACATGAAGTCGAAGCTGAGGCTGAAAGTCCTGCGGAAGAGCCCATCCTTGTGGGGGACGAGACACCCGCCGGAGATGAGGAAACGGCCACTAAGCTCCAAGAGAGCGCATCCACTGCAGCTGAAAAAGTTGAGTCCGTAGCGAGCGGAGTTTCGGAGTCGGCGACAAGCGTTGTCCAGGAGGCATCCGCATCAATCCTTCCGATTTACGAAAGCGACGAGCCCGAGATTGCCGAGGCCTCAAGCGCCATCTTGGAAGAGACCCCAGTCTTCGCCGGAAATACCACCGAGGCAACTGAAGCTGCCCAACCTGAGGACCCTGGGACTGCTCATGTGCCCATTGACGAAGTGGCCGAGCCTGTCGAAGCCGAGGTGTCGGCCGTTGAAGAGCCCAAGACTCCATCAGCGACTGACACTGTCAAACCTGCCTTTTTGGGAGCTGCTGCCCAGTCGGTGCCCAGTCGTCAGCCGATTTTGGATGACGACAGCTTCGAGGCTGCCGGCAGTGTTATATCAGCGATCCAGTCTGATATCCCTGCCACCATTTCATCAGCAGCCAGCTCAGCTTACTCTGCTGCTCTGGCTGGAGCTGCTCAACGTTATTCCGAGGCATTGTCACTGGCGTCCGCCCAGGTGGGCGCTACTCCCAAACCTGCTCATGAGAAGCTTCTCAGCTCAGTGACTGCCGCCTACAGCAATGCAGTCGCTGCTGCCAGCTCGCAGTTGGATGCTGCCCTCGGTGCGGCTCAGCATGGTCTCTTTGCTACTACGACCACAACTGCACTCCCCTCGATCCCCACCTTTGTGGACTGGGCCCACGTGGAGTCAATTGCGGCCTCCAGGCTGAACGAGGGAAGATCCTGGGCCGAGGCGCAGTATGAGAGCGCCAAAATTGCCATTGGTGCGGCAACCCCCACACCAACAGACATCTCGGGAACTGTCTCATCTGTAGCTTCTGTTGCCGGAGAATCCCTGTCTGCAGTCACCGCAGCCGCGGGTGTAAATGCTGAAAGGCTCCTGCAAAACGCGCAGTACAACTATTATGCCGGACTCGGAATCGCTCAAGCTCGATACTCCGACTTCCTGGCCGCCGCGTCGAGTGCTCTCAGCTCCATGACCGCGACGCCCACCCCGACAGACTTAGCCGGGACCCTATCATCTGCTGCCTCGGTCGCTAGCGAGTCTGCCGCATCGGTTGCTTCAGTGGCCCGCGAGAATGCTTCAGCAGCAGCTTCTGTAGCCAGCGAGAACGCCTCGGCGGCGGCGTCTGTAATGAGTGAGAACGTGAGCTCAGTCGTGGCCGCTGGCTACGAGAATATCGCTGCTGGCTACGAGAACGCTGCCTCGGCAGCCGAGGCCGCTGGCACATTCGCCCAAGAGAATTGGAACGCGGTCTTGGACCAGGTCAGCGTTCAGGTCTACGGAGCTGCGACCCCCACCCCCTGGTACGAGAGCCTGTACAATGCTGCAGGCGACTATATTAGCTCTGCCACCGAGGCAGTCGGAGGCAGCGCGGACACCGTCACCAGTGCGGCAGGGTCTTACGCGACCGTTGCTTCAGAGGAAGCTTCAAAGCAGTATGTAATGGTCAGCAGCATTGTGTCCGAACTGCTTGTTGGCAAAGAGCCAACCTTCAGCGAGAGCGTCTACTCTCGACTCGCTGCGGCTTACTCTGGAGCTGCAGACAGCGCAAGCAGCTTCGCAAGCGCGGCCTCCGAGACGGCTGCGAGCATAGCTACAGAGGTAACTGAGGAAGTGAAGCAGGCAACAGAGTATGTGAAGGACGAGTTGTAGATGTAGCGAACGATGTCACCAGGTCATTGATGCAACAACACTGATGCCGCGAACCACATCACAAGGAAGGCCCCAGACCAGGCACGTTGGCACGTTGGCACAAAAATGACGATACGATAGTAATGATGGGGACAATCGGATCAAGGGACAGCCAGTCCACACTGCAGGCGGCGATTACACACTGGCAGATGGAAACAACTGGTAAGGGGGAAAGAGAATATTCATGCGGGCTCAAGGAGACACTGTCACTTGCGCCAGAAGGGCAAGCTGTGCGCACAGCAGACTCTCGTTTGATTGTACCCGATATTCGTCACGACACGTCCCAAGATGAACAAGCTCATGCTTGCTGGCCCGAGATATCTGCCTGTCTTGGAGGCTGCTAGCATGCTGCTCTCTCCTTTGTTTCAGTCTTGCGAGCAACGCTATCGATGATTTCAATGGGCAGCTTTGTATATGTAAACGCTTGGGATACCGTTTTGAGTTAGGAGTTCAGAGAGAAATTGATTCAGTAGGGTTTCGATGGGAGATGATATCCTGAGGCCTGCGGGTCGGACTTGCGGGGAAGGAAGCGTTTTGCGTATCACCGGGTGCTGAGCAATTCGTTACCAACACTTATCTTTGCCAGTGGTACGATTTACAACGGACTTTGTGGAATACTCATATTGTTGCAGCGTGAGGTGCTTGATAGCCAAGCACGCCATCACGGGACTCGTTGACGACACAAGCTGGGGAATCTACACTCTACCCTTCAAACGTTAAGCCCGACATCGCCTTCAAGTGGGCTGTTGCTGTGAACTCTCTCACCCATGATGCCAGGTATATTTCTGTGTAGTCGGCATCTATCCAAATTGTCTGAGCCCGAGGTTTCATCAGTCTTGGCCACCTACCTGGGTATTATAAGCGACCGAACCGGGCTAGCATAAACTGCACTATTACAACACGTCCCCAGAAAGCCGAGTCTATTGATACCACGGTGAAGTAAACGCAGTCAACAATGGTAGCGGACAATACCCCAGCCAGACCATCCTCCCGGCCGATAAGGGTAGCAGTGGTCGGCGGCGGGCCCGGCGGATTGGCTACAGCCATTGCGCTCTCCAAAAACCCAAACGTCGAAGTCCACATTTATGAGAAAGACTTGGTTCTTCGTGAAGTTGGTGCCGGCATCAACATCGGTCCCAACTCTTGGAACGTGCTCGAGCTTCTGGGAGTCGCAGATTCGCTTGTAAGCGGACACCCAAGCAATGTGGTGCTGAACATGTGAGTGTATCTTCCCTCAGCTTGGCAGGCTGCTTATGGTCTGCAGAACATACCGGACTGACGATGTCTCCAGGAATGGCCGAACGGGATCACAACTTCACCGGATGGAACGGCCGGTGGACTGCGAGTGGCCTTCTGGGAACTGGAAGTCGAGACCGACGATCCGGACGCAGAGGACCAAGCTCCAATCTGCCCTGTTGGCACACGTGCCTCCCGGAGTGGTCCGACTTTCAAAGAAGCTGGAAAAAATCACAGATGTGGGCGACAAGGGTGTCGAGTTACAGTTCACTGATGGCACGATCGAGACTGCGGACTTGGTCGTCGGCGCAGACGGGATCCGTTCAGTACGTTGTGGCTCTCTCTGCAAGCACACTCATCTTCAAGCAGACTCTTGGGGTCCGCGGCTGACGCGTGCGGAAACAGGTCGTCCGAGACTGTGCATGGCCCGACTACAAGATTGCCTTTACAGGCACAACAATTTGGCGAGCGATACTGCCGCTCAGGGACCTCACAGACCAAGATGCCCGCTTCGGTATCACAGGTTGGTGGCACCTGCCCACCTCACATGTGTATTTCTCCCCCGTCGGCGAGGGGCTCGGCGAGATAGCCTCCCGCGAGTACCAGGATCCGGCGATCCACAGCGCGAGCAAGGTGGTCTGGGGCGTGCCCGTCACCAACAAGCATGTCGAGTCCCACTTCAAGGACTACCTGCCCTCGATCCGGGCTGCACTGACCAAAATCCCCGACGGCGCGTGGAGGGAGTTTGCCGCCTTTGCCGGACCGGAGCTGGCGTCCCTGACGGCTTGGGGAGGCAAAATCGTGCTGGTGGGGGATTCGTCGCATGCCCTCTCTGGTGCCTTTGGGTCCGGGGCTGGGTTCGCCATGGAGGATGGTTGGACTCTGGCCCAGGCCCTGAACCACCATGGTAATGATATTGGTAAGGCCGCAGCACTGTTTGACAGGATACGCGTACCGTACTACTCGCGCATGTACGAGTATCTCGGGAGCCAGGCGGCCAAGAGGGCTGAGAAGTTGAGAGAGCTGGAGGTCACGACGGCGGGCCTGACGGAGGAAGAAAGAGTCAAGGTCAAGGTCATTAAGGAGGGTGGCGACATGAGTTGGATTTACCAGAATCACATCGGCAAGGTTTGGGAGGCTGCTTTGGCGGAGCCAGAGGGAGATGGAAAGGGACTATAAGCCCCGGCGACGCATAGGGATGCCTGAACAAGTCTAGGAGGAACTTCCAACCAGTTGATATCCCCAGGCTTACTGCAACGTCGGCCTCGCGACATGCAGCCTGGATGGTGCAGATGGACAGGCCGAAGCTGTCACAAAGCACGCTCTGCTCTGCATACTGGGCGAGTGCTGACACCTGAGAAAGCAGGGGATCGCCTCGGTGAAGTACTAAGAGTGTTCGGCCTCTAGCTGGTTCTGCTGGCTTCGCTTTTCATCCCTATATGTCCGATGACATGCATGGCACCTTCATACGGTGGTAAGCGCTCAAGACCCAGCGCTTGAAAAAGACACAGTGTTGATAACTATGGTTATAATATGATAGGTGCTCTTAGATTATACATGTTTAAGTGCTAGTAGTAATACTTTGTCATAAAGCTAATTATATGAAGAATTTATTTTAATAATTTGCGAACTATTTGAGGCGCAACCTTTTGACAATCAATCACGAGCATGGCCAATTTCATGGACCGTCTGGGTATCGCCGCTCATCTCGTACACCGGACCAAAGCTTTGCTGACTCTGAAGCACTTCTCGTCCTAACAATTCCGGTGGCCTATGATAGACTCCCAACTCATGCGTTTCAGTCCACTTTTCCTGGTTCTTGTTCACATCGACAGAAGCCAAAGCATTGTACTGCGCTAAAGGACCGCGATCTGACACGGAATCGGCCGGCAACTCATGAGAATTTTCCCGCCTCCGTCGCCTACGCACCAGCACGAAAGCAGCAACCCCAACGGCAGCGAGCACAACGACAACTCCGCCCACTACGCCCCCGGCTATCGCTCCCGGGGACGTGTGCCTACTTGATCCTTGCGCCGTTGCTGCTGAACTTGCAGTAACCGTCGGCCCCGTGTCTGCGGCTCCGTCACTGCAGGACTTGGACTTGACCTTTGACTCAGAGACAATGGGAACCAGCTCGCTCTCCGTCGTTGCATTTGCTGCGGAGAGTGTGAATGAGTTGCTGTCATGGTTCACTGTAAGATAAGCCGAAGTGAAGAAGTACCGGCCCAACGTCGCTGGTTGCTTTCCAACGCCGTTGTACAAAAGTTCTCTGATAGAGTTGTTGTACACCCGGCTTCCGTTGTCGGCAATATCTATGTAGGGCGGGAGGAACTGGCTGTTCGGGACGCGGACGGCCAAGCCGCTTGACAAGATTATGGTTATATCGCCATCGTATCTACATGCAAAACACAACAGGATGGGTTAGGAAGGCGGAATGCTAGCGCGTGAGAGCAAAGGGGGAGGGAAGGGGAATGAAGACTCACGCATTATCCGCAAGGTATTGTCCGGCGGACCAATGGAGTCCATATGAGGCGTTTTGGTAGACCATGCCAGTTGCGTCCTCAAAGGCTTCACGTATGCTATTGGGTCCCTCCATGAGCAACTGACGTTGTGGGACAATGCAGACAGGCAGAGCATCCTCATATATGTTGAGATTGCTGCCATTGCTAAAGTTCAATTCAATTCCTGTAATTGTCACCTTCATGCCTGTCCAGCAACCAGTACCGTCATTGTCGCTGTAGTCCAGCGACTGGGTGTAGTTCTCGCCCACACTAAGCTTCGAATCGTAGCCTCCGAGCACAAGCGATCCATCAAGCCAGTCATCAACCCACATGCGGCCCCAGAAAAGGGACCACGAGAGGGACGCGATCTGACCGGCCTGTAATAGGCCGTTGAGAAAGGTTGAGTTCTTGCCCAGGCCCAGAGCGTGGATAGTAGTATACCCATGGTCCCAATTGAGTCTAGGAATTCCGATGGGAAACGAAGTCAGGTTTGTCGAGCCCAATTCAAAGACATCGTCGCCGTTGATGGACGAGGTGATTAGGCTGGGAATGCCCGTCTCAGCGCCCGAGTAGGTGGTTTCTTGAGTGGCGCCGCCGGCAGTCTGCATTGTAGTCGCTCTGGCGTATGTTGACGATGAGTTTTCGAAAAAGTAGTCGCCTCTCCTCACTCGACAGATAAGGTCGTTCCGGATAATAGTGTCATCACAATAGGGCTGATAGTCGTACACCCAGGTGTTGTTCAGCTCACTTCTTCACCGTCAGCGTGCCGATTGCCAGAATCGAGTTCCAAGCTTCCGCGTCCTCTTGCATAGGGGGTCTGTATAGAGATGTACGTACGGCCATGGAAGCATGAGGATGTCCTGAGGCGGAGTCCCCAGCTTGGTGCGCAGACCAATCATATAGGAATCTTCGACATCATCCAGAACTTTTGTATCCTGGAGAGGGATGGAAATAGCCGTGGCATCACAGCCGGTCGAGGCATGGGAGGGGGCAATGAAGGCGGACAGTAATACAATGATGCATAGCATCATGGGCCTAGCTCCCGCTTCGATGGCCCAAGTGGAAAAAGGGATGCAGTTCAGCAAGAGGAAGGATAGAGAATGTGCAGGCAAGACAAATCCAGAGTGAACACAGGGAGAACAAATGCAAGGAAGAGAGAAGAAACCGGGAGAGGGACGAGGCTGGAGAAACTGCAGATGTTGACTGCTAATGCGGCATAACCCTGGGCTTGTTGGTCGCTTCGCTTCAACGGATCAGCCCCGATGCAGGGTGGTGATTGTAGCCGCCCGTCTGTTGTAATTTTATCATGCACATCCTACCCCATCCATTTTAATCCCACGGCGGCTGAGAGCTTGGGCTATCCCCATAATTAAACAACAGACTGGGGGAGCATTCTGACAACGATTCGATCTGAATGAATCCGCCTACGATTGGTCATGCCTGGCTTTGCTCTTGACCTGGTTGATAATGAAGTTGCAAGTTCTTCCCTCTCAGGCTCCGATAAATGTGTAATTGAGATGAGAGGTGGACTTGAAAACATCATAGAAGAGTCGACGCCCAACTTTGGGGCCAGGGGAGAGATCTGAATACACCTGGGCAGCATTGCGCGGCTGAGACCCCATGAGGTGGGTATCGAATCCCTCCTCCCCTCCTCCCCGTCCGTTGGGATTGGCGATGAGACTTCCCAATTCTGCAGGTACGGAATATATTCTGGGAACCGCCAATTGGAATGGAGCTACTATGCCGAGTTTTGTGGGTAGACAGGGTAAGCGAATTCACAGGTCACATCTGTTGGTTGCAAACACCATTGAATCTAAGCAATTCCATTGGTGAGGGTTTCCCAACTGGCACAGTTCGGACCTACTCGAGTCAAGGAAATGTGGGCGCTGCCGAGGAGGTTGGAAGCCACATGCACTCCAGCGGGTCCACCTGGGCGCTTGCTGTGTGGTCCCCGTCTTTCAGTCTTCTCCTTCTCTGTTTTACCATGTGGCATGCAACGTCCTGCTTGCCAACATAGATCAAGCCGTGAAGCAGCGATCTTTTTATTGAAAACCAGAAAACGTTCGCCCATATTTATTGTTCAATCATAAAATCACTGTCTGCCAGCATCCCCGGACCATTCCCGACTCGGCCTTTCTTTACTGCAATTCACTTCTGCCAAGAACAAAGGCCCTATGCTGTGCACTCTCGTTACTTAGTACCTAGCACTAAGCTCAGCTCCTGCGTCTCATCGCATACTACCCACCCATGGGGGAGTCCGCCATGGCCGTTTTCCGCCTAACCAGATATTCCTCCTTCATTGCTCTGGCCCTGGTTATCGTGCTCCTTTGGCGAGGCATTTCTCCTGTCGCCTCCAGTTCCCGCCCCGCTCCTGTTTTCGCAGCAACGCGGGCCAGGATTCGGTTCACTCCTTCCAGCTTCAACTGGTCCTCTGCTAAGCAGTATCACCCAGTGTCTTCATACGCATCTCTGCCAAAGGGGAAACCAAAGACGCTTCCAGAAGTCCAGCATAGGTTCCCCGCCAAACACGGTGGCAGCGTAACCGAAGAGCGCAGGAAAGCTGTCCGTGATGTCTTTCTTCGCGCCTGGACGTCATATAAACAGCAAGCCTGGGGCTGGGATGAGTTGCAACCAGTCACAGGAGGAGGCAAGAACACTTTCGGCGGGTGGGCGGCCACTCTTGTGGATGCCCTTGACACTATGTGGATCATGGAGCTTTACGACGAATTTTACGAAGCCGCTGAGTACGCTGCTCAGATAGACTGGGCTAAGACGCCCGAGACAAGCGCCAATATGTTTGAGGTGAATAGACCCTGGCACTTTGATATGGTATCTACTTAGTACTGACCTTCCTCTTCAGACCACAATTCGTCATCTCGGCGGTTTGCTCAGCGCCTATGACCTAAGTCGCGAGCCAGCATTACTTGAAAAAGCTCAGGAGCTTGGCGAAATGCTCTACATGGCTTTCGATACCCCCAACCGAATGCCCGGCTTTTGGCTTGATTGGGAAAGCGCTCGATCAGGAAGACAAAATGCGGGCACCAACGACCCCAGTGCATCGCCTGCTTCTCTATCGCTCGAATTTACAAGGCTTGCACAGCTTACTGGCAGCGAAAAGTACTACGATGCCATCGAGCGCGTCCGGAAGTTTCTCGCCGAGAGTCAAGAGAGGTCCAAGCTACCGGGCATGTGGCCAAGAAATATCGACTTCCGCAATCAGGACGTTTCGAAGGATAACACCTTTACGTTGGGCGCTCTGGCCGATTCTCTCTATGAGTACTTGCCCAAAATGTTCCTACTGACCGGTGGGCTCGAGCCTGCATACGAGAGAATGTACGTCAGGGCCATAGACGTGGCCACCGAGCACATCATCTTCCGCCCTATGCTTCCCGATAACAAGGACATCCTATTTGCCGGTACAACCTATGTGAGCTCAGCGGGTGATATGCAATACCACGGTGAGGGTCAGCACCTGTCTTGCTTCGCTGGCGGTATGTATCTGCTGGGAGGTAAGATCTTCAGCCTTGAGGGGCATGTCGGAATCGGGGATCGCCTCACTCGTGGGTGTACCTGGGCGTATGATTCCTTCCCAACAGGCCTTATGCCTGAAATCTTCGACACGTTCAGGTGCTCGTCCAAAGAAAATTGCGACTGGGTTGCCGAACAATGGGAGAAAGAAGGTGACAAAAGGCTCCCTAAGGGGTTCAAAAGCGTTCACGACGCCAAGTACATCCTACGACCCGAGGCCATCGAGAGCGTGTTTTACCTTTATAGGATAACTGGACAGGAGGAACTGCGGGATATTGCTTGGAAGATGTTTGAGAGTATTATCAAGTCTACTGAGACAACTCTTGCATATTCAGCGATTTCGGACGTCACAGTCACTGGAGAAACCCAGAAGCAGAATTCTATGGAGGTGAGTACTAAGACCCAACGAGTCCGTGATTTGTTCTAACACAATTTCCAAAGAGCTTCTGGTTGGCTGAAACGCTTAAATATTTCTACCTGATATTTTGTCCCGAGGATACCATCAGTCTTGATGAATGGGTATTCAATACTGAGGCCCATCCCTTGAGACGCCCTAGGTGATTCTCTCTTAAACGGGATAGTTAGTATTGTTAATTATATTAAAGTAGCTTAGTAGCTGATGAGCAGTTTTGTGCACATTATAGCAGGTATCCAATTGTAAGCTACGTATGCTCCCTTGTCAAATTGCATTAATACCAGTTGACCAGAAGCACCAGTTGACCAGAAGCACCAGTTGACCACAAGCACCAGTTGACCACAAGCACCAGTTGACCAGAAGCACCAGTTGACCAGAAGCACCAGTTGACCAGAAGCATTATTACGTACAACGTCGAAGCGAAATCGAACATTTCAATTACTTAAGTATACACTGAACTTGCAATTAATACAAACCTCAAACCCAGCAAGTAATCCGGTATGTCTTCCCGAATAACGTGGTCACACAACCTACACCTCAGATCAATTCTGCACATCGCTCGCCTCCGACGAGGAGTCACGCACATTGATGAGAACATCGTGGTCACTCTCACTCGAATCGCCTGAGTCCTCCTCTCCATGCAGCTTCTCATCAGATCCTGCTGCAGGTGTCCTAATCACATGCTCGAGACTCCCATCATCCCTCAGCAAGATTTCCTCGTCCTCTTCCTTGGCCTCCTCCCACATCGCCCTCAGCATCTCGAGCTTGGACTCACCACCACGCGGCACAGCATCAAATGCAAACTTGACCGGCTTCGCGATCAGGAGCGGCGTAAAACTGTTCCAGTGAACGGGCATCTCCTCACCGGTAGCAGGGTCCCGCCGCTTCTGGATGTTGAACGCCCATGCCATGCCGCCCATGGTAAGGAACAGGTCCTGCTCGACGATAGGGATACCCTGGCAGGTTCGCCGGCCGAAACCAAATTGGGAGAAGCCGTTGAGGTTGGGGTGATGGGTGAGTGGCTCTCGGTAGGTTGGATATTCCTTGGAAAGCCAGCGGCCAGGGTTGAACATCTCGGGCTCTGGGTACACGCTTTCGTCGCGAGTGATGCCCCTATGAACAACAACAATGTTAGTTCTGCAAGCTCTGGTATTTGATCATATTGGGTAATTCTGCTCACCATTCCAGAGCATGGATCGTCGCTCCAGCCGGGATGAAATAACCGTTGTAAATGTCATCTTTCTCGGTAGCATGGGGAATCCCCGTGGGCACCGGTGGCCGCCATCGTATCACCTCTTTGACCACCGCCCTGAGAAGAGGAAGCTTCTCGCGATCTTCCCACTGCGGGCACCATCCCTCGCAGACAGTGTCAATCTCTTCTTGTAGTTTTGCCTGCCAGTTTGGGTAGTGGCACATGGCCAGGAGATAAGTCTGGACAGGGCTGCCGATTGTGAGTGCACCAGCAATGGCCATCAGGCCAACCGTATACATCGCCTCACCCTTGTCAGGAGCCATTGACTTCATACCGTCTTTCTCTTGCGGGCCGTTGGCTGTTCTCTCCTGGTCGTCCAGGAACGTTTTCGTGAAACTAGGCTTAGCATCTCCGGTCTGTCTTCCCCTCTCCACAAAGCCAACATTCATTTTAAAGAGCCGCTCTTCCAGCTCGTGTCTAGCACGCTCCTTTTGCTTCCAAGGGCTCATGAAAGCAGGGATGTGCGCCAGCCAGCTGATAACATTCGTCAGGGCGCCAGACGGTGAGATAGTCTCGAGGAGACCGAACGTTGTCTTTCGAAGAACCTTAGCAGGGTGCGGGCTGCCCCAGCCAAGGCGCGACACGGTCCGGCTGGTGAATTGCTCGATCCACTCTATGTAGTTATCACTGTCCTGGGACATGAGGTATAGGAACCTGTCTCGCTCCTGAGTGGGGTAGCCGTGGAGAGATGCTTGGGCACTGGTTCTCATAAGGTGATGGCAGAGCTTGCGCTGTCGCTTCCACGTTTCTGTTCTCCCAAGAAGCGCGAGGTAGTCACCGCTCGTACGGTTGTCAGGCAGGTTGGGGATGACGGGTCGGTCGGAGTAGACCGCGTTCCTCTTTGAAAGTAGGTCATGGGCAATCTTCTCATCTGAGATCCAGACATGAGAGGTTCCAAAGATCTTCATCTCATATATAGGCCCGTAAGTCTTGGACCACTCATAGAACTTGAGCCATGTCGCCTCTGGGGGAACATCGTGTATGCGACCAATGAAGGGAAGACCTGGTGGGTGGAGATGATGTTAGTCTGTCGTGGCACTCACGAGGACAAGCGGTGAGGACATCGCAAAGGCTTACCTTTCGGGCCAGGAAGTGGCTGGGCTCCCTTTGGAAGCTTTCGTCTCTTAATTGTGCCATACACTGCTTGGAAGACAGCTAGAATGAGAGCAGCAGCTAGAAAGAGAAGTGATACAAACATATTGAACGTGGTGTCAGCCACCTGTGACAAGGGCATTGATTAGGTGAATTTACGAATTAATTTGAAGATTCTCAAACATCACAAGTATTACGGAACGAAGGGTCGACATCTTCGGAAGATGAGGACTACTAATATTGTCTTCTCGGCACTCTGAAAGCACATGCTATCCCCGAGGTCCAGACGTCGCCTCTCGGCCTTCTCAACAGTTCCGGACATGCCATGGATGCCCGCCAAGCTCAAGACGAGGCGCTCATCACTCAGCTCGGCATTGCCTCCTTCTTTGGAGGTAAAAAAAGCCCCGGAGGGCAGATCAGAACGCCTCCTTGCCTCCTTAAACCAATGGTGCAAGCCTTGAGATGAGGGTAGACCGTCGCGGCACACAAAGCTGGAAACTGGAGTAGAACGGTTCAAGCCAAGCAGTGCTCTACGGACGGCACATCATTAACCACGCCGTAAGTGGCTGTCTTGGCTAGAAGGGAAGATCTGCTTTGATAATTCAATATTCCAGGCATAGCATGAGTTCGGGCTCCGGAAGACATGTACATACCTACCCAAGGTACCAGTGGAACCACATGGAAATTACACACCGAATCTCTCTCCGTTGTCCGATAATTATCACACGGCCGACCAGTTTCCCGGACCAAAGAGCATATCAAGCACGAACAATTAGCGGGCTTTGCTCATAGCGAATACTTTGCCACACGCATTTAACTATACCGGTAGATGCTTGTGCTGAATCAGCAACCGCAGTCTGCTATGCGCCAACTATTCAACGTCATGATTGAAGAGAACAGATCCAGCCTCTGCCGTGTGCTCGGATGAACAAACAGCCTTGGCTCTGACGGTCATATATGCTACAGTAAAAGACATAGAACCTTGCAGATCTTCACATGAATCCTCGATGTTGAAGTTTGCCGCGTGTGCTCTCAGCTCCTGTACTCTTTGAAGTCGGCATTGAGCCTCATCCTCATCAGCATGTACATACGCTGCGGCTTGTCACAGTCTGCACGTGGCAGGTGAGGGATGGCCCCTCTGCATCACTCAGAGCGTGAACGTTAGCGCAGAACACAAGGAAATCGGATATATACAAGAGTAGATATTTCCACAATCTACATTGCGTGCTACTATCGTGGATGGCTAAGCAATACTTCTGGAGTCTCGAGCAGAAGTTTCAGGCTCTTAGTATGTGGTCGTCATTGAGGCACCTGGATATTGCCGTACCTCAACGCGTCAAAGTGGCGCTGTGGACAGTGAAACAAGGGTGCAAGCCGGGGATCAAGGCACACGGCTAGACCCCGTGGAACAGCAGAACAGTGTCGGTGCACTTCGGTCTTGACATTCCCAAAGCGCCGGTCTCGGCGGCCCGGAGCGCCGGCAATTACCCAATGGCAGGACATAAGACGAGAAAAAAGGTTTGTTGTCCGTGGGCGTCACCCACGTCGCTGGAGTACTAGAGTAATCGAAACGGGTTCGAACCGACCGAACTCGATCCGAAATCCGGGATCGATTTGTGCATCTGCTTAGAACAATGCCATACTACAACCTTGATGCCCAAGAATCAGGGGAATCTACTTCAACACGCGCTTTTTCCAGCTGCTTGGCACCTCATAACACAAACCAGCCACCTACATTCGCTCCACTGGGGAAAGACCCAGCAGGCGCATGCCGTTGGCAATAACATGTCGAGCGGCATCGTACAGAGCCATGCGGGCCTTTTGCAACTCCGGCTCACTCCCCACAATCTTGAGGTGGTCGTACGAGGAGCTGAGCACGTGTGTCAGCTTGAAGAGGTAGATGACTACTGTCGTCGGCTCGAGCGTCTTCAGTGTGTTCTGTACCGCGTCAGGCCATTGACTCAGAACTCGGACCAGGTTGATGGCATGAGCCTCCGTAAGCAGCGAAAGATCCGCCTTCTCGAGCTCGTCAGCAGGGATTGCCGCCTTGCGCTCGATCGAGCAAAGACGGGCGTGGGCGTATTGGAGATATGGGCCTGTGTCACCCTCGAAGGACGTCATGGTCTCCATGTTGAATGTGTAGTTGTTGATCCTGTGACACGTGTTAACGCCGATACTACTTGGAGGCCACAGACGATTTCATCCACCTACCTCTTGCCAGTCATGTCCTGGATCATCACACTGCTTATTCCCAGGGTATCGGCTGTGGCTTCAGGGTTTTCGACTTGGGAGTACTTGTCGTCGTTCTTCTTCATGACCTCGTGCATCTTGTCACCAACATCCCGAAGGATATCGTCCAAGAACTTGACTGTTCCCTTGCGGGTGCTCATTCCCAGGACCATTCCAAAGTTGATGTGTTGGCACTTGTCCGCGATATCCTTGTGGCCACTGAGCTCTGTGATCTTGAAAAGCTGCTTGAAGTGTAGGTCTTGTTGCGAGGCGGCAACATAGATCATCTGGTCGAACTTGTACTTCTCATACCGGCCGAGCAGCTCGCTGATATCCCGGGTCAAGTAAAGCGCGGTGCCGTCCCGCTTCCGGATGATAGGGCGCTCAAGACGCTTGCCCTCCTTGCCTGGGATAAGGCTCGCGAAGTCGACAATCTTGGCGCCGTCCGACTCGGTCGAGATACCCATCTCCTCCAATCGCTTCGCGGCCTCCTCCATGGCCGCCTCAGACACCTGGCTTTCGCCTGAATAGCTGTCGTAGTGGATGTTCAGCCGGGCATAAGTCTTCTGGTATCGGACAATGCTGAGGTCTCTGAACCGTCGCCATTGTGCCAATGCCTTCTCGTCCCCTTCCACCATCTTCTTGAAATATTGGCGCGCCTGCTCGTCTGAGCTGGTCTTCTGGAGCTCGGCCGCCTCGTCCTCCTTGCCTGCGGCCTTCAGCTCCTTGATCTTATCTTCCTCGTCCTTGATCTCCTGGTTGATCTTGACGTAGATGTTGAACAGGTGGTTGATTGGATCCTTGTTCAGTGCCTCCTCATCACCGTACCGCTCGAAACCCAGAGCCAGCATTCCGTACTGTTTCCCCCAGTCGCCGAGGTAGTTGATCCGGATCACGTCCCAGCCGGCGCCCTCGTACAGGTTCGCGATGAAACCTCCGATGATTGTACTCCGCAGATGGCCAGCATGGAACGGCTTGGCGATGTTAGGGGAGGAGAACTCGACGATGATGCGTTTCCGCTCATTGGGGTTCTTGGGGTCACGCAGACCCTGGGCTGGGTTCTTTCCAAAGTCCTTTCCAAGGGACCGGATCATTGGCACGACGGCTTTCGCGAGAGGCTGAGGCTTGAAGAAGAAGGACATGAAGTATCCTGTGATGACTGGCTTCTCGACCAGGGGATCGTCTGCAGGGAACTGTTTGCGAGCTGGCATTAGTAACAAGCCGGGCTGCCTGAGAGCATCATGGTGGCAGACCGACCTTCTCCTCCCACTCCTTGACGAGCTCATCTGGCTTCTTGCCCCGAACGCGGAGGGCGGGCGCCGCGACGATCAAGTCGCCCTTGTCGAGACCTTGGGTCCATTGTATCGCGGGGTAGATGATCTTTGGGTCGACGCCCGTGACCTCGTGGAGCACGTTTGTCAGGTGCGCCCGGTAAACGTCGACGGGGTTCGTCTCGGGGTAGCAATTGGGGAACTTTTCGCGGATGGTGTCAAGGGAGAGGCTGGAGGTGAGCTTAACGAGCTCGTCGATTCCGGTCGCCATGGTGAGTGTGCCGTTCTGGAGAAGTGGGTGAGTGGGAGACACAGAGGCGAGGCCGCGGTTGGAACTTTTTGCAGGTGTAATAGCAAGCAAACGACGAGGAGTCGAGGCAGAGGTGGGGTTCAATGTGCAGAAGGAGGGGTCCTTGAATCGCAACAGACGAGCAGGCGAGACCACCCTTGGAAAGTTTGCAATGCGCAACGAGTTGGGAGAAATGCTAGAGCTTGTCAACAGTGGACGGAAGGCATTCATACCTTCTCTTTGTATGCCACCAATATGAATCAGTCTCGTAGTCTATTAGTCCACTGCAGGGAGCCTCTCCCAGACTGTGACTCAACCCTGCCCAAAATTTGTCCACGGGCTTCACCAGCCCACCCGAGCGCTTATCGATAGAGCAGCCCCAAACCCTGACATTTGATTCTTTTTCAGGGTCAAGAGCGGAGACAACATTTGTACAGTGCCTAGGTGCTTACTGCTGTAAGGTTTCCCTGATTGCCAACCAGTAAGACCCGTCCACACAGTACTCGTTTCCTTTCTACGGTTTTCATACGGACATTCCTACATCAAGCCACTGTTGGCACATCCATACCTCCCTAGGTGTGTGTGCAATGTTGCCGGGCATCTGTCAATTGTTTCTTGACACATCCCGCAATTTATTATCTAAGCACGTACTGTATTCTCTTTTCACTGTCATTGGCACTGTATTTCTTCAAACGCTGGGTCTTGAGTGTTTACCACTATATGAAGGCGCCATATACATTTCATATGTATGGGGATTAAAAACGAAACCACTTATTATCTTAAGGTTGCCTTGTGCTTAATTGTATTAAGTGTTGTTTGGGCCATCGAATTACATTAGACCCTGCATAGCCCATTTGTCATTGCAATTATTTACATGAGACTCTCGTATATATACCCTCAGAAGCAATACTCTTCAACATGAAGATGGATACCCTGCGCCCCAGTGCCCTTATGCACAGCACGCTCATCACTCAGGCTCGCAACACAATTCCTCGCCCTCGCCACCAGTGACTTGCCCCCACATACGACCACTGATGTTTCTCCCCCCGTGGCCTCAACCGGGTCTCTTATGAAATCCTCAATGTTCGGCCGCGAGGACGACTGGTGCACGTGGGAGTCGGTGCTCGCCGAGCTGCCGCGCCTGCCGACCTGGGCAGCGTGTTTCTCGATGTCCACGGTTCCCACTTCCGACTTGTTGACGCTCCCCCGATTCGAAGGCGATGGTGCTATTGATGACGACGACGTCACACCCTCCCTGGTGTCGCCGGTGTCTGTCCTCTTTGTCAAGGTTGGGACCGGTGGCCCTTGGGTGACGTGGATGTGCACTCTCAGCTCGATTCCCATGTCCGCTGCCTTTTCGATCATCTCGTGTAGACGTTGGATGTAATAGTCGATCTCATCGCCCTTCTTGGCTGCAAGGAGGAAGTCTATGCGGCGTGTGCAGAGCGACCTTTCCTTGGAAAGCAGCACGCTCTCCAGAATGGGAAGAGTGAAGCTTGCACCGGTTGATGCTGAGATGAGGACCAGTGTCTCGAATATGTCCCAACGAGGCGGCAGACCATATGGACCCGTCACAAATGCTGTCAGGTCTTCCTTCTTACCTGAAGCATGCATCTTCATCGCATGATTGTGCAGTCTCCGGGAGAAACCCTTGTGCTTCCGCACGACCAGCTGGACACTGTTGCAGATACATGTGCCAGGCAGTGGATGTGCAGAAGCAATAGTGTATGGGTGGTGGTCGGACATGCCAATTTTCGGCATCCAGAGGTACAGGTGCTGGCCAGCCCGCCACGAGAAATGGACGTCCTTGACAGTGACAACTGTGATATCTTCTCCCACCGCGGAAATCTGCGCCTGATGACCGACCCTCTGTCCGCCCTTGCACTGGGATCGGTTCGGCCGGAGCTTGACATTCTGCCACACGAGCAAGACACTACGGTAGAAGCGGTCGAAGCACAGAGCAGCGATAGCGAACCACACATTGTATTGCGCATAGGCCGGCACATGGACATAAATGACGTATAGGAAAATGATCCACGTCAACATGTGCTGCGCAATGAACAATTCGTAGTTCCAATGGCGAAGCGGTGACATGCCTGAGACATTTGCCCACAGCAGCAGACCCCAAGCCGCAAATCCGTATTTAATCATAGGCATCATCTGGAGCATGTAGGATGTGAGACCCGCCTGTTGATATTCGGTCCAAAAGTGAAAGCCGTGTATGGTGGCCGTGGCAAACATCGTGCGGGCGACCCATCGGTGCAGCCAGTTGAGCCTCTCGTAGCTGCTTCCAGCGATGACACCAAGGATGCTGCTTTTGGAAGCCAGAAGGTAGAGGAACGGAATTTGCGTCACAGTGACCCAAGCGTTGCGGAAGCCGATGCGCTCCCAGAAATAGGCGTCTTTGACGATGGCCCCAGCTGTTGCCATATAGATAACCACGGCCCAGTACACCAGTAGTACCAGTATCCGACCCATTGGCGGCGGCGTCATCCATGACATGTATCGAGTGGGAACATAGAATTGGGGATAGCTGGCCTCACGACCGATCGCCGTTGCGGTTGCCCAGGCGCGGGACAATGGGCCTGATGGTTTCGTGGGGAACTGGACCGAAGATGAAGAACACCTTTGCAATCTTGTATGTGTCAACAGAGTCTGCGCTTCTGACATGAAGCCGTTTCAAAGGACTGACCTTGTTCGTCTTTGCAGGAAACTGCCAACACGCACAGCAACACAGAGGCCCAAAACACCAACAATCAGATACCAGTACGCCTGCGCAAGGCCCATGTTGTCGGCCTGGAACATACCCGTCCCCATCCCCATCCCGCTCATACTCATACCCATTCCTGACATGTCCATCCTGCCTGTATTCAAAGCAGAAGGTGGCCGCGCTTAGAAGGTGAGAGATCGATCAGGATGTTTGGTCTGTTAACAAAGAAGAGCCCATGAGATGCCAATAAGAGTGTCTGAGAGTCGAATGTCTGTACCAGCCAAGACAAGGAATTTCCAGACTCTCAGGGGATTCCGTGTTGCAAAGCCAAGACTTCCGAGGGAGAGCCAGCCGGCTTTAGACAGATGTTTGCAGACAGAATGACCACGTGCCGGGGACATCCAGCTGAGTGAATGAGCATGAAAGTGCGCAACTTCGTCACGACATGGCCCACGAATAACGTTCGGAGCTTGAGGAACACAAAGCTTCCGAGAACCGACAGGGTGAGTCTGATTAGTGGAACAGGGTGTGACTCCCCCAAAAGAAGATGGAAAAAAATCAAATAAACAGGGACTTCACCATCAATGATGTGAGAGAGGTTGAATGCTAGTCGTCAAGGCTGGCGAGGTGCTGGCGAACGTGTAAGGCTCCGGTGTAAGTGTGAAAGCGAGAGTGGATACTTGGTGGCGTGTGAGCGACGGAAGCCTGCAGCACACCACTCCGAAACGAAGGGGGAAACTTGCTCAGTCGCTCGACACTGCCCAAGGTGAAGCTACCGGATACGCTTGCAGGTGGTTCAGCATGAGCGTTCTGCACTATTTAGCATTCGGGCAGAGGCTACTGGGTTGATCGGCACGTTGCAAACTTCATCTGAGCACCGACTAACTGGCCTGCTGTGTCAGTCTTATTTGGTTTCCCATCCCGAGTGAGTTCATCATGGTTGCGTGAGAGTCAGCCGGTCAGCAGACATGCCCGGCCAGCAACTGCACCAGGCACTGTCCAGCTACGCTGTAAGCTTCCAGGGGCCAACTCTTGCGCTGGTGAGACTCAGACCCCGAGTGTGATTCGAAATGAGTTGGGTTTGGCTGGATAGCCAAGCAGAAACATGCTCAAGTGGTCGAGGCCTTGTCCCTGTCGGCGCACGGTTGTGGCGCCGGCCTTCAGACGTGCAGCGACAAAAGCTCGACACTTTAACCCCAGATGGTCTAGACATTGAGCAAGTATCTGTGCGACTAGGCATTCTCCAAGCCGTCAGTTACCTATGGGCACCAAGATGAAGGAGCAGGAGATGCCTCGATAGGATCTTACACAATACAAGTGTGTTGGCCGGCTTGCTTGCTTTCGTCGCCAAATCAAACCCAGAGCTTACCTGGTGCTGGCATCACAGCGATCGTAGACTTGGGCAAAGTTGGAAACAATGTCCAAGAGATGTTACTCTCAGAAGCCAAAGAAGACATGGATAATTAATTGCATGCAGATACGGCTGGCTGCGAATTGGAGCTCGGGACGCGGTGCCGAGCCAGCTCCATGTGGCATCCATCAGACAGCCCCCGAGTTTCGAAACATTTAGAGGCAGTCGTGGAACCCAGGCCGATATTCAAAATTACATGGATACATACATATCCAGGGTCGCGGGGCAGTTGGCGTGGTCCCAGTGAGGTGGTCCACCGGAGAGCACGTTTGAGGTGGACCCCTACCTAAACGCCCTCACCTGCTCACGGCCTGACATGCCCCATCAGTGTGTACCAGCGAAGATGAAAGACGGCTTGTGGCTCCCAAAATGTGCTCAGTGTTTCACTCTCACCTCAACCTTCTCATCCGATCCTCATGGCTGGGATATTCTCCCAAATTGATGTGGGTCCACATCTTGACTTTGGTGTAAGCTTAAACCGAGACACGCGAGAAGCGTACCAAGTAGGTATCTAGGTACCCCACGTTCACTCTAGAACCCCTACCAACGATCCACCACGCTGTCGATCTTGACATGTCCTCGCCCCTGGAAAGTCGCTTGTGGGCATTGGCATCCGAGACCCGTCCGTTGACGTTTCCACCCTGGCTTGAGCCCTACCTTGGCGCCAGCACCAGCCCATGCACGATAGCTCTCCTAGCTCTGCGGACCACCTCGAGCTCTGCCTGTTGGATTTATAGCTCGGCAAGCCCAGCACCGTCGTGGGCTGGAAAATGTGACCCATCGAGATCTTCTCTTATCTTGGTAAACAAGATTTAATTCACCCTTGCTTTATAATTCCACGTTCACCCAGAACCGAGCCAGTCTCAGACACAATCTCAGCCTGCTCTCCAACATGGCTCCACTCAGGTTGCTCCTCCTCCCTACCCTTGCCGCAGCACATGTCACCCTCAACGCCCCCGCGCCAATTGGCCCTTTTGACGAGGACAACGAAGGCAACGCCCCCTGCGGTGGTGTGACAATCGATTTCTCCAAGGACAATGTGACCGACTTCCACGTCGGCGGCGAGCCCATCGATCTCTTTCTTGGCCATCCCACAGCAGGCTGGCTGATTCGCGGTACACTTGACGAGACCGCAATGTCCAACTGGTCACAGCTATACCCCATTTTCACCCAGAATGGTCTCGGTGATTACTGCCAGCCAGCCGTTGCAGCGCCTGAGAGCTGGGTTGGCAAGAAGGGGATCCTGGGGGTTGTGGCGAATGCACCAGACGGGCTGTTATACCAGGTATGCTATGGTCCTGGTGGTTCCTTTTATTTATGAAAGTAATACAGGATCTGACACGATCGCACGACAGTGCGCGGCTGTGAACTACGTATCAGGTTCAGGCACTCAGACGTCGGACTGCAAAAACGGCAGCGCTGTGACGGCCGCCTTCTCAACAGACGCGAGCCTGTCTGCTCTCGTCAGCACCGACCACAGCACTACGAACGGCACCTCGACCTCCTCGGGCTCTTCGAGCTCGTCCAGCTCGAGCTCACATAGCATGGCTCCAGGGCTGACCCCGTCTGCTAGTGGGCTTGTCGGTAGCCTGGCCGTTGTGGTTGTGGCTAGCATCTTCGGGGCTGGTCTCCTGCTGTGATGAGCTAGAAACTCGTTATTGGGCCGTATTTCTCCGTAATGGCTGGCGTTCTTTCAGGGTAGCGGGGACTGGTGCTTTTTGTGCTGTTTCCAGATGTCGTAGGACAGGGTAGGCGTTGGAAATTTAGGAACATTGAAACACAGTGCACATTCTTCGTGAATTGTTATACCTAGTCAGTGGACCACTGTATTTCTTCAAACGCTGGGTCTTGAGCGTTTACCACTGTATGAAGGCGCCACATACATTGTATAAGTATGTATGGGGATTAAAAACGAAAGCACTACTAGTCAGTGGACGAATCGGGTGCTATGCAGAGCCAAGAGAAGCTTTGCATTCTGTGAATCTACTGACTGCATCGTTTCCCTCGGACAGTAATTTAGTCAAAGCTCTTCACGATGGTATAAGTACGACCTTGGGTCGAACTGTTGAACAAGTTGCTGTAAGATGATTTAAAAACTCTATTCAGTAATACCTTGTGCCACTAATTTACCTGCTCACTTTCAAGGTTGTTATGTCTTAATCAGCAACATACTTGCCCTGTTATCACATGGCTCATCCGTGGAAAACAGACGCTAAGATGATGTCTAATAGGAATGAACTCTTATTCTATCACGTGTACTGATTGGAAGCCTGGTCCTTGATCGAATCATTAGATAAGTGCAACTTAGAGTCCGATTGCACCCTCGTTGAAATCTCGGGGCCGTGACCTGCGGATGATGTGTGAGACGGCAGAAGGCGCGATGGAATCTGATATGCCCAATACCCTAGGGCAACGGGGAATGATACCTAGGTATGTAACAAACGAATACCCTTGCAAATTTCAGCAGCGCCTTGAAGTCAACCCATAATTGTTTTCCCCCCAGAGAGAGCTTTTAGTCCTGAAGGGGAGAACAGTATGCTGGGGGAATTCATCTGTGGTTACTTGGGCATGGTTCCGCACACGTCAGGTCCTCCTCGGTTTCCTCTACTGTAATTTAAGTTTAGTACAGATGATATGTTTTTGAATCAATTTGGGACAGAAGAAGTCAGGAGAAAGGAAATGTCACATCGTTTAATAATTCCCGCCCGAACCAAAGCTGGGGGCATTCGACCTGACCAAGGCGAAATATGAACAAAACCCAAAACCTTAACTGCTGTGGAATGCCTTAGACATCACATGGTTTTTGATTTTGGGCTCGACTTGCTATAGATGCGTGCAAGCGGTTATGCAATGCCCTGGATGCGGTGACGCGAAACCTGCGAGGTTGATATGTATCGAGCTGTGTGTGACTAATCAGGTCCACCCATTGTAACGCTCCATTGTCTATAAGAATGGGCTTCCCACGCTCACTATTCATAGTTGAATAACCAGTCAATTTGCTCTATTCGACATGCCCTGCTCGGAATCGTGAGAATATGGGTCCAAACTCCAAACAGGAAGAACAACAAGAGAACGGATATTCGCACAGGAAAAAACGGCTGGTACACAGGTACAAGTGCCCCCCGGTGCGCCGACCTCAATTTGCACCACCCACTCACCATACAAAACCGAAATTTACACTCATTACATGTAACTACACATATCCCATCAGCCCTCAATTTCTAATCCTCCTATCGTCACTTCTAGTCTAGTAGTTTACTAGTCCCACAAACCCTCATACAAGACTTCTTGGCTGCTAGCTCAGGTGTTAACGCCGTTGTCGCTAGTGAGGCTGGTGAGAGAGTGTTGTTTGGTGGGTGAAGGAGAATTGGCAGGTCTGGGTGGGGGGCGTAAAAAGCACTTCGTCTGGGTGGTGCGTATAGTCGGGGGAGGTTGAATGAAGCCTTCTGATTGGCTATAGCCTACCTAGGTAGAAGGAAATATTGTACCTGTGTACCAGCCGTTTTTTCCTGTGCGAATATCCGTTCTCAACAACAAACCGGCAACCAGCCCCGGAGGGTAGAATGACTGAAGGCACTAAACACTAGAGACAGTCTATTTCAAAAACTCTTGTCGCATGAAAAATTTGATCCTTCCAGATCTAGATATGGAAAGGGAGGTGTGCGCCTTATTTGAGGCTGCAGATTATTGTGATTCTCCTCTGCTATATTCCGACAGGGCCTCCTGAGTCATGAATATGGAAACATAATACCTGCCTACAACGAGATCTACTCCTAATTTAGAAACTTTAGTAGTATCCTGCGAAAGTGCTTGATCTTGACTGTGTCCGGACCTTCTCATCAAGAGAACTTTTCGAGTCTTAGTTGCTTCCAGAATGCAAGGGTACTGTTTGGAGAAATTTATCAGGTACCGGTGTCACTGTATTGCTTATGTCCCGAGGTCATCGCAAAGTCTGTCAGTCTTGCCCTCGCCCCTTGAGATGATTGCGCAGTGTACTAAATGAACATGGCCGCAATCTGTAGGCGAAACTCGACTTGGACTTGTCATCCCAGGCAACCAGATCCTCCATGAAATGGGCCCTGCCAGTGTTTTTACTGGCGGTGCAAGCCGTGAGGATGTCACACCGATGCACACCTTCATATTATTAGAGGAATATCCGGAGCTAAGCTACCACGGCGTTTCGAAATGTCTCAATGATGGCGAAGACTGTGCTTGAAAAGTTTTTGGAGTCCAATGAGACGCGTTGGGATGCCTGTGTTGATCAGCAGTAAGCCTTTATGACTCAGCTTGCGGTAGATATCAGCATTCTACCATACTCGTTTCTACAAAGATGAACATATTCAACATGAGTGAACCTCTGTACTTTGAGGTTCCACCGTCCCACAATCCTCGGGTGTTTTTGTTGAAGCCTGATAGAACAAAGCTTTAGGCAACGATGGAAGATGTTGAAGAACGTGCCACATGACATGCCTTTGCTTCAAATCAGTACCCAGATAGCTTGTGCGTAAGAAAAAGTTCTGGGGCCATGGCTACGCAACTTGACCCCGAGGATTTGGGTACATTTTACGGGAAGGATCGTGGCGGTCGAGTGATCCTGCTACGTTTGTTGGCATTTCTGACCGCCGATCATGGAGCATCAACACAACCAGAAGCTTGGGAACTCAGTAGGTATACTGTGACATGTGCCAGGTTCTTATGTCAGCTAAAGCCAAGACGGAATTCATTTCTCTATTATTAGCGGGAGTGCTATGAACCAAGAGCCGCATTCTGAAGCCTGAAGCCTGAAGCCTGAAGCCTGAAGCCTGAAGCCTAATTCATTAGTCTCAATGTGGGACGCGGCAGTGTTCTCCCTGCTAAAATGAGGCCTGGGGACCCCAGCAAAAACTGTCCCCGTGAATGTGCGCTATAGCGCGTGCCTCGAACCTGATGCCGACATTTAGGTCCCCAGAATCGAGATGACTGATTGGGACTCGGTGGATTTCTGGTCCAGAAAAGAAGAAATGGAAAATTGATGGTTGTGAATAGATGTTCGGCCGAAGGCAGCTAACACGGTCTCGTCCGTCCGTGGGGGCATGTAATGCTCAAGTGCCCAGGTGGTCACAAGTACGGTTGGATGGGATCGAGTTCCGTCTTACACAACACTTGGGCGAGCGCAGGATGGGCATGGATTTAGAACACCCTCACAGCATCCGCATGTAAGATTTGGAATCATCAAACCTATGCGGTTCCATTCGGAGTTGATGGTGGACCTTTGTAAGGGCCGAAGACCACCAGTCAGACCCATAGGAATAGGTAGAGGCCAGACTCCGGATCAGGTAGCCGAAGGACAACGGACTGCATCTCACACTGTAAGAAGGGCTAGGCACCTGGGCATGCACAGACTAGTGCCCGTCCCGGCACTCTGCCGAGAATGTGAGCGACAGCAGATGCGAGGGTTTAATGTTGCCTGCCTATGAGGCAGAAGTACCTAGGTCTCCGGTGTCATCCAACCTTGGTGCTCTGTCAGTGGGAACTGAAGCTGGTGGGCTACTGATTAATTCTGAATAAGGGGGTGGTCCTTGTGCTATTTCGTTGTCTACTCGGGGAGAACCTTGACTCCATATCCACAATAGAGATCGCCCAGATGGATGTGGGCGGGCATATGGCACAGAAGGAAACAATGTCTTGGTGCAGGGCTGCTGTCGTTGCGGGCCGGTACCAAGGTACTTGGATACATGGGTACTTTAAAGTGCAGTCTCGGCCCAGACCAGTCGGCAGGGTCCGCAGTACTACATAGCATGCAGCACGAGGCCAAGACATTGTGCCATTGGCCCAAAGGGTGTCTGAGACTGCGAGATAAGCAGGAATATGGATGCCTGATCCATCACCTCCAGGCAGCCGTCAAACTCGGGCACGGCATTTGCCTGGGCCTTGTGGAAGCGGCGCCACCGACCCTCTCGCCTGTCAGTCTTGTGCAGGACCTGTCCTGTAAGCGTCCGCGCCACGGCATCAGACGCAAAGACACGCAACAAGGCCCGCTTGTTCTCACATTAGGCAGACGAATTATCCAGCATCCCATTTGCAAGGCTGGCCGCCCAGGTCCATGTTCGGCCTGGCCACCGCAGAATCGGGCTGCACGCTGCACGCTGCACGCTATCCATCCACGCCATCCACGCGATGCTTGGGACGAACTAGTCTGCCTGTCTGCTAGTCCTCCTGGAGCTTGACATTGCGGCACCTTGGCCGCCCTTTTGTTTCACCTGCGCTCATCTGCCCAGCTCCCCTGGGTTCGTAGCCGCCTCCTTCTCGGGGCCATCTGTTGAAACACTGCAAGGCCTGTCTTGTACCTAGACGATGCCTCTTTCCTCTCGCTTCTCCCAGTCATATTCCCCATCACCGTCCTGCGCCGCATACCTGCTGCCATAACTGACCCGAGCTGAGCTATTCGCAACCCTCAGTCTCCGGCCTGGTCGCTTCAGCCTCCCGCCCGGGGCGAAATACACGCCGCAGCCTCACCTGAACATCTCTCCCGGATCCACCTTTGCCTGGCCTCTCTCCCCTGAGATACTCCCCACTCTTCAGCACGCCTAGGGCCATGAGGTGAATTAGACAAAATCCACCATAATATCTTTGCCGTCGCCCTTGCGGCCGTCATTGTGCCTCTACCATCTCCAGTGAGCGTGTGTGTTCCTCACATCGCTCCATCATGGAGTCGTACGGCATCCCCCAGGGCGGCTACCAGCTGCCCGTCCAGCGGCGGCTCAGCAGGCTCTACAACGACACCAAAAAGTCCTCCGACTTCGTCAAGGAACCAGTCCAAAACGCCGAGGACCCGGGTATCAAGTCCCTCCACCGGAAACTGAAGATCCAGAATGACCGTCTCGTCACCTGGGGCCTGGAATGGTCCGACCCTGGCCACCAGGACATTATCGATGACTCCCTATCAAAGGCGGGGCTCAGCGAGGTCGTCGGGAGTATCATGTCAACCATCAAGGAGATCCTGGCCGAGGCGGAACCATTATGGGCCAGTTCCAGAAGGCAAGCTGGCAGTCTCCCGCCCATGGGGGACAAGAAGATCCCCATTGTGGCTTGGGACAAAGCTCGGTTTGAGGACTTGGTCAGAGATCTGACCACTTCCATCGACACTTTATACGACCTTTCAAGGACAAGATCAAATGCTGCATCATCAGCAAGAGCAAGACCCTTCCAGGGAGCTTCCACGGAGGAGTTGCGGGCCTTTGAGTCGACCAGAATGCAGACACCACAGCAGATTAACCCTCAGACATTGACCAGTCTGAGAGACAGACAGCCGATCCCCATGTCAGAGACGACACCAGACGTCCACTCTCGCGACATTGTTTACATGAGCAAACAGGCATATTCCGACCTGACTAGGAACAACGGCCGCCCTTACACTGCACTGCTTCTAGAACATGCCGAATTTGACCCCATGTATTCTGCCACGGGCATCATGCCAGACATGTCCAGGTTCGAGAAGCTCTCTGCCGGGCTGCAGACTGAACCACAGCGCTCCCCGGGCTCCTGGACGGGGCTTCCTCAGCTGCTTGGCTACTTCGAAGACATGGACAACTCGAGGCTTGGCCTGGTCTACCACTTCCCACCTGGCTTCAACCCCATCTCTTACGAGCCGCTGACACACAACACTTTGAACACACTCTGCTCCCTTTCCGACCTTCTGGCACGCCCTGACTTCGAGCCTACCCTTGAAGCCAAGTTCCGCCTTGCCTACAACCTGGCCAACACGGTGTTCGACATGCATGCTCGAGGAATCACTCATGGCAATCTGACCATCTCAAGTATCTCATTCTGCAAGGCAGTCGGTGTTGAGCCTGGAATGGGAGCTGGAGAGGTTGACATCCGGCGGCCACTGATCTCATCCTTCGACTTGTTCCCTGAGGCCTTCCAGGAGGGGTCCACACCCACAACTTCTCTTTACCGTCACCCCCTCGACCCAAAGACAACAACGCAGCCATCCCTGCTGTCAAACCCCGATTCTAAGGCATTCGATGTTTACTCACTCGGAATGCTCCTGCTCTCCATCGGCATGTGGACAAACCTCGAGAACCTCGTCTCCTCACCATCAGCCACTTCCGTACCTGAGATCGTCCTTGAGCAATTGGCCAAGAACTGTGGAACACTGTACATGAAGGCAGTCCAAACGTGCTGGAAGGCAGTTGAGGAGGAGCTCTCAGCCGGCACAGAGAGCAATCAAGTCATGACACGCGTACAGGTCAGCGCCAGCCGCTACCTCGAGGTTTGCGCCATCCTCGACAGCGTAGGAGGGCTCGAGGATCGCCTGACTAGCGATTTGGGAATACAGTCTTCGTCCAAGCAGGCAAAGGGGCAGAAGTCGGAAAAGACGGTCGCATCGTCATCAAAGGATGAAAAGGCACGGGAGGCAGGCTTCGCCCAGACAGCTCCTCCGACGACTGTGTCGAGGAGCCCGCAGGGGTCAGCACCACAGGAGACCCAAACCCAGCAAGGTATGCCCCCAGGCACCCACATGCAGCGCCGTACGCTCACTGATCAACCAGCCGCCCCACCCTCCGAACTGCGTGCGAAGCGGTCGACCAAGAGCCGCCTCTACCCCCACACACCACTTCCTCCCGAGGCCGTTGAGCACTGGAATGCAGTGCTCATGCCACAAATCAACCAAGCTCTTCGACACTTCTACCGCAAGAACCCCGAGTCGGTCGAGATCTCGCTTGAATCGATCGGCGAGACGGCAAAGGAAACAACACCTACCGTTCTCGTCGTCTGTACCTCCGTCTCCAAGGTCAAGGCAATTCTGAGGCGGAAAATGGGCGCACTGTTCGATGGCACGACCGGCTTTGCCCTGAAGGTGTGCCGAGGGCAAGTCCTTCGGTCTCGAAATCAAGGTACTAAGCGCAGCGCGGCCCACCCAGAGAGTACCGAGCAAGGGGAAGTAGCGGCCGCTAATGGTAGCTTCCAGGAGCGCCCACTCAATGGAGCCAGTATAGGAGCTTGGATTGGCGATCGTCACTTACCTCCAGTCAGCTTCGGAGGACTAGTTGTGGTTGATGAGAAGACATATGGCATGACAGTACACCACATGCTTGATGACCCTGATGCATCTGCTTCTGATGGGCCACAGCAGCCCCTTCGCAGCGGAGCAGGCTCCGAGAACCAGGTACAGGACCTGGCTGCCTGGTATGCGCAGCAGTACCCGGAGGACGACTCCCCCAACTCGGGGAGTAGCAGCGACACTGAAGATTTCGCGGCCGAGTTCTCCGACGACGGCTCCGACGCCTTTACCGAGTCGGCAGTCACCAGCGAATACTCGGACGATGAGCCCGAAGACGAGCAATATGGCGAGGTCGGAGACATACCTGGCGTGGAGCCTGGCTGCGGGGATGGATACATCGTGAGCCAACCAGCGCTTGACGATGTCGAGGAGGGCTTCTTCGCCAGCTCCGACACGCAGGACGAAGAGCACCTGGACACCTTCAGCCTGGGCGAGGTGTTCGCCTCGAGCGGGATCCGCCGTCGCAACGATGACCGCGGCCTGGTTCACGAGATAGACTGGGCTCTCTTTGAGTTCAAGGATGACCGATTGCCCCAAGACAATGCCATCCCCGTCGCCGACAGCGATATCCCACAGCCCATACACCCGACCTCGGTAGTGCCAGCTAGCTCTCTGCCGAACCTGGAAGTGCAGTGTATGGCGCGCACCAGTGGCCTGCAGACTGGGGTCATACTACCGACACTGGTTTCGGTCAAGATTTACGGTCGGACGTCGGCGAGTCACACCTACCAGATCACCAGCATGCCAGCGGCTGAGAGGAGCCCCGGCGACAAGCCACGACGGCCCTTGGGCCTCCCCGGCGACAGTGGGGCGTGGATCATCGAGCGCACCAACGGGCAGGTTTGTGGCCACGTTCTGGCCTGGTCACAGCGCAAGCGGGTAGCGTACATCTGCCCGATGGATGTGCTGCTCCTGGATATTGCGGAGACGCTCGAGGCCACGGAGGTGAGGCTGCCCGGAGGGGAGCCCGTGGTGAAGATGGTGGATGACAGTGTCAGCGTCGGCGTCAGCGAGCTCGATGAGGGATACGGCGAGCCACATGGTGACGACTCGGACCTCGACGCTGAGCTGCGGTCTATGGCAGCTGAGAAGCGCCGTAGCCTGAGGAAGGGCAAGGGGTCGATGAGGGCCAAAGCCCATAATATTGCAGGAGAGGGCGTAGTGGACAGACCATTGTCGGTGAGAAGCGTGCCCGTCAACAGGGGTAGTGCTGCCCTTGGCGAGATCGAGCAAGACTTGTCGAGGTTGAGTCTTGGCAACAAGGAGCCCGAGGCAGGATATTGGAGGGCATGAGATTCTCCAGCCTGGCATGGGACAGGCCGTTTGTTCTACTTGCAGCGTTGTTGTGTGAGCCATAGGCGACCAGATACCAATGTGTTTTAATGTTTCAGTAACAAACCCCCACTCGGGTGCCCCGAGGCCGCGGCATGTACTGCTAACAACCTCGTGTGAGAAAACCCTCCTATGAGGTGACCCCCTGGGGATACCAGTAGCCTCCAAGGGGCAGCTCTGCACAGACGGTGCAGAGGAGTATTACTGTCAAGGAGAGTTTGTGGTAGGCCATAGGGGCCTCTTTACGACATCATGTAACTGTGTGCTGATACAGTGCCAGTCTGTGAGAACAACACACGTGAATCCTCACCACCCCACTCATCACCCACCCTGCAGCCCTACCTAGGTACACAGTTGCAAGGAGAGTTGGCGGAATGCAACCCGTTGTGCCCTGGGCGACGATGTTCTGAGACACACACGATTTGTGACTGGTTGACCTATGAGAGAGGCGACCTGGAGAGGTTACGTAGCAATGTTCGGGACGCTTCGCCCACCCACCCAGACGAAACGAACGTGCTATCTGGTTATTGCAGCCGAGAAGGGAGCAACATTTGAATCGAGTGGCAGCCTGCAGGAGTGGGGTCGCATCTGGTGTGGTGAGGACCGCGGGAGCGGGATGACGTCTGAAGCGGGGCCGCACCAAGGCCCACCAAGTTTCCCCACAATGCGGCACAGCAAGTGTCACCGCTTGGCCGGCTCTGCGCATTTGACAGCCCGTCGGCTCCAATTCGACCATCTTTATTAGCGAGGCAGACGGAGCGCATCGTCTACCTACCTAGGTACATAGGTAGTAAGCCATATTTTTGAGACCTCGGGTGGGTACTATCTTGTTGTCTTCCGGGACATCGACAGCCAGTCAGTCAGTGGAGTCCACTTGCAGCTAGGTCGATGTAGGGAGAAGCCCCAAGAGCCATGGCGAGGAAGCTTGGTTTGGGCCAAGCACCTCGACACCACGGACTGGCTCTCTTGGCACCTGAGCCTCGGTAACCTGCAACCAAGTCATAGCAGCAGGGCGGTAATAGGGTAGCAGGGTAGCAGGGCGGCCACGGCTGGGACGGCCCCGAGAACATGATGCGATAGACCAACTAGGAACTAAGCGCGCCTTGGGCTTGCGCCAGACTGTCCGGGCAGGTACCTACCCTGCACCACGTACGTCACCCCCTTCCGCTATCCTGCCAGGTTCCTCCCAAGCTGCTGCATGTGGCAGTTGGTCTCTCCTTCTAGGCACGCGAGGCGACACCAAGAACGAGGACCAAGACGTCAGACCCTCGGGGGCTGCTGGTGGTGATGGTGGTCGGTGGTCCTACTTCTTTATAATGCCCAATGCCCACTCAGCCCGTCGCTGTTTGGGGAGTTATTCCCAACCAACCTGCATATCTGGTGCAATAAGGAGCCGATCGTCTGACGTCCAAAATCCACACCCATCTGTCACACCCATCCTCTCGCACCCGCCACGGGAACAACAAGACCAACAGCCACAACAACGTCACCCATCAATCAACTCAACTCACTCGCGCCCTCCTTCACTCCTGAACGGCCCGCTATTACATCACTCTGCCATAACACCTCTGACCACCCATAATCCTATCAATTGACTTGACCCACAATGGAGACTATAAACTCAATGGCAAGCACCGCGGCAAAGGCCATCTGGGGAGACAACAACAACAACAACAACACCACTACCACCAATAACGAGAACAACGAGACAGCAAAGACCGGTACAGAAAACATGAACAACGAAACCAAGGGAACAGAGCCCGTCTCAGGAAAGCTGGGCAACACCTCTGCCGGTGAGCCTTTTGATGCTGGCAACATTGGTATGCCCTCATCGTTGATCCATCCTACTGGTTTGCGCTGGGCTGACCTCCACTGAGCAGACTCTGGAGCCACCGGAGCCACGGCCTCTACGGCCCCCAGCACCACGCAGACTGGCAGCGAAAGCACCACGTCCGGACTGCCTACAACCAGCTCTACGGATGCTACCACAGCTGGAAGTAAGGATTCCACAGATGTCGCAGCCAAGGGCCCTACGGCAGACTACCCTTCCACCACCGGCGACACCGGCTTCAAGGCGCCGCAAGCAGACATCAGAGACCCAGACTCGGCCACTGCGGATCCCAAGAAGGAGGCGGAGCGCAAGAATGTCGACAACACTGGCGGTCTCGACACCTCCGAGAACCCCACCAAGCTCGAGGGGGCCGGCCCCAAGCCGATCGAGGAGGTGGCCAAGTCACACGGCGGTGATGCCGGGTCCGTGGGCAAGGACTCCACGGCGGCAGGCGGCGCTGAAGAGGACGGCCCGGGCGCCAAGAGCAAAGGCGAGGGCACTGGAGAGCAGTACGTCAAGAGCTCAGGCCTGGCCGCCGACGGAGGTGACTTTGATGCTACCAAGCCTGGCGCGGGCCGCGAGGCAGACCGTAAGTGTCCTTATCCGGATGGGCGCCCCGCACTTGTGATACCCTCTTACTGACACGGCACAAGGACTCCTGGAGGAGAAGGGCATCACCACCCAGTCCGCGGCCGCTGCAGCTTCCAGCAAAAAGACCGAGGAGGACAAGGCTGACAAGACGGCCCCTGACTCCCCGGACTCCAAGAAGGAGAAGGCCAGCCTGAAGGATAAGATCAAGGCCAAGCTCCACAAGAGCTAGAAGGTTTTCTGGTGCTACCAGGCCTTTCCAGATGACGTCTGAGAGCGTCTTTCTACATCGGGGCGAGGCGGCCGGGTCTGTTTTATGTGTCGGGACGGAATTGCACGAGGCAGACGACTAATGAGAGGAGTACCCATTTGAATTAGCACTTGATTGTTTCCATAGTCTCTCTAGTAATCACTTGGTTAGCATGTAATCAATCGAATGTTTGAGGTCCCCGCGTGCGTATGTGCATACTAAAGTGTTTTCTTGCATCAATAGAGGTAGAGCTTGGGCCTGGTCGGCGATAAGGTCAGGGCAAGTGGAACCTTCTCCGCGGCGGACGGCCGGCGGCATATGACGTCGGCGAACATCGGACCTCCCGAGGCTAGTCGGCGACCAGCAGAACCTCCTGTACCGGACCGTACGGCGCACGTCTTGCGGAATCTCTGCCCACCACGGAAGAATAAAAGAGTCCACAATCACTCCCTACAGCACCGCAGCACCGCAGCACCGCCTACTCCCCCAATTCGTGCAACTCGCCAGGCCTCAAGCTCCTCATTCGACACTCTGCCTCACAAGATTAACACCCTTAAAAAGTCTCGCAAGATGTGTATGGGAGCCACGTGCCCGGACTGCTGTAAGTCCCCAGGATCACAACCGCTCTGCCTCACCTCCAGACGTGCTTCCGAGTTGCCGTGTCCCGACTTGCTTTGTATCACGGCTAACAGTGCCGCCCCCCGCGCCGCGCGCCACGTAGCCAAGAAGTCATGGCGCGGCTGCGGCAAACATATCCCGGCCGCCATGTCCGGGGTCCCGGAGGACGATTGGTGCTCATGTGACCCCAAGGTTGAGGTCGATGGCAAGGCGTACCCCCCTGCCGCCCGCGTGGCTATCCCTGGGGCGTCCTGGCTGAGCGGACTCGTCGGGGGCGGCGGTGGGCAGAAGAAGGAGGGGAGGGATGAGCTATGAGCCCCCAGCCCGGCGGTGGGGTCCGTGATCTGGAGGCGTTATGGGCACATGTGGCTGATCGGTTTGGGGGGGGGGGGGGCGCAGAGGGGGGTGAGTTGTGCATTCTGAGCGTGGTGTATGGATGGTGTGCGTTGTGGTTCTGGTCGTTGGAAAAGGAACATTAAATGTTACTGTCTCGCGTGCTTGTCTTGCTATTCTGCCCTTGTCGGTCGACGCAGAGAACGCCGCAGTCGAGTTATGATATATTCTCACGCCCTCGTATTACACTTTGACAGGAAGATAAGCCGATATTGATCCATTTCCCACCAATACTCGCTATGTCAAGACCGCAGAAGAGCAGCTTGGTCATTGTAGTTCGGTGCCGAAGCGGCAGCGCAGACGGGACCGACAGATCCATCGTCCCAAGTGCTCACATTCCGGGGTGGAATGGATATATCACATCGTTTCCCACTTGCTACCTTTTTTTTTTTTTTTTGATTTTGTTTCCTTTGTGATACGATCGATGTGACCAGGGCATTTTGAACATTCTCAAGTATAACCACGCAGCACCAGCCACACTGCACCGTGTCGTCTCACCAACTGACGGTCCGTATTTACACCGCAAAGAAACAATATGCACCCGGTCGTAGAGGTGACCCTCTCGTGGCTCCTGTCCGGCGCCAAAGGCCGCGATGAGAAGAGCTTCTACCGCTCGCCGGCCTTCAAGGACCTGCGGGAGCCGACCATCGAAATCACGTCTACGGAATGCGGCGCGGGTTCGCTGGCCGAGCCGGCTCAGCTCAAGAAGGAACACTCGCACGATGGAGAGGGCAGGTTTCCGGGCTTGCAGTGGACAGCACCGTCAGCAATCAGTGGGCAAGTGAAGGAGTGGCTGCTCGTGGTCGAGGATCCCGACGCGCCGCTTCCAAACCCCATAGTGCACGGGTGAGTTCGACCTGGTCTGTTATGGTGTCATTGAAGCCCGCAAAGCTGACGGTGTTTTTCCGGCAGGATATTCGCAGGCATTGGATCGAACATGACGAATATCGAACACTCCCACCTCGGGGTTGCAGACGAGTCCAAGAGCGCTGTGGAGGGGGGGTTCCACTATGGCGTGTGCCGCAGGCCTGTGGTGTACCTCCCTCCGAGGCCCCTGATGAACCACGGGCCCCATCGATGTGAGTCTGGTGTTGGTGCAGCAGCTGTCCCAGAAGAATTCTGACATGCAACCCAACAGACTTCTTCGAGGTTGTGGCACTGAGTGAGACCTTGGCCAAAGACGTGTTGGAATCCAGGCCGACCAGGGAGAAGATAGCCGAGGCAGTTCAGGGCAAGGTGTTGGCCTGGGGACTCTGGGTCGGAGCATATGAGCGGAAATGGCAGTAGAAGCTGTTCGTCTGTTTCTAACTCCGTAGTGAAATAATAATCATCGACAGGTTCGAGAGGTCCGAGCTTATCTCAGCGCCAACGGCCAAGTTCGAGACTGAGATAAGCCCCGCCCCACTCCCCGTCAGCTCAACCAGAGCCGAACCGGCGAACGTCGTCGGTAGCGCTTCGGCAACACCTCCCATCCCCCCTTCCACCACAGCATACCCAGGCACACATCGGCATCGACTGACGAAACCTTCTTCATCGACAATGTCCAACGGCGAGTCGCGTGAGTCGCTCGACCTGTTGGCATCTGCCGCCGAGCAGTCGTCCCCACAGTCTCGTATCAAGAGGAACACGGCTTGCGTCTCGTGCAGGGACTCCAAGGTGCGCCGGACTGCCGATGCCTGGCGCTGGGTCCTCGGCCCTGGCCCCTCGGCTCAAACCCCCATTCTTTGCTCCGGCCACGACATTGACCGTGCCTGTAGGTGAAATGCAATGCGAGCACCGTCCCAGGACAGCCATGCCAGCGCTGCCAGAAGCTGAAGCTGCGCTGTGTCGTTGACAAGTCTCACAAGAGGGTGAGCAAGCGAAGGTGGGTCGACCTGTCCCGGCCCGTCCTTAGCATGACATGGCCCGACAAAGTTTCTCAGCCACCGAAACCCAAACTGTTGGGCTTGTTTCCTCTCTTCGATGTGCCTCCGACCCTGTGCCGGGTACCTTTCCAGTTGTCTGACTTGGATTTTGAAATTCCAATGACCAGCTGTAGCTGTATTCCAACATGGGAGAGGGAATCCTCTCGCCGCGTCGGCTTTACTTGTTCCTTTTTTCCAGCTGCCTGGCGGCTGTTCCCTCGTCATGCATCCCCTCACCCTCCTCTTCAGAGGAAGTATAAAGGAACTCTCTAACAATCTGCAGTAAATTTGATGAGCTTGTCCAAGAGGTCCAAAGCATCAAACAGGCCGTAGCGCCTCATCCATCGTCTTCCGGCCCCCATGGACAGCTTCCACTTCCTTCAATCCCACCGCCACATCTACCAAGCCCCAGGTCGGACCAGCCACGTCTGTATGCTTCCACTGGCTTCTCATCAGGAGTGTCACCACTGGCCTCGATCCCTTCCTTCAGCAATGCTGCGCCCCCGCGGACGTTCCCGGAGGCATCCTCGGTCCCCGCTTTGACCCCGGGCCCCCTGACTACTCCGTCTTCTGCCAGTGGCCGTCCCTCGCAACCCAGAGCACTCAAATCAAGGGTCTTCTCTGGGGAGGACATTGACCGATACTTCGATCAGTATTTCGAGTTCTTTCACCCGTATTTCCCTGTCGTGCGCATCAGGGAGCCAGACGCCATATACAACACGGGACCGGTCCTCTTTTGGGTCATTGTCGTCACAGCCTGCAGGCGGTCGACGCACGAAGGCGGAATATTTGATTTCCTCGTCGGTGCAGTCCGGAATGAGATCTGGGACAGTGTCTCTGACCCGCCCATCTCTTTGGCCACGGTCAACGCACTGTTAATCCTGAGCGTTTGGCCCTTACCCACTATTCGCTTCATGAAGGATCCTTCGCCAATATACGTGTCGCTCCTCATGAACAGCTGTTATATGCTTGGAATCCACACAGGCCGGGGTGACTTTCCCACGCAAGTATACCCAGCATATCGCCTGTCTGTCAGTGACGAGGAGGCCGTATTTTCCTGGGTGGGGTATAATATCATCGCCCAACGCGTGTCCACGTATGGTGGCACTCCTTCTACGGGCCAGTACTTCAACAGCACCATCGAAAGCATCATTGACAGGACTAGCCCGGTCAAGATTCCGATGTATTTCTATGTCCTCCTACAAAGTGCAGCGTTCCTGCACAGAGTGGGCAGGACAATAGCTGCCAACCTCGAGCAAGGAAAAGGAATCTCCCATCATGTCGTCGAGCAGCTAGAGGAAGACTTCCAGCACGTTCAGGGTCTCATGTCTGCCGGCATCTCAGGTAAGCTCCCAGCCCGTTCGATCAGCATGTGCGCCGTAATTCCTGACTCTGACATAACCATGGACAGAGGTGGACCAGTTCACTATACTATCGACACTGCTAGAGCTACAGGTGTTCTACTTCATGCCGATGCCCGGCTTTAGTCAGGAGACATTCAAACGCAACGCCCTGCGCTGCCACACGACCGCGCAGTCCGTCATCAGGCTCGCACTGAAGCTCAACAACGACATTGACTTCCTATCCCATTCACCCCACTTCGTTTGTCGCTCCATGATGTCGGCAGGCTGCATCGTGATCTCGGCGCTGCTGTCCCCGTCCACGAAGGAGGTGATCGAGCGCCAAATCCAGGACGCAGGGACCACCCCGGATGCGGTAGTCAACGAGGCGCTCGCCGGCGTGAGGCTGTGTAGCATCCAGGACGGCGACCTGCCCGTCCGCGCGGCCAAGATGATGGAGAGCGCGTGGAGCGTCCGCGAGATCCTCCCGGCCACTGAGCTGTCGCAGCTCGGGCAGATGGACTTCTCTCACCGGCTCGGAATGGGCCTTCCGCTCGACTGCATACGCAGGTGGAAGAGACAGATGGAGCAGATCCGCCCGGACAAGGTCACGCCCCAGCCCGTCGCCGCGGAGGGAAGCGTCGGCGTCGCAGGCGCCACCGAGATGCTAGCTCCTGATCCGTTCTCGAGGGTGGACTGGGACGCGTTCATGAAGGACTTTGACATGAACTTTGACCCGGCCCTCATGGACACCGTTGTGGCCTAGGAAACCGACGGTTACACGGCTTGACCGGGTCGGTGAGGGTCTCTTTTCGGACGGAGTGTTGGACGTGCGTGCAAACCAGCATTGTAACTTGAGGAGCCCGAGAGACAGAGACAGAGCATGGTACACTTGCGGTGGGAGGTTCGTAAACTACAATATCATTGTCTTCTTCCTGACCCTACCTAGATGGAGCCAGGGCCGCGAGGGCAGAACAATCCAAGACAAGCTCGCCAAGCTCCGACCAGGAACCTCCTTAGTGCGACCGAGACATAAGGTCCCGACTTTGGTAGCGCACAAAGGGACGCTGCCATGGGTTGCGCTCCGTGCAACAAACAAGAAGGTGATCCGAAAAAGCAACATGCCCGGCTAGGGGCACCCAAGCCGTTGCACAAGCTTTCCGGCTTAATACGGTATGTAGTACTTGGTGAATCTACTAAATACAATCGCCCATGCCACTTTTGGAAGGTCCGATTTAGCTTCATTTAGTAGCCTAGACGCAGCCTCGGAGACCGGCTGGGCTGAACCTAGTTGTAAATATAGATAGTCTATTTTCCAGCTGTGATTTACCAACGGTTCATGCGTGTGGAATGAGAATCAATGTTTTTGATTTACACGCACTGGAATCTCAACATGGTATCAATTAATGGTGTGGCCTAAACAACTTCCAGGTATGCAAGATGCATTCAACCGCCCGGAGGGTTTCGGATCTAAGGCATGTTCTAGGAAACTGGTTTCCTGGCGTTGAGAAATGCAGTGACTGTCTAGAAAAGTCCACGAACAATTCGCTTGACCCAGGGTTGCTTTTTGAGCTCGTCGTCCTCATTGTCCGTGACGCTCTGCAAACGAGCGCCAGCCATCAGATCCATCTCGTGGATGGGCACCAAGAACCGCCAGTCCCTCGAATAGACTTTCCAGAAGAGGTACAGCGCCAGAACAATCACGGCAGCCAGGTACTGTTGGAAGAAGTATTCTGCGTCGGGGGTAGCATCAGGGGACGGCTGGTGACGCAGTTGTTAGCAGGGTTGGGGGTACTCTGAGATGAGGGTGATGAGGAGTTTAGGATGAACTTACGTAGAGTGAGCTGTAGAAAGTGGCGATCAAGCACAAACCGCAGAGGAATAAGCCGATCCAGCTTCCCCAGACACCCAAAGTTGGCTTGTACGGGATGAGGTCCAGGCTGTGACCATGCTGCTTCCATGCCTTGCGGAAACGGATGTGTGTCGCACAAATGGTACCCCACACAAAAAAGTAGGAAAGGCCAGAGAGAGACAGAAGCCAGGTGAAGATGGTGCTCTGCGACGACGCCTCGCCAATGAACGCCAGCAGGCCGAATGCGAGCTGCACAGCAATACACCAGATGGGGCGCCCGTGCTTGTCAACATGTGCAAGGAACTTTGGAGCCATGCCTCGCTCAGCCATGGCCTGCATTGTCCGAGTGGAGCCGAATGTGCAGGAGTTTGCGACCGAGATGACGGCGAGGGTGATGACAGCGTTGAAGATGGATGGGAGAACCTTGATACCAGCATCCTCGATCGCGAGCACGAAAGGGGAGGCCTTGGTGTTGGCGCCGGAGGAGCCCAGGAGACGCTCGTCGTCGGAGGGGATGATCAAGCCCACGATGAACAGATTCACGACGTAGAAGAAGAAGATACGCCAGAAGACCTGCTTCGCAGCAAGGGGGATGGCCTTCCTGGGGTTGGCAGACTCGGCAGCCGCGAGACCGACCAGCTCCGTGCCACCGAATGCGAAGGCTGCGACGACGAACACGGAGCAGAATCCATTAAACCCGTTCTGGAACGCACCAGGGTCGTGCCAGTACTTGGCCCCGAGGTAGCCCCGGTCCCCGACGCCGCCGCAGTTGATGATGATTCCAAGAATGATGAAACCCGTGCAAGCAGCAATCTTGATCATGCTGAGAACAAACTCGACCTCGCCGTAACCCCGGACGCCGAAGATCTGAATGGAGGCGAGAATGACGAGGAAGACAGCAACCCAGATGCCCATGTTGAGATCATCACGCCAAAAGCTGATGGTGATGGAGGCGGCAACAAGCTCAAAAGGCAGGACGGTCAGCCACGAGAGGGCGTAGTCCCAGCCTATGGCAAAGCCCCAGGATGGATCGATAAAGCGGACGACGTAGGTGTAGAAGGCGCCGTTGACCGGGTAGAGGACAGCCAACTCAGCAAGGGCCTGGCAGGTGAACAGGAGCATCACACCGATGATGGAGTAGCAGATGACGAGCGACGCAGGCCCGCCCGTGTGAAGGGCACTTCCGGAGCCGACGAAGAGACCAGCACCAATGGCACCACCTAAAAGAGCCAAGCTGTCAGTTCAGTCCTCCCGCCATACAGTCGAGGTGGAGGCAGGGGAGGGGAGGGGGGAGTGCAAGTGTTGTGCGGAACCGTACCAATGGCAATCATCTGCATGTGTCTCGACTTCAGATCACGGTTCAATTTGCCCGACTTGTTGACGACTCCAACCTCCTCGTCGACGGTTTCCGAGCCGTAGCCATTGTGAGGCTCGATGACCTCCTTGTCGGTGTGGCTTTTTTCGTGGGCCATGTTGTCAGGCTGTTGGGCCACTCTTCCTCTGGACAATCAAACCGACTGGTGGGATGAAGGGTATTGACCAGGGCATGGGCGGGCGGGTACCAAGACGGAGGGGCGAGCTGTACTTATAAGATTGGGCACGAGAATGAGAGACAGACGGAGGGACTGTCCAGGACCGGGGGCAGCCAGGCGGGAGCAGTATTGAGACAGGGGCCCGAATCCAAACAGGCCTCGATGGCGCGCTAACAACGGCGGAGGAGGGAGAACAGGGAGATTGAGCCAACACCAGAGGTGCGGCTGACTGGACAAGGGTGTATTTACATAGATAGTACTTGGGAGGTTGTGCTCATGAGCGAGGCTTGGATGTCTACAGCCCCCAGCGTCCCAGAGGACAAGACGCACAAATGGCATCTCACGAATGGCATCTCGTAGCATGATGATGGGCAAGGCATGCTGGTGGCACCTCGAGAAGCCTCCCCAAGGACGACGAAAGGCGGCCAGCACACTGACAAACACAGTGTAGAGGATCCCAGTTGCCCAGGCTACCCGACTGGGTGGGAATGACACGGCTGGATGGAAACAGCAGGGCAGAGAGGGAGGGAGGGTCTGAGGGTCTGGACTCCGAACCCACGGGACGGTATAACAAGCCATAACAAGCTAATAATTGACAATCTAGGCATGAAGCTTAAGTGGACGGCCCAAGGAGCCAGACCCCTGCCCACGCCTGTTCCCTGTCCCCGTTGATAAGGAACGAGCAGCTGCCAATCAGGACAGTCAGGACAGGAAGGTTGCATCGGGGCTCATTTTTTCAACGGCACTGGGGCAGCTGGGCAGCTGGGCTGGACCAGGTTGGTGGGGACCTGGCCGCCTGGCAGCCTGGGGGGAGGCCTGGCTGCGGCCATCTGAGATGGATCGGGGGCAAGAAACCGTGATATGGCAAGCAGCTGCCCCGTGCTTGCGCAGAGAGCCGCGTCCTGCCTCCACCCGCGTGCAGCACACAGCATGCAGCGCACATGGCTGCCCACTTTCCTGTGTGGCCCGTCAGCCCGTAGGGTCCACGCCCAGGCTGTCAGGCTGTCTGACTGTCATGAGTAATGATGTCGACTACAACAATCGCTTGCTCACCTGTTGGACCGGGAACCGATTGCGACTACGCCTGACTCGGCCGCTTGATCTCATCAATCAATTACGTACGTAGCCGCGGTGGAATCTGGGGGACGAGGCTCGCTATCTGATGCGTATAAGCCCTGGCTTGCCTGGCTTGCCTGGCTTGCCTGGCTTGCCTGGCTATCATTCGCCCCAGCCAGCCAGCGAGCCTGAGCCTTGCGGTCATGGCTAAGCTTTGCGAGACCCATGGCCAAGAGTGCCCCATCGTGCTTGGCTGCGGCCGCCAGAGCTATCACTTCTGGGCAAAGGCTTGACCCCAGCCAAGCCTGCTGGCCCGATGCGTTGCTCAGAGTCTGAGACTGGCGCGTTCTGACCTCTTCTGCCTCTCAACCTGTGGCCGATCAAACCAAAGCCTGCCCTGCTTATGGCAATACACCCGCAAAACCGCCGAGGGCAACCTTGGCAAGCCGAGCCCACGCTGCCCGGGTCGCCAGGCACTCGCTCGGCCACGCCGGGGTCGCCATTTTACCACGCTACTACTGGAGGGTGTCATTATAGTTCAACCCCGTCTCCCCGCGAGGGCCCTTCGACGGGTTCCAATTCGCCGGATCGGTCTGCAGCTGGCCGGGCCTTGCTAACACCCTTCTGGAAGCCTTCCATGCAGTCCTCCTAACAAGCCGAGCCGCCTGGCCGCTCGTAATCCTGCCAGACGCTAGCATTGCGGCACATTCCTGGCACAAGTGAGGCGATTCAGAGCAGCGGGTCGCGTGCCCAGCCTTTCCTACCGCGGAAGCTTCTCCGCCCCCCCCCCCTGCCTACTTGCCCCCTCCATCTCATCCCCCGCGCGTGTCGACCAATGGCACCCATGGCAGGATGGTCCGTTTCGCGCCTAAATGGTGCATATCTCTCAACTCGAGGCCACGACCACACTTGTGGCTAGCGCTGGCCGAAGCTACGGATCAATCTGAAGCCTGAAAAGGCAGGTACAGACGGAGCATGGGGTCATTGATCTTGTCCGGCCTCAGTCTGCCGACATGCAGCACACTGGCGCCCAAGAGACGGCTGTGTGGCCACCACGCTATGGTGATGTGCTGGTAGTATGGTACTGCTTCCATGCATTCTTCCAGAACGATGCATCGAAGGCCGTTCGTTGTCATGGATGGCTCCCTGACCCTTCCAGGACGGGATGTCACGTTCCTGTTCCCCACAGTGACCACAGATGGCAGCCACGGTTGGAGAGCTTACCACCACAGGCTCAGGTACGCGGACGGGATTGGGTAGAGGATGAGCGAGTGAGCGAGCCATGCCCTTATTATTGGAGGCGGCATGCGTGGCATGCGTAGCTACAACTGTATTGTACGGTGAAAGTCCCCAGATCATTGGATCTACACGTGCTCTTGCGCAATCAATCCAAAATTCCCAGGCAAGGCCGACTGACCACCCCCTTCAGCCTCCGATCTTATCTACACGCGCGAAGGTGACGCCCTCAAAGACTGGGGCTGGCATTGGCTCAGCGAGGCCCCTCTCGTACAAGGCCAGCCAGACCGCATCAGGGTTGACGACCTCCAGAGCCCTGCGGGCCTCCTCATTGCGCGATAGCACGTCCGCTAGTAAGCCCAGAATCTGCTCAAACATCTCATCTTCGACCCGCACAAATGAGACTATGGCGATCAGAAGCGACACCGTTGCGCTCCAAGTCTGTGCCGCAGATGCGAACCTGCCGAGACCACTTGACACCGTGCGAGATCCCGGCGCCTCGAGCTGCAGGCCCGAGCCAGGGGAATCCCCCACTCCTCCTCCCCGAACAGGTATCAGTATGCTATCCTCGCCGCCGATGCTGTGTTGTCCGCCCGGCATGGTGCCTCTCGACGTTTTGGGTGCGCCCATGCCGCCTCCACTCCTGCTGCTCTTTCGCGCCTCGTCCTTCATCCTGAAGCACCACTTCCCCAGCCCATCCCACCACTCTGTCTTGACTCGAGAGCCTAGGAAGTCGCCTGCGCTTTCACATAGTGCGGCCAGTGTCCCACACGCCGATATGACGACGTATGGCTCTGGATCGTGAAGTCTGCTCACGATGACGGGCCACACGTCGTTGACCAGCGGGAGGAAAGCGTTCTCGTCAGGCGCTAGCGCTGATGAGACCTTGGAGAGCAGGTCGAGCAGCTTTTTCCGCAGTGTCGGTGTGGGTGATGTGAGATAATGCTGCGTCAGGGATGTGATCTTGGCGAGGAGGGTATATGCAGGTGTCTTGGGGGGAGCCACTTCCTCGTTGTTGTTGGAACCTGGATCCTCAGACTCATCCTCGCCATCTTGCCTCGCCTCAAAAGCATCAAGCTCGTCTTTCGCAGACTTCCACGCTTCTTTCGGATAGTCGCGTATGATTTCCTCCACGTCTCCCTGATCCTCTGGTTCCCGCTTTCTCTTCGCTCGTCTGTCCAAAAAGGCAACTGTGTCATCAATACCACTGGACTCGAGTTGCCGTTTCCTGTGGTTCACTGTCTTGTCCTTTCCGTCCTCTATCAGTAGCCTGTCGGACTTGACGCCTTGCTCGACCACTTCCGAAAGGACGCTAAAGAGACTCTCCACGAAGGAAGAATATCCATGGTAGCTGTCTAGGGCAGCAAAGATTCCAGCAACGACATCGTCCAGATAGGGCAAGAGGCTCGGACCCGTGAGGCGGATCATCATTACGAGCACCTTTATTGACGCAGGTGAAACGTCGAACTGATTCAGGCGCAGCGAGACCGAGTTCACCATATAATCCACGTTGTCGATGATCAGCTCAGACACGCTACCGTATCCGCACGACGCAGCGAGACTGTTCAGAGTCGCGATCGCGTGACCTTTGAGTTCCGGTATTGGGGATCCCAAGAAGGTCGCCACGGGGTAGAGCACGTCTATGAGTTCCGGGCGGAAGGAATGGCCGAGACGATGGCCAGCGAAGGCGGTGACTTCCATCGCGATGGCCTCGAGGCGCCAGTCCACTTCGTCGGTGTCCGCGTCCGAGTGCGAGTCAAGTATGGAGACTGAAAAGGAATAGAGCTCATCGAAGACAGACTCTGCATCTTCAGGTGAGGATGGATCTGGCGCTGCGTCCGTGAGGTCCAGCAAGTCATCAACTTCGGAGGTCTTGGTGAAGGAAGCCTTGAGGAGCTCGAAAGAGAGCCAGTAGGCGGATATCTGGTCGACGCCACTGGTCTCGAGGATGAAGGGGAGCATTTCACCGGCTAGCTTGACTTGTTGTGATGCTGAGCCAACGTTCTGTATAAGATTCGCAATGTCTTTCCTCGTGCCCCGCTGGCTTTCTTGGGGCAGTAGGATTGGTCGATATGTCTGTAGGCCCTTGCTTGTCTCTACCATGCCTGTACTTCGCCAGAAGTTCTCGTCCACTTCGACTTCATTCTGGATCTTTGGGTTCTTTGAGTTGAGAATCAGGGACACAACGCTGTCCCTCAAAGCTGAGGAAAGTGACTCGTGAAGATTCGCGGATTGGATCTGCAGCGCAGACACTAGCTCGTTCCCCTTGATGATGTTGCGGATTGCTTGCTGCTTCACCCGCTCATCGCTAGACTGCATCATACGCGGCATGCCAGTGATCCAGTTATACACCGTGGCATTGATAGAATCCAACAATTCGGGATAAATTGTCGCCAGGTCTTGAAGCGAAGTACCGTAAAACCCTGTCCTCTCATCCCCGAGGACATCGATTCCGAGGCTGGGTTGTTCATTGTCTTCTTCGCGGAGCATTATGGCACTCTCGACAAGCATCGAAGTGCAATCCGACAGGGTGGAATGACACTCGTCCAAGAGGGTAATGCAGAGCCGATTCATGGATCTCAGAACGTCTGAGTCGCTATGATTTCTCAGCTTGAGAACAGTGGATAAAGCAGCCTTCACTTGCGCAGCTGTGGCCCTCAACCAGGAAGCCGTCAGCGCCTTGCCTCCGTCCTTGTCGTCGGCCGCGTCGCCGAGTCCAGAGCCGTCCGTCTTCACCTGCCGGAGCAAGTTTCGTCGTTTGAGATCTCCAAGGATTTTGGTAAGCACCACCCTGAGAACATTGACAGAATTAACCAGCACCCGCCTCTGTGCCCTGGTCGACAGAGGTGGGGAGAGGGCACGGGTCAGCGAAGACACGGTGCCAGGAAAGAAAGCAGCCAACACATCGTCCTGTTTGATAGTCGTGTACACAGCCAGAATTGCACGCAGAGCCTCAATTTGGATATCAGGGGTGCTCCCGCCGGTGACTCCATCCAGTATGACCGATACAGAGTGTCCAAACGACGGGATGATGTCCGCGTCCGTCAACGGAGAATCTTTCGCCGACAGCCCTGCCGCCTTGATCAGAGCCGTCAGAGCCCTGTACCCCTCCAGGATCGTCTCCTCGGGCTTCGTAGTTTGGCTCTGCTCCTTGCCCGGCACGCCGCCGACGATGAATGTCAAAAGAATGAGGAGCTGCTGCGACAGCTCTTTTGATATTCTGGACTTCCAGCCGTGCTGGATCAGGAGGCGGAGTGACTTGATGATGGTCTCGATCACCCGGATAGGAAGGGCATCACGCTGTCGCAATAGATGTGACAGCGGAAAGAACACATATTCTGCTATCTTGTCATCGAGCAGGGTGGCATCGTACTGGATTTGGTCTTCCAGGATGCCATTCAGCTGGTTCAGCAACTCCTGCAGCCGCTTGGCGGCGACGGTCTTGTCCTGGCCCTTGCTGCCCTGGAGGGCAAGCTTGCTGATCTCTACACAGACGGGTTTGAGCTGACTGCGGGTCAGCGAGGATCGTGGGGTTAATGGGTATCGCTGGGCAGGAGGCAGCGTCACTCACCTTTGCAAAGAATTGGTTCCTCGCTGACGGGGTAAATTCGGATTTTGGGCCAAGCTGTGAGGCCATCTCGACCGGAATGCCCTTGCTGCCCGGGCCGGGCGTCTTTTTGCTGCGATCAGATTTGAAGATGGAGAATAAGTGACTCTCAAGGTATCATGAGAGCCTCACAGGCTTATTTGTCAGAAAGATGTCAAAATGCCACAAGGATGAGCCGCGCTGGTGCAGCCTGTCCTTACCTACCTAGGCACCTAGGTACCTACTAAGCATGTGTGGGCGGGCGCTGCACCAGCCTGAGGCACCTGAGATCCAGGGCGCGAGACTGGGTTCAGCAGTAGTGGCAGGCGGCGTTTCGCTGGAACGAGACTCTGCCGCCAAGGCGGGGCCGGTTAGAAACGGTCTGGAAAGTGCGAAGACCCAGGCAACCGTTACGGCCCACCGTCGTCTACACTGTAGAAGCAGCATATCCAATGCACATGCATGTCAAGAAGTTGAAGCGGCATGCGGTTTATTAAGCAACTTGATATTTGATAACCCGCACCTGAACGCCAGCCGAAAGAAGTCTTGCATCATCAATCATCAACCGTCTTGGCAAGCCCCCTCGCGATCATGGCCGCAAAGCCCTTTTCTGTCACGGTACATCCGTACCCATCCAAAGTCAAGCACGCGTGTGCATACGAGCTGGGCCCGCCCCAAGCTCGCAACGCCCTTATCTTCGTTGGGGGCCTCGGTGATGGGCCTCATACTGTTCCGTACATCCGAACAGTTGCTGCCAAGATCGGGGCCGACGCGGGCCTCAGCTACTCTGTCTTTGAGATCCGCATACGCTCGTCCTTCTGCGGCTTCGGATGGAACAACCTGACCAAGGATGTTCAAGACATATCCTCTCTGGTCAAGTATCTACGAGGCATTGGCAAAGAGAAGGTGGTTCTCATGGGCCACTCTACAGGCTCACAGGTAGGTGCGAACTATCTCATCGCTTAACGTTGCGCATCACTCACCATAGACAGGACTGCATTGAGTATGCCGACTATGAGAAACATCAGAACGAACCCGTAGATGGCTTCATCCTCCAGGGTTCGGTCTCGGATCGGGAGGGCTTTTCCGTGGACCTTGGCAAAGACGAGGCGGATAGGATGGTCGCACTTGCCGCCGAGATGATCAAGGACGGCAGAAAAGACGACGCCGTTCCCAAGTCGAAACTATCCCGGCCACCGTTCCCCTGGCCTGTGACTGCGTATCGGCTTCATTCTTTGGCAAGCGTTGGGTGAGTTGCGCGGCTATTCCAGGTAGACATGAACGCAACGGGCTGACAACTTGCGCTCCTCTCAGCGGCGACGATGATTATTTTTCGTCGGACATTCCTGATGAGAAGCTCGCTGCAATCTGGGGCCGGGTCAAACAGCCCATCATGGTTGTGCCATCTGCTGAGGATCAATATGTACCCAAGACTGTCGATTTCGAAAAGTTGCTGGCCAAGTGGAAATCATTCTGTCCTTCCATGAGCAAACTATCGGGCTTGATCCCTGGGGCAAACCACACTGTCGATGCCGAAGCATCCCAAGACTGGCTAGGGGGCAGAGTGGTCAGCTTTTTGAAGAGCTTGGACGGCCCGGACAGCATCCCGGGATAGCCCCCTTCAAGGAAGTATGATAGAAGGCAAGCAAGGCACAGGGGGGTTCGCAATAACAATTTATCACTCGTTGGAAGGCGGCTGGTTGGTTGTGATGGGGCACGTCGATCCACAGGAGATGGTGTTGATTTGTGTTTTGTGGGGAGGATCGCATATCAGATGAAGTTAGAGGACCAGTGTGACAAAGCCACTCACCCCCACCACCGTGTGTATTGATCTGACATAAGGACTCCGGCCGCCCATGCCCATCTCAGGGTCCAACTTGGGTGACGTTCAAGTCAGGGCTGTCAGGTTCAGGCCAGGCACCACAACGGGCTCGAACCTAATCGTGTTAATGACCCAAGTTTATGCGTGCTCCTAGCGCCCATGCTGGCGTGTGCCATGACCCATAGTGGCTGGCGGCTGATCCCAGCACGGGACTCGGGCGCTGAGGGGGAGGAGGCATTGCCCAGGCACCCAACCAGCTGGCCGGCCAACTCATCAGGGACCAAGCTGCTGCATATGGCACGGAGTACTATGTCTTGGGCTGCCTGGGTGGGTGGGGTGCCAGACTCCGTACAGCAATACTGCATGCGCATTTAGATACCAATGAAGCCAGGTTGAGCTTGCGTCACGACACGCATTCGGCCCCATGCGACGACAGCAGCCACAGCAACAGCGAACAGCGGACAGCGACAAGTCCTGAGCATCTACTCAGCCCAGCCAAGCACAAGCCAAGCACACTCAACTCCTGCCGCTTTTCCTGCCCCCTTCCCTCTCCAAGCAAGACATAGATGCACCGCACGGCGATGGCATCGTTATAGCCAGTGTTCGACCAATCCACCCTGCCTGCCCGCCTGTGCCTTGTTCTTGATCTAGGCTGCGACCCGCTCTCGACGCCGCCGCCGACGCCGACACCGACACCGACCCCGATATCCCTTTACCTAAGCGACCCCTATACTCCACCGACGCTGCCCTCAACGCCCAAGTCCCACCTCCATTTCCCTCGACGCCGCTCCTCCTCCTCCCCCTCCTCCCCCCCCCCTTTCCTGCTCGATACTCGGCCCAGCCTCAGGCTCAGAGAGGCTCCCCAATACCCCCCCAGAGACCAAGCCACCGCGATGGCTTCCTACGGCCACCCTGCGCCGGTCGCCGCCCCGAGACATGGCCAGGCAGTCACTTACGGCGCACCTATTCCGGTGGTGCCAGGTTCCGGCGCTCCTGTCGGCACCTTTGCGCCCGGGACCAAGATCCAGGTTGGCAGCCATCGCGTGGTGATCCAGAAGTACCTGTCAGAGGGAGGCTTCGCCCATGTCTACCTCGTCAAGCTGCCCAAGCCGGTCGACGGCACGGACCTGGCCGTGCTGAAGCGTGTTGCTGTCCCGGACAAGGACGCCCTGCGAGGCATGCGCACCGAGGTTGAGACCATGAAGCGGCTCAAGGGGCACCGCCCAATCGTCACCTACATCGACTCGCACGCCTCAGAGCTTAGGGGCGGCGGCTACGAGGTGTTCCTGCTCATGGAATACTGCAACGGCGGCGGCCTGATCGATTTCATGAACACTCGGCTACAGCACAGGCTCACCGAGCCCGAGATCCTCCAGATATTTACCGACGTCGCAGAGGGTGTTGCGTGCATGCATTACCTGAAGCCCCCATTACTCCACCGCGACCTGAAAGTCGAGAACGTCCTCATCAATGCGACGGCCTCGAAAAAGAAGTTCAAGCTGTGCGATTTCGGCTCCGCTGCTCCGCCGAGAGCTGCCCCAACAACTGTCGTCGATTGTCGGCTGGTGGAGGAGGATGTCCAGAAGCACACGACCATGCAATACAGGAGCCCGGAGATGATCGACGTGTACCGAAAGCAACCTATCGACGAAAAGTCAGATATATGGGCGTTAGGCGTCTTGCTGTATAAGCTGTGCTACTACACAACCCCCTTTGAAGAGCAGGGCCAGCTTGCCATCCTCAATGCAAGCTACAGGTTTCCCAGCTACCCAGCCTTCTCGGATGGGCTGAAAAGGCTAATTGGTGCGTCATGGCCCTGGGGAGATTAGGCCTGGGTGAGGATGAGGCTAACAAACGCTGCAGCATCCATGTTAAAGGAGAATCCGCAGGCCAGGCCAAACATTTATCAAGTCCTAAAGGAAGCCTGTGCCATGCAGGGCCGCGAGGTTCCCGTTAAAGATGTATGGTCTGCCTTCGCACACCCCCTAGCTGCGCTTCCCGCTCACACGACATCTAGATTTACACAGGGAAGTCGAGGTCGGAAGGACGGCCTCAGGAAGCCCCTCGGCAAGAACCCGCCGCTGCCGTTGTCGGAGCTGTGTTCTCGCCACCACCACAGCATGAGGCAGTCATACCGGATATCCAACCCATGCGGCGGGGCAGGCCACAGGCTTCGGCTCCGCGCCCGAACCCATCTCCGAAGCCAACGCCCATGGCGGGCACTGACGGTGACCCTTTCGCTGCGCTAGACGCCAATGCCAGTTTGAAAAGTGGCGACGAGCTGTCGACTCGATTTCCAACGCTCGATCAGTTTTCGATATTGCATGAAAAGGGCGTTGCCTTTGACTTTGACAGTTCCAGTTCGCCAACGGTTCCGAAGAAGGATGGCGGAAATGTAGCAGATGAGGCATTTGTCGTGCCTCAGAGCCAGCTCTCGCAGCCGCCATCAAACAGTAGGATATCGGTCGATGTGAACCGCGGCCCCACCTTGCCCTCGTCATCGCCAGAAAGGCAGTCTACTCTGCCAATGAAGCCAGTGAAGAGCTCGTCTGCTCCCCCTAAACCTACCGAGATGAGCCGCGCATCAGCTATCATCAAGAACACACCAGAGCTGCAAGCCATCTCCTCGGGCTCAGCCCAGGGTTTTCAATCTACTCCCGCTCGCTCAAATATGGTATCAACGGGCACGATGACGACTCCACCTCCAGAACGGCAGGCCTCTACTACTCCGTCGCAGTACCAGATATACCGCTTCCCCCCAAACGACCACCGACGGTCCTCGAGCGTCTCGAGACAGCAGCAGCAGCCCCAGCAACCGCTTCAGGACATTCCACTGCCAATCCGCACGGAGTCTCCGGCCTTGCGGCCTGCCGCATCCCCTCGCATATCGTCCTTCCAGGGCCACTCTCGGCAACCGTCCTCGTCAAGGCCTTCACTTGAAGGGGGGCGGCCCAGTTTGGAAACCTTGGAGCCCATCACAAAATCGAGGTCGATTTCTGGACGTCCGCGCCCAGTGAGCACCCATCTCGAGTCTAACTTGGATTTCCTTCGCGAGCAGGAGAAGAACTCGAAGCCATTAGGCTCCCCAGTCCTTCCCTCGCCGAAACTGCCTCCTGCAGAAAGAGCACCGTCACCAAGTTTACTTGACGACGACATGAATATCGAATCGAATGTTGACTTCCTCCGCTCGATGGAAGACACTCAGCCGCGGAAGAGTTTGGAAGGCAAACGATCCAGTCTTTCTAATCTCGGGAAGAAGTCTATCTTCGCTGGGAAATTTGGCGATGCTTTCAAACGATTTGAAGGTAGCCAGTCCGAAGCACCGCCTCCAGATCGCACTCCTTCACCATTCAAGGTCATGGAGCGTAGAGACCTGACGCCAATCGCTGGGTCGGAAGCCACGGACGGTCGAAGTGATGATGGTCAGGTCCACGGTGAGTCCGACGAGCTGACACCAGCAATGCGCCGGGAGATAGAGCAGAGGCAGCTTGAGGAAGAAGAAAGAAGGGTTGCTGCTGCGCAAGCTGAATACCGCGCGCGGCTTGCCCAGCGTGGGGGAGCAAAACCTGGACCGCCTCCTGTCGGTGGCTCTTCAAGGGCAGTCGCAATACAGAACAAGGTGCAAAGTCTTTTGGATGAGAACGCACGGTCGTCCTCAAATGTGAAGAAGACGGCAGAGGGTTATGGCCAATACACGAGACCCGCCGCGAGCTCTGCGCAACCCGATACGAGACCAGAAATACCGCGCAAGCCGATTGGTAGCAGCGGAGGCTCCACGGGAGCGCCTCGTCCGATGTCCAGCTCCAGCTCCCTCAATCGAGCTGCAGGCACGGCAGGGCCGGATTTCTCAAAACCCACACCGCCGCCTAAAGACCCTGTACACAGACCGACGGCGCCACCAAAGCCAGGACATCTGAATAAGACCTTGACGAGCAGCAGCAGTAATCACACGCTCAGGTCGTCGTCGCCGCCCAAGCAGGGCATGAGCACCACCGGGATGCGGCAAACGGGCAAGTTGGAGGCACTCATAGCCGCTGACCTCCCCGGCCAGCCAGTCCTGGATATGACGGCTGAGGAGAAGGATGATTACGTCCGCGACTTCTCCAAGAGGTTCCCCAGCCTGACATCAATCGAGATGGTCGAACGAGACTTGTCTGCCGAGGAGAACAACAAGCCCACGGGGAGATAGAGTACACCCTGGACTTGGTCGTCTAGGCGCTTTTCCCGTCTTTATGGATACTAGGAGTCGGCGGCGGCGAATGGTGTCGGCGGTGCCATCTTAGAAGACAGTGGGTCTGGAGAAGACTAGGATCTTGGATCGCGGAACGAAATGTATCAAGAGATGAGTGTGTTGCATGGCTGTTCTTTGCTCCCATGAGATTAGCGACTTGCTTGCTTTTTGTCCATAAGATGTCGCGGCTCATCAATCAAGGAGCCGAGTTGCGTTGGGTAAAGCCGGAGCATACACACACACACATACTTAGATTTTGAAGAAATTCGATCATGAATACAGTAGAAAGCAGCAAGTCAAGTTCTATCAACAACGGTCTGCGACCTTGCCAATTCGGCAACTGACACGCATATCTTCGTATGCCCTCAGAGGCCTTCTCTGGTCTATGTAGCACCGTTTTTGTAGACATCCCAGTATGGGATCCGTCAAGTCGAATCGGCTACATGAGTGCTGCTCAAGTCACCAGTCTGGCCGACAGACGCCCCTGCCACCTAGCTCAACGATGACCTCGGTGAGGTAATAGTGGACACAACCAAAACGACTCCGGGAGAAACCTAGTTCATGAACTGCCCGGTGAAGACCCCTTCAGGGTCCCATTTCATCTTCAGTGACTGGAGCTTTTCCAACTTGCCCTTGCCTCTGAAACGAAGTTCGATGGGGCCAGTCCTGGTTGCGTTTTGGAAGTCGGCATACTCGGACCGGTCTGGGCCTCTTGCGATGGCAATACACTCTGCATTTAGCTGGGCAACCTTTTGGTGGCTCGAAGCGTCAGTATACCAAATTATGTTGTTCCTGTGGGCCACCAAAGAATTAGCACAAGCTCCCTAGCTTGCAGGGGCATATTGATCAGCCTGGGTCGGACTTACTGCCAGAATCTGATATCATGGAGAGAGTTGGCTGACTCAAAGGAAGGCTGCTTTGGAGGGCGCGAGTCCCACTGAAAATTGAAGGTGGTGTTGATGGCATCGGGACACTCTTCCATGAGGCGCTTCCACACCTCGATGGTGGCGAGGAACCTCTCGATATCGAAGCGCCTCAAACCCACGGTACCAAATGTCTTGAAGCCGCCCTTGGCCTCCAGTGCTTCTCGGCCATCACTGACATTCTGTATGGGAACAGGCCCGCCGTCAGCAATTATTGGCTTCAGTTCATAAAGCGCACTAAAGGCGGTCGTTGCGTCGTCCGGGTTGCCGATATACCTCGCGGCGACCACCAGAGCAGGCTTCCGGGCGGGCGGCGGGCACGAGGTCATCAGCAGGCCAGCCGTGGCCTTGGTGCCATCTTCTACGATGTATTTCATCGCCTGTGCAACTTCCAGTGCCATTTCCATGGGGAAGACGAAGCGCCCGCTCCAGATGACGCCGTTGTCGTTACCGAGCTCGGTCAGCGGCCAGACCTTGATTGTCAGCTCTGTTATGAGCCCGAAGAACTGGCCTGCTCCTCGGATCGCATAGAGGAGGTCTGGTTGTCTCTCTTGCGTGATTTCCACCAGGTCTCCCTGCGCATCAATCATGCGCGCGGCTACAATCTGGTCCGAGCCGTAACCTGTGAGGGAGGTGGTGATTGAGGCCCCTCCGTTCAGGAAATATGGGATAGCCCCGACCTGAGTTCCATTGCCAATAGCTGGGTAAACACAAAATCAGAGATGCTCTTATCATATGATGGAGAGGGTTGTCTAATCATACCGGCAAAGTAACCATTTCCCGCAAGGTGCACGGCGACAGCCTTGGACAGAATGCTGCCCCTGAGCTTCGCAACTGGCCCTGATGAGTCTACCGTGATCCCAGAATAGTTGCTCAGGTCGATGATGAACCCCTCCTCTCCTATCGTCGACCAGGTGCTATGCCCGCCTGATTTGGCGACAAAAGGCACCGAGTGCTTGACGGCCCAATGAACCTAAAATACTGTCAAAATTCCCAACTTCAAAAAGGCCCAATGACCAGGGCCCGGAGTCAGCCAGCATACCGTGCTCTGTATCTGTTCTTCTGTCCGGGGCAGAACTATGGCTGCTGGGACTTTTCGGTCGATGTCAGACCATCTCTTGGAGTACTCATGAAAGCGGGCATCGTGCTTATCAGTCAGGATCTCAAGGTCTGGACCGACGTAGCCTTGAAGCCCACCAAAGATGTGAGACTCTAGCCTTGGCGGCATAACTGGGTACTTAAGTATTCTACCAGACTTTATGAGGAGAGATTTCACCTGATGTATTTTCCGCGATTCTGGACTGTGAGCAAGCATAAAATGCGGAGGAGGGATTTGAGATGAGCTCGATGCTTACGAGAGCACAACATTCAACCGAATCCTTCTCCACCAACGGGTTCCTAGGACTCCTTTGTTGGGTTCAGTTTTGGTTAGTGAGCTCCACTCAATGCTCACCACATGTACTTAGGTACTTAGGTATGCTCAAGTATGAATTGGCAAAGCTTCGTGCCGACAGATAGGATTTATGGGACAAGTGCAAGGAGCGATGGTGGCCGGGTGACTATTGATGTCAAGAGCTAGCTCCCTGTCATGTTGATTGCCCACCGTGGGAACCCTTCATAGGAAAACAAGACAGAATTTCAACATCTTGCTCCTTCAGAGTTCGTTAGATTTGTACTTCTAGAGGGCCCACTAACCTGCGAACAGGGATCGTATCACAAAGGCCCCTTCCCCTTGTGGCCGGCCATCCTTCGACAGAGCGAGCACATGCAAAGTCCAAACTAGTACTGCCCCGCCTATGGCAACACTTTTCCATTGGATGACTCCAAGAACAACCATATCCGACAATCTCGTGCTAACCCGGAATTGTGCCTGTCTGAGCAATCAGTCATTCTTCCAAAAGGGATCTCATATGATAAGGTTCAAGTTAGAGTGATGTTAATTACTGGACGGGTCTACGAGGCATGGAAAGATTGATATAAAGTCGTACATTAGTACTGTTGGGTGTCCGTCTCAGTCACCACTGCTGGTGCCATGGGCTTCGTTCCAGACAGATCATATGAATCATCAGTAGTAATATCTATCGCAAGATTCAGTTCCTCCAATCTCCCAATGTTTTCCCAAGGGTTCATTAAAGCGGTCTCAGATGCACCACTCCCTCACCGCATCGGAGATTCCAAGGAGCAAGCATTGTAAAATGCAAGTGGGCTGATCCATGGATGCCTCACTTTGGTGCTGGGCTTATTAGTAGAGAAGTCAGTTGCTGTATTCTTGGTCCATTTTAGTCCATCTACCCGATATTCAGTGGTCCTCCGATTCGGAGCCGAATTGCCGGCCGGGCTGTGCCTGATCAGAGATGCCGAGACGACTGCGCAGTGACGTCCCCCGGCGACCCGTCTCGGCACACATTGACGAGGAGGGTGGGAGCCGTTCTTGGGCGACAGCACAGAGACCCTCAGAGGTTGACATCTGAACGTGAGCTCGAGCAGGCCCTGAGCAGCTCGTGACCTGGACCAGTTGACGACCATGCTGCTCCTTTCTCCCGTCATCGTCTGGCCCTCGCTTCTGCTACTCGCAGGCATATTCGTCCTACAACGCCTTCGCTCACCGCTCGCCAGCGTGCCCGGGCCATGGTACACGCTCTTCACCTCGCTCCCGCTCAAGTGGCACGAGTTCAACGCGAATCGCACGCGCCACATCCACGCACTGCACCTGCGCTATGGGCCGGTGGTGCGGATCGCGCCCAGGGAAGTCGCCTTCGCCTCGGCGGCGGCAGTCAAGGAGATCTACTGCTCCGGCGGCAGCGGCTACGACAAGACCGAGTTCTACGACCTGTTCACCGTGTATGGCCGCCGGACCATGTTCAGCACCCTCAACAAGGAGGACCACGCCCGCCGGAAGCGCGTGCTGGCCGACCGCTACGCCAACAGCAACGTCATGAAGCCCGAGAGCCTCGGCGGCATCCAGGAGCGCAGCGCGCGGCTGCTGGAGCTGGTGCGGCGGAGCGCCACGGGGGCCGGCCGCGGGACCCTGGACCTGTACATCACCCTGCACTCGTATGCATTCGACTGCGCGTCGCACCACCTGTTCCACCCGTTCGGGGCCAACTCGCTGCAGAGCTGCGAGGATGAGGAGATCATGCGGGAGGTCACCTTCGACTCCTCGCTGCAGAACCGCCTGGTAAGGTACTACAGCCCCGCGGCGCACAGGGTCATGGGCAGCGTGCTGAGGCTGTTCGGCGCCACGCCGAGGGAGACACCCCTCGCGGATAAGTTTGTGCTGGACAACAGTGTCAGGGGCCACGATGCGAGGAGCTTCACGCTCCTGAGCAGGCTGAGCGACAAGTCCTGGGACCTGGAGAGCCTCAGCATCGCTGCCGAGTGCCTGGATCACATGGCCGCGGGGATCGACACCACCGGGGACGCCCTCTGCTTCCTCATGTGGGAGCTCAGCCAGCCGCGCTCCCGGGGGTTCCAGGACAGGCTGCGGGAGGAGCTCCGTGGCGCGGGAGCTGCCGAGGCGTGGGATAAGCTTCCGTACCTGGACGCTGTTGTCATGGAGGGGCTCAGATGCTTTCCGGCCATCCCCATGTCCCTGCCTCGCTACGTGCCCAAGGGCGGCAGGACGATCGACCGACACTTCATACCCGAGAAGACAATCGTCAGCTGTCAGGCACACTCTGTCCACCGCATCGACGAGACGGTGTTCCCCGAGCCCGAGCTGTTTGACCCAGGCAGATGGCTCGTACGGGAAGGGGACGCCGAGAGGAGGAGATCATTCTTTGCCTTTGCAAACGGGGGCCGGGGATGTGTGGGCAAGCATCTGGCGCTCGCTGAGATGAAGATCCTGCTGAGGGATGTGTATTCTGCGTTCAGCACGCTCCCGGACCCAAGCATGTCTGCGGCGGAGATGGAGATGTCGGACCAGCTGATCTCGTCCAGGCCATTAGGGCAGAAGTGTCTGTTGCGGTTCATTCCTGAATCTATACATATATAAAAGTATGTATGTGCCCATATATAGTAACTGATACATTATCCTGGAGTATATCGGAAGTGATACCAACAGGGGCTATCCCGCATACAAAAGACTCCGAAGCAACCGCCCAATGCTATGCTGTAGGCTGGGTGGACCAGTCACACCAAAATGTTTGAGATCTGGGCTGGGAGGCTCTGTTGGAAGCGCAAGCAGCTAGGCAGTCACTCAGTTTGTAACATGCAGGAGATGACCAAGGGGCTCCGAGGCCAAACAGTCATCTTGAACCACTCAGCCTTCCAAGCCTGCCCAGGTGATGAGTGCAGGCTGTGTGACATCGGCTAGCTGCAGGGCTGACCTGTCACGAAGATGCACAATGTGTTTGGCTGTGGGCATTGAATCATGATATTTGCCTGCTACTGGTGGCCGGCAATATAGTGAGGCCGAGGAATTACTCTACGAGGTGGTGCCCGGCGGGCTATTCAAGGTTTATTTGGGGATTCTGCAGCAGGGCGGTTAGGCAAAAGCATAACGAGGCAGAAAGTGTGACAGATCAGACCGAGCGAGTCTGGTTGGTTCGGTGTCGACTTTTGTTGGAGACGGGGGGCCTCATACGAGCACGCACCGCTAACAGCTACAGTCTCTCGCACACGGTAGCAGGATAGCCGCTTGCGTTCAGCCCTTTCATTAGAGCTGCCGCCCACGTTGGCTCGCCTGGCACGCTGGGGCCTTTTCTCACCAGCCAGGGCCAAATTGGCCCAGCCAGGCTGGCCCGTCTAGGAGCGACCGTTCCGTTCCTTCTCGAACGGTACGTCTCAGGTGACGGCTATTCTAGTAGCAAGTCACGGCGGGGCGGGCAGCGGCACTGTGAGTGACTTTGGAGGGGTGGCCTCGCCCGTAGTGGCCGCCTGCCGCCTGCCCGCCTGACTAAGTCGGCTGCGGGCGTGGGTGGCACGGTGGGTCCACAGTACCACAGCCTGCCCGTCTGGCCTGCTGGCCCGTTTTGTTCTCTCTTTTTTCAAAGAGTCTCCAATTTTCTGCCTGGGAACAAAAACGTGCCTCCTCTTCCCTCCTCTTCCCCTCGCACACACCACTCGACTTCTCAACTCATCATCCATCGCACTCCCACACCTGCGCTGGTAGTTTTCCCATCAACCGCCACGACAGCCCGCATCTGCGTCGGATTGATTCATCGAGGCATTCCCACCCCCATCACTGCCGCACAGCTCCGTCTCGGCCCCCTCGCCTGAACCCAAGCCAGCCCCGCCACTCCCGAAGCCTGCTCCCTACGAGTACGGTCATTCCTCCTCGCAGCCACAGCCCGAGTCATCGTCGGTCCTGCTCCGCTCTCCCTTGGCTCTTCACCGACTGTCAACAGTGACAAGTCACTCATCGACGCTGCAAACTCATCCCCTCTGGAGGAGTCGTCGAGAAACCCCCCTCAACACCCCACGTCTCAGGAACAAGACACAGAAGCTGTTTATGTATCAGCACGACAAAATTCCCGTCCACCGACACTCCGACCCTCCCCTCAAGCTACAGCTCTTTCGCAACCCGCGGAAGCCTTGTAGCCCCAATCCCAGCCCCGACGGTTGAGCAGAATAGACAACAAGCGCCCGACGCATTCATGTTCATGCCTACCTACCAGCCTAACATACAGGTCTGTCCTATGTTGAAGCAAAGCCCCGTCTACCATTAACGCCTTGGCTCGCTCTGCCCGCCATCTCTTCGTCTCCTACTCGCCTCCCCAGCGCAGGATTCATGTCACCTCAGTCTATACAAGTCCAATAACTTGGTTCACTTGCCGCTCCCACCGCCTCGATCTAAAAATCACCTCTCGTCTATCCCTAGAAAGCCAAAGTTCTACCGTACAGTCGTCAGACTCTATCCGCAACCATGGCTCCCCTTCTCAACGTTCGCCGCGATGTCAGCGACCCCTTCTATCGCTACAAGATGGAGCGCCTTCAGACAAAGGTCGAGGGCAAGGGCAACGGTATCAAGACCGTCATCGTCAACCTGAGCAGCGTTGCTCAGTCCCTCGCCCGCCCCGGCTCCTACCTGATCAAGTACTTCGGCTTCGAGCTTGGCGCCCAGACCAACATCGATCCTAAGGATGACCGTTGGATCATCAACGGTGCCCATGAGTCTCCCAAGCTCCAGGACCTCCTTGATGGCTTCATCAAGAGGTTCGTCCTGTGCCACAAGTGCAAGAACCCAGAGACCGTCGTCAACATCAAGGATGGCCACATCATCCTTGACTGCAAGGCCTGCGGCCAGCGCTCTGACGTTGACCTGCGCCACAAGCTCAGCGGTTTCATCCTGAAGAACACGCCCAAGAAGGGCAAGAAGGACAAGGCCGAGCGAAAGGCTGCCCGCAAGGCCAAGCAGAACGGCCAGGCCAACGGCAACGGAAGCGGCAGTGGCGACGATGACAACTCCAACCACTCCGGCGAGAAGGAGAACTTTGAGGACAGCGGTGATGCCAACGGCGAGATCGCTAGCGACGATGACGCCTTTACCCGCAAGATCAAGACTGAGGCTCAGGAGATCGAGAAGGTCGAGGTCAAGGAAGACGAATGGGCGGTCGACATGAGCGAGGAGGCCGTCAAGGCCCGACAGCAGAACCTTCCTGGCGAGTTCAAGCAGAAGCTCGTCCTCAACGGCGAGGACGAGGACGAGGAGGGCGAGGGCGGTGGCAACACCGTCTACGACCAGCTCGGCGACTGGATCCAGGAGCAGGCCACCGAGAAGGGCGATGTTGACAAGGTTGAAGACCTGAGCATCTACGTCAAGGCCAAGGAGCTCGGCATTGAGAGCAAGCATCGGACCGTCCAGGTGCTGGTCATGACCTTGTTCGATGACCGCATCCTTGCCCAGATCCCCAAGCGTGCTAGCATGCTGCACAACGTGAGTGCTTGACATGCCCAATCTCAGAGGTCGTGACGTGTGTGTTGCTAACACTTCTTGATTGTAGATCATCGGTGAATCCGAGCGTCACCAGAAGGCTCTCCTGGGCGGCACCGAGCGCCTCATCGGTGAGCGTATCGCCGGTCAACCCGAGTTCATCGACAAGATTGTCAAGATTCTTGGCCTGTACTACCAGCATGACCTCGCCTCTGAGGAAGTCATCACCAAGTGGGGTGGCAAGGCCAGCAAGAAATACGTCGACGTGGCCACTTCTCGTAAGATCCGCAAAGCCTCGGAGCCCTTCCTCAAGTGGCTCGAGGAGGCTGAGGAGGAGGACTCCGACTCCGACGAGTAAGGCCTCATCTGCCTGTCTTGTTTCCTTTCGGCTGGGCGGGATGAATTGATCATCGGTCCTGCGAGGCACTCTTCACAGTGTTTATGCATTCTGGTTACATTGGAATAGTTCAGTTGCCACCAAACAGATTGACACCCAACGTGGCTTATCATTTTCGTTTCGTTCGCGGGGAACGGTTTCCGTGGGCTACACAAAATTTCATGCTGAATCTGGCATTATTAGGTAGTTTTGCGAAATATTAACTCGCCACTCTGAAAAGTCTTGTTCATACTCTGGTCACTCCGACTGCCTGCCTGCAAGTGACCTGACCTTAGTCACAGAGACCGTTGAAGGCCAGGCCACAAGCCAATGGGCCCGCCACGTGTGTGTGCCGTTGACGGAGCCGTGGTCGGCCTACTTGCTAGCTTGGAGGTACGGCCCGACGAATGGATACAGGAGGCCAAAGAGCCGGTGTCGAAATTTGTCCCACAGGACTGGACTGGACTGGACTGCTTGAATGGATAGATTGGCCAATAGGAACCACGACTTCTAGTTGGATCGGGAAAGAAGAATTCTCTAATCAAACTCCGTAGTGCCTACCTAGCTGAAAGATATGCAAGCTAGCTAGCCACGCGGCTCTGCTTGTCAATCTCGGCTGGAAAACTTCCAACTAGTAACGGTCCATGGTTCCTAATTGGTGTTCTTCTCATGGGCGCAACTTGATACGGATCAGTCACATCCTTGCGATCGACCCGTTCAACTCTCATGCCCAGCGACCTTGTACTCTCTGTTCAAGGCAAAGAAAACCAACGCAAACGGGAGAAGCAGGAAGGAAACAGTAAAATCATACAGAGGCCCAGAGCGCCGACGTTTCAATGCTCGTGCCACGAGTCTCAGTCACCTCCAGTGACCACAGCAACGACACGGCGGATACCTAGGCCGACCCCAGTACTGCCACTACCAATTTATTGCCGCACCTTTGGTGTCGTTCGCGGCGTCGAGCCCCCACGAGAAACCGGCCGTCGGTCCATCGTTGTTTGACGGGTTGCTGTCCCATCCTCCCCCGGTACCTCCACCTCCAGTATTCCAATTGTCCGTTTGGTTTCCACCTCGGTTGCTCCCTCCTCCCCAGCCTTGACCACCGTCCTGGCCAGGGGGAGCGCCCCACTGGCTGCCATTGTTTCCAGCAGCGGGAGAGTTGTTATGACCATGGCCGTTCCGATCTTGAGATGGCTGGTTGGATCCGCTGGCCTTTCGGGATTGAGGTCCTGCGCTGTTGTCCCAGGCACCTGGCATACTGCCTGAAGGACCATTTTTGTTGGTATTGTTGCCGTGGCCACTTGTCCAGTCTCCACCGCCCCATCCGCCACCAGTGTTGCTCGGAGGCTGAGAGTGGCGAGAAGCTGGCCTGGATCCTGGAGGTCCGCCCCAGTTGTTCTCTCCACGGGGACTATTGCGGGTTGAGCCTGGTTGACCCCAGCCTTGGCCCCCGTTTGCACTTCCACCCCCAGAGTGGCGAGAAGCTGGCTTGGATCCTGGAGGTCCGCCCCAGTTGTTCTCTCCACGGGGACTATTGCGAGTTGAGCCTGGTTGACCCCAGCCTTGGCCCCCGTTTGCACTTCCACTCCGAGGACTGTTCCGGTGTGAGCCTGGCGCGTTCCAGTCTTGGGTTTTGTTGGCATTGCCTTGGGACCCATGATGAGATCCGGATCCCCAGTTCTGGTTGCCACTTGCTGCATTGCCGCCAGTGTCGTTCCAGCCGCTGTTCCCAGAATCTTTCCATCCAGAATTTCCTGATTGCTCTCCCCAAGCGTTATCACCTGCTTGGTTGCCGCCCTGCTGGTTCCAGCTGTCACCTTGGCCGTTGTCTTGGAACTGGTCAGCCACGAATAGTGATCCTGGAAGGGGTTAGGATCATACTTACTCCAGCCACCACTCTGGCTGCCTTTCGCGCTCTTGGAGTTTGCTGGGAAAAGTCAGCTACCTGTTGATCAACCTGGAAAAAGCAAAAACGGGATCAGATGAACGTACTGGACTTTTTCTCATGCAGGAAGCTAAAGTCATGTTCTTTAGGCTTACTGTCTCCTCCCCAACCGTCGCCACCTCCGTTCGCATTTCCGTCGTTGCCCCAGCCCTGGTTACCACCCCCCGAATTCCAGGCTTCAGTATTGCCTTTGGGGGTATTCTTATGCGACAAGTTCGAGGGCCCCGCGTTTTTGGTGGCTTGCGATCGTTCTTTGGCCTCCTCGTGGGCCCGATGTGCTCGAAGCGCGGGCGGCGTCCCAGGCCAACGTATTCCACTGAGCCCCATTCCATTTCCAGGTGGACCGCTTGGGTTTTGGCCAACAGGTGTACCTGGAGGAGGTCCAGCAGGACGTGCTCGAGGTGAAGGGCCACCTGGAGGGAAGTAAGGGTAATGGGGATGGGGTGGATATGGGGGGAAATGGCCATAGTGGCCTGGTCCAGCCCAGCCAGGAGGGTGCCACATGTCAGGTCTCGCAGACGGCGGCAGTGGCGACAACTTGGAGGGGTTGACAGCACCATAGAGCTCGCCTGTGTGGTTGCCCCAGACCGGTCCATGGTAAACTCGCAGGATACCCTTGCCACTGTCGATGAAGGCGTTGGGCCTCGGATCGTTGGGCCCCTCAATTGTGTGCTCGCATTGGACAACATTGGACCTTATGGGCATGATGAGATTCGGTTCCATGTTCTTGGGGTATGTGGGTAGCTTGAATGCCGATTTGTCGACGGCCTGTTTTGTTTCGACGGTCTTGGGCGAGAGCTTCTTGTTCTCTTTAGGGGTTGACTTCTGGCCCTCTTGGGCTTGGCCTTTATTCTTCTTCTTCTGTTTCGAAGGCGCTTCTTTGACCTCTTCTGTAGCCTCAGCCTCAGCCTCAGCCTCTGTCGTTTCGCTGGCTTCCGTTGATGTCGCTTCGGCGTTCTTGGGGTTCCCTCCCTTCTGCTTGCCCTTTTGTTTCTCCTTGTCGCCCTTATTGAAAGCTTCATCCTTTGCCTTTTTTGCATCGAGCTTTATCATGGCCTTGAGAATCCTGCGTCCCTTGACACAATCTTTGCAGTCGCATGTCTCGTGGGGGAGGGCGTCCTTAGCGGCCGAAGAATCTTCGGAATCGGTCTCCTTCTTGCAGGTGGGCGCTGACTTTGGCCTCTTGTCTCCTCTGTGCTTCTTCTTCTTCTTGACCCAGACCTCGTCTTCAGAAGTATCACTCTCGTCAAGGGCTGACGACTCATCCTTTTCGGTCGTCGCATCGTCTTCAGAGGTGTCCTCCACAAGTGTGTCAGAAGACTCGCTTGGGCTCGCTGCCTGCTTCTTAAGGGCTGACTTGAGTGGCTTCCGATCGCCATCGAAGCTGACCTTCTTGCGAGATGATGATGACTGCGGGGTGGCCTGCCTGGTTGATCTGCTGGCTCCGCGTCGTCCTGGGTAGGTGATCTGGAGAGTCTCATCGCCAGAAGCCTCGTCTTCAGAGAGGGAGACCTTGAGGATCTGCGTTTGACTTGAGCGCCGTGGGATGCTCTTGAAGTTCTGTCCGACCATCCACTCCCCAAAGGAGTTGGGCGGCCAGGCTGCCCCGCGACCCATGGCGCTGAGCTCCCGGGCGGCGGTTTGTGATGGGTGTTTGGACTGCTTGGCGAGTTGTAGAAGAAGGGCAGGAATTGGAGGTTTGGATTGCAATCGAGAGTTGGGCCAGAAGCTCACAGGTGCCAACTTTGAAGTGGGCGCCTGGTCAGAGGGGAGCTGTTGCTGCGGTGGGGAGGGAAGGAGCGCCGTTTGGTGGCACTTCCATCTGCTCGCTACCTACTTGGGTCGGTATTGACTTGTTGGGATTTCAAGCACGCGTAAACCCTGCAGACTCGCACCATCATCAGTCCCCGAGGTCTTCACAGCCTTGCCCTCTCCCTCGACTCGCCCTGCTCCCACCTCCTGTTAGTCCTCCAATTCACTGCGAGGCTCCACAACCCAGCAGCCACAGCCAGCGGCGGGCAGACCCAGAGCGCCGTGCTCCACCACCACGGACTCGTCGCCCTGATCTCGACCATGACCTTGTCGATCTCCCGCCTCAGCTCCTCCTTGTCCCCGTCGTTCCACACGACGACCCCCCTCCCCTGCCCCCTAGCCTCGCACCTCCTCGCCTTCAGCCTCACGTCCGCCTGGCTGCGCACGCGGTTCTCAGCGTCCTCGGCGCTCAGGTGCGGGTCCCGCGCGCGCAGCCTCTCCATCTGCACCGCGGGGTCCTTGACAGCGACGACCACAACCGTCCCGCACAGCCTGTCCGTACCAACCTCAAACAGCAGCGGCACGTCCCAGACCACGGCCCAGCTGCCCGTCAGGTACGCCCGCAGCAGCGCCCTGTACGCCTCCCTGCGCACCGCCGGGTGCACGATGCCGTTCAGCTTCGCCCGCGCCTCCTTGGCCCCCGCCGAGTCCCCAAACACCCGCCGCCCCAGCGCCGGCCGGTTCAGCGGCCTGCCCTTTCCGTTCGGCCCGGCCTCGGGCACCTCTGCGGAGGCGGCCACGAGGAGGTCCGGCGTCGTCGGCCCGAAGTAGTCGACTATTGCGCGGTAACCCGGTGTGCCTGGCTCGACCACCTTGCGCGCGAGGAGGTCGGCATCGATGATGGGGAGGTTGTACGGCGGCGAGGAAAGGACGGATGATACCGTCGACTTTCCCGTGGCGATGCCGCCGGTCAGACCTATGATGAGCATTGTTTTTTTGATGACCTGGAAGATGACTGTGCTCGTGGGATGCTGAGTTGAGACGCAGCCGCACGTCAGGAACAAGAGGAGATGTGAGACAATGAGAAGGAATGGATACTAAAGTATGCGGCAGGGAGTAAAGTGATGTCGCCATCAGTGGTGCCCCAACTACAAGTTGCGCAGGTGGGGTCCAGGCCTGGCTGGTCCACGAACTTGTGGGGGCATGTTGGAGACCTCGGTTGAGCCTCATTCATGCACCTCACTTCACCTGTTGTTCACTCACTGCACTACTACTACCACTCCACTACACATCATCACAGACACATGTTCAAAGACCAATAGTTTTGTGGATGTCAACTGAAATTTGAAAACAACCTTTTTCGATTCATGTTCCGAATAGCATTCGGAGAAGGCCAAGTTTCCTGACTGTTTCCTTTCAATTGGGGTTGGCAGATGGTCCACAACCCCGAGAAGCCCGATCAAGTGATGGCCTCGAACCCTTCCAATATGGACCTTCATGGTCAATGAAACGCAGATATGAGTCCTCTGAAAGAACTCTCCCTCTGCGGAAAAGAAAAAACTTTTTGTCTCGGCCACGCCATCATCTCGTCCTTCACCAATGTTCCTTTTGCCTAAGCCTCCTCCAAGCGCACTGCATAGAAGACCCCGTCGTCTGTGACATACCAACGGCACGCCTTTCCGAAAAAGTCGATCGTTGCGCGCGGCATCTGGATGTACTTTCCGTCAAGCTGGCGGACCATGTACATGCGCGAGGGGTTCTTGTCTTTGGGCTCAAAATCCTGCGGTTCATTGAGCTCGGGGTTCATCATAGCGGCGGCAGCGACATCGCTAGCAGTCTGGCCTATGCCCAAGGCAGGCTCATGGTGACCAGGATACCGAGTGGGGTGGGCGGGATAGTTACCTGGCATCACGGTCGGTCCTCCCATCCCCACGGGCGCGGGTCCTCCATGCACAAGGACGGGCTGTCCGGGGGGCACACCACCGGGGCCGAGCATCATGGGCGGACCCTGCACGGGCGGGCCAGCGCCGACAACCATCGGCTGCGGCGGGAAGGGCTGCTGCGCGATGACGGGCATGATGGGGGCCGTGGCCTGGCCGTTGTGCATGTGGACGGCGTACTGCTGGGGACCCGGACCCTGTGGGGGAGAGACTGGTTAGCGCCAATTTCGATGATCCACAGAGAAGGCAGAAGCGCCTCGAGGCAGAGGGGAGAATGTGCGGGGTGTGACGAGTCTCACAGCAAGGACGCGTGGAGCAACAATGCTCCCGTCGCTCTTGTAGCCTAAAGTCGTATACACTGGGGCACTTGCAATCAAGGTAGGCATGGCCGGCGCCACGGCTGGCGCGACGACGAGCGGCTGCGGGGCGAAAGTGACAGGCCGCACAGGCTGGAGTGGGGCGAGAGGAAGGGGTGCCAAGGTGGGAGGGGGGACGGAAACGAAAGATGAGGGCGGACATACGACGATGCCAGGTTGAGCGAAGGCGACGCAGCCGTTGTCGAAACGAGGCTGGTACGTGTGAGTCATGGGGCCCAGAGAAGTGTCAGGCACCTGGGGCTGGAAGTGGACTCCGTTGTTGTTGGGAAACGAGTTGCCGTATCCCTCTGCCATGGTGTTGTTGTTGCCGCCGCCAGAGACTGGGCAAGGTGCGAAGTTTGTTGCTGTGTTGAAGAGGAAGGGAGGTTGTTGACCAGGCACGCAAGGATGGAAAGGTTGGAAGGGTTGAAAGGATTGAAAGGAATGAAAAGATTGTTGGCCAGCTGCGAAAGGCTGGCCGGGGCCTGGCTGAGGTGCAGGAATGCCAGTATTGGCAGCAGTGTTTGCCGCAGTTGTGGCAGCAGTACTGGCCTCAGCTGCGGAGGGGTTGTGGTCGGGCGACTTCCTGGCCCTGCGGTCGTCCTGGTGCTCGTCCTCGTCCTGGGGGTTGGAGTGACGCGAATATGCGTAGGGAGTAGGAGGGCGTCGGCCTCGGAGCTCAGCATATCTCTGATGGAGATCCTCCTCGGAGGGCGTGTGGATGGTGACGCGTGGGGGCCTTGACAGCTTTCGGGGACTCTTCATCCTGGCAGGAGGGGAAGGGGAGAGGGAAGGGGAAGGGCTGATGGTCTCCCAACTATCGCTGGACTCGGAGTCGGCGTGGTACTGGCTGATAGTCTGCCACGAGTCGCTGGTGTCGGGGTCATAAGGGTAGTCACCGTGTTGGTGGTGGTCTGCCTTGCCCGCCATGGAAGGAAGATGCGCTTCGTCTGTCACGGCCGACCGAGACCAACTAGAAGTGCAGGGGAGTGGCAAAGTTTGTGTCAGGCTAGCCCGACATCAGAGACCGGGTCAAGGTTGGGGTTTGCAAAGACCAGCTGCCGTTGGCCGGGTTGACGATGGGGCCAAGTCCGCCTGAGCTTCACTGGAAGCACTTGTCTATTTGTTCGACGGGGCATGACCGCAGTGGTAAAGCAACAGAAGGAACGCCGACAGCTACTCACAATAGGCACCTGGATCTCCTGAAGGTCCCACGACTGCCCGTTCCACTGATAGCGGTATCCCGTGGTGGTGTTTTTGTACTTGGGCGCTGCCTCGTACTGGACGTCCTTGAATGGCCAGCTCGGGCAGCAGCACATCTTGGTTATCTCGTGGAGGGGCTCGGTTGTCGAGGTGCCCAGGTGGCATCGAGTACTTCAAGTTGCGTATGGGTGGCACAATGGTTGCGAACGAGCCAAGACCCGTCTTTTAGATTTCTCAGTTTTGGCCCCACGCTCCAGCAAGGTAGGTCTAACAGGCGATTAAAGGCTAATCAAAGTCTGGAAAAGACTGCATGTGGATACAAGACTTTCTTTCACCCTTCGGTGCCTTGATGACGGCTCAACAACTCTCCTCCAGGGCTGCCCTCAGAGTAATGTTTGTAACCCCCTGTACAAGACTCCATTCCACCTCTAAACTTCCCGCCGAATGAGGATCATGATGCGCAAGGTGTGCTTCTTTTATTGATGCTCGTCGCCAGCTTGACCTCCTCCACAGTGTTGATTCATGAAATTAAGGTTGTCTCCATTCATCATGGCCCGGGCGAGCCAGTCGCTTGACTCTGATCTAACAATAGGTTCGAACCTGGTGCTTGGAGACCTTTGCTCCTTGTTGGGTTGCTGGTCGCTCTGGGTGCCCTGGTCGCATTGAGAAGGCAGCACCATCGGCATCTCGCTGGGCCAAACCTCGCCTCCTTCAATTCCCGCACGAAAGACATAGATTTCAGCAGAGATTGAGGCTATGTTGTAGTCCACCGCCTGTGTGATAATAAAAAATGTCAGCTGGGTTCTGAATACCTTCGGACTTGATGCTAGGATGAATCTAACCCGACATACCCTGATCATGAAAAAGAATTGGTTGTCGGTCTTGGCCAAGATCTCAAGGATCGTCTTGATGTCCTGCTCACCCTCGATGGTCTTGGCATACGAAACACAGCCGTTGGTTTTGTAGAATACCCATTTGGGGGCGGCATAATGGTTTTTGGCCTTGAAAGTGGTAATGTGCTGTTCAATCAACCCAAGCTCGGGGTCACCACCGTAGCCCCTGTCCTTGAGCTGTTGTACCGCCGTTTGCCAGCCAGATACTATCCTTTCCACGGGAGCATCGTATTCCTGAGGATACCCGTCCATCAGTTCGAGGAAGGACGCGAAGTCTGTATCATGCTGGAGCTGGCAAAGCATCGTTTGCGAAACGCCGGATCCATCGATGAAGAGAACTTTCAGATCAAACACTGTCTTCTCCGGCTCCTTTGTCGCGCATATTTCCTCCAGAATCCGATTTCTGGCAAGCTCTATGAGCTACAGAAGGTGGATCTTGTTAACATGATAGGACACATGACGGACCAGAACTCTTGGTGCTCACCATGTCAGCGAAGATCGCCGCCTTGTCGTTTCCACCCTCGACTTCTTCAGAGGCAATGAGCTCTGAAACACCGTATTTTTCAAGATCTTCCTCGGCCAGGTTCATGAGATTGGTCAGGTGAGGAAGGCCGATGCGATTCATTTGCCGCAAATCGTCCACCTTGGTGATGACCACTTGAGGCACTTTGCTTGTGTCCACCTTGGTAACAGTGTCCTCTTCGGGGTCGAAATGCGCCAACGTGTTGAATGCTGGGGCAAAAATGTTGGCCGTGCCGGCTGATGCGTTGATGTGCTTCACCATGGTCTTCCTCCACTCTTGGGCGATGAGTTCAACCAGGTAGTCGAGATGTTCGTGGGTGGTGAATACAGGAGCAGTGTCCAGACCACCCGGGTCGCCCCAGTGAGTCTTTGCGCCGCTCGGAGACGGGTCTTCTCCCTCCATTTTCGTGACAAGGCGCCTTAGTGTAATCTGGTCGAGAGTCGAGGAGTGCTTTGTTATTTCGATGTAGTGATGGCGTGCGCAGAGCTAGGAAGCGGTAGGGAACGATAAGTCCTGTAAGGCTGGAGGTAGAAGTCACGGGGCGAGATAGCTCCTGGAAGGCCAAGAAGGAACGAGGGGGAAACTAGCAGAAGATGCGGTGCATCAGGGGCACGTAAACAATGGAAGCGACGGTCCGCGTTGCTTTGGGGGTTGACCACAGTGATCAGTCTGAGTGAAAAGTCCAGGCCAACGCGTAGATATACTATGGCCTTCAACCCTGTCTGTAGAGTAACTGATGATGTCCCAAGAGCCTGACAGGAATGAGGAAGGATGTGAATTGGTCTCTTCTATTTCCTCGAGAATGAGCAAACTGTCTGTCCTGCTCCCCAGCCTTCTATGATCATGGACCCGCCTTCTAGTGTTACAAGTTTTCAGAGATGAGGAGAGATCATCCGTTGCTATGCTCACCACAATGCCGACAAGACTATGGGATTAGCCCACCTATTCATGGAGGCGTCGCTATCAAGCCATCACCTCCGCCCCCGCGCTTGCGCTTGCGCTTGCGCTTGCCAGACCCTCTGCTGGTCCCAGTCATCAACTGGCCTCCCGGGGCTGGGCCTCATCGCAGCTGTCGGTTTGGTGCGGCAGCCAGATACCCGGCCCCGTTCGTGAATATCATGAAGCTCGTCGGATTAAGTTTCTATTGTCAGTTTATGCCGCCTTGGTTTACGGATGGTGTTGTTCTGGTGCTGGGAAGAAAGTCTTCCGTGTGAGCTAGTGTCATGTCAGTACCAGACTCACCTCTCGCCTGCCAATTCTCTGGTAATTTGCAACTTACAGTCCATACACCAGCGACGGATGCGACTATGCCACCTGAGATGGCCATCGGCCGCAAGCCCCTTGTGCTCTTAAACAGCGCCCCGCTTAGGAAGCCCGCAGCGATACTGTTGGACGCGTCGTGCTTTCCGCGCAGGTATCCAATGTACGAGTTGATGCAGTTGTACACGATTGCGACAACGCCCGCAGAGTTTCCCAGGAACGGGCCCCGTCTCGTGATTGCGTTCAGCGTCGAGTTCAGCCGCAACTTGGGCGCTTGGCCGGCGCTGCGCCTGAGGCCCTCTTGCAGGCCCCACGCGCCACCTATCGACAGGGCGGAGAGGTATGTGATGCCGGTGCCGTAGCAAAGGTCGTCTGTGAAGCCGCGCGAGGGCAGGACGGACTGGCCGCCGGGCAGGTCGGAGACGGCGGATTCCTCGAGGGTGATGTACTCGAGGGCGTCCTTGTTGAGGCCGGCGAGGGGGTGTAATTGTGAGGGGTCTGCGAATGCGGAGCTGTTGAGGAAGGAGTCGACGCCTTGCGCCGAGGATGGATCGAAGGGAGGGGGTGCGAAGTTGCTGGTGGGTTCTGGTGGTGGTGGCGCATGGCTGTGGTCTGGCTTGTTCTGGTTGGACTTTTGCCCAGTCAAGGCATTCCAAAGAGAAGACATTTTCAAAGATAGTAATACACAGGATTGGTGGAGAAGGAAAAAGGAATGATCTGGCACAGAAGTGCAGAACGGCGCATGCAGTGTGGAGGTGATTGCGATGCTGTTGCGTGGGTCGAGAGGCAGGGCGTTGTGCAGGTCAGCCCAGAGTTGAGGTCGTTGGTCCTTACTAGCAGCCTCGAAAAATTATTCCCAGCAAGCTTCAAAGCGATGACGGCCGTCACTCACCGTGGACCCTCTGGGCTGCGCCGGTACCCACCCAAGGCAGAACTGGCAGAGTAACCGCAACACAGCCGAAGGCCCGTGCTCGACGGGTTTCTGCTGCGTGCAGGGATGACGCCCTTACAAAATTTAGTAGTAGGCCCGCAGCGCCTGGGTGAGGTACGTACCGGAATACCGTCCTTGTCTACCCAGTCTTGCAGCCTGCAGTCTTTTCCCCCCATTCTGATGCCATCCATGGGCATGAGAAGCCAGCCTATCATCTCAGTGTTATCAGTGGAACACAAGAAGCCCTGCTCGTGATGTTATGATACGATCCCGTATGCATGCATTGACAGCATGATCCTTCGTGTGCAAAATATTCCAACATCGAATTCCTCCCGAGACTTCCAAGGTTCCTAAAGCATGCCGCCCGTTGAGTTCCCTCCCCTGGAGGGGCCCAACAGCAATGCCAATGACCTCTTCAAATGGCTCCAAGAGAGTCCGCAGGAAGAACTGGCATCGTTAGTGATGATCTGTGCTTGTTGTTGAACAGAAGTTGACATCCATGACCAGGTCTGCGCGGGCGTTGTTTGAACAGCTGCTTGCAAATGCCTCGCAACCTCGAGGTTCCACGTCGGACGCCTGCGTCAAGCTATGTGGTTTTGTTCAGTTATGCGCCAAATCAAGACAAGACCATTTGAAGTCCTGGGCATTTTCAGAGAGAACATGCCAGGACCTGTTCGACTTCTTCATCGAATGGAACGAGAAGGACCAGCACAGATCAATGAGGCTCGTGCTCGACGTTCTTACATTGCTGATCTCTCAGAATCCACTGCCAGAGGTCAGAGACATTGTGAAGATGGATTTACTGCGCACTATGGCTTCAGTTATTGCGAGAAAGTCGACACGCCCGCTCGTTAAATCCTGCATTACTGCCTTGAGCCATCTGCTCACAAAGTCCATCCTCACCCTTGAAGATCTGGCGCAAACATATCAGTCCGTGCGACCGGAATTGGCCGAGCAGCCTGCCATCATTCTATGGCATGAGTGGGTAGTAGAGATATTCCGCTGGATGGAACTTAATTACGTCTGTCCGGTCGCCGGAAAGTTCCTCGTCATACTCTTCGGTGGCCTGTACGATTCCAGTACATCTAACGGCTACCGTGGGGAGCGAACGCCGGTGCTTGATCCGCCGACAATCCGGAAGTGGCTCGAAACAGCCTTGGCTGCCAATCCGGAATTGCTTGAGAGTATCAAGAACTATTTCTTGGCACCATTATTCAAGTCTGAACGCGCTCTGTCCATTGCCTTGCTGAAAGAGCTCCACCACATACAACCGGAGGATGATACACATAATGATGAGCTAGATACTGCCGCTCTGCTGCATCTTGCTGCCCTGGAACTTGGAAAAAAGGCAGCTATCGTCGAAGAACCTCGTGAGTATCATCCCTCCTGAAGTCGGCAAGCCTTGCAATTTAGAGGATGGACTTCCATGGGACTCTCCCATGGCATGTCACTCTATAGGACAGCCTCCTATGGGCTTTGCCTCTTAACGAATTCCCTCCTATGGTTACATTGGATGTAGCACGGCCTCTTCCGGGACAAACTTCCGTGGGCAAATCACCCTTGGGACGACTCTCTCTGCAATACCTTGCCACGGGTCCCATGGATTGACCTTCTGTACCATGACCAGAATTGCTGACAAATTCTCAGGTCAAGGCCAATCGACAGCCACCAGTTCTGTAGAGCTGGACGGAAAGGTTCTGGAGCGGTTCCTAACTCATAACTCTTACGATGTTCGGTCTTTCGCCATGTCTTTATTGATATCCTCTTCGTCTAGTACACGGCCTTACTCAACGATGACATTCGAGCTTCTGCGAAAGCACCTCAGATCATGTCACGCGGACCCTGATGCCAAATTCCGGAATGAGATTCTAGGTATTTCCAAGAACATGATCAAAAGACTCAATGGGGCGATTTCTACCCTCGAAAAGGACCTAGTTCGCCTGGAAGCCAAGGCCTCAGCATCTCAAGCCAAGGAAAGAGCAGTCAACACACACATCAGCAAAGGTGCAAAGGAAATAGCCAACGCTGGGGAGACTTGGCTGCGCGACACCCTCGCGGCTCAGCAAACATTCTACACGTGGTATACACGGTTCCTGCGGCAGGAGCTGGCGCCTACAGCCTCATACCAGCGGCACATTACTGCCTTGAAAGCTTTGGTGGCAATTATAAAAATCGGAAAACAAAACTCGAGTGGTCCTGAGCAAAACCTATACACCGATTCCCAATGGATCCGCATCATTCTCGACCTGATTATGGACCCATTCGACGACGTCAGGGAGACCGCCACTAGTTTGCTGATGCTGTTCCCGCCAGAGTACACGCAAAAAGAATTCACAGTCAATGCTACATTGGCAAATACCACCCCATTGGCGATGTTATCAGAGTTCACCTCTCGAGCAGCGGCTCAGGCATCTCGCACTAGTCGTGCAGATCATTCAGATGGAGCCGCTCGTTCCTCCGGCCTTCTGTGTGCCTGGGAGACCACACTCGAGAGACGATTACCGTTATTGTCACGGGTGCTGGACACTTTAGAAGCCAAAATTAGTGGGGCGGAAAAAGACCTGGCCTATGCAGTCATGACAGAGCCGGTCCATGGCGATTTTGCCGCAGTAAGATACATGTGGCAAGTCTTGTCACAAGCTCGGTATAGTGAAGCTGAGCTGCAGCTCCTCGCCCCGTCCCAGACACGGATTGTGGGTCTCTGTACACGGATTTGGGGTGCCGTCAGTCATGTTTTGTGCGACGATTCGCCAGAGGGCAAATTGCTCGAGAACAACGATGGCCTCGATAGCAAGGGCTTATTAAGTTACAGCTTCCGGGCCATCCACGAGTCCAGCCAGTTGATGCGCACAATGGTGGGCAACCTAGGTTTCAGCCGTGCGGCTGGGTTTCTCTTGCCCACGCCCGAGGTGTTCCGGAGAGTAGGCCATCTGGCCTTCTCGCAGCTTTCTACTCTGAGGCATAGAGGTGCGTTCTCAAGCGTCTCGCTGAACTTCACTTGCTGCTGTCAGAACGCTCGAAACCCGCATGTCGCTTCTGGCGAAAACGAAGAATCTTTGCTAGAGGAATGGTACAAAGGCGCACTATCATGCATCTATGCGCAGAGATCAACAACAAGACGATCTGCAGGTATACCAGCTTTAATCACTGCTATTCTGGCATCAAATGCGGCTAGCCCCTCCTTTGAGCAGGTGATACGAACGTTGGAGGAGATAGCCCAGCGACCAGCTTCGGTTTCGGAAACTGATGGGAGTAACCTCCCTCAGGTTCACGCATTCAATTCTCTCAAAGAGGTCTTCAAGACGTCGCTGCTCAGCAAAAAGGCGGAAAGGTTTCTTCCTGGCTGCCTAGCACTGGCGACGAATAGCCTGAAAGCAGAGGTCTGGGCAATTAGGAACTGCGCACTCTTGTTACTGCGCAGCCTAATGGACAGTATATTTGGCACCGGAGAAAGCAAGAGTGCTCTGGAGGCCGGATGGGACGGGAAGACGCTGCGTATCTCATACACCAAATATCCATCTCTGCCGCCTATACTACTGAATCTTCTGCAGTCTGGACAATTGGCTATGGAACCTGGGACCTTGACTTCAAGCTCAGCAGCCGAATCTGTTTTTCCGGCGCTAGATATCATCCGACGCGCCGGGCCTCCAGAGTCTCACCGCGACGAGCTGTACAAGTTGATTGTCAGATACCTGGGGAGCCAACAGTGGCATGTCCGCGAGATAGCCGCGCGAACTTTATGCTCTTTTCTCCTAAACGAACTTTGGCTCTCCTCAGTTCAGCGTCTGCTGGAGGAGTCACGGGGCTCGGCAAACAGGTTGCATGGGACCTTTCTCACGCTCAAGTTCTTCTTGGAGAGGACATCCATGGACAGAAATGAAGGCCGGCTTCTCGGCCTGACAATCGTGCCCGAACTTGATGGAAAGTCTCAGCTTGCAAGGTTTACGGAAGATATCAGGACACTAGGACGACTGCTAGAGGAGTACGAGTCGGATGCCACAATATGCTCTGAGGTCTGGGCAGCCTTCATTGAGGTCCGAACCTTGACCTGGGAGATCATTCCTCCTGCCAGTGTTCATCTGAGCAAAGCTGAGCAATTAACCCATGCGAAGATCGCACAAGGGGGGGCCAGCTTCACCTCTTTAGCACTTCTCGAGCATCGTTTAGGAATCAGGTCGTTGCGGGAAGCTGTGGCGCTCACGGGCATCGAGGGTCTCAAGGCTTGCCTCTTTGATGCCCTGGACCTGGATATAGACACTGCATGCATGCTTCTTGAAGCAGTTCCTAAGATATGGGGCAAGTCGCGGGCTCATGAACTCTGCAAGCTGTACTTGGACCTCTGCAAACACACCAAAGTGCCGGAAGCCCGCGCCCAGGCCCTCACGAACCTGACGGAGCTGTTGGACGACCATATCTCCCAGGGAAAGCTGCAGGATGTTCCTTCGCCCAAGGAACTCGAGGCCTTCCAGCAATGCCTCCTGGACGGCATCAATCCGACCCTGGCAAATGCCGTGCTCCTCGCCTCGGGGCCCGTGATGGCGATCCAGACCCTCCCGCACAACGGGCAGTTGTCGTTCTTCATGTTCGAGCAACGACTACGAACGTGGGGAAAGACCGTCGCGGACGCCCTGCACGACAGCAACACCTTCGACATGCGCATGGCGGCCGCCGGCGCCATCAGGTCCTTCGCAGCAGCCGTGCGGTCGGCCGCCGGCGGCGACGCGGCGTACCTGCCCTTCGTGCTCGCGCTTTATAACACGCTGGTCGACGACGATGACGAGATCCGCGATGTCGGCGCCGCCGCCGCGGCGCTCATCACCTCGTCAGACCCACACCCGCAACCCCTCGTCGCGGTCGACGCCGCCGACGCCCTGCTCTCGTGGCTGCAGGGTCGCTTCGGGCACACCAACGAGTTCAAGGCATATGTCGCCTGCCGGCTGGTCGGAGACCCAATCGTCGCGCTCGACATCGGCGTGCAGGATCTCAACGCCTGGACGGCGCCCGAGCGGCTGTTCGCCGAGGCGCTCGAGGTGGACGAGAGCTTGTTCGCGGTGGAGGAGCAGAACCTGTTCATAGATGAGGTCCGCGAGACGCAGAGGTGGGCGGACGTGTTCAGTGCCCTGCCGCGGGATTATGACCAAACAGAAGGTGATGACGGTGTGGCCGGGAAAGTGCTCGTTATGGATAGCTCGCTGGAGGCGCTGAAGAAGTGGGTCGAGCAGGCTCTGGGTGCCCTGGAGGCCCAAGTCGGTCACGATGATGGCCCGCTGGGGTGGGCTTCGAATGCCAATGCGTTTGCTTTGTGTCATCGCGTCCTTGTGTGCGGGAAGGTCGTGGCTGAGTTGCTCAGCGAGGAGGGTGCCGGGATATCGGCTTCACTGGCGCGGGTGAAGGACATCGGGCACGCCTCAAGGATTCATGGCCTCCTGCTATCTGCGCTGGACTGAGTCTCGTTGCCGCTGACACAGGGAACTATTGGTGTGCTGTGCATGGCGGGAGTTCTGACATGACTTGGGCAAAATGCACCTGCTCAATGTTGTTTTTTTATTCAAGTATTCAGGATTTGTCACAAAAATGGCCACGATTCAAAAACTCCGTGGAAAACAATCGTTGTTTCTGGTATACAAGTGACAGCGTAGCGCTACCAAAGATGCTGTCTGCTATGCTATGGAAAAGGGGATGAAAAGGCTACGCTTGTTGCTCGGAAATATGACCCACATGTATGCTGTATCGATCCAGAACATCGAATATCCCACTCCTTCGGGCGCCCCTCACTTCGACTGTGACGAAGACTTTGACAGCTTGCCGTCCACCATCCCGTTGGTCGCCAAGTCATTCGTACTGGCCAGCCCCCCCAGCTTGCCTAGCTGCGCAACGAGCATCGTATTCTGTGCCTGCAGATCGCCAACCTGGTCCCTGAGAATTTCGATCTGCTTGAGCGCCATATCCCTCTCGACCTTGACCTTCTCAAGCTGCATGGCGGCGTTGGACCTCTCGTCCTTCTCCTGCTGCTTCCTCCTCCGCTCTTCGGCCTTCCTCTCCTCTTTCAGCTTCTTCTCCTCCATCTTTCTCACCTCTTTCCTGTAATTCTCCTCCTGCCGAGCGATTTCCTTCTCATGCTTCTCCTTGAGCTTGGCTAGCTGGTCATCGCCCTGGTTGGACTTGTCTTGCGAGGCGCGCTCCTGCTGGCGCGCCATCTTCTCCGCAATTTTCCTGTGCTTGTCCTGCAACTTCTTAAGGTGCCTCTCGTGATGCGACACCGCGGCTTTGGTAGAAGATTCGTCGCTCTTGGTGGAATGCATAGACGCCATTTCGCCGCCTGCTCCCAGGCTGAGATCCCCTCCCGAGAGGACCTTTGCCAGGGGAGTCTCGTCATCGGGCTCCTGTGCAGAGGCGAAGCTTGCCTCTGACTCCGTGTCTGATTCACTGTCTTGAAGATCGGAATCGAGCTCTGATGTCGATTGGGCGACACCCGGTAATCGTGACGTGACCATGGTTGATGCTGCACCTATAGCTCCAGCGATCATGTTGTAGAAGCCGCTGGGTTGTGCATCCTCATCCGCCGCAGCTTGGGAAGGGCCCGGTGGTGGTCTTGATGTGCTGGCAGAAGGTTGATGCGCCCGAGGGGCTGTCGCCTCACCCACATTATTCCTTAGAGGCTGGTCCTCGGGCTCGTTTGGTATTCCAGCCCGAGACTCCTCGAGCGTCTGTTCGGTTCTCGTTTCCAACCACTTGAGGAACTTCCCAGCGTCTGTCACGATACCAGCAGGCGTGCCCTTCTCGACCATGAATCTCGGCACGCTGCCTCCAGGATCGGACCGAGTAACCATTACCCACTCGATTGCCATTTCCGTGTCTTGGCCGGACTGCCCAGCAGCCACGGGATCCTCGTTACGCTCGCGGGGCGGCAGACCGGTCAGTGACCGCGACATGCCTCTCTCACCGGGGCCCTCGTCGGACTTGGCCTCGGCTCGTTTGCGAGCTGCACGAAGGACCGCCTCCTGGCTCATGTCCATTCCACCACCGGTCTTGCTCGGCAGGTGGACATCCTCTCGCCTCATGTCCACCGAAGACCTTACCCGCCGCAGTGGCTTCTCGACAGGGACCTCCCTGATCAGCTCCACACTCTCATAGTTGCCCCTGATGTACGCGGAGCGGGGCGCACATTCGGGGTGGTTGCAGGGCCTGGACACAACCATGAATTGTCTCGGGCCCTTGGTCTTGGCGTTGCCGTCGTCGCCGCCGCTGACGGCGGTCAAGAAAAGCGTGACAAAATCCCTGGGTGTCGTAGGACCCGGGAACTGCGCGTTCAACAGCCAGACGTCAGCCTGGCCGACCCCGTAACACTGCAAATGCTCGGCCTTCCTCTCAGCGCCGATGCCCCTGACGTTGCCGGTACCAGGCCCCGTGGTGTGCTGCAAAGTATGGGCAAACTCCGTCTCCAGCCCCAGCCTGAACTTGTCAAAGGAGATGCCCTCGTGCATGCTCCGCCTGGCGAACCAGGCGCCCCTGCCGTCCTTCCCAGCGAGCTTGTAGACGCTCATGTTGTAGGGGTTGTCGCGCGGGGTTACCTTGACCTCCTTCCACTCCTTTTGCAGTTTTGCGGCATGGGCGGCTGCGGCTGCGGTGGACGCATCCGCGCTTGCCGAGGTGCTTGTGTGGTGGCGGGACGAAGGGTCGAAGACGACGGAACTGTCGGTATGGCTCCTCGCGCGGCCGGCCTGCTGCGGGCTGGCTGCTGCGAGTATGCTGTCGACGACTGTCTGAGCATGAAGGAATGTCGTGTTCAGGAAGTGCTTCAGGTCGTCACCCGTGACTGCTGTCCAGTCGATGGGCCCCAGAGCCTTGAACGGCTCGTGGTGAGACATGACGGCCTCTCAACTGCCGAGAGTGCTGAATGTTGACGGTCAATGGGCGATCGCTAGCAATGTCGGTCTTTGGGCTCCCAAAAATGTCATGTCCTCTGTGAGGTTTCTTTCAACATGTGAGCCTCCTGGAGTGCTCAACCTACCCGCCCGTATTTCCGTATCGCTTTTCGTACCGCTTCGTATCAGATAGCTATGAACAAGGCCCGTGTGAAGGCGTGACCGGGTCGGGGTCGTTGCGAGGCCGTGAGGCCGTGAGGCCGTGAGGCTGTGAGAGTGTGAGGCTATGACGCTGGTAACAGAACAATCCAATGCCCCGCTAGATAAACACAAATAACCAAGAATGTACTTCTGCTGATTGTCAGATGATTCTGTCCGGCTCAAGAGTGGAAGAAATGAACAATTAAATGGGACCGTGTGCAGCAGCAGCCGCCTTCCTCTACATACCTTTGTCCATCCGACATGTGTATTTACTGACGTCATCCCTGTCTAACCAGAGGCCACCCCAGCTCAGATCGAGCTCGCCTCTAACTGGAAACCATCTCCGGCCTCCCGCCTCCCGCCTCCCCCGCCTGCTTTTCCCCCTGTTCCAAAACGCCCGGGCTAGAAGCCTGACAGACGTCAGTTGGTTTGAGATCTACGAGACCAGGGGGAACCGGAGCCAATGCTCCAAGACTAGCTTCTCATTCATTCTAGCTTCTCATTCATTCTAGCTTCTCATTCATTCTAGCTTCTCATTCATTCTAGCTTCTCATTCATTCTAGCTTCTCATTCATTCTAGCTTCTCATTCATTCTAGCTTCTCATTCATTCCCGAGAGACCGGTCACACGTGCACGATGTGGAAAGGGTGGGGCCGGGCTTCAAGAGACAAAAACCGTGATCAATGAAGACTATCTAGACCGCACGGGTATCTGTGTGTGGAAGCTGTCGCATGCAGAGAGAAACATGCTGGCAAAAAGGAGCGAACGCGAAAAAAAAAGAAGAAGAAAAAAAGGGTAAAAAAAGGAGGGAAAAAAAAAAGAGAAAAGAACAAAACCATTCAAGACCAACGCAATGCAATACAGGTCCAAGTTTACCCAACTCTCCCGCTGGCCCCTTCCCATAAGAATTCCCATCTACATTAGTACACGTACGTGTATGGGTGCACGCATCTCCCCGGTCCATCTACCATTAAACCGTCCGAATTAAAAGCGAACACAAGAACGCCGCCTTCTACACGTCTACCATCTTCATCCTCTTCGCCAGTGCCATGTCCTTCTCCAGCTTGCAGCTCCCGCAGTATTCGGCGTGCCACTGCGTCAGTGCCTCGACCCTCTTCTCGTCAATGGGCCGCATGATTTTCTGTCCGTCGACGTCGACGCCGACGCTTGCAGCGCTGGGTGTCGCTTTCCCGCTGCTGCTGCTGCTCGCCTTCTCAGACAGCATCATCTTGATCTGCTCACACCGCAGGTTCTCGTCGGCGAGCCAGTTCTCCCACTCGCTCTGGATCATCTCCTTCTCGATTTTGTTCACAACCCGCATCGCGACAAGCAGGTCGTGTCGGTACGACCCGAGTCGCTGGCGGGTGCGACGCAGTTGCCGAGCCGTGGCTCTGCTGGTGCTCGAGCTGAGGACTGCACCCGCCTCTTCATGTGTCGAGTCGAGCGACGTCGTGTTCAGAATCTGGCGGAACGTGTTGTAACTAGTGCACCATCGTGTCAGTGGCTGGATCCATACCTTGGGCGTTGAGCAGCGACCTACCATTCGCTGTCTCCATCAGGACCCGCGGCCGCCGAAGACAGCGCCGCCTCGTCCAGGTCCGCAATGTAGACTGCCTTGCTCATCATGACATTGGGGCCCACGCCCATCCGTCCCATGAACTTTGCCGCGCGTCTCTCCGTCCACCACGTCGAGCCCTCACGTCCCGTGAAGACAAGGTTCGTGAGGACGCTAAAAGCCAGCACGACCAGTATCACCCGGTGTGCGGTCACGACGCTGAAGATCTTTCGCAAGCCCGCAAAAGTCCACATGAGCAGGCTCGTTGCAACGCTTTCCATGAAGCTCCTCACGGTCTCGAACACCATCTCCGTCAGCGTCCGTGGCTGGATCATCTGTGAGCCCTTCTTGAGCCCAGTCTCGCTTGTCTGCGATGCGTCCCCAGGGGTGAACACTACCACCTGCTGCTGACCCCCGATGTTGCCGTACACCTGGATCGCCCTCTTTGTGCGGCTGTGCGGGCCCAGCTTGCGCACCTGGTCCGTCGCAACTTCCGCTAGCTCCTCCGCATCGCGCCGTGCATCCTCGAGGGCCTGTCGTTGCACGAGAGCCTTCGACAGAGGTGGCGTTTTAGACCACTCCACCTTGGTGTACAACGCAAGTTTGCACTTTGACTTGGCCACGTGTGTGATCACGGTTTTGGTGATCAGCTTGAACGCGTGTGAATGAGGCAGATGCCAGGGTGTCTTGACGTGGGTGACCAGGTAAGTGATGTGGTCGCTGAACACGTCGATGAGCTGGAAGTCGGACACGTCCTCGCCGTGCTTGGCCCGCCCCATGAAACCGACCGAGTCTACCTTGAATTTGAAATCTCGCTTCATTTTGCCGTGATCAATGAGCTGCCACGGGCCTTGGGCGATCTCCTTGGCGCGCCGCTCGAAGTAGAGCTTGGGGAAGATGAACGACTTGTCGCCGAACAGGACGTGAAAGCATGCCTTTGCGCTGATCTCAAAGTGGCGCTCTTCGACCGCCTCGCCCATACCCTCAGGCTCGTACACGACAGGATGCACTGGAAGCTGGAACTTGGGTACCGGTTTCCGCACCTGCCTTGATGATCTATCTCTGGCGCCGTAGCCACCCTTGAAGACAGGTCGGCCTGAGGCAGTGCCATCATCGATCGGGGTGTTGGGGGAAACCTCTTCCCAACTTTCTGCGCTAGGACTCTTCTGCTCGTACTCATCGCTCTCCAGGTTGAGCAGCGCAGCAATGACTTCGGGAACCTCCATTGGTTCCTCGGCCTGGAGATCATCAATGAGGAGATTCAGTCGGGAGTGAAGCAGTCCCAGGTCCATCAGGAACGTCTTGATGGTGATGCGGGTCAACCCGTCGGTGCTCATCTTGTGGCTGAGATGCAGGAACAAGAAGTCGCAATCCTTGCCTGGAGCCGCTGTCACCTCCGAGATGATGTCCAAGCTGAGGGTGTAGGCGACCACCAGACCCATCTGGTGTCCATAGAAGTACATGTTGTCAGACGTGACGTAGATGCGGCCATTGCCCATGATACCAGTGTTGCTGCCAGAACCCTCGACCGAAGTGCTTGTCCAGGCAGCGTTGAACACCATCACCAGTTTCTCATCGAGAGGCACATTGGGAAACAAGAGTCTGAACTGTGGATGATGTGCCTTGAGCTCAATCGGGTACTTCGCAGGGAACGTCTCGCCGGTGGGCTTCTCGAGAATTCTAAAATCGGAAGCATTACCTCCGGCGCTCATAGTCTTCCGATGGAGTGTCGATGGCGCGTGGCTGCCCTGGTTGGATGTGACCTCACTGGCAGGGAGTGTCTGCGCGTTCGCCGAGAGCAGAGGATCGTCGTCCAATCGAAGATGCGTCGTGTCATCCTCCCTGGGCGGGTACAACGTGCTCCAGGGGATACTGCCCCAGTAGTTGGCAACGACAGCAGTTGGTAAGGTCAGGCTGATGTTGCTTTCCGAGGTCATGGACCGTTCGGCGCTCACCGACAAGGCTGTCTTGCTGAGATATGTCGCCGTAGGGGCTTTCGCCAGCGTGGGAGGCGCGAGGCTGCTGCCATTCAGCTCGCTGATGGGCTGTAAGGCTGGCAGAGAACGACCCAGGTTGGTTACAGATTGGTTGTAGGCAGCATACCCGGGCAAGAGGTTGGAACTAGCAGAAATTAAGCCTGCGATACCTGATGACTCGGCACGCCCAAGGGGCAACTTGCGATGCAGCTCCAACCTCTGCATGATGCGTGCAGCATGTTCCCTGCCACTTTCTCCTTCCTCCCGTGGAAGATCTCTTGCGATATCTCGTGCCAATCCTGTGACGGAACGGCGCGGGGCTGCGCCCACTTCGAACGAAGAGCGCGTTGCTGCAGCGTCGCTGCCGGGCACTGGCAGCGTGTTGGATCTCTCCGTACCGTCCTCAAAGCCCTCTAAAGACTTGGCCGAGAACTCGGGGATAGTAGGTGGTGTGATGGCGAAGGCGGGATCGATCCCTCCCGGCAGTGTACTCGCGTCTCTAGCGGCACTCGCATCGAAAGCCTGCTTCTTGGCAATCTCAAAGACCTCGATCCACTGCTCCAGCTCCGCCTGGGTCTCGGCCTGTAGCATGATGTTTTGAGACTTGGTCTTCACCTCAAAGCAGAAGCGCCGTTCCTCCGAGACCACAGGACGGGCGCCGCACAAGAGCACGCCGATCTCATCGCCTTGCAGAACACCCTGCGGCCCTTGCACCAGCCACCCGAAGATGCCATTCCGACAATAGTACCATCGCCTCACCCAGTTTGTCCTGGCAGGCTTTCCAGTGATGGTGCGGAGGAAAAGCCACCCTTGCTTTTCGGAAACCACAGCACCGCCCTCCTTGACCTGGACATTCACGGGGCCCCTCGAGCCGAGGAAGGCGACGGTTGATATGTTATAGTCCTCCAGCTCGCGAGACGGCTTGAAAGAGGCCACCGCGTTCTCGCCGACGTCCCTCCTCGCGGCCTGCAGCTCGCGCTTGAACAGGGCCTCGCTTGCCTCCATCTCCTTGGACCACCCACGGACACGGTCCATCTCCTGGGCGTACTTGTTGGAGGCGTATGAGCTATCACGCCATCTCTTCATCTCCCGCCACATGTCGACAGAAATGCGGACAAGCAACTTGTCGAGGGAGAAACGGATCTGCGGTGCAAGCTGGCAGAAGTCCATGGATGCCTTGAGGTAGGCCTTGCGGGTCTCGTAGACCGCGAAGGCATCCTCACGCAACGACGAAGGCTCCTTTGTCTTGCTCTGCGCGACGTAGCGCGCCAGGGTGGTATCAAAAACCTTTTGAGTGGTCTCCAGCGTCCTCCTCGTCTCCTTGAACGTCTTGAGCTCACCGATCAGAAACGAGCGGACTGGCTCCACGGTCAGAGTGTCCATGCGGCGCATTACTGCGAGGATCTGGCTCCACCATTCGCGCTGACCGTCGCTGCTCCTCCTCAAGGCGAGCATCGTGTAGTCTGGGTCGATAGGCCCGTCCGTCGTAACTGCCAAGGGCGGCATTGTCTTGCCTAGGAAGCCCTGGATGGTTTCCTCGAGGGCGAGGATGTCGTGTACGACCTTTGAGCATGACTTCATATACCCGTCGAGCCAGCGCTCAACCTGCTCGACCTGCTCTGAAAAATGGACGGCGACACATCGGAAGGTTGGGGAGTCGAGCGCAGCTTCTTGCAGGCCGAGAGGTATTGCCGGGCTGGGGTGCTTGTGCGGCGACGTGGACGGTTTAGGAGGGCCGGATGGCTTATCGGCAGCCGGGTTGGCTGCGGCCGCACCGGAGTCAGCCATGAGTTTGGTTGTCGGAGGGTCGGCGTCGGCGTCGGCGTCGGCGTCGAGGTCGGGGGATCTATCGCGGCAGAGGAGAGTGTCGATGGCTCATCCTGGTCGTTGGACAAATCAGGGGTTGCGAGGAAAGGCACGGATGCGTCGACACTCCAGGCACACGGGCAACACTGCGGTGGCTGCAGAGGGTCCGAGTATCAATCGAGGGGTCCCGTCCCGGGTTGAGGGCGACAAGGCTGAGGGTGACGATCTCGGGTGACCAGGGACCAGGGACCAGGGAACAGCAACGTCGATGAGTGGAAGGTTCCTCTCTCAGCCTCGGGCTTGCCCTGACGTCGGTGATGCTGTCTGGAAAGGGCTGTTGCGGCTGCTCTGTTGTGGCCTCCTCATTTCGGTTGGGCGAGGAAAGGAGTGCTAGCGTTTCATCATGATTGTTTGACAGCGGCACAGATCCCGCCCCCACCCCACTCACCATCTCAGCTTACCCCGGACGGCAATCTCGGGCCTTAAACTTCAGACAATCAGCTTGGGCTGCTTGGCTGGCTGCTTGACGTCTGTCTATCCGAATGTGTTTATTCGGCTGGTTCTTCGACGGTGGAGATCGCCCAAGCTCAACCTTGCTACCCCTCTACGGCGTGCACAGATGTTTGCAGGCGCCCTCTCGCTGCCAAACACAAGCTATGCAGCCCAAGCCTAAGCTGCTCTGGGCCTGGGCCTTGATAGGAGCACAGTAGCCACTGCCAATGCGTTTTCCATCTGATCTCTTGACTCGCCTTTGTTCATCTCGAGACACCGAACGCGTGGACGGCGCGACTTTTGGACATCGAGTGCGTTCTGCACAGCATGCAGGGATCCAAACGTTTCATGCCTCCACAAGCAGCGCGTAGCTTTGAAGCCACCGGAGCTGTCGCGACTGACGGGTCCATCATGAAACGAATGATGTCCCCCGGGAGAACGGCCTGATCCATGGCTAGGAGTAGCATTGTTCGGTATAGAGTATCATAGGAACCCAGGGAACCCAGCTGCTTCACCTCTGCTGGTCCCGTTGACAGCTAAGGTGTATTGCGCTGATGTTTGGGACGGCCGATGTTTGGGGCACACCTGAGGATGAAAATAGCTCCTGTTGTTTCAACCAACCCCGTCTGCCACCATCGGACGGTGGGAGACCGGACATTCGGGGTTCGATCATGGGCGGATAACACGAGACCAACACGCTGCATCTACAGGCCAACAACTTTTGGGTCAACGGCTTCAAAACTCGAGCTTTGCGTCCCAGCCATGTCGCTCTGGCTGTTGTTGAGTGAAGATGCTAGATACTGGGCCATAGGGGGGCGAGGTCCACCGTCATGCGAGCAAGTCAGGTTTGAGCATTCTGCCAATGTCACAAGAGGAAATGTGAACACCGAATCGAGCCGTCTGATATCACATCATGAGGCAAGAAGTAAGGCATCTGCACCCATAATCGACCTCGGGTATGCACCCCAAGTCACGGGTCCCACAGCCTGCTCGGCTGGGAGGTGGATGGGCGTCTATCTGCAACGAGATGCTCAGCCCACCAGCCGCGACGTTGACAAATTGGCAAGAGGATTGAACTGTGTCGGGCAAAGGACAGCAGTTATGAAACACACTGGCGGCTTAAGCACACAAAGACGGCAGGTTCCTCCGAGATCATGATGTTCGAATGAGGCGGAATGGGCAAGTTCCCGAGCACACGTCGACAATTCGCCTCACCCGGGACCCTGTGTTGACGACGTGCGCCATGCAGGACAGTTCGAGTGCAGAAAAGCTTCTTTGACCGAGGTGCTGTCCATGCAAAAAGTCGCAATGTTTCGTGGGCATGCTGGAGGGAGGATTCCGAGAAAGGGTGGCCCCTGGCAGAGGTGCGGAACGATAATACTCTGTAGAGGCAGAGGCGCGGGTGATCCACCTTGCCTTCATGCAAGCTCGCGGCTTTTCAGCTCCTCAAGGATCACAGCCGGGGGAAAAGCACCAGACAGGACGAATAGACGACCGACATGTCTAAGGATCTCCCTTTGACAGCGAACCACGGCTGCAGAATTCGGACACTTTGCATGCATCAGATCAACGGCGGCAGACGGAGTCCAGGACGGCACCATCAACGCTGCGCCACACAAACGGGACCAAAAAGGTGACTGAGCAATCCCTCCCCCCTGCCCATTCAGGTATTCACCCCCACATTTTAAGCCGCCGAAGCGCCCCCGCAGGGTATGTTTTCAACCCCTGAGCCGATCTTGACGCCGCTTACAGCAGAAACCCCAAATGCGATGACCGCCGTTGTGGCTCTGGGAGCAGTTGCCTCTCGGTGACGAGGAGGGGTGTTGATACGAAGACCCGGATGCCGGGTCCAATACCCAGCTTTATGGGCTGCTCTGCTATGGCATAACCCATTGATGTGGTAGCATATGACGCTTTCCCAGAAGGATCCTAGGTAGACGCCAGCTCCCAGCTTTTTGGATGGCGGGCTGGCCTGAGTGGCAGATGTCTAGCGAAGCCACCCGTAAGCCAGGCGAGCGAGCAGACAGGCCTAAAAGGCTGGCCAAGCAAGTCGGTTAGCAGGAAGGTCTGTGCAGCTTTTAACGATTCGGGAAGTTCTTGCAGACACGGACGAAAAGGCCTGGGTCGTGTTGGAGACGCGTAGCCGGGTCATTTGGTCCGTGTGAGCAGAGGACTTGTCATGACGACAGTATTGGCTGCGGGTGTCTGAGCAGTGGTCCGGCCGACTGTTGTACATAGTAGAGAGAGAAAACACAACTCATGACAAGAGTGTGCAGCCAGGAAGTAGCTTGCAAAATGTCGAAACGAAACACACAGAGGCCCCCCCTGCAGCGGATCTGACAATGGACAGCTTGGTGGTGGGTTGCGATGGGCATCTCTTGTCGGGCTAACACATCAATGCTGCCGCGCAACCTTTTGGCTCTGTTGGGTGTGCCGTCCCCTGGTTCCCCTGGTTCCTTGGACTGGCGACCGGCGACTGGCGTCAATGCACAATCGACAGCGAGTGCACAGTACCAGTCTGCCAGTCTGCCAGTGTGCCAGTATACGCGGCAGTTGCGCTATATTGGATAACGTTCTTGGTGGACAGTTGCCACCCTGATGGGTCCGCTAAAAGGACAGCTGGCAGGGAGTCGGCGATATTCAGGTACCGATGGGTATGGGGCCCATGATGCGCGGAAGAGAGGCCGGGTGCCACTCCCCAGCCGGGCTTCGGTGCCGGCTGCCTCAATGTCAATTCATGACAAGTGCAGTGCATGAACGAAGGCCCCATCGGCGGCGGCGGGGGAATGCTGGCTGCAGAAGGCGGGACTGGACACGCGGGACACGGAGCAGCCTGGCAGCCTAAGGTCCACGGGGGCACGGAGCATGCATTGAGCTGTCAAAAGTTGATGTGCGCCTCTTCCCACTCATGGTCATGGTCATGGCCATGGCCTGGCGTTGCGGCAAACGGCGGGTGAGCGGCGGCTTGGGCGGTTGATGAAGCATGGGCACTGGGCACAGGGCACAGCAGGCTAGCAGAGAGGAGGTGGTGGGAGAAAAGGAGGCAAGGCGTTGGCTCCAAAGGGCTTGTTGGGTATGCCTGGTCTGGTCTGGCTGCCCCGATGCAGTGTGCATGGGGTCGGTAGTCTACTTGTCTACCTACTGTACCTACCTAGTTCAGGTAGGCAGGCATGTGCTCCGTATAGATCCAGGTACCTGGCCACCCCGCCAGGACGCATGCACTGCGCAGTCTGCGGTGCTGTGCTAAACCTAGATAGGTACCTGGGTGGTGTACTCCGTACCGAGGTGGTGTACGCCCCTTCCCCTTCTGTCACTAGACTTCGGCGTCGCCAATTCTAAATTTGGCCCCCATCCAGACCTTCCAGATGCTGTCTTCCCTGTCTGCCTGTCCGCCTCCCTCGGCTGTCCTTCCATCAAGTCCTGCACCCTGTCGTCCCGTCTCGTTCGAGCCTCTTTTTTCGCCCCCTCAGCCCCTCTGCCCCTTTGCCTACCGACGAGTGCTACGGCTTGTTTCTCCAGCGGTGGCTGAGTGCTCATGATCATCAGTTACTGGTCGCTGATCATATTCTTGCTGTCCACCGGGCTTCGTTCTTCCCTGAAACGGCCTGCGCTTTGCAAATACCACGCGTGCCGTCAGTCGGACGAGGCACTTCGAATGGCACGCACCCAACCACCCTGCCTCAGCACGGCAGCACGGCAGCACGGCAGTGCCCTACACCACCGAGTGCACTTGTTTTTTCCTTTCTTTTTGACTCAGTCTCGGCCAGCCCAGGCGGACTCCGCAACCCGCAGCGGTGTAGGGCGCAGCATGCAGTTCCAGAGTCCAGAGGCCAGAGTCCAGAGTCGACAGCCAGATGTGTCCATGTCAGCTACTGTGCACTGGTGCGGGCGCATGGTTCTAATGGTGTAATTTTCACCCTCACCAGTGGGCATGACCGACGCCCCCAGCGCGCCAGTGCTGTGCCGCACCGCGCTTCCTTGACGCGAACCATGCCACAGGAACCACAGGAACCACAGGAAACCCACCCGGCTGGAATCTTGCCTCCAAGTCCACCCACCCAGGCCACCAAGCTGTGATGCATGCCGCCCGTTTCGGCAAGTCGGCTGCGTCACTCGAGCAAGGCCCACAAGGTAGATCACTTTGCTTCATCCAGCCCTGCTGCACCTCCGACCTGTCCGCCGGATTGGCCAACTATCTCGAGTCAACCGAGATTGCCAGACGACATCTCCAGACAGTGCCTGAACCCGCCGCCGACGCCTGGAGCGGCTCGGAGCCCGTCCAAAAAGGGAAACCAGCTGAGCTGCTTGGCTGTCAAAGGCCATAGACTAGAGAACATGTTCCTCCACTGTCTGGGCGCGCTCCAGGCCGTGCGATCAAATCGTCGGCTGGCGCCACACGATGGCCAACCTTAAGCTCGCCGGTCCGTCTCAGCCCACCACGGTAGCGGTACCTGGTCTGTCATGGATGCCTCTTCATCACCAACTCCTTCCTGTCGCAGAACTCCTTTCTCCTGCGCAACGGTGCGGGTACCCCTTCGCGGACAGCCCATTTCCATTTCATGGCTCATTTTCCCATTTTCCGGCCAATCAGAATCCTGAAACGTTTGTGAGCCAAATAATACTGACCATTTCTGGCTGAAGCCATCAGGCCAATGATATCTCGTAGCCCGCCTCATAGCTTTCCACACCTCAGCCCATCAACCACGCTAGCATGGGTCTCGACACTGCAACAAGCCATCTACAGGCCCTCGTTGATTCTCTAGACGGCTACTCTTTGACTTTCTCGAAGGGTCTCGGTTTCCAAATTCGTACGAGTCTCATTCCGGGGTTCTCTGAGGCCACTCTTCCGGGGAACCTGTGAGACACGGATAGCCCAGCGGGGCGGCCTGCCTGCCATCGTCCCAGCCCTGGGTTCTCACGATGCTAGCCTCACATGTCTGATATCTTACCCCAGAAGGTGTCTTTGGAGATCTTCAGGGGCAAAGGCTGAGGGCCTAAGTCATGCAGAAGCACTATTCGGGTCAGGTTTCGGCACCGGTGCCCTGTTCAACAAGTCTCCCCCAGGCTCATTCGCTGATCCGGCTGCGATCTCGCCAGCATCCGTGAAGCGCTATGCTGTCGCCGGCATGGTTGGCGGCCATTATGACGGAGATGTCTCTGTTTCAAGGGCACAAAGAGATGTTCTTAGGACCCGGTTTTGACAGGGTCAAGGACGGAGAGGTCTCGGTAGATGGAAGCCATGACGACGTCCTCCCCCGTGGCTCTCTCCAATCCAAATTTGCTGTGCGGCTGGCAACGATCCCTGGCGATGGGTCAAGCATTGTAATGTCCCCGGTGATGAACGTTGGACCCCATTTCATTGTAGCGGGCCTGGTTGAGTAAACGCTGTGCCCCGGCGTGAGGTGCGGTCAGATTCACATGGAACGGACGACAGTCCACAGTGACATGCGTAAGCGCATTTCTCAGGCGGCTCATGGGCCTACTCGCCTCGAGCTTGGTTTGATTGCCTCTAGGCCGGTTCAGCGGAGCACTTGGTACTTGCATAGTGCTTCCCTCGAATCATCTAGGAGGTCCTCAGCGGAACGGTCTGCGGGCGGCCCTGGCTTGGTCAGAGAACCGGGACCACCAGGTCTATACGCCGGCCAAAGGTACAGGCTACGAGGGACTGCAGGCTGCTGTTCTGTCCTGGGTGGGAACAGGCTCTGGCAGTGTGGCCTGGGGGCACAGCGATATTGCGAAGTCCGCAGGTGTGAATTTCTTCTCAGCCGTCAAAGCAAGGTGCAACAACCCCATGCATGTTGCGAATCGATCGTGGCACAGCGAAGCAACTACACAATGCATGGTAACGTGCCATGCGATGATGGACCATTCTATCAGCGTACCTGCACTCAAAGTAATTGGTAATGTGACTCAACTTCCCTGACGTCGAAGATGGGGAGCAGAATCGGACCGGGAGTGCTGCTGGGGTGCAGGGTTGAGCAAACGGCGCTTAGTGCTCTGGCCGTGCGCTCTTCAAAATCTCTGCTTGTTCCGTCACCTTGGTGTGCCAGGGTGCATATTCCCCGTCGACGCTGAGGCCGGCATTCGACCAAGAGCAGGGGAGGCCGCAGACATGGGTGTCCCAGACGAGATCGGGTGGCCCACCCTTCCACAGGTCTGCTCCCCGGCTGTTGAGGGTGGTGGCGGTCGTCCCTGTACGTACAGTACAGTACAAAGCTTCCCCCCCTCTCCCGGTGGCGCTGCACCGCTACAGCTGCTGCAGCTTTCAGCTGCCGTTGCAGGCCACGCCTCTGGCGTCCTGCCACTTGCCTAGACTCCTCGGACCTATTGGTTTCCTCGCTATATGCAGGGTTGAACACAGCCCACCTTGTACTGTACCTTGACGCGGTACAGTTCGGCTTCGCTCGGCGAAGTGGCGCCTGGCCCAGTCCCGTACCTCTTGAGGAACAGGAAGCGGGAGACCAGAGGACAGACTGGGTTTTCACGGGCGGGTGAGCGTACCAAGCAGACCTGGCTGGCAGACAGGTTCCGAGGTCTCTGCCAGAATCCCTGGTCTCGTGCTGGCACTCTGGCACTCTGGCACTCTGCTGGGCGGGCTAAATCCCTGCTTCCACCCACAGCTCCGCTTCCCAGGTACCCCGGTGATGCCAGCTGCTTGTTTGCGGCGAGAATCGTACTATGTACCTTTCAGAACTGACCAAGGATCGTTCCGAGGGAGCCAGATGGGAATCGAAACAAGAATCAGTGGGATACGCGGACAAGGCGAGCCTGCGTGCCGAGCAATGGCAAGGTACTGCGGTAGCGTCACCCCGTGCCCTGCCATGATGCCTCCCAACTCCACTTTGCTGCATCTGGCACTACGATAGTTATGTACATGGCCCATAGGTCGGGCTTCCGTCAGGCAGTCGGCGCAGTATAACACCCCACCATCCTCTCACCACCCTTTACGAGCCTGCTCACCCTCCTTCTTTTTTTTCACGAGTACCTCGTCTACCATTCTCTTCTTCTTATTTGCGGTTGCAGGCGTGCGAGCTAATTGTTCCTGACCCTTGGGACCACCCGCCTCCGTCATCCTTCTTTCTTATTATTCCTTTGCCGTCTCACCTCCAGGTTCCAAAAGAACTCCACCGCTCTCCTCGGATTCTCTAGGCGCCTGGCCCTCCTACCCTCACACCCGGCCTTTTTCCTTTTTCCCCCCAACACCTACCAAAAGATACACCGCATTCACGATGCCTCCACAGCTACTACCAGCATCCGCGGCAGCATTTGCCCCAAGGGCCTCGTCCGTCAACGTCGTCCTCGGTTCAGGACGCCCAGAGCAGTGGCTGACAGCAACGTTGAAGAGGATCAACCGGGTAAAACGTCCCCTCAACAGCGTCATGCAACACCAGAGATGCCTGACCGAAACCCTGTCCAACTCGAACGCCATATGGACCCTTACCTCTCTGATGCTGCCCAAGGCTCCGGACTCTGAGTTGAGGAAGGACTCAAACCCCCTCGTCGAGGCCTTATTCAACTATCAGCTCCTCCATGTGGAGGCTTATGTTGTCCACGTGGATATGGTCCTGAGGAACGAGGTTGGGTACAAGCTCACGCCTGACACTATTGAGTCACTCATAGAGTATCACAAGGAGATACACTGTGTCAACGCCAAGGCCGCCACGCACGACTGGTCGGAGAAGGACCAGCAATGCAAGAAACTGCACGAGGACTTTGTCCAGGCCGTCAATAAGTTCGTGTACCGCACGCATGTGTCAGCGCTCGAGGGTCTCGAAGAGGAGGGAGCCGGCGAGCTTCTCAACGGGAAGAGCGAGGAAGTGAAGAACCAGCTCATGGGACTCATGAAGCCTTTATTGCCCCCGCCACCCAGAATTGTGGATGTGATACGCCAACCCCCTCTGCTTCCGAGCTCACCAGCCAGCGCAGGCTTCTGGTCCCAGCCCACAACACCCTCAAGTGCTCCCGCACCGGTCGATGCTTGGAGGATCCTGCCTTCCAGCCCGAGTGTTGTGACAACCTCTGCCGAGTCGGGCATGCCCGCCATCTGGGCGAACATGGGCATGAGCGAGGCCTCGCTTTCTCCTCAGACCCCGTCTTACAGCCAGCCTTTCTCTTCGGCCGGGTTCTTCTACAGCTCACCAGTCGCGACGGCCCCTATCCCATCCATCTCACAACTGCCCCTGCCTAGCATGCTCACGCAACAGTGCGGTGTCAGCGTCGGGTACGGTGGCTTCGGATGGGACCACAACCGCTATCAGGAGTATGCGACTACCATGTGACAACCATCAACAGCCAGAGGAGACAACCACACCTACCCAGAGGCTACGTCTTCCTAGCCAACGTCTCTCCTAGGACATCTCGTTCCGAGGAAGCCTCTGGGGGAACCTCCTATGGGACATCTCACCATTGCTCCCTTTGTCGTCACCGAAGAAAATACCCTCAAAAAAAGACTGGCATCCGGGCAGAGCTAGAGAGACACCTCACTGAGTTCATCACATGTCAAAGGCACATCGGCGTTTTGCATACCAAGGAGCAGGTTCGGGTACACAACAACATTTGTCATCTCTCTCCACAGGCATACGGGTTCTTGGGTTTCCTCTGTACAGCGAGCGAGCGTTTGATTTTCTTTTCTTTTCCCTGTCCGGAGTTTTGAGATTTTCGGGATACCAACACCAAACCAAGGCAGCCGCAAGCTCGGTCACACACTCACTCCATCTCATCTCCTCGTTGCGACTGGGTCCAGGGTGGAAGTTTGGAATGCATTTTCGGGGCGAGGCAGGGACTGTCGCAATATAGGGTGGCCTTTGGTATTCTTTTCTTTGGTTTGGTTGTCCTGTTTTCTTTTCTATTTCTTCTGTCTCTCACCTATGCGTCTGACAATAAGAGGATCATGCAGCAATGCACAACAGCCCGGCAAGAAAGGACCGGGACAGAAAGTCTGGATTCCTAACTCCTCTTCTCTATTTGGATTTTCTCGGCGGCATAAAAAGGCTCTCTCAGATGATACCCCCATACGCGATGTGGCCGTTTCGACCGCTTCAACACCACAATCCTTTGAACCTGGGTTTCCTTTTCTCTTTTTCTCATGTACGATTTCACGACCTTGGATGACAGACACAACCACCACCTAACGAGCTTGGAACCACGACCATTTCACGAACGATGACCTGCGCGCCTGGCCTGAGGCTGGGGCCCACGACCTCATTCGAAACGAAACGGCACGAACCACATAGCCTGTCTGGGTGGCGGATGATTCAATGCCGACAACTTGATCACTGGACTGGACTCCGTGGGGACTTGCGGCACTCCAAGGCTGAAGAGGAAAAGACGTCGAGCTGAAAGACAAACAACAATATCAGGAATATTGCAAGGTCGGAAGCACAATTTGACACAGGGTGTCGTCGACGCGAGAGACCAGGTGCCCTACCCCTCCTTCCTCTTTGAACCAAAGGGCTGGAGGGCCGGGGGATGGAATGCTGTATGGGGAGGCCGAAAGAGCACGAACAAGAGCCGAGACAATCAACGGTACTCTGCTGCGCAGGAACGCGAGCAAAGTCCGGCCTGCCCTCTCGGCGCCGCTGCTGAGTACGACTCATTCTCAACGCCATCGGAATGTCGTGGACCTCGTTGAAATAGGAGACGAGATCCCATCTCAGTCCTGCCAGCTCAGGAGGAGAAGGGACATCCGATCCGCTTCAAGGGCGCGCCTTTTTGCGCAAGCAGGTCTGCCTGTCCACGACAAGACAGCGGCGAAAGGGCCAGTTTCTGGGCCGAGTCTGGGTTGAAAAGCAAGGCACGAGCAAAGGGAAGGAAATTGGTAGTTCATTTCACTACATGTTACCCTGGGCCGTCCCGGTCACCCCCAAATGCTGTACGGGTTGAGTGTAAAGTCCTCCTCGGCAGCAGACTTGGGGGGGTTTGCTGGGATGGGTTCGGGGAACAAGAGCTCACGTGAGGCGACATGATTGACCACGGGGGGGCAGGTTTCCCCCCGGCAGGCCATGTTGTGTTCGCCTCCGTGGAGCATGAAATGCTGGTCGTGGTGGGTTTGGGTGTCCCGTCCTGGTGGCGGGGACACGGAGGCGCCATTTACTTGGTTGGCCTCATTGCTCCTTTGTCCTTGTCTAGTAGTTAATTTCAACAATCGAGCAAAATTCAAAAAAAAAATCTCAATCCCTAGGTATTCATTCCCCAGTGCATGTCGAAGCGCGACGCAGCAGGGCCAAGACTTGTCAGGGCGAGGGTGGGATTGTCACCTGAATCTGATGTAGGCTGCACCGGCACTGGCTAGCAATTGGCTTCAATTTCACACGACTACTCAAACTATGGCCGGGTACGGAGTACATTCTCGAGGGCAACTGGCTTGGTGAGCCGTTGATGTAACTCTAGGACGGGCACTGGGCCTGCGCAGGCAGTAGTTAATGCAGGACGCCAGGAATCCGAAATGACCTTTGTTGCCCTGACGCGGGCGCGGTGCGACAGAGGCGTGCAAGGTTTGGGGTCGGATGGAATTTCCTAGGATGAAGTTTGCTAGGACGATCTCGGGCTCGGACCTTGCACCCTGTGATAGCCGCAGACCCGTCAGTGTCCTCCCCGGGTAAAATGATTGACAATATTGCTTATGCCGTGCAGTAGTTTGAGCTTGAGGTCAGAGTCGACGTCCAAGGATCGCGGGATGGCAATCGACGGCATATGCTTTGGCGGCGGGGCTGATTTGCCTGTCAGACGGGCCTGGGGGCAACGGGCCATGGACCACGGGCGTCAGGAATGCCACCACACGATGTGGGAAGGACAAGACAAGAGCAAAAAAAAGACAGGGACTGGCATGGTACGGTATACGATGTTCTTGGAGATCTGTGGGGGGGGGTGGGAAGCCCTCGTCCCCGCGCTCCCGTGCTTCCTTTGGCCGTGCAACCCTCGTACTGGCAGGGGCGGGTTCGTCTACACAGATGATGCTGCCACGACCTGTCTTCTTGTCGGCTTGGAAGGCAGCAGCAGCAAGGTCGTGGTCAGCAGGCCCGAGGGAGCAAGAAGGACGGCCTCGAGAACATGGCCTGAGGCCGTCAATGGCCGCCCGTCAGCTCGCAATTGGACCAGTCGGGAGGCCGAGTGGTGTCCTCGTGCGTCGATCAATCTGGGGTCCGCCATGAGGCTCCCACAAGACAATTCTCCTTGCTGCTCGAGGGCCCCGCTGCCCCCGCTGGCCCGGGCGTGTGCCCTGGCTCGGCGGTGGTACCAGTACGGGACCGATAATGGTCAAACGAGAGCCAGCAGTCTGCGCAGGGCGACAAGGTTGGGGCTAAGGCGAGAGGACGAGTCGCGGATGTGACGACGGTTGCGGCGTTGCGACATGATGCCTGCCCGTCAGGCCCGTCAGGCCCGTGGGGGAAGGAGAGCTCTGGGGCCAGGTCTGCGGCCCAGCAGCCCTGGCGGCCTGGCAGCCTGGCAGCCCAATCACCCCCCGCTGCTGGCCGCCGAGGGGATGCCCTTGTGACCTGGAATCGCATCTCCCACGTCCCACGTGCCCGCCTTATTTCCGTATAAGTACTTGGCTACCTAGGTAGGTACCTAGGTACCAAGCTACCTTGGTACCTACTGGTCAGTACGTCTTGGGTCAGTACGTGGTTGCTGTCTCTCTGATGGAACAGCATCCAACAACGACTTTGACCTCGCAGACCTCGTTCCGCCCGCAGCCCGCGTTGCCTTGCTCGAGGTGGCACTCGGAGTTCGCGGTGCAGTAGCGCCGCAACCATCCTGTCATGACGCCCTCTGCAACTCGCAACTGCAGGTCAGGGGCAGGGCTGCGGCTGAGCAGAGCCCGGCTGGCCCTGGCCTCCGATCTGTGATCTCTGCTGCTTGCGCCTGGCCGTTGAGATACACAGTCCTGACAGTCCAGTCCGACAGCACACACGCCGAGCACACGTTACCAGGCGTGGCTGGGCCTGCATCTCGCAGCTTGCAGCTTGCAGCCTGCAGCCTGCAGCCTCTGCCATCGCACCGCAGCCACCACCTCCCTTCTCGACCCAACATATGCCGTTCCCGGAACACACGATGGCACCCTCGGCCCCCTCGGACTGCCACCACTCCTCCCTGGCCTCCTTGACACCCACAAGACTACGCCGCGCCGAGACACACGCCCGCTTAGTGCTGACAGCCCTCTCAACTACGCCAACTATGCGAACTACGTCGGCTTACGTTACCATGCTGCCGACTGCTTCGGCCAAAGACCTGCTTTGAATATGTGATCGACAAACCGCCCCCGTCTGCCTATGCTCAACCCACCTGTTCGACCTTTCCTCGGCCGCGGGGTGACCGCAGGCCCAGTGCCCTTCAGTGCCCTTCCACCCTCTCCGGTTTAGCAGCGCCGCCTGGGCGCATCTCAGCTCGTCATGACCACTCACTCGGTACCGGTACATCTCTACTGCATTGCATTAGATCCTCCCCTATGCACCATGCTACCCCGGGCTACGTCGTGGGCTTTAGGGGGGGCTGGCCTACCTTGCCCAAGACAATTTGCGGCGCGGGTGCCCCATGGTGAGACCTCCCACAAGTCAAGGCCGTCAAGAGCCCCATGCGGCCCTGCGGCACCCAACCAAGCTCGACCCCGGTAAGCAGGAAGAATCGGGGTCGTGGGCCAAAGGGCGGCCGTTCCCAGAGTTGCCTGGCTTCCCGTTGTCTGCCCAGTGAGCAGGTCATGAACGCGGGTGAAGCTGTCTTTGGGCCGCCGTGAGCGAGCCGTTCATGCAGCCGCATGTCAGAACTGACTTTTGGTACTGAACAAACAAGTACTGAGGTCTACTAAGCTTACTGTCGGGCTTTTGCAGAGGGGAGAACTTTCCTGTACCGAGTGTATCTAGGTGTTGTTCTTGGATAGGCCCCAAGATATTCAGTGCTACACGTCCCAGTGGTTGTTGCCACCTTCTATGTGGTTTCGCTTCTATTCCGTATACGTCCGATGACATACATAGCGCCTTCATACGGTGGTAAGCACTCTAGACCCAGCGCTTGGAAAGAATACGATGTCGATAACAGTAGTTATAATACGATAGTAGCTCACCTTTGTCACTGGTGTCTTGGATCTCTATGTCGAGTTAGATGAAAATGACACTAAGAGTTGTAAAGACCAAAGCAACCTGCCAGTTGTAGGTCATGATTTCTTCAATCGAAGGTCGAAAGTAGACAGTCTCACAGACCGATGGGGAAACTGAGCAGGCTTGAATGGGCTCTACAGAGTGGCAAGGCGACTGGGCTGATATGGACGCCGTTTTCCGTGCGAGTCGCTTACTCTCGAAAACAGACTGAACATGGCACCAAAAGCCAGCCCTTGGCAGAATCCGTGATAGCCGTAGGTGCTGTCACTTTGCCAGTAAAAGCTTTGCGACAAGATCAATTGGAATGTGCCCCGGCGCCAATGATCTGCACTTGGAAGGACTTCAGGCAGATACTAAGACCATTTGCTTCTTTTTTTTTTTTTTTTTTTTTCTCTCTCTATTCCAAACCATGCCATGCTACACAAGCAGAATAAATGCATTAATCCCATACAAAAGGCCCGAATAGGGTTCTAGCCAAGAGAGTTGGTCCCATTTCAATCCCACCCCTTCTCTTCACAAGACGCTATTCAGACCATTGCAATTTCAAGGCACCTGGAATAATTTCACATGATCGCTTGAGGTTCTACCTCGGTCCCATTTGCTTGACAGTCACACAAGTGACAAAAGGCAAGTCGATGTCCCCGTAATAAATAGCACTCGAGCAGCACGGCATCCGTACCCGCCTGATCTTGGAACACCTCGGCCAAGGCCTACCGTGTAAATCATGCAGAAGATTCCGCATGGGGCAGGCGCTACAGAAGCCATAGGCCGTCACCGGCGGTCGTACAAGTCCCGGAAATTCGAAGTGGCTGTCTCGTGCGGTGCGACCAGAGATGCGTCCGTCGGACCATGCACAAAGTCAAAGACACGACCAAGGCAGAAGGAGGTGCCAGGTTTTGCCCTCGAGTGTTGGCCTCGGAACCGGCTGGCTCCGGTGTCCGCGGGCAACAATATATATCTCACAAAGATAGTCCGACGTGGATCTTTACGTTACGCTCCTGCGCGGCCGGTTGGAGAAGGGAGGAGACCTGAGACAACATGACGATGTTGCGGCCGCCTGCATGCCCGTGGATGCGTCCTACGGCTCGGGGGTACTTTTGGTAGCGCCGGCCTTTCATGTTGTTTTGAAAACTAGCTGCGTCCTCTGGTTCTCGCATGCTGTGAGAGTTCCTGGCCGGAGATGATTACTGAAAATTGCAAGCGCTGTCTCAAATTGTTGTCTAGCTATGGACGGTTTGAAGCGCGGATGGACATCTGTAGAGCAGTTGGGGAGAGGGGACTTTGCCCCAGTGTACCTAGGTATGTTGTTGCTCGCATTGTGATTATTTCGTGCTGGAGTCATACTACGATGAATTGTGCACTGATACGATAAGCACAGCAATTATATTAAAATTTCGATGCCAATAGAACTCAAGAAGATATTCACAACTTAGTATGTGTACAACTGGAGAAAGAGACCAGTTATTAAGATATGTTCGGCGGAAAATAAAGGCCGTAATCAAGTTTGGATATAAGTTGTTTTAATCATGAGATCAAAATCTATCAAATAGGAAAGAATTTCCTTATACTGTTAGCTTTGCGGAATGTGAATGCATAAGTACGCTCTCTCATGTTGTGTAACTATGTGAAGGCGCCGTGTATAGCTTCGGACAAGTACGGAATAGATCTAAAACAGTTGCGAAATAACCCTAAAAATCATTCCGTCTTGCTATTCGGGTCCTGAGAATGTCACAGAAGCACAAGTCTTGGTGAAAGATAGACGCAACTCCTGCACAGTCTTGGGCGAAGAGGTCTGGAGTAGGACTGGGTAATGAAATGGAGCAGCATGCATCAACAGAGACTTGGACTGATGGCAAAGAATTAGACGCGGAAAGACGGCCACGAGAAACACGACATGCCTAGGTACATAATATTCTAGTGTGGTACTAAGACTTGCTTGTATCGACAGTGTCCACATCGACAGAGCAAGGCCTTGGATGACCTCGAGAATCTGGCTGAAATGTCCCGACTGGCAGTCAGACAGATTGATATGCAGGCTGAAGACAATAGCTCATGTCGAGCTTGAATCATGGGTCAGCCCACGCTGCCAGACTCTGCGGGCTGAGACCGCCTTGCAGTTCTTTGTTGCTCGATGCGCATGCACCTCATGACCGTTCAGAAGCTGACAAGCAAAGTCGAATCATATACCTAGGTGGGCGATGATGTTGTGTCAGGACAGGTTTATACTAGGGGTAGGGAAACCAAATCCAACCGAAGATACAGAGAGAGCCAGGCTGAGATCAAGAGGAGACTTCCGTGCCAACATCGCACGGAGAAGTCATTTAACAAAATAAATTCGTCACATAACTAAGATATACAACAAGTCAAGGCTCATAAAACAAAGCCCTCATTCCCTCACCACAAAAAGATTACCCAAGTCTATGCGTTTTGTGTTTGCCCGTCGCAAGCCCCCAGTAATAACACAAAGTCTATAAACCCGCCTGACGCCCATTCAAATAAAGTCACCAGACATTGGGATATCAAGCACATGTATTACACTGCATCACAACCCGGGACAACTGGAGCCCGAACTCAAAAGGGGGTCTGGGTCCCCCCTGAATTTAATCACTCTCGGGACACGTCACGCCCAAAAACCTTAGACTTTGCCCAGTCGTTGATGACCAGGAGACGGTTTCGAGCTAGAGATATCCAAGTCAGTCGATGACCATGACAACCAACAGGGAATGGGGCACTTACTGCTGAAGCACATTGAGAGATACGCGCTCCTCCAAAACAGGTACGTCCAGGTACCACCGGATGCGACATTGCCGTTGAACCAAGCAACGTCCGCGACTGCCTTCTCGCTGCCAATGTACGCGAGACTGCCCTGGTGCGAGTAGTGGAAGGGCTTAATGTCCTTGATGCGGCGGAGCTGCCTCTCGTACTCCTCGATCTGCTTGGACGAGTCGGCCGAGTTGCCGGGCTTGAGGTTCAGCGACGAGGAGAGCTCGCGGATGTTGCGCTCCAGCTCCTCAGTCTTGGCCATGTTGTTAAAGAGCTTGGCCAGGAAGGCGCCCTCCTGCGAGGCGACCTGGGCGGTGGGCGCGTATCCGGCGACGGCGCAGTCGCCCACGGCCCAGATGTCACGGGCCCCCTGGACGACCAGATACTCGTTGACGGCGAGGCCGCGGCGGGAGTCCTTCTGAGCGGCAATGCTCGACATTAGGTTCTTGACTATGGGGCGGACGGCGTTACCCGTGGCCCAGACCAGCAGGCCGTAAGGGAACCGAATGAGCTCCTTCTTGCCATCTGGGCCCACAGCCTCGGCCTCGACATAGGTGTCAGTGACGTTCTTGACCATTGTCTTTGTCCTGATGTCGATCTTCTCCTCGGCGAAAGTGCTCTCGGTGTACTCAATCAGCTGCTTGGAGAAGGAGGGCAGGACGTTGGGCAGGGCCTCGATCAGGGTGACCTTGAAGCGATCGCTGATGTCCGGGATAAGACGCTTGATGTCCTCCTCGAAGAAGTCCTGCAGCTCACCGGCAAACTCAACACCGGTGGGGCCTCCGCCGACAACGACCATGTGGAGGAGCCTGTTGATCTCCTCTGGGGTCTGGTCCTTGAAGGCAGCGGTCTCGACGCAGTCCATGATCTTCTTGCGGATCTGCTGAGCGTCGCCAATCTCCTTGAGGAAGCACGAATGCTCGCGGACACCGGGGATGCCGAAGGTGGCGTTCTCGGCACCAACACCAACGACCAGCATGTCGTAGGGGACTTCGGTCTCGGTGACAGCGCCCTTGACCTCGGAATCATCCTTGATCTTGACGACCTTGCGCTCGGGGTCGATCGAGTGGGCCTCGGCTTCGTAGTATTTGACAGAGGCCTTCTTGGACTGGAGGATCGTGCGCACTGGTTCCATGATGGAGCGGTGCTCGATGGTGCCGGTGGTGCACGAGGGGAGCAAGGGGGTGAAGAGGAAGTAGTTTCGGGGCGAGATGACGACGACGTTGTAGTTCTCGGTGTCAAGTTTCTTGAGGAGAGCCACGGATCCCCAGCCGGTGCCTGGAGGCGCAGGGGAGCGACAGGATTAGCAACGGGCGGGCAGGCGGGCGACTGACAGACGCAGGGCAGGATGTGAGCTTACCCAGGATGACGAGGGTCTTCTTGGAAGGGTCGGGGTTGACCTGAGGCTCCGGGTGCCTGATGTCCCAGACTTCGTAGCTGACATAGGCGAGGGTGCCGAGGACGGAGAGGTAGAAGAGGCGCCATGTCCACCTGAATGTGGTCCTGATCTTTCCCGACTTCCTGGGGGGCGGCGGGGGCGCGGACGACTCGGAGTACTGCCTCTGGGAGTGACGAGCTATAGGGCGTATGCTGGCAGCAGCAAGAGGAAGAGGGCGGCTGGAGGGCGTGGTGGTAGCCAGGGAGCGAGCCGAGGATGCGAGGATGCGCGATGCGACAGCGTACTGCTGCATGCGGGCGACACCGAACTGGCGGGTCGCGAGCTTGTTCAGGGCCAGAGCTCGCGAGGAGGAAGCCATGGCTTCGAATCTAGGTGAGGGCGAGGCAATTGCCGGGCGGAGGGGTTCTAGGGATACCGTTCTAGAGGAAATATAGGGAAACGGACAGAGGATCTAGGAACTTAGGAGGCTGATGAGTCGATGAAAAGCAAAGGAATCTGAGGTGGTGGGGGCCGGGAGTGGGCTCCAGCTGAGGGCTGAAAGCGCGTTTTTTCTCCCAGCTTATCCGACCCGATAAGATGGAGCTCTCAATCGCCCTCTCTCCCCTTCTCTCTTTGCTGGGTGGCGGCCATCAGTCACCCACCACTCAGTTTATTTATCTGGTATACCAATTTTTTTTCTTCCCGCCTTCCAACTTTTGACACCTGCTCCGTATCCAAGTGCCTAGGTGCCTAGGTACCTAGGTTTGTAATGCACCCCACGCCCCAGTTCGCACTGGCAGCTGCAAGAAAAGCAGGCCTGTCAAGCACGTGCGCATCGACAACAGACAGCCATTCGCCCGGAATCAATACAGTGTGCAATCCACCCGACCGAGTCATTTTGCCGACCGAGGTCTGTGAGGCTGGCTCTTTGCCCCAGCGGGTCAATTGGTGCATAGAAAGTGCTCAGAGAGAGAGCATTGAGCCTTTGTCTGTCTGCCTTGACGTACTAATAAGATAAGCCCGAGATAAGATTAGCGAGACTTGGACGTACCGAGTAGCTCGCATGCTGTGTGTGTATTTGGTGGGTTGTGGTGCTGGAATGACGCATGCGAGAGACAGCTGCGTGCCCAGGTACCCGGGTACCCAGGTACCCACTACGTACTGTGGTAGAATACTTTGGCAGAACGACCCAGCATTCTGGTCCACCCGAGGCACGCGCAAACCGAGACGTTGGACTTCGCCCAGTCATCAACAGCGCATCCGACTCTCCGTCTCCATCATATGTCTGACACTGATCCTTTGGTCCTGATTCGACATGTGCTCGCATTCTCGGCTTTCCGCCGGGTCATCTCGGCAACCCGCCCCGACTGCAAACCCACAGCTCCGGTATTCAGCGACCGGAGCTGTTCGGGCCTTCATCGGCAAATTGTGGAGCGGCACATTGTGCATGCCAAGCACCAGGCGAACCTCATCCAACAGGTTGACGGACACTATCGAATTGGGTTTTTTCCATGTTGAGTAATTACCTGAGCCAGACCCAGTATACCAGTTCTGTACATCTAGATGCTCTTGGCCCGAGCCTCGATAGCGTTCGGCAGACCCCTTGGTTGATATGATGCGATGCTCATCATACCGATCCCACGGCAGCAAGTCAAAACTTAAATCTGCAGCGTGGCATAGCACCAGCTCCCATGTCTGTTCATGACACTCCTGCAGCAGAGACACGTCTGCTCTCCGTTTGGGCTCACGTAGATCAGCCCCGAACGGGCGTGCACCCCGAGGGCTTTCTACACACGCAAGTGTGACATCTCACTCAGCAGGCGACGTAAGCAAGGCACCTGGCCCGAGCAGCACTCTGGAAGCTGGATTCGTACGTCTTCTCCGTCCTTCACCAGATTCCCGGTTTTCTGCCCAAAGGAAGGCGCCTGCAAGACAACAGGCTGACCCTCTCCCGACCCGGTCCAGGCCCGCAGCTGGGGTTGGTCAAGACTAGACCAGACCATGCTCTGTTCGAGATTGACGACCTGTGGTGCATGTCAGTCCAGAAACAAGTGAACTTGGGTAGGAACTGTGTACGCAAGCTTCTCAGAACGACTCCACATCCACCGGGGCCCACCACCATGCCGAGTTTCGTCTAGCCCAATTGTGCCTCTGCCGCCGAGCAGAGCCCCTTGGGGCACGACAGCCGTAGAAGACAATCCTTTTGGGATGCCTCTCCTTCTTCTGGCAGAGCGTTATCCAGATCATGGACGAACGCAGCATTTGTTGTGCTCAAGGTCCAGATGTCGAGGAATATGGCCCTTGTGCTGCAATGCGCATCCGGCAGTTTGTAAGCGGCGACCACGACTCAGAGACGCGATTCATCTGGAATCACTGGGGCGATGCCAACCAGACGAGACAGAAGAAACGAACCAAGGCATAAGGCACGGCAATATCTAGCCGGAAATCCCGAACTGGTGCCAAAAGCTTCCAGAACAGCTTGTATCATGGAGCCCGCCCGCAAACATACGCGCCTCCACAACCAGAGCAGCGATTTGCTCTTGCGGATCGCCAGAGCATGAAGTGTCAAAGCTTGGACAGCAATGGCGCTGGTGGGAGCAGGGTATCCCACAAAGCTTCTTGGTCGGGAGAAAAGGGTAGTTTGCCCTTGTCCCTGTCTGGGCGCGGAACATTTTTTGGGACCTGCAGGACACGGCTGGGTAAACTCGAAGCCTGCAAGATCCCACTGTTTTTCTTCTTGCGATATTTAACCGAGAGGGCTCTGTGCGAACGCACGTGTGACGACTGCCCCTGGTGTTTTGAGTTTTGCCATCTGGAGAAGTCTGGATAGTCTGAGCGAACACGATGAACTGGTCTTGGCTACTACTAGACGGTCTACCATCTCCTTTCTTCCATGGCTTGCAAGGGTTCGAGGGCGCCAGAAGCAGGTCAAGACCAGCCTGCCAAGCCCCAAGACTTGTTAATCAAATTGGCCTCGCCAGAGCGGGCCCAGGTGGGATTCGGTCGTTTCGACGACGGACTACTACTAAACTGACAAGAACTTTCTCGCTTGATGATAAGTTAGTAGAGAGGCCGGCAGGATACTGAGGGACGATGAGAACCATGAAGGGGCCATCTAAACAAGCGTCCTACAGCGCCTAAAACGGGAGGATGAAGTGCCGTCGCCGTGTTCCACTCCTCTGGCCGGACCATGTGACATGCGGCTCGGTAGCAAGTGTAGTTGTATTATAGGCCTGGGAGCGCGATATGCCGAGGGCAAACAATGGCGGCGCGCGACTGGCCACATTGCAATGCCCGCTGGCGGCTGGGAGGTCGCGAAGGCAGAAGGCTGCCAAGGTTTGATGAACTGACAGTCAACGGGATGTTCAGGCGGACGGCGGACAGGATGGCATTGAAACAACCAAGAGGTGGCAATGGGCCAGTGACCCCTACGAGTGAGATGACGGGCCAAAACACACAGGCAATTAAGCATCGCATACCCGAAAGCCGCAAGTTCAGGATGGACTTGGCTGCTCGAGGTCGGGATGACGGCGAGCCCGCCCCAGGCCTGGGATGGCTTCTGCACGTGGCGTTGGGGGTAAATCCCTCGGCTCGTTCGCTGGCAAGACTCAAAAGTGATGGTGTGGCTTGTCCAGGCGGCCAAGAGGAGACGTGGGACCTGGAGACGAAGCTGACGGTCGCAGGCGTCGCGCGGCTAACCCACAACAAAGCTTCCGGATCTGGCGATGCGCGAGAGGGGAGGAAAAGCGGCCGTGGGACTTGATCCGAATAACGTGGTGGCCTCACCACTGTTGTAAGGGGTATGGGGTAGGGGGGAAGGGGGGGAGGAGGAGGGGGAGGGGCAAGAGGGGGACGGGAGTTGAAGGGTGCAGCATTGATGTTACTGCGGCGCTAAGCCAAGGACGGCTAGGTGCCCTCCCGGGACGCCCTTCTGAAACCTGTCGGGTCCGGTTCTGAGACACAGCACTTGCGGACCCCACCCAGATCCGTAACACGGTTGCACGGTAACAGCAGCCGCAGGTCAACCTCACCTCTCAAATGGTTCATTCACCTCAGCAGACAGGGCTGCCAGCACGTCACTCACCCTCTTGTGCTCTTACGCTGCTCTGTGTTTGAGAAAGCAGCCAGTCGTCCTGTCGTCCCACATGGACCACGGCCGGCCATCAATGCGTATGCGCACCAATCCCTACCCACCTGCCCACCTGCCCACCTGCCCACCTGCCCACCTGCCCGCCGTCCGGTATGCAGGCCCGCGACTAAAGCATCACCCCCTCGGTCACAGGAGGCTGGCTGCGCGTGGCCTGCCCGTGGTTGTGCTGTGTTGTGTGTGTTGTCTGTGTTGTGTGTGCGCTTGGGCTTTTTGTCCCGTCTGACATTCCAGGGACCATCTCATGGCACCGCACCGCACCGCACCGCATCGCATCGCATCGCATCGCCAGCTTCGATGATACATGCTCAGTGATATTGTCTCTGCTAATGCCGCATGGCCTCGCCTGGGCATCAACGGCGGCAGCACCAGCAGCAGCACCAGCGGCAGCACCAGCACTGCCGCCACAGTCTGCCTGCCCCCTTGAAGTGTGCCCTTGCCACCTGCCAGCTGTCTCCTACGCCCAACTTGCTACAAGCCTGCTACCGAACCGGGGATTTCGACTCGAGCCAGGCCGTTCTGCACCCCATCCCGTTGCGTCTCGGGGCATGTGGGCGCTCCCTTGTGCCGTCCTCGTGTGCCCGTGTGCCCGTGTGCCCGTGTGCCCTCGTTGCCGTATGCCCCCAGCTCCCAGACCCCAGACGACGACGAGAGAGAGACGTGTCCGCCGGTGGGCGATGGCGTGGGCATGGCGTCAGCCTCTCCCGTCAGATAGATTCGCTTCCGCGGTGCCCTCTTGGTTCGTCTTGCCCCGGCCCCCGGGTCAATGCAGGCAGGCAGGCAGAGGAAACCCGCCACCACACACCCCTGAGGATCCGTCTTTGAGCCTCGTTTGGAATCTCCCCCAAAGCGTAAGGTCCCAAACCCTCTTGCAGGTCAATCCCTCCCTCGAGTCAGCCCCGTCATCCCTGGCCCCTTCGGCTCATTCGTCCACCCCCCGAGCCTCCTCCCGCTCATGCCCTTGCATCGCCCACGCGGCGGGTAAATCTATCCCTCCCTCCCCAGTCTGATACCCTTCTGTCACCAAGCTTCTCTGTCTTGGAAGTCTCACTTCTGTTCAGCCTGCTTCCTCTCTTCCCACCCTTTCCTTTCTCTCCTCCAGGGCTGGCCTCTGTCACTTTCTTTACACCCTTTTTTTCACTGCTCCGCCAACGCCTCCCCTTCCATTCGCCCGCCTTCTTGTCCTTCGTGGCAAAAACCTAATCTGCGAATTCCTTGATTTCATTCTTCCCGCTGACCTACTGTCACCACGCCGGCGCTGGGGAAAGTTGGACATGGTCGCTTGAACACTTCCAAACACGCTTGAGAACGCTTGAGCGCATGGGCTGTGCCATAACCGCATAGGGGATCGCCAGCGGTGACGGACAGGATGCTAAGAGTGGACGAGATGGCCCCCGTAATGGATGTTATGTCTAGACAGCAAGAGAAGGAAGTCCGAGCAGGTCTGCGGCGGAGGTATTTGCGGCAGCGACTCGCGCCCATCGACACCTCGCTGAGGGCACCACGACGTGACCTCATGGTTGTGACCACTGAGCGGGATCTTCGCAGGCAGGAGGATGCGGATGAGGACGACAGCGATGACGACGAGGCTGCCGCAACTCGCCAGGGCACCAGAAATAGGCAGGGCAAGGATTACGATTCCGACGACGATGATGACGAGGGGCACAGGCAGAACCAGCCCGTGGCGACGCTCGCTGTTCCTGAACCCGAGACACCGTCACCGACCTTGCAGCAGACGTTTCCCCCTCCGCAGCTGGTGCCGGCAGCAACATCCACGACGTTGATGGCCCTGCCATCTCCCACAACGCCCGCGACGCCGCCTACCCCGACCTTCCCACCTCTCCCGCCGCCGCCCCCACCCGTCATCACCCTGCCGCCGACCACCGTGGTCATGACTTCCACTGTCATGGCCACGCCAAGACCATCCGCCGTTGTACCTCCCGTTGTCAACAACCCGCAGGTTAATCCTCCGTCGCCGACGTCGACCTCCATCTCGATGATGACTACTCAGCCAATCACGCTCGTGTCGTCCATCTCGGTTAGCTCGCAACCCAGGAAAGGGGTTGGAAACCCGGAGACAACCTCATCTTCAATTGCCTCGCCGACGTCCACCCAGGCCCTTCAGACCACTCAGACCACGCCACTGGCCTTCGAGAACAGCACGCCGTCAGCAACCCCGTCCTTCGGAGATGTGAGGAACGGAAACGACAACGGCCGGGACCAGGATAGAGGGCCGCCAAGGGGCCTGGACCCCACTGCTGAGCATGCACTCATATCAGCGGGCTCGATTGGTAAGTTTGAAGCCCCGACCAATATCAGTGCACTCTGGTGCTGACCTCCATGTGATTAGGTGGCTTCATCATTGTCTGTTTTATCTGCTGGACGGCGTGGCGCATGATCAAGAAGTCGAAAGCCAGGGAGAATGGCTACTACGGAAACCAGCCACCCCCTTCGAACCAGCTCCTCGCCAAGATCCCGTACTTTGGACGCGGCCAGCGAGGTTGGCAGGAGATGGGCGATGGCCCCAACGATATGCGCAGCCCCTCACAATATGAGAAGACAAACTCCGTGGGCCAGATCTCGGAGATCTACTCCATGTACGATCCGAGGTCCCAGACGCAATCCATGTCGAAGCAAGGGCCAATGGTATTACCTCAACTGCAGACCAACTTCTCACCTGCCGGCAACTATAGCAACAACCCGTTTTCCGCAACATCTGGTTCCATTCATAACACGCAGAGCGCCTCGCCTCAGTCCCAAATGAGCCAGCAACCCCTGACCAACATGCCCCCGCAGCTGCAGCCTGGCTTCTCCCCGGCCAGTAACTTCAACCCGTTCCTCTCAAACATGTCCGCAGATGGGTCCAACTCCATGGGCCCGAGTAACATGCTTCAGTATGGCTCAATGCAGAATACTGGAACGATGCAGAGTGTTGGCTCCACACAAGGCATGGGAACAATTCAGACCGTCGCAACCACCACCACCACAGATCGTTCGCGCATGCAGGATCCGTTCTTCAACCAGTCTGAACTCGCCCGACAGCCCTCTGATGCGTACGATCCGAACAGACGTCAAGTTTACCGCGCATCAGAGCTGTCGTCTCTGTCCTCAGGCTTTGGCGACGAAGATATCATCGTCCCCCCTCCGGCCGCCACGCGGCCGCCCGGTGCTCCAGGCACGTCCCGTCTGAGCTACCAGCAGACACCCGGCGTCAGCAGGAAGAACAGTGTCGCCAATGCCAGTGAGGCTGGCAATAGTAACCGCGACACGGTCTATACAACGACCAGCGAGGACATGCCCCCGAGGTTCAGGACCGTGAACAGCTGGGTGAACCAGCAGACGGGACGGGTCCGTAGGGCCGAGCAAAGGGCCAACGAGGAAATCCCTCCGGTCCCCTCGATGCCCCCAGAGGAGAGGTACACAATGATGATGGATGACGAGGAGCCTAGGCGGCCAGACGCGACCGCCGCTCCTGTACCAGCTCTCCCGACAGAGTTCAAGGACACGAAGCCATGAAGGATATGGGGCATGCCCATGAATTCTTGTGCAAATCTTGGGAGCTCATGCTAACATGATGGTTGCTCAATGCTTTTGGGAATACGACCGCGGCCGATATGAAGATACCAGAGGCCCTTTGAGGAGCCTCACTATTTCTACGATAGCACTATACCTACCTACGCACTGTAAATATCTGCCTTGACGGATTCACGATCACATCTCACCCTGTCATTCGTCCCCCCCTGCTTTCAGCCTCAGCCTGGTGCTGTGACTTGAAACTGGATGGGCTCATGACATGTGAGCTTGCGGATTCGTCCCCCTGTACACAATACCGAGTTCAGAATGGGCGTCCATAGACCAGGGAAGTTAGTTGGAATCATGGCATCGCGGCAAGCATGGTGTTCTGGAACTTCGCAGGCCCAACCAAAAAGGAGCGTTAAGGGGAGTGGAGAGAGCAGGCGCGCCAAATAGGCGAAATACATAACTCAAATAGTAATTTGGAAATGAAAGAATGATTAAACAGTCCGCTTTGGTGCGGGGAATGATGTTGTCTTCTCCCACGCTCATGAGGCGATTAAGCCACCAATCTGACGCACTGAAGCAGTTCACGGTGTCGGTGAAGGGGATCAAACCCCGGGTGGCAACGGCTGGCTGGCCAGAGGCATAAATATGGTTGCGACTTGTGCGGCGGTGTATCATAGCACTTCAAACTATAGCCCCAGGGGTTTATGACATTCTGGACTGGGGTCTAGGTGCAGAGCTGACCGAGCCTCACGTGCCGGCCAACACGAACGTGATATTGAAGGGGGGAGAGCACGCAGATTGGCGCGGAGGTTGAGACTAGAAAGACAGCCATCAGTGACCTTGGGGGTATTCTTCTTGGCGAGATAAAAGAATAAGCAAAAAAAGAAGATTGGTTTGACCGTTCAGCCGTTGCGATGAAGACGATCGTGTCGGACGAATCCAGGGGATAATCCGCATCCAACAGTAAGCATCTGCTTTTTCTCCCCGCCTCCTCCAACACGACCACGCCCCGTCCAATCCCCAGCGCCCACCAAGCCTTAGCCCATCCGCATCGTGAGTTGTCAAAAGCCACCCCCAGTCAGAGCAATTTGTTTTTGTTCTTCCTGTGTCTCACATGCCCTAGACAATTCCGGGCTTCCCCGTCTGGCCATTTCGCCATTGCCCAACGAGCTCATTTCTCCATCAGGAAACTTTCCCATGGCAGATTTTGTGATGAGTCGCTTTCCCCCCTCCTCAGCTCTTGTCTGCGCGGCGTGAGCTGCCATCTGCAATCACGACAGCAGACTTCTTGCCGCCGTGCTTCTCCTTGCCCTTGTCCTTGCTCTTTGACGTGGATGATGGCGTCGAGCAGACGGAGGCCTCAACAGCCGGCCAAGCCCCGCTCACCACCAGCGGCATGCCCTTGCTGGCAGACGAGGTCGAGGAGACCTTCTTGTCACCCCTGTCGGAGCCCCTCTCCTTGTCTCTGTCCCTGCGCTCGGTCCTCCTGCCCTCCTCCCTCCTGGAGCTAGAATTGTGATGCCTGCCGCTCCGGTGCCCGTGGCCGTGGCCCCTCGTTGGCGGGCTCGCCACGGCGCCGCAGCCTCCGACCCCGACGACCTCTCCCTCCTTCAGCAACCGCGCCTGCAGCTTCCTTCCCTTGAAGTCTGCCCCCTGCAGCCTGGCCTCCATCCTCCGGGCGACGTCCGCGCTGCGAAAGTGCACAATCGCATGGCCACGCGGGCAGCCCTCCTTATCGAGCGGCACTTCCACTCGGCTGATGAGGGAGGCCTCGCGACCCGCCGCCTCGCTAATCATCCTGCGGACCTGATCCTCGGAGGCGCGCCGCGACAGCTCGCGTATGAGGATGCCGCGCTGCTCGGTGTAGACGAAGCCGCCGCCGCCGCCCGGCCCCACGCCCTGGCCCATCGTCAGGTCCGCCATCTGGTTGTTGAGGGAGGCCATGTTGGGAGGAGGAGGAGGCGGCGGTGGTGGGTAGAATTCGCTATAGGGTTGAACCGGTTGCACCGCGTACGAGGCCGATTGGTTATACAACGCTGGCTGTCGGTCTGGTGCGGTCTGGTAGCCGTAGAAGGGTTGCTGTGCCTCCGCGCCCGGGCCGTAATAGCCGTATGTTGTCGTCGGCAGGCCTGGCTGCGGATAGCTTGGCGTGAGGATGTCGCAGGTCGGCATCATAGTGCCGTGCGAGAACGAAGCGCCAAGGCTCGTCATGTAGCTGGACGGAGACATGGGCATGGAGAAGCTTCCGCCATCCTGTACAAAACACGTAGGCATCAGCGCCTGAGCAGCCGGCACATGGTAGTGGCAGTGATTCTGCAGAGGGCCTCGGTCGCTTTGTGGGAGTGAATGCAAGTGGTACGAAGACGCGGTTAGATCGACACGCACCTGACCGTACGCCGAGCTTACCGTGGACGTGGGAGAGGATATCCCAACGGTGCTCGGATAGGACACTGGGCCTCCTGCAAACAGGAAGGTTTCAGACGCTGAGTCGACAGCTGATTTCGGGCTGCTGCTGGCTGGGCGATTTGTTGGTCCCAGATCACGTACTTTCAATGGCCTCTCCGCGTTTCTGTCATCCGCTATCACCGCCCGGCCTTTGAACTCTTTGCCATTGAGCAAATCTGCAAACCCCTTCTGTCAGATCATCTGGAAGCCAGAATGTCGTGCATGTCATCTGGCATGAACTTCATGCTGGGGGAGTGGAGGAGGGGGGGGGGGGGTTACTGTACCGAACGCTGCCTTGAAATGCTCAAACCCCTTTACTCTGACCCATCCAGATGTGCTCTTGGGGAAGATTTCCACGTGGTCTACCACGCAGACCTGTCTCACATGATCCTTTACCTCCTGCCATGACACATTGAATGGAAGCTAGGGCACGACGCCGTCAGCGCACCGTTCTCGGCCGGGGTTGTATGTGCCGCGAGTTCTCAACAATCTCTGGAGGTCTCACACACGTTTGAGATTGGGATGTAGTAAGTGCCAGTCTGGTTTCCCGGTGGAACCACGTCTCTGGGTATTTCGTAGTCCGGAACTGTCATGGCTGCTGTCTCGGGATGCCACAGGGCGAATCACTTGAACGGCGGCGAGAGGCCGTGAGAGAGGGTGCACGAAAGGCAGCCAGCCGGTAGTACAGTAATGACAGCTGGAATAGTTCAGCCAACGAAAGAGTAGCACACAATTGAGTCTAAATGTCTGCGTTGCGGGTGGTGACGGTATGTCCTCTGGCCTCAGAGGAGTACACCTTGGGGGGATGAAGGGGTATCCATGTTTATATTCACATAATAGCATGCAGTCAACTTCGTCAAGACGACCCCAGACTGACCACGCATGCTGTAGGGCAGGGCATGTTCTGCGGCTCAAGATGTCGACGGTCGACTCTACCGCGAGCGTTGGGCCCAGTCGTGTCATCTCCCGAGCTATGGCTATCTCGGCTACTGCTCCGTGCATCTGCGTGGCGCCCAGGCGCAGCCAGCAGGTAGTATTTGACGTGCTGTTTGCCTGTGCTTCTGAGAAGTAATGATAGGGGCATCCAGGGTCCTCGCACCCAGACCATTGGCTCCGGATCCCCTCTCCGGCATCCGAGGTTGATACTAATGGGCTCGAAGATCGGGCCGGCGCCGACATGTCCTGGCAAGTCACAGTCCGGACGCATGGTCGCTGCAGGCGTAACCGCCACTTGAACGGTCTGGCTTGCGGGAATGCAGCCATGATCTCATGAAGCAAACAATGTGGATGACCTGTCCTCGCCTGCATTCGCATATGTATCAGACATGGATATAAGCGTGGCGTGTCTGAGCGGTGCCTGAGCCTGGTTTCCGGATTCCTTTCACTGTGGTCAACTTTGGTTTAGGCGGCTCAATGTGGGGGGTTGGACAATGGCAGGACCCTTGCCCTCCCCCATCCCCTCGCAAGCAGCATCTGCGGGCATAAGCGATTGTGGCCAATGGAGTGCCGTAGCTGTTCCAGATGCAAGCCACGACACCAGTGACAGCTGACAGCTCGTGTCTCGGATTGGATCGTTCTCGCTGCCGCAGTGCTTGTGTAGCGCGGCCGGTAAGAAAAGGACTGTCTCATTCGTTCTTGGTAGATGGGATGCCTAGTATTTGATTTGACCGGCTTCCTGGACCAGATGCAGTTTGCTAATCTTGCGACGGGGTAAAGACCCGGTAGGGCTGTGCACGTACGAGGGTTGAAGGTGTCTGCCCCCTCTTGGAACAGATGATGCAGGTTGACCTCCTTCGTCACGGCAGCGAAGCTCAGTACGAGACGCCAGAGAGAACAAGTTGTGGTGGCACCAAATCGTTGCCTCCGGCCTGCCGGCCTGTCATATGCGCCCAGTGTCCTGCATACAACCGAGATCCAATAGGTGCTAGTGAGCGGGTCCCACGTCGTTACGGCTGAGAAGCATGTCTGAGATGCAGGCTTCATAATTGGGAGAAAAAACAACGTCGAATGACTTGAGTACAGGATCTGGTGGCTTGCGGGTTGCTTTTTGTCTTTTGGGACTAGGAACTCGTCAAGATACCCCCGGACGAGCTAGCCCACAATAAGAACAATTGAAAGGGTGAAGCCGCCTTGCAGGCATCATTTTTGTGCTCGAATCAGAATAGTGACGAACGAGTCCGGAGTACCGAGTCCGAAGCAGGTGATCGATCGCGTTACGGTCTATCGCGGTGAGGTGTACAAAGTGGTTGCGGCAACTATCTGAGACAGCATCGTGATCAAGTCCTTTTGAAACAAAAGGTGTCATCGAGCTCACTGGTTTCCCCTTCGGACATGTTGTCAACGTGTGCATCCGTGACATGTGGGGGCGTCCCGTACTGCAGGCTGTTCTGCTGGTCAGCAGCAGCCCAGGGAACGGGCTCGTCATCGTCGTCTGCCAGAGAAGCCAGCATGTATCGACTGCTGTCAGATGCAAACAAAGCGGCTGGTTCCAGGCCGTCTATTTGCAGCCAAAGAACCTGCACTTTGCCGTTTGAGAGTCGTCCAGAAAAGTCGATGGGCCTTGGGCCTTCGGACAAAGGATCCCACGTGAAGGCCAGCGAGTGATCCGACTCGCTTTCGCAGCTCACGAGCAGTGTCTCACGGATGGTAGGATGCCACGAGACCCTCGACACGCTCCCATGAAATACAAGGACTGCCCGAAGCTCAGCAGCCTCGACATCCCACACCCATAGGGTGCCTGGCGAGTCTTCGAGCTTTGTAGCAAGGAGAGTCGAGGACGGGTCAAATACGGCGAGGGCGCAACCGCTGCTCCCAGACTGCCTAGTGGGTGGGAAAATGGCCTGCGGAGCACGAACAAAATGGTGGCCAGCAGCGCTAGCCTGCTCCTGCCAAACCTGCTAGACTCAGCATCAACAGCACGAAGGGGGGGGGGGAGGTGTGGCGCGGGAGGATCTGCAGCTCAACGTCTCGTACCTGGAGGGTATCTGTGGGTACTATGCTATTGGGGTGCTGCAGCCGCAGGGATTCGGTGACGGACGCCATGTCCAGAATGCAGATGCGCCTACTGGAGTCCCCGATGGCCAGACGGCGGGCATCTGCAGAGAACTCGAGCAGCTTGACGCCGGGGCCAAGCCGCAGGTCGTTGTCGGCTGGTACAAGGGGCTGGGGGCCAGACCAGGTCTTGAGCAGGTTGCCATCCGAGGAGTAGAACAAGATCTTGTGGCCGTGGGCCGGAGCCTCCCATGTTAGGAGCCAATGGCCGCCTGGGGCCCATATCAGACCCTGGGCATCAAGCGTGTCCGGGAACCAGGACCTCTCGGCTTGGAGGGAGGTAGGGTCATGTATGCTTATCATGTCCTTGCCTGACATGCGTGTCAGAATGGACAGGTGGGCGGTCCGCGGCCGGAAGCAGAAGCCCCTGCAGGAGGCGGAGGGGGTGGCATGGAATTTGGGATTGGCTATCTCGACGGCCTTTGAGGAGCGCAGGTCGAAGACGGCAAACCTGAGCCCCAGAGAGGCGCAGAGACAGATCTGGTAGTCGGATGCGCCAAAGCCGACCAAGACTGGTTTTGCTGCAGGGGGCAGGGGGTTGCGTATGGTTGCATGGAGGCCATCCTCAGCGACGGAAAAGACGAGTATCTGGAGGGCTGAGGCGACCAGAAGCAGGCTCGAGGTCGGAGACCACTGGAGAGACGTCACGGGCGCGGGCAAGTCGCGTGGCAAGTCGATGTCTCTGATGGTCTGCAGGTTCTCAACGGCCCGGATGTGCAGTGAGGAGGCAGACAGCGATGCCACAAGTTTCCCGTTGGGGCTCGGTGCGCAGTGGAGCGAAGCTGTTGGCGACGATCAGCGCCTGTGGGTTTGGGAGGGGAGGGGGGGAGGGTGCTCGGAGCGGTCATCTCACCCTGGAAGCTGTCTGAGAAGCGCATGTTGAGTGGCTGCCTGCCCTGGCGACTGCCAGACTGGATGAAGCTGGTGATGATGGCTCCTTCGATATCCTGGCTCCTTTCAGGCATGTAGGAGTAAGGTTAAAAATTGACTAGCATCAAACTCGCTAAGGCAGGCGATATATCACAACACTCATTGCTTGGTCGTTGTCAAGTCGCATGTGCGGACTGTGTTATTAGACGGCTGCTGCATGGGACAGCCCGTCGCGTATCGAGCTGATCGTGCTCTGCAGCAGGCAGGCGGGTGACGAGTGACGAGTGACGAGTGACGAGCGACGACTGGGAGACTGGGAGACTGGGTTGGCGGGACGGCAGGACGGACGGGTTCGTGCAAGGGAGGCAAGGACATAACGTTGTGCGCCCACCAGTATCACCGGGCCTGAGGTGCAACAACTCAAAACACATGCCATTTGAGAATCTAGATGCCGCATACCTATGCTTTGCACCGTAATCAGCCCAGTCAGGCCCAAGCCCTGTCCCACGAGAACTCGCTGTAGGGCACCAACCGCCTATGGGCCAGGGCACCTGGGCAAGTTTGGCTAGCGTCCAACCAACCAAACGTTGACCGTGCCCCGTAGATATCCTGCCGTCATAATCGCCGGGCCAGGCCGGTCAGAGGTCAGCCGTCGCGGACCGGCACCGGGCCCTCTCCCTACGGTACGACCTCACCTCGTCTCCCCTCTGCCTGTCTGCCCAAAAGCCCATCGCCACCCGCGCGAGTGGTACGCTACGCCCTTGCTGACTCACCACCACATCTAGCCATCTCGGACACCTGTATCACTGCGGCTTCCTACATATCGCCGGTCTCCAGAATGCCTTGGGGCGAACAATATCTTTATTCTTGACGGCTGACCTGCCAGATATGGCTTACCAGATGTGGCTGTGAGACTCGGAAGACGTGCCGCATCCCATCACATCGCCTCGCACCACCTGCCCACGTCGGTGTCCCGCTACACCACCCACGCCACAATGGCCTTGTCCATGCGCGTCATCTTGAGGCCGCTGGGTCTGCGCCAAGGGCCTCTTCCTCGTCCTCACCAGTCCGGCATCCAACCAGCCGCACCTGTGGGCACCCGGCAACGTCTCTGCCAGGTTCGTGGCCCGAGCATCACCACTGCTGCCGCTCCCAATGCTACACACCTTCACCTGTCGGGCCAGCATGCAGCCCAGGGCCTGCATGTCCCGCCCTCGGTCGCCCCATCGCCCCCACGGCGAGAACCACAACCACAACCTGAGCCTGCTCCCGCCTCCTCCTCCCGACGCTCTGCAATCAAGGATGCCAGGCCATTCTCCGACTTCCTGACAGACACCTTCGACCGCCAGCATGACTACCTCCGCATCTCCCTCACGGAAAAATGCAACCTGCGCTGCGTCTACTGTATGCCCGAGGAGGGTGTGCCGCTCTCCCCTGCCCGTGAACTCCTGACCACCCCGGAGATCGTCCTGCTTGCCTCGACCTTTGTCTCTCAGGGTGTCACCAAGATCCGCCTGACCGGCGGCGAGCCCACCGTGCGCCCTGACATCCTGCCGCTCATGCAGCAGCTCGGGGCCCTCCGCCCCCATGGCCTGCGGGAGCTGTGTATCACCACCAACGGCATCGCCCTGCATCGCAAGCTGGAGGCCATGGTCGACGCTGGCCTGACCGGCATCAACCTGAGCCTCGACACCCTTGACCCCTGGCAGTTCCAGGTCATGACCCGCCGCAAGGGCTTCGCCGCCGTGCAGAAGAGCATCTCGCGCATCCATGAGCTCAACCGCGCCGGCGCCGGCCTGCGCTTCAAGATCAACTGCGTTGTCATGCGCGGCGTCAATGACCGTGAGGTCCTCGACTTTGTCGACATGACCAGAGACAACAACGTCGAGGTCAGGTTCATCGAGTACATGCCCTTTGACGGCAACAAGTGGAGCAAGGCCAAGATGCTCAGCTACTCCGAGATGCTCGATTCCATCCGCCAGCGCTACCCCTCGCTGTGCAAGGTCCAGGACCACAAGAACGACACAAGTAAAACATGGCACATTCCCGGGTTCGCCGGGCGTATTGGCTTTGTGACGAGCATGACACATAACTTCTGCGGTTCATGCAACCGCCTGCGCATCACCAACGACGGGAACCTCAAGGTGTGCCTGTTCGGAAATGCGGAGGTGTCCCTGCGAGACATATTGAGGGAGGCGAACAGCGGGGATCCCATCGATGATGACGCTCTCGCAAGGCTGAAAAAGCTCGCCATGGACCGACAGCTCCCGGCACTCCCCGCATCTGAGGAGGCCGGGAAGGCCCTGATGTTGGCCTCAAATTCCGAGGAATTGCTGAACGTAATCGGCGCGGCGGTTAAAAGGAAGAAGGCCAAGCACGCAGGCATGGGCGAGCTGGAACACATGAAGAACAGACCAATGATATTAATAGGTGGGTAGTTTCCGTTGTTCCACCTGCGTCACATTCGGATGGTATATATACCTTGCACTGCATTGGGATTCGGGCCTGTGGTTGGGCCGTTAATTCTTGAATTGAATCTTTTCTGGAAAGAACTTCGAAGCCTTCTTTTTTTTTTTTTTTTTTTGGTTTGTCTTTTTGAGCCAAGCACATCTGGACATGGTCGAGCTGCTGTATAAGGTTTTGAGCATAGCAAGGCAGTGAAAGCCGGATGGGGTGGCTAAGTTTTGTGACATATAGATGGGACGATTTTGCCCGCCCGCAATGAGACATACTTCCAAAGTCCAGCCGTCCGAACCTCGAGAGGCAGTATACGGCACGTCACGACTCCGTGGGTGCCCTGGTGGTCGTCTCACCAGCCTCTTCCTTTCCATCTCCTCCCAAACAAGCCTGCCGCCCGCCTCTTTTCCAACTCGAGGGTTCTATTCGAGCCCCGCGACAACATCACGCCGTCGAGCCGCGCTTCCCCCGGCAGCAAGTCCCCGTCGACCCGAGGTGGCCGGTCCCAGGCAGAAGAATGGCCAGAAGCTCCAGCTCCAGCTCCAGCTCCAGCTCCAGCCCCAGCTCCAGCAACACTGACGCACCTCTCCGCCAAGGGCGAGGCGCACATGGTCTCCATAGCCCACAAGCAGCCCACGACACGCACGGCGCGCGCCGTCTGCAGCGTGCGCTTCTCAGCACCGCTCGCGCTCCAGCTGATCCGCGAGAACGGGCACAAGAAGGGCGACGTGCTGGGCGTCGCGCGCGTCGCGGGGATCATGGCGGCCAAGCGGACGCCCGACCTCATCCCGCTGTGCCACCCGATCATGCTGTCGCACGTCAGCGTTGAGCTGGAGCCCAGGGCCGGCGGAGCCTCGCCGGCGGAGGCGGAGGGTCCTCACGTGCTGGACGTGTCTGCGACTGTCACGTGCGACGGCAAGACGGGCGTGGAGATGGAGGCGCTGACGGCCGCCTCGGCCGCGGCGCTTACTGTCTATGACATGTGTAAGGCCGTGGATAAGGGAATGTGCATTGAGGGTCTCCGGGTTGTGCTCAAGGAAGGAGGCAAGAGTGGGAGGTGGGTGGAGGGCATGAAGACCGAGTGACCCTGTGCAAAGTGATCCCAGGCTTCTGGGAGGGCACCCTGAGGGCAGGCACCTTCAGTCTTGGCCTCAGTCTTGCGCGTGTCAGACTGACGGCTCGTCCATCGTATTCAAGATGCCGCTGCCTTCACTGGGTTTGCATGCGGTCGCATTTGGATGTCCTGCCCATCGGTTGAACCTCCTCCGAGCCCACCGCGACGATCTCCAGAGCTGCCTCTCGTGATAGCCCTGGTCACCGAAAGGCAGGCGACAGCACAAGCCTTGGCGCACCCTCGCTGCTCTAGCCAAGGGGTTCGTAAATTGAACCTCTGGTGGGATAGACTGCCTACTGTTACGTACTAAATCCACCTGCGGGTAGGGAGGGGACTTTAACAAAAATGGCTCACATGGGGAACAGCAGCTGGAGAATGAACACTTAAGGTATTATCGGAGATTATCACTTCTACGGGCTCCAGTGTTTCTATGGTATCAAGGGACCTTCTCGTCGTGTAGTACCCACTGACTTGGTGCACGCAAAGCGGATAACCTACAGCAGTCGTAAATATACCACACCCCTGCCGACTCCAATATGCAGGGGAGAACATCATCGTCAACATAGTCTTACGATTTCGTGATGCCCACCGAGCTAGTCACTCATATTCACAATGTGCCAGATTTGGATCGCCCAAATCGTGACATTGTGGCAAGAACCCTGCAAATCGAGGCATATAATCTAAACTAGATAGTGCGGCCGCCCGTCTCGCCGATGACGGTCCTCCGGCCTCCGTCAAGCACTGGATCTCGCTAAGCTTTTGCTGTTGCTGGAACGTTGCGGGTCCACGATCTCATGTGCCCTGTCGCCGGCGTAGTGCATGTGTAGGTGACCAAGTTGTGGCCCCTACCCCTCCCGCCAGCCCAGGTATGTCGCCACTGCCGCTTTCGAACCGTGCAATGTAGATACGGAGTACTCTCCGCACCCTCGCATTTACCTCTAATAAGCGCGGCAAATAACCAGATGCTGTGGGGCCGGCCGCATAAGTTCTGGAACTCACCGACTGCTTCTTTCCTGGGTTTTGGGGCGCAGGTCGTCTGGGGATCCCAGCAATCCCGTACTATTTCTGGGGATCTGCCGCATGCCGTGTGGTAACACATTGCTCCAGGACCCTGAATATGCAGACCGACAGAACCACACACGGCTAGGGGTTCTCAGGGTCGTTGGAGGCGCGACACGCGAAGTCACGATGGCATCGCTCCGCTGGGTCTTAGAGCTTGTCGCCCAATGAGGCCCGGCAGGCCCGGCAGGGAGGTGACGAAGCGCGTCCAGTCTCTGGCTAGGCCACTGACTGGGACGAGTAAGTTGAGGCAACTCCAATTGAGTCAGCATTGCGCCAATGCAAACTGCTCACACGTGATGGACCACTCGTGAACGGTCTGCCATGGCCTGCCCGGCCACCTGGCCACCCGGCCAGCCAGTGGTGCGGGGGTGATGCGTATGTGCCCTGAGTGTGACAATGCTGGCTCTTTATTGGAGTATAGTGTGGTGTAGGTGGTAGCAGTAGGGCGAAGCCTCAGATCGTGGGGCGCTGTGGGCTCGCTGGAGACAGCGAGATCAGCGCCACTCAACAAGGCTACGAGAAATGGCGATCAACACGACGGCTGAAGCACAAGGCCGTGGATGCGAGGCTCGTCGCGACGGGAGCTACATCATCCAACTCCATCGGCTGTGGTGCGCCATCGCAATGCGGCTCATCAGGATAAAAAAAAAAACGCTCGGACTCGGCGAGCCTCCGTGCTACCCCTGATCTGGCAAGTTGACGCGTGCGCTCCTTAGATCTGCACGGGATAGGGTCGGCAGTCGGCCGAGTTGACGTCGAAGGCTTGCATGCAGAGAGTGGGCCGGACTTGGCCGAGAACAGGACCCCTACGACGCTACGTGCATATTAAGGCCGGCCCAATGAGAAGACCGCGATAAGTGTTAAAGTCGGCAGCCAATAGCAGGGCCCTGTACTTTTTGAGCATCTAGGATACCCCATCGAGGTGCAGATCCATATGCTTGGGGAGAGAAGAGGGACACAGGCAGCCTCAGTCTTCCCCAGATAAGCCTGCTGAACAGGCTCGTGCGGCCGAGACGAGTCAAGGGCGCATGAGGGAATGTTGATAGCACGGTGACGATTCGACGATACCACCTCTTGAGTTCCAGCAGTGAGTTTGAGGGGATGCGGCCGGCGGGCGGCTGGGCTGGGGCTGGCATTCGCGCGCAGTCGTCGTGGTGAGGACCTCGCGTCTCTGCTTGGATCTCATTGCCAAACAAGAGCAAACTCAATTGAGACCCCAGCAAGCCGATCTGAAGGCGTGGAGCCAGGAGTGCATCCCAGCAATTTCATGACCAGGGGGCCAAGAGCCAATCACAGCCGGATCTTTGTCACGGCCAGAGATAAGGACCCGTCTCGGCAGGCGGTCGGCCGCATTTCTCCAGACCACCAGCAAACAGACAAGCCCCCGGGGGGGGGGGGTGAGACTAGGTCTTGTGGCTGAACAAGACAGCGGTTCGAGGCGGCCTCGGCGGGCTGCAGTCGGCACCGATTAACCACGGCGTTGTGCCGTATGCGGGAGAAGAACTCTGGCGTCTGCACGTCGGCTTGAGTCCTCGCTCGATATGTGTGTGTACAGAGGGATTGGAGAGAAGAGGAATGGTGTCGGCGAAGTCGTTGAGGGGTCTTGGGCGCGAGAAGCGGCTAAGTTCTAACAGTACCATGTAGCTCCGTAGTTGAAAGCAAGGTGATGGTTGAGGGGTCCGTGGGGCTCAGGCGGCAGGGCGAGGTTTCGTCTGGCGCGGAGGTTGCTGGAAGCAGACGGGTAGAATTGGCAGAAAGAGAACAGCGCGGTGGGCCGGCGGGCAGGATCATCTCCAGGACCATGTGGCGTTGAGGCCGACAGCCTCATCAAGCTCGCAAGCAGAGCGGGCCTGTACGTAATGGGACGGTGAGGCGGCGGCGGGCAGCTCGGAGGCTCGCAGGAACGGGAGCAGGAGCAGACGTATTCGGAAGTCGGCCGACAAGAGGGCGCAAGATTGGCCCGTGTGGGCTGTGGGGGCCCTGCGCATCACCTCGACATGTGCCTACGAGTCCGACATGCGTTGACTGACGCGAGGCCGAGTGTCGTGGGGCTGCGGGCAAGCTGGAAGCCTCGAGTCTCGAGCCTCGAGCCTCGAGCTGCAAGCAGTCTGGCTGGGTGAGGGAGGGCGTGACGGGCGTGACGGGCTGGCCTGACGCAGCACGGCTGGACGAAGAGGGACGTCGATGTCGATGTCGATGTTGATGTTGATGTCAGTCGACGATGCAGGCGAGTCAGTCGAAGACAGACAATGCCGCCAGCTGGCACTTGGCCGTGGATGCGGTTTTAAGCCGACGGAAATTGGGTGGATGTCCCCCTACTGTGTATGTATTGATGCTCCGAGCCTGCGACAGCCGACCAAGTGAAGCAGTTCGTCGAGGCCCCACCGCCCACTGCCGCTGGCTCTGCTGCAAGTTACCAGAGACGACCACCCCAGGCATGCAGCTGAGGAATGAGGAATGAGGGGGGCAAGGGAGACGGACGTGAGGAACGAAGCAGCCGACGCAGCCTGGCAGCCAGCTGGTGGTGCGGCTATCTCCGTGGCTTCCGGGAACGGGAGATTGTGATGTGAGATGGAGAGTGAAGGGCTCACGGGCGACCGGGTAGATGCTCGTTGGTCAATGGTCTGCCATACACAGTAGAAGCAGACACGCAGACACGACGGGATAATGGCCCAGCAGCAACGGTTTTCCTTGGGCCAGCTTGCCGTGCCTGTCCAGTGTCCACCATGGCGTCGACACCTTGCTGCATGGGGAAACTGCTCAAGTGTCTCGAGTCAACGGTCGTCGGGGCCGACGGTGTGGGAGGCAGGCATGGGCTTGCAGTGTGCCAGAGCGCCAGAGTGCTTGAGTGCATGTACGCAGGGTGCACTAACTGACAACTTACAAGGTCGGCCAAGTGTCGGGAAATAGGACAGGGCCCCACATGGATCAACCGCGTCGCCGTGGAAAAGTAATTTTCGCTGCAAACCATGCAGTGACGCCCCCCCCCCCCTGGTCAGGCTGGCCGGCTGGTCCCCTGGTCCCCTGGTCCCCCAGTCCTCTAGAGGCAGACAGGTGCACGGACAGCCAGCCATGCCCAGCCATGCGCGAGGCCTGGGGGGCCTGGGGGGCAAGCAGATGTGATTTGATACGGCACCAGCCAGCCAGCCAGCCAGCCCAGCCCAGCGTGGCACATTCACCGCCTTTGCCATGCAGCATCGTCACAGGTCAATTGACTCGACTCCACCTGCAGTCTGGCAGTCTGGCAGTCTGGCAGTGGCAGTCTGGCGTAGAACAGCATATGGCATGTTGCATATTAGTAGTCAGGTCCATCAACAAACAGCAACCACCAAGACGCCGGCCGGCCATGGTCAGCACCACCACCACTGCCCGTCAGACTTGTGCACCCATCCCGTCTCTGTCTTGTCTCTTCCTCTGCCTCCTCTGATCATATGATCGACTGTGTAGAACCTACACTACAACACGGTAAAATCTCATCTCAGCTCGGCAGGTTTCTATTACTCAACACGCCGCCCTCTGGCCCAGTCTCAATCCACCCCGACCCGACGCTGAGGTTGCAGCCGAAGAGGTGCCGTATCCGTCTACGGGTCGCCTCGCCTCAGGTCCTCACCACCTAGGCACTCACTCACTCCCGCTGTCCCGCCCTCCCAGCTGGCCCGAGTTCCAGTACTCCGTACCCCCAGGTTCGAGCCAGCCTGCCAGCCCAGATCCGCTCCGCTACCTGTGCGACACTATCCAGTCGAGCCAGTCCGCTGCCACGCTATTCAGCAACCACGCAAGGTTACCGCCACTTTGGTTGGCCGCTACCCACCCCCCTGCCCAGGCCGCCCCCCCTCCAGAGCCGACAGGCCTGCAACCTACCCAAGTCTCGTTATATACCTAAGCCGCATCCCTCCAACAAGCCACCTCGAGCAGTCGTTTTATCCGCACCCTCCTTTTTGCCTTGTCTTGCCTTGTCTTGCCGCGCCATCCTCCTCCTCCTCGTCGCCGCGATAGGATCCAGTGCACATACTCCCTCTCCTCTCTCTCCCCCTCTCCCCCTCTGCTCCACTTTGGATCTTCCCCTCTGCCAGACAGTCAAGGCAGTCAGTCAGTCAGTCTCTCACAAACGTGCGATCGGCCGCCAATCGTGCAGAGACCTTGTTCTCGGACTCGCTTGCTGCTGTGCACGACTCGGGCGCCGTCATCCAAGCCAGACCGATCCGATCCGACTTAATCCAAAACCAATCCAGCTCATCTCAGCGCACCGCACAGCTGTTGGCACCCCCACGGCCCACCGCCCCCTCGTCGACTCAAATCCACCGGCCCGCCTTTGCATCAGCCAACTACAACTGCCTCCCGCGCCCTCACGAACCATCTATCCAACCCTGCCCGCTCCTACCTTTCCCCTTTGAGCCGCAACACCACCCACGGCCCAACCACCTTGCCTGCCTGCCTACCCTCTCTTGTATCATCCAACACACCCCGCCGAATATGGCCATGGCCGACCTCGTAATGCCCCGACTGCCCGACCAGCAGCAGTCATTCTGGCACCGCCAGCCCACCGGCCACCAGCGCTCCTTCTCCTATCACATGCCACAACAGCAACCACAGCCACAGCAGCAGTCGCAGTTCCACCACACGCTGCAGCAGCAGCAGCACCAGCAGCAACAGCAGGCACAACCAAGACAGCCAACACCGCCACAGTCGCAGCCACTTATCCAGCAATCATCCGACATCTCCCCTCTCAGTACCTCCAACAGCACGTCACCAGTGTCACCAAAGAACTACCACGGCCGCCAGGTACGCCCACTGTACGTGCCTGCCGTGTTGCGTCCCAACGAGTACTCGGCCGGCTCTCAAAAGCCCCTTGCCTCGCCCAAGGCCGACGGAGACGATGACGAGCGCGCCATCCGCTCCAGCGGCAGCTTCACCAGCCTGTTCGGCATCTCGAGCCTGAGCAGGCTGTCCAGGAGGTCCACTGGCGACAGTGGCAAGTTTGTGGACTGGGATTGGGACCTGGCCAACTACCCTCAGGTCCATGGCCAGCCCAGCCGGAAGCACTGGAAGGTATGTGCCGTGCGACAAGACACCAAGCCAACACACACTCTCCCTTACACACGCACATCCACCCGTCTGGGAAACACTACGACAAATGTCTCAGCCCTCTGACATGGCGCCACCCCCCCAGCGCCGTAATCTTAGTGACCACTTTGGCTAACATTGTATTTCGCACAGTCCGATGCCGACTCCGAGGTCTGCGACGACCCGACCTGCAAGAAATACTTCAACTACTTCGTTCGCCGCCATCACTGCCGACGCTGCGGCAACATCTTCTGTGACCCTCACTCCAACTACGAGGTCCCGCTGGACGAGAGCGCCAATTACAATCCTCGTGGCGTGCTCAGCCGCTCATGCGCCCACTGCTATGGAGACTTCAAGGTCTGGCGGAGTCGCAATAGCAGCAACGCCTCCAGCGCCGGCCAGCGCACTGCAAAGGGCTGCCAGACCGTGCCTGTGAGCCCGATCTGCGCCAGCCCCGCGAAGGCAAGCCCGACCACCCCGGGGAAGGCCCAGGCCGAAGTGGCAGTCAGCGTGCCCAGCGACTGGAACTGGAGCACATTCTGAGCTGCACAACCTGGCGACATTTCAGTCTCGGTCGCAAGGGCAATACGAGCCACTTCCCAAAAAAAAATACGGCAATTCATACCACACCATAACTCACGACGAAGCGGTCCGACAGCGGCCTGACCTCGGCCATGGCGGACCAGCCCACTAGCCCAATTCAAGCCGCTTAGAAGCGGCGTAGTACAAATCCGTACTACCCCCAAACCCACCTCAGACCACCTCGGTCCGCCTCAACACTGGACAGCATCATGATCCAGTCCTCTACTACTCTACCTTGCCCATTCCACGCATCGTCGTATTTACCCTTGACGGACTTTTGGTAGATTCCCGGGGTTTGTCTCGGATACTGTTTTCCCAATACCCAGGAGCGCAGCTGTTTTTATGATTTTGATGCTTTTCTGCCGGACATCTGCCTTGGCATGTTTTCTTGCTTGTCGTCTTGTTACAGCGCCGGTGTTCAGGTCTATTTCTCTGTTTTTAAGATGTTAGATTACCAGGCCGGCATGAGCTCTCCGAATTAATGCTGGGCAGAAGCTGCGCCGCCAGCTTTCCCCTTGTTCTGCTCTTACATGCTCTCAGGAGCATACTATTACTTTGGACTCTGGTTTACGGGAAGGAGAGGAGTACCATGTCCTTTTTATGCATCTCTGCTTCTCCCCAGTTCGCGGGCCAATTGGGCCCAAGATTGTTATACCCCTGCTGCGGGGCTCTCGATCTACGATGTTGATTTTACGATCAAAGGGATAGACTTTACGGTAACGAAGACATACAGAGGCACAAGCTCCAGTATCAACCGCCCACTATACTGTGTGGTGGAGAGCTCTATAGAATGAGAACGGAATTGAAGATACACTGAATAACTCATTACGGTCATATATCGTGCTTGTGACAGGCTACGCTGGTGATGCCTCAAGGTCGGTCGAGACCCATATGTGGAGAGCTGAAATGGGCGATAAAAGTACGATAGATTGGAGGTGACTGATCTGCGGCGAGAACTGCAAGATGAATGAACCCTGGGGGTCGGGCCCGATGGTGACATCCTCTCCCAGTCGGTCACACACATATGCATGAACAGGAGAGAACGATAGAAGCGCATACCACCACGTATCACGCTCCGAGACGGGGGGAAGATCCATGTTCAAACTCAGAAAGGCGTCATCGCCGTAGATGAATGTTCTACCGTTTTTAATCCTTCCCACCCTGTAAGAGAGTGTCCATCCCCCCTTGTGTGCGAAAGCCACCGATGCCAGCCCCACCTGCGACACTCGCCCGCTGGACATCGTCACTTCCCCAGATGCCCACGTCCTACGGGCGGGCGGCCTTGGAACATAAAGCCTCAGCTTCGCGCCAGAAACCCGGGCGGAGCCTCTTCGCAAGCACCAACAACCACCAGCGATGCCCCCATCGGCCGTGAAGAAGACGAGGTTTGAGGGGCCCGGTGGCGAGTTGTAAGGGAGAGGCTTTTGCACAGCGAATCGACCTGGTTGTGTGAACCCAATGCTAATGCCTTTCCCTCTAGCCGTTACTCCGTTAAATATGCAATTCTAGACTTTGCCGCTCCGCCAGTCTATTCCCTCTCCTGGATAGAAGTTTTGTCCCGCCAGCCTGCGTCTGTCCTTTTTGTGTTTTCTGGGGTCGCTGCCGGCTTTTGTTTTTAATGAAGGGTACTACATGTGGAATATCATCTTTCTCGCCAGAGTCCATCTTGACCTCAAGCATGCCTCGAGCGTCTCGGGGTCGTCGACGGCTTTGGAACGCGGCTCGCCTTTCCATTTGCCTGGGCATTCGTGTTTGCCTGGCTGCTGGAGGAAGAGCCCTCGCCGTAGACCTCCTGCTGGATGCTCTGAGCAGCATCCCAGCCGGCCTTCTCAGCGACTGTCACCTGGCTCTCGATGGAACCCTTGCCCTTGCCCTGTGCCGAGGTCGCGCTAGACCGCCGCAGGTAGCTGGTGATGAAGAACTTGACGAACAAGTAGGTGAGAGGCGCGAGGTACAGGACGTTGAGCCAGATGGCGAAGGTCTGGCCGGTGGTGTTGATGCAAGGAACAACCTCCTGGGTGTAGACGGTCTGTGTTGTGGGGGACTGCTCGGGCTCAGCGTTAGCTTCGGCCGATGTTGCCTGTGCGGCGGCGGAAGTGGTCACCTTTGATGCCATGCCGAGGACCATCTGCTTGAGGTTGTCCAGGAATGCAGGGGCGGGCGAAGGAACAGAGTTGTCGGGGTCAGCGGGAGCGACAACAGGCGCGGCAGGATCCTGGACGACGGTCTTTGCTACGGGGAGGCTGTAGCTGACGAAGGAGTGGACCATGGCGTACGAGGCGCCGACGAGGAACTGGGTGATTTGCAGGCTCGTCAAAGTTCGCTTGATAAACACAGGGACACGGATATAGAATGCGCTCAAGGTGTAGTAGGTGTACTAAGAGTCAGGCAGTGCCGGTCAGCATCCATGACGGCATGTTATGATTTCGTGGTGGCGGTGGCGGTTCGGACCAGCACAAGGGACGGCGCTATCAACTCACCATCATGGCGTGGATGCCCGAGTTGACAAAGACGAACATCCAGATGGGCGGGGACATGTAGCGCATACCAGCCCACATGCACATCATGGCGCCGGCATGGTGGTAGGTCTGCAGGACGGAGCTCTGCTTGCCCTTTGCCAGGATGATGAGGGTGTCGAGGACCTCGTAGAACTTGCTCAGGTAGAAGATCCAGCCGTAGAAGGCCAGGCCCTCGTTCCAGATGCGGCCGAGGTCGGTACGGCTTGGGGTGCCGTCGCCGGCGAGGGCGACGGTGTTGGAATAGGACCTCCACTGGGCATCGTCCTGGCTGTAGTAGACGGCGTTGCCGAGACCGGCGGGGCCGTGAAGCCTGGTCATGCTGTCGACGAAGCCGTTGAAGCCCTCGGGGCCCCAGGGGTTGACGACGCTGCGGCGCATGACGCCGACCATGCCGTAGAAGGTCCAGGCGGAGTAGACGGCGAGGAAGATGTTGTGGAGGACGATGAAGACATGGAACAGGCGGGTCTTGCTGATGGCCCAGGGCCTCTTGTTGTTGGTGGTGTTGTACCAGTTCAGGAGCTTTGCAGTGACGGCGTAGGTTGCGGCGATGGTGATGGGCACCTTGGGGTCGAGGACGGCCTGGTAGACGTGGTCTGGGATCAGGACGGGCGGGGCCGAGGCGACGGAACCCGGGGCCGGGGGAGGCAGGAACTGCGGCTCGCGCAGGCTGGCCGGGGACAGCATGCTCGTGAAGAGGGCCGGGTCTGGAGTGGTGGCGAAGACCTGGGAGACGTCCATGGTGTAGAGCACGTGTCTCAGACGGGGAATGGTAGAGGGGGTGGTGACTGCGGTGGTGACTGCGGTGGTGACTGCGGTGGTGACTGCGGTGGTGACTGCGGTGGTCGAGGATTTCCAGCCGGGACGGGTCGTGTCACGTACAAGAGGGGGAGGAGGAGGAGGAGGAGGAGGAGGAGGAGGCGCGCAGTTTCACTCACGCAAACGGGGCAGGACAATGAGGGTTTGTATGAAGGGAAGGAGGACTAGTATAAAGCCATTGCGCACAGCTTCGAACATGGGCCATGATTTTTTTTTTTTTCCTTCCTTCACTCCGTCTCGTGTGCTGTGCCTGTGACGCAGCTTCCCCAACAAATTCAAAATTCGGACTCTGGGCCGCCAGTCGGAGGAGCGGGCCAGACCCTGGGAAGGAAAGAGACAAGGGCACGCGGCTGAAGGATGCCGGATGCCAACCACGCGGTGTCCGGCCAGGAGCCGAGGCATAAATAATTGACAACTCGTACCACCGCCTGGTCCATCTGTCGCCAAGGGGAGGGGCAGAGGCGAGGAGAGGCGACACGACGAGAAGGAAGGCACTTGCCAAGGTGTGGCTTTACTGAGACACTTGACATCTCTTTCTCTCTCTCTCTCTGTCTCTCTCCCTGCCTCAGAGACCACACAACGACCGCTGCTCGAGACTGTGCAGTTGGTTTGTCTGCACTTTTTTGAGCCCGACCCCCGAGGATCATCAACACGATACACGATAGGTGCACACTTGAGCAGCACGTGCGGGTAGCAGCTTGACCAGCGTCACGATCCAAAACACGGCGCACCCACGAGACCAGAAGACCAGACCGGGGGCCAATGGCGCCTGCAGGCATTGAGAGACCTGCTTGCAGTAGCAGTAGCAGTAGCAGTAGCAGTAGCAGTAGCAGCCTTCCCGTGGCCTGCCAGGCTGCCCAGGCTGCCCGCCAAAAAACGATGAGGAGGAGGCCCAGGCTCTTGACCAGAGTAGACCCGCTCTCGGTCCGACGTGGCGATGGAACCTCAACTTACTGTGTGTTTTATTATCCACGATAACAAGACGGCGGAGTCGATAAGACGGGGGGGGGGCACAAGAGATGGGGATCCACCTTTGGACAAAAGCCTGTCGCCTGTCGCCTGTCGCCTGTCCGCCCCCTGCCTCGGCTCCAGAGATGGGGCACGATGGTAAGAACCGGAGCCATGATACGGAGTACTGTTTAGTTTGATGTAGGCGAGCTGCGAGCTTGACGTGGGATGGCAGGCAGATGATGGATGGGCGATGCCAGGCCAGGCCAGACCAACGCCAGGCAGATGAACCGACGATGTCTGAGAGAAAGACGGGCTGACGGGCTAGAGCTGACAGCGAGACGGGCAACGGGGTCGAATTTGTTGGGGCGGCTCCAACTACCTCCGTACCAATAATGACTCGGGGCAGGCTTCCAGTACGGAGTACAAGACCTGACAGCCTCAGTTGCTCCGAGCTGGGCGGCGCCCCGCGGCCACCGCCTGCCCGTCCTAGCCCCCGGCGTCTCCAGGAATCTTGTGTAGACGGGGAGAAAAAAGGGCCCAAACAGGCAGGAGGCTCTTGGCTGGACGCACGCCGCAGATTTCGTCCGTTTCAGGCATCATGTCCTTGCCCTCCGCCCCGGAAAGGCGGTACTGGCAGACTGGCAGACGGGGTACGGAGTACGAGTACTCAACAATTTCGGCCAGACGAAAAGCACATGCTGCCGACTTCCTGACAACCTGACAAGACCCTGCTGCCCTGCTGCCCTGCTGCCCTGCTGCCCTGCTGCCCTGCTGCCGAAGCTCGTGATTTTCAGGGTCCAGCAGGGCAGCAGGGGTGGGGCTCGCGGCGGTCCATTATCTTTTTATCTGTGGTACACTAGACCTGCTGTCAGGTCTTTCGCCCAGGTCAACATGCTCAAGCGGCCCATAATGAATGCACAATGTCGTGCAGCCGTGCCACACAGACATGTCCATATTCGTCTCAGTCGACCACCACACATGGCCCCATGGCCCACGGGTGTCAACAGCACTCCAGCGTAGAGGGGAAGCTCGACAGGCTTTTGGAGACGAAGCGCGTGGTGGTCCCCTTCGAGGTGTGGCAGCGAATGTGCTCTCAAGTCTTTGGCCTCGAAGCAAGCCAATGGCTAATCTAGAGTATAAGAGACCAAGCTCCCAGATACATACATCATTTGATCTTGATGTGATGATGGGGATGATGGGGGAGCACTGGACCAACGGTAGCCAGAATCCGAGGGTGAGAGCCGTGTCATGACTATAGCCTGTCTCAAGACTTGTGGCTCAAAGAGAGTTTTGCTTTCAAAATCCCAAGGCTGTTCCAAGCTGAAGCTGAGAGGAATTCTTTCTTGGGGGAGCCATGGATGCAGTTCACGGTTGGTAAATACCAACCCGGTTTAACCAAACTCTCCTCCGATGATGCTTTTGTCAAGAATGTACAGCCTCAGCATTCCTAGACTTGCTCAAATGCTTCCGCATACTCAGGCACCGGGAGATGCGGGAAAGATAGGAGCATGGCTACACACGTCGACGCGAAAGAGCCTTGTGATGTACTCGGTACTATCATTGTCGGGGGCCACAAGTGGCTACCTAGGTACCTTGTGTACCGAGCTGGGTACCTGCCCAGGTGGCTAGACCCCTGCTCCCGTTCTACACTAGAACCACGTCAAAGTTTCCCGGGTTGTGAGTGAGCATGGAACCACGGTTGGTTTCAAGCACTTCGGGAACCAATTGACAGCTGTCGGCAGATGACGACTCCTCGCTTGTGAAATCTACGCCTCGGGCAGCAAGCAGATTGGCAACATTTCTGGCAGCATCACCTCTGGCGCCGGTGGCCTTCCGATGGCGTCCGGGTGCGTGCCTGGATACTGTGCCTAGGTACTTTTCTTTTTTTGACTATCGAGTACGAGTACGACGCCCATCGGGATCTGCTCCAACCCCTCCCCTCGCTCCTTCATCCGTGAACAACAAGTTCTTGCCGGCCTGCCACCACAGGATGTGACTGCTGCAAGGTGAGTGGGGTTCACGTCCAGATCCGGGACGTGCCTCAAAAGGCTGTCTGCATGTCTGCACATGTCTGCAGGGCCGAGGGGGTTAATGGTGGGCCCTGCCTGCACTCGGTACCTGCATCTGGATGTCGTGCCACTTTTGATCTGATCCGAATCTCGCATTGAAATGAACATTCCTTCATCTTTCTGATCCCCCGTCATCACTTCTCACTCCGGTCCCCCCCCCACGTCTCGCCTCGGCCCGTCGCGCTCTAGGATCTTGCCTTCGGGACCATGGCCTTGACCGGAGACATCCTTGCGCCCGAGAGTCCCGCCTTGCCTGCTCTGCCCGCCGACGACTTCTGGACTGACACCGAGTGGGATGTCTTCACTGCTATCCTGGACACCATCGTCCCAGCTGTGGTGTCCAAGTCGTCTCTGGTCGACACGAGAGGCCAGCTGGCAATCCCCGATGGAGACTACTCGGCCGTCCTGAGCACTGCCAGGGCTACCACCCTCCAGTCTCAAGATGAGGCATCTCTGAGGGCATTCATGGAAGACAAGGCCTCAACCCACCCTGCCGTACGCCATGTCTCGCTTCGCATAGCCGCCCGCCTGTCAGATGTCCAGAAGGATGGCCTGAAGCGCCTCCTCAAGTCCTTGTCGTTAGCAGCATCTTTTCTCTCCCGAATCCCTGTCCGCCCGCCATGCCACTAGGGATCGCTGACGAGCCACAAAACACCACAGCTCCAGCGTAGGAGCCTTCCTCCTCACCGGCTCATGTGTCCCCTTCCACCAGCAGCCGGCCCACGTACGAGAGTCCATCGTACAGGCTTGGCACAACTCCTGGTTCCCCAGGATGAGGAACGTCGCCAGGAGCCTCGTCAGGATAAGTCAGGTGAGCTGGCTGATGTCGTCGCCCACCTTCCGCCAGGTTACCGGCTACCCGGATATCCCAGTGAACTGGAAGCCGGGCCGTGACTTTGGCTACAGGTTTCTTCAGTTTCCAGCCCCTGCACCCAGCTCCAAGCCAGAGGCCGAGTGTGGAAACACACCGGCCACCATCGAGACGGACGTCGTCATCGTTGGCTCAGGCTGCGGTGGTGCAGTGTGTGCAAAGGTCCTCGCCGAGGCGGGCCACCGGGTCATCGTCGTCGACAAGGGCTACAACTTCCCCACACCCATGTTACCGCTGCCGGGTCCCGTAGCCAGCCGCTACCTCTTTGATAAGAGCGTCACCCACTCCGTGGACGGTTCCATAGGTATCGTTGCTGGATCGACCTGGGGCGGTGGCGGGACGGTAAACTGGAGTGTGTCCTTGCGCACCCAAGACTTCGTGCGGAAAGAGTGGGCTGCCCGGGGTCTGGACTGGTTCGACAGTCGGGAGTATGACGAGTGCATGGATCGTGTGTGTGAGCGCATGGGCGTAGCCACAGACCCAGTGGTTCAGAGCCAACGCGGACAGGTGCTCCTCGACGGGAGTACTAGGCTGGGCTGGAAGGCTGGAGTATGCCCCCAGAATTCCGGCGGAAAGGAGCACAGCTGTGGCCACTGTACTATGGGCTGTGGCAGCGGGGAGAAGCAAGGCCCGACCCAGACATGGCTTCCGGATGCAGCCCGCGCAGGCGCCGAATTCATCGAAGGGTTCACTGTCAACAAGGTGCTCTTCGAAGAAGCCGATGGCAGTAAGAAGACAACAGGTGTGGTCGGCACGTGGACGTCAAGAGATTCGCACGGGGGTGTAGGCGGGCCGATGGAGGAGAGAACATCGAGGCAACTGGTTGTCAAAGCCAAGAAGGTGATCGTGGCGTGTAATGCCCTGTTCAGCCCAGTGCTTTTAATGAAGAGCGGCCTAAAGGTGAGTCTGCCCGGTTGTTGTCTGAACAGCCCGGGATAAAGTTGGAGACTGATTGGTGTTAGAACCCTAATATCGGCCTCAACTTATACCTTCATCCATGCAATATGGCGGGCGGCTTCTACCCTGAAGATGCTCGCCCCTGGGAAGGTATTCACACAGCGGAAATCCTGCACAAGCCCCATACCGTACTGACTCTCGTCTAGGCGCCATCATCACGAGCTACAACTCCCAGTTCGAAAACCTGGATGGTCATGGCCACGGCGTCAAGCTCGAAACTACCAACATGACGCCCTACACGTGCCTCTCCGCCATGCCCTGGCGCAGTGGCCTGGACTTTAAGATGGCGGCCCTGCGTTATCGGCACTACGCAGGCTTCATCTCTGTCGCCCGGGACCGAGACCCGGGCAGGGTGCTCGTCAACCCGGCGACCGGCGACCTCCAGATCGAGTACACCCCGTCGGCGTTCGACCGCGCAAACGCTATTGAGGGTGACTTGGCTCTATGTAAGATTATGTACGTCACCGGGGCGCGTGAGATCAACCCTTTCATCCACGGTGTCGAGCCTTTCGTGCGCGACGATGCGGAGCTCGAGGCCGCCAGGGCCACCGCGGAGGAGGCGCAGGCCAGGGGTGGCCTCTTCCAGATCGACGACCCGAGGTTCTCGGCCTGGCTTGACAAGGCGAGGAGGCTGGGCAACGTCCTGGGCAACCCGCCGTGCTCTTCGGCGCACCAGATGGGCACGTGCCGTATGTCCGCATCCGAGGAAGATGGGGTTGTCGACACGTTTGGGAAGGTCTGGGCTACCGAAGGCTTGTATGTGGCCGACAGCAGCGTTTTCCCTTCGGCGAGCGGAGTCAACCCTATGATCACCGTGATGGCCATCGCCGACAGGATAGCGAGGGCCGTGGATCGGAACTTGAGCCTATGAGAGCTGGCGTGGCTCAAGGACGGATCCAACGTAACGTTGGCTTGGTCCATAAGTTCTGGGCTATTGTTGAGAATGGGCTTCGAGACAAAGGAATCAAAAATCTTCTTTTCCTGAATTGGAGACTGAGGCCATCAGGACATGCAGGAACGTGATTTGGAGGAATAAGCGAGATCACAGGGACACAAGTATCGTTCACCACCAGCAGCATACATCAGCATTTACTAGTCGCACAAATTTCAAGGTTTTCGTAAGTCGGTCAAATGGGGACCAAGGAGTATTTGAATGGTTTTATGGAAGGTACGGGATACGAGTCACCTATTCTGGGACCTTTTCGAACTGCAGATTTGTCATATAAACACTCGTCTCTCTGGATGTATTTACTGGTATCATATACGTGGGACCCTCTATAGGTCAGACCATCACCACCCCCTCATGGCAAAATGATCTGCGCTGCTGGAGTTTGAATAAGGATTAGATGTTTTATGTCCTACTTCTATGTCCAGCACTTCGGTAGCCTTCAAAGGTTGTCCAACTCGTATGCACCCTACCCTGTGGCTACCCAGTCCGTCTGCACGTCCCATTCCGAATCAGCGCCGTGCAGTTTCCTGAATACGACAACCCAGCTGCCGTCCTCCCTCTCGCGCCCGATGATGGCATCGTGGACCCTGAGCTCCTCTGCGAGACCAAACGGCGCCTCCGTGATCAGGCCGCTCGGGAGGTTGCTAGTCCCTAGATGCTGCTGTTGTTGTGGGAAAGAAAGCGTGTCTGCCGCTGTTGGCTGGAACACAATGTTCGGTTGTGTTTGGCTCCCAGAGATCGCAGAATAGCCGTGCTCGTCGAGATCGGGCGAGGAGCCGTCCGAGCCGGAATGTGATGCCGAGTCGCCCACCGCAAGCCCCGCAAGCTGCGGTTGCCTCTCGTTGCCTTGATACATGGTATAAGATGATGCCCCGGCGAAGTCTTTTCTTAAGTCGGGCTGGTATGATCCCTGGCTGCTGTGTTCTGACTGTTGACGTTGTTCGTGTGACCAGATGTGGATGTTCACGTCGTGCGCGTGGAAACCGCTCGCTGCCGAGTCCATCGCTGAGTTGAATGAGAAGCCGTCTGTAGAAGAAGAAAGAGAAGGCTCTTGGCTTAGAGAGGCCGGGATGTTAGCATCTCCGCGGAGACCTTGACCTGTAGATTGCTCCATGGGCTGGTCGGCATCGAAATCCATGAATCTCAAGTCCGGTACGGAGCACTGAACCGGTTGATTGAGGGCGTCTGCTCGGTTCAAGTCCATAGGCTTGTCATGGCTCGAAAAGTCCGATCGGTATCGAGATGCCTGTTCTAGGCTGCGCTCAGATATGGTGTTGTGGCCAACGCTAGTGCTCCTTATACTGGAGAACTGTGGAGAATGAGATGCAGAAACAGTCGAGAAACTCTGTCTCTGCGCCCATTGCTCCTCCAGAGACACAACATGCCCTGCAAGTGCTCCCATCACGCTGGCCCGCCACAGGTTTTCTCGTCGAAATGGGTCTCGTCGAAGTAGATCTAGTGCTGAGCGACGGATCAGCGGGTGTCTACATTTGGTAGCCACGTAGTACAGAGGTGGGATGATGTGCGTCTCGAAGGTGAAGTTGCTCCCTGGTAATTGTTGATTAACCCCTGAGAAGGGGAACGTCGGTGCTGCTGCTGACCCAGGCTTTTGAGGCGGTAATGATGGCTGACTCGGTGGCGACGTTTCGATATCAATGTACGCGGCTGCTAGAGGAACGATCGCGGCAAATTGAGCCAGGTAGTTGTCGTAGACTACCTCCGACGAGCTCAATGCGGTGGATATCCAGATGTATTGGGCATGAAGGTACATTTGCAGGACCAGAAGCGTATTCTCAGGCCCAGGTTTCGATCTTGATGCTCGGAAGAGCGAAAAGGCGACGTTGAACTTGGCTAGTCGACAGAGCAGGCGGTCCTGTTCGACTTCGAGCAGTTGCATCGTCTCCCGCGATATTGAGTCACTGCTGTTCTTTGCCGGCCGAGCCCGGTGTGTGAAGCGGAAAGCTTGTTCCATAAACTCGTGCATGAAATACCTCAGGTGGTCCATAGAGCCAAAAGTATCAGGTATCTCCCCCCGGGACTTCAACGAGTCTGGCAACGGCACAGGTGTGCCGCCAAAAAGGAACGAAGTTAAGCTCAGCCGCGTGTATAGAGGCACAACATGACGCAGGATGCATTCCATCTCAGGGCCATTGTATCGCTCGTCCAGCCGTGTCAGAAGCTGCCGGCCCTGCTCAAGATGTATGAGAGACTCCTTGTCTTTCCCCTGCAAGAACTCAATGCAGACAAAAAGAACACACGTGAGCAGCGACGCCAGAGGCTTGGTGAGAGGGTTGTTCATCTGGTCCAGGAGACGCGCGATGGCCTTGTTGTACTGTTGCAACGCGAATGACTGTGTCGCGGAAGCATCTGTGGACTGGACGACTGTGCCCTGTATAAGAGCCTCGTGCAAGGTGCTCACCGAGAGCACGGCATGTCGGACTGCCGGCTCGGTCTGGGCAACTTGAAGCACTACACTCCTCCAGAAAATGGCGTCGAAGTCTCCTGAAATACACGGAGCCGTCACATGCTGGAAGAAGAAGAAGGCCCGCTTCTCCTCTGGGGTGGAAAGCTCGAGCAGCGGACCCAGGGCGTGGTCCTGTGGCGTGGGTTCTTTGGGCCGGCGCCTCGAGGCTAAGTTTCGTGGATCCAGATACCCATCGCACTTGCGCCCAGTCTTTGTGCATCTCAGGCAGTATGGCTTGGTCTCATCACACTTGACTTTCCGTATTCTTTCACGATGGAAGCACTGGTGAGCTGAATATCCCATGAAATCGCGTACTGTCAGGGCATCGCTTACTTGCAGGTGACGCAGCCCGTGCGGACCTTTGACGTACGAGAAGTCATTAGCATGCCCAATGAAGGGTCGCTCATCGAATTTGAACTGGAATCGTCCTCACCTTTTTCGAGCCCCTCCTCCCCGAGGAAACTACTGCAGTAGGGCTTGAGGCACTAGAGTCGGATGCCATAGTGTCGAGGTGGTAAAAACTAAACAGGGAAGCATCCATCCCTGAACCCTCTCCCAGATGCTGACGTGATGGAATGTCCATTATATACAATTCTTAAGGTTCAGGTAATACGGCACTCCCCACGCACCTGCTTGCAGAATTAGTGTGTGTGGATGCTGGGCAGGACATGATCGCGGGAGAGTTACCGGAGAGGGCTTATGAGGGAGGGTCGGTGCTCCACAGCCGGTGACATCGGCAGGGTGATATCGCTCTCTAAATGTCTTGTACGTCTGCCTTGAAGGATTGGGAGACCTAATGCCGGGGGGATGTGCAAAAAGCCCACGCTGCATTACAAGGGTGCTTCTCCCAGAGTCACTGCCACTGGCAGGCGTGGGCAGGCGAGACAGGAGCAGGAAGGGTCAGGCGGCGGGTGGCCGGCACGGTCTTCATGTTCCCATCCAAGCAGGGGATGGCACATTCCAAGGCGGGAGAGTATGCAGTCTAAGGCATAGTGTTGCCTTCTCGATCCGGTCATACATACTGTGGGCGTGGCGGTCGACCTGACCTCGAGATGGCGGGTAAGACGCAGCTATCTCGAACGGTGTGTGGCCAAGAAGAAGGCCTGAGACGTGCGAATAGCTGCCGTTCAAATCGGCCTCGGCCCAAGGGTTCGAATCCTTCTCGCCGGGGGCCCCCCTCTCCTCGGGACCAATGGGCAGGGTGCCTCCAGCCCTAAATCTGCAATAACAAAATGGGCAACGGTACCCTGAAATAGACTTCAACAAGATGATGAGCATCAGCACACCCGAAGATGCGGTAAGAAAGGGGGGCTTTGCTAGCCCGTTTGGTAGCCGTTGCTGCTCGCAGGGACAAAATGTGGCAGCCTGGGAGCCAAGCCTTTTACTGCGGCAGCCCAAACGGTGGGTACTTGGCCGACGGCGACTACTACAAGCCAAGCGATTTCGATCTACCATTGCAAAAACCGGGGCCGGCCAGACACTTGCCCTTCGACGTTGACTGACGATACTCTGCGTGTGCTTGTGGCCGGGTGCAAAGCCCCGAGAACAGGAGTCGAGCAAGAAATGACGCTCGGGTCACACGACTTGCTTTGTGCGACGGAGTTGCGCTTGCTGAGGTCGTCGAGGTCTCGCAGACAGGCGTCGTTTAACCGGTCCACTGCGCATGCACCAAGTCCGTCGTGCGACGTGGTCCTCGTCTTACATGCTTCCAACACATTGGCTCTTCCCCCTCCGCACATGCTCTCAAGCTGACAGTGGCAATGAGCTTACCCTCCCATGCCCCCGTTGTCTCCCTTGTCCCCCTTGGGAAACAGGACGGAGTTTGGTGACTTCCCCACGCTCGGCCACAGGATTCAGTGCTAGTTTCAATATACCGTTGCTTTGGAGAGTTGGTCTGACCAGCCGCCAGCCAGCCCGCGGTCATCGTCGCGTAGCACACATGTGCATGTTGGTTACACAGAGACCACGTCGGGTCACACGGGGACTGAGGAGTCTCGTTCTGACAGCATAAAAATCTGTCTGTTGGTTGAACGCGGAGCTGCGGTGTGTATTTTGGCGTCCCCCCATGGGCATCGGATCGGCTGGCCCCGTGGGCAGCATGGCCCTTTTCGTTTTGGGATGATCATCAGCCCTACCGCCCCGGGTGAGCGCCAGCTTCCAAGTCCAGCAGCTCAGCAAGCCGCTCAGCCCAGAAACAGGCATCGCGACTGTCGCAGCTCTCACCAGGAGATTTGCCGCCGGCAGTCTCTAGCTTGACCAGGCCAGTTGCACCTTTGTGGCGATGGCCAAAGCTGCGGTGCCAGCTTGGTCAAACCAAGGATTACACGGTCGACCCAATCAACCTGTTGTCATCGAACCCCACCTCACAGATTGCTGCCGTGACCGTGATCTCGTAAGCAGCTGGGGGCCCGCGGGTGTTCTGCTGGAGCGCAGCTGCCGCACCAAATTGCTCGAGACCCAATACGTACACCACCGTCGATCAGAGATATGCAATGCCGACACCAAGAGAGCCAGCCTAGCCCTTGCTGACATGTTGCCCTGAATGCCACTGCGGAGACCAAGTATCTGGCATAAGCGTGGTTCGCCCTGCACTTGGCAACCGCTGTCTGTTTGATCCTTCCAGGCGAATACAGAAGTGAGGAGGTCTCTGACACGTTATACCTGCAGAGGAAAATGCCCATTCGAGGTCGAAGGTGGGGGCCAAATGAGACTCGGTGCCGAAGCGACGACCACAACGCCCCGGTGCCTTCAGCTGTAGCGCAACCATCGGTGGACAGGATGGTGGGATTGCCAACCTCCTTATCTCTGTGCGCGGCAGTCCAGTCGAGCAGGGCACAATACTTGTCTCTCTGGCCAGAGTGTATGCGGGAGGGGGGCTGGCGGCCATTGTGACTGACTGTGCTGATGAGTTCCTGTCGCGCTTGTCCAGCCCAATCGGGCGCTTGTGCAACCTTGCGCCTGCACTTGTCACACAATCCCGGCGGAGTTTGGGGGCGACCAAGGGACGACTTGTCGGTACCATATCGTACCATATCGCAAAGAGAAGAGAGAAAACCCAAATGCCTCGCTCAATCATCCGAGCCAGCGCTTACCCGCGCCCTCGGTCCAGCGTCGTGGCTGAAGTGTGTCGAACGATGGGAGGATTTGGCGCATGTCGGTCATTCCACCATTCCACACAGGATGAGATCAGGATGAGCGCAGACGCTCTGTGTAACCCTGGAACATGTAGCAATGCCCCCGGGGCAGGCAGACGCCGTGATGGACCTCACAAGTGGCCATGATGGGCAGTGCGATGAGGCTGGGGCTTGGACAACTGGAAGAGGAAAGAAGAAAACTGCAAGAGCTAAGTGGTTGTGGCCTGTACTCCGTGCTGTGTGGTGCTATCTAAAGCATTCCCAGTCTTGGGTGGTCGTCGCGGGCAAGGGTCTGTGCGCGCCCAGGTGGCCCCGGGAGCGTGACATCACCAGCGCCCAGAGAAGCTCCCAAATTTCTTTCGCTGCATTCACTGCAGTCCCCCGGAGCCACGCAGAACCGCCCGATTTGCGTCCAACAAAGCCGTCTCACCACACACGCTCGAGCACCATCACCGCAGCCATGGATCAAGTGTACGTCATGTCCACAGCTTACACCCCCGGACTGTCGGGTTGAACCCAGTCGCTGACCAAACCCCTTGCCGGGAAACAGACTGGGAGGACTCAACGCCAATGAGCAGCGCGAGCTCGAGCAGCGCATGCAGAAGCGCCAGGTGAAGGAGTTTGTCAGTGTACGTAAATGACAGAGCATCTGACCGAGCCCTTGCCCTCCTGACACCCGGGAACATCTTGGCTAACCTCCCCGGGCCGCCGTAGCTCTTCGGCAACCTGGTCGACAACTGCTTCATGTCCTGCATTGACGACTTCACCTCCAAGGCCGTCTCGTCGCGTGAGAATGGCTGCGTCGCCCGCTGCGTTCAAAAGACCATGGCTACCCAGGCCCGCCTGGCCGAGCGTTTCCAGGAGCACAATGCCGAGATGTCCTCCAAGATGGGCGGACAATAGAAATCCACCGCCGCTGGAGGACAGGATGAGCAGGCTACCGGGAGAAGTTAGCCCGTGCTGGCAGCCGAATCTTGTCCGACATTGGGATGTGATGGCCCGGGGACAAGATATATCGTGTTTGGGTTTGAGGAGGGCTCAGATGCGGCTCGTTATGCAGAGCAGACACGTTACGCCAACCACAATAGTGTTCGGGGCTGGGGACTCGTACGCCTGGAGCAACTTTTTTTTTCGGACTCGACAGCATGGGGCTACGAGTTGTTCATGAACACAACTCTGTCAGCATGTCCGTAAGGTTACGGTAGGGGGTTCTTCACCACAAGTGGTAATACCATAACTCAGCTCTAAATGAGAAAGCACCAATGGGAAAGAAACTTTTCGACTACTCAGTGTTTTTGAATCATGGTATCAACGTTCCATCATGCTTTTGCCCGCTAGAATTTTACCATCCATCCAACGCCCATCTAATGCCACATGCCGAGTATCAAGCACCAATTGGGGCAAGCTAAGATTCTAGTTGCTACGGCAGACCTACTCCGTATCCTCACCGAGCACCTCCTTCACAGCCTCCAGTAGTGACACCACCTTCTGCTCTAACAAACTGACTTCCTCCACCGCCGTCTTCATCGTCCTCCAGTCAGCTTCGCGCTGACCCAGGGGCAGGAGCCGCTCCCGCAGGACCTTGCGGCTGGTCAGCCAGTAATCCACATTCTCGAGCACAGCCGCCGAGTCCCACGATATCTCCGGGATCTCGCGGTTGAAGTCCGACCTGTATTTGGCCAACACCCGTGTCAGAAGCGCGAGGGAGTTGACCTCTGATACGCCCAGCAAGGTAATATACTGAGCCTTGCCACGGGATGTAGTCCTGCTCATTCCTGGAGCCTCTATGCGATCGACACTGCTCTGCAAGAGATTGGGGAACTGGTTGAGGACACATGCAACTTCGGTGGCTACATTCGGACCCAGACCCGGCGCCGACAGCACGTTAAGAAGCAACGGCAGGATCCCCTTTGCCCAGATGTCGTAGCATCGCTGAGCCCCGATATTCTCTGCGAAGGGAGAGACATTCGGTCGTTGAATGTGAGTTGCAATGCTGGCCGAAGATAGCTGGCCGAGAAGACCTTCCGATGCGAGCTGTTCAGCCATGACCGGGACGTTGGATAACTGCACGAGGAACAGAATGCTGAGCTCGCCATAGACAGGGTCGCCCTTGACCGCCAATTTGTCTGCCCAGGAAAGAAGTGATGTCGCAGCTTGACCAACGTCCTCGGAAACCATGATGTTGAGAACCTGTCCAGAGACCTGGTCAATGCCTGGCAAGCAAAGGCAAGCCTGCAGGATGGCAGTCAGAAGCGCCAGATCTTCAGGTAGCACCGTGACAACCGGGTCATGGATAAGAGCCACTAGCGACCGGAAGCCTTGAGCCACCACGCGGTGAAGAATATTCAACACACACTGCAAGACCTCAACAATCCTATCATCTTCGTGGCTGGTCTCTGTAGCTTGCTTATTCGACGCTGAGCGGGTTTTCCTGTTGGGACCGGATTCGACTTCTCCTCCCTCGGATGCTGGAGAGGTTCGGAAGCCTCTCAAAACCACATAGAGCATTCTCATCATGGTTCTCCAGTACTGAATCTGGTCGGGGGTGAAGGGATTGTCGATGCTATTGAGGGTCGACCATATGGTCTCGAGCAATTCAGAAATATCTTTCGCTCCAAGAGAAGCATCGGTCAGACGCTGCACGAGTACCATGGCCAGATTCGCACGGGATTGTGTGATTCTCTGAAAGATGCGTTCAGGCCCCTGGTTGCCCTGGTTGGAGACCAGGCACTGGTCCGTGACCTGCATCATCTGCTTGGTGATCAGTTGCCCTTTAGGTAGGAGGCAACTACTCAGTTCTAGAAGTAGAAATTCCCAAGCATGGAATAGAGCCTGTGCTTTGTGTTAGTATGGCCGCTCCTAGAAATATCGGCCAAACCCGGCTAGAGGTCCTACTTACTATTTGCGCATCAACGAGAGAGAGGTTGAGGTTGGCAGCTGCCATTTCATGGCGGAAACCGTTTCTCTCTCGTGGTCCGGCCCAACCAGGGTCAAATCGCAACATCTTGTCTGCGAGGTCCAGGGCATAGTAGTACTGGTCACCAAGTTCTCTCGGCGCTAATGATGTCCGTTGGAAGCCCTCTAGCGAGAAACCGGGGTATTGTTTCGAGAAGTTCTTGGAGAAATTGGCATGCAACGAGCTGTTGTAGCCCGCTACCGTCACACCTTCGCGTAGGTAGTAGTCAACGTCATTGACGAGCGCTTGAGCGAAATCCTGCTCACGCCCTGTCTTTCGCAGGTGAAAGAGATGCATTGCGAGTGCCTCTGCGATGTAAGCTGCGATACGAGCCTCGTCACAGGCTTGCCTCGGATTGACTCTTGCCGTCACAGATGCTGCTTTGAGCTGACGAACGTAAGCTCGCAGCTCGGCCAAGCAATCGATATCCTCTTGGGATGCGAACACAGTCCACTGCCAGAAGTTATGGGCTGACGTCAAGAGATCCAGAATTGCTAGTGTCTCAGAGGTTGGTAACGTGCGAATGGATCGCAGACGTGTCAGAGCTGTTATGAGGATGGAGTCAGGTGCCAGCTTAGACAGTTTACCCTCGCTGCCCAATGCTTCACGAGGGGTCTTGCCGGTCAAGAGACAGTTAGCCATCCAGTGCTGGCCGTTGCGCATGATCGTGGAGAAAAATTTCCAGGTCGTCCGCGACAGCGCTGGCCTGTCGAACGGTTTATCCAATTGCGAAATCGTCTGCAAGAAAGAACGTGATATGTGAGAGCCCAGATAGCCAAGTAGAGACGGCGCTTCCGCATCTTCGCGGCCAAGTCTCTCAGCCACCGCACCTAGCAGGGACAGCACAGAATTCCTGTAGGAAGCATCTGTAGCGCATAGGCGAGCCAACAGGGACGAGCACTTCAGAATCTGATCCTCGATCACAACTGTCGGTTTCTCGAGAAGGGTCGCTACCTTGACCAGTGTCGTCGCGAAGTCCAGAACGACAAGTTGACGTTTCGATATGATTTCCGTCCGCCTAGGGTACAAGGATGACTCTGGCATTCCAAGTGCGACCAGCATTGATGATAAAAGTGGCTGGAACCGTAGCGAGGAGGAGGAAGAGGACAGAAAACCCTCAACAATATGCCGTGCCGCAGGTTCCAAGAACGCTGTCAAGGTGTTGGACTTGTTCGACGGGCAGACGCCAAACGAATAGACGACAATGTTGTCCATTACCGGAATCAAGTCTCCGATGAGGATAGATCGCTGGATTTCCGACGAGAAACGCCATGTCAGTGAGTTCTCAAGTATGTCGATAGCAGTGTGAGCAATCGACAGATAAACCTGGGTCATGACTTTGTCAGAGGTCCCCACCCAAGGGTTCTCTTTCGGGGCTGAACGCCCGCTGATCTTGCTGCCAACTTTCTTTTGAACAGTTGCTCTCGTTCCATTTTCGACCAGATCAGAAAAGAACCTCACCACGGTTGACAGGAACTCGAATCTCTCGTCAACGAGATCAAGCGTACCAGTGATTCTTGACAGCCTTCCCGCTCTGGAGTCGCTGATCAAGAGGTCACACCGGTCCATGTATGACCACACACGGCCGGGGCATATTCCCAATATGGAGTCCAGGAACTGCAGGCAAGATGTCATAACGCGTATGTGAGAAGACTCGAGGTTGGCCAATTCGCCGTCGACATAAGAGTCAAGGGTGTCACAGATGACGCTGACGATATCTTTCGTACGTGGCAGCGCCCGGCTAGCTTCTTGTAGGATGGCCAGCCCCGCTTCACCGTCCACCATGGACGAGCTGTTCCCTGCCGACGCCTTTAAGTTCTCGCACCGGACGGCTGTCGCCAGCAGGGAAACCGTTTCGGCGAGCTCGTCGGCTTGAAGGGGACCAAGTGCCAGCTCGTATGAATCGGGGGCCAGGTTGGCCTCGAGGCGCTTCCCCAACAACGCGATGGTCGAATGCTCAAACTGTATTTGGGCTATGTGACCGGTGTCAGAAGCCAGATTGCCATATGTTCCGGCAGGAATGCAGAAAGGCTCTTCCTCTCCGATGAGGCGTTTGCGATTGGGTGACACGGCGAACAATGGAAAGTCGTGGGTGAGCTCCAACTTGCCCAGCTCCTCCTCATCTGCCGTGAACTGCCAGTAGGGCTCGGGCAAGGGCAGCGTCACGGTCGGAGTTTTCAGGAGGGACTTCAGGATGAGACCCGAACGATCATCCTCAGCCAGACACGTTGACAGAATCCTGCAAAGACTGGTGAAGGGAAGGAATTCGTATGGGTATCTTTGCAAGGCCTGGAGGATGTAGAATTGAAGGATGAGGGGATCATCAAGAGCCACAGCCAGGACGTCTTCAGAAGGTGATATTGACTTCCCGCTCGGAATGTCCCAATATCCTTGGCCAGCCGAGAGTACTGCAAGCAACGTCGTAACAGGCTCCGAAATGTAGCCAGTCACTGGGAAACTGATCTTGAGAAAATCGAGGAGTACAAGGCGCACTCTCGACCCCAGACACGGCTGAAACGCGGCATTCTGAGCGCAGCCCATACTGAGAGCTATGTCAGTCATGAAATCGTACAACTGGCCGCCTGCAGTCACGGCCCCTGCCAGATTCTCGACCTCCTGCAAGTCCCATTGCAGCGAGTTGGATGCGAAAGAGGTGTTCAGGAACTGGTCATATGACTGGGTCTCCATGGAGACTACGCTTCCGGCAGATGAGCGCCTGCCTACCCCCGGTCGTTCTTCAACATGATCCAATTCACGTTCGAAGCCCTCCTGGGCTTGTCGATTCTGTTGCAAATCTCTTAGTTCCAGCCGTTCATGGTGCGAGCGCAGCATGCGCTGCAGAATGAGGGCCCAGGAGAAAATCACAGGTCCGGCTGTGAGCAGGCTTGCATTCGCGGCGTTGATGATGGATTCGTGAATTTCCTTCAACGTGGAACCCGAAGTGACGTAAGCATCTTCATTAGCATGTAGCGCTATCTCGCCGTCGAGAAACAATACAGCTCTCGCCAGATTGAGTATTCTCATGGAGATGATGCACGTCAAGTGCTTTATAGGCTGTGCGACCTCGGCTGTCAGCTCGTCGGCCGCGTTCAGCTGGTCGAGGAAGCTGTACGCGTCGACGAATCTGAACCAACGGGAGACAATGTCGGCGGAGAGGAAGGTTTTAGAGAGGTCAATGATCCGGAAAATGGATGCCAAAAGATGCAGTGTCTCGGTGAGAGACATCCTGGCCCAGACGAGTTCTAGCTCTTCTGGAAGGATGTTCACATCCTTTAGTATTGCTCGCACCCGGGCATCCGGCCCTTCCAGGCATTCGGGGACCAAGTCCAGATATGTGGAGACAAGCTTCTCAAGCGAGCGTGTGTCGGTCCTTAGATCCTTTGGCTCTCTTTGGCCGAATACGGCCATCAGCACTTGCGCGGACAATTCTGCCTTTGCTGCATCTGTGTCCGAGAGCGGCTCGTTCAAGGTCAGGTTGAGGACCCCGTCAACAAAAGCCATGAGGTAGCGACGCTCGGACATATATAGGTCCAAAAGACGGCGTCGTCTCCCTGCCTGGGTGTTGAAGTCGGACCAGACGGCGTCAGCATCGACCGTGTCGGCCGCGTTGACGAAGGCCAGGAGTGTATTTGCCTGTGTGCCATCGGCGCCTACGGCCTGGTGAAGGTTCATTATGTCCTGGGTGGAAAAGGGCCCGGCCAGGTGACTCTGCGGCCTGCTCTGGAACTCGATGACAGCGATGCGCAAAGCTGCAACCTCGTTGATGCCGACGCTGCTGCTCAACCACAGCGAGTCCTCCTTGATGGCCTTGATGTCGTACTTGTCATTCGGGGTCGGAGTGACATGAATGGCGGCGGCCTTGGTGTCGAACTCGGATCTGGACCGTGGGGTAGGCTTTTCGAACGCTTTGGAGGGAGAGCGGACCAGGTCTGTCACGTAGCGGTCTTGCAGAAAGTCTTTCACACATTGGCTGGCGAGACGATCGGTGGAGGCATCTTGGAGAGCTGAGGCGACCAACCTCCAGGATCTATAGGATCATCACAGTCAGTCTTTGCATCATGGCATAGGCGAAGTCGGGTGTTGGACTGTTTTACATACAAGACCAACTTGTCGCCCTTCAGGCACTCATCCAGGGAAGGGAAATAGACGCCATTTGGGGGCGAAGCCATGGTCGCAAGGCTCAGCAAGCAATGCGCAAAAGCCTCTGAGGTGCGATCATCGACAACTAGAGAGGCAGCGCCAGAGTGTTGTCGTGGTTGAGGGCTGAGAAGGTTGGGCCCGGAGTGTGCAAGTGAGGTTCGATGTTGGCAGACGCGCCAGAGACCGTGTATGTATTGTTACTGTAGGCCTGGTCCGTCTGCCGCCCACTCAAAATGTTAGCTACCGTATCCTTGCTCGGTGGGAGCTTGGGCAGGCAGCCTATCAGAGAGCAGCCAGCAGTTCCACATCAAAGAAGACGCAGCAGCTCTGAGATTTGGCCTGCAGCAGGGGTCGCTCGTCGCCGTTCCGGCACCGACACTCAGGTACCCAAGATTTGTCCTCCAGAATGCCACGGCCCCAACCGCCACATGCTCTGAAGCCACAGTCATTGTTGACGGGCTGTCTGCTGCTTGACTCCCCTGGTTAGATTCCACAGCCAGCAATCCAGCCAACAAAGACAACCTGGGCGGGGACATCCTTCCTGACACCCCATCCAAATCCCCCTCGGCCGTTGCCAAATAGGATTTGCCCTTTTGCCGTGCCGACAGAACGAGCGCAGCGGCTGACTCACCTCGAGTGTTACTAGCCTTTGGAATCAAGTTGCCCCCATACTTTTGGTTAATTGTGAACTCCACCCCAGGTCTTCACCCTTACAACTCCTCCAGCGCTGCCTCTATATCTTGTCCGCTCAAGGTTGTCAACATGTCTTCGTTGGACATAATTGACCACTCCCCTCATCACCCGAGGCCCTCTGCGCCTCTGCCCACCGCCTCCAATCTCGTCCTCATTGATAACTATGATTCCTTCACATACAATGTCTACCAGTACCTCGTCCTGGAGGGTGCCACCGTCACGGTCTTCCGAAACGATCAGATCTCTCTAGAAGATCTCATCGCCAAGAACCCCACCCAACTCGTCGTCAGCCCGGGCCCGGGCCACCCTCGCACAGATTCCGGTGTGAGCAGAGACGCCATCCGCCATTTTGCCGGAAAGATCCCTATTTTTGGGGTCTGTATGGGACAGTAAGTCGGCCTCAGCCTCCCCGTTGCTGCGAGACTCAACATTGACATGTAGTGTAGGCAATGTATACTGGATGTGTACGGTGGCGATGTCAGTCAGACCGGCGAGATTCTGCATGGGAAGACCTCGCCTCTAGTTCACGATTCTAAAGGCGTCTACTGCGGAATGTCTCAGAATCTCCCGGTCACTAGGTATCATTCTCTTGCCGGGACTCACGTGTCGATCCCGGATTGTCTTGAAGTTACCTCTTGGATCGCCAAGGAGGATGGCTCAAAGGGGGTCATCATGGGCGTGCGCCATAAGGAGTTCACCATTGAGGGAGTCCAGTTCCACCCAGAGAGCATCCTCTCCGCCGATGGACGCATCATGTTCAAGAACTTCTTGCTAACCCAGGGCGGCACGTGGAAGGAGGACCAAGAGCTCCGCAAGAACGCACTGACAAATGGTGCGCAAAAGCCAGCAAGCGCGCCGAAGAAGAACAATATCCTGCAGCAAATATACGCTCACCGCAGAGCAGCTGTCGAGACCCAAAAGCAGATACCTTCCCAAAGACCTGCGGACCTCCAGGCCGCCTATGACCTCAGCTGCGCTCCACCACAGATCCCGTTCGTCGACCGCCTCCGCCAAAGCCCGTTTGACATATCGCTGCTAGCGGAGATCAAGAGGGGCTCCCCATCAAAGGGCGTGTTTGCTCTTGAAATCAACGCGCCGACACAGGCCAAAAAGTACGCGCTCGCGGGTGCGAGCGTCATCTCAGTCTTGACAGAACCCGAGTGGTTCAAGGGCAGCATCGAAGACCTGCGTATGGCACGTCAGGCTGTCGAGGGCATGCCCAACCGACCAGCCATTCTGCGCAAGGAATTTGTCTTTGAAGAGTACCAGATCCTGGAGGCACGTCTTGCCGGAGCCGATACCATCCTCCTGATTGTCAAGATGCTCGAAACTGAACTACTCGAGAGGCTGTACAAGTACTCTCTCTCGCTGGGAATGGAGCCCCTGGTCGAGGTACAAAATGCCGAGGAAATGACAACTGCTATCAAGCTTGGTGCAAAGGTTGTTGGCGTGAACAACCGCAACCTCGAGACTTTTGAAGTTGACCTGCATACTACGAGGAGTTTGCGAAGCATGGTTCCCCAGGACGTCATCATCTGTGCCCTCAGCGGTATCAACACCCATGCGGATGTGCAAGACTGCAAGAACGACGGCGTGAATGCCATCCTCGTTGGTGAAGCCATCATGCGAGCTCCCGACACGGCCAAGTTCATCCAAGAACTATGCTCAGGTACCACGACACTTTCCCCAAAAGTCGAGACTCAACCGCTGATTGTGAAGATCTGCGGAACGCGTAGCGCCGAAGCCGCCACCGAAGCCATCAAGGCAGGGGCTGACTTGATCGGCATGATACTGGTACCTGGAACCAAACGATGCGTATCACACGACACCGCTCTGGCTATTTCGAAGGCAGTGCAGGACAGCCGCTCTTTTGGGCGATCCGTACAGCCCGGATTCCAACCAAACGTGGCTCAGGATTTCTTTGTAGGGGCCAAGCGTACCTTGACTGGCAAGGGCGCGTCCCTAGTTGGTGTTTTCATGAACCAGCCCCTGGAAGAGGTTCTCGAGAAACAGAAACTGTACAGCCTGGACATTGTTCAACTTCACGGTAGAGAGCCTGTCGAATGGGCGCATCTTATACCTGTTCCAGTCATTCGAAAGTTCCAACCTGGTGAGCCTGGATTAGGGCTCCGTGGTTACCACACCATCCCCTTGCTGGACTCTGGCTCTGGCTCTGGCCAGAAACTCGACCATGCCGATGTTCTGAAGGACCTAGAGAAGGATAAGGAACTGGAGGTTCTGTTCGCCGGTGGGCTTAATCCCGACAATGTTGCCCAGTCAGTATCTGCCATAGGTCCACTCTCGGCTAGGATAGTGGGTGTTGATGTAAGCAGCGGTGTCGAAGAAGGCGGCCAGCAAAGCATAGACAGAATCAGGGCCTTTATAAAGGCTGCCAAGTCTATCAGATAGGTTGGGCTCTAATAGCGCTCGGCTTACCAGTTGATAAACGAGGATGGTTCTCAATGCGATCAACTTCTCCCATCGATGACTTCTATCCAGGCCACGAACAATCGAGCTGAGTTGCAGCTTCTCGCCCCGTCCACCAATAGCGAGTGTTTCTCACGACGGCTTGGGGACAGTATGACTGTGGCGCAGCCATATACATATATACATATATCCAGTGCCGGTGATGTTGTAGGTGTGGCTTGGTTTACGACCTGGGCGCTTCGGTCCTCCAAATGGAGCGATGTCGATGCGATTGATGGCGTTTCTCTCCCAGACGGGCCCAAACACACCGCAATTCTCTAGACTCTGGAGCTTCAAACAGCTATACAACGTCTGGACAGACGTTTATGCACTTGTTAATTCCGCGGTGGTTTCTCCAAATCATTTCTCATGCTCCACTTGCCAAAAACTGGTGGAAGATGAGGTACGCAGTCCGTTTCAGCGTGGTCAGGGAAACCTTCCCGATTCATGGAAAGCGACTGCGCATAATTCTCGAGCACCTGGACCTCGTGCTCTGCATGGCCATCTCACGACATTGCTAAAGGCAAAGGTTCTTGACGCGGACATAAGCATTCCCCGAATCCGACGTGGGCACTTACTTGTACGCCCGCCACGTCTGTTTGGCCCGAGCCCCTCCAACCCGGACGATGCATTGGCCCGCCATCTTGGCTTATGCCTGTCTCGAGCTACACACCTGCACACCTACCTGCCGACATGGACCAGCTATGAGCTTGGGCGCTCGTCAGCCTGTGAAAGCGAGGTGGAACCGTACTCGGTTGCTCGTCTCTGAGTCGAGCTCGCTCTTGCCACAGCTACTGCTGCATACTCGGAACGTCGACTGAACCTGAGCATAGTGTCACCCCTGTCTAGTTGCGGCATCGCTTAAACTCCTTCTCTTCCAAGGTTATGTCGGAGCCCGGGGAATCACCGCGGAATGCGTGGAAGCTCGCGCTTGAGCTCCAGACCACGACGTTCTGACACGATGGCTCTTATGCGTGGGCAGGGAGGTAGCTCCGGCTTGATGATATAAAGGCAGACCTGTGCTCCCTCTTGGGGTATCAAGATGAACAAACCATCAACGACGACATCAATAATAACTGCTTCAAGTCCTTATAGTCTCAGCCCTCACACACGATCCTCTCAAATAAAGGCACTTCCCGGATAAGCCCACATCTACCTACCGACTATCAAGATGTCGACCACCGTGACTATTGCATGGATTCCTATCATCAAGGATGCCGAGAGCAGCTCGGCTTTGGCCGAGCTCAAGGCCTTGAAGGATCAGAAGCTGGCGGTTGCAGGTCTTGAGCACGCTTACCACGGCGCAGCGACCGATCCCAACGAGCCCAAGGCTATTGAGATCGTAGATGGTGAGTTTTGATGACGGACATCTCAGCTGCTTCTTGAGTACCGGCAACTAACCTCCTGTCACAATAGTCTGGTCCTCCCCAGACGCGGCCAAGGCTGCTGCTGAAAGCCCACAGGCCGCGGCGATGAAGAAACTGCTCGAGGAGATCCTGGACAAGTCCAACCCCGAAGCCCGCCCAGTGCACAACCTCTTCACCCTCACTGGCGACTTCGTCAAAGTCGCCGAGGCACCCGTGACACAGTTCGCGGTGACTTTTGTGCCCCCAGCGAGCGCCACCGACTTCGAGGCCGCATTCAACGAGGTCGTCAAGGCATGCGGGTCGCCTGATGGATTTGTTGCTGGGGCGCATGGCTGGGGTGCGGAGGAGGTTGATCACCCCAAGGCCGGCAAGGTTAAGGCGTTCCTGTCGACGAGCGGGTGGGTGAGTGAGGAGAAGGCCAAGGCAGGCGGTGCTGGAGCGCAGAAAACATTCGAGCCCCTGAGGAAGTTTACGGACCACCACCACCTTCGCACCACCATTCTAACCAAGGATAAGTAAGCACATTGCGCCATAGTTCATTCTTTGTAGGACATCCGGGTCAGTATTCTATTTCTTAGAAAGCGACGGACGGTCATAAGTCCCAAGGCCATGTAGGCTCTACGCAAGCACTTGTTGTTTAATCTTGAAAATAACAGGTGATATGAGAATTTTCCCCGAACCTCTTCAGCTATGTCCCATGGGTATTTTTCACTTGGCAGATTTTCCAATAGACTTCCAACCGTTTGGCAAGGTCACGTTATCCATTTACCTTTCTTGAAAACGCAACTGCTCTCAGCTTTGGCGAATGCACACACTTCTGCCTCGGACGGAGAATAACCTCGCTCACAGGCTAGATTATTTCTTCCAGACCTTTCATTTCAATCGAAGCTGTTCCAGTATTCTTCACGCCGCCACAAGCACCCAAGCCTTGCTGGTGAGGTCTTGCCTCACCGAACAGCAACCCCTGACTTTCTTCTAACGATCCCAGGCCCCGCCCGTTACCTGATCAAGAATACTGGTATCAATAGTTATTATCTCGTCCTTCTTGCTGAATCGCTCCTGAAGGCATTCTTGGAAACCTGCAGGCCTCGATGCCTGCTTTCTAGCTCAGCATTACCTCTCACCACAGTCGCTCCCCAATCCAGTCTTCTTGCCTCCTGACATCAGGTTCCTAACCAGAAAAGCAACCCTCTCCCGAGTTTTTACCCATATTCCCCTCGTCAGCTTCACCATTTGCCACTGTCCTCGTAATTTTCGGCCCAGTCTCGAATTTATCTTCCGCATTTCTCAAAACGCTACGGTCTGAAAGACTGCGAGAGTCTCGCAACGATCTGATGACCTCGCTTTACGTCATCAAAACCCCCTTTCAGTCACGAACCACTGGGTATGATTGAGTCCTCTGGATTCTATGCTTCACTGAAAAGCTCAGAGGTCTCGCCATGTCCCTAGACCCCGGCGAAAACTCGCAACTCGCGGGCATCATCGTCTGCATTTCCGGCGACCCGACTGGAGACAAGGATACGAACCGACATATTCGTGAACAATTCACAGACGAAAACATCAGCAGGTGGCTCAAGTACCGCGGTGGCCGGCTCACTGAGCAAGTTACTGAGGCCACCACTCATCTGATTTGCTCAAGAAAAGCGTACACGAAGAGGGCGACAAATGACAAGAGTGAGTTTTCTAACCCACTTGTTTCCTATGAACCCAAAAAAAACTTCTTTGAGCATGTTCAGAATGCATCTGACCGTACCGATTCCACTTATAGTAAAGACGGCTCGCAAGCTCGGTTGTCATATCGTCACTTACGAGTGGCTGGCTGATACCCTACAGCTGCTGGATTACCACAAGCGAAAGGCCCCCCCTAGGCTCTACCACCCTGGAGAGGTTCGCGATGACGAAGCTATCTCGGCTCTTTTCAGAAAGCCTGAGAAGAAAGTGAGGGCTTCCAAGAAGAAAGCGCTCACTGCAACGGTGTTCACTACTGTGGGTGGCGAAGGCGATACAAGAGATGGACAAGCTGCTGGGAATGTGCCAGAGCAGCTGGCCACATCTGGAGATCGGAGCACCCAAAAGAGCTCCAAGAAGAAAGATTCTCCAGAATCATCTAACTTAAGGAACAGCAAAGTCATCAAAACCGTTGATGGCATGGAGAGACTTGGCAACCCGGTCGACTACCAGGCCGACAAGCCAGCTGGAAAGCCGACAGACGGCGCGAAGCCCGACAATCATCAGCCTCATGTTGACCTCAGCCGCTTTACCATCTACAGAGATAATTACGGCCCGTACCAGGTTGAGGTCATCGACAGAAACGGCGCAAGGTTTGCCCTGGAGCTATACGAGTCGAAGGCAACCCCAAAGACGTACCTATTCAGCGTAGGAGAGTACTTGAAAGCAACTTCAAGCAAGTGCAAAAGAAAATTCCCAAGCAAGACTCCCGGGGACAAGTACCGTGAGATTGAGAGATTCAAATCCCGCTTTTGGCGTATAAGCGGTAAGCGTTGGCGCCAGGGACAGTCCATTTCGGGTGATGGGTCAAGCCCCGGCCACCAGCCGCGACCTGTTCCGACAACGACGATCAACAATGCCACCAACAAGAGCAAGCCCGATGGGCTCGGGAAATTCAAGAAGGAGAGCCACACAGCCAAGTCTCTGGTCGTTCCTCATGGACAGAGCCAGGTCGACCTCAAGACTTCGTTCAAGAGGAAGAACAGTTTCTCAGAGCATCTACCAGCCAAAGAGCTCAAGGTCACCAAGTATTCGATTGCCGGTGGCTCGGGTAGGTCCAACAACGGCAAGTCCAAGACCTTGTGAATTTGATTTGACTTGCTATGGGCAAGGGGTTGAGGTATAGGTCGGATGACCCATTATTCTCTCTTGGGTTTCTGGCGTCTGAGTGCTTTGGCTTTGGCTTTTGCTTTCGCCTTTCCTTGATTGATCGATCTGGCAAGATCTGGTCAGAACTTTCTCAAGATCCAAATGCTTTTGGACCCTGCTGGGCGTGTTGGAAAAGCGAAGTGGGTTTCAGGGCATTGGCATGGATGATATGGAGATGTTTTTGGGCGAAGGGTTTCATCTAGAACTCGATGGATCCGGTGATGTCTGGGCCGGGAGGCAGATGCTTGGAGGTTACATCCGTGGACATGAACTAGCCTGCGACGTCAAGTGGACAGTAATGATCAGCAGAAAAACAAACAATGCGATGACTTAAGACAGTTTTGACACGGTCAATGCCTTGCTCCATTCAACAGGTCCCAGGCCGGAGATAGGTACTTGGGCCTATGGACTATCTTGCAGCACCGTGAATGCCGCTTGCTCTGCCTTAATGTAGTGTTAGAAGAAAAAGAAACACAGTAAAAAGCAGTGCGCGGGTGTCAAAACCGTAGTTTTGGCAGCACAAAAACGACCAGCACCAGCACCACCATCAGCCCGTAGATCCAAGCATACAGTATAATCCGTCCCCACCAGCCCTTCCCTTCCGTCATTCGGGTCAGAGCCCCCATCCTCCTCGCAGCCGCCTCAAGGCCGAGCTCGTTCCTGCTGAGACCTTTCGCAGCCTGCTCCGTCATCTCCTTGTCCTCCTCGAGCGCCTCACTGAACCTAAGGGACGACATTTTCAACTCCTTGGTTATCTTGCTCATTGCCTCTGTGAGCTCTTCCTGTTCTCTTCGCTCGCGGTCCAGGATAGCTTCCTTCGTTGAGACATCAGACACTTCGGTAGAGCGGTCCCCTAGGAGGAGTGATTTTTGCGTTATGGCGCCCGTCGTTTGTGCTGTATCCAAATCTTTGTTGGCCTTTTCCGGATCTGAAGGCTGCTGGCCCCTCGGACGGATAGTGTTTGACGTCAGGGTGTTTGGTTTCTCTGATATCACTTCTTCCAGTGTCTCTACGACCCGTCCGTTGCCCCCATCCTGCCGTGGCTCCGTCGATGGTGCAGCCTGTGATATGCTGTGTTCTAGGCCGGACTTTCCAGGTTCTTGTTCACGTATGTGTTCCGATCTAGATTCTAGACTCTGGCTGGGTGTCGCGATTATCTCGCTCAAGATGTCGTCTTGCTCGGAGCTCGAATCGTCATCGTCGTCAATGGCGTGTGCGCTCAGCTCTTCCAAGTCCCTTACCCTCTCCGTCACCTGCTCCAAAAGATCGCGCTTCCGATTGAGGTCGGCCTGGATCTCCTGTCTCCTCGCATGTACTTTGATGCCCAGCGCATCTTGCTGCAATCTCGTGAGCAGCAGTCGCGCGTAGTCTATGTTCTGGCGCCGCACCGTGTCAGCCCACAGTCGCGGACGGGTAGCGGGGACCTCAGCTTACAACAGTGGCTTTCTCGCGCTCGAGTTCGCTAGTCCTGAGTCTCCTTTCCCGCTCGGCATCAGCTCGAAGGATGGTTTGCTGGAGACGGCCGAGGAGACGATCCAAGTCGACAAGAGGGTCTGATGGTTTGGGTATTTGCGAAGGAACTAGAGGATCAGAGGCGAATTGTGCCATGACGCACAGAATATAGAGCTTTCCTTGTCGAGGAGACGGTGTGTTGTTGTCCTTGGATCAGGCGTATGCTCACACAAGAATGGAGAGGTGGGTCGCGGTTGGCGAGCATCGAACACTGTGGCGCGAGCTCTCCATAATCCAGATGCTGGAGATCGGTCGTGGCTGACAGGTGACGGGCATCCCCTGCACAAACCCCCAGGTACCTAGAGGCCGGGGTTTTGGGGTACCCGAAAGCCGCCTGTCTGAACAAGACCAAGACTGGCCCAATGCTCCCAAACGGTGTCAGACCAAGTTTCCTCTGGTATCAAAAACCAAGAATGTAATTGTTTAAATACATATGAATGTTTGCCTAGTTCTTTCTAATTCACCCTTAATGCTCAAATATTCTGCAGTGGTCAATCGGGCCTAGACACGCTACTGTGTACCTAGACTTGGCAGGTACCCCCGTGGCTCGACACATGTACTCCGTACTCTAGTACCCACCATAAGTGGGTCGGTCGGTAGCGCGACCTTTAAAACATCCCTGCCCTCAGCTGGTCTTCAACTCTGGGCCCGACAGCCTTGAGGCTCAACTGCCATTCTCCTCTCAAGGGAACTCCCACGTATGGGTATATTTGGTCCGTCCTCGATTTCCATATCACGTCAACTATTTGACGCCAGCGGTCCATACCCGAAATTCTTATCGGCAATCATTTGATACGTTACGGCCCCAGCAAAATGGCCAAGGAAAAGCAGGTCGCGACTGACTTTCAGAAGATCATCACCGAAGGTGCGCGCCCTTGTCGCAAGTCGCAGAGCTCTTGATCCAGGAACCTAACAATGCTTTCTCTGGCGCCTACAGGTCGGGAGCGCAAACAAGCCCAGGCGCTTGCTGCGAAGGTCTTTAGGAGAGACCGTGTCTCGTCAGCACCCCCAAAATTCGGTGGCGCTGGGGGCTCCCTCGCAAGCCGCGCCGGGATCAACAAGGTGAGCGCGCTCTCATGGTCGTGACCACTCCGGTACATCCCGGTACTACCTGCCCAGAAGCTGACAGTAGGCCCTCTCGCGCCCTGTTCGAACAGCGAGCACCAGCTTCCCCGGCAGGTCCCAAACCCGGCAGCCTCGCTGCACGCATCCACGCCCCCGGCACCCAGCCCGCATCCGCGACCACTGGCACTCGGGCACAGCGCCGCGCTGAGGCCCGACAAAATGCTTTGCTGCAGGCGGAACACGACTCTTCCCTTGCAGCCCAGGTGAATCTGGTCAACACCAACAGGCACAACAACTCGAGCCTGGGAGGCAGGAAACGGGGTGGAGGACTTCAACAAGTGGCAGCTCGACCACCACCACCACCACTGAACAACGGCATAACCATTAGGGGGCTCGCTGGGCCATTCGTGGTCATAGCACAGAACCTGGCCCCCGGAACAACGGCCGGTGACCTCGAGAGTGCAATGATGCCCGTCGGTGGGCTCGTCAGCAAGTGCCGCATCATCAAGACCCACCCAATAGTGATCGCCGAGATCGAGTTCCAGACTAAGGAAGGTGCCGATCGGGTCATTGAGAGGTTCAACAACCAGCTGGTAAGGCAAACAACCAGATGAGCTGTTCCATACGATATGGCAGAAAGTGAGATGGAACATGATACTGATGCCCTCTCTCAGGCCGACGGACGGGTTCTACACGTCTATGCCAAGGTTGGAGGCCCGCCAACGAGCCCCGCGCGAGCAGCTCCTCGAGCGCCAGCGCCACAGGGAAACGGTGTCCTCGTGGATGGCTCCTTGGGATTCGAACCCATGCAGGTCGAGGAAAGCAGCAGCACAGGACTTTACAGCGACAATCTAATGGGTCCGGCAAGCACGCAATCCCATAATCGCAGGGGTCGGGGGTTCCGAGGCGGTCGAGGTGGCAACAGCCGTTAGGAACGCTATTCCGCCGATGACGATGTGAATTCACGACACGCAGATTATTTTGATCGGTCTGGCGATGGTCAGCAGGCTAGGGGTTGGCGTGGGGACTACACAGACACGTACCAGTATCGGGATCGGTCACCAAAGGATTCGGGCTACGCTTCAGAAAACACGACACGCCGCTGGGGTTATTGAGTCCGGGCCACCTCAAGCCCAACAGCGTGTGAAGCTCCGCAATTCTCCGTTTCCCAACTGCTTTCACCGGCGGCCATCTGGATCTTGCTTTAGACGTTTTGTCGTCAACGGGTCCAACAGAGGCAAGTAAACGTTTTCGGCTCAGATAACGTTCGTGGCCCCCCTTCATCTCGGGGTCGCTTCGGAGGTAGACCGAAAGAAGTTTTATGTACTCATAACAGTTTATCCATTCTTCTGGGATGGCGCCCCAGTCAAGCATTGGCTGCACATTTCTTGGGACAAAGCACATGAGCCTTGAATGCAGAGTAGGGGACAAGATCAACAGCAAAAGAAAAGAAGAAAACGTCGAAGAATTTGGGAATCTCGCAGAGAGAATGTGAAAACATTCAAAGCGGATCTGAATGCAATCATTTTCCAACTTTGCGTGGTTGAAAAATACTCCGAGTCGCCCAAATCAGTAGTCTCGAGAAGGGAAAGGGTAGGGTGATGGGATACTGACAATATTGACTGCGGATAGGGGCACTTTTTCAAGAGCAACAGGCCTGATGCGAAGTTGATCTTGCAAGCCCTACGTGTCTGGTTGGCATCCCGAGACCTAAGGAGCAGAATATGTATGCTGTGCTCCTAATGCAAAACCTGCAGTGGCTACATATTGCAGTCCGCCAACAATTATGAACGTAAATACTGACATCAATCTTTTCACTCTTAACGGGCCTATAAATCATCCCAATGTCTACAAATTATCTAGACACTATAGCATTCAGCCATTGAGTGTAGCCTTCGTTGTCTGTCTCACCCGACATATAGCATGTCACAGGTCCCCTGAAACTCTGATACGAGATGCTGAGGTGATACGAAATTGACCGCTGCGTGGAGGTACATACGACCAGTCTGCAGGATGACGCAGGGTTGGTCTCTTATTTAAAGCACCATCCTCGGGTGTGACTAGGACTACATGTGACAAGTCCAGCTTCTGGGACCTTTGGGCACCCCCTGTAGTTCTACGAGTATACAAGCCTCGCCTGTGTATCTGTGCCATTACCATTTCCTGCAACTTTGATGTTGTCTCGAGGAAGGACGTGCTCTGAATCCATTTCCCGGGTTGAGGCTATGGATATTTTGACTCCGTACAAAGCTATTCCGCAACGTATGCCTGAGTTTTATGACAGAATGCTTGGCTAACTAAATTCGCTTACAGTTTGGTTCCCTGCCATGGGGTTCCTAGACTGAAATGCATTGAAGCCATCCACAAAGCGCCGCAAGCAAAGCGGAGTTGGAAAATGCTTTCCGAGACTGGAAAGCCATCGATGGTATTCCGTTGATACTGGAACTGACACAGGGATTATGCCGAGATCACCTCAGCGCTGACACGGGACGCCACCAAATTGCCACACGTTGTAAACAGCCTGGGCACCGTAGTCGTCTTCGTCTCAGACGGCACAGACACAACTCCCGAAAGAAGAGGTTGAACATGGAATGTGTCGGAGGACCCGATGTCGTTGACTGCATGGCAGTACATGATTACGACGTGTCTCGCATGCGATGACCTTCTTTTGGCAGCCCAAGTCATTTCGCAACCGAGATCGCGAACTACTGCTTCTACGCCAAACTCGAAGGGCACGAAGCTGGTTACGTCTGCGTTGACACCCGCCATAACGGAACTGCACGATGGTAGTGCGCTCTGAGCACGGGTGCAGCTGTGCAATCTTGGCCTTGCAAACATCTTGCAAGGTCAGCGTATTGAGAGCGGCTTCTAGGACTGGTTGGTGTGGGACGAGTCGCGGAACAGCAGCATAGAGGCTAGGCTCTCACCCATCTCTGAACTACGTTGAAACAATGGAGGCATCTGTGTCGTCGACCGCAGATAATTTCCCACGTTGCGCAGTGGCGTAATCTACTCATGCCGGCCCTTCGCCCATGCATTGGCTAGATAACTCCGTTACACGGGTACCAAACGCTATGATCATAATAGATATGGTCTTACAACGGGGCAATTGCGAAGTGATCAATTGGCCGTCTCCGTTGCGAGTGTTGGTGTCATGCTCACGGCCCTCGGTCCGGGTCGGTCGGGCAGCTGGGAGATGGGCAATGTCAAGTAGCTGGAGCTGGACTCAAGTCTTATTCTCAGGTCTATGTACACACGAGACTACTCAGAGGCTCTGTTCTCCGTCTAGTGGGGCGGGTGAGGCCGAGACAGCGGCGGGGTCTGACCAACACCCTCCGTGTCTTCGAGGGGGTACGACGTCTGTGGGAGAGATTCGAGGTGCTTGCGGTGGTGCTCGTTGGCCTGGTCAATTGGGTCAGTGACGTTGGCGGTTGTTGGGGTAGTGGAGTGTGGTTCGGCCCAAGTCTAGAGTTATCAATCAGACGTACGAATGGTAGGCCGCAGTAGTTGCAGGCGGCAATCTCGGGCTTGTCCGTGTTGATGAAGATCCGGGGGTGCCCGTGAGGACCACCGCCTCCATCACAAGCCACAATGCGGTCGTGAGTCCAGCGGACGGGCTGCTTGTGGATGAGCTCCATGGCCGAGTAGGATTGGGGCTGCGATGACGGTTAGCACAATGCAACGGCCGTGACCACGTCCCGCTCTGCCCCCGCAGCCTCGCGCACCTGAAGATCGAAGTCGGTCTGCTCGAAGCGGGGGCCCGTCATTGCCTCTGACCGCGGCCGCTGGCTCCTAGACCAGATTCCCTTCCTGTTTGGGGCCTGGGGCAGCTCCGCCGGCAGCTGGCTCTCGGTCTTTGGCACCGGAGACTCTGTCGAGGGCGTGGGCGCCACGGACTTGGAGTCCAATTGGCGGGCTGTGGTGGTGAAAGATCGTGGTGCGAGCCGCGCAAGCCCGCGGGCTGATCGGAGGCAGGTCGACGACAGCATTGTGGATGGCGGCCTCGTCGAAGGGGTGGCTCGGGTCGTGGTAGTTGCTGCTGCTCGTTTGAGGTACGATGTCAAGGAGCCTTGGGCCAGTCGTGCGTAAGAGGCCGCTGCGGCAAATCCAAAGCCTCTGATTTGCTCATGGTCGTGGTCAAAGCTCCACCCAGCCGCAAGCGGGTCGGCGGTCACTAGTAGCCCCAGTGCCCAGGTATCGAAACTTTTATCTATCATCAGGGCCGCGGCAACTAACTATATTGCAAAAAGTTATACAGCACAAGCAGACGACCGCTCCACAAGTACACCTGCCCCGCAACCAGTCGCCAGGAACGAACATCGCTTGTCCGCAATCAACCACACGCTGCGAGGATCTTGTCGTCGCACCCCCATCCCCAAACACTGCACGGTTGTGTTTGGCGCAAGGCATTCGAGCGATTGTCGAGAACCGACGCGGGAGACGGAGTGCTGACGCGATGGCTTCTCAAACGCCCACCGGCGCCTCCCAGAGGCTGCTCACGATGAAGTTCATGCAGAGAGCGGTAGCAGCAGCTACCTCGCCATCGTCGCCGAATACCCCGACGTCCGATGACGGCCGCGCTTCCAAACGTCGCAAGACCTCTGGCCAGTCCCCCACGACACCCCAGACGCCGAGTTACCTCATAGACCACAAGGCTGCACAGGCTGCAAGGGAAGAGGAGGAAAGGAAGCGGCAGGAGCACGCGGCTAGGCAGGCGGAAAAGCTGGGCGACTCGCACTGGGTTCTCGATGCCGCGAAACTCCCCGGGCCAGACCAGCAGGCTGGCAAGGTTCTCCATGTGGTGCAGGTTGGCTTCTCACAGATTGACTCTAGGAGAGGAGAGGAGGACGAACAAGCCGGTGCGGAGGAGCACGCCGGGACTAGCGGACCAAGTCTGAAGACATATGGCCCCAGAAAGGACACCAGCAAGAACGACGCAAGTTTCTAACCACCCCGCCGGATCGGCCACATTCTGATATCTATTTGTGTTCTAGGAATCGAGCGACTCCTCCTCGGACAGCGACTCCTCAGTCTCTGGATCATCTGATTCTTCCAGTGAAGACTCAGCCAAAGAAACACCCAAGCAATCTGGTCGGGCCAGCTACGGGTCACAGAAACGCCGGGAAATACATTCCAGGCAGAGTGCCGAACGTGAACGAGTCCAGAAACTGGCCAAAGAGCGCCGCAAGAAAGAAGTCAAGCTCAACACACTGACTTCTATATCTGGTGGCTCAAACAACTTTGGGCGACGGAAATGAACAGTACCTAGGTGCCTTTCCGCTCCAGAGGGACTTCACTGAGCACTATACAAACCCCACCCCTGAGTCATCTCACATGCTTAGTGGTGATATGTAGACTGTGGCTGGGGCCTGACTCTTGCGTGCAGCTGGCAGTGACCATCGGGTATGGGGGCCTCCAAGCTGCCGGACTTGCATCATAGGTTGAAGCTGATGTCGACCGGGGAAGTATGATACACAGTAATGGCGGATCTCGTCATGGTTTCACAACGGGCGGGCATGCTCTTGCAAAATCAGGACCGCCTCCACGGGCAGGCTTCGTAATGATGGCGCAACAGCCTGCATGCATCCGGCGGCCTTTGAGGTGTCCATCGGCAATGCCGAACGCAAGCGCTGAACGCCGCCGCATGGTGTGTTCCAGCGAGGCGGTTTGACTTTGCCAGTTGTGGGCATCCGACCTAAGCGTTTTGACGTTGCAGTCTCCGAGACCTGTTCTGCTGGACCAATGACTCGCCGTCATGGTTTCCAAGATAAGATGCCTTCAGGCTAAAAGAGAAACCTGCCGAACACCACCCAGCAGTCAATATTACAGGCCCATATTGAGATGGCGTGTGGTTCTAGAAGGCAATGCATACGTTTTTTGAATTCAAAAGCTTCTAGCTCCACGCGCAGGACTTGGCACGCGTGCGGGTTATGGCACGTGTAAGCTGCAAAATACTATCTTTGATCCTGCTTTGCCCATCCTGTCCAGCTACGTGACAGTCTATGTTAAATAGTTGAGGTGCTGTTGTTATCGTAGTCCAACGAATACCGCCAGACCAAGACAAATATGCCGGGCGTCGACAATTGGGCGGCGTGCACTATACAGATAAAATAGTTAGAAAGGTAGAAATAAAAATAGAAAGCTTGAGCCGGGACACGCAGCGTCCAGACCTAGGTCTGAGGTGTCCAACTGCGCATGGGATACAGCTACTACTATAAGGGGAAACTTTGATCAAGCCTATACAGAGCACGCCTGATCACTTTCAAGTTGAATCGTTCTCGTACTCTTATAGGCTCGTGAACGACCCCCGACTCGTTTGGGGTGCCTGCAAGTTGTAGATCGATCGCTGTTCCGCATTTTACGTCTAGTCGGTACCGAGCCATGGGGGGAAAATAGTAGCTTCCCCGGGGTCGTAAATCCATAGGGATCAAAGTTGACCCAGATCATGTCGGCACAACTGCCGAGGTCTCACCAACTATGGCATGTCATATTTTGGCCTGTAACTGACCCATACGCCTTTGCGCCCACTCCATCAGACCGTCCGGCGTGCTTCGCTACATCCGGTTGGCACTACATGGTATGCTGTCCATGCTACGCCGGGCCGAATCTGCCGGCAGCAGCCAGCTCCGGGGGCGTCAAATACAGGGCGCATCTTTCATCCAAGAGGCAGTGTGATAACGACCCTCGGGGAGCCATAGCCTTGGCCCAGGTTGTCCAGTCTCGCCAATGGGCAGTGCTCGCCCAACTGATATTTGAGGTGGGGCTGACCAAGGTGCAAATCACCCCGGCCACCAGCTATCACATAAACCATAAACCATAAACAATCCCCGGGGGACGGGCTGGGTGCTCGAGCGGGCGGACAGGCCTTCGGCTGGGTCCAAGGTACAGGAACCCGCGAGATATTGTACCGCCAACCGGGATTGCCCCGCGTAGAGGCGCCGCGGAGCCGTGCTGGGTATCATATGGGCTCATGATTTCAGGAACTGGGGGCCGCCCTGCGCCGCCCAATGACAGGCGGGCATGGGTTGTTCGGATTCCGACACGCGGGCCACGATATTTTGTCTGAGCTTTCGGGACTGTTTGGGCCATGGCGATGGAGGCCTGTTTATGTCCACCGAGAATTTCAACTGAGAACACACGGCCAAATGGCCAGATGGCGCCGACATGTGTGTGCTGCGCTCGCGTCTCATTGATGCAGCCCTTCCCTGTATGTATGTATGTATGCATGACTGACAGCAGCAAGGGTCATACATAAGTGCGATCCTATAATCTAGAGTGCTGCACGTAATGGACGTACTTTGTACGGGGTACGTCTTCACACGGGAGACACCTAGCAGGTATCACGATGATTCGATCGAGACTAGGGCACGTCTTGGCCCGCCCGCCCGCCTACGGGGCTGTCCTTCATGTTGCCTAGTTGATGCTCGTCAGATCCGCAAGGTAACGATTTGTGTTGGCCACGTACACCGGCGAGGATCAGATCATGCCCCTGATGAAGCTACCGGTCCCGTTTGTGCTGTTGACACGGCAGCAGTCGACCAGACAGCATGAGTGGTTGGTGTGGTCCCGAAGAGTCGGATCGGTTCCCTGGACGTGGCACAGCTCCCGAGGCCAGTTCCCACGCTATTTCGGGGAGGCAGGGAGGCTTGATGACAGGATGCAGCGGCGCTGGCCTCAGATCCTTCGGACCGTTCCTGCTGGAAGCCTGTCCGCAAAATCGGACACATTGCTCTCTAAGAGAAACAAGTCCAGGCAGGCAGGGCAGGACAGGATGGCAGTGAAACTGACGATCACAGGTGACCGCCAGTGACGGCATGGGCGGGCGGTGTGGGGAACTTCTGGCAAAGCCAACGGGTCACATTTGTTCATCCCGACTCATTGACGGCGTTGGCAGGTTGGGTGGCCTGGCGGGGCTTTGGATTCCTGAGGCGGGCGCAAGGAGAAGCCCCAGCTAGCTGATGGACGTGTGCGAACAAACGGCTGCCGCATGTTCTGAACGGAGCACCGCCAGACAGCCAGACTGATGAGCGTCCTTGGGGAGTAAAGTAAGGATGTGTTGGCATGGGCCGTGCTGCGTTGGTGGCCCTGCTGCCCTGGTGGTCCTGGCGATTCAGCCAGCGACACCCTAACGTGATCTCAGACTCGTGTGCCCAGCGCCAATGGCAGAATGGTGACAGGTGAGCACAAGAGGTTACGCTGTTGCACCACCTTTGTCGCCCCTCGGGGAGGAGACGTACGGCTTCACAAGGAGTCCCTGGGCTTCCCCGTCGACGGCTTGCTGAGACGACGAGAGAAGGCCTCTTCGGATGCGACAGCCGCGGGGGTGTGGCGTCGGCTGCGGGCTGTTAACCCGGCGGAGGTGGTTCAGTCAGCATATGGCTGCCCACGTGGGTCGGCACACTAACAGCAAATACATGCCACCCGCATCTACGGAGGTAGCTGCCTACTAAGTACTTACCTACCTGCCAAGCCTGCCCAACGTTTCCCCCTAGCCCGCCCGCCTGCCCTGTCTTGTCACTGCGACCGACCATCCAATCCTACCTCTATACATAGCACCTACCAGATGGGTGACTAGGGACCTAGGGACCTAGGTACCCAGGTAGTTACTTGGATATCTAGCCAGGCCACACTGGCAGGAAACTCCAAAGCAGACAAGACACATCCCTGGGCTCTTGGGATTCTAGTGGAATTCACAAAGTGGTGGGTCCGGAGTCCCTCTCGCACGCCACCTTGGAGGCCATCTATACTCCGTACCTGGGTACCTAGGTAGTCAGTCATTGTTGATCCCGCAGCCGCAGGCCCCCAATCCCATTCACTGACTAAAAAGGCTGGGGCTGGATCGCTGGATCGCTGGATCGCTGGCTGGCTGAGAGCGACTAACGGAAGGGACTGACTAACTCAGTTGTACTGTTCTGACTTGTGCTGTGCCTGGCCACGCAGCTCACTTGAGACTGCCCGACTGCCCGACTGCCCGGTACAACGGTATGCATATGTTATATATTTCCCAAGAACCTCTTCTCACATCATCATCCTTGCTTTTCACGGCCTGCCTGTCTCGCATGCTGCCCCCCCCCCTCTTCACAAAAAAAAGAAGATCCATTCGTTCCCTCCTCTCACAGACACTGTTTGGTAGACTACCTAGCCTCAAAGGGCGCTAGATGATATATCGAAATAACACGTCGCCTGCTCTTCGCCAGACCCTAGTGCTCATTCCTAGCATCGCCAACAGAAACGGGTGCGGCTGCGCCAGGCGCCCTACCCCGGGACTAGCTGCAGGACTGCCTCGGTCGAGACTCACTTCCTCGAGCCTCCCCTCTGCTCCTGCTGTTGCTGCTGCTCCTGCTGCCGAACCTGTCACTGCCCGCCACGGTCAGCACTCTCGTTCCTCCTCCGCGAGAGACATTTGGTATGTGCAGACACAGGACGGCCATCCGCAGATAAGAACGCCCAGCCAACGCACCCAACCTCCCAAGCCCTCACGTTCTCGGCCGCCCGAGAGACATGAAAAGCCTGCCTGTCCAAAGATCTAGAACCCAGAGACTGACTTCATACCACAGCGGCCTGCACGGCATCTTCCCTGGTATTTTCAGCGGATCCTGTGGATGTGCAAGAGACAGGGCAGATCTGCTCGATCATAATTCTGCGGCAATCTCCCGGCCCAAGATCTTCACTTGGATCGGCGGCAGCGCGAGACCAGCGTCTCCACAGGCTGGTTGCACAGACGCGGCTCGCACTCGCGCAACCCTACCCTGCCTACCACCACTCCGTCTTCTGACAGCCATCCCGTCTACCGCATACGTATCCCCACTACCTCGCCTGCCGGACACTCGGTCATACCCTTTGACAATCCGGCCTCGTGTGCTCTCACCTCTGCTCCAACAGCAGTCGTCCGTGGGCAGTTCCGGGCTCGCTCTCAGCCCTTCTTTGCGTCGTCACTTGTCAGCTCTCTCTTCTCACCCAAAGCCACGGGCGAATCAAGGCAGCATGGCGTTCCCAGAACACGAGCTTCGTCCTGCGGAGCTGGTGACCGATCGCCTCGAGACCCCTTCCCTGGATGACAGGACCTATCGCGTGATCCGCCTTCCCAACCAGCTCGAGGCTCTCTTGGTTCACGATGCCGAGGCCGACAAGGCTTCCGCTGCCATGGACGTCAATGTCGGAAACTTCAGTGACGAGGTCGACATGCCAGGAATGGCGCACGCTGTTGAGCATGTGGGTTGCGCTGCAATTCCTAATCCCAGACCAAGCTGGCGAAAACACCGTGCTGACGCCTAATCCTGCAGCTGCTATTCATGGGTACCAAGAAGTACCCGGAAGAAAATGCCTACAATCAGTACTTGTCGGCACACTCTGGCACCTCAAATGCGTACACTGCCTCGACGTCTACCAACTACTACTTTGAGATAGCTGGTCGGCCAAGTGATGATAGCGAGCCTTCGGCGAGCAACCCTTCACCTTTGAAGGGTGCTCTTGATCGCTTTGCTCAGTTCTTCGTTGAGCCCCTGTTCCTCGAATCAACCCTGGACCGTGAGCTCAGGGCCGTGGATTCTGAGAACAAGAAAAACCTGCAGAGTGACACATGGAGGCTTCACCAGCTCGAGAAGTCGTTGTCTAACCCGGCACATCCCTACTGCCACTTCTCCACGGGAAACCTCGATGTTCTTAAGCTCGAGCCCGAGGCACGAGGTGTCAACGTCAGGCAGAAGTTCATTGACTTTTACGAGAGCCATTATTCTGCAAATCGTATGAAACTCGTTGTTTTGGGCCGGGAGCCCCTGGATGTCCTCGAGTCTTGGGTCGTGGAGTACTTTTCGCCCATTCAGGACAAGGATCTCAAGCCTAATCGTTGGCCCGACGCTGCACCACTGGGCCCTGAGCAGCTGGGCCGGCAGGTCTTTGCGAAGCCGGTCATGGATTCGAGGGAGCTCGGCCTCTCCTTCCCATTCCTCGACGAGGATGAGCTTTTTGAGTCCCTCCCGAGCAGATACATCAGCCATCTCATAGGACATGAGGGCCCCGGAAGTATCATGTCGTACATCAAATCGAAAGGCTGGGCGAATGGGCTCAGTGCCGGCGCCTATCCGGTGTGTCCTGGTTCTCCCGGCATTTTTGACTGTCAGGTGCGGCTGACAGAGGAGGGCCTCAAAAACTACAAGGAGATCGTAAAGGTCTTCTTCCAGTACGTTGCTCTCCTGCGAGAGACTCCACCGCAGGGGTGGATATTCGAAGAGCAGAGAGGCATGGCCGACGTGGACTTCAAGTTCAAGCAAAAGACGCCCGCAAGTCGGTTTACGAGCAAGATCAGCTCCGTCATGCAACGCCCTCTGCCCCGAGAATGGCTCCTGAGCGGTTCAAGTCGCCTAAGAAAGTTTGAGCCGCACCTTATCCAGAAAGGCATCGACTGCTTGCGACCCGAAAACCTGAGGATGTCAATCATTTCCCGAGATGTTCCTGGAAAATGGGAGAAGAAGGAGAAATGGTATGGGACTGAGTACACGGACGAGAAGATTCCTAGCGACTTTTTGGAGGATATCAAGAAGGCTGCATCGAGCAGCCCCGCAGAGCGTGTCTCGGCGCTGCATCTGCCACACAAGAATCAGTTCATACCGACCAAGCTCGAAGTGGAGAAGAAAGAAATCAAGGAGCCGGCCGTGGCGCCCACCATGATCCGGAATGACGGTCTCGCACGTACATGGTACAAGAAGGACGACAGGTTCTGGGTTCCCAAGGCAAACCTCCTCGTGAGCTGCAGAAGCCCCATCATCTTTGCATCGGCGGAGAACTCTGTCAAGGCTCGGTTCTTCACGGACCTTGTTAGGGACGCCCTCGAGGAGTATTCTTATGATGCTGATCTGGCAGGCCTGCAATACTCCGTGTCTTTGGATGCCCGGGGCCTGGTTATTGAGGTCAGCGGCTACAACGACAAGCTTTCCGTTCTGCTGGAGCAGGTGCTCAAGACCATGCGAGACTTGGATATCAAGGAAGACCGATTCGCCATCATCAAGGAGCGCCTGAGCAGAGCGTATCGGAACTGGGCTTTCCAGCAGCCATTCCACCAGGTTGGGGAGTACACCACTTGGCTGAACACCGAGCACGACTTCCTAGTTGAGCACTACAATGCGGAGCTGGACACGATCTCCTGCGAGGCGACGAGGGCCTTCCAGAGAGAGCTCTTGTCGCAGATGCACATGGAAGTTGTTGTGCATGGCAACCTGTACAAGGAGGACGCGCTGCGGCTCACAGATATGCTGGAGAAGACGCTGAAGACGCGTCCGCTGCCGAGCTCCCAGTGGCCCATCTGGCGATCGTTCCTGTTCCCGCCTGGCTCGAACTATGTCTACAAAAAGACGTTGGGAGACCCTGCCAATGTGAACCACTGCATCGAGTACTGGCTGTATATCGGGCAGAAGGACGAGCGCCTGGCCCGGGCCAAGGTTCTGCTGCTGGACCAGATCCTCCACGAGCCAGCATTTGACCAGCTCCGGACCAAGGAGCAGCTGGGTTACGTGGTGTTCAGCGGCATCAAGACCAGTGCAACAACACTGGGCTTCCGTTTCCTCATTCAGAGCGAGAAGACTGCGCAATACCTGGAGACCAGAATTGAAAACTTCCTGAGCAACTACGCCCAGACGCTGGAGAAAATGAGCGATGCCGACCTCGAGGGACACAAGCGCAGCCTGAGCATCAAGCTGCTCGAGAAGCTCAAGAACCTCGACCAGGAGACCAACAGGATCTGGGGCCAGATCTCCACCGAGTACTACGACTTTGAGCTGTGTGAGTTGACCTCGTCGTGATGCGTAGAGCGGTACCGCATGGCAGCTAACAACCAAAACAGCAAGCAAGACAGCAGAGCGCGTCAAGGAGTTGACCAAGCAGGATATGGTTGACTTCTTCAAGGAGTACATCAACCCGGCGTCGCCCGAGAGGGCCAAGATCTCGGTGTGGATGGTCGCGCAGGCCACCAGCGACGTGTCCACCAAGCAGATCTCGGAACTGGTCAAGGCGCTGGAGCTCAACTCGGCGGAGAGGGAGGCCGAGGTGGCGACAGACCTCCAGGCTAGGCTCAGCGCGGCGCAGCACGATGAGGCCAAGGAGATTGAGGGCCTCAAGGAGTACCTGCTGCACGACCTGAAGGTGGCGGAGGACAAGATCGACGCGGCGGCGGAGGCGTGGAAGAAGCTACACTCGAACGCGAACGGGATGGTGGGACACCAGGACGAGGACCCGCCTTCGCTGAACGGGACCAAGATCTGTTTCATCGAGGACCCGCGCGACTTCAAGGCCAGGCTGCCCGTGAGCGCAGGAGCGCGCTCTGTCAAGGACCTGTCGGAGTACGAAGAGGTGGACCCGAAGCTGTGAGTGGCTGGTGGGCAGGACCGGGCAGGGAAGGCTTGGGAAAAGGAAGGGAACCTTGGAACGTGATGGGAGCCCAGGGCGGGCTGATCCATGGGCTGTCTTTACTAGAGGATATATACAGGCATTCATGATAAACTTGATGTATGAGCATTGTGGGCGCGGGGCAGATCGGATAGATGCATACTGCATGGTTGGGAAGGGGAGCATTCAGATACAGGTGCCGATTCTTGGAGGGCAAAATCGAAACCACACCCAACGCTGCACTTGGACACTGCCGGATGCGTAGCTAAGTAGGCAGTGAATGTGGTGATGCTGACAACATCTGAAGTAGGCCGAGACGGCTTCAAATATACCTACCTACTGAAGCAAGTATATTAGTATATCCTTACTCACTTGGGTAAGTACTTAAGTACCTAGGTACCTACCTAGGCAGCCAGTGCCTTGCCGGTGACAGCGTGTCGGCCTGTGTTAGCGGTTGCCGACCTGACAAAGGAGGAGGCAGGAGGGAGGGAGGGCGGCCCCTGAACTGTCCCCCCGCTAAGGTTCAGATTTTGTCCCAGGGTCCACCCGCCAGCCCGGGAAATCCAACAGTGCCACAGCAGCAGAGCAGGCACAGACAGGTACCCGTTGCACACAGTAATTTCGCCCCCAGAGCGAGGTACCCGACAGCACCTGCCACCTGCCACCTGCCACTGACCCCGGGCCTGTGGCTGTGACTGCGACGGCGAATGCGACGGCGACTGCGACTGCGCCCGGCCCAAGGCCTTCTTCCTCCTCTCAACCGACTCTTGGGGAGCGCTGACCGCCTTTGGACTTTGTTCTGACCTCATCCCTCCCCGTGTATGATTTGAAGGAGCTGCAGGGACAAGCAGCAGTAGATACCATACTGCTATGAATGCACACCCCCGATCCCATCAACGCCCTGGAATCCAACGCCATTTGCACTACGGATACGGACCGGGTCCAGAGACCAGCAAGGCCAGTCGCAGGTAAGCAGAGCCCCTTGTGCGCCGTACGTGCTTGAGTACGGAGTACCGAGTACAGCACGGTGGCCCAGTGCAGGCATGATGCAGTGCACTGCAGTGCCGTGCAATGCCGTGCAAGTGACGGACCAAACCCCAGGCAACTTCCAAGGGAGGGAGTCAGTCGGTCGGTCGGTCGGTCAGTCAGTCTTCTGTGCTGCTCGCCAACTTTCCGCCCGCGTCACCTCCTGTCAGCCTTCACTGTATTACCTACGCCCGCGCCCGCACTGTCACTGCCGTGCCCCCTCCGAGACACCTTCTTTTCCCTTCATGAGCGCATGCCTGCTTCACCAGTTCGCCTCTCTGCAGCCAAGCACTTTACTGGGCAGCGGTAGCAGCAGCAGCAGACCTCAAACTGTCTCTGCCCTTCCCCTTCTGCCGCCGAGTCCTCTTTTTTTTTTTGTTCTTCTTTTTTTTTAACAAAAAAACAAACAAACAACAAATCTTGTTGTTTTGCCCTGTTGGGGACTCTGGCGTTTTACTAAGCGCTCCACCAGACCCGTCGATAGACTATCTTTGTTATCCAAAGATTCTGCCGCCTCACATCCATCAACGGAACGTGGATCACAGACTTGCCTGCCCACCCAGCGACAGCCTTCGTCCCACGGCCTCCCGTAATCCTTCGCCCCGGAGCTGCACAGGCAGCTCCCTTTCACAACGTCTTCCACCATCAAGAAACGGAAGATGTCCCGTCCAGAGGATCTCCCCCGATCGGCATCCCCCTTGAAGCGCAGAGCCCCCAGCCTGCCCCCCGACGAAAGCCCTGCCGCGAACGCCGACGCGACCGAAGATGTTGACATGATACCCCTTCCCGCCACCAGCGACGACGTTTCCATGGCCGACGGCGAACCTGCTAGCGACATAGACCAAGGCGCACAAGAGGGGCACCCTGACAATCCCGTGGGCGCGGCGCAAGACTCGCCGGGGCGCTCGAGTGGTGTGGACGTGGATCGTGCAAGCCTTGAGGAGACGCAAGCTGGGTCTGAGCGCGATGAGGAGGACGTGCATGCCGCCGGCGCTGCCCTCGTCGACGACACGCAAGGCCAAGACCAAGACCCCGGAGCAGACGGTGGGAACGTCTCTGCCGGCCGCAAAGCCCAGGGCCAGAAGGCACTCAGCTCTAACTCTGAAGATGCCGCTGACTCTGACGCCAAGACTGTGGACACCGTTGCCACCAGCGCTTCCGCCGAACCTCTAAATCAGTCACCCTCCCCCGCAGACGGGTCTCTGGAACCCGCGATCAGTAAAAAGGTCAAAGGGAATCGCAGCGGCCGCAACAGCCCTGCCCCACTCAGCCTGGGCACGCGGGGCCGACAGGGAGACCGTGTGATGGGGCAGACTGGGCTGAACAATCTGGGGAACACGTGCTACATGAATTCGGCGCTCCAGTGCATCCGGAGTGTCGAGGAACTTACCAAGTACTTCCTGGCGAACGAGCACGATGAGGAGATGAACTTCGACAATCCCTTGGGTCACAATGGTGCTATTGCTCGCGCCTATGGGTTCCTCCTCAAGCAGATCTACAAGAACCCTCCACCCTCAAATGTCGCGCCAAGGTCGTTCAAGGAAGTCGTTGGCCGCTGTGCGCCTCAGTTCTCCGGTTGGGGACAACAAGATACTCAGGAGTTCCTGGGATTCCTGCTCGATGGGCTTCAGGAAGACCTCAACCGGATCAAGAAGAAGCCCTACATCCCCAAACCAGATTCTACGGACGAAATGGTCAACGACCAAGAAGCGATTCGTGGGCTCGCCGCCCAGGTCTGGGATATCCACAAGCAACGGGACGACTCCATCATCAGCGACCTTTTCACGGGTCTGTACAAGTCGACTCTCGTATGTCCCGAATGTGCCAAGGTCAGCATCACGTTTGACCCATTCACCAACCTGACGCTGCCACTGCCCATACAAAACGTCTGGAGCCGGAAAGTGAAGTTCTTTCCTCTGAATGATGTACCTGTGTTCCTTAATGTTGAAATCGACAAGACCGCTAGCATCAAGGCATTGAAGGACTTTATTGCGGTTCGTGTCGGGGTTCCCTCTGAGCGCATGATCGGGGCAGAAGAGTACAAGGACAAGTTTTTCAAGGTGTACGAAGACGATTCGCAAGCATCGCAGGAGATCACGAGGGACGATATTCCTGCCTTCTACGAGCTTGAGAGTCAGCCGACCAACACCAAACCCAAGACAAAGAAGAAGACGAAGAGCTATTACTCATCCTACGACAAAGAGGAGATTCCCCACTGGGACGATCCGTCGGCCGCGAGGATGGTGGTCCCAGTGCTGCACAGGCTCAACCCTCGGTCCAACAAGGAGTCAAGAATCCAATCTGCCAAGAACTCGGAGAACATCTCACCCCCACATTTCATCGTGCTGGAACCAGAAGAGGTAATGTGATCATTGCGCTTATATTTTTTAGTTTGAGGTGAAGGCTAATGTTCGGACAGGCTCAAGATGAGGACATCATCCGCCGCAAAATCCTGGAGAAGGTTGCTACGTTTACGACATGGCCTGCTCTGTCTGGACAGCATCAAATTGACACGACAGGGCACACTGATTCTGATTCAACCCTGGTTACTACCTCAGACGTAGACTCATCTGTCGATGCCACAGTTACTGCACAGTCGGTGGAGGGTGAGGACGACTTGGTGGATGTCTCGATGCAAGACACCATTCAAGGTGACGCCACGTCTCAACAAGGCGCAGAGAAGTATGTTGCTGCATTAGTCACACAGCTTTGCTCAGGCGCTGACGAGGACTCAGATCTCACGGACTCCTCAGAAAATTCAATTCCAGACGTCCAGACTGGATCAAGCGTGAAGTGTTTCTCGATGGACAGCTTCAGAATCTTTTCGACATGAGTTATTTCTCTGAAGATACACTAGTCCCCACCGGATGGAACGCTGTTGGGTCGAATGGAGACCGACTATTTCCCAGACTCGATGCCAGGAAGCCCCGCCCTAACTCGCCCTCACCGAGTGACGAGGAAATGCCCAGTCCTTCCGGATCCGGGACTGCGTCCGAGGACAGCGGAACCGAGGAGAGCGGGAGCGGTGATGTCCCCGAGACCGGAGCACAGACCCGGATGGCCGACGAACCAAGTGAGGAGGAAAGCGATTCCAGCCTTCCGGATCTTCAGGCATGTTATAAACCGACTTGGACCTTCCCATCCGCTGCAACAGTGCCTAATGACGTGCAGGACATCAACAACAAGACCCCGAATCTGCCCCTCAGACCACAGGACTCGAAGCTTAGAGGAGGGAAGCCCGGATCCAAGAAGAAAGTCAAAGGCCACAAGACTTACTCCAAAAAGGGCATGAAGCGTTGGAAGCAGCAGCAGCAGCAACAGCAGGCTGCCCGTCAGGCCTACAAGCGTAACAGCTTCCAAGACGAGGATCCCGAATGGGGCTCGAAAGTGGACGGTGGTCCTTTAGTCCGCCTCGGCGAGGGCATCTTGGTTGACTGGGATCCTGCCGCATGGGACGTCGCGTTTGGTGGCCAAGAGGCAGGCGGCGATGCTAGGTCAACGGCCACAGGCAGCCCGACGTTTTTAGACCTGGATGTCCTCAAGGACCCGCAACTCGAGGCTAAGAGTCGAGCCCGGAGGACCCGGGCGAACAGGGGCATTAGCCTGGACGACTGCCTGAAGGAGTTCGAGAAGGACGAGATTCTGTCAGAGGATGACAAATGGTATTGTCCCAGATGTAAAGAACATCGACGCGCGGCCAAGAAGTTCGACCTCTGGAAGACGCCGGACATTCTCATTGTCCATCTCAAACGTTTCAGCAGCAGCGGGACCCGTCGCGACAAGATCGATGTGGTGGTCGACTTCCCAATCGAAGGTCTTGACATCACCCAGAGAGTGCTGGAGAGGGAAGACGGCAAGCAGGAGATATATGATCTCATCGCCATTGATGACCACATGGGCGGCCTGGGAGGCGGCCACTACACAGCTTTCGCCAAGAACTTCGTGAACAAGGAGTGGTATAAATTTGACGGTATGTTGGCGCTGTTTCAATGACCAGAAGCTGTGACCATACTGACGCGAATTCATCAGACTCGTTCGCCACTCCTGTGAAGAACCCTGAGAGCATGATCACATCCCACGCATATTTACTGTTCTATCGCCGACGCAGCGACCGTGTGCTTGGTGGCCCCAAGTTTGACGAGATCTTGCGCCGTTTTGACACGCCCGAGGAAGAGGACGACGACGATGCCGCCGTCAACAGCCAGGGCTCAGAGTCCCGCTAGTCCCCCGGGAGCCAGTGTTACAGCTTGACAGTGAGACTGTTAAAAGAATCTGGGCGACTTGTTTCCCGGCTCCAGGGCATGCGGTTGTCGTCTAGACCACCCTCTGCAGCTGTGTAGGAGATGAGCCCCACGCGCCAGTCTGGGAGACGGTGGCCGAGGGCCTGTCTGCCTCTGTCTGGCGAGGATCCAATGGTCAAAGAAACGTATTACGAAAAGCCATCTTTCAAACAAAATGTTCCCGGTCTGCACTAGCATATTGCGCGCACAGGAACCAAGCCTGTTGCTTCATGCGCAGACTGACAGACGTTACTCCCTAGACAAAGCGGAGCATGTGGACATCGGTAGACTAGAGGAATTAGCATTCCATAGAGCATAAGATTTACTGTAAAAATGACCCTCTGAACGGATGGTTCAGTGGGAATTGTTCATATGTCCCATGTGCACGCGAGGCTGATCAATCTGCAGCAATTTTACCGCGTGGGGCATTGATGGCGTTGCCACTATCACGACCTCCCACTTCCCAATCATCAGGGCTGCCAGTCTCATGCGGTCGGTTTGAAAAAGCTCTCTCCTCCTCTCCTTCTCACTCGCCAGTCTGGTTGCACCCGGCGCGCGTTGCCTGGTTCTGGTCCCTTGAGGCTCCGCACGGAGGCGCGTCTGTGCCATCCGTAATGAGGCGAACATCCTTCTGTGCGGAGGGGTAGTCCAGACCACATCCCCTCCATATTGGCTTGCATATTTTCCCAGTGGCTACTTACTGCCTTGCTCCCTCCGCAGGGACAATGATGGCGCGGCATGCAATCATTGCGCTCAACCCCCTCCTACAAATTATGCTTCCGGGTCGGAGGGACGGGGCGGGAGGATAATGCTTTCCCGGCTTGAATCTGGACCCCAACAAAAGGTAGATAGATACACCATGTAGATAGACGATAAGCTGGTAGCTCGCTGTTATGTATCAACCCCCTTCTGCCCATTCCCATCCCGCCCAACCCAACCACCCCCCCTCCGGGGGGAGGGAGCAAAAACTTCAAGTCTCCACACAACCCGGCAGTAATGATGGACAAGGGCAGCCCGCCCTGCCGTCCGAGTAAGATGCTGCTGCTACTCATGCTTACGCGCCGTGAATCGTGACTGTTCACTTCGTCGGATGGGGGCCGGAAAACTGCTGGATATGTTGTTGGTATGGGACCGATCCGACGGGGCACGACACGCGTTCCTCAATGCTGCTGCACAGACGGGAAGCTGACAGGCGGAAGGTGTGTGTACGCACGCATGGGCGATTGGACTCATGGGGGCGAGTAGGTTGGTTCCATGTTGGTGAGGGCGAGTGGGCGGGACGTTATGGGTCGGTGATCTTCCCGGGCGTCCGTGTCTGCCGTCGTCCCATTTTCTTTTCAGATCGCACGTTGGCCCTCTTTATCTTTTCAACAGCCTAATTTTGGCTTTTTGACTTTTTGCTGCGGATTCTGGGTTCATCTACGGCTTTTTCCCTTCTTTCTACCTTGGTCAGAATCATTGTCTTGGTCAATGCTGTTGAATATCGCTTCAAATTGCCGCTTTGGGGGGGCCCGATGTTCACACCGGCCACGAAATGTGTCTGGTAAGCCACCTATACATTATCCACCGTATAGTATCCCATAGGACCTATAGGAGAATCTGATATGGGATGATTATCCACAGGATAACCTCCTGCGGGACAACCTCTGATAGGTAGCTAGGTACATAGAAGGAAAGTCAGCCACATAAGGCTCCACAATTACAGGTCCCGATATTTTGACCATGTGGCAGTGTTGCAGCAATAACGTACATGGCATGCTAGTTTGAGAATCGCTCCTACGTACGTGCCTCGTTGTTGAAAGGTGCCGAGGGACGGATGATGGAATGACAGAAACGCGGTCGAGCGTGAACATGACTGGGTGCCGTTGTCCTGTGCGTGTCAACAAAAGCCAAGGAAATGTCGAAAAGATTCGATCTACAGCGACATGGCGATTAGCTCTCCAATACCTTGCGTACGCATTTGGTGTTGCCAATGCTTCGGGGCAGGTGTTTGGATCGCGAGTCTCGGACGCACTGATCTGCAAGCGGCTCTGGGAGGGCGGCCATCTTGTCGGTTGGGCAAAAAATAAAACCGTTCATCAGATCAAAGGTTACGACAGGATGGGTATCGACCTGCATAACGGGTCTTGGTGGCTGATTTGTTATTTACATTATGGGCTGGGGAGGTTATCTCAGATTGATGATCCCTTGCGTCTTGCCGTTCCTACATCAACTCACCATATCTGCTGTTTCTCTTGGGGATGAGGGTAGCACTGAGTGCTCTGTCAGTTGTCTTGTAGCGCAGTGAACAGACGCGGCCCCGCAGAAGGACCTGTACGTGCGGTTCATGTTGCAGGAGACCATCGGACGGAATAGCAGTTGGCAGCGGCCGAAGGTCTTGCCTCCCATAGGTTCGGCCGGAGGTGTGCAATGATTCCCACTGCATCGCGGCCAGCCCGTCCTGGGTGTAGAATGCCCCGGAGCGAGTCAGAGGGTAACGAGACACATCAGCGGTGGTATCGGTGGCCTCGGCCGTCGGTTGCGACGTGACGGTCCGGACAGATTGGCACTCGAGGTGCAGAATCGACAAGGCTTCACGCACAAGGTTCTCGACCTGCGCCTTGCAGCGCCTGGGGCCCCCGGGGAGGAGGGCCTGCCCACGCATGTGCTGTGCCCTCCCGAAACTTCAGCAATGCCTACTGGACGGCTGCGGCGTCCCGGACTTTGACCATGGGCACGCTCGGTGGTTCCCTCGCTGCGTCGGGTAACGTTTGTTGGGCGGCCTTTGCATTTCCCCTATAGCGCGACGGCCTTGTAGGACGGTGGTTCCCTTCCGGGGGGATCGGCCAGGGCTCCCGAGGCCGCCATGCATGATCGTCGGCAAAGCACCGACGGGGCTGAAGATCGTGCTAGTGCTGTCAGTGTCTCAGTGAGCGAGGCCGCAAGCATCAGCTGGGAGGGCGGGAGGGAGAGGGGGCACCAAGAGGGCTCTCGCCCTTGAGGCTTGTGCGCTGGCGGGCGGGAATAAGGAGGCCAGGGCTGGCGGTAAGCCTGTGACGGGCCCGACCGGCTGACGGGACGGCATTGATGGAAGATGTAGATCCCAGTCCAGGATGCGACCGCCCTGGGATCGTGGAAACTTCCATGGTGTAGCAGGTGGTTGCGGGTTGGGGGTTGGGGGTTGGGGGTTGGGGGTTGTGGGTTATGGCAGCGGCGGCGGGACAAGATGACGTCGGCCGGGGTATGACGGCAGACGAGAGAGTGAGCCACTGAGCCCAGCCAGCCAGCCCATGCGGCCCTCGAGATTTTGGGTTTCTGCTCGGGCTGGCTGGCCTGGGGCCCTGACTCTGTGCGTGCAGCCATGGACAAACCTTCCCTCATGAACGCATGCCTAAACAGGCACTCCTCGCAACCGGATTGGAGTGCTTGCTTTGGGGCTAGTCCCAGGAGAGGGCTGGACAGGGCTGCCGCTCGACCTGAGCTGCCTGGGCTGCCTGGGCTGCCTGGCAGGTACGAACCTGGGCCCAAGTGTCCGTGCTCTGTCGTCCCTGTCGTCATAGTCATCATCGCGTCGCAATGCAGCCTGCCCCTGGGCAAACGAGCTCGGCTCTGGCAGAAGGGAGTTGGGGAGAAACCTGGAGCCACGAGCACGGCCAGTCAGTCAGGCCAGTGAGGCCAGTGAGGCCAGTCAGGCAGGCTGCCTTGGAGGGCTGACGCTTGCTGTGGCGCATTGCGAATCGAGATCTGGGTCTATCTCTCTCTGTCTCGGCAGGATGTACCGTGCACTAGGTTGCATACCAGAGGGTTTGTGACGTAAATAACAAGTGGCCGAGAACAGGTCGAGAATACATAGTAGACTATGTGAAACTGAAATAATTATAAAAAAAAAAAAAAAGAGGGGGGGTATGCACCGACGTGGGTTGCGCGTTAGAATTGTGCGCGCGCTTGCGTCCAGAAGACACCAAAACACAAGCGTGCTCGGCTCGGGTCGGGCGGTAGCTCGCTTCCTCGCTGGCTCGCCGTACGTGTACACCTCGGTAGCTGCAGCACACACAAAGGACGGGCTGGTCCGGACTGTCACTGCTGCACAGAGCTGGTCAATCCATTGGCCGCTTGGCACGACAGTGAGACATGGCGGGCCCTCGAGAGACAAAGGCACCAGAGATATCAGAGGCTGGTCTCAGGCTCAGCACCAGCGCTAGCACGAGCACCAGCACCAGCACCAGCACCAGTTCAACAGGGCCGTTGCAGAGGGCTGAGAGGACCGTGACTGGGTGGATATCCCCGGGGTGCCGAGGTCCTGATGGCTTCATTGGGAAGGTCGCTGGGCCAGAGGCGTGCGTCTGGGAAAAGGGGGATCACAACCTAAGGCCAAAGCGGAAAAGGCCCAGCCAGGCCTGTGGACAGATTGCTGGCTGGCAGTCCAAAGGAACGAACGACAGGAAGCAGGCCTTTGGAATCGCGAATCGTAAATCGTGAATCGCAAATGCCGGCATTGGCAGCGTCGGAGATGGGTGGGAAGTATCGCTTATTGGGCCAAGGTCCCACGGACTAGCAAGCCCGGACCCGACGTGGACATTGATGTGTATTATATCGCGGCTACACTAGTCAACGACCACACCACGAGTGGCACAGGCACACCCCCGGATTGCTGAGGTACGCCGTGGTGGAGGAGGAGGAGGAGGAGGAGGAGAGCTGAGATCAGGGCCACCTGCAAAGGGCCTCGAGTGACAGACAGCCTGACAGGTCAACCTGCGATCAACGCCTCAGGCTTGAATCGAGCCCACTCCTTGTTAGGCACAGTACGGAGTACTGCAATAAAAGTCGTCGGGGGCACGGCTGGCCGTCGTATCGCGGCTCGTCCCCCCTTCGCCCCTCGCCCCTCCCCCGGCCTGCCAGGCTTGGGCCAGCTCGGGCGACCGGCGTGCTGCCCTGTCGTGTCCAGTTCCCGTCCCGCGTCTTAGTTTCCGTGCGGGCGGCGGGTGCGACTGGCAGATTGACGGGAGATAAGCTTGTTTTGGGCCGTGAGGGCGAGGGTCGATGAGGGCGGATCTTGGAAGCGGCGCGGACGAGGGCCAGAGGCAGGGCAGCAGGGCAGCAGGGCAGGGAGACTGGGAGTCACAGCAGAGAACGCGGCGCGCGTTGCTGTTTCTGGTTCCAAGGTCGGCGCCCGCACCGCGCCAGTGGGCGGATGGGTGGGGCCATTCCAGATCGACACGCTGATCGCATCAAAACCAGCCAGCCAGCCAGCCAGCCCAGGCAAGCCAGGCTGCGAGGCTGCACGGCATTCATCGACGACAAAGGGCTGGCGATGGGCTGATGCTGCAGATCTGCTCATTCTGACCTGTCTGCCTGCGGTGGCCTGCGTTGGTCGCACACACGCACGCACTGACTGATGTGGTAGGCCATCGTGTTGAGCGCGTACGTACTACAGAGGCATGTATGTACCTAAAGGTAGTATGTATGGTCCGCCACACTACGGGCGCACCGTTTCGGGGCTGGCTGGAGGTTACGCGTACAGCTGGTTACTGCCTTCCAAGGTTGGTAGGCACATCTGTATGTTAACCACATGGGCAGGAAGGTGGCAGGTCGACTAGCAGTGGGTGAGTGGGCTGAGGCTGGCAGGAAGAGTACCGAGTACCGAGTACCGGCAAAGTAGCGTGTGCGGACGGGTTCGAGACGTACTGTGGTACACGCCAAAGGGCGTCGCCTTGTGGCGGTGGGTGGAAGCCCTCTAGAATGCTTCGGCGGCTTCGACGGCTTCGACGGCTTCGACGGCTTCGACGGCTTCGACGGCTTCGACGGCTTCGACGGCTTCGATGGCCTCCAGCGAGCCTTGGGGCTGACGTTCTCGAAGGCCGGTGGAAGCCAGCCAGCCCAGCCAACGCACCGGAGTGGCCCCTTTCGCGTTATTTCCAGCCGCAGATCACTGGTGGGGCCCGGCACAAGCTCCACTGAGCCCACGCAGAATGGTTGCAGCCCTCTTCCAAGGTTTCCAAGGGACCCACGCAGCCGACCCCTTCCCCTCCGCCCATTTGCTGCTTCATTTGCGCCCATCCATTTCGCCCAGCCGCGCGACACACCCAAGACACGCTCCCACGCACCGAACCCTGCCCAGCCTGGCACCTGGCCCTGCAACCCTACCAAGCCTGCAGCCTGCAGCCTGCGACCCCTGCGACCCTTGCGACCCCTGCAACCCCTGCGACCCTTGCGACCCTTGCGACCCTTCGACCCTTCCAACCCTTCCAACCCTTCCAACCCTTCCAACCCTTCGATCCTCGCCCACCCACCTGCCCAGCCAGCCCACCACCACCACCACCTCCTCCTCCTCCCAACACCACCACGCTGATGCGCAGTACGGAGTACAGTACTACTGTGCCACCCACTGACCCACTGACCCATCCACCCATCCACCTCTGCTGCTACTCCTGCAGACACTCCTCATGACGATCACGACGACGCCTCAGGTGTGTGGGTGGGTGTGTGTGTGTGTGTGTATGCCTGTCAAGTCTGTCTGTCAAGCCTGTGTGCCCGTGTGCTCGAGTGCCCGTGTGCCCGTGTGTGGGCGTCAAAGAGGTGTATGATGCTCCGGCAGCCCAGCTAGCCTGACCCCGTCCGACGCCCCGGCGCCCGCCCTGACGTCTGGCGTCGCCTCCCAGAAGGCCACCATGTCTGCCAGGCTGCCAGGACAAAGAGGACAAAGAGGACAACCCCTCAGACCCGACGTCAGCAGCGAGCCCATCTGCCGTTTTTGCCTCTATCATGTGCGCCGTGACCCCTCACGCCTTTGTCTGGCTGTGGAACCACTCCCCGGGGCAGCACCACACGGCCCTACACAATATCTAGTGTAGCGCGGCATGTACGATGTAAATCTGGTAACCATGTACAACACACAATGGGGTCATGCTTAGTTGGTGGGTAGCTGGCTAGCTGCGCATGGCGGGCAGACTCGAGCCGGGGGGGGGGCGGGCAAAAAGAGAGAGGCTGGGAGGCAGATACTGGCAAGACGGGTCGGCATCTGCTACATACCACTGTACATCAGATATTGTGGAAATATCCGTATTCCAATGGCGTTGCATGCAGAGGTGTGATGAATGAACGGACGGACGGACAGCGCGCTTGCAATCTACAGCAGGTACGTGTGTGGTTCTTGGTAAAACTGGCAGACTGGCAGAGTCTGTCTGGCTGTCTGGCCGCACCAAGGAAGACCATTCAGGGCGTGTCCTGGCATATGCTTTGCCCCCTTTCCTCTTGCAAAAGTTCAACCGGCATTCGAGCCTTTTGACTTTGGCACTAAACAGGGAACATGTAGAAGGCATCTCCGCTGCGGTTCGTGTGCGCCGAAGGGATGATGTCTGCCTGCCTGCATGCGCAACTTGTTGATAGAATTCCCCTGCCTTTCCGAATGGTGAGATGACGGCATAATTTTTTTTTTGTCTTTTGTTTTTTTGTTTTTGTTCTGGCCTTGCTCTGCGCTGGCTTGCTTGCTTTTGAATTTTCGAGGGCTCGATGACGAGGATGAGGATGGCGGCGAGGCCGGGCCCAAGGGCGCCCGGCCATTACAAACTTGAAACATAAAACGGGGGCCAGGAAGCCCCATCTGCCGCGCCTTATCTCAGCTTGCGTGTGGCTAATCCACTCAGCACTGTCCTGCGAACAACAACAACAACAACACATGTGCAGCGACGCATGAGGCAGTGTGCCAGCCAGGTGGTGCCTGGGGAGGGTATCCACACTGTCCATTCACAGACTCACAGTACATTGCAGTACCTGCCGCGTGCTGCTGGGCCCCAGGTGGCTTGACCAGGGGCTGTCAACGTACCCAGAGGCTAGGGATTATCAATCGCATACCAACCAGACAGCCAAAGCGCCAGGGCGCCAGGGCGCCAGAGCGCCAGAGCTCCAGAGCGCCAGAGCGCCAGACTGACCGGTTTGGGCTTACGGGGTACTCGGTGTCCAGGCCAGGCCCAGGGCTGCCTCTCGGGTACAAGACTATCAGACTGCCTAGGTATCTATCAATCAGCATGCATTCCTCTCTTTGGCTGGACAAACCACCACCCGTCACCCAGACTACAACGCATATCTTGGGCCACGCCCGGGCGCCCCGTCGAGGTCTTTTCCGTACCGTCTACAACTTGAATGTACTGTACCCCCCGTATGTGTGCGGTCGTGTGGCGCCAGTCTCCGTCAACGCACAAAGAGAAGGTGTGCGTGCGACGTAGCCCAGGCGAGAAGGACATTCCTAGAGTTCCTTTGTCCTCGCCTTCTCTCCCTTCCCCTCTCCCTCCCTCTCGCTCTCTCGCACAGAGGCTGAGCCGGGCAAGACAGTAGTGGTAGCTGATGGCTCCAGTCTGTGTCGACAGTACCGAGTACCAGCTGGCAGGTAGACAGCTAGCAGCAGACATATGACCGGGGCGAGCAAGCCCACAGCACGCGATCCACGGCCGAGCTCTCGGCTGTCGACCTCGGCCGTGCTAGGGCGGTACTGTGGTACAAGACCGACCTGCAGAGCCCACGCCAAAACATCAAGGCATCCCGGCATCTTCTTCATCTGTGATGGACCCCTGTTCCCGTACGTCTCTCCCGAGGCCTTTTTTTTCCCTCTCTCGCCCTCTTCACCTTTGCTCCTCGAATTGACGAGCAAAGAAGCAAAAGGGCCCAGGCCATGCCCTTGCCCCATGCCCTTGCCCCATGCCCTTGCCCTTGCCCATGCCCTTGTCCCCTCTCCACCCCCAAGCTCGCCGCCCTCCTGCCCATCATCCCGTGGCACCTGCCGTTGCCTGTCCTCTCGACTCGCCTGCACCACCCGCACCAGCCCAGCAGTTGTACTCCGTACCACAGTACTGTACAACTAATAACTGCTGCTGCAGAGCAGTATCCCATCTGGGCTGTCTGGCTGCGCACTTGCACGCACTTGCACTCGCACTTGCACTCGCACTTGCACTCGCACTGGCATTTGGTATTTGGCACTGGCGCTGGGCTTCTTTCTCATTCGGACTCGCTCGACGCTGCGCCAGCAGTAGCAGCAGTAGCAGCAGCGGCAGCAGACTTGCTTTGCGACCTTCCTATTCCTCCCCAATTAACCTAGACCTGCCCTGTCCCGTCCTGTTCCTGCCCCCGACCCCGACTTGACCTCGACCTACCTGCCTGCCTGGGCTCTCTTGCTTGGCTTCGAATGGCTCAACCCGATGTGCCCTCCTGGCCTTGACAGTCTGGAATCCAATCCATAGACCAGCCTACCCATACCATCCGTCAAACCACCCCCCCCATCCATCCATCCATCCATCATCCATCCCATCCATCCCACTCTATTCCCCCATTCCCGAACACCATCTCTCCTTCACTTGCGCCCTCTTGTCGCAATTCAGTTCTGTCCCTCACTTTTGTGGTACCGCACCACCCGCACCTCACCAATTGTCTGCCTCGGCCTCGGCCTCGACCTCGACCTCGACCTGGATCTTGACCTCGACAATTGACCCTGACTCTGGCCCGTATCGTAAAATCAACCATCCCGACCCAGCGCCGGGACAACCGCTTGCTAGTCCCCAGCAGCGCAGCGCGGCACCCACTGGGCACACGACACACCTGCACCCTCCCTCTCGCTCTCTAACTCTCCCAAATTCCCATCTCTGACGTGCTCGCCCGCCATCCTGAATTGATACTGCATTGTGTCCTGGTCCTTGGTTGGAGCCTCGGGACACTCACGGCGCGCGACATAGGGAACGAACCAGGGACGGACTATTCGCCCAATCCATTCCCCTAATCTGCCTACCAAGTCGCAATTCTCCTGAATCCACTCTATATCCGGTCCGAACCCACACGGCGTACGGCGACCTTCCTTGACCATTACTCGACCGTCCGTCCGCCTCAATTCGCCACGGTGCTCACACTCTCATTCGCATTCTATGTCACCAGCACCAGTGACCTCTCACTCCGCCGATATTTGCGACAGCCCCTGCCGCCCTTCCCCCACCTGGTCTCCCCCGGCTGCCTCGACCTGGTCTTTCAATGCCTCGTTGAGCCTCACACTGCCATACTCACACCTCGCCAATCTAACCTTGGCAGCGCATCCCCCCCGCGACTTATAGCACTCCTGAGCCCGCCCACCGCCCACTTGCGAACGCCCATTCGGACCAGCGATCACAAAAATTTGGTGCCTGGGCCGACAATCGCCCGCGGCGTTGGGAGACCACCGCCCAAGTTGGATTGTCGGTTGTTGGGAATTCCAGCCCCAGAAGCCGTCCCGGGCTATTCGCACCACGCCCAAGCTGCCTGGCCCAGCTTAATTTGTCCCCGGCAAAGGCGCACCAGTCGCGAGACTGGCCGCGGTCTTTGGAATCAACGCCATGGACAGGATCGGCGCCAACATCATTTACGTCGATCGCAGGGCGGTTGAGGGTCACACTGCCGACTTTGGCGTCGATGATAGCGTCGCAAGTAATGGCGCCCCCGCTGCGGAGACAGGACACTTGGAACAGAGTATCAGAGCGCTGAAAGATGCATTTGGTGGTGGTATGTATTGGGCATCCCTGACTCCAAGCCCTCGTCCTTTACTTTTTTTTGTTAACTCGCGCGCAGTCCAAGTTTGCTCGAGTAGCGCGTCCTGTCTCTCTGCCCTGACGGCTCTCCACCACACCTCCACGATCGACCAAATACCCACGATATTACTGATAGACACCCCTTACGAAGAGAACGTGACAGATCGAACTTCCCGGTCCAGATCCCCCTCGCCTCATTCGCGGCCAGTGCAAGGAAGCGAGCCCGAGGCGCAGATATCCGATGTCGAGCTTTACGGGTTGCGGTTATTGCAGAGGGTCGTCGCGGAGGCAGACATGTTGAAGCTGTTGAAACTCGTGGTGCCGATACCCGTCATTTCTCCGCCTGCGATGCCTGAGGCTGGTCCTGCAACTGCGCCGGGCTTGGCGGAGACTGGCGCCATTGGCGAAACCATTGTGTCGAATTACTCCAAATCCAGGCCGGAATTGGTCCGCAGGTGTCTCGAGTACGGAGCAGTCGATGTTATGACCAGCCCTCTTCAGAGGCAGAACATTGAGAGTATCGAGGTTCACGCGTACAAGGCTCGTCAAGCCGCAGCAAGGGAACGAGAGGCAGTCCTGCAGGTCCGAAAGAACAGAAAACGTTCATGGGTTGGCGTCGACACCGGGGGGAAGCCGTTCGCCTATCTTCGTGAAGCGATGGTGTCGGGTCTCATGAAGGGAATCTGCAGGTTTGACGACGAGGATGAAACTACTCTTGGAACGTTTAGGATATCAGTCCCAGCAGAAAGACAGGCGAGAATCGCTCAAGCAGTCGGCCAGTGGCACTTTTGCGCCCACGACTTCTCCGATGACGAGCTTGTTGTGGCCGCCTCACTCATGTTCAGTCACGCCCTCTCCATGCCAGAATTGGAACAATGGAGAATCCCGCCAGGTAGGTTGCGGAACTGGCTTACAGCCCCCAGGTCTCGTTGTCGACGCAGGAGAGGAGACAAGGCAAAAAGAAAAGAAAGGAAAAGACTAGCTGTGCTAATGTGCTGACCTCTCTTTCCCCCCCACAGACCAACTCACTCAATTCGTCATCGCCTGCCGAGCTGCCTACAATAGCTTTGTGCCGTACCACAATTTCCGTCACGTCGTTGACGTTCTACAAGCCACTTTTAGCTTCCTTCTCCACACGAACATAATCATGCCTTACATCTACTGCGACGCCTCGGACGATGCGCCGAAATCCCCCGTGGAAGCTCTCATGACGCCGTTCGAGGCTCTAACGTTACTCATCACGGCCATCGGACATGATGTGGGACATCCGGGCGTGAACAACGGCTTCCTCGTTACACTGAATGCCCCCCTCGCACAGCTTTACAACGATCGCTCGGTCTTGGAGTCTTTTCATTGCGCCGCATTCTCACAAATTCTAAGGAGGCATTGGCCCTCCGCCTTCGAAGACAGGAAAATGCGGGGCCTCATGATCAGCTCCATCTTGGCAACTGACATGGGCCTGCACTTTGACTACATGAAGAGGCTGGCAGACTTGAAAGAAAAGCTGGCAGCCAACGACTCCACCGAAGGATGGAACAGCCGCATGGTCGAGGAGCAGAAAGGCCTCGCGTGTGCTCTGCTGATCAAATGCGCGGATATTTGCAATGTGGTGAGCATTTGGTGTACCAGAAACGTCTTAAACTCCTCTAACCGTCTTCGATGTAGGCGCGCAGTCATGAGACGGCATTGCAATGGATGGATATTCTGGCCGACGAATTTGCTCGACAACGGTCTATGGAGAAGGAACTCGAGATCCAGACTTCGCTGATGGCGCCCCCTCTGACAGAACGAGCTTCTCAGTTCAGATCTCAGCTCAACTTTATGAACATGTTCGCCATACCTCTCTTCCAAGGAGTGGCCGATGTGCTGCCAAACATGAGATACTGCGTCGCCGAGCTCACGACCAACTCGGAGCTCTTCCAACAAAAAATCGCAGACGCACTCGCAAAAACGCACCCAGACCGCCGGACTAGCCGCCAGGACCCGCCTCAACACATCAGCAGCACGAAACCAAACTCTGCGTCTGTTCCGGCCGTCGAGCAGATCGCCAGGTCGGCAAGCACTCCGGAACTGAGAGGCGGCTATCAGGCGATAAATGGCATGGGGCCGCATTTCGAACCTGTGAAGGAGCTCGCTATCGGCGATGAAGGACCTATCGGGCCGGAACGGCAACGCTGTAGCGAGACAACGACCGAGGGCAGTAGTTTTGCCCAAGTCAATGGCGACTATGCCAGCAGCGCAACGACCGGCAAGATGCCCCTCTCGCCCAGCACGAAAGGAACGAGCGTTGTTAGCCAGGAATCCATCGAGCGGCCCAAAAGTAACCCGATTCCAATGATTTCAGCACCAGACTCTGCAAAAAGCATGACCGAGCCAAAAATGGATGGTCAGCCAATTTTCGAAGTGGAGACAGCAAGCACTCTCAAGTCAACCGACGACAGATCGGTCAAGAAGAGGCCAAGTCGCTTCCGCATGAACGCTTTCCAGTTCTTTAGGAGACACAAATCGCCTGGTCCTGCTGCAGAAACACCCTGAACATATCACGGCCTGCGAATTGTTTTCTCCCATACTAATCGGCCGAATCTTTTCTCAACACGTTTTCCAGATGGATGACGAAGAGGAATTATCGGCCGTTTCCTAAGGTGGTTGGCGATCTCACGAGCGAACAATGATGCGACTGGCCCTTGCATAAGCAGCAAGTACCAGAGCAGGATGTCCGTGCTCGGTGATCGACCTGTTCGCCCACGTGCGAGTAATGCGACAATGGAGCGCAAGACTGGTTGGAGACCGGAGGGCATAATGAAGACGCCCTCCATTTTGGACCACTATGAGATAACATAAATCGTCTCATCAACACTCCATCATCCAGCCACCCAAGTCATTCACATACTAGAAGATCAAGGACATGCGAGCCGTCACTCCAGTGTCCAACCGCGCTTCACGGCACGCAGACCACGTGACGCATTTTTGAGTCGCGCACTCCGCACTGGGTCCCGACTCGGTCAGGCCGATATCAATCGGCCTGACCGGGCCAAGAACCATCGGCAGGCGCTGTTTTTTGTTCATACTTTGTTTTTTTTTGGTTGGTTTTTTTTTTTTTTTTTGGTTATGATGGCAGCGCATCGCCTGCCATCGCCTATTTTAATTCTTCTCCTACCTATTTGACTCCACATTCCGGGCGAAACGGTACCTGGCTAGGAGAAGCCCTCTGGCATGGCACAAGAGACGTCCCGCGGGAATCGCTGGAGCCACCTTGCCGTGCAGCGAATTAGATCACGTCGCCTCCACTTGGATGTGTCATGACAGACATGGCCCGCGAGCCAAAGTGGGAGGAATGCTAGCATAGACGTGGTCGAAGAGAAGGTTCAAGTTATAAAGAGCAGGGAGGAGACGTGAATGAAGGGTTGGTGTGTTGGTGAACCCGCGTCAAGACCTAGTGTCTTATGTATAAATGTATGACAAAAGATATCCCATTAAGCAGTTTTGCTTCCGTTAAATCTCGATTCGCGTCGTCGGTGTTGGACTGTGACAATAGAGACTGTGATGAGGGCCGATGTCAGCTAGGTGCGACCTTGTTGCAGCGTCTCCTACCTAGGTAGGCCACAAGCTTGAGTGAAGTCAAATCGAGGTCTTCTGAGGACGGGGATTCGCAGCTTACGCGTCACCGCGAATACCTTCCGCTTGCTCGCTTACAGTGTTGTTACGAAAAGAACAGCTAAAGGACGAAATTTAGTCCATATTTATCCTAGGAAGATCATTTCGGGCGAGCTTGAGCTACCTTCGAACTCTTCGGCGCAGGCCTGAGTCTCGAATGCCCCCCGACAAGGTCGCATGCGGCTTCATCGAGGCTGTGGTGGTCGCTTGCGCAACTTTTCAGGCACGCCCCAAGTTCCTTTCAGTTGAGCTCCCGTCCTCCCACCTTTGTCTTCCCGTCTAGCAGAAATGGTCCCAGATCTGCCTCCAGCTAATCATGATCCTGGGCATCTCCTTCCAGAGATCACCTCTCTGCAGCCTACTCCTGCTCTCCTCCTCTCTATCACATTTCACTATTCCATCTCCATCCGTTCTTTGATCTGGGCAGTCACAATGCGGGAAGCAAATCAAAAGATTTCAGGTTACCTCTGGATTGTCTTCACGGTTTAATTGCCGCCACGTTGGCGAACCCCCGCATGTTTCTCGCCGGATTCCGCCACTCCTCCTCTGCCTGGTGTTTGCCCGTGAAAAGGGCCCCAGCTCATTTCAATACATCTATACAGATCGATTGTCTACACAACTTCCCCCATTGGCCTCCCTGTTGGCGAAGCAGGACTTCAAGGACAGCCTCGGTTACATATGTAGGTTGGGTCGACTTGTGCCCTTGACATGCTTTGGAAAATGACTTAAGTATCTGGCCTTGACTTTGAAACTGTCCGGATGTCTTTCCTGTGTTATCAGCTTGACTGCCCTCTCAAGAGTATTGCGGTGGAACTAGCCACGGCCACCTACTCTTATCGCTCCATTATCTTTCAAAACAGTAGGCATGTTTGCACAGAAGAGGCTTTACTTTCCAGTATCACGACGTGAAGTCCAGTCATCACGCAAGGGCTAGATCGCGTGCTTATGTTTAGCTTTTAAAGGGTAGTGGGATAGCAATTAAGATGAGGGTTCCAAGCTTGGTGTGGTATTGGAAAAGTCCTCTGTTAGTAGATCAAGAAAAAAAGGACTCCTAAATTACACATTTATATTTCTTGAATCAAAGGATGGCACACGCAAGGTGTTCGAGCTACTTGTCTAGACAAGGCGTCTGTGAGCATGGCGTTCAGATGGTCTGACTAAATGATAGGTCAACGCTGATAGGGCGTCGAGCTCTGTGACATGCGGATCCTTAATCACAAATACTTGGCAGTTGTTAGCGGAGACGGCGACGTTAGTCACCAGTGCAACAGACGAGACTGAAATTGACACTGTCCCACCTGAATGCAGAATAATAAGCACCCGCACTTATTATCTGACACCTTGTTCCAGGCCGGCCGAAACCTGCTGCCTGAGATAATGAGACTTGGCTCCAGAAGATCAAGTTCAACCTGCGACCAGCAGTCGGCAACATATGAAGACAGACGTCTCTAAGCGCCAGATGAAATTGATTGAAACCCCTCGTGAACAGCTAAACGGCACGGTAAGTCCCGTATCATCCCACGCGATGTAAACTTCTATAGACAGAGACGAAGCAGGCGTTTGAACCTGTTCCAGAAGTTTTACTTTGCCCGTGACACTTAGGAGTGTTATTGTGAGACCTCCTTGCCTGGAGGACCAAGTAGTATCAACTAACTAAGTACGCGACATGAATCAACACACAAACCTTGGTTTGGTTTGTGCTGCTGCATAGTTATTCATGAAGATCGAGGCCACCTTGGGAATACAAATACCCGGATCGGTGGCCCATATTGTAGAGCGCGTTAACATATCAAGTTCATGATTGACACTGCCACGTGTTCGGGTTGGATTAGTGAGAATCGACTGCATTGCTCCTATGCTGGCAGTCCAAGCACATCCTTGGGGAACAAAATAGGAAAACACAAGACTCTTCAGGATCGCATGATCTTTGTTTCTCCAAGTGTCACATTTATGGTACTTAGAAAAGACTCGCACGGTGGACCCGTCATGGGAGGGTGTGCTTCCGCAAATGCTCTATCCTTACTGAGTGAGTAACGCAGATGACCTTTTACAAGAGAAGCTCCAGTCAAAAAAGGGCGTTTCCAGGATGATTGCTTGTACCACGTAATTCAGGCGCAGTTGATAAACAGCCTACATGAGATAAGAACTCTGTGCATGGAGGACCGAGACCTTCATTCTGATAACGCTAACACAGGAGGGAACTCCCCCAGACTTTATTGTAGTACATGGTTCTGCAAATTGATTCGACAACCCAACAATCTGACAACGAGACTAGTCCATCTCTCAATTTAGGTCATTTGGCCGATGCTTTACGCATACCATTCACCTCCAATCCACCGGTTGTAGAAATCCAGACCAGCGGCGGGCTGATCGTATGGAACCATGTGTCCGGCCCCGTATATCTGCATGAAGGTGAAGTTTCCGGAAGACTTGACCTTGCCGTACTCCTTGCCGTCAGCCTTGAGAGGCGAGAGCTTGGTGCTCTTGAAGTCCTTGTGGCCGGGCCAGTCCAGCTCGTTGGACCAAGCCTGGTTACCGAGCCAGTTGCAGATGAAGTCTGCATCGCCGGCGTAGATGAGGACAGGGATCTGCTCAAGGATGCCAGGGACGAGTAGGTGGAAAGGTTGCATCCAGTCCTAGTGTGTATTAGCTACCTGCTACGCAACTCCAAGTTGTGTCTGAGCCGGAACACAGAGAGAAGACCTGTACTTACACCCTTGAAAAGGAAGTTACGGTTGATGTCAAAGTTACAGCTATCGTAGCTATCGACAGTCTCAACGCCGAGGGCATCCATGACATCCTTCTTGTTGAGGTACTTGTCGATGTTTCCGAGGCCAGGGTAGCAGAGCGAGCCGCCCTCACACGGAATGCGCACGTCGTAGGGGTTCTGGCCCGATCGCTGGTAAGTGCCGAGGATGTTGTTGTTACAGTAGATGGAGGCAGGGACACAGCTGAACCAGCTCTTGCTCTCGTAGCACGAGCTGATCATGGACTGGCAGCGAGGCAGGGCATTATCCATGGACTGGCACTCGCTCTCGCTGAGAACAGCGTCGTAGCCACCCTCACCGCAGGCCATGGGCCGGTAGTAGGGGTATTGAGTGTAGGGGTCCGTCAGACCGTTGCCAATCAGCACAGACTTGAGGTTAATGTTGCGGTCCTTGTGGGACAGGATTTCGGAGGCAAACACGGGAATGTAGTGACCAGCGTACGACTCCTGGTGTGTGTTAGTCGCCCGTCACAGAATCTGGGACGGTGTGCTCAGGAGGTCCCCAAGACAAACAGATGGTGCGCCGTAGGGGAAGGTGGAGGAAGGGAACATATACTAACCCCTGCAATGTGGAAATCTTGCTTGGCATACTCTGGGAATTGTTGGAAGAACAGAGTCAACAGAGCGTAGACATCTTTGCCGGCGGCCGTAGTATCGCTGACCGAGTCTTTGCTGTAAGAATAACCGACGTTGACGGGCTGGTCAAGGAAGATGACGGAGGCGTTGGCGTTCCACGAGTGTTTGTTGTAGACGACCTTGACGTTGTCATCGATGGACGAAGGGCCCAGCTCGAAGAACAGGCCGGTGAGGGACGAGCAGCCTGGGCCGCCATTGAGCCAGAGGACGACAGGGTCCTTCTTGGGGTCATTGCGCGACTCGAAGAACCCTTTGTAGACGGGTTAGCCCACACGGCGGGATACTGGTGGTGGAGAAACGGCGGGGTACATACAGTAGAAGAGATGCTTGTCGTTGGCCTCGTCGTCCAGATATCCCGAGTACTGCTTGACGGTATCGACCCCAAGCTTGGATGGGTCGACGGCCTTGGTGCGCAGGTTGTAGGCCTCGAGGTCTCCGCCGACCAGCCTGTGGCTCTCGGCATCGGCGGTGCTCTCGGTCCACAGGGCCTGGACGTCGGCACCCTTTGTGACCCAGTCCCACTTGGAGTCGGGCTTGCGCTGGGCCTTCTTGGGCTTGGTCAGGGGAGGTAGGGCGTCGAATGCGCCGGGAACGAGCATCTCGACCTCTTCCCAAAGGGCCTTGGCGTCCGAGGTCATGGCGCCGAAGACGGCCTCGTACTCCTTGACCTTGTCAGCCCAGGAAGAGGCGACCTGCTTGACCTTATCAGCAGCATCGCCGATGACATGCTGGGCGTCCTGCTGGAAGTTTATGGCGGAGGCGGCGCCAACCAGCAGCGCTGAGGTGGCGATCCTCATCTTGAAGGTGTTGGGGGTGGTGACGACGACACAGGACTAGATAGCTCGGCAGATAGAGAGCACTTGAGATAAGCTGCGGTACTGCGTGGGCCGTCTGACGAGAGGCCCGAGGTGAGATTATAAGGACGGTTGAACCAGATAGGTTGAAGGGAAAGCTATGATGGTTGCTAGTGATGATGAAGTAGGAGGAAGACGGAAGGGTTAAGAAGGGGCTGGACGGAGGATGGGTTGTGGAGGGCGACAGACGGGGGGAGGTAGGTAGGTCATGAAGCTCTGGCGAAGCTGTTGGCATGGGTACCTGCCACTGCCAGTGTGCTCCGTACGTGCCTAGCGTACTGTAGTGCAGGTACCACATAGTAGAGGTAGGCTGGCTGGCACCTTACGCTGTTTGGGTGGCCTGGTGGGTACCTAGGCACGTACCTGGGTACTCTGGGCACCTCTATGTCCTCGGGCATGATGAAACCGGATAGCGTTTGTACGCAGCAGGACGGTATTGTTAGTTTGAACTACCTCGTAGGTACCTACCTAAGTACCTAGCAGCGGAGGTGGGCAGGTACCTGCGATTGTGCCTGCCCACCACTAGCTGCCTGCCTGCCAACCTGCCAACATGAGGATGGTCGTGTGACAGTCTTAGTGGTTAATCCCGCACCACCGGGGCCCCACGCGGATCCTCTACTCTGATACACCTTGTCGTGGCTGATAAGCGTCATCGAGCGCTTGCCCCTGGCCCCTCGGGCCTGGTCTGCCTGTTGGTTGTTACCAAGACAGACACCGAGCATATTGTCACCGTGGCAGCGTGGCTGACTTCCAGGTGAGGCCGACTGTTGACCGTATTATACGGAGTACTCTATATATGCCGGGCCGGTGAGATTATCCCATAAGGATTGATCCCACGCGAGCCTGTTTCACTGCCGTCCCTCTCGGCCTCTGTCTCATTCCACCCACATCTCTGGGAACAACATGAGCTGTGCGCAGGAGACCAGCTAGGTCAGCTATATTTGATCTTGATCTAGTTGACTGACTTCTTCTGTCCGATCTGGCTGGGTTGAATGCATATGACGACGACCCACGCGGCCGTTATGCAGCCAATAATATCCGGTCGATTTACATGTTTGCAAGAGCGCCGTCTCCTCGAATTCCTGTGATCTGACTTTGAAACAACATCCACATAACATACACATCTATTCTGAACTTGACAACAGACATACAGTCTGAGTCCATCCCTGGTGAGCGCGAGAGCGAGAGAGAGAGAGACAGGGTTGAAGCAGCCCCAGCTGGTACCGTACTCCGTCCTATGCCGCAGAAGCCCGACCAGTTAGTTATTATTAGTCATTCGCCGGGGGTGAATCAGAATGAGCCAGGCAAGCACAGGCAAGCATCCCACCCCACCTGCGAATTATTATTATCGATACCGGGAAAAGTGCAGCTGTCCCGCCATGACATAGGCACCACTTTAATAATTAATAAACAACCAAACACGCCCACACGCCTTGTCCACCTCACCCTGCCGTCAGCAACAACGGGGGCCTCCTATAGAAAGGCCTCAACATAACATCACCTAGACTTGGCCTTCCAGCCACCGCGGGGCACCAACCAGACTACCTCGCAAACAGTCCACCACTCCTCCCCTTCTTCTTCCTCGTCCTCGTCCTCGTCCTCGTCCTCCTCCACCATTACAGCCGCCACAATGTCTCGACAAATAAACCAGCCGTCGAACCAGATCAAGCTCACAAATGTCTCCCTAGTGCGCCTCAAGAAGGGCAAGAAGCGCTTCGAGATCGCCTGCTACAAAAACAAGGTCCTGGAGTGGCGCTCGGGCATCGAGACGGACCTCGACAACGTCCTGCAGATCCCAAACGTCTTTCTGAACGTCTCAAAGGGCCAGACCGCCCCCTCCGCCGACCTGGCCAAGGCCTTCGGCAAGAACATGACCACCGACTCCATAGTGCTCGAGATCCTCAACAAGGGCGAGCTGCAGGTCGGCGAGCGCGAGCGGGCCGCCCAGCTCGAGCGCGTGCACAACGAGGTCGTGGGCATAGTCGCGTCGAAACTGGTGGACCCGCGGACGAAGAGGGTCTACACCACGGGCATGATCGAGAAGGCGCTCGACATGCTGAGCCAGCAGGCCCACCAGACCCAGGGGGGACACGGCGCCGCCGACAAGGACTCCAAGTCTGCTTCTGCCTCTGCCAGCGGCAGCGCCACGCCGGCTGCGGCAGAAAACGGGTCGAAGCCCACGGTGTCTGCGGCTGCTGCCGCCGCCGCCGCACAAGCCGCACAAGCCGCATCTTCGTCGTCGTCGTCATCATCAAAAGAGCACGTATGGACGGGCGTCACGACCACCAAGAGCGCCAAGAGTCAGGCCCTCGAGGCGATCAAGGCCCTCATCGCCAAGCAGCCAATCCCGGTCGCTAGGGCGAGGATGAGGCTGAGGATCACCTGCTCGACGGGCGTGCTGAAGCAGGCTGTGAAGGCACCCGCCGCCGAGAAGGGTGGCAAGGACAAGAAGGGAGGCAAGGGAGGAGCGGCAGACGATGACGACGAGGAAGGCGAGAAGAAGGCGCCGGGCACTGTCAAGGACAAGATACTGAGCTACGTGGAACAGATCGAGAACCAGGATGTCGTGGGCTCCGAGTGGGAGGTGGTGGCTTTCGTCGAGCCAGGCGCGTACAAGGGGCTTTCGGACTTCATAGCTAACGAGACAAAAGGTCAGGGACGGGTGGAGGTCTTAGACACAGCTGTCACCACTGAGGACGACTGAATTCATATCGAGTGAGCTGGTCAATAGAGGCTCTCATAAGCACAACAGTCCATGCTCATGTCGGAGTGCGTGCGCGCAAGCCAGCTGAGAGGCCTTCAGCCCATGGAAATCATCCTGGTTTGGTATGCTGGATCAGTTTCGCAGATGCAGTAAAGCAAGTCACAATATGAAGTCATCACTCCCAGTCCTTGTCATAACGCAAATGCCTTTCAATTTCCATTCCTTTTTGTTTGGGTGGGATACCGGTTTCATTCTGTCGACAGGCCCAGTACGGGCGGCGACGCCCTTCTCATAAACAAGACGATGCAAGCCATAACACGCCTGATACCATCCATGGTGTAGCAGCAATGCAACCGTGTAGAAAAAACCGTGTGTATCCCGTCCAACCATCCGAGACGCCAACAACCGCCTTCTTCTTTAACCACCCTTCTTCTTGGAGACACCGACGGTCCGGCCACGGCGACCAGTGGTCTTGGTGTGTTGGCCACGGACGCGGAGGCCCCAGTAGTGTCGCAGACCACGGTGGGCCCGGATCTTCTTCAGGCGCTCGAGGTCATCACGGAGCTTGGAGTCGACACCGTTGGCAAGAACCTGCGAGTCCTTGCCGTCGACAATGTCGCGCTGTCGGTTAAGGAACCCTAAAGTGCCACAAAAGTCAGCCCGATGATCCTTCGTCTCGTCCTCCGCGCTTCGGGTGTGGCATGTCATGCTCTCGCGTGCGTCCAGAATCCGGGGTGCACCTTGAATCCGGGGAGTGAGTTCGACGTACAGGAGGGAATCTTGTACTGGGTGGGGTTCTGGATGATGGTGACGATACGCTCGAGCTCCTCGGCTGTGTAGATAGCGTTAGCAATCTTAGGTTGACTCCATTTTGGGGGGGCCTCGGGGCCTCGCCGGGGGTGGGGGGGTTCGTACAGGTGAGCTCTCCGGCGCGCTTGTTCAGGTCGACATCGGCCTTCTTGCAGACGAGGTTGGAGTATCGGCGACCGACACCCTTGATCTTGGTGAGGGCGTAGACAACCTTTTGCTTGCCGTCGACGTTGGTGTTCAGCAGACGCAAGATGAACTGAAAGTTCGACTGGACGCACACAAAAGACGTCAGTATCTCGACTCAGATTGACTTCCGTGCCATCGCCCAAGTGGGACGAAGGGGGTCGCATTTACCTTTTCGCCCGACACGAGAGACATGCTGGGCAACCTGGTTGATGGTGTTGCGCCCAAATGTCGTTGTCCTGGATCACTTGGAAGAGGTCGAACGTTTGGGGAGAATTTCTGGTGGGCTTTTGGAATCCAATTAGCCGGTCGGAACACGTCGGAAAAATTGGTAGGTCCGACTGAAAAGCGGGTCCCTGTGCATTTAGACGGCGCCCCTCAAATACACTTCCCCCAGTGCAAATTGAACTGTCTCACACACCAGCAAGCAACAACCCGCGCCAACACCATCATCGCCCGCGGGACCAACCAGTAGGTCCGTGCACTCTGCTTAGCTACCCAGGCAATCAGCCCAAGTGGCCTCCATGCCTCTCGCGACGTGGGATTGCAGCTTCGTTGCTTCCTCTCTACTATTCCTTAGGCAACTATAGCTTGGAATTAACAGTTCTTCACCGACAGTTTGAGCCTCTTTCGCCCTCAGTCGTGAGGACCGTCTCACATGGGAGGAGAGTATGAGCGCACGGCGCGGTATTTGAGCGTTCTCACAATATTGTCAAAGCTGTCAACATCCTGACAATCTAACCTGCAGAGAATCTGCCCAGTGGGCTTCTCCTCTTCGGCCTCTTATTTAAGTCACCGCTGATTGTTATTCGCAGGTCCGCCCGTCCACACTACAGGGTGACAGTAGATATTTGAATCACCCGAGTCACTTCGCTGTCTGCACCAAAACACTCACTGCTGGATGCAAGAATACAATCAACCCGGACGGAGCCTTGTAATCTGTAATCTAATTTCATTCCTCAGTAAAGCCCAAGTCGCAATGCACCACAGTGAACCATCTAGTGACGTTTGAAACTCTACTCATACTAGTTGGTCTCGTCTGCTGTAAAGTCTATGAGCAACGCCATTTCGCGATGCCGTTGCAAAATACATGCAACCCGAGAAGGTGGGCATATGCAAAAACGGTAGATGGTGTTGCGAACCGATCAAGACAACTCTTGGAACGGGCTGCGGGATCAAACCGAGTGTGTCCAGAAAAAGGCCGACCGCTCAATGTCGACCCTTCCACAAATCCACTGCTGCTTCTGCGTTTCGTTTCGGATGCACGGTTCGTGGGCAGCGCATCTTGGTCGTGCATATTCCTGCGCGACCTCAGTCCCCTTGTCATCTTGAGAATACAGCTCTCCACGCAGGTGCTGATCAGCAATTTAGCATTGCTGTCTCTGTGCTCATCGCCTTGCGTTGCGCAGGCCTGCGCTATGCGAGAACCCCCCCCCCTTTTTGTAGCAAGCCATGCCCAGTGCACTGGTGGCGGGCGGGGTGTATCTATTTCCTCCTCGAGCGCGTTTTTACAGCAGGGACTGGCTCTTCAGCCGTCTCCTTGGCAGAATCCTTCTTTCTGGACCCGCCCTTCTTCCCCTTTGGCGGCGCAGGAGGCGGCTGGTCACTATGAAGGTGGCCCAGCTCCTCGATGGCCGTGGTGTTCTCCCACTGTAAGCAGCGATATTGAGGGGCCGGCTCTGGTGTGACGGCGTTCCTGGTCCTGGTAGTCATCCGTTTGCCTGTCGCCCCGTTCGTCTTCGCCTCCTTCTCCTTCTCCTTCTCCTCTTCAGCAGCCTTTGCTTCCGCGTCGTTGGCTGCCAGGTATGCCTGGCGATTTTCCATGTGTTTGAGGATCCTGTCGCTAAAATTGACGAGTTCCTTCCGCAGTTTCAACTCGTTGAATCCGCGCGGGTCTAACCAGTCGATCAGTTTCTTGACATCTTTTGGGTCATCGATATAGCCCCACTGCCGGGCCGTGAAGACGCTCGTCGGGCCTTCCTCCTTTGCCTTGCGCTCCGGGACCGTCATGTTGAAAATGGCCTGGTACTCTTTCTGCCATTCGGGAGCCAGATCAATGTAGCCCTCGCGCTCGAGATCGTCCGGGCCCTGGATCCAGATGCAGCCATTGGCATAGCCTGCGTCTGCCGTGGAACTGTTTGGCAACCCGCCGTACGGCATCCCGTTGCGCTCGAACCAGTAGTACCGATTCCAGAACCGATCCTTGCCCAGAACCCTTGTTCTTGCGCAGTCGGCTTCTCGGAGGTCGTTGTCAATAACTGCGATTTCTTCTTCGCACTTCTTGATCAGGTCTTCCTTCTTCTGGATCTCCTTCAAGACCTTCACAAACTGTTTTGACTGCTTGGGAACTGCCTTGGCAGCTTCGGCCTCTTTTCTCTTCTCCTCTTCCCTCTCCTTTTGGCGCAGGCGTTCTGCAGCTCGGTCTTGGCCACGCCGGAGGCCACGACCGACACTGCGTGGCGGCTCCTCCTCCGTCTCAGCTGCCTCATTTTCAGCTGGCGTCAGCTCATCGACGTCATCCATCTTGACGTCTCCATTAGCATCAGCCGCCTCGTGTGCTGGTGATGGCGGAAGGTTCTCTGGCAAAAGTATCTTTCGCTCCTCATTCAGAGCCTTGAGCTCCTCGATGCTGGTATCTTCCTGTTAGTCGCACCGTATAGGACGAAAGTCACACGCAAAAAGATACTTACGCCTGCTTCCTCTGGCGTTGCCACTCGATCTTGTCTTTCCTGAAACCCGTCATTTGCTCACTGCAGTCCTCCATGTAGCCGCGGATGGCTTTGGTTTCGGCAGTAAGCAAGCAGATGACCTGCAAAGCTTGGGCACGATAGTTGACGTCCATCGCTGCGTAGTGTTGTCTGATCGTGTCTTGTGTGGCCTCGACATCCCTAGGGACCAGTTGTATGAGCAGATCCTCACATGCAGCCTTTCTCCGCTCCTCCTTTGACAGCTGGTATAGCAGGCCGACCATGATCGCCTCCCAACCACCGTTCTTGAAATCCCTCTTTCTCAGATGATCGATCCAGTCATAGTCAGCCAGGAGCTCCTCAGCACGGTGCTTCGGGGCATTCTCCAACTGCCTCTCCTCTCTTTCCGCAGCGGCAGCTTCTGCCGCCAGCTTATCGGCTTCCAATTTCGCCATGCTACTCCGCGTGGCGCGAGCGGCCGGCTGTGGTGTGGGCTCTCGGCTCTCCTCATCCTCCTCATCCTCATCGTCTTCCTCGTCACTCTCATCGTCTGACTCTAGCTCCGGCAGACGGAAGTTGATCTTGCCTCCGTCAGCCTCCGAGTCCACCAGGACTTTGAGGACGGCACAATGAATCTCATCAAATAACTGAACCTGGGTCTCCTCCGACGCGACCTGCATTGCCTCCAGAAAATCATCAAAAGTGAAGGAATCGAGCTGGAATATTTCGCAGTACACATTGAGGGTATCCCAGGTTTCCAGAAGGGGGCCGACGGACTTCATGAGTATGTTATCGCAGGAAGGCGACGGCTCCTCGACCTCAACAGGCGGGTCGCTGCACAAGTATCGGATAGGAGGCCGGACCAGATGCGTTGGCTCTACCTTGAGATCCTCGATAGGATACTTTGGTGGTGGCGGTGGCGGTGGAGGCTCCGGCTGCGCGTACACGGGGGGAGGGGGAGGAAGCTGGTTGTGCCGGAAGGACAGTGGAAATTGGAAGGGATTGCCCGGAAGTGGTAGGTGGACGAACTGGCCCTGTTCTTGCTTCTTAACAACTTGCCCGTGTTGGCCATGGTGGTTTTGGTTCTTGCCGGCCTTGGGAGGCCTGGCTGCGGGTTTGAGCTCTGGTAATCGGACTGGGCCCTGAGTTTGGAATGAATGGGCCATGCCGGTCGCTTCCGGGGGGTGGGACATCTGGTTGGACAACCTCTTTTGCGACTGGGCCTGTTTGCGCTCTTGGACCTTGGTCTCGTACCGCAGATGTGTCGGGATGCGCGTGTCGATCTTGAACTGAGCTGCAATCGTGTCTTTCACAAGCCAAGGAGCCCCGGTCCACGCATCTCTCGTCACCGTCTTCTTTACAAATGAGCGCAGGACGGATTTGGTAAAGACCTTGCGATCGCGCCAGATATTGTTGTCGTCGACAACCGCTTCATGGTCCTCAGAATCATCCAGGCTGACGAAGTATCTCGAAAAGGGCACAGTGAGTGTGCCATCCGGGAGCATTTTACTGCCGAATCTGGCCTTATCCCTCACAACGCCTGTAAAGCGCTCGCCAGTATGGATGGAGACGGTGACATGCTCGCCGGGGTAGAAATCGCCCTTGAACTCCTCGTAGAGCTTGTCAACCAGGTTGTCGATCCTCGAAATCGTCTGGAACTGCACGCGCCGCAGAATGGGTCCCTTTAGGGGTTCGGGGAAGGCTTGCTCGACTTCCAGTGCGCCAGCGAGCTGGTGGAAATCGGGTCAGCGCATAGCAATTTGGAGTGGGGGGGGGGGGGGTCGGGCTGGAAGAGCATACTTCTGACTCTAGGGCCTCGAAGAAGTTGAGGCCCGAGTGGCCAGTAATTTGGCATATGAAGCGTTTCTGTGGTCTTGTCAGTGGCGGCGTTGTGGGCGCGGCGCGAATGGCTGCGCGACTGACCTGCTTGTAAAAGTCCAACCTGGGCACACGTTAGCACATGATGCGGCCTGGCGGTTTAGGTGAGCACGGCATACCTATTCAAATAGTCTTCGTACGTGACGAAAACCTCGCCAGTCTGGGGTATGTGCCACACCTGTGGCAAGAGAAGGGTCGTGAGCAATCTGCACGGGTGGGCGCGAAGTGGCGCGTCGAGGGAGGGTGGTGGTGGTCATGGACGTACCTCATGGTCGTTTTCCACGGGCGGCGGCTGCAGGAACTGCACGGGCTTGCGCTTGAAGAGGACCTTGGAAACAGGGTGAGTAGGGCATACAGGGCGATGCGCCGGGTGGTGGAGGGGGTGGTTGGGGCCCTACCATGGTGGATGGGGGCAGGACTGCAGAGCGGCAGGCCGGCCGAAAATCATCTGCAAGGCTGAGATTCAGCCTTCCGGGCCCGAGGGGGAGCTCAGATCAGGATGGAATTGGAGTGGCAGATGTTGTTTTGGGGTGTTGTTGTGCCGGCAGGGACGCGATCGTGTCCGAAAGGCAAAAGGTCGAGACGTGGAGCAGACCCGGTCGTGGGCGTGGACGTGGAGGTGCAGAGACTGCACGGGACTGGGGTGCGCAGTCTCCCGGCGGGCCTTGACCGATCCCAGGCCGGCCTGACTTAGACGAGGCTGCTGGTGCCGGCGCGCGACGGCGTGGGAAACGCCGGCAGAGATGGCTTTTGTCCTTGGTGTGTGGGCGACAGGCCAGGGTCCACGGCTGGCTGGTGATGCTGCGGGAGGGAGAGGTGGAGCGGCCGGAGGGTTGACAAGGAGAAAGGGCAGGTCGTGAAACGAGAATCAAAATTTGGGAGATGTCCAAGAGGGTAGGTAAGGTAGTGGTAGGTAGGTATAGGTAGACTGACTGGGAGGGTGGGTGGGTAGGTAGGGGAGGCGGGCGGGCAGGTACTACTATGTAAGGTAGCTAGGCGGGCAGTCACGCATGCACGCGCGGTACTTGCTCCCCCATATAATCCGGCCTGCAATCCGCAGTATACGGTACATGGCGTCCTACTGGCAACTACCCTGTCTGCCCGCACACGCGCATCTCTTGTGTACCTGCACCCGCACGTCCTTGGGATACAACAATGGCGGGAGACCATGTACATAGTGGATCCCGGCTCGACCAGGGCCCAGGACTAGCCTGGCCCTCCCGGGGGACGGTGACAAGCGACAAGAGGATCCCGTCCCCATCATCGCCCACACCCCCAAACGTGCCCTCCCTCTTGCTCCCCTGATCTGGGCCACCACCGCCTCAGCTTTTATGTCCATGTTTGTACTCGTTCTGACCGCCCTTGACCGCACAATTCATGTCACACCCATTGGTGTCTTGTCGCCCCAGGACGCCCCCCTCCCATTGATATATATCCCGCTGCCCTCTCCCGAAACAGCCACTCCCACTTCTGCACCACCCGCGCCCGCCCATTATGCCACATCACGGCCTGCAATTCCTGCAGTGCAAGAGCGCAACCCGTTCACCTGCTCCCTCCTGTCACTGCAACCTCTGTTTTTCGACCCACTCGACCCGGATCCCCATAGTCAGCTCAAGCGCCGGGCCCGTGTGGCCAAGTATCATTACGCGCGCGTCGGACGCCGTTGAGCCTCAGCCGGCTGTGCTGGGTGCTCACTGACTAGATCATGTTCTGCCACAATAATTCCCATTCTTCGAATTTCCACTCGAATCCCCACGAACCAGCAGTGATCCTCACTTGTCGTGCGGCAACTTGCACCAAACCGCGCGGTCTAGCAGCCGAAGCCAGCCCATCTCCATGATATAATATAGGCAGGCACATAGATCCATTCGATGTGCATCTCCCGCTCAGCCTCTTGGAAAAAAAGTTCTATACTTGGCCGCTACATCCGTGCAAATACGACAACCGTACTATCCAGACGACCTTTACAGACGCGAATTGTCCTGAAGCTTCAGTCTGAGGGAGCGAGAGCCCGCGACAAGAGGCACGCCCACGAGAGCATCGCGAGAGGCAAATGAGTAGAGATGCAGAGTTGGGTTGTTGGAGGCGCACAGGTACTGACGTGGTAAACATTCAAGGGTATGTCCTGTGCCGCCCTGCCAAAGTCACTTCCCGCTGCCGAGTTATGGGACACCTGCGGCACCCTCTTCCGGACGCCTTGGACTGTGGTGCAACCTTATCAGCGACTCAGGGCGATACATTGTCACATAGGAACAAGGTCTGTCTGGGACTCTGGGCCGGCACACGTGGGGCGCTATTCCCCTTTGGGCGCTGGGGCAGTCCCCCTGCCGCTGTCCTCGGCTGCGAGCAATGAGCATCCCTCGCTCCCAGGCCAAGCCTCTGCGGTATCACGTCCCCAGGGGTTGTTACCACAGTAGTCGCTTGACATTGTCGTGTATGCTTCTTGATGGTCTCTACCTACGAAGTGAAATACACTACGTTGAATCCAACCCAGCTGCCAACCACACCTAGTGCAGAGTATGCACTGGTGAACATCAACGGCAGGAACTCGTAATTCTGGCCAAACACAAGCTCGTGGACCAGGGAGCAATACGCGATCAAGGGTATGCTGATGGCAATGTAGAGCGTATTGCACCTGTCGAAGAGGAAGAACCTCGGCCTGCTGGAAGCTGGCGCCAGGCGGTCAAAGACCATGAGGAACAGGATGAGCCAGAAGATGGTGTAGACCGTCTTGATGGGGAATTCGGCCGGGGTGAAGAGGAGTGGGAATAAAGAGACGTGCCCTGCGACTGCCAGCGGCCGGAATGCCCCAAAGTACCGGCGATCCTTGAGGGCGATCAGGCTGAAGGGGATGATGACCAGCAGGACAGCCTTCTCGTGCACATGGTAGCCGAACAGAAACGACGCGTAGCCGCAAAGCGTTACAGCACCAATGAATGCATCCCAGGTCGGCTTCCAGAATAGCCTGATCAGAGGCGGAGCCATGGATGCCAGCGTGAGCATAAGGCAGATGCCGGGGGTGATGTCAGGAAGCACCGCAAATGATGTGTCGCCGACGAGGCCACGAGTCACACTGGACAGTGCATCGGGCTTGACAGGCAGCCCAAGACGCGGCGCCACTGTTTGGAAGTTTCAGCAAATGTCGATTTGACACCCGGTGAGAGCAGCGCACTTACGGTAGATGAGGATGCGATCAGAGAACGAGTACAGGGCCCAGACATTGGGTGCCCAGTAAGCGTGGCATAGCCCTCGGCCGAATGGGAAGAGCCTCTCCTTCATTTGCCAAAGCTGGCCCACGTCCTGGAGGGCAAATGGGCCAAAGGCAGCGGCGAGAATGGCGGCGATACCTCCACCCAGCTTGATGCAGTTGAGCCATTGGATGCGAAAGACGGATTTGGGAGACAGGCAATAGACCCGGAGGAGGTAGACGAAGTAGGCCGGGGCCAGGTAGGCGTAGATGTGCTTCATACACAGAAGTGCCGCAAAGGCAAGCCCGCTGCCCAGCAAGCCAGCGTGCTTCCTTGCCAAGACCAGAGATACAATGAGGAGGCCGTACATGCACCCATTGTACTGGAAATGGATATGGTCGATGAGAAGCAGTCCCGGCGAGAGCAGGATGGATATGGCAGCTGCCTGTGCAGCCTTCTTGGTAGCCCCGTGAGACGAGTCGACGTAGCTAGGACAGGCAGGACAGGTCAGCACAAGCTCGGATCTTGTCACGCCGTGGGGGATGCCATTCACTAACAGCTGCAAGGCATAGACTAGCAAGAGTTCCGTGACCAGAACGGATGACCTTTGGAAGTAGACGGTCTGCCAGCTATCATATCCGAGATTGTAGACCTTGAGCATTGCTGGGTCAACCAGCTTTGCGACCTGGGATAATACCCATTCAAAGTATGCAAAGAAAGGAGGGTAGTCCAGAGTCCATTCTGACGTCTCCTCATAGTACCATTCCCGGAGAGGGAGGCTGTGTGTGATAGCCAGCCAGTTCCTATGGACTTCAAAATCTGTGGACTTGCTGGTGGCGAGGCGGCACATCAGCACTCAAGCAGTTGGAGTTGGAGGGCTTCCCCGATCCGGGACTTCGGGAAAGTCTGCAGTACTCACTAGGCCGGGAACAAGAGGACTTTGAGGGCTGTGGCAACTATGGCACACTGGGTGAGTGATGGATAAATCTCAGTCATCTTGAGACCATATCCCCTGCTGTCAATGGCGCGGGTGTGTGGTGTGCGCGGTGCTGTCCAGTGCAATCTTACAAAACCCACAGCTTCGTCGAAGGTGGTTTCGAGAAACGTGAGCTCGGGCCAGACGCGGAATCTACACAGTAGTGCGGCGTGTCCAGAGTCCAGAGTCCAGACACTGTGTAGACATGGGTACCTAGGTACCTAGGTAGTGAGTAGTACCTGCAGGCTGCTGCGCTGAGGCGAAAATGCATACATACCCAAACCTTCAACGTACCACGTACGTGCCGAAGTTTATATTAGTACTGAATGCACGGGGCCGTCTAGATGCCGCATGGTATCCCCCAGATATTTGGCCACTGGTAGCCCTCTGTCGAGTCCATTTACATTTATTATGACAAGACGGCATTGATGCTTGTCACAGACGGAGTACCTTCTGTGTCGCGGAGCCACACCCTTGGACCCCACACGGGCCACACCACCTTACCGTTGTGGACAGTTGGAGAAGCTCCCGGCGCCAGGGGTCGAGTTCTTTCTGGCTTCGGAACAGCTCGCCAGATCTCCAAGGGCTTGTGCTCACTGCTCACAGGGCCGGTACTGTGTACCTTGGTACCGGCCAATTGACAACCAGGCAGGAAGGAAGACAAAGACTGAGACTGAGACACGCGCGAGTCTCGATGCATCGCCCTTCTCTCCCACTACCTCTTAGGACCGTCTGAGTTGCCGTTCGTGTCTGGAGCCTGTTTTTCCTAAAAGACATCCAAAATCCATCTTGTCGGGACTCTCTGTCCTCCCCAGGAGAAATCCCACTTTACCCTGTCATTATAGCTGAGCTCCGGAGCTCGAGCGCCGAGGTGTTTTGGAGTTAGGGCCACCAGGCCAGGTCAGCGCCGCAGAAGCATCCTGATATTTCGCCAGAGTGGCCTCAACCGCAACACATCACCCTCGTGTCGCATCACATAACAAAAGCCTGTCTGCCAGGGCCACACCTCCGAGGGCTTGCTGCGAACCTTCCAGCATCCAAAGGGAGCTTCTGCATTCCGCATATACCACCTAGCCCACCATGCGCTCAGCCCTGGCCTTCCTTGCTGGCCTCTCCCCGGTCGTAGCCCAATACCTGGTGAACGAGCTGAGCTTTGGCTACAACAACAAGTAGGCAGTGCCTTCCCCCCCCCCCCCAAGAGCCCACTCTCGGGACTGTCACTGATACTCGGAAACAGGATAAGCCCCAACAACGATGGGTCTATACCCGGCTTCACCCTCCACGGCAACCCCACGTGGCCAGATATCCTCTCCAACAAGATAATACTCACGCCTCCTGCACCCGGCAACCATCGCGCCTCCATCTGGGCCGACAAGGCACTGCAGCACACACAATGGGTCGCAGATGTGGACTTCCGTGCCAATGGGCCAGAGCGCGCTGGCGGCAACCTCAACATCTGGCTGGTGCGCGACGGGCTCCAGGATGTTGGCCTCAGCTCTATCTACACGGTTGGCAAGTTTGAGGGTCTTGCATTGGTGATCGACACATACGGCGGAAGTGCAGGCATGGTAAGAGGTTTCCTCAACGACGGAAGCAAAGACTTCCAGAAGATCTCGGTGGATGGGCAGTCGTTCGGCCACTGCAACCATGCCTACCGCAACTTGGGCCGGCCCTCGCAGATTAAGTTCCGCCAGACGGCCAGCAGTTTCAAGGTGGACATTGATGGGGTCAACTGCTTCGAGAGCGACAAGATCAGCATCCCCGCGGGATACAAGCTGGGCATCACCGCCGCCAGCGCGGACAACCCTGACTCGTTCGAGATCTTCAAGATGGTCCTGATGACAGAGAACATCGATCCGGGCCAGGACAAGCAGCAGGCCGCAGTCGAACAAGAGGGCATGTTTGGAAATCAAGGGCAGCAGCAGCAGCAGCCCATGGGCGGCAACCCTGGCTCCGGCCGGTGGGACTCGGGCGGCTTCGAGGACGACATCCCGGACGCGAGCGCCGACTCCATCACAAGCTCAAAGGCCCAGTTCGCCGACCTGCACACTCGGCTGCAGAGCGTGAACCACCATCTGTCGACCATCTTCCGCACGGTCGCAAAGCAGGACTCAATCGGCGAGACCCGCCACGGTGAGATCTCCGGGCAGATCGCGGAGCTCAAGGGCCTGCTCTCCAAGTTGGACCGGCTCGGCGAGCTCGAGAACAAGATCACTAGCCTCGAGTCCGAGGTCCGCAGACTCAAAGGTGATGTCACGTCCAAGGTCAGCTCCTCGGAGCACGCCATCAAAGGCCTGGTCAGCGACACCCATCAAACCATCAAGGACACGGTTAAAGAGCACGCGTCGCCGGGCCACGGGCGCCTGATCGCGGTCATTATCGGCAGCCAGGTCGTGCTGGTGGGTGGTTACGTGTACTACAAGAAGAAGAAGTCGACGCCCAAGAAGTATCTGTAAGGGATATATCGTCCCAGGGTGGGTGTGGCAGTGTACAGCATGATCAGGTAGGTACTTGCTCTATGAGAGAAATAGCGATGGTTGGAAATAAAGCGGCGTTTGGTTCTTATTGCTTAGGTAGCATTCCAGGGTACTCTTAGCATTGTGAATTTGAGGCATTAACAGAGGTTTTCCCCATCGAAGCGAGTTTCCTCCGTCTCGAAGCTGTCTGAGCCCTCTGCTCGAGGCGGCTTGCCTTTCAAGAGAAAAATACTGCCACAGTCCCGCTGCCTGTGTGGAGAACCGAATTGGGTGCGGCTGAGTGTCAAGTTTGTGGCTGGTTGATTACATTCCTTGACACCACTGTCTCAGCTTTGATGTGTTGCTGGTCTGGAGATTGTGAGCACAGAGAAGCCGATGATTGCATACAACTGGGCGCGTCTCTTCCGACCATCTAGGGATAATATCTACAGTTCCTCCAAGGCTGCTTCATCATGAGAGACCAAGGCGGTCCGCCGCCCTACTTTCCATTGATGACCCGCAACGAATCCTTTCCTTTGGGCGCCGAGGTCAGATTTTCGTAACCGTCTTCTGTCACGAGGATACAATCCTCTATCCGGCACCCGCAAACCGGGTAGTACTGTTCCAGTACGGCCATGTCGACAAATCGGAGAAGCTTGGGCTGGTCAGCGAAGAACCACTCGACATACGCCCGGTTGAAATAGAGGCCTGGCTCGCAGGTGATGACCATGTCTTTCTTCAAGGGCGGTGAGTAAGGATCGCCTCCGCCTTGGCGGTCTTTCATACAATGCCCTCCCTTGGGAAGAGCTGCAGCGTGGGAGTCGAGCTTGTCCAGGCTCCAGGCTTTGCCGCCCATCATGTGGATGTGAACCCCCTGAATAACGTCGTGGGTGTCCAGTCCGACGAGGTGTCCCAGCCCATGCATAAAGAAAGCCCTGACAACTTGGAGGGTGGGCGGCTCGCCTAGAGCGTCATCTCGTAAGATGCCTAGCTTTCTCAGCCCATCTAGTGCGATGCGCTGGGCTTTATTCGTGATTGTCGACCAGGATGCACCTGGCTTGATCATCGAGATGCAGACCTCCTGCATCTCCTCCACGATAGCATACACCTCCTTCGCCTCGGCGGTGAAGGCGCCATTCAGTGGGAAGGTCCGGGTGACGTCGGAGGCGTAGCATTCGAACTCAGCCCCAGCGTCGAGGACCATGAGTTGCCTGTCATCAAAGTCCTGATTGTTCGCCCCATAGTGCAGAGTAGCAGCGTTGGGGCCGGACCCAGCAATAACGGGGTAGGCCTGGAACGAGCAGTCAGTTATTAATGTTCGGGCCATGTGTCCGGAGCGTGCAGGTCTGATAGTACCTGTTTCTTGGACCCAAGCTCACGGCACTTGGCGATAAATAAGTTCTCAACTTGGGCCTCGCTGGTCAAGGATTTGATGTGTCGCTGGACGTGGCGATGAGCCTCGGATGATATCCAATTTGCCTCACGGATTTGGCCAATCTCAAATGGAGACTTGACGGCCCTCGCAAGGTCCATGGCCGGCTTGAGAGCAGAGTGGTCAACGGTAAAGCCCGAAGTCGGACCATATGGTCTAGGTGGTGTCTGGTTCTCGTGCAGAACGTAGAGAGTTGTGTCGCAAGCCAAGGTTTGTTTGAGATACAGCTGCAGACGCGTGATATCCATGACCCCGTCGACATCGTACCGGGCGGCGCATTCTTCGATGCTGGGCAAAGCCCCTAGCCAGATGATCTCATGAGGCTTCCTGATTGGGATCCAGAGGATCAGAATATCCTTTGCGATATCGTAAGTGACGGCACAACCGGGGAAGTCTGCTCCTGACAGATAGAATGCATATCTGCGTTGTCTGAACGGCTTCGCGCTGATTACTTGGTTAGTATGTTGCTGCCACCGCGGGGGTGGCGTGATGAAAGTGAGAGGAGAGTCGATATTCGGCAGGACGTCCTGGGGGCGGCTGCGATCTTGTTGCAGTCTTATATTGTGTGATGCGATGAGAGCCACACGGTATTTATAGCCCGTGTCGAGGCATATCAAAATAGCGCGAGATGAGGCAATTAAGCTGGGAAACATTACCCATCTGTATCTTCGTAATCCTCCGAGTCCTGACCCTTCAGGTAGATCAAGCCTGTAGTCGAGGTCGAATCGACGGCGGCAAGCTCCCTCTTGACCTTGTGGGCGTGGGTCTTTGCCGGGTACTTGACGGCTTCCTTGCGGACCCGGACCTGGATTGAAAGAGATGTGGACTCGTGGATCTGTGTCATACTGACTGATGCAATCAAGAAGTGCAGCTCTTCCTGTATGGTCGTGATCGAGCGCTGGAAGGTGTTCGAGGTTGGGAGAGAGTTGCCGGAGAGCTGTTGTTGATAACAACCTTGGACCTGTCACGGGGCCGGCCTAGGTACCTAGGTACCCCTGCACTGCACTTCCGTCGCCTAACAACACCCAGTTTAGGCAGGTGCCCAGGTACCCGGGCAGTTCCACAGCTGGACATCCAAGCACTTTCAGCCAGCCAGTCCTCGGTCTAAGTCACCTGCCTGCTGTCGACAGCATACTGAGATATTGACCAGCTCCGAGTTTTAACACTCAACATCGATTTGTTCACTATCTAGTCTCATCGGCCTCCGCTCCTCCAAAGGTCAAGGGGTAACGACTACTCAGGGTGCTCCAGGGCGAGGGGCGTCAAAGCTGCCTATCTCGGGACAGGCCGTGCGAGTACAGTACCTAGGTACTTAAGTACGCAACCCCCAACCTAGGCCGCCGCCTTGTCAGTCTGGATTCATGAGGCTGCCGACAGCCTGGTTGGTTTCTTATGCTCGGCTTCCTTCATCGATATCGCAACAAGTGACGTCCGATGGTTTGCCTGTGACTTTTGTTGCAGCCAGAGGCAGGCAGAGCAGTGGACGGGCTAACCAACATCTTCAAGCACAGACGCTAAGGTGCTCAACCTCCAAGGCTATTATGCGCCTTGAGCTCAGCTACTCCTCCCCACCGATCTTCTTCAAACCACCCATCGGGAGCTCACCTTTTTGAGGACTTCGCCTCAGCACCTCGCCGCCAACCGCAACAACCCCTACCACCTGGCAGTCGATTTTTCTTTCTCACTATTCTCTACTGGAATTTTCATGCAGATTGTTAAATCAGCCAATCAATTGCTTGCTCTTTCCTGGCGACGATAATCCTTCGGCGGAAACCACTCTTGGTCAAATATCGACTTGGTCTAATTGCAAGATGGCTGCAACACTGCAATCAGGCCAGGGGCAGGGCCATCTGGCCGACAAGCTTGACAAGCAGTTGAAAGAGATTGTAAGGATACTCCCACACATGCTTCCCTGGCATGGCGGGGCATGGCGTGTACCGTTTGTTGGGCTTGCTGACCGTGATTGTCCTTCTCCAGTTTGTGCAGTTGGGCAGGATCTTTCAAGCCCGTGCTCAATATCCAGAGCGTTTGGCGCAGATTCAACTCAACGCCGAGAAGAAGATGGCAGAAGCCACCAATGGCTTCCATTCAACCCTTGATGAGATGGAAATCGACATTGTAAGCCACGGACCTCCTGCCCGATGTCCAACGGGCGAGCATCTGTTAGAGCAGACCCGTGCCCTGTACGGTGCGACACCGAGCTGCCCGGACTGGTGCTGAATTTCAAATAGAGACGTGCCAAAGCAGTCCTCATGAGGGACCTACAGAAGTTGCAGGATCAACAGAAGGCTGCTGCTCCCGAACCTGCCCAGCCACCAGCACCCATGGTCATCGATCTTGATCCTCCAAAGGTCGAGCAGGCTTCCGTCCCGGTTGCGCCTATGATGGCCTCGGTATCACCATTCATGCAGAATCGGCCAACGCCCAAGATGCCAGAGGCCAAGCCAGTTGCCCCCTTCCCCGACATGGGCATGGGCATGGCCACTCCTGCACAGGCCACCACTGCCGTGCCTTTCCATCCTGTCAAACCCACCACTGAGCCTAAGCGTCCGTCACCAAAGCCTGCTCATAAACCAGGCCCACCTCCTGCTCGCCCTGCGACCAAGCCGTCCCCGCTGGTCACACAGAAGCAGAAAGTTCCTGCCACAGTCCCACCGGCCGCGCCTGCTGTGGCCCCACCTCCTGTCCCAGCTCAGCAGCCAGCTCCCAACCCACCGTCTGCTCACAATCCCTTCACCAATGCTACATTCACCCTTGACCCGGGCAATAATGAGGCCCCGATGGAGCCAGCTGCCCAGGACACCACTATGGACTTGACGAGCTTCGATAACACGGCTAGTGGCCTGGACACCCTTGGCTTAGGAGGATCCGGCTCCATTGTGAGTACTGACTCGATCAGCAACAATAACAACAACGGCAGCAGCAACAGCAACAACAATCATAACAACAACACTGGCGGCAACGACACCAGCATGGATGACCTGGACCGTTTCTTTGACCTGGGCGGAGAGTCCAACACAAACTTTGACGACAACTTCAACAGCATCAACAGCATGAACAGTATGAACAGCATGAATGAATTCATGAACGATGATTTCGCCTTCGACACGTTCGAGTAAGGACTCCGAGGTGGGGGTTGGATGCGAACGAGCAATACAAACCAGTCGATATCGTTGCTCAACCTAATATCCCAATAAACCGAACCAATCAAACGTGCGATAGATCAGGTTGATTTCAATCTTTCATGTCGAGACCACGGCCACGATTCCAGCCCTCTTGCTCGCCATGAGACCCCGTTTCCTCGCTTCATTGTTGACCCTTGCCTTGTCCCTTACCTGAGTGACGAATTGAGAGGTCCGTTTGAACGCATACACCACTGTACATTGTCTGTGACTGACTTTGTTGGAGATAGTGCACGCGAGCAAGACAACGGTCATAGTTATAGGTGACATCTGCACAGCCATCTCTACCAATGACAGGGTAGCGTTCTCCACATTGGTATGCCCTTTTCGATTTATGCCTGTGTAATCAAACTTGGCATTGATGTCCCTGCCAGTTCGCAATACACAGAGAAGTCACCGTTCTTTCATGGCGCATTCTTCAGTACTCGCAGCAAGTAGTGGCTTGGCATGTCACTCAGTGTGTGGAACTAAATTAAGGGCTAACTGCTCTATCTAGATGCTGTGATGTATTACACGTCGTCAAAAAGGACCAGATTGGCATGCTAATCCCATCGCTGGCGACCTAGCCGTCATTCTCAAGGACCCTGGCTGACGTTCCACATCTGGCCCAACATGCCAGGGAACTTTGCGTTACGCCACGTCGTCCACTCCTTGTCCAGCAAACCCCATGTCTCTTCATAATCCGTCTGCCCGTTGCGGGCATAGTACGACCCCTGAAGTGCCCACACGGCCCAGTCGGCGTCGTTGCCGGCCATGTAGCCAGTCAGGCACGACAGATAGCTTTGGTCCGCATCGCTAAGCCCGTCGTTGGGGCCCCCGCTCATGCCTACGCCAAACTCGCTCAAGATCAGAGGCGCAGTGTATTCCTTGCCCTGCTTGAGGAGGAACCCGTCAAAGGTGCCCCATGCCGCCTTACGGAGGGAGCACAGCCCGAAGTTGACGTGGAACGTCACGGTGAATTCGTACGCGTGGAACTCCCACACGTGCTTGCCGCTCCAGGCTGAGAAGTCGAGGCTGTCCTTTTTGTTGTGGGCCAAATCGGTTGCGGAGTTAACGCCCCCGATTATGACCAGCGCGTCCGGGTTCGCCGAGTGCACCGCCTCTGCACCCTTCTTCATGAGGGTGTACCAGTCCCCGAGCCCAACAATCTGAACAATGCCCTGCCTGACCTCGTTTCGAAGCGACAAACCCACCACACCCTTGCGGGAGGCGCTCCACGTCGCGACGGCCTGGAGGCCTTGAAGCCACTGAGCGGTGTTGAAGAACCGCGAGATTTGGTCGTTCGCGCCCTCCGCCTCATCCCACCAGCCGTTTCCGTCCGTCAGGTTGCAGCACCAGCCGGCTCTAGACAGGTGGTTATCCAGTACTGCGGGATCATTGGTCAGCCATCTGTGGATCAAAGCTATGGTCTATGCAAAACCGGGGAAGGGTGTCCGAGATCACCATCTGCCCGTAGTCCGTCTCAAATCTCGCAGCCCGGCCGAAGAATTCGGTAGGCAGGCTACGTTTGCGGCAGACGGCCCTCCTCAAAGACGCAGAGAGAACCACATACTGGTCATGATGCCCCTGTCCCACAGCTGATCGATCACCTCCCCAAAGACGTCCTGGGTGGTCGCGTTCTGCAGGGATGGGTTCTTCTCTATGGCCTGCGAGTAAAGGCCTAACATGGACTCAGTCGACACTTGCGCGGCGGGCGCGGCATCTCTGAAGGAGTCTGCGACGGGCTTCGTGGGGTTCAGCGCCCAATCGGTCGAGTATGTCAGACGGACACAGTTGAATCCCTGGCCTGCGATCCAGTCGGCGAGGTAGCTGATGGACTGTTTGTGAAGGCCCTCGGGGACGTTTGTCTCCATGTGGCCTGCCCAGTTCACACAGCGGAGCTTTACCCGTTCTCCGCCGGAGTCGACAATCCAGCGGCTGGTTGTCGAGAGGGGAACATTTGGGGCGGCAAAGGCAGAGTTGGCGAGGGCCAGGAGCGCCAGTAGAAGAGGTAGGAGGAAGCCCATGACTGGCTTGCGGCCTGTTGGTATACTTGTGTCTGGCAAGGAAAACGATCTTATTGAATGGTGCTGGCCTTGTTCAAGGTATGGGAATTCGGGCTGAGAAAAGAAATGTATTGGGAGGTGGTGCGGTCGGTTCGTATGGTGTTTAGACTATTCACTTACAGTGAGCTAGGAAGGCACTTTCATGTCCGCTCGAAAGACCCAAAAATCCATATGTACACGGCCAATTAGACAATGTCAAAATAGTGTTGTATGTATAGCCTGCGAGGCAAGACGAGCGGCGGGCAGGCAGGCAGGCAAGCAGCAAGCAACAAGTTATTAGCTCGCAAAACGAGCAGGAGAGTAGTCAGTGGCAGCTCGCAGACCGCAGATCGACAGCATCGCGGGATCACGACTGTGAAATAATGGAAAAGTAAGGAGTCTGTCTCTCCCTCTACAGAGAGGATTTATTCGTTGGCCAGCCACTCGAACCCCAGCTGAGCAGTGCGCCTGCACCTTTCCCAAGAGGAGACCACCTGCCAGCTAGACGTGTCCGCCGCCAGGGCCATCGTGACCGACATACATGATTCGGCAGCGGAGCGCAGCAGTACCTTGGAACTCATCACCTTTCCCCCACCCCCAGGTGGGAGACGAGCCAAGCGGGAGGTGGCGGCGGCGACTCGCCTATCAGCAAGCTACACCGGGATATGATGGATGGGAGGGGAGGGAGGGAGGACGCTGGTTATGGGGAACCAAACGTCGGGCCCGCATGAATGCCAGGGGTGGACGAATGGACGAATGGACGAATAGACGAATAGACGAATGGGACATGGTGATGGGTGGTGGGTGACGGCAGGAAGTGCCCGAGTGGGCATCTGCATCCATTTTCCTTGCATGACATCGCGGCATTCGTCTGATCTACCGCACGCGGGGCCGTCCTCGAGGTCTGATGTTGCATCTCATTGGGGCTCATGTGAAATGGGCAGAAGTGGCAGTAATGGGCGGAAATGGGGAGGACCTGTCACACCCTTGCACGCCGGTTCCGAGAGGGTGTGTGGACGGCGCGCCTGCTGGCCGACGGCGCCATCTAAGTGGACCGAGGGGTTCGCGAGGCCTGCCTCTTAGTTCCTGCGTTTGGCTCCTTGCGAGTGGAGGAGCAAGGGGCTGCTGCACGGGTTGCTGCTAACTCGGAGCTGTTCCTGGCTGCCCGGGGGCTAGCAACTGCGGCGTGTGTAAACTACATAGTAAACGCTTCCAAGGTTGTTACTATAGTAGTCGCCTGCCCGTCAGCCCCGTGTACCGACCGCATTTGGTCCCAAGCATCCGGCAACCAAACCAAGCAGCTCCCAGCACCCTGTCTCCATTCGTTCCCATGTAGATTGGCCCCCTTCAAGGCACAATTAACATGTTCGCCACAGAATCGCCACACGCTGTTTTGCTAGGCCTCACTGTGGTAGGCAGTCCTGGCTGGCAGTTGTGGCTTCACTCACACTACTTAGGTACCACAAGGTCCATACTTTCAGACTTTGCGCGCCACGCTCCTGCTAGGCTGCCTGGCTGAGGGGCGGCTGATCACGCTCGGATAATATAAATTTGGATGCCACACGATGCAGAGGTGCAGGTGCAGCCGACCAATGCAGCCATGCATGTGGGATTTGTAGTGGTGGCACTCGCCGGTGTTCCCTTTGGAATGGTATCAATATTCATGGTTCGTAGATTCGTAAATACAGGGGCATGTGTGCATCACATGCATGTTTTCAACAAAGAAGGAAAAGAAGACAGGTAGTTAGGTACAGGAAAATGATTCGACCTATAGTACTCCCGTGCTCTCCTCGTGCGACCGGCAAGCCGGGTGCCAGCCACGTGCCCAGCCCTTGCAGAAAAGCAAAATTAACGCGCGACACCCGAGATATGCGCTCGCTCGGTGTGTAAAATGTGAGACGTGGCGTGCGACAACACCCTTCAGGACGTGCTTGTGGTCGTGTCGCTGGCAGCCATCTTGGCTTCGAGTTCTTTCCTCTTGGCCAGGAGACTCTTAAAGGCCCCCAAGCATTTCACCAAAGACTCCTCATCGTACGCACAGAATCTGTAGCTCTTTTCTTCCGTGATCACCTGCAGGCAGTTTGTCTTGGTCTTGCTCATCGGGTCGATGTCGACCACGTTGAGGATCATGCCCATGTGGATAATGAACTGCACAGCGTATTCGGACTCGTCCTTGTAAAGGATGAGGTTCCTTGGTCGGAGGACGGCCCAGCAATTCTTCCACTGGCGCACACCACCTTTGTTGCGAAGCCAACGCAGCCAGCCTTGCCAGAGGATTCGGTCTGGGTCCTGTTCGATGTTGATACCGCTGGCTTGACTGGCGTTACGGACCCCGACGTTTGGCCTGGGACTTGCGGAGGCGGGAGGAGGGGACTGGACCGCCAGGCTCTCGATTGCAACACCGTGAACCCGTTGAACATCCGAGTCCGAGAAATCCGAGTGTGACGCCAGCTCGGCCCCTGAGAGACCGGAGGACTCGACGGTCGTGGATGGCCGCCGCGGGTTATACGAGGGGCGTCTGAAACTGGGCTTGCTCCTTTCGACCGGTTCTGGGGAGCTCGAAAAATATGCATCGCGGTCCTGCAGGATCGGGGCGGTGCCTGGTTCGGCCTGGTCCAAGGGGCCAGACGGCATAAAAGAATTGCGATGGATGACAGGGCTGGCCAGAAACATCTCCTCCTCCTCCTCCTCTATCCTGGCATCGCAACGTATTAAATCGACCCACGCCTCGGCCTCGGCGGCACTCGAGGCCTGGAAATGGAAATTTTTGGCAGGTGAGAACAGGCCAAAAACATGGTCCCGTTTGTTCTTGGGGTCCTTGAGAAGGGTGACGGCGGTGAGATCTGATAGATATATTTTGTGGCGCAACTTGTTCTCCTTGTCGTCCTTGTAAATGCTGAGGGTATTAGGCCGATACACCAGGTAGGCAGTCTTCCACGTCTTTGTCTTCTGTGTCCGTTTCTGGAGGTAACCGCTCTTAATAACCCGGTCGAACTCAAAACTGCCATTCTGGTTGACCGGCGAGTACGGGTCGAGCGACAGCTGGCTCTTGAGTCTCGAGGTGGCGTTTTGTGGGGGCAGAGAGATGGACGTGGGAGGTATGGCGACGTTTGGAGACCGCTTGATGGGGTTGCTGGCGGCCAGCCCAGCCGGCCTCGCTTGTACCTCAGCCATGACGACCGCGGGTGCGCACGTGGTTATGTCCAGAGACTCAGAGACTCGCGGGGGTTGGAAATCGGTCGTCGAGGCGGCGTGCAGGGCAGGGTGAGAAGCGGAGGACGGCAGTTGAACGGCGATGATGTCGGCGACAAGGTACTATGTAGGATGGTCACAGGCCTGCCGCAGGTATCCACCGCCTTTTCGGGATTTAAGGAAAGTATTAACGATTGACCAAGTCGGGGGGTTTGGGAGGGACTGTTGTGTAACGAGAGGCTAGGCGGCCTGAAAAGGACCTATGGGAGAGAGGAGTGAGGGAAATAGAGAGGCTGAAGTTCGAGTAGATCACGACGAGGTGAGTTGTCGTGCGTTGGGCAAGTGGGTCGATGGGCCCGACCCGGTCGCCTTGGGGATTCGAAGCGTCAAGTACCTAGGTAGATTTGAATTTCCTCCCACTGGGCCCGGACCAGAATAAAACATGGCTATGGCAACCCGGTCGGGGCCTGAAATCGATTTGACGTGATGGGATGGACGCAGTGAAGTGTTGCAGGGAGAGGGCAGGCAGGGTAGGATGGCGGGCTACTGTGTATAATGCGAACAAAAGCTCCAGAGCAAGTGAAAGCTCAAACAGGAGGAGATGATGAAACCTGGGCGGGAAGGGCTGGAAGGAAGCAGGCATGCCAGAGGTCCAGAGGGTGACAAAGATGGCAAGGTGCACGGGGCTGGCTGGCTGGCTGGCTGGCTGGCCGGGGCGCATGAGGAAACGGCCAGCATGCAGGGTGGGTCCTTCGGCCGAAGAAGCAATATCACGCTGAGTGGGTCTGTGGGGAAGACGCTGCCTCGAGACCGGATCACCATTGGCCGAAACCCCAGCACCTTCCTTCATGCGTAACATTCAATTGAGGCAATCTCGGCAGGCACACCCCCCCCACCAAGCACGGCACTGCTCGATGCACAGGCACAAGCATTACCATAATGCTAAAAGAGATCTATCTGGGTTCGGACGAGGCCTGCCAGCAGCACGGGGATTGGATCTTGTCACGTCGTGTCGGTGAAGTGATGAACCTGACAGCACAATGCTGCTTCTGCTCTGTAGCGTGGCAGCGGTTGGCTCAAGCCAGGCCAACCCCACCGTTGATACAATTCACGTTCAAGGTGACTCGACACGATGCAACTCACCCAAATGACTGGAGGCCAGGAAGCCTCAGAATGGACGATCCTTATTTGTCGATCCTCGGTTCACAGCAGGTCTGATGATTTCTGGTCCCTGAAACCACATCTCCGATCGCTGCATCCCGGCGACAAGAGGTTCTAGAACCTCGACTTCCAGGGCATCTCCACTGAGCGGCACACCAAGTCCCCTTTCGGCATCCCATCCTGATGCCATTCGTGGACATGGTCTTTTTTTCCTTCTCTTTTCTACCCTTCAATCATACAACTCCAAGACAAGACAGACTCGATTGAATTACCCCCTCCTTTGCAACATTTGCGATATGCTCAGGTGTCACGTTGGACGACGAGCTCCCGGAGACGCAGGTACCTACCTGCCTACCTAGGTACCTAGGGTAGCTCCTTCAGAGTTGACCAGTAGTAAGCAAGTGAAACAATGCAGGCTCGCCGAAAGACTCATCGGTCTCGTTGCCGCTAGCTAGCTCCCCGGCGTCATCAAGCACAAAGCACCAAGCCGCCTTGCCTTCTCGAGGTTATAAGCCAGCAGTCTTGTCGTCGTAAATTAAACACATGCTTCCTGAGGCGTCTGTCTTGAACCCTGCTCACGGTGTTCCGAGATTCACCTCGCTTCCTGAGAGCCTCCACTCCACACCTCCACTGCGTGCCTCCATTCTGCGGCTCACTGTCGGCGCTACACTTCTCGACATGGCCGAGCCAACAGCAGACGACATAGCATCCCAAGTCACCCAGGAACTGGGCCAGACCCCATTCGCTTGCACGTCGCTTACTCCACTCTCTGGCGGCAACGCGAACTTTATATTTAGGGGCAAGCTGCAGAAACCTCTGCATGACGGAACAGCCGAGATTGCCATCAAACATGGCGAGGCCTTCGTTGCTCTCTCTCCATCAATAAAACTCCCGACTTCGCGTTGCGTAGGCCAAAGCTCGTCAGTCCTCATTCTCGGGCGGCACAGCCAAGCTGATTGGGCCTGGGACTAGATACTAGAGGAGACATGTCTTCAGGCGCTGCAAACGCTGGCCCCGACAACGAGCCAGTCGTACAGTGTTCGATCGCCCCGCCTGTTCCAATTCAACCCGGACTCGAGCACCCAGGTCCAGGAGTACCTGCCCAACTCTTTGAACCTCAAACACTATGCATTCAGGCGCTTGCTGCCCCCCACGCCCGAGCACCACCGGCCCAAGGTCCTTGAATTAGGGCAGGGTCTTGGTAGATGGCTGCACAGCTTCCATGAGTGGTCCAGCCTGCCGGCGCAAGAGGCTGTGCGGGAGGCGGCCAAGGCGAACAAGGAGCTGCAGGCGATTAAGCTTACCTACAACTACGAAAACCTCCTCTGGCAGTTCGATGATTTCCCGTTCCTCAAGGATTCCGAGGATTTGTTCCAAGAAGTCCTTGCAAACGCGAGGCTAGAACTCCAAGACGAGGCCAAGCTGCACGTCATCCATGGGGACTTTTGGACCGGAAAGTGAGAATGCGTTGATTTTCGGACTCTTGAGACAGTGAGGCACTGACAATAGCTACAGCATTCTGATCCCCGATCAAGATCTCGAGTCCAACGACCAATCATCCATCTTCGTGGTGGACTGGGAGATGTGTGAATTGGGCGTGCGCCCAGTGGACCTCGGTCAGATGATCGCAGAGCTCTATGAGCTTTTCCTCTACAAGGGCATTGAGGCCGCTCTGTGGCTGATCGAGGGGTTTGCGACTGGCTACGGGTATGTGGATGACGACTTTGCCTTCCGCGCTGCCCTTCATGTTGGCACACACTTAGTTGGTTTTGGGACCAGTGTGCCAGGCTGGGGCAGCCCAGAGGCCATAGAGAGAGTCTGTAAGACCGGAAGAGATATCATAACCCATGCCTGGCGTAAGGACCGGGCGTGGTTCGCGGAACACCACCTATCGCCCCTCTTTAGGAAGTAGCCGCCTTAGACGGTCGCTTTCACACACCGCATACATTATTATCGTAACACCGCTGCACCTTCGAGAAGTTATCTGATGTCATACCAGAGCCCTCGTGGCTTGGCAGCCTCTGCTTACCTAGGTGGTTATGATATGGGAGACTCTTCTGTACATCTCCGATCTAAGGGTATCGTTGTAGGAGGTTGCCCTATCGCAGGTTTTCGCGTAGGGTGTTGTTTCATATGGGCTGGAAGATAGATGCTGCGGCCGCGTAGCGATTACCTGAGCAGAGCTCGTGTTTTCATGTCCTCCGTAATATGCCAAGAAAGAGATTACGTATCCGAAGAAAAAGAAGCTTTTCGTGATGACATGTCTCAGGGCAGGAGTCTGACTAGGCGCCCGGAATTGTGGGATCTGATCTCATACTCCGTACCGACGTGCTGGTACCGACGGGACGGGACGGTCCATATCGCAGAGATTTAGTTAGTGCACCAACGCAGTCAACGAAGAATTCCGCTCCCCTTCACCAACCCTCTTGTTTACCGAGCGTGGCCCAAATTTTCAAACTCCCCTAAACGGGTCTTCAAATCATCGTTCCCTCCAGTGCATGAGTGCCCAGGCACATTATGGCCCCCATCGACGCAGGATCGACGCTCTGCCGACGGTGCAATGAGAACGAGGTCACACACACGATCCGCTCGGAGCCAACATGCGGGTCAGTCAAGTCACAATTGCCCAAACATAGCACCCTGAGAACACTTTGACTAACGCTTTCGCAGCCCCTGTTACCGTAAATATGTGCAGATGAAGGCCGTCAAGCGGCTTGAGGCAGCATCCAAGGAAATCCGCGCCGCGCCAACACAGACCAAGAAGGTCCTAGTCGGCCTGTCCTTTGGCGTGTCATCGTCCTCGCTCATCCACATGCTCTATGAGAGTGTCGAGAGTCAGCTGAAGAAGAGGCCAACCCCGGCCTATGATCCTGTGGTGGTTCATGTCGAAACGGATACCGGCGATCGGACCTCATCATCGCCTTCCCAGACCAAGAGGCTTCTAGACAAATTCAGCGAGCGATATCCCCGCTTTACATTTCGGCGCATACCGCTCACTTCGGCGCTGGACTTGGACACGATCGACTGGAGCTCATTGCCCGTCGCGCCAGGGGAAAAAGAGAAGGAACCTGGGGAGAGGTTGCACAATTTCTTCACCCGCCTGCCCTCCACGACGTCCAGGGCTGACATTGTGCGGTTGCTCGTGCGCCACATCCTCATATCCACCGCGCTGGCCGAAGGCTGCCACGCGCTGTTCCTCGGCTGCAGCACCACCGCCCTGGCAGCGCTGACCCTGGCGGAGACGGCAAAGGGGCGGGGGTTTACGCTCCCGTGGGTGATCAACGACGGGCCCCAGCCTGTCCACGCCTTCACCACCGCACCGCCGCCGACGGACGCCGGCTCAGATACTCCAGCACAGGCAGCCACTGGTAGAGAGGTGGCCAGGTTACCGATCTACTACCCCCTCCGTGAGGTGTTCAGGAACGAGGTCATCGAATACGCGGGACTCGTGTCCCCGCCCCTCACGGACCTCGTCCTGCCTTCCGACGCGGCGGGCCCAGGAGCTGCCGTCGTGTCTCACAGGGACGTCAGCATAGACGACGTGATGACTCGTTACTTTGACGAAGTCGAGGCGAGCTACCCTTCCATCGTGGCCAACGTGGTGCGCACGACGGCGAAGCTGGAGCGTCTCGGAGAGGATGGGGACGACGTGTCGTGTGGGCTATGCGGGATGGGACTGGATGAGCAGGGGAATAAGAGATGGGAGGGTGAGATAGGAGACGCGGAGGCAAGCGAGTATGGGAGTCTATGCTACGGTTGCCAGCGGTCAATGCGGAACTGATACCTTCATAGCCTCGGGAACTTTATAAACTGGCGACTCATGGGCGCGAGTTGTTAGGGCTTTCTACCTCTTGACTGAGCGAACCTCAGGCGAGTACTTGCCTACAACGCGATGGAGAATGCTGCCGTGAGGTTAAATGATGGTAATTCCGATACAGGATGGAAGCAAGATAATCTTTCATTCTTCCTCCGGGAGGATCTATGCTTTGTTAATGCCGTGAGACGCCCGTCCCCATGCAAAGGGTATCATATACAAAAATACAGGTACAACTAAGTGGTCACCCCAACTCCTCTGGCACAGCCTCATAATTAACCGCTCTTGTTCGTGGTTCAAGCATGGGGGTCTGGCAGCCAGAACTCCAATTGCTGGTCTGCTGTGGCAAAGAAATTAAACCGTGGGTTGTAAGCCAAGACTGCAGCTTCCTTCTTGTCCTCGAGAACGTAACTTGGTTCTAGCACCTTCTTCTCGGTGGTCGTTCCCAAGACGTCCCACACCAAGACATCCTTCTTCGAGCCGCTCAAGACATACCTGCCATCGGGTGTGAAGCAACACTCGCCACTGCTCTCCAGATTGGTTGGGTTCTCTGAGGGAGGACCTCGCAGGTTCGCCTCACCAGGGGCAGCCCTCCTAGTGCCACCCTCAGGCTTGCGCAAGTAGGCCTTGAGCTCGCATGTGAACGCGTCGAGCAAGAAATGGCCCTTCCCGTTGGCTCCCAGCAGGATGTGCTTCCCGTCGTTGGAGAACTCGAGCTTGGTCCAGCCCTGCATGGTATAGTGTGTGTCAACCGGGTGGCACTTGTCGACAATGTCGAAGACATTAAAGGGCTTGACATAGTTGCGATGGTCATATAGCAGGATGCTTCCACTAGAAGATGATGCGACTGCGAAGACTTGCCCGGATGGATCGTAGGCGGCGAGGTAGGGAGTGCGGAGGTTGATCTGCGCTGTCCAGAACTTGGTGTTCATGTCCCACAGTCGCACGGTGTTGTCGCGCCCGCACGAAATGAAGTTGTCGGCACCGGGGTGCATCGTCAGGGCGGTTACCGGGCCCTCGTGGCCCTCGAAGTATCGGATGAATGAGTTGTCGTGCGTCGCTAGGTAGCGGATGGCATCTAGGAGACGTTTGTCAGCGGCTGAGGCTGCGGCTGCGGCTGTCCAGGCTGGGCCCCCAGGGCAGGATCGCTGCAGTACTGACCGTTCTGCTTTGTGCTTGCGTATATGATACTCGAGCTTGCATGCGTGAACCTGGCCAATTTGACACCATACTTCTTGCTCAAGAGGGTCTTGTCATGGCGGCCCTCTTTGACATTGTAGATTTGGATGGTCTCGTCGCTCTCGGATGTCATGCACAGCTCGCCCGGGTCATCGTAGTCGATTGAGAGGATGTATGACGGCGGTTTCCCATCTTTGGACTCGTCCCTCTTGAAGAGCTGCAGGTGAAGCCCACGTTAGCCCACCGGAGCCACCGAAAGTCGAGGGCGCATCACAGCTAGGAATGCATACCTTGGTTGGCCTGAAATTGGCAATGACCTCGCTGACGGCAGAGGTGGTGCTGACATTGTTCCCCAAGGTCCTTGTGATGTTCAACTGGGGAGCTTCTGCCGGCGCCGGGGATGACCCGGCGTCGATGTCCATAGGAGTCGCCGACATGGTGGTGTGGAGGGACCGTCGACGAGTGACAGTGCACTCCAGAGTGGTGCGAAGAGCTTAAGCTGTTTTTCGGGTTGGGGCCCTTGGGGGGCGGGAGGTGGGGCTCGGACATGGATGACCTGCTGTTCCAATTGCTGTATGGAGTCGGCCAAATGGCCCACCTCTGGATTTCCGGGGAAGCTTCGGGACCTGATTAGCCCTGTGGGGACAAAGCACGACATGACGGACCCTGGCTGGCCAGCAGCTCCGACAATCGCAGCTTTCAGGAGTCGAGTTCTTTCTGGTCTTTCTGCCCGGACTTCCTGGGACCTTGCGGCAGCCAACCCATTTACACAATATTTCTGGTTGAGCCGTTTCGGATCCTCCGGCGACCACTAAACCCCCAGGAGTTGTCAGCGCTATGTCGTTATTACCATAAGGCTTCGTCTGCACCACTTTTCTGCCTCTCGCTCGGCTTGCCTCGGCGCGCCGCCGTCGCATACATTGACCGTGTGCGCTCAGTCATCAACACGGCACCAACACGCGGGCCACCAGCTGGTCTTGGAGACGTTTACTTTGTTCGAACCCGTTTTCCTGTGGAATTGATTTGTGCCTCTTGTATAAACATCGGTTGAATTCGCCCGAATGTCAACCACAACAGGGTACGAACATGGCCCGAGGTTTCGTGCTTGTCCCCCGTCGCCCTCTTCACTGACGATGAATGATGAATGCGCTGACCTCGTCGCAGGGCTTTCATCGCAGGCGGCATCGCCGCCTGTGGCGCCGTTACAGTAACACACCCCTTCGAGACGGTAAAGATCCGGTACGTGCGATGAAGCATTGTCTCTGCGGTCGTCCGGGGTGCTCGCAGTGCTCCTGACGTCCCGTGCTGCTCTCGCTTGACAAAGCTGACGGGGCGACTGGAATAGCATGCAACTCCAAGGAGAGCTCCAGGACAAGGGACACCAGCCACACCACTACCGAGGCCCTATTCACGGAGTTTCGGTCATCGTACGGAACGAGGGTCTACGAGGCATCTATCGAGGTCTAGGGACGGCATACACATACCAGATTCTACTCAATGGCTGCCGGCTGGGCTTTTACGAGCCCATGCGCAAGATGATCACATCAGTTATCTTCAAGGATGACAAAGTCCAGTCGCTTGGTGTCAACATGTTCTGCGGTGCCGGGTCCGGTGTGTTAGGTGCCATGGCCGGAAGTCCCTTCTTCCTAGTCAAGACACGATTACAAAGCTACTCGCCATTCCGGCCCGTTGGTACACAGCACAAGTACCGTAATGCGTTTGATGGACTGCGACAAATCTATACGGCTGAGGGTGTCCGAGGCCTCTACCGCGGCGTCGACGCGGCAATGATCAGGACGGGCGCAGGGAGTTCAGTGCAACTTCCGACATACTTCTTTGCGAAGAGGAGGCTGATGAAGCACGCGGGCATGGAAGAGGGCCCTGCCCTGCATCTGACCAGCAGCGCTATCAGTGGCTTCGTCGTCTGCTGTTTTATGCACCCCCCAGGTTAGTACACTGCCCCCCCCCCCCAAAAAAAAACCCCCACTGCCTTTGGACTGCCCAGCGCCCTAACTTGCAGCATAGATACCGTCATGTCGCGTCTCTACAACCAGCACGGGAACCTGTACAACGGCGTCTTGGACTGTTTATCCAAAACTGTGAGAACCGAGGGCTTCTTTGCGATCTACAAAGGCTTCCTGCCTCACCTGGCGAGGATATTACCACACACTATCTTGACCTTGAGTTTAGCAGAACAGACGAATAAGCTCGTCCGTAAGGTCGAGGGCCTTGTACTACCAATCGCGGAGACGAAGCTGTAGAGCAGAAGTTGGAAACGATGCATTTGAAGGGCATTTGAAGGGCATTTAAAAGCATTGGGGGGCTTGCAGAATACGGAAGCTCAATCGCATGTAGAAAGATACCAAAAGACATCGGCTGAAAGAAGTGCCCAATGTACTCTAAGCCGAATGCGAGGATGGCAGGCTTGGTGGGGCCTCAGGATAGATCCGTGAAGAAGTTGGAACTGAGGGTGAATGCACGCCTCATTTATTGGTTTGCAGGCACTACTTCATTTGCGGCATTCAAAAGCATAGAAAAGAACATCCACCATTGCCTCGGAAGACGAGAGTACCGACTGCGTGGTACCGTACACTTTTGGAAGACCCAGACCAAGACCTTATCCCTGGTGCCGGCCGCGGTGGGGGGACCCCACCAACCAAAGGCAGCTCTACTCTTTCGATGTAACGCCAAGCAGCTCGGAATTGCAGCTACCTAGACAGCCTCCCAAAACCACGGCCGGACTTGCAGCAATCACTCAGTGCGACGCCTGTCTCCCGTCCTCTTGCGCAGAGTATCCGGCATAAACTTGGACTCTTCAGCATACTCCTAGGCTCAGGCAGGCAAGGAAGGACCAGCACAGGCATGCCATACATACTTACGAGCCAGGAGTGGCTTGCCCAGTCCCGCCTCCTCATCGAGGCCCGCCCAACAACAGTACGTCTTCTCATCCTCTGAGCATGCCCTCCCGCGTCTAGGTTGCGACCGTTGCATCCCCGTCGCGGGAAAAGGAAATCACACACTCACCAAGCAACCTCCCCGTCAATAGGCCCGCGTCACCACAAAATACAACATCAAGCCCGTGAAACCACGAGCGACAAAGGTCAAGAAGCAGGACGATGGCGACGACACGCCCATGACCGACGCCTCGGCGACGAGCAGGCCGCCGCGCGCGTCCTTGATACTCAAGACCTACGACCCCCACTCGGGCGTCTGCCTCAAGTACAAGACGACCAAGGCCGCCGAGGTGTCGCGGCTCGTGCAGCTGCTGGGTGCCCTGGGCAGGAGGATGGCGGCGCTGCCCGACGCGCCGGCGCCTGTCGTCGAGGATGAGGCTGCCGCTGGGACTGCGACGCCGCCGGTCGGCCCCGCGGGCGGCGCGGCGGGAGGAGCTGGTCAGCCTGTCCAGCAGGCGCAGGCCGGGGCGGGAGGTGGTGGAGGTGGGAAGGGCAAGAAGAAGAAGGGCAAGCGGTGAGCGGGCTGTATGTTTGTCGACTGCATCCTTGACGTCAAGATGCGAAGGACGGCACTTCTGTCTTGGACAGCCAAATCTGTGTTTAACACCACCACCCCCCACACCCACACATATCAGCAGGCATTGCCTCGGTGGCTGATGGATGATCATTGGGAGGCGAGCCAAGCAAGGAGCTCAGGATACTGCAAGTCACGAGAACTGGGAAAGAGAGCAAGGGCATTCTAGAGGACATTGATGCCTGCCTAAAGAATATCTATTGTTACATGATGAGGATCCCGAGACTATATTTGTCCGCAGCTCCCTGTACCGTGAATTCATGACCCATCGCGAAATATTGGGTACTACCGATAATGAAAAACTCCACCAACGCCAGCAGATGACCAGAAACAAAACCACCGTGGCGGCCAGGTCTATATACCCTACGGCCACCAGTCAGAAACCATAGCGAGTGCTATGAACGAGAGAGCAGCTCTCCCTCTGTTGTCTATACCCAGAGATGCATGTACGGGAGTATTGTGCAACGTACGACCCAACTTGTCTTGGGACAAGGACGGGGTGCATTTGTAGACACGATTAGAAGTCTTCGTCGAAGGTGAAGTCTCCGCCGTTCTCACCCTTCTCCTCGGATGGGGAGTCGTCAGCAGGGACGGGCTTCTTGGTACTGGCCATGACACCGGCCTTCTGGTAGTCACCGACGCGCTTCTCAAAGAAGTTGGTCTTGCCACCAAGAGAGATGTTCTCCATGAAGTCGAAGGGATTCGACGACTTGTAAACCTTGTCATTGCCCAGAGCAACCAGGAGACGGTCGGCAACAAACTCGATGTACTGCTTCATGAGGTTGGAGTTCATGCCGAGGAGGGCACATGGCAGAGCCTCGGTCAAGAACTCCTTCTCGATGGCGACAGCCTCGGTGATGATGTCCTCGACACGCTGCTTGCTTGGACGGTTCCTCAGGTGAGAGAACAGGAGACAGGCAAAGTCGGTGTGCAGACCCTCATCTCGGGAAATCAGCTCGTTGGAGAAGGTCAGACCAGGCATGAGACCACGCTTCTTGAGCCAGAAGATGGAGGCGAATGCGCCGCTGAAGAAGATACCCTCGACGGCAGCAAAGGCAACCAGTCGCTGGGCGTAGGTGGACTCGCGGTCCTGGATCCATTTCAGGGCCCAGTCGGCCTTCTTGCGGATGCAGGGAACTGAGAAGCATGTGTCAGATGACGCGTGCATGAAGCGACTCGAGGGGGCAAGACTCACTCGTGTCAATGGCATTGAGAAGGTGGGTGCGCTGGGCGGGCTCCTTAATGTAGGTGTCGATGAGCAGCGAGTACGTCTCAGAGTGGATGTTCTCCATCATAATCTGGAAGCCGTAGAAGCAGCGGGCCTCTGGGATCTGGACCTCGCCGCTGAAGCGCTCCACCAGGTTCTCGTTCACGATTCCATCTGAGGCAGCGAAGAAGGCGAGGATGTGGGAGACGAAGTATCGCTCGTCGTCAGTCAGGCGGTTACTCCAGTCATGCAAGTCCTTGGAGAGATCGATCTCCTCGGCAGTCCAGAAGGAAGCTTCATGCTTCTTGTACATCTGCCAGATCTATAGCAGAGATGTTGTTAGTGTGGATCCACTTAACGCGTTGGACCGGGGGCGTGGCGCGTCGCGTACCTCATGGTATTGGATAGGGAACAGGACGAAACGGTGAGGGTTTTCCTTGAGGATGGGCTCATCAAGTTCGTCAGCACGGAGATCAGGGATCTTGGCTGGTTCCTCTGGTGCCTTGGTGATCTCCTTTGTGGCTGCGTGCTTCGCATCGAGGTCCTGAGCCAGGGTGGCGACAGCGGGGTCTTGGAAGTCATTCTCCTTGTTGGCGATGCCGAGGTCCAGCTTCTTTACTGGGGACTCCATGTTGAGAGACTCAATGCCAGAAGCAGCCTGTTGAAGTTAGAGCCAGTCCATTGTGCGCTGCTGTGGTTCTCCAGCAGGAGTGGGCAAACGCGGTCTCACCTGCTTCGAGGGTGTGATCTCCACAGACATGGTTGACGTATGGGGGAAACTGGTTGAAATGGCAGATGCAGGAATTACCACAAAGGATTGGAGTGTGAGGACCAAGACTGAATGGACTGGATATGTGTCTGAGTTCTGTCCGTGTTGTCTCAAGAAAGGTCTGTAGTGGGATGTCTGGAAGAGTTGAGAATGTTGTGACGAGAGGTAGGTAGTAGGTAGGGCCTTTAAAGTGAAAGAAGAGGCAACAGGCGCTAGGCCGTGTGGGTCTCTCCGACGCGTCTCGTTTTTTGGAGCTGGGCCAAAAGCGCGTCGCCCGACAGTGTCCCTGCACCCCTGGCAGCCTACCTGGCCCAGACATGCGACAATGTGGCACATTTCAAGACACAGTCAGGGCACCATCCACCCACTTTTGGTCGCATTGGCCCCGGTGATCAGATGGCTGGTACTTGTCTATTCCCTTGGCTCAGCTGTGCACTGGGTCTCCCCAGCCAGGGGGGTTCACATCCACCTGCTCTTTGGGTTTTCGGAGGGGACACAAATGGGCCCAGTCCCTGCCAGACTGCCAGAATGGTCAAAGGGCTTATCAGATCCTTTGATCCCGCTCCGTTTCCCTGACATCACCATCCACAACAACACCGATCATCACGCTTTGCAAGGTCTTGCCCGCCTTGGGCCCTCGTCTGCCTGATCACATTGCACCACTTCAAGCTAGGTTGTTTCCCACTGCCGCAAACCCTCATGGACAAGAATACTCATCAGTTATGCCTGTCATGAATCAGGATTGAATCACAACTGCACAGTGATTGCTCTTTGCCTGCTGGATGCTGAGAATGGATTCACACGTGCTGCAAAGTGCGTTATGACTAATACTGCCTAAAAGAAACAATCTCCAATTGCTGAACCATGCCGTGGCTGATCTTGTCCCGGAAAAGTACTGTGCCTCCGTACAGTATCCGGCTCTGTCCGCTCCGGTACTGCGCAACCTCAAAGTCATGTGTTACGTACCAGAGACGCGTCTCAAAGACGCGTCTTCTGGTAAAGTCCCCACACCCATGGTTTGCGGCTGCGATGTCGCTCCCATCTCCACTACGTTGCCGTGTTGTATCTTTCTTTCCTTCATGCCTATATCAACGCCGTGTCTGCTTCCCCTTGATCTTTTTCGTCGCCTTGGGCTGCTGTGGTGCAGATGCCCTTGGCTGTGATGCGGCCAGCCCCGCCTCGAGGTCGTCGTCTGGGTCTGCAAACTGCTGATTCTGCCCGACCTTTGCTTCCTCTGCTTTCTTTGCTTTGGCCTTCTTGACGAGGTAATCTTCCAGCAACCAGGTATTGCGCGAGTTGGCCTTATAAAGGGCGTCGGCGATGTCTCCAAGCAGCGGCACCAGCCCGATGGCGAAATCGGCGGCGACGTTGAGATACATCCTGTTCTTGATCTTACTTGGCAGCCCACCGTTGATCTTGTCTGCCTTGCGAATGATCCAGTAAGCTAAAAGGCAGTCGATAATATCGCCGAGCCTATGCACCATGGTTAGCAGCGGTTCGCCTCCAGTCCCACCGGTTTTGGGCCTGGGATGAGGAGCAGAGAAGCAAGCTTACACTGGGACAAGACCAATAATGACAGACCACCCAAATCGGAACCCACACCAATGGAAGAGGCTCATGTCCAGGTGCCACGAACGCCGCCGCACACTGGCTAGGATGGCGACATCGTGGTCATTCTCGGGTCCCGAGAGTCCCGGAGGTCGATAAATCTCCTTTCCCATCAAACCCTTCTTGTAATTCTTGAACTTTCTTTTCTCCTTCTTCTTCTTTTCAGACATTCCGCCTTGGGTCGGATGTGACTCGACATAGTAGAAGGGATCCTGAAGGCCGGTCAGACGGCATTGCGCCTACGCGAATTATCACAAGCTTACCTCAGAGTCGAAGTTCTTTGCGAAGTTGTTCAGAGTCTCGCCCTGGGCTTGTGTGACAGCCCGCCTGAGCACCGCTGTGCACCAACGAAGTAAGTAGATGAACTGGCAGTCATGGAAACAGACGGGAGTGAGTGTGTTCTGATGCAGGTTGTCTGGATCCACTCACCACCAGCAATTTTGGAAGTCATGTTTGGCGATTCTCAGATTCGCGCAAGATGCGTAGGAGCGCCGGTGATGCTGAGCGGAAGTGTGGGAATTATTGTGGAAGGTGAAGAATGACAGAGGGGAGAAACCACAGCCTGTCCCTCGGAGGCTGGGCCTCTTTTTTCTTTAAACAAAAGTGATGCGCCGGGTGGTAGGTAGTCGTGGCGGTCAGACGTGAAGGCCGAATAATTGGCTGGCCGGCCGGAGATGAGAATGTCTGATGAGTATCAGAAGACAGCCCTCGAGAGCGAAACAAGGGGTCGGAGGGCAGTCAGAGGCCCGGGGCAACACAGACTTGGAACACGGAACAAAAGTTGACAGGAGACGGTGTCGGATGCACAGATCAAAGACGCAAGTAAGTGGGAGTGAGGGCCTGTTTATGACCGTTTGATGTTGTACTGCCAACTGAGGGCGCCAACACACCAGACACTCATTAAGCGTGATCAACGGCGAGGCAACACGCACCGCTCTTCAATGCGACGCATGTTGCGCCGCCCAGTTAGTCGCAGGCCACACTAGCACAATACCGGATTTGCGACAAGCCCAACCCATGAAACCAAGCTCCTGGCCCCCATTACGTCAAGAGCTTCTAGGCCCATCCCGATCCTGGCCGCTGTTAGTGCAGAGTGTGGCTGTAGCTCCCTCGTGGGAGTGCTGCCGTTACGGCCCATCTGCCCTCAAGCTACAGTTTGTACTCTGCATGTAGTTGGATGCGAATGATGCATAGACAATAACCTGGTCTTGCTTGGGAAACGGACGGCATAGCCACATCGTGACAGGGTTTTATCCTCTTCGTCAAGCCACAAGTTGTCCACAACAATACCCCTCTGCCCTCCACGCAGGTCGTCGGAGGCCAAAGCACTGATGAGCTAAGCGGGCGGCAGCCCATCAACCCATCACTCGCCCCCCTGGCAATGCGATCGGCTGCCCAGCCACAGCTGCCGCGCTCTAGCAGCCCAACCCAACCCAGCAACTGGGGTGCGACCCGGCCGGCAGCGAGGCCTACAAGTGACTTGCTGGGCAGCCAGTGGCAGCTACCCGCCACCTCACCTCGCATTGACTCCGCCGGGCCCTGGACATAGCTCTCTCTGCTTGCGCAGCAAAGTCTCACAACAGAACCACGACTACTCGGCCGTTGCTATTTCTACCACCTACCTAGAGGTCTCCTGCCTCCGTCTCCGCGGGGCCGCATTCAGGCGCGGGCTGGGCAGTCATTACCAGACATCCAATTACACAGTATCATCACTACTTTTTCTTTTCTCGCGCCCCTCTCCACCCCACGTCGCCATCACAGCGAAACCTAGTCCCAAGCCGTTGACCCGCTCGGCCCAAACCAACAAGCGACCCACACCGGCCTGACAACAACGACGTCGCTCTGCGGTCCTTCCGGTACCTATAACATCCTCCTTCGCACCGCACCACAACCGTCACCGCCCACATTCCCGGACCGTCGCAGCGCTGGTAGATATGATCAACAAGCCAACCCGTCATAATGGACCCATCACGGACGACGTTAGAAGACTGTAAGCCCTCTCACTGTGATGATACGCCGCCAGCACAGCAAGCCATCCGCGGCGGGCAGCCTGCTGACCGACATGTCCTGTAACCAGGGCTGGACGAGCTTTGTGCTCGCTTCCTGAATAATCTCCCAAAGGAGGAGTTGCAGGAATTCAGCAGAATCGGCATGCATCTCGAAGAAGCACAATGGTTCTACGAAGACTTCATCCGGCCCTTGAACCCCACCACCCTGCCAAACCTCAGGATACGAGATTTCAGTCTGCGAATCCTCCAGCATTGTCCCGTCACCTCCATCGCCTCGCTCGACATCCTTGAAAAGGCATACGATAACTGGGTTGCCTACAAAAAACGGATACCAGTGCGGGGCCTGATCATGCTCAACGAGGCCATGGACTCAGCCGTGCTCGTCAAGGGTTGGAAGTCCAGCGCCAACTGGAGCTTCCCCCGCGGCAAGATCAACCAGGAGGAGGACGACTTGCATTGCGCGATACGTGAAGTCTACGAGGAAACCGGCTTCAACGTGGAGGAGGCCGGGTTGATACCGCACAACCGGAAAGTCAAATACTTCGAGCAGACAATCAGGGATCAGCATCTGCGCCTCTACGTGATCCCAAACGTACCCATGGATACACATTTTGAACCCAGGACAAGAAAAGAGATCTCCAAGATCCAATGGTACAAGCTGGTTGACCTTCCCGGGCGTGTCAAGAAGAAACAAGCACAAGATAATGCTGCGGGCCCAAATGCTTCCAAGTTCTACATGGTAGCGCCCTTCATGGAGCCTTTGAATAGATGGATCAAGCACGAGATCAAGAAGAAGGACAAGATGAGGAACAGTCGCCGGTCTGGCCCTGCTTTGCAGGCCGAGATGGATGAAATCATGACGGAGGAGGAGGGCACCGCGACAGAAACCAGGACGGATCTGCCTCCGCCCTCAGATGCTAAAGACCACGTCCATGAGGCTGCAACTCGAGAGCTCCAAAGACTCTTGAAGATCCAGCCGCAGGCGCAGGCTCCACAGCCGGCGGCGCCCCCAGATCTGAGCCAGGATCGCGGCCAGGCGCTTCTGGCAATGTTACAGCAACAGAGGGACGCGCCGAGCGAGAGCCAGCTTGGGAGAGCTCCACCTGATGCTCATGTACCGCACACACCCTTGGATCATGTACACAACGTCGCCCCGATCCCTCAAAATCCCCACCATAATCACTCCTCTCATCGACTTCCAGCGTACCAGCCAGCGCATCCTCCTTTTCCTTCACAGCCAGACATGAACAGTCAGCTTCTGTCTGTCCTTGGCGCTGGGGGCGCACCCGCAAGGCCCGCGCCGCAGCAAGGACAGGCGACATACCAGCAGCCATCAGCACAATACACCCCGAACAGCGTTAATCAGCCAGGCTTGGTACACCCGCAGCCTCTACCTCGTCAAGCGAACCACCTCTTGGCGAATGCCCTGGGGCCCAACCCGGCCCCTGACAATAGGACCGGCCAGATGTACCAGCAAGCGAGCATGTGGCCGCAGTTCGCTGCAGGTATGGGAGCGTCGCAACATATGCCGCAACACAGCGCGGCCACCTCGCGTCTGCAGGCAGCGCCTCTGGATAATGCCCGTCAAGCTCTGCTTGATGCTTTCAAGAAGGACACCACCCCGGCACAGAAGCTTGCACAGCAGTCTGCACAGCAGCATGTGCAGCAAAGTCCAGCTTCGCAAAATCGCGTGGAAGGGGGCCAGAGACCAAACCAGCAGCTGACATCGCAGAACCTGGCCGCCTTGGCATCAACATATTCTCCCGGACGGCATGGCGGGCAGCCTATGCAGGCCCCAACAAATGGAAGCCCTCAAATTGCTGCCGCTCAAGCGGCTCTGAGGCCGTCAAATGTGCCAGAGAGCCAGAGAACTGCACTGCTGGACATTTTCAAGCAAGCTGCGACCGCGTCTCCCACACGCCAAGGGGCTCAATTGAACTTGAAAGAGAACAACTCTCCAAAGCGGCAACAGCAGCAACCTGCTCTTCTCGGCGGGGGCTCATCGGTCGCACAGATGAACAATGGCTCAACCCAGCTGAACCTGGGACTCCCTTATGGTGCGCCTTTTGGGGCACAATACCCCGCGGCTCGTCCTCGGGACGGTGAGCCTGGCAACATTCTACCGCAATCACATCTGGGGCCGGTGCCACAAAACGTCGAGAATATCGGTCGTGGTCCCCACAGCTATTCCACAACCGGGCTGCCTTATAGCGGCACTTCTCGGCCTGCGCAGTCTCAAGCGCAAGGTGGCATGGCCACCCTCCCCAACGTGGCTCAGCATCACCAGGCGGCGGATCCCCAGCAGCTGCAGAAACTGATGTCTTTGTTCAATAAAGAGTCACCAACCATAAGCTCGCAGGCGCCTCCATCGAGTTCGTATAATCCGGTCGCAACGCAAAGCAGCAACAACCCTGCCTTGTTCAACATGGGAAGGCTCGCAGCCCAGCTACCCAACGCGGGCTCGAATCTTGTCCCGCCTGGAACCTCCCAGGGCTTGGACGGGGCCAGCAGCTCCGCGTCGATGTCGCGTCGCGGTAGCCAGCAGGCGCCGATATCGCCCGAGAACGAGAAGTTCCTGCTAAACTATCTCAAGACTGTCAGTAGCTCTGCGAAATAGTCAGACTTGGATCGTCACCGGGATGGTCTGGCGGGTGGAGCGTAGATTGCAGTTGTTGACCACTTCATGTTGGAGAAGCATTTTTCCGGGCGAGCACGCTTAACGATCGTCTGCTTCACTATCAGAGCGGGAGAATGACATTGGACTGGGACGAGGTCATGGAGTGATATGGGGCATTTCTGACTGGAGACATCTCATAGCGCTGGAGTAGGCGATCTTGCAAGCTTGATTCGAAGTTTGGGACGGGTCAAGAGTCGGGTCCCTCTCTTGTTTTTTTTTTCTTTCTTTTCTTCTTTTTTTAGCTTGAACATTCGGGGTAGAATCAATCATTGGAAGCGGCTCCACAGCGACAATGTGTGGCCATAGTGCTCTGTCACCACCGGGCTTGCAGAAAACTGATGCCTGTGCTGACCTAGCGTAGCGTGGCGGGCCCTCAAGTCATTCTGGCCGGACATGGCACGTTTGATGTTCCTCTGGGTGATCATACGGCTAGCAGGCAGCCAGTCAAGCTGTTAGAGATCAGACCTGGAGCCCGACAACCAACTGATAATGCGGCGCGTAGTTCTTCATCTTCAATTGAGTTCCCCATAGCGGTACAACCCGGTTGCAGCGGAGACCACAGGACCCTTGAACCCCGACCACCATCCGCCTGAAGGCCCAGTGCAGACAGATGATGGACATTGCGTACCTAGGTACCTACCTACCTAGGTACCTAGGTAGGTACCTAGGTAGGTATTTAGGATAGATTCTGATTATTGCCCGCTTTCTTGAGGGTCCAGCTGACTTGTTGGAGACTGATAGTAGCATTTCGACTGTGCACCCAAACATGGCCCCGTCTTAGCGGGACACGGTCGAGACCATCTCTGCGGCAATGTCTGCCCAGGCATCTACCCTAGGTCACTAGACACCTCATCTACCCTGCGACCGACAACTGGGTTATTTATATAGGAATGGCACTGTGTTGTGCACATATTCAGAATCCCCAACCCAACATCATTCACTGCCGCCTGCCCTGTGGACCCTTGACGTTGAAAGTGGATTTGCTGACCCCCTGCACATGTTCTCGCGCTAGAAGGCGCGGAAGAAGAGCCGCTCGTCTAGCTGCATCTCCCCTTCCAACAAACAGCACGCTTGCCCAGGCTGACCTACAGGGGTAGGTGCGGTTGTTAGTTGGTCCTGCCTGTCTGGTGTCACCAACATACCCAGGTACGCTGGGCCTTGCGAGCTGGGATTTTGTCCTGCCATGGGGGATTGCTTTGCTCTCGAGCTCCGTTTGTCCAGTCTTCAACTTCAGTCCTGCCCCTCAGCTTCTCCTCGTGGCCCGCCATGTCGGCCTCGCCTGATCCCAAATTGGTCACTATTGACCGCGCATACTTTGACACGCTCGTCCGACGGTAAGTCACCAGATCCAGCTTCAAGCCTTCTGCCTTCTGCGTTGTGCCTTCTCTGCTCCACTCAGATTCGTCGTGTGTCCTGGGCACCCCGGAGCTATTTTGGCATAATTGTCTTCGGGCACTGCTTTTGCATTTAACCTGTTCCCTGAGCTAATGACCCTTTCAAATTCAGTGCCAATTTTGTGAGTTACAAACCTGCCCACATGTCGCCAAGCGAGCATGCTCTGGTCTTGTGGTCTGATCTACCTTCGAGAACCGCCAAGATGCCATCCTCAGCTCGGATGTCTGCATTACCAAGACAGAGTACGATGGTCTGAAGCACCTCGTCGCCAAATACGGTATGCTAAAGGAACTCAAAATTCAGCGGCTGCCACGCTCCTCCTCTGACGCCCCCTTGCAGCGAACCTGAGACAGAACCTGGTGCGAGGTGGTGTCGACGAGGCAACAATTGATGTACGTTGTGTCAATGATGCGAACAGAGAAAAAAAGAGAGAGAAGAAAAAACGCCTCCTCAAAACCCTATCGGGCAATCCCGACATCCTATCCAAGGTACGCCAGGCCGCTGACGGGAATGTTTCCAGCTTCTCAGCAAAGACGATGCCACGCTCGAGCAGCAGGCGGCAGCTTCATCCCCGACTACTGCCAAATCAACCAACAATACTACCACGTCCTACACACCCCAATCCCCCTGCTCGCGCGTCCTCGCCCATCAAAGGGTGCCCAATGGCAGCGCAAGCTACGAATCCAAGGACCACCACAAGGTGTCCGCTCATGTCCATTCCCTGGGGGATGATGATGCAGGCGACGAAAATTACTCGGTCTCTGGTGGTGGGCCCGTGGGCAGTTTCCTGACCCAAGTCCCCAACAGTCATGCTTCGACCCGGCCGCATTACGAGCGGCAATGTGCGAGATCTCTTCTCCTGAGTAAGCTCCCCGACAACACCACGCATGCCGACATTACCGACGCCGTGCGTGGTGGCAAGTTGCTGGACATCCACTTGCGGCCCAATGACCGCACCGCGGCCGTATCATTCCTTCTCGCAGCTGATGCCAGGGCCTTCTTTGATCACGTCAAGCGTCACGACTTGTATATCAATCACAAGCGGGTGTGTGGTAAACCAATCTGCTCCAAAGATTTATGAGCCAAGATGTTGACGGCTGCCAGGTTGACATTCGTTGGAATGATCGCCACTTCATCTTACCGGGTCATGTTGCGAGCAAGGTCGGCATCGGTGCCACCCGGAATCTTGTGATTCGGCGTTGTGATCCACGCTTTACGGAGTCAGTTCAAGTATCCCGGTTATTACGGGCCCGAGTTGCCCGTGATAATAACCCCTTTCGGTCTCACCGCTTTTACTGACACACACAACAGGCAGGGCATCAGGAACGACCTTGAACACATCCACAACCTTGTTGTGATAAAGGTCGAGTTCACCGGCGGGAGCTGCTATATCAAGACAAACTCGGTGCACAATGCAATGTTTGCCAGAAGTTGCATGATGAGTCGAGCGCAAGTGTGATGCTCCGAAGACAGGCCGAACATTGACTGACGACGCTTCCAGCAAATACAAGGGCAGCAAGATCGATTGGGATCTGGACGAGTGTGACCAGCCCTTTGCGCGCATGGCACAGCCCAAGCCCCGTCAGCAGATGCCCACCAACAGCAAGGCCAACGGCGGCACAATGGCCAACCGTTTTGGCCTCTTGAACATTGACGAGGATGAGGGCGGCGACGGTGACGGTGACGCCCTGTCGTCTCCAGGCTTCGGCGCCGCCAAGAAGACCATGTTGGCTGCCTGAGAGCGCAATCAAGAAGCTCGAGCGTTGTTGTGCCGTTTTGGCTCTTGGCCAGTACGTGGGTCGGTTTTGACAAGGAGGACAGAACGTAGCATGGTAGGGCATAGGATTATGGACCTTTCGAATTGATGTTTTCCGGCATTCATTTAGACCCTGGGGTGGGTTGTCACGGGTGCATCGGGAGCCCCTAGAAACTTGATCAAAAGGCGTGTGGAGTCTCGGATGGCCCATGGCTACGGATGCAGCATACTTTGCATTGTTCTTTTCCTCGTTTAGGACGCCGGTTTGGCGACATACATAGCATGGCAGAAATGTAATTCCGCAGCTGTCGAGTAATGACTGTGTTGGCTGAGGAGGCAGCTGAGCTTCATATCGTGCACAATGTGGTGCATTGCGTGGTCGACTGCTTACACCGTCTCGTCTCGTGAAGTTCATGGGAGTGAGTGCTGTAAGAACTCAGGCCTGTGCGGGTCAGGGCCGGAATTCTCTGTGCTATAGCTACCTGGGCACTGACATGCATCCGAAGAACATGATCTTGTGGCCGTGCGAATGCCCACAGAGTTGGTTCTGGCTTTGGCTGCGTGACCGTGACTTGTTGCACAAGCTGGCCTCGAGATAGGAAAGCGGACAAATTCTGACGGACCGAGCTGGATGAACCGGCCGGCCGGGACACCACCTCTGTGAACCGTGCCTGTACCATCCCATGTGCGGTGTGAGTGAGAGTTGTACGGCGACACACGGAAATGTCTTGTCTGCGCCGTGGCGTGAGGCTCGAGTCTGGCGGTGGAATGGATCATCGCGATCCCCTCTTCACATGCTTGTCACAGTAAGGTTTGTGGAGCCCGTCGATCAGGCAGTCAGGCCGGGTTGATGGACAGACTGGCTGACTGGACGCGAGGAATGTACGGAGTACACTGACGTGCTGTGTAATGGCCACCAGGCGCAGAGAAGATAATAAGCTCGTGATGGAGCGGGACGATTGCTCCAGACTCCCTCCCCCGTCTGCGAGCAAACGACTCGGGTGGCCAGGTGGCCTGGCTCGCCTTGGTGGTTGACCTCATGTATGTACATGAATTATTTTTAGCAGGGGTTCACGGTGCGCCACAACACGAGAAAACGGGAACATGGAGCTGGGAGCCGGGTTGGCAGTGAGCCCCCATTGCGGGTAATACGAACTGGGCCGGGATCCTGAGTGGCCAGGCTGGATCCATCGGTATTGCCACTACTCCGTATGTACTGAAGTACAACTACACTACCACCAACCACCGCCACCACCACCACCACCACCTTGTTCCAAGGCGGGACATCATGCGAGGGGGGGGCATTGATGAACAGCGGCTGCACAGCCAAGGAGCCTGTGTCAAGATCTGCCGGCAGAGACAGACCAGACCAGAGAACTGCCCACTCTGCCCACTCTATCTATCTTCAGAGCGCATGCACTGAAGTCAATATTGTGCGATGGCTGACAACCTTGAAAGACACTCCGTACAAGAATGAGGTCCAAAACCATAGGTACTTAAGTACCTACCTAGGTAGGTACCTACAATAGGCACTGTACACGCAGTATAGTGCATGGGCCTGGCCAGGGACTGGCTGCCATGGCTGCTCGTTGGGAGTCCGGAGTCCGGACTGACTGGGGCGTCTGCAGGGCCTTCGCCTCCAGGGGGAGGGGGGCAGGTGGGAACGGTCCTGCTAGTCCGAATGGTCTGCTGTGATTCGGCATTCTCTTCTCGTCACCCCTGCAACCGATCCCCCGATGCTTTCTGCCCGTCCCCATGGCCTTTTTCCTGCCCTGCCTGCACCTCTAATCCAACCTCCCCTTTCCGTTCAACACCGCTCTTGTCATTGTGCAATAAACACCCTCGCTTTGTTGTTCACCCCAGTGTTGCTCCTCGTGGCCGCTGCCTGACGCTCGCTTCCACCGCCCTGACACGTTCGCTCCGCCCACAGCCAAAGCAACGAACCCGTCCGAGCCCTCGCCGGCCCCTGATCCTCGACTCATCGCACGTCCGCCAAGCCTGTGTTGTGCTCGCCAATCATTACACCAGCACGCCCCAACACGTCTCTCGCCATTACAGTGCTGCTTCACGACCAGACGCCACCACACCGTGGACACATCGTGGGACTGATCTAGTTTTGAACGGGTATTTTGGTTTCGGGCTCCTTGAGGCGGGAGGAGTCGAGATTTAGGATCTGAACTGAAATCGCCGCCCCCCCTGCTTGAGGGCTTTCATCACTCCGATCCCAGCCTTCCTGTGGCCCATCAACAACAACAACAACAACCGCCACCGCCAATATGAAGGCCGCACACCTCACCACCGCCCTTCTGTCTCTCGCACCCATAGCCTCCGCGTATGCCTGGCCAGAGTGGCTGCCAGAGCTTGATGCTCTGGTTGTGAGGCAGGACTCTGAGTCCTCCGGTATGTCTCACTCCCATGGCACGGCAGCGAGCCACGTCTCGGGTGCAGATTAAAGACTGACCAAGGGCAACTCGCACAGCATCCTCGCCAGCACCTACCGCAACTGCATCCGCATCTGACGACCCTGCGAACGCCGGCGGCAACCTGAACACGGCAGGCATCACCTCATCGGGCGACTCCGAGTCAGCCACCGCGACTGACGATGCAAGCGGGTCCGCAACAGGCACCGCTTCGGGTACGGCCAAGGACAGGAGCTCAACGGGCAGCAGCAAGAGCTCAAAGACGACGGCGAGCCCAAACCCCGACGACCCGGCCGGCAGCGCCGTCATAATGACGCCCCAGACCACCATCACGAGCGCCCTCTACCGCATTGGCGAGTTTGTCACCTTGGGCTGGAACTACACAAACGTGCAGGTCACCCCCACCGCAGTCGACGTCGTCATCTCGTGTACCACCGCCTCCGAGACTTGGACCCTGACGTCCAACATGACCTATGAGACCTCGGCTGCCCTGACATGGGACACGGGTGCCTTCCAGAGCGACTCGGCTCAAAAGCCCCTTCTCGTCGAGCAGTACATCATGTACGTCTACGACGCCGACTCGAGCATTGGTGCAACCGCCGGCCCCGGCGAGCTGACGCCCGCTGCCGCCATGACCTTTGGCCTGTACACCGGCCAGCCTTACACCCCGCTCGCTAGCGGCTGGGTCTGTGCAACCTGCAGTGGTGCCATGTCCAGCAGCGAGCGACAGGCCCTCGGCTTCCTGGTCACCGTGGCGGCAATCACCGTGGCCAGTTTCACTTGGTTCGTGACTGGCGTGTGATCATATCCCGCGCTTCATACATGCAACCATCTATACATATGAGCCTGGCGTGGAACTTAATGTGTCATGTCTTGTGAGCACTGAGCGGTAATGGCGTGTGGATATGGTTGAGCGATTAAATGGGGCGGTTGTGCATATCTATCTTTGGACGTTTGGGCTGGAATCGAATCCACCGGTTGTTTGAGCGGCGTTGGCATATCTGGGTTTTCATCAGGTTTTTTGGGGGCAAAAAGTCCGGCGACACTTTGAGATGTACTTATCAGCCCGGCTGCACACTCATGCAATCACATATAGTAATGACGCATCTGGTGTGTTGGGATGAAATATGTGGGGTGGACTAAGGTAGTCGCAAGCAACTACGTAATGAACAAATTATCAACATATTTCCCTCCAGGCAGTTCAACGTCGATTCGACATGGCCATGATTGCTTCCAAAAGTACTACGAGAATGCCAACCACACCGAGTGGGACAGCGTAGTGGATTAGACCATCCTCAGCGAGAACCCCCCGCCTCGTTCCTCCTTCTCCCTGCCTGCGAAGATTCCACTGAAATCAACCGCCCCAAGCCCAACCGCATCCCCTCGCCCAGGCGCGTTCGGGGTATCCCTCCGTCGGCGACGCTCCTGGCCAGCCTTGCTTGGGAATGTCGGGAACATGGCCTCGGACTTGGGCCGCGGGTCCTGGCGGAAATACTCGTGGTCCAACATCTCCCTCGCGCTGGGCCTCTTGGCCGGGTCCAGGGACAAGAGGCCATTGAGCAACGAGGCGCCCGCCCCGGTGAGCAACGGGAACTTGGCGCGGATGACGGAGCCCGTGGTGTTGCCCCTGCTGGTGGGCGGGAGGCGCAGCGACCTGGCGTTGGGCAGCCTTCTGAACCCGGGCCAGGTGTCGTCGGTGGGGATGCCGCAGAGCTCAAAGATCTTGGTCAGCTCGTCCACCTCGTTCTTGCCCTGCAGCAGCGGCTCCCGCGTCAGCAGCTCGCCGAAGATGCATCCCACGCTCCACATGTCGACGGCCTCGCCGTAGCTTGACGCGCCCAGCAGCAGCTCGGGCGCGCGGTACCACAGCGTGACGACCAGCTGGGTCAGCCTGGGCGGCGGGTCGCCGACGTAGCGGGCCATGCCGAAGTCGGCGATCTTGAGCTGCCCGCGGTTGTTGAGGAGGAGGTTGGACGTCTTGAGGTCGCGGTGCAGCACCCAGTGCTCGTGCAAGTAGGCGACGCCGCCCGCGAGCTGGAGTAGGAGCGTCTTGACCTCGCTGGCCAGGAAGGGCTGCGGCATGTCCTCGAGGATCGATTTGAGGTCGTGTTCGAGGAATTCCAGAACGAGGAAAATACTACAGGGACGCAAGTCGAAACACGCCAAGGTCAGCATTGTGCTCTTGTCACGGAATGGAACGGAGCGAGAGAGAGAGAGAGAGAGAGAGAGAGAGAGAGAGAGAGAGAGAGAGAGAGAGAGAAAGAGAGAAAGAAAGAGTCTGGCACGCATTCTACGCACTTTTCTATCTTGGACGTGTCTTCGCCGACGACCACCTCTTGCAGCTTGACAATATTCCTGTGATCGCAGTCCTTGAGGATCTGTATCTCCCGCAGGCCGGTGACGGGCAGCCCGTTCCGGTCGTTGGGCTCGATCTTGAGCCTCTTCAGCGCGACCACCTTGCCCGTTGCGATCTCCTTGGCCCTCGCGACCCAGCCGTACGCGCCCTCCTCGATGTCGTTGAGCTTGTCGTACTTCTCTACGCTGTTGGACCTGCCGAAGCCGCCATCAGCCTGGAAGCGCAGGAGCCGTGGGCCTGCGCTCTTACTCCCTCCGCCCTGGGCTTGTTCCGACTGCCGCTCTGGTGTCAGTCGCCGCCTCTTGGCTGGCCGTCCGTCTTGGTCGTCTTCGTCTCCCACCGCCGTCGCCGTGGCCGTGGCCGTGGCCGTGGCCGCAGCTGCTTGCCGCTTGTTCTCCTCCTCAGCCCGACGGGCTGCCTCTGCCTTCTCCCTCTTCAGCCTCTTCTTCTCCTCCTTCTCTCTCCTGGCCTTGGCCTCTCTCGCGGCGTCCTCCTCACTGTCGGCCCATCGCGATTTGCCCTTGCCGGACATGGTTGAACCGGGACAGCAAGGAGGTCAAACGCAGGGATCGAGAAGATGCAGCCAGGGAACGGAGCGGGAGGAGGTGCGCGGGAGAGAGGCGAGCAGCAATTTTATGCAGAAATAAAAGTGAAAGCGCGGGGGTTATGCTGCAGAAGTGAGTTCGTTTATGAATGGATAGGATACTTAAGTAGGTAGGATGATGTCGACTCAGCTTGCCTGCCGCGGCACGCAACTGCCGTGCCAGGGTGCTGTGCTAGGTGTGCTTTACAGGGGTCTGTTCTGTCTGTCTGCAAGCACTTTTCAGAAGCTTCCCCAGCTCGGAGCTACAAGGGCATTGTGAGAGCTCTCACACCCAGACCTGCCTTAGTTAATTGCTAGCTTGGATTCCTCAGGTAGAACCCGTGAAGTCCCCGAATACCGAACCAAGGCAGTAATGTCCATCTCACGATGAATACGGCTGGTGGTTCAAATTAATTCTTGCACTGGCTGAATTGTCAAAATGAGGCCGTTTTCACGCAGAGTGGCCTCTCGGGGGCTTGGGCTGTCTGCAAGATATACGAACCGCCCAGGCCTTGTAGCCTCTCAGTGCTTCCGGGCCTTTTCGATGACGGCGTCGAGGCGTAGTGAGGATGGCTCGAGAAAGTGGTCTACGCCTCTCGCAAAGCAACTCGCCCAAGCCATGGAGGTCTGTATGCTCGGGCAACAATACTACACACACACATGTGCGCAATGACTAATAAGTCGACCCAGATGACCGGGCCTATCCCCCTTGCCAGCTATATGCGCATGTGCCTGACGGGTGACGTGGGCGGCTACTATACCGGGGCCCTCGAGCAGGGAAGAGACCAATTTGGCCAGAAGGGGGATTTTGTCACCTCGCCAGAGATTTCTCAGATATTTGGAGAGCTCATTGGCATATGGTTCGTGGCCGAATGGATGTCCCAGGGCCGCCCAAGGACGGGCATTGAGCTCATTGAGGTCGGCCCTGGGAGAGGCACTCTGATGGATGACATCCTACGGGTACGCCATGTCACCTCCTCCCCAGAGGATTTGAGGCGGGCTTGCTGATCCTGTGTGTGCAGACCATCTCAAACTTCAAGGAAATGGCCAATGCGATCGACGCAATCTACATGGTCGAGGCCAGTCCCGAGCTCAGAGTTACCCAGAAGAACCTCTTGTGTGGGCAGGACCGACAAATGACAGAGTCCAAGAGTGGTTACCACAGCACATGCAGATATGCAGATCTCCCAATTGTGTGGACCGAGGCTGTCAGATCAATTCCTCAAGGTAGGAGACCCGGGCTTGAGACAACGGCGTGGACTGCGCTGACCCAAGCAGGCTCGGACAAGGTCCCCTTCATCGTAGCCCACGAATTCTTCGATGCCCTGCCCATACACACCTTCCAACTCGTCACCGTCCCCCATTCGCAGGCGCCCACCCAGTCTTCCTCCCCATCATCGCCCCAGGCATCAGACTCCACAAAGCCAACCGTCCAATGGCGCGAAATGGTCGTCTCGCCCACACCGCCAGGCTCGACGCACCAGAGCCTCGGGACGCCCAAGTCCCAGTCCACAGACACACCCGTGCCGGACTTCCAGCTCACCCTGTCGCCATCCTCAACTCGCCACTCACTCTACCTGCCCGAGTCGTCCCCGCGCTACCGCGCCATGAAATCCATCCCGGGGGCGCTCATCGAGATCTGCCCGGACGCATCCTTATACGCGACAGACTTCGCGACGCGCATCGGCGGGTCCGCAAAGCACCCCAAGCACAAGCCGTCGGGGGCGGCCCTGATCCTCGACTACGGGCCCGGCGACGGCACGGTGCCCGTCAACTCGCTGCGGGGGATTAGCAGGCACCGGCGCGTGAGCCCCTTCGCCGAGCCGGGGCTGACAGACCTGAGCGCCGACGTGGACTTTGCCGCCGTTGCCGAGACGGCCCTGAGGGCGAGCGAGGGCGTCGAGGTGCACGGTCCTGTGGAGCAGGCGGCGTTCCTCGAGGCCATGGGCATCAGGGAGCGCGCCGAGATGCTGGTCAAGGCACTTAGGCAGAAGGGCGAGGGCGAGGCCAAGGCCCATGACGTTGAGAAGGCGTGGAAGAGGCTCGTTGATCGCGGCCCGGACGGGATGGGTAAGACGTACAAGGCGCTCGCGATATTGCCGGAAAACGATGGTAAGAGGCGACCGGTTGGTTTCGGAGGTGACGTTCGAGCTTGAGACGCGCTCGAAGTCTTAAAGCTCGAGTGGAACATGTGCCTGTAACAGAGGAAGCCTCGGGCTGCACGCACGCATGTGCTATGCAAACCAGGTTTTTCCTATTAAACTGATAATGAAGCTCAGAACGACCCATGCCTACTGCCCAACCACATGCCCATGAGCACTCCCGCTTAAACGCCAATAAATCTATAACATTACAACGCAAGTGTATCGCTACCGCCTTGTTGGCCGATCCTGCTCTCACTTCTGTCCCATGATAATCCTCACGCTGTCAAGGGAAGGTGTCGCCATTCGACAGTGGTCATTTGCCATTGCCTTTTACCAGCCCAGCATCTTCGTCGTCGTCGTCCGAAAACTTGTCATCATCTCCGATGGCGAAGATTGTCTCGCCATCCAGCGAAGCCCGTGGTCGCTGGCTACTGCCGTTCGCAGCAGGCGCGCTTGGTGCTGCCTGGAAGCTTTCCACCCCACTCGTTTGACCCCCGCGGGTCGTGTTGATGGCTGGCTTGGAGCCGACGTTCGCCTCCTCGTCGTCCGAATCATCCGGAGCTCCGATGTCCATGTTGTTGATCTCAAAGGTGCCGTCGTCATCCTAGCAAGTGTGTTAGCATGAAAGAGCGCCGAGGACCCCTCATTAGTAAAATATGGCAGACGTACCTGAGCGATCTCGTCCGACATGGCGAAGCGACGGTTGTTCGCAGTAGGCCTCCAGACATAAGCAATCCATGCGACATCCGCGAAGTAAACCAGGTTCAGCCATCCGTCGAGAACGAACCACCGCGACTTCCAATGGAAGGGGACATAATCTGGGTCACTGGCCGAGGCGAATGAGAAGCTATTGAAAAAGAAAAAGGCGAAGATGACGAGGATGCTGAGCAGAATGCACCACCACAGCTTCTTGTACATCGCCTCTTTCGCATGTTGCTTGCGCTCCCTCAGGTCCTTGAGCGTGAAGTTGAGCGAGTTGAGCGTCCACACGTAGAATGCGGTCAGTGTTGCAGCCAATGGCAGAACAATGAGTAGCACGAAGGGCCCTGGACAAGTTGGGTGAGTCTCGTGTCCAAAAGCAGGATTTCATAGCAGGTTGACCCTTACCTGCGCTGTCAGGAGTGATCAAGAGGCTTGTTATGGCGTAGACCAAGCCGAAGACGAAATGGGCAATTGCCAACCATCTCACATAGATCATAGTGCGGCCAAGCGTCGGCTTGACAACACCATAACCCATACAAACAATGAGCAGCAAGAAGAACGAGAATGAGTTCCTGGCCGCATTCAAGATTCCGACAACGACCAGTAGGACCTTGGAGCCCACATTCGAGCCGTTGCGGTTCAGGTAGTCTGAAGAGTGTGTTAGCCTTGTTTGTCTTTTCCCGCGGTATCCCGTATGGATCCTATTTCATACCGTAGAAACCCCAGGTCATGAGCATCTCAACAACGAGGAATAGCAGGATGGCCGTTATGTAGTTCTGCACAGCCACTAGAAAACGTGTCAGCACACGCAACCCCAGGTCACACGACACACGACAGCAAACATACAGATGTCCGCATGATGCTGGTAGTAGAGGAAGCCCCAGAAGACGGCGACCAAAGCATAGAGGATCGTTATTCCTCCATAGAATGGCAGCTTGGGTATCTGGGTGGCCGGAAGTTCTCCATAGGCATTGCGGAACTCGACGACTGCCCTGTAGTCGTTTGCGGTGTACTTGTCCGTAAGCACGCAGTAGTATCCTGTCTTTTTGATCTCATATTTGATCGGCTGGGAGTCCTTCAGATGTATTGCGTCGGTGAGAATGAGGTTCCTGGACTTCTCGGTCGCGTTAGGTGCGAGAATGAACTCGCCGAGGTTCTGTTCTTCGCAGAAACCCTCTTCAATTTGCTTTTCCTCGCAGATACCGACTTTCTGCGCCAGCATGTCAGATCGCGTCCTTTTGGACCCCGGGAGCAGTTTGGCCATACCTGTGGAGCATCGGGGCTTGGGTATACGCCAATCAGATCCTCGTCCTTCCACTCGAAGACGACCAGGCTGACGACTGGATCTTGTTCACTTTGCTGAGGGAGGAATTTTATGAGGATGAAAGGGTCGACAGGTCCCCCCCAGGCCGATTTGCTGTACATGCCAGCGCATCGTTGCCGGTTCTCCTCGGTCTGGTCCTGAATCGAGGAGTCGTGCGTCAGCAACCGCCAGCAGGAACTGCAACGGTTGGGGGGAGGGGGCACCAACCATCTGCACCTCCAAGCCCTGGACCGTCCATATTGACAGCGCCAAAGACGCTATTGCGGAGGACCACCTCATCTTGTCTGATTTGGATGTGCGTGACCAGGAGAAGAGCGGGATTCGGGTTCGCCGGCCGTTGCTGCAATGAAGGTATGGAAGCCGACGGGAGAGCTGGATGGGGCGGCGGCGGCGTCGGCGGCGGCGGCAGCTGGCCCGACGGGCAGGTGAAACTGGTCTCTCAACAATTCGCCTGGGCAAGTACCTTTGTGTGTTTCAGCAATGGACTGACTGCTGAGCGGACCAACCGACTACCATAATTGGGATAGGCGATGGTCGGTCGAAGTGAATGCGTTTGCTGATGTTGGATATGTTGGATGCAGCAGCAACGACTGCGCCCTCCCTGGCTCTGGACAAATTGCACTTAGCAGACGGCAAGCGCAGATCCAGGTCCAGGTCCAGGTCCAGGTCCAGGTCCAGGATGACAGGCTACCGGGCTACCTAGCCACGAAGTGCAGGACATTGCGCAAGCTTGGCTGCGACATGGGGTCGCTGCGCGTCGGGCTCCAGGGCTCCCGGCGCCCTCGGGTGCTCTGTGGGGTCTTGGCAAGGATCTCCAGAGCTGCAGCTGTCGCTAAATTTGGGGGTCGCATGTGCGGCACGGTACGGAGTACCTACTACATGTAGTACCCTACTGCAGTCTGCAGGCCTAGCCTGAGTGCGCTTTGCTGGGTCTGGCTGGCAAAACATTTCGTTGCGCATGCGCTCAGGCGCTCGACTCCAACGTTGCGCCGAAATTGTTTTGTTCCTGCTGGGGACTTGAGCCTCTTGACTTCTACCCTGTGGTTCCCATCTTCTATCCCTCTCCGCCTCCTCGCAACACCGGTAAAGATCAACGCCGCACCGAGCCAACATGGGCAAAGGCACGGACAAGTTATACATCACGCACAGCGAATGGTCGTCCTCTGATGCTTATTCCGCCAGCGTCGGCGCCGGGGCTGGATCGCGCGCTCAGAGGGCCGGAGCAAACTTCCGGCGCCTTCCATTCAACTTCTGCGCCGCAAGCCTCCAGCCGTTCAAGAACCCCGTCTGCACCCCCGAGGGCACAATATTCGACGTCGAGGTCATCGGATCATGGCTCGACAAGAACGATACAAACCCCGTCAACGGACAGCCGCTCAACCCCAAAAACCTGATCAAGCTCAACTTTGCACGCAACGCTGATGCCGAGGTCGATTCCAACGCAGGCCCGACGGATGGCAAGGGGGACATGATTGATCCCGTGACCTTCAAGGTCTTTACCGACAACACACACATCGTCGCAATACGGCATGGCACATACGCAAATGTCTTCGCTTGGGAGACGGTCGAGCAGATGAACATCAAACAGAAGAACTGGCACGACCTTGTTGATGACAAGGAGTTCGGCCGGAAGGATATCATCACCCTCCAGGATCCTCAAAACGCGGCTTCCAGGAACCTGAGCGAGTTCCAGTATCTCAAGGATGGCGGAGAGGCGTTATTGACACCCGAGCAACTGGAGGAGAGGAAGCAGGGTACTGTGAACGTCGATGCTCTCGGGCGGATCGGTGACAAGGTTTTGCGAGCAAAGGAGGCGGTGGAGAAGGCACGACGAGAGAGGGAGACTGGTGGGGACATCAACCGCTCCTCCAAGGCCTTGCAGAAGACATCCTCAGCCACGGCGTTCAAGAAGCCAGCCATTCAGGAGCGGAAGCTGGCTCACAATGCCGCCGCATATACGACTGGCAGAGCAGCCGCGAGTTTCACAAGTACCGGTCTCACGCCGGAAACAAGCGGCGAGAGGGCCATACTCTCCGACGAGGATTGGATGTTGAAGCCAAAGAAGATCAAATTCAAGGGTTATGCCAGACTGGAGACCAACATCGGGGAGGTTGTCATTGAGCTGCAGACCGAGACTGCCCCTAAGGCCGTCTGGAACTTTGTCAAGCTTGCACAGAAGGGATACTACCGCGGGGTACGTTTCCACCGCAACATCAAGAACTTCATGATCCAGGGCGGCGATCCAACTGGCACTGGGAAGGGTGGGCAAAGCATATGGGGGAAGAATTTTCAGGACGAATTCGACGGTCCCCTGACCCACAGCGAGCGTGGAATGGTCAGCATGGCAAACAAGGGCAAGAACACAAACTCCAGCCAATTCTTCATCACGTACAAGCCCGCCAAGCACCTCGATCGGAAACACACCATTTTTGGCAAGGTCGTGGATGGCTTGAGCACGCTGGACAAGATGGAGGCTGTGCCTGTTGACGAGGGCAGCCGGCCGCTGAGAGAAATAATTATCAAAGACATCGTCGTATTCTTGGACCCATTTGAGGAGTTCTTGAAGGAGAAGGATCAGACGGAGAAGGCCGAAGCCGCCAAGGCCGAGCTCAAGCGCCAAGGTGGTACTGACGATGATAAGACCACATGGACTGGGAAACGCATCCGTGGAGACGGTACCGTCGAACTGGCTGGCAGTGGCGTTGGGAAATATCTCAAGTCGTCCCCCGCAGACCAGTCCGAAGCCCCAACTGTTGCAGACGACATGAATGTCGAGGCATGGGAACCGTCCAAAAAGAAGGTAAAGACGGGTGGCTTTGGTAACTTTGACAATTGGTAATTGCTGTAAGGTTTACACGCAAGGTCTACACCTCGCAATACACAGTGTGTTAACACGTCCCAGGTCTGCTGCTTTCCAGTTATTCATTGCGCTGTGACGGGGCGGGCAAGCAGGGCTTGAGAGCCTTCACAGCCTGCCATTACAACAACCCACGCGCAAAGCACTCCTGGGTATTCTCTCTAAGTGGAGGCTTCCGCGCGCTGATTGAATCATTCCCGAAATCACCTGCCGGACCTTTGCTTTGGCTACCAATGTGTAGGGACCACTACTGACGTCTTCAACCTCTTGAACGACGGGTGAGGTGATATCATGAGGGTGATCTTCTCATTCCATTCCGGCGTTTATACGGGCAGCACTGTCGCCCTTCGTTGTCCTTTCGCGTGTTGACTTCCCCACTCTCTTATATCTGTGGAGCTACAGGCTGTTGCCCTTCGTCTTGATGATTCTGGGGTCTGCTTGCGACTCGCAACGACAGCCGCAAGGTCTTCTGCCTGTGCGAGGCCTGTTTCGTTGTGTACGGCATGTAACCTCTCAACGACAAATGCTCTCATCGCCGCCGAAGAGGCCGTGGACATGCCGACGAGGTAAAGCGGCCAGACCAGGCCGTTGGTCACTGAGGACAGGAGCATGAAGCGCTTGGCACTCGCTTCCACGTCCTTGACTTGCATGGCATTGTTGAGAGATGGGCAGATGTCGTCTTCATCCGGCTCGAGGAGGTCGGAGCCGCCGACTTCTCCAAGTTCTGCGCCCCAGCCGTTGTCGGGTATCTGCGGCCAGGCGTCGTCATCGGTCGGAATAGGCGCAAATGTGCTCTGCGCGCTCCCGTCCAAGGGCACAAGTCCGAAGTGCTGGGGCACGCTCGCGAGGATTGCCAGTGCAATCCTCTCCAGCTTGAATTTCGCCTTTTGGTACTCATATTGGTGCCGGGGCGGCACCTGGGCGACTGGCACACGGCGGAAGCGATCTCGAAGCTCCTCTAGCATTGTCTCGATGATGAGCATGCGGCACGTCCGCAGCCCGTTCCATATTGTCGATACTCGTAAGCTCGGGTAAGAATGGCAGACGTTGTTGAAGAAGCCTGGCCGGAGGCGCTGTGTGAGTCGGTATTTGCTATATTGCCACTCATCGGGGAACAGAGTGACCACCCTCTCGAAGTCGTCCTCCGCCTCCGTGAATTTGTCCAGCATCTCGTCCAGGTCGGTGACGATGTTCTGCTTGATATCGTACTGCAGCTGCAACACCTTGTACATGACGCTGCAGATCTCAAACCCGGGTTCCCGTCCGTTCAAGTTGAACATCCTACCTAGCTGGTCGCGCAGGTCAACCAGATCCTTGGCTGTTTGGATCATCCGTTAGCAAGACCACCAATGAGATTGTGCGAGCTAGTGCTCGGGGAATCTTTCTCCCTCCAGAGAATTCGGGGCGTCAACTTTCGGGGCGGGTAGCGACGTACGCATCGGCAGCTCATTCTGGATACAGCTGATCATCGTGTTCTGAGTGAGCATGAAGAACATTCGGATTCCTGCACGGGACCGGAATTGCCCCATGCCTCTGATCCTGGCGAGGGCAGCGGCACCGTTAAGGTGCTTCTGCCAGGCCTCGGTGGTCCTCGCACTGGAGCCACCAATCATCTCAAAGAGGCCGAGTATCAAGACCGAGAGCATGGTGGTGTCCTTGACTGCCTCTGCTTGGTCCCGGAGTGCCGCATTCGTCAGCTGCAGAGCCTTGCCGTAGCTCTTCCTGGCTGCTTCGAGGGCAGTCTGAGACCGGGTCATCTGCGCGACGCCGACGAGGCCGACGGCCGTCACACTTGCCAGGACTGAGTCGCTCTCCTCACTCGCGCCGCTAGGGCTCCACAGGTCGAAGAGGCTGCATTGATCGGTTAGTATTGTGCAATTATGATTCTACACCTGACATTGAGCAGCTCACAAGTCATATTTGTGATGGCAGAAGTTCTCGCTCACGCTGATGTAACGAGTGATGAATAGGTTGACGCCTCGCTCCTGATAGCTAGGTGAGAAGGAATAATACGAGGGAAGGAAAAGGTCATCGGGCGAGAGCAGGTCTGGTTCCTCTTTCAAGGGCCGCTTATCCGTCTCATCAAACTTGAAGACCGGAGACCATTGGAGCTGTGACGCAACGGACAGTTCCCGCCTGTGTGCCGTCGAGGTCGAGATCGAGGGCGTCACCGGCAGCCGCCTTGGGCTCGAGCCCGAGCTGGACTCGGGCGGCGACCAAGTCAGTGTCTTCGGCGTGGGGACCGGCCTGGTCGGCGAGGGAGTGGACTTGTCCGGCGACTGGGTCTTCCTCTTCCTGGACTTGGCATTTGCTTTCTTGATAACATGAGAACTCTCGTCCCGAAACATCAGATCAACGAGATTTCTGTATCCCGGGCATTGCTGCTGTCGCTTCTCACATTGCCCACAACCTGGCTCTCGTTGATCGCACTGAGGCTCAGTCAGCATCAGTCAGGGCTTTCTTTGCCTTGATAGTGGGATCGTCGGAAGGGGAGATGATCCCACAAACAAACCCCGGCACGACGGGGCGCACTGCAGATCCAGCCTATGGACACGGGCTCTGACGGAACCCGGCATGGTTGTTTAAAGAGTGGGCTTACACGGATCTTGCGCTCACGGCAATTTGAGCACCCTTTGGAGGGTTTACCGCAGTAAACCATCTCAACAGTGTGCGCGCCTCTAGGTGTGAGGCTGGAGTGGGACCTGGGCCAGGACAGGAAAGCTGCGCGGGTGTGGATTTGTGGGCAATGACGGACGAGGCGCTGCCGGCTAGAAGGGTTGCGCTAGATTTGAGGTGCCTGCTGAGACTGATCCGCTGTGGCCCTTGCGTATTTGATTCAGCTGAGAGCAAGATCTGGACAAGATGCGACGTACGGCGGCACTCAGCCTCGAGATATCGGCAAGTTCGGAGGGAAGTGTGGCATACATGTATCTGCACGTATCTGCCCCTAATCAACGAAGCAAATCCGGCTCACCTCTCCGCAGCATCACGACTGGGTGCCACTTTTGGCGCGATACATCATAGAAAGGATCTGGGACAGATCTGCCCGCTATTGGCATCGGATCAACCAAGCGCGAGCACGCTTCTGGGGACGTTATGCAATCTAGCAGTCTGCCCCTGGCCCTGGCCCTGGCCCTGGCCCTGGCCCTGGCCCTGGCCCTGGCCCAAAATCCCGTTGGTCCTCCACTGGTCCGCTACTAAAACAGCAACGGACTAGCATAGCCCAGGCCAAGGACAACAGCCTACTGCGCACACTACATGCTTCGTGGGGTACGCCACACATGTCCCGGGTGTGCCTGTCTTGTCCCTGCTCATCCTGCCAATGGCTGGCGCACAGCACTGCGGAGAGCACGGGGGAAGAACGCTTTTCGGCGTCAAGGGGCATGGTGCTGGCGGGTGGTGTGGCGGCCACCCGCGTCCATGAAGCTTCCAGAAGATGGCCAGGGGGTTGGTTGGAGCAATAGAGCTTCACCAGAGGCTTGGCAGATGGGCATCACACAGGTGCCTGGCCTGGCAGCCCTGGGCAGCCAGGAGGCTGGCTCAACCTTGACTGACGTGATTGGCATTGCAGGGCGTCTCCCGGGGTCATGCACTAGAAAGGAGTCGCTACCACAGCACGTTTCAATGTTCGTCTCATGCATTCGACAAGCACAGTCAGAGCAACAACAACAATCATAGCACCGTGCAGAGAGGTTACGCGAAATGCGCATTGGCTGCTAGTCTGACAGTCCGAAAGTCTGACCTAATGCCACGGGCTCGGCCGCAATTTCTGAGGGTGGCGCTGTGTCCTAGACTTGAGCGATGCGCAAATTGAAGTCGCAGCGGTCATGTTCCCGCGGTCATGTCCCAGCGGAGATGTTGGCTCTTAAGAATTGGCGAACTATATGATCGTGGACGGTGAACAGACAGTGGGTCCGAGACTGAAGTCAAAAGACTGCCAACCCGGTGACCCAGTGAAGCCCGACAATAGGCACCCCAAGAGCCCATGGGGAGGGTCCATGCCCGGCAACACCAACCGAGGTCAACCCATGTTTATCTGCCAAGCTGCTCAGGGCCCGATGTCAACCCAGGACTCGGACAGCTCTGACGAGGACGGCCCCGTATGCAGTCCGTGTCTCCACCAACCCACCAACCCCGTTGACAGCTCGATGAAGCTAGGCTGGGGGCATGCGTAGGCTGCCAGACAGCTACGTCGTCTCATCCGAAGTACAAGACGGTCCGGCGCAACGGTCCGAGAAGGCAAGCGTGGTTGGAAAAGCCCGCCGGTGCTCTTGAGGGGCACGCAGTCGCCAGCTAAGAATCCCATCACATGAGCTGATATGGCATGGGGCTCACATTGGCCTGGTTGTGCGGTGCAGAGCTGGCAGGAAAGCGCGATGTCTCTTTGTTTCACGGCTCTTCCGGATCTTCGCCATGTGAATCAATGGCTGCGGCAGGTACCGTGGGCTGCTCGGCTTGGCTGGCCGGGGGTCTGAATCCGCCGTGGCCTCGTCTGGGCACGTACGTGGATTTGGAGTCTGATATCATGCTATTGAGATGACAGGGACGGTGGCATTGTGCAGTCGGATGAGTGCGGCTCAAGTGCCACAAAGGACCAAATCCCTACCACATAGTAATCAGGGGGGATCGAACTGACAGACGGCTTGAGCGAATGGCGGGCTAAACTTCGGACCCCATCCGATGTTTTCCTCCTGTGTCGTCTGATGCGTTTGCAATCTAAACGCGACCTGGCTCCGGTTGTTCCGTTCTCACCTTGGACCGGGGGGCCTGCTGGACTGCCTTGGAGGCTGCCAGCGTGGCCTTGCATTCATTCATGCCAGGGCATCGGTTTGTGTCAAATGCTGTCCGTCATCCCGTCAGCCCGCCAGCCCGCCAGCCCGTGGGACCTCTGGACCTCTGGACCTGGGGCTGCTGGGACCTGGCGCCTGGGGACCCCCACAACGTTGCAACGGGGCGTCGAGATGCATATTCGACACACGGCAGATCGCTTTCGGCTAATTGCCCGTATCGAGAAGATCCCACATCTGGTGCTAAATAAATGTGCCGTCGTTATCACACCACTTGAGAGGCACGCGTACCTCGTCTCGAACTTTAATTCTGCGAAGAAGCGAATGCGATCGGCGGCTGGGGCCAGTGTGTTGATGTGTCTGTTGATTGCGTCCGCCCGTTGTGGGGGCTCCAGGCCAAGGGGGGTTGGGGTTGAGCTGTGGGGGAGACAGCAGCCTGTGCTCCGTGACGGGTTGCGGAGTACCAATCTCAGGTACCTCCGTACCGGGTGCCTGTGCCCAGCCGATTGAGATCTAGAATCTGGCACCCTGATCCTTGCTCTGGAGCCCCGCCAACGGCTGCCACCGGGCCCCACCAAGATTTCAACCGCAGAGCTCTCGACTGGCGGGCTGGCTGGCTGGCTGGCTGGCTGACTGGCTGACTGACTGCAAGGCGGCCGTCGAACCAACTTGGGGCCTTTCAAACTCGCAATGCCGGTGAGTATCGTCCCCTGCTCCCCATGGCCCCTGGCCCGTCCAACGGTCTGAACCCATGCTCACCAAGACGCGTCGTGGGCACAGCTCGTCATCGTAACCGGCCTGCCAACCTCGGGCAAGTCCACCAGGGCGAGGCAGCTTTACGATCACCTGGCAGAGAGGATACAGGCCCAGCAGCATGGCACCAGGTACCGCCTACACCTGGTGTCCGACCAGACCCAGTCCATCAGTCGCACAGTCTACGACCTCTCCCCCGACAGTCTCCCGGCACACACCCGCTCCGCCAATGCCTCGGAGAAGGATGCCCGCGCCTCGCTCCAGAGCGCCGTCAAGCGCGTGCTGTCCACCCGCGACATCGTCATCCTCGATGGCCTGAACTACATCAAGGGCTGGCGCTACCAGCTCTACTGCGAGGCCAAGAACCTCAGCACCCCCAGCGTGCTCCTCCAGATCGGCTGCCCCCCGGACACGGCGAGGGCAGTCAACGAGAAGCGGCTGCTCCGCCGGGAGGAGGCCCTCACCGCAGGAAAGACCGTGGCGGGCGACGACGAGGCCCCCGAGGGCGCTTACGAGCCGGCAAACTGGGACAACCTCGTGTTCCGGTACGAGGAGCCCAACCCCATGACCCGGTGGGACAGCCCGCTGTTCACCCTGATCTGGGAGGACGACGAGGCCCGCGCGAGGAAGGTCTTCGACGACATGTGGGACGCCATCGCCGGCGAGGCCAGGAAGGTCATCAGGCCCAACCAGTCGACCGTGCAGAGGAGCCGGGACGCCGGTGGCGACTACCTGTACGTGCTGGACAGGGAGACCCAGGACATCGTCAAGAAGATCCTGGAACAGCAGCAGGACGACGGCGGCGGTGAGGTCAGCATATCGAAGAGCGGAGATGCCGGGGGTGAGACGCTTGTTGTGGAACTGCCGGGCAAGAAGGTCGGGCTCCCCCAGTTACAGAGATACCGCCGCGCCTATGTGAACATGAACAGGGGTGGCATTGGCCTCGAAGCCGTCGGCAACATGGCCGCCACCAGGATGAGGGAGAGCTTTGTTGGTTACCTCAACGATGCTTTCGCGAAAGAAGAGTAGAAAGGAGAGCAGGATGTGACAAAGTGCTTGTACATTCACGCTCTGACACCAGTTCAACAATGATACCCTTTTCAGCAGACAGCAGACCGGTCGAGCATCCCTCCCGGAGTAGATCACTCCACAGCATATGAGGCAGTGGCTATTGGTTGACCACGCAGACACCGTGGCCGCATGGCGGACAACGGACCGCCACTCCAATTCCTATGGGGATTATAGGCCGCTCATCATGTATCACGGCTGGCTTGGTTGAGACCTGGAGTCTGTTGTCCCAAGCCCGTCCACCCGAGCTTCGGGTCAATGAAGGCATCCATGGAAGGCCTCCCGCAGAAAGGGCTCCGACAGGGAAGGCCTCGTGCAGAATGCATTCCCGCGTACATACTGCAACCACGGGTTCTATAGGTTGAAGATGAAGACAATAGACCGGCGTGACGTCGACCACTTCCGTTTTAGAGCATAATTGGACGTAGCATGCGTTCTTGCAGATACGACCGGCTTCACAACATACTACAGAAACAGCAACCCACGCAAAACCCATGAAGAGCAGTTTTCTGCTGATCGATTCATGGCCGTCACGCCGCGGAAAAGCTTCTCGACCAGCGCCTGTCCGACTATATAAGCCGGCAGATCAGCCCATATCCTTTTCCACCTCTCGTTCTTGTCTCGCCAGCCCATTGACCTTCAACTGAAAGCCCAAGTCAACCAATTGAACAACCCCCCCCCCCCCAAAAAAAAAGAGAAATACTCGAACATCCAAATATGCCTGGGAAGAAAGAAATGTCTCAGAGCGATGCTGAGCGCATCCAAAGCAGCCAGGTAAGCATATACCGCGCTTGATATGCGTCTTTAAGGTGCCGCTAAGAGTTGCGGAGAGCTGAACCATCATCAATTGCTTGCCAGGCCAAGGGCGGCGGCTATATGGGTTCAGGTGGCTTTGCCGCCAAAGCCCAATCTGCGGCTGCCAAAAACGCGAATGCTAGCTCTGGACAGGGCACAGTGACACAGGGAAGTAACGACAGCGGAGGCACTGGCAAGAAGTAGTTGGCCAGAATGATCACTGGGCCGGGAATGGCTCGGTAAGAAGGGCAGGGCGGTGGCAGTCGTATCGTGGTCTCGGGGTATCTTTGTGTGCCGTTATCTCACGCTTGGATTACAAGATTCAACATCTTGACCTACGTATTTTTCTGGAATTGAAAGACGTCGAGGTGTTTTCCCAAACCGCTGGACGACGTGCGAGTGTGATGGAAGTGATCGAGGCTGGCAGTAGTTGTGAAGCGATGACCCCAGCAAAAGCAGACGGAGAGTATTGAAAGCTGTGGCAACGTCGCCAGCCATTATATATGCCCTGGACGACGTGATAGGCAGTATGAAGCCGTTACAGAACCAGGGACACTGGAAAAGTACGAGAGCGGGAGGTCCGATGGCACTGGGCACCTTTGCCTCGCTCATGCGGTGTTCTGTGATGCCAATAGGACAGACAGTCGCACCAGCTTCTCCAGGGCTTATTCAAGGATGAGGTCACCTCTACCCTGGGCGGCTCCTGCCGCTATATTGGTCTAGTATCGAAGCCTCATTCGACCCATAGGCACCCAGGGTCACTCTGGCAGGGGCGAGACAAGCCCATATTTCCGGAACTGAGTCTCCGTCACTTGCTCTTGGAGGGGTTTGACACTTCAAGAACGTTCCTTCTTCACTTCTGAGATACCCATCCCCCGGTGAACTTGTGTTAGCCAGCAACAAATTGATTTTGCTTTGCTTTGTTTTGTTCTCGGCACACAGCATCGTACAGACAGCTTTACCATCCATTCCACCAGCAGCACCCATCAGTCAGCCACGGAGCTATTCAGAGTTTACTGTGAGATCACACATACACATCGATCGTCAGCCTTGCAATCATCGCCATACATCGACAATATGTCTTCCCGCCCTGTCACTCCAACGAGCAGAACTCGCGGTTGCTTGGCCTGCCCTGGGGGCGAGAATGTGACGCCCAAGTCGGCTGTGCGCCAGATCTCACCCGTCTATGGATCCGTGGGTCGTGCTTTGGGACATAAATCCCTGGACGCAGTACGCTCTGTCAGAGGCTCCTTGAAGGGACAACGGGCCCTAAAGACGGCCACCAACGCCATCCCAGCGACGTCGAGCTCCAGCTGTTCGTCAAGCCCAGCTGGATCTGCCACCAAGCAGAGGTGGTATGACTCTATTCGCTCCAGGACCTCTCAGATACCAACGCCCAGAAGTCCTGCTTCGTCGTCCCCGACACTGAAGCGACGGTTGTTCAAAAACGGCGCAGATGATGAGAAGCTGCTGACTGCGCCAAAATGCGCACTTCACACCTCACCCACTCCTTTGGAACGATCTCAAAGACATGTTCAGGCCCAGACCCTCCGGACTCCGCCTCCGAAGCTTGAACTTCCGGGCCTTGACGCAGATCCGCGAAGGAACACTACCTTCCGAGCCTGCTCAGAGAAAGTGATTCAAGGTCAGCTTGTCTTTTGAAACGTGTATCTGTTTATGTTTTCTTTTCGACCAAGGCTGACTGATCTTTGTAGATATTGGCAGAAAGTACGGGGCCACAACACCTAGCATCTTGCCAAAGTCCGCCCCGAGCAGTGACACATTCGCGTCGTCAGCACAGAGCGTGAGGCTCAGACGTGCCGAGGGGAAGATTGGGAACGTATCTCATGAGCCCAAGGGTAGTCTGGCCATGAAATGCGACGTACACTACCCGTTGATTCCTTCCACCCCATCCCGCACTGAATCCTTCCAAGACACGGCTGTGGCGCTTTCGAATTGCTCTCTCAACAACATGCTCTGCGGTAATCCTGAGTATAGCAATGTCAGACTCTGGACTTTGTTCACCTCCGTGACATCGCCTTCCAGAGTCCAGCAAAGCTTCACCGTTCTGCCAAAGTATCTAAAGCCGGATCGCAATGCCCTAGGCACAACCTATCAGTGGGCGATAATAGTCTTTAGACACGGCCCTGCCCCGAGTCGACTGCCAAGTTCGGTGAGGCAGCATGAGGCACTTTTGCACTCCGCGGCCGAGAGAGTCGTGAACATGGGATATCACATTGACGTGTGGACCAAATCCGATAACTACTGTTGGAGGGAGGCCAAGCTACAGGCTCTCGGTAATGAGAACTGCCAGGGGCCCGACCAGTCGCTCTGTGAGAAATACCATGCAATGGTTGGTCATGGGATCCCAGGCTTTTCTATTGAGGAGATCCAACTCATCGAACAAATGGCACGGATTCGAACGCAACACTCTGATTCGCAAGACTCTAAGACCCTGTGCACCGAGGTTGGCCTGCAAACCCAGTCCGACACTGAGGACGACCTGGGATGCCGTCTTGACGTCGATTCTCAGTTTGGCGGCTTCCTTGAGCACCAGGAAGAAAGCATCCTATCATTCGGCTCAGAAACTCCATTCGAGCTCCACGACCACTCCCACATCAGCGGGATTTCAGAGGACTTGGATATGGCAGCGAGATTGGGCGGGAAGACGTTCGCATGACACGTTCGCTTCTAGTTTTCCACCGCAAGATGGGTAGGGGGATGCATCAAACAGTGCGGACGAGGTGAAGTTTTCTTTTGTTAGACATCATTTCTCTGCCACTGATGAGATTGAGCTGTGGTGCCGACTCTTCGTCAGGGGCATTCAAATATTCTTCTCGGGGCAGGACAAGGGCACAACGTTAGGGCTGGCCTGGTATTACCGACCGAATTCTGCAGTCTCAGAGGAAGAGATTATTAGAGCTGGTTTCTTTGTGAACACTCGTTGCCTCATTAGATAAATTATCTGTACACACGGCCGTATGTCCTTAGACGGCAGGCGTGAATTCACCATTGTCACCATCTCCGGGGCTCCTCTTGAAGCCTTTTCCCAGCTGAATGTTCTTCTCAAGGGCTCGCTGTACATAGTCGTTCATCACCTTGCGTCGAATCAGAATGACTCTGGCATCATCCGAGCCTCGCTGCACCAGGCTTTGGGAGATCACCTTATCACAGACGGCGACGACCCGCTTGGCAACGTCAAGGAGGGACTTCCGATTGGGGTAGTCTCGCTTCCAACTCTCATCAGGCGATCTGGAGTTGAGAGCGTTGGCTGAGAAGGTTAAGGCGTTCGTCGCCAACCTTAGTGGCTCCCAGACACGGTCAACGGCGTTGAAAATCTGTCGGCCATAGGCCAGCTTGGCCTTGGATTCAACGTGGAACTTTGATCTATCGTCGAACTTGCGGTAGCTGCTCGTCGATACCTGCAGGAAGAGCTTCATGCACTCGGCGTCGGGCGTCCTCATCTTCTTCATCATTGTGTCGAAGATGACGGTCGCGTTCTCGAAGGAGTTTTCGTTGTAGCCGTCAAAGTGGCACATCAGCAGGCCCCGCCTGATGATGCGGCCGTCGATCATGTCTGCGGGCATGGCCTCGATCACGCGGGCTGCTTTCCCGCTCGCTGCCCCGGTGGACAGGACGTCCAGGTAGTGCTCATAGTTCCACCTGTCCGGGGCGATGCCGAAGGTGCCCGTGAGGTAGTCCCAGTACCTTGCGGCTAGTTTCGTCCTCCTGCCCAGACCTAAGGCTTTCATGACGAGCGACAGCGTGTTCTTGCCCGCCATCGGCTTTGAGGGTCCTTGCAATTGTCGCTGTTGCTGTTCTCCTGTCCTTGGCGCTGAGGTCGCCTGTGAATTGTCGTTCTGGTCGCTGCCAGGTATCTGCCCCGAAGCAGGCAGCTGCTCTTTATCGAACCTCGGTGCCCCAAGCACGTTGGACAGCAAGGCGAGGATAGACTCGATCTCCTTTGCGCCACCGAGGAGTAGAAGCCGGCCCATCGCGCACATCAGCTCCTCGTCCATCACGATCTCGTTCTTCTTCCACCGGGCCATGACCTCATCCCACACCAACTTTCCCCTTTGTATAGTCGTCTCTATGCTCTTTTGAACAGCAAGCGCATCAGCGCGGTCCGAGTCCCCAAGACCCTTAGAATTGGAAGGCTGGTGGCGTAGCGCATTCAATATGATGGTGTAGGTCCAGTTGTTTGGGGCGCGAGCGTTGTCGGCCGAGCGAAGCGTGACAAACATGGACTCGAGGTCCTGGGCTTTGGCGCAGACGTCGAGGACCGCGTTGAGATGTGTGATGTTGGGCTTCAGCCGGCTGCTTGCAAGCATGGCGTTGTAAATCTTGAGCGCCTCCCCGACCGCGGCCGTCGGGTGCTGGGATTCGGCGCAGCCTCTGAAGATAACGGTGTAGGTTTGGGCGTTTGGTAATTGAGCGCGCTTTTTCATCTGCGGCCATGGCAATTAGCTACTGGAAGGCCAGGATCATGAAGGGGCGGGCATTTGACGGAAGGTCACCGACTTCGTTGAACAGCTTGATAGCGGCATGCAGCTTGTTATTCTTGAACTGGTACTCTATACAATGGTTCCAGCTGACCACACATTGCTTGTCCTTGCTTGCCTCCCGGGTCAACAGCAGCGCCCTGTCGAAGTCGTTCTGCTTCAGCTTCTTGAGGACGTTGTCGGCTATATGGTAGGGATCTGTCGTGTATTGGAGCTCTTTCTTCATTGCTCGTTTCGCCTTTTCCAGCGACTTCTTCTTGTCGGCCTGCACATCTCCGGCTGTCTTCTGCCTCTCGACCGAGGCCTCGAATTGGGCAAAGGCATCTCCCTGGTCCTGTCCCTGTCGCAGGAGCGAGCTCGTTCCAAATTGTCTGGGCAGGACTGCCAGGCGGCCGTCGGCGTGTGGGACTTGACGTAGCACCGAGGTCGACGCCCGCCTTGCGCAAGCTCTGCAAACAAACATGGCCGAGAGTTTACAATGTAGAGCGCATGGTGTGAGGTGGGCTACAATCCCATAGTAAGTAAGATGCGGCGCATTTACGTTACGGCAAAAAAAAGTTCGATTTGCTAGGCCCCTGTTCCGTATCACGGACCAAACACCGTTCCAAGCTCCACCGTAAAAGGCAGGCGGTGAATGACCGTTTTGATCAAGACCTCGACCGAAATGGCTGGACCCGCCTGGGTGGATGCATGCTACAGGGATTCGCGTGTCGACTTACAGTGGGGCACATCGCGTCTACATGGCGCGTCTCCCCTGCCACTTTAAATCAAAAGCACGTCTCGCACTCTCTTCGCTTCACACATCGACTCCACCACCAAGATATGACCTCAGGATACCAGTAGAACCCCCCCTCATATTTGGTCCTCCGGCCAATTGACCATCGATCTATCCTAGGACTTGCCAGAACACCGGCCCACCATGCCCAAGGCCGACAAACGAGCCAAGCTCGCGCAGCTTGCTGCATTGCGAAAGGCTGGCAAGAAGACCTTCGATTCGTATGAGGTCGAGCAAGTGGAGGAGCTGTACGAGGAGGTGGACGAGGATCGCTACAAGAAGATCGTGCGGGAACGCCTGAATCAAGACGACTTCGTTGTGGACGATAATGGTGAAGGTTATGCCGATGACGGCCGTGAGGACTGGGACCGTGTTCAGCAGTACGAGAGTGACAGCGAGGACGGCTTCCCAGTTAGAGGGAAAGAGAATAAGAAGTGTGAGTATCTCGTACTGGCATTTACATGGAGTTCGCCTCTAATCCCTGGACCGCAGCCAAAAAGCAACGCGACGAGGACCAGTCCAAGCGAGACGCAAATGACCGGGATATCAGCGAATTCTTCACCAAGGGCGCCGCCAAAGCTCAGTCGAAACCAAAGGTAGGCAAGGGATTATGCCTGGAAGTATCCAATGATATGTTTCTTACACGGTACAGGTCATAAAAACCGAGGAAGATGACGAATTCCTTGCCGGCCTGCTTGGAGAGGTCGACCGCAATGTACCAGCTGCAGCACCTCGCCAGTCCAAGAAGAGGGAGAGGTCTCCCGAGAAACGCCGTACACGCATCCCTTCGCCAGCACCTGATTTCAAGCGACCAGCAATAAAGAAGGTCAGACGCAGCCCGGAGCCAGTGATCTCGGCACCGCAGGACGACGATACCTTCATGGGTGACGACGATGACTCTCTCCCAATAATGGGTGATGACCTTCCTTCGTCTCTCCCCGCCAATGGAATCCCCACAAGTGACCCAGCACCGTCATCACCAACAGTCGATGCTGTCGGGCGCAAGACGAAGGCAGCGACCGAGATCGAGGCTGAGGATGATGAAGACGAAGACATGATGGAGGTGGCACATGCCGGTGCCATCAACGCCGCTAGCGTTAACCTGACTGCGGCCAGGGTTCCCAAGAGATTGATCAAGGCCGATCCATATCCTTCTCCTGCCAACTCATCACCGCCTAAGGGCCCGTCAGAGGCAGCGGTTGACTCCTCGGCATGGAACGACATCAACCAACGTCTGAATGTCGTCAGCAGCTCCCCTTCAGAATCGAGAGGCATCAACAAGATAGACTACAAGGATGCCATTGAAGAGGACGGAAGTCTGAACATGTTCTGGACAGACTACACCGAAGTCAAGGGTAGCCTCTGCTTGTTCGGCAAAGTTTTGAACAAGAAGACGCAGTCTTATGTCAGTTGCTTCGTAAAGGTGGACAATATCCTGAGGAAGCTCTTCTTCCTGCCACGTCAAAACCGCGTGGAGCGCGGGATTCAGACCGACGAGGAGGTTGGAATGATGGACGTCTACAAGGAAATCGATGCCCTTATGTCCAAGATGCACGTCGATATGTTTAAAATCAAGGCTTGTACGAGGAAGTATGCCTTTGAGCTACCAGGGATACCAAAAGAGACGCAGTACATGAAGCTCTTGTATCCTTATACTAGTGAGTTGTCCTACAAGCGGCATTCATGCGACCATTCTGACCCTTCACAGAGCCCGCAGTCGAAATGGGAACTACCGGCGAGACATATTCGCAAATATTCGGTACCAACACTGCTCTGTTTGAGCAATTTGTCCTGTGGAAGAACATCATGGGCCCTTGCTGGCTAAAGATCCAGGACGCCGATTTTGGTTCTCTCAAGAACGCCTCACATTGCAAGCTTGAGGTCCTCGCGGAGCATCCCAACATGATATCGCCATTGAGTGACTCGGACAACCTCGACGCCCCTCCACTGACCGTGATGAGCTTGGCCATGCGGACGACATTCAACGCCCAGGACAACAAGCAAGAAATTCTTTCCATCAGTGCTAGAATATACGAGAACATCTCTCTCAGCGACACAACACCGGCAGACAAGCTCCCATCGCGGACGTTCACTCTCATCCGGCCGAACGGTCCTGCATTCCCAGGAGGCTTCGAGCAAACGGCGAAGACCCGAAAACGTGGCCTGATCAAGCCGATGAAGCAAGAATCCGAAATGCTGATGTTCTTCTTGGCACAAATCGACGTGGTGGACCCCGATGTGATTCTCGGCCACCAGCTGGAAGGCGTTGACTACTCGGTCCTCCTCAGCCGATTAAGAGAGAAGAAAATACATGGGTGGTCTCGTCTCGGCAGACTCAGGCGATCTGACTGGCCCTCGTCAATAGGGAAGATGGGCGGCAATGTTTTTGCCGAGCGCCAGATCATCGCTGGCCGCCTGCTCTGCGACCTCGCCAACGAAGCTGGCAAGTCAGCGATGTACAAATGCTCGACGTGGAGCTTGACGGAAATGTGCAGTCTCTACCTGTCTGGCGATAACATGCGTCGAGACTTCGACAACGAAGCGGCCTTGAAGACGTGGGCCAAGACCAAGGACGGCCTTATGGACTATGTCTCCCACGTCGAGACTGATACATATTTCATCACCGCTTTGGCACTCAGAGTACAGCTTCTGCCACTGACCAAGATTCTGACCAATCTCGCTGGCAACTCCTGGGCGAGGACTTTGACCGGTACACGTGCGGAGCGAAACGAGTACATTCTGTTGCACGAGTTCCACCGTAACAAATATATCTGTCCTGACAAGCAGCCCTTCAAAGGTCGACAGCGCGTGGAAGATGAAAATGCTGAGGAAGCTGCCGACGGCAAGAAGAAGGACAAGTACAAGGGCGGTCTCGTCTTCGAGCCCGAAAAGGGTCTTTATGACAAGTTCGTCCTGGTCATGGACTTCAATTCGCTGTACCCATCTATTATCCAGGAGTTCAACATCTGCTTCACTACCGTGGAACGGTCTTCACTGGTAAGCACCCACGCCTTTTCCAAGACCTAGATTGAACTGACATCGCAACAGTCCGAGGATGAGGAGGCAGTTCCCGAAGTCCCTACTGAACAAGAGCAAGGTATCCTACCCAAGCTTATTGCCACTCTTGTCAGCCGTCGACGAGAGGTGAAGAAGTTGATGAAGGACAAGACCGCTACCCCCGAGCAGGTCGCGACGTGGGACATTAAGCAACTTGCCTTGAAGCTGACGGCCAACTCCATGTACGGATGCTTGGGTTACGACAAGTCACGATTCTATGCTCGTCCCCTGGCTGTTTTGACGACGTTCAAAGGCCGTGAGATTCTCCGCAGCACAAAGGATCTCGCAGAGAGCAAGTCTCTCCAGGTTATTTACGGTGATACTGACTCTGTCATGATCAATGCCAACGTCGACAACGTCAAGGATGCCTACAAGGTGGGCCACGAGTTCAAGAAGGCAGTCAACGAATCATACAGGCTGCTGGAGATCGACATCGACAACGTCTTCCGTCGCATTCTCCTGCAGGCCAAGAAGAAGTATGCCGCTATCAACATGATTGAACAAGATGGCAAGTTCATCGAGAAGATGGAAGTCAAGGGTCTGGATATGAAGCGACGAGAATATTGCGGTCTGTCCAAAGAGATTTCAAGCCGGCTCTTGAAAGAAATCCTTTCCGGTGACGACACGGAGGTATCCATCCAGCGAATCCATGAATACTTGCGGGAGATCTCAGGCAAGATGCGTGAGCAGGCCATACCCGTCCAGAAATACATCATTTTCACGCAGCTCGGCAAGGCCCCCAAGGAGTACCCGAACGCCGACTCCATGCCCCAGGTGCAGGTTGCTCTGCGGGAACTCGCCCGGGGCAAGACTGTGAGGAAGGGCGATGTAATCTCCTACATCATCACAGACGACAGCAAGTCCGAGTCGGTTGCCAAGCGGGCGTATACCCCACAGGACGTCCTCAAGAAGGACTCTGGTTTGGCTCCGGATGTCGAGTGGTACATTGGCAAGCAGATCTTCCCGCCAGTTGAGCGTCTATGTGCCAACATCGTCGGCACCTCCACAGCACAGCTGGCCGAATGTCTAGGCCTGGACATCCGCCGCTACGCCAACAATGCCAACAACGCGAGCAGCGGCAACAGCAATGACCTCGAGATCCACCCGCTCGAGTCGCAGATCCCAGACGAGGTCCGCTTCGGCGGATGCACGCGCCTACAGCTGCGCTGCCGCTCCTGCAAGAAGTCGTCGACGTTCGAGGGCCTCCTCGCGAGCCCTGACCGCGTCGCGCCGGCCGGCGTTGTGTGTGGCTCCTGCGGTGCCACCATGTCGACGCTCTCGGTGGTGGCACAGGTGGAGCGCGCGATCCGCACCGCGACCGCCGCCTACTACGAGGGCTGGCTCGTGTGCGACGACAGTAGCTGCGCGAACCGCACTCGGCAGATGAGCGTCTACGGCACCCGCTGCCTCGGCCCCAAGGGCCTGGCGCGCGACTGCCTCGGCCGGATGAGATACGAGGTCTCGGAGCGGGACATCTACAACCAGCTGGTGTACTTTGCCAGCCTGTGGGACGTGGACAGGGCCAGGGCCAAGGCGAGCGGCGAAGGGCGCGAGGCTGCGGTCGCCGACCGCGAGACGAGGGAGAAGATCCTGGCGCTTGCGGAGCACAACCGCACTAGGTTCGGGACGGTGAAGGGTGTTGTTGATAAATACTTGGACAAGTGCGGGCGGCAGTGGGTTGCGATGGACACGCTGTTTGCGAAGTTGGGCTTCACTGCTGTCTGAGGTGGGAGTCCATTAAGTAAAGTCGGGTTATTGTTGGCGTTTCGATGCACTTTGCGAGGGGCCAAGACAGTTTAGTGTACCTTTACCGCCATAATTTGGGTCACGAGGAGTTCAAGGACACACTTCTTTTAGCAGCTACTGTATTCGCATCGTTTCCCATGAAAATATCTACCTCTCTTCCCGGGGTGCATTCGTGGATATTCGAGTCAATATCTAGTGGTATCTCACTGCACATCCGACAGCAACACCTGGCTAGGTAGGCTAGGCTTTGCGATCATGGAGGCTTTGGCGTGGTGGGAGATGACTACTGCGGCTTACGATTTCGCTCATACTGCATCGACATTTGAACATCTGAACTGATTAATTGCTGCTGTGCTGCATCGTATAACATCTTGAAGTCCAGAAGGGCAACACAACACATCAATAAGCAGAAAGCACCCTCCTGGAAATAGAAAGACAATCCCCTACTGCGGCAGCCGGCTTCCCCCTCCCCGAATTAGTTGTGATAAGTCATCATGATATACACGGCGCTTCTCCCGCTCGAACTTTTTGGGTATACACCGCACCTCGGACCTCTTTTGCCTGGGACACGAGACACGGTCCACTGTTGGGAACCAGTGGGTTAAGCTCTCACCCTCTGTCGGCCCACTCCCGCCTTCCTGAAGTCCTGCACCTTTCGTCGTACGGGGGGACGGACTGAAGCCAGCAACAGCGACAGCAACAAGATCGCCAAGAAACAATTGCGTTCTGAGGAAACCTGTAAACTCCCGAGAAAATACCCTTGAACTACCACTGGATCGTTGCTCCTAATTACCTAATCCTAGCCTGGCCATCCTGAGAAATCCCGGTGCTTGATCGTGGCATGCCCCGGCAGTCTCTGCCCATTCATCACAAGCGTTCCATCGTTGTCCGTCATGATCTGACCTTCGACCCCGGTCGGTCCCGAAGAGGACAAGCCTCCCTCGTCCATCACTGGGAAAGGCGGCCTGGCTCAGATTGGTAGAGAGCAACTGGACCCCACCACTGCGTGGAGAGAAGTCCAGAGAGGAATAATAAGAAGGTGAATGCGAGGGAAAGCCCTTGTCTGAGGAAGTGTCCGCAGACGAGCCTTCTGTCTATGCCGAGGTATCATGGAAAAGGGGAAATCTGGCGAACTTTTGACACGTATTTTTTGACACCGCCGTAAATGCAGAAACCGCCTGCCCAATTTAGGTGCGCAGAGAATGCTCTAATGCGTATTGCGAACACTGGAAAGATGAATGAATCAGTCAGCCTCCTTCTTCTCGCCTCCAGCCGGGGCCGCCGGCTTGGCATGGTTGAGTGCTGGCGAGGCCGACACCGAAGGTGGTGATGCAGGGTTCTCCGACTCCATGTTGGCAAGAGCACTGTTCTCTTGTTAGCAATTCTGGCCGAGCATTGGGATCTGCGGGACGCATGTAGACTTACGCAAATGCATTCGTCGATGCTTGGGTGGGTGGGGTTCCGGTCCGCGACGACGCTCCAGAGTCCTCGGCACCGCGAGCTAGTGAGCCGCCCGGACCGAGCCTGGTGTTGCGCCCGCTGTTGCTCCGGGAGTTGAACATGGACGTGGGCCCGAGGGTCACGTTGCCACTAGCAGTTCTGCCTGCGGATCCCTTCAGGCGACGCAGATCATCCATTCCCACGTGGTTCGATGTGGGCTGCTGGAACTGCAGCGAGTTCCTCGCGTCACCGCGCCCTCCGGTGTGGGAGCGACCGCCAGCCTGGCCACGGTAGCTGCTTCTCGCATTCTCGGCAGCCTTCTGGGCGGCGGCAGCCTCGGCCTACCTGATGTCAGTACAAGCTCCCAGGGAGACATGAAGCAGTCGTTGGTGTGATTGGGGTGCTCGTAGACTTACCTCTGCTCGGATCTCCTCTCGTGTCTTGGGGCCCTTGAGGCCGTCCTTGGACTGCCACCTGTCCCGTCGCAAATCGATGATATCCATAAGCATGAACTGGAGCCGGCTTGGCAGATCGGGTGTCTCAACCAGTGTGGAGATGCGTTCGAAGTAGGCGTTCATCATCATCATACCCTTCTCGGTGCTGTCGAGACTGGCGCCGATGGTGCGCAGAAGCTTGCTGAGCGACTCGATCTCAGCCTCATCGGGTTCGCCCTGGAAGTCGAGAAGCTTGCGGACACATTCGTGCATGATGCGCTCCGTCAGCATACCAAGCTTGAAGAGCTCACCAATGAACTGGACAAGGCCGAGACCACGACGCTTGATAGCCATGGCCTTGTAGTACTCGTCGGACAGCATCGCGGTCTCCTTGGACTCGCCCTCCTTGGGCTTGGGCATCTCGACTGCCCAACCACGCTCGAAGTCTTCTTGACACCGGTTCAGGAGGTACTTGCGGAAGAGAGCACCGCCGCTGACGACGTTCCCGTTCTTGTCCGTGATAGTGACATCCTTTACTTCAGGACTCATCGTCTCCAGCATGCGCTTGCAAAACCTGGCGTACATCGCAGCCCAGTGCGCCTCATCTGTGGCCTTCTCGAAGGTGAGCTGGATGACCTGCCTGAGAGTACGGCCGTCCTGCTCGTCCTTGGACTGTGCCGAAATCTCGAGGATCTGGTTAGAGATCTTGTCGAAGTTCTCGGGTGTCATCTTGTTCAAGTTGGACTTGACCTTGCGCTGGACAGTCTCGGGGTCCATGTGAGTGCTAGCATCTGCGTTCTGAGCAGCAGCCCTGCCAACGCTCTTTGGCTTCCAGCCAGTAGCCGAAGTCTGGATGGGCTTCAGGTCCATGCCCGCAGTAAGAGGCATGGTCCTACTAAGCTTAGCTTCCTGCGCAGCGTCGAGGGCTGATCCGCGCTTGCTACCGGTGCCACGCTGAGATCGGCTGCCTTGGCGAGAGCTGGACTGACCAAGGTTGGACGATGACGTGCGTGTCATCTGGCTGCCACCAAAACCGGAGCCGCTCCGGAAGGAGGAGATGGGCCCTGGCATAGCTGGCCGCGGGATCTGCCCTTGAGACATGGCAAACCGCTCCGCTGAAGACGTCCCGGGCGGGAGTGGCTTTCCTGCTGGCTGCGCGAATGCGCCAAAGGCCCCAGCGGCGTTTTTAGATCCCGAGCGACCGCTCGAGCCGGCAGGTGTCCTAACCGATGCAGACCGCGAGCCGTCGGAGTCGCCGATCAAGCTCTTGACTTGCTGTGAGAACTCGGTAGATGGCTGTTCTGTGAACACCTTCTGGAACTGCAACAGGAATGCCGAATCGTACTTGAACGAGCCGCCCTTCTTGGCCACAGCGGCATTGACGGCTGGGTTTGGGCTGGCAATGCCATTGGGGTACTTGACCTCGTCCTTGACGGTCAAGAACCGAGCAGACTTCAGAGCCTGCATGGCTGCGGTTGGCGGAGCTGGCTCGACGCTGTTGGTCTTTAGGGGGGCAAGGTTCAGGGCTGCTGGCTTGGGCTTGCCGGTGGACTTGGCCGACGATGGTGCTGAGCCTATGGCAGAAGTATCCTTGTTGCTGATGATGGTGAGCTTGGAAGAGTCCTCGCCGCTCTTCTGTGAGGCGTTCAGATCCGAGATCTTCTTTGTCAGGACCTCGGACATCGACTGAGACTGACCACCCTCAGCAGCCAGACGCTCCTTCTCACGGGCCTTCTCCTTCTCCTCTTCGAGACGCTCCATCTCACGCTCTTGTTCCCTGAGCTTCGCGTCGTTCACAGCAGCATCGGCCAGGCGCTTCTCTTCGGCCTTCTTCTTCTCGACCTCCTTCTCGGCCTGCTTCTTGGCTGTGATCTTTGCCTGCTCCTCCTCACGCTTCCTGTCTTCTTCCTCCATTTCTCTGATCATCCTCTCCATGTACTCGTCGTCGGTCTCCTGTTTGGCAGCATCCGCCTTCTTCTGTTCCTCGGCCTTGTCCTTTGCCTCTTGCTCAGCCTTGGCCGCTGCTTCCTTCTCGGCCTTGGCCGCTGCTTCGGCTGCCGCCTTGGCCTTTGCCTCTTCCTCAGCTTTGGCTTTGGCTTCCTGCTCGGCCTTGAGCTTGGCCTCAGCCTCAGCCTTGGCTTTGTTTGCAGCTTCTTCGGCAGCCTTGCTTGCCTCGGCAGCCTTGACCTCAGCCTCTATGCGCTCTTGCTCCTTCTTCTGAGCTTCCTCCTTGGCCTTGGCCTCAGCAGCAGCAGCGTCGTCATCTGCCTTTGAAGCATCGCCTTCCTTGGACTTCTTGACCTGCTCCAAGAAGGCGGCCTTGATCTCGTCTGGCGGCTTCTGGGTGGAAAGACTTTCGGCACGGCCATGTGAGGCTGGTGTGCTGGCCTTGGGTGGAGGCGTGGGTGTGGACGCAATGACAGGGGGGGTCCTAGACTGCTGAATGCTGGGTGCTGGGGATACAGGGGCCTTGAGAGCATTGAAGTTAACCACTTCACCCTGTGCATTCTTGATGGTGACTCCGGCCTTCTTTGGTTTCTGGAACTGGTTGCTAGGAGTTGACGAGCCTGTGGGTGCCTTGGACTGGGAGCCATGAGCCTGAGGGGTTCCAGAGACGACCATGGGGCCCTGGTTCTGGCCTGTGCTCGAGGCTGGCCGTTCTGACAACTGTGAGTTATTACGCGACATGGGCTGACCTTGTGGAGGGGCGAATTGTCCAGTACCGTATGGAAGAGGCATGCCACCCGGGGCGGGTGACCCTGGCTGGTATATGTTCTGAGGGTGGAAGGGCTGCTGGGGGTACTGGGGCATACCCATGTAGGCCCTGCCATCATATGCACCTGGATAAAAGTTCTGTTTTGATGCAGTCAGCATGCGCTCGAAACGCTCAAAGCCGCCATTTGGGCCCGGCGTAAGGTCCAGGCCCTCATCACTAAAGAGAAGGAAGGGGGGGTCATGCAGAGGTGATTGCACGTCAAGCGATGGAGTTGGCCCTCGCAGAGATCCACGGTCAGTCGTCGAAGAATCACGACGCTTGCCCATGCGGCGATTTCTGCCAGGGTTCTCGTGCCATGAAGGAAAGAAGGAAGATGAAGAAGATTCCGACAGTCGCTGATGAGATTGTCTGTTTTCTGAATCCCAGCGAGCGCCCTTCTTCTTGTGGGGTTTGACGAATGGGGGAAAGATGTCAGAGACGGGGGGCTTTACATGTGGGGGGTAGCCGCTTTGCTGTTGAAAGCCACCCTGCTGTGGTGCGTAGCCGCTCATGGGCGGTGGGTACTGCTGAGTGTAGCCCTGCGCAGGAGGCACAGGCATGGCAGCGTTCATGTTCGGAGTGCCCTGGCCGGGCATGACCGGCGTAAGAGCGGGGCTGCCTCGTGCGGGCTGTGGCGAGTGCTGGTATCCGCCGCCGCGGGGGTTGAACTGTTGCGGTGGCATTCCGCCGCGGCCTTGGCCTCGGAAGGACTGGTTTGTGTTCGGTGGGAAGCCTTGGTGGTTAGGGTACTGGTGGTTGTTGTACCCGCCACCACGGCCGCCTCGTCCACCGCCGAACCCGCCTCGAGTCGGGGCCGGACCATGGTGGCCCATGTCACTGTGTTGGGAGACAGCTGAGTCGCGCCTCGCGTGGTAACCCACTGCTGTCATCGAGTTTGGCCGTCCCATACGCTGAAGGGCAATGTCAGCATAATCTGAGCATTTCTGGAGGGGATCATGGGCAAGACCAGGCCAGGCCAGCCGCGGTGAGCCAGGAGTGCCAAGTACTTACATCACCTTCATTGTTGTAGCTGCCAATCTTGAAGCTGCTATCCGTGTTTCCGGGTCGTCCGCCACTTGTCAGGTTCTGGGGGATGGGCGAGGGGCTGGGGGCTGGGGAGGGATTCCTGCCAGCGCCAGGAATGTTGACCGGCGCAGACGCGTTCAGCTGGGGGGTGCTGTGTTGCATGGCAGGAGAAGCCTCAGCGTAGCCAAACTGCAGTCCCGGGGGCTTGTTGCTCACGGCACCTCCGTTCGCCAGGTAGCTGGTCGGGCCATTGGGCGGGATGGTGACGGAGCCATTGCGGGCGTGGTCGCCAGAGCCTCCGTTGATGTTGGGCGTGGCGGCGACAGTCGGGACGGCGGGAACTGCAGGGGCGACGGGAGGCCGACCGTTCACGCTTGAAGCTGACGACGGGGCATTCTGGGGGGCGGCAGCCGAGGAGCCAGCCACCGCGGAGGGGTTGGCAGCTCCTACGACCAGAGGCGCCGAGGCGGGTTTCTTGGCAGCACCAGCGGCAGAGGCATACGAAGGAGCCGTCGAGGCAGCAGTGGTGTTCGGCGCCGGGTTTGTGTTGGGTTGACTCGCAGTGGAAGTCATATGTGATACCGGGTCGTCTGGAGACGGTGACACTTGTGATATGGTTCGCGCGATCGTTGTGGAGGGGTGGGGTGGGCCTGGGTGGGTTGGCGAAGGGGGTAGCGGTCGACGAAAGTCAAGCCTCGATGTGGTGGTCGGGGGTTGGACAGACGAGATGGACTGTTGACGAAATGTCGGGTTGACCAGTCGCGGAAGTCAAGAATAGAAAGGCGCTGCCGTGAACCAGTCGCGAAGTGAATCTGACCGATTGAAATCCAGATCAAAAGTGACCTGGCCAAGGGTTATGGATGAGAAATATCCCTGACTTGCTGCGGACGCTGGGTCACTGTCAGGGAGTGAAGTAAAGACGGGGGCAGTGGTGTTGGGCCGCTGCGTGTCGACTTTGACCGAGATGGACGGACGGGATGGGAACCGTTCGGCGGATGGGGTCGCTTGGGTAAGCCTTTGGCCTGCGCTCGCTCGCAATCGAAGACGATTGTACTGGGGCGAGGAGGGGAGGAAGAAATGGGATGCAGCGTCTCAACAAAGGAGGCCTGCAAAACCAAATCAGAAAGGGGAAAGAGATTATCTACCACTACCTGTCCTACGGATGGGTTGGTGGTGATGGAGGAGGGTTACTCTGGTTGATGATGTAGAGTGGAAAAAAGAGGAAGAGGGAGAAACTGGTCTCAAATTTTTTTTCTGCCCTGGGTGAGGTGCGACGGACGGGCGGCGGGTGGGCGCACACAGCCAGCAAGCAAGGTAGTTGGTTAGTTACCTAGGTAGCCAGCCAGCCAGCCAGCCAGCCAGCCAGCCAGAAGGAAGGCGATAAAGGGTATTGGGTGGTTATCTCATTTTTTGGGCCAGGGAAAGCACGAGCTTGGGGCTTTGGTGCTGGGGCTGGAGTGATGAGTCAAGGCTTCTGATTGGCTGGACGACCTCCACGGCTCCACCAGCCCGGGCAATCAACAGCAGTGAGCACTCACATGGTCCTACATGCTTACAGGAGGGCAACCTGCCTGGCCTGCCTGGGTCCCTAACATCCAAGGGCTGCTAGGGGAATGATCCAGGTGTTTTGGGCCTGGAAGCCTGCAGGTCTGCCATCCTGTCTGCCAGTGCCCTTCCTCTGACTTTCCACGCACAATCAATTCACACAGACACACCCCTCGCCCACACAAAACGACTCAAGGACAGAGCACCCAATCAATCATCAGGCAGCAGAAAATTCAATGACTGGCCCCAACCAACGCATGAGTGGCGGAGGAGTACAGGCAGCAGTCCAATGCCCATCTGGACTGAACAGTCACATCCCAAGTCCACTTCTCACATGGATCAAGCCAAGCCCAGAGTTGACTCCGAGGTGATGGCAACAAGGCTCTGGTGGTGGCGATGTAGCAGTACGTAAGACAGGAAAATGGACAGGGTTTCGCGTCGACAAACACGCTAACTTGACCTAGCAGCCTAGGTGGCGGATGGCCACGGATGGTCTGCAACCGGTGAAAGCATGGCAGTCTGTGCGTGTATTTTTTTCTCTCTCAGGTTCAAGTTTATTTTATCCTATTCCAAGCGGGTAGCTTTGGCTCTCTTTGAATTGTCCCTTTGATCCAGCTTGACATTGTGTCGTGACGGAAAGCTTGTTACTAGAGATAAAGAGACTCGAGGCCTCGGGGTTTGTGGCAGCCTGCTATCGGTCTTTAGGTACGGAGTAGTCTATACTCGAGGCAGGCAGTGGCAATGCCTGCCAGCCCTTTCAGTCCTCTGTCAGCGAACAGCAACATCAGCCTGGACAGCAGTTGTTGGTGTTGACTAGACAACACAGGGTGATTGCCAAATACCCCTCTCTGAGTGTGTGCGCAATCTACCCACCTGGGCAGCTATGTACACATCATACGTGTTGGCCCTGTCCCCATCGTGGGCGCGGGGCACTCGGACAGGGAGGCAGGGAGGCAGGGAGGCCTGGCCAACATACCGGCAGAATCCAAGCCCCACAACCAGGCGCCTTATCATTGCCCATCACGAGCTGCTGCAATGTTTGCGACGTGTATCCATGAGAAAACGGTCTCGGCGTGGGGTCGAGCTACACTAGTGTCTACGTAGTAGAGTCATCCCCGGCTTTCTGCCCAAAATACAAGCCTACTTGAGCCCCATCTCCATCGGCATGTGCCATAGATCTGAGTACCGTTTTTCGAGGCCAGTCAGGTACACCCGGCTTCGAGATAGATATGAATGGAAAGTCCTCATGAGCCAGCCAACCTGGGACACGGAAGTTCTAGAGAGAGAGAAAGTCAAAAAAAAATAAAAATAAAAAGGAAGAAAGGGGGCTTCCAGAACATGCAATATGACGACAGAAGTCCCTCGGGGTGGCTTGGTGACGCTCACAGTCGCTCCGGCGAATCCTAGACAGAGCTGTACTGCACGGCAGGGTGACACATGCCTTCTTCCCTTGGCCTCATCAACCCTCGGGGTTATGCTGCGGCCAACGCTGTCAACTGTCAACTGTCAGCCTGCGGCCCAAAAATAGACCCAACTCACACATTTCTTGTCGTACGACTGACGCACCATCACGTCCCTGCACGGGTAATGCAAGTGACTCAAAGGCCCCTGCTCCAATTCCCCTTTCCGCATCTAGTTCAGACCAGGCAGGCGAGGCAAGGAAGACACGCAGGGCAGGGCCATCACCGTCCACGGCACATGCTTGCACAGGGCTGACAGGTTGCTATGCTTTCTCCAGCTGGTTCGAAATGTGGACTAGATGCCTAAACACCCCTGAGGTCCTGCACTGGCCTGGGCAGACCGTGCCGAACTAGGCATTCTGCTGCATCGGCTTGATTGAGTATCTATCCCCTCCACTTGGCAAGCCAGCTAGCCCCTTTTCATTAGCACGGCATAGAAGCCAGGGTTCGCGAGTTGTGTATCAGAATGTATCAATCAATCATTGCTCAGTTCTCCTCAACCTCCACCTCTTGTTCGGAGGCGTCTGCTGCTCCTGCTGCGCCTTCCCCATCCTCATCCTCTTCGGGGATTGGCTCGATCTCCTTCTTCTGTGCATCCACGACCTGTTGCATCTCTGTACCCGCAGGCAAGCCCCTCTCCGCCTGCAGCTGCTGGATCTTGGTCGTTGTCATTTCGAACACATACTGGCCTAGGTGCTCCACGCCTTCCATGGTCGCCTCGCCGGCCACCGCCTCGTTGGCATCCTCGGCCACTTTGCGTTGTGACGGCCAAAGCTCTCCCGTGACCAAGGCCAACTTGTCCGGCCGCTGGAGAAGCTGCTCAAAAGCCTCACGGAGCTCAAAGCAGCCCTCAAAGATCTCACGCCGGCCCAGGATATAGAGACCTAGCCTCGCTCGCGAAAGGGCCACCGTAAGGCGGCGGATATCACGAAGGTATCCAACTCGCGAGGTCCTCGTGAGCGACAGGATCACGTCTGCGTGGCTTGTTAGCAGCTAGCGTCTAAATCTTCCAAATGGCCGCACAAACTCACAATCGTTCTGCTCGCCCTGATACTTGTCGACCGTAGTCACAATCTTAGGCAGGCCGAAAATAGGGTTCCGGGCGCATCGATGGCCAAGGACATCTCGGATCAGTGCCCGCTGGCCAGCGTAAGTGGTGAGAATGCTGATCTTGGAGGCAGGATATCCTAGCAGTCGCATGTACTGATAAATCGCCACCGCGTACTCGGCCTCGCCGAGGTTCTGGATGAAATGAGGCGTGGGCTCAACTTCGCCCTTGCCCTTGTAGTCTGGAACGTTGATGAACTGATAGTCGAACTTGAAACCAGCGTTGGCGACAAGATATTCCTCTGCACTCTCAACATGTGGCAAGTTGCCAAGGTTCCTGTACCGCCATTGGTAAAGCTTAGCGATTGACGGGCGAGCCCGCCCCTGTTGATCCAGCGTGATAGCTGGAACGCCCAAACGGATGAGACGAGAGAACAGAGACTGCTCCAGATTTGCGAAGTCACGGAACGCGAGGTTCTGTACGACGGGCGAGTTCTGGAAATGGTCACCACAGAGTATAACACGCTGCAGTGGCATCTGGCCATCCTTGGGCTTCTGCATGGCCAGAGGGATGAAGTTCTCAATCTCCGTGATCTGAGCTGCTTCCTCCATCACGACGTTGTCGTAATGGAATCCTAGCTGCGCAATTTCTCCGCGCCTCATCGCAGCGTGCGTAGACGTCATTGCAACTATGCGCGCCTCATTCGTAAGCAGATAATTTGCTTTCTCCCTGTCTCGTCGGAGGATCTCGAAGGGCAGTGCATCAGCGAGTTCGGAGAATATCTTGGAGATGTGTCGGTAGCAGCCGTTGGCAATGTCCAAGACTTGGTCACGGTCTGCATCAGTTTCGAACAGGGGTTGAGGGGCGTTGGAGAAGTAATGGTGGAAGGGGAATGCTGCCACGATGTCTGCCGCTGAAGCCGCCTCGTCCGAGGCCATTTCAGAGAACTTGGACCAAGCGGGCTGAATGTAGACAGAGTTGAAATAACCCGCTGTCTCCGACGAATTGCCATGGGCTCCTGGGGCTCCGATGCTGGCAGCTAGACGAGTAACCTCTTGAAGATATCTGTCGCGGTTCTCAAGAAAAGACTCAACTCGCCCATGCTTGCTGAAGTTTCCCTCTGTGCCGAGGTCTTCCTCGCCATGTCCAAGACGAAGGAGGTGACGCTCATCTATGTCAAGAGCCACTATTTTTGCGAACAATTGGTTCAAAGCCTGGTTGCTGTGCGCTATGAGCAATGTTCTCTGCTCGGGAAAATTGTGGTAAATGTTGTTGATGATTTGAGTTGCGACGTCGGTCTTACCAGTCCCTGGTGGCCCAACCACGACGGTGAGCCCAGGTTGCGTGCCGGACATGACCGCCTCGATCTGAGCAGGAGTAAAGCGCACGACATTCAGCTTTGGAGCATCCACTGGGTACGGTCCGTTGTTTGGAGGTTTGTAGGTTGAAACCTTGATAATTTCCACATCAGCCAACAAGGCTGGTTCCGCATCTCTTCGCCTCTTCTTCGACGGCTTGGGTGGTGGCTGCTCTGCTGGTCGTTCCGCGGTCTCGAGCACGTAAGGAGGCCCAAAGCTACCAGTAACGTCGTCACTGGGTTCGATGATCTTGCCTGGATTGCTTTCTATCAGGTGTTGCCAGTCGAGGAAAGTGTCCCGGTAGTCGATGGTTTTGAGACGATTTGGCAACTGCTTATACGAAGCGCCTGCCGGGTCACCATATCCAAGGAACACTTCGTGCAGCCATGGTGCCAATGGAACCTCTGACAAAGTCAGGTTCTTGATTGACTCCAGCACAGGCTTGAAGTTGTTCTCTCTGCCGCTCCTGCGCATAACCAGGTTGATGCTTTCATATACGTCAGGCTTGCCAGCGGACGCCCTTTGCTGGTCAATCTTGTACATCTTTGCGTCCAGCTTGAGTTGCAGTTTTCTCAACGGGCTCCGGGAATGGCCGTCGAAGTATGCGGAAGTGTCTCTGATTGCGCGGCCCCTGTCATCCAGGATCTGAATGATCTCGCCGCATCGCACAGATCGAAGGCCCAGCTTTTCAGCCTCGGTGGCATCGGGCGACGAGTTTTTCGATTTTGGAGCTTCGGCTGCCAGGAGGAAGACGACGTCATCCGGCCGTAATGATTCCCATTCGCGACGGACATTGTCGGCGAGGCGGCGAACATCAATGGTTATTTCCGCCCGCACCATAGCAGGCTTGTCATCACCCACCGCTGCAGGCATGACTTCTAGGATCGATGGTTTCGAAATTGGAAGGGCCATCTTAGAGAAGCCGGGAAACATAACGCCGCCGGATCTTCCGGTCTCCGGCCTCAATCTCCGCAGTACGTCCTCAATGTCTCGCCTGATGCCATAAAACGACTCGCACCTGTATAAGACAAATGATCTCCAAAGAAAGTCTCCCACAGACAGATATTGTAGGTTCAACTTCGGGATTGCCAATGGATGTGATCCATCGTAGGAGTCAGTCCTGAGGAGGCTCTGTTCGAACAGTGTGTCTTCAGTTGGCAAGATACTCATGCCCCGGGCTATTTCCTGGAAGGTTTTACGTTTCTCAAAAGTTGAACATAGCACTTCGAGCAAGAATTTTCGATCGACGGTCAATCCTGTTGATTCCGGGTAAGTCGTCCGCAAGTCGAGCAGTGTTGATAGCTGTAGAATTTCCCCGTCATCAAGAGGTGCGAGGAGAGTCCGGAGCTCTCGCCTGTCATCGATCGCGGCATAATTTGAGAGAGCTAGAACTGTCAATTTTTCCTTGAAATGTTTCAGGGCAGTTCGCTGTAACCTCGCGAGGCGCGTACAGTGCCGTTCGTAGGCTTGTGTCTTGCCATGCTGCGCCCCTGTCTGGTCATCGATTGTGAAATGCGTATAATGAGAAAGCAGTGCAATCAGGTCACGCAGGAGTCCATTGCTCTCATCGTTGAATGTGGGTGACAAGGCGGCTGCTGGGAGGATGTGTAGGTCCTGCAGCAAGAAGTTGACGTATCGACGGGTCGGCAACTGGCTCTGGAGGTCGGATAGAAACTCGACAAATCGTTCGCAGTATGAAACATCATCCTTGGAAGCGTTGTTGGAGTAGAGTAATCCCAAGAAGTCCAAAGCAAGAGTGTACAGCCAGGACCTGTCGAAACGCAACCGAGCCTTGGTTTGCTCATCTGCGGAATCGTATCTCTTCGCCGATGCCCTCCAAGCCTTACGCAATTGGTTGTGCTCGTTCAGTTTGTCGTCGCGTTTCTTTTCTGTGGACAGATTGTGCCACATGGATATTGATACTAATGGGGCACACTCCTTTCGCACAATGGCGTGGTCCAAGCTCTGGAAGGCGTGGATCACAAAGGAGAGAATATGGGTTCGGACAGCGACTGATAGCGAGCGATCGAGACTCATGGAGAGTATCCGCCGGAACAAGGCTGAGAAGTCATCTGGGCGCTCCTCAAAGATGCCTACGGAGGCGTGTTAGCTTGGCTTCGATGCGATCATCATCGTGCTTGTGCGGCCGCGCGCTTACTCCATGTCTGCAGTCGCTCCCGCCGTTTCGCATGGGTGATCAGCACGATCAGAAGGACGTGATGGTTTGAGGACGATTCGCTGTATCCCGGCCATAGATAACTGCAGAGTCGGGTCAGCATTTCCACAGGGATTAGAGCAGGGAGAACCTCACCTCTCTAGGACCTGCAAGCTTTCCAGCTCGACCAGTGCTGCTGCTGGGAACTTCTCCTTCTCCAAAGGGTCCCATATATCCCGCTTCAACACGTCATTCTTCACCTTCACTTTTGCCGCCCTCGTTGGCTTCAACCAATGTTGCTTCGCGACCCGTGCAAACTCGGATCCCTCCTCGACAACAGGCTCCACCACCTTTGGAGCAGCCGCCTGGGAGCTCTTTGCGGTGCTCTTCTTCTGTCGCTTTGCTGGGGGCATGGTGGCGGTTATTGGGCGACGAAGTCGTCACAGCGTCGCGTTGCTGTTGAGTTGGACGCGCCAGGCACATTGGGAAATTTTGTTAATAGGCTGGGCCAGCACGGCACCGGAAGGCCTTAGCCTTGCGTCACTAGTGGACCCATCCCGCAACGCGCTAAGAAGCTCGGGCCAGAACCGGCGACCCCTGCCCGCCAATCAGTAGACTTGAACCCGGCTGAGCTCGTCCAGAACGTATTCCATTGTTGTGACTTGCAGTTGGCGATCCTCAACCTCACCACCCCCACCCCCCTGACTTCAGCCAAGCAACGCCAGACTTGGCTTAGTTGACGCTCATGCCACATCGCTGGAACCATACTCCAAAAGAGGGCTTTTCGACGAGACTGAGGGAGACTGCGACCTGACGAGACATCGAAATTCAGAGCAGCAAACCTCTGCCAGAGGTTGGTCGCGCCGCCGCGGCGCAATCACTTCCGCGCTTCGTCTCTACTGCTCAACACCCAACACAGGATGCCTTCGCTAGAAGTGGACGACTATGGCGTGACACCCGTCACCTCACTCGTCAGCTTTTTCGAGGAGGCTCTAGATGCCGCGAGCGCAATCAAACCGACGTCTGCGATCGATCCGCCCATAGAAGATGCCGACCTCAAAGCTGTTCTCGATCACCTGCCCACAGCACTTCTTGCTGGCGAACCACAAGATGGTGCGACCACGCGTCAGGATCGACATCATCGGTTCGCCGTCATTGAGACCGCGGCCCGTGGCGTTCTCAGCAACCTCATCGTGTGTTGCCCGTGTTCCTTTCGGTGCCAGACTCAGGTCGACTGACCTCCTTTAGGCACAGGTACCTATCGACTCAGACGACTTTGTCAAAATATGGAACCTTTTCGATGTACTTCAATGCCTGTCAGACCGTGGCCAATGCGATCCCGCTCTGCTGGTCTGGCTCCTCGAAGACCTCCTCGATAGCCAGACCATTCCAGGGTGTCGCAAAATCTTCGACTACCTCGAGTCGCGGAGGCAACGGATCATATCGAAGAACTTTAACGAGAAGAAACTGGTGATATTGAGGAGCTGCAATGAGCTGCTGCGCCGACTTTCACGAGCTGAAGACACATCTTTCTCGGGTCGTGTCTTCATTTTCCTCTTCCAAAGCTTCCCGCTTGGCGACAAGAGCTCGGTCAACCTTAGGGGTGAATACCATACTCAAAACGTCACAATTTACGATCAAGATGCGCCAAAACCGGATGCAGCTGAGGACAAGATGGACGTCGACTCCGAGGCAACCCCTGCTAAGGATGGAGAGCGCTCAGGGCCGGGCAAAGCGGTCTCTTTCAGCGACAAGAAAGAAGGCGCGGTCGAGAAGCCGCTGGATGCTGATGCACTGTACCCCGTCTTTTGGTCGCTGCAGGAGAGTTTCAACCAGCCCAAGAGGCTCTTTCAGCCATCCCATTTTGGTCAGTTCAAAATCTCGCTGCAGGCCACAATGGCGGCATTCAAAGCGAGACCGGTACAGCAAGAGCCAAAGTCTTCAAAACAGGCCGAGGAAAGCAAGCGGGGGCTCAAAAGGAAGATGAGCTCCGATATTGATGCGATTGTTGACACATTCAACCCGAAATACTTGACGAGTCGTGATTTGTTCGAGCTCGAGGTACGAATTCTGGAAAGCCACCACAACCACCATCGTGCTGACATACAACACAGATTGGCGACTTGTCACTGAGAAGATACGTCCTATTCCAAGCGCTCATCATCATGGACTTCTTATTATCGCTCTCTCCAAAGGCCAAGGAGGAGTTGCAATCAGTGCCACAAGTCAACAAATCTGTGGCTTACCTGGACCAAACTCTCAGCGACGACGACATCAAGTGGGCTACAACAATGAAGGCGGACATATCCAAGTATTTGCTGAGCACGACACCTGATGGTCCCTTCTTCCTGAGGCTCGTCGAGACGGTGCTCATCCGAGATAAGAACTGGGTGAGGTGGAAGATCGAAAATTGCCCACCAATTGAGCTCCCTGCCGTCACGCCTCGGGAATGGGCCGAGACCATGAGAAGTGCAAAATCACAGACCACTAACAAGAGACTGCGGAGAGAGGCCATGGGCTCGCTATCGCTCGACTTCCTGAGCGACGAACAGGACGCCAGCGCAGTGGAGAAGCTAAAAGATCCGGAGCGGTACCGGCTACCGGAGCTCGTGAGCTTCAAGCGGAAGATCCAGGAGGATGACCTCGAGATCGAGATGCCGCTCTCCAACGACTCCAAGGCGACAGCCGTCGAAGGGAAGGCGAGCAAGACCTGGAGGGCACTGCGGATTGCGAGCAGGTCCAAGTTGGCGGTGTTCGACCAGATCGAGTCATACGAGGACATCAACGTTCTCTTCGAAGAGAAGAAACCTAAGCAGGAGGCGGACGAGGCGGACGTGGCGGACGTGGCGGACGATGGCCATGAGAACGGGGAAGCGGAAGACGCTGACGAGGCCATGGATGAAGTGAGAGAAGAGGGACCGGAACTCGCTCATGGGAATGGCAACAGCGAGGCCACAGATGTGCCTTCGGAAGTTGCGCCAGCGGGTGTTTCCGCGTAGCGGGCGGCTGTGGCGGCGGCGGCACGGCCGAGAGACTGTATCATATCATGACAACGCTCAATTCCCTTACATGATACCCTGACATCAATAACCGAAGCGGTCCAATGCGGCTGCTGCGGCCAAATCTACAAAGCCTTTCATCTATTCATCGTGATGCAACATGGTTCTCCGAACTTGAAGTGCGGTGCTGTGAATAACGCGCATCACAATACACTGGTATAGACAAATTGCGCTTCCGAAGGGAGTCCATTGACGGCAAACTCCACCAAACTCTCCAGTTGTCCTTTAGCAGAACCACATCATGTACATGGTTTCTCCGGCTCGTCAAACATGAGCGGGTAGGTCCCTCACATTGGCAGTCCAGACCTTTCCGTTCCACTATTTGCACAACGCGCTTATCAAGGCCAACGACACCGAGTAGGACATGCTATGCTGATTTATGTAGAATTCGGGGCAGTTGAGACAGCTGCCTATATCTATTTGGGATGGAACAGTTGGGTATGCACACGACTTGGTATCACAAAGAAAGGGAAGTACAGGAAAGGTGTTTCGGGGCAGTTAAACAAGAGTTGTCAAATCGCTTGCCCCCAGGTGCAGCCCCGTCACATCACACAACAAAACCGTTCTAGAGGCTGTCTGATGCTGTCGTCAGTACAGAATGAACCTCCAAGACTGATTCTGATGTGGAACATTGCTCACGAAGCCAAAACTCACGGTTCACTCCAATTAATGATCCACCGACAAACAATCTTCATCCGTTCGCGCACGGTGGTCGTGTCAAGAAGAGCAAGCTTCTGCTCCTCGGCGATGGGGAATATGCAGGCGAACCACCAGGGAAACACGGCCGGATCGTTGGGGCACTCGCCGAACACCGCCAGGATGCGTGAGTTGAGCCATCTGGGGTTTGTGGCAGCCATTTGCGTTATGGACCGGCTGGCGAACCTCATGAGGGCTTTCGTCTTCATCCAGTTGATATCGTCGTTGGATGGCACCTCGGGCTCGGGATTCCGTGCTTCTGGTTTCAGCCTGAAGTCGGCAGCCTCTCTCCTTTCTTCCTCATAGAGGCTGACGTCAGAGAAGTCCTCGACCTCGGCAATGGCATATCCATCACTGTGGATGCCTTGCCGCTTGACACGGAAGCGTGACACACCCTTTGTCTCCAATAAGCTTCGTCCGTCGGAGAGGAAGGTGGCTGCCTCGACTCGTAGGTGGGTGCCGATGGTTGCGTGCCTGTCGAATAGCATGCCAAACTCCTTGCCCCCCCGGCCGCCGGCCCATGTCCTCATAATCATTGCTCGGTACCTCGGTTCGAACACATGCAGGAAGGTCGGCATGCCTGGAAAGGACACAGCACACACAAACAGCGGGACATCCAGTCCTGTGTCATCCATGACAGGGTACGGGGACTCCCCACGAACGATTGGCTTCCTCTGTTCGAGCTCATCCGACCAGAAATGCAGTGCCAGGCGCGAGAGGAATCCGTTTGGTGGGAAGAGACGACTGTCCAAGTATGGCAGGGCGATGTCACCGCGACAAGCCGGACAGTAAGGACCGATTTGGGGCTGCTCGAGCGCCCTCTTTATGCAATGCCGGCAAAACGTGTGACCACACGGCGTCGTCCACGGTTCGTACAGGAGCTGATAGCATATCCCACAGTCCATCTGACTGCGCAATAGGTGGTCGAGCTTTCGGATATCTAGGATGAGGTCGTCGTCTGGTGGCGTAGGTTGCTGGAACTCGTCTGTGTCTGTGATGCGCCCGTGGCTGAGCATCTCAAATGCTTCTACCAGTTGCGTGGACCTGGTCGACCCTGAAAGGACTAGCTTGGTGGTATACAGAACATCGGCCGTGAGCCTGTCCGACCAACAAGCATCGGTGGTGTGGCCGTCCGGGCAGCACGGACACCTAAACTCATGCCGCCGTTGCGCGGTGCCAGGCCATAATGTGTCATCGATATCGGGTCTGGCCTGGAGTTGGGGTATGCAGGCCCTGCAGATGCAATTCCCGCATGGTAATTCAACAGGATCGTCTAACAGGCGCTTGCACTTGGGGCACTGGAATACCCGTGCGGTGGCCCAGAGACCTTTCAACTCGGCCTCAGAAGCCCGCGAGGATGGTTCTTGGTCGTCTTGGTCGTGGGCAGGTAACGGGATATCAAGAGATGATTGTTGCAGTGCCGTGAGAGCCTCGGACTGCCCGGGTGTAGTCATAAGGACGGGGTTCTCGAACAAGCTTGCAGCCTGGCCGGCCTTCCACATGGTCAGCAAAGTTAACAGGCTGCGAGGGCCAGGCCCCCCCTCGCCCTTTTCTTTTTGTGTGTGTCTTTACCAGGTTGATTCCGATTCACGCCTTCCTGACGAGAACGGGCAGCGGAACTAGACGTTGGAAGTGTGGCGCAAGCTGTCGCTGGAATATGGAGTGTCTTGAGAAGCGTATGGATTTGAGGTGGTTGATCGAAGGGCCTCTTCAGATCCCATAATGGAGCGGGGGCCTCTGTTGTTCGATAGCGTCAAATTGTCGTCGTCATTTCAGAAGTACAAGTCTAGTGAGAGAGGGTGAGAGTGAGAATCATGTCGGAAGACTCTCTCTCGCCCACTTCAGCCTGGGGTCTCTGTTGTCGATCCTCTGCGCGGAGGAAGAGGAAGAGTCTGGCTGGACAGTGACGAACAGGCGTGTTGTACAGGTATGGGAGTGGTCAGAGAGAGTGTATCCGTATGGGCGGGCGGTAGCAGAGGCGGGCGGGCTAGGAGGTCAAAAGGAGAGAAGCCATCGCGTTGTTGTGCGGCTATGCGTGTCAATGACTGGTGGCGGCGGGTGGGAGGAACATTCTACGGCGGGAGGACAAATTATCAGGGTCCGCATGTGCGCGTCCAAGGAACGGGGTCGGAAGACGGAGAGACGGGTGCTAGGGGAGTGCAATCATCATCGATGCAGCAGGTTGTGTTGGTGTGCGACGAGGTGCGCAAAGGCTGGAGACGGGGCAGCACGCCTTGTTCGAAGGGGGCAGCCGACGTCACGCACGACAACTGACAGCTTGATTAACCCACAGGGCAGGGGGCGGGGGTACATACAGATACCTGCCCTTGCTGCCCGTCCAGGGCACAGCAGAGCGAGACAAAGGGCCCCTGCCGGTATTCTGTATTCTTGGGCAGCGCCGAGGGCCCGGACAGGGGCGAGGGGCACTCCACCGAGCACCTTGGTCTACTCCGTACACCGAGTACCTAGGTATAGATATACATACACCAAGGTGCCTAGTAGGTCGATTTGGTACTGCTTTCCGTGTATTGTCTACATATACTGCTACTGCCTGTCCCGTCCCGTCCGTCCCGTCTCGTTGCGCAAGCCTGGGGCAACAGGGCAATTACTCGTATTGTCTGCCATGTATGTGTCATTATAAATAGAGTACACGAGTCTATGTAGTGTGTACTACATACACTACTCAGTACTCCGTACACTGCACAGCACTGTCGGGACAGACGCACAACGCACAGCATGCTGCTGCGTCTGTGTTCCCACAGTCCTTGCGTGCAGGCAGGCAGGCAGGCAGGCAGGCAGGTGGGCTGCGAAGTCTATCCAGCCTTCCATGATTCATCAGACTGGAGGTGGCATCTGTCCCGAGTGGTTGGATCCGGCCGCCGCTGGTCAGCCAACCCGCGGACGTCATTCGAGGATTCCAAAGCAGCGTTGGGCAAGATGGCTCGAGCCAGTACCGCCCCCAGCGCCCGTCTGGGATGCTCCGTGTCTGGGCCATGTGTTGTTATTAGGCCATACCAAACTGCCACAGCCTGCCAGAGCCTCAGCTCCATCTTCGGCGCGCCAGTCCGTGAGAGGTAACGCGGCTCCGGACGTCGCATTGGCATCGAGATCAGGGTCCAGAGGGCTTCGGCCGACAGTCTCTAGTGTAGCTGCCAATTGCCGCCAAAGGGCAAAGGGCCAACGAATAGATACCTCGAGGTACTATGTAGTACCCCGTTGCCCCGTTGCCCCGTGCTCCCCAGTCCCTCGCACTCGCATATCGCCCACTAATATCTACACTAGGTAGTCAAGGTACAGTAGTTCTGCTTGCTGCTTAGCACCATCTGTAGTCCTCGCGCCTCTGGGCTGTACGAGGCGGCCGTTGCGGCGCCAGCAACCCTTTCCAAGGTGGGGAGCATGGGGTCATCCTTGCCGTTCCCTGATCTCTGCCGCTGTCAACGATCCTCAACCCACGCCTCCTCCCGCCTGATCGCGCCCGATCGACCGATTTGATTGGCAACTGGTGTCTTTGGTCACATGACCACCCTCACAGCCCTCCTCGACCGCCCATGCTCTTGTTGTTAGATAAATCATCACTCGGTGGCCCGCTGATGCCTCGACTGGGCCGCTTGATCGCCATGACCCGACCGCGTGGGCACTACCGTCTCGACTTCCAGGCACGCAGGGCACGGTGACACGACGAGGTCAGCATGGCAGCATGGCAGAGCACCTCCCGGCTTCCCGGCTTCCCGGCTCCCCCGGCTTCCCGTCTGTGCATACGCCCTGCTGCCCCACACACGCGGACACGGCTGACACGGTGCTGTGCTTGCTGTGCTGTACCTGGCAGAATGGCAGATCGTCCCTTGCGTTGCGACTCTGCATCTCAGATGCCCTTGCCCTCCGCTGGGCCTCCTGGGCCTCCAGCAGAGATGCCTCCGTCTCTGCATGACGACGGCCGGGTTCAGCCCACGTATGGGGAGGCAAGAGGCTACTGGCGCATTTCTCAACCCCTGTGTTTGCGCTACTGACGTACACTTGCGGTGCGGAGGCCACCATCTCTCGCAACCCCGGGAGCGGAACGGGCTAATCGATGCGACTTTTCCGCTGCCGTGGCACCGTGGTTCATGCTCTCTGCGGCAGCCATGTTTCGGCGCCACTCCCCCATGCCCTCTCCAACATGTTTCCGACGGCCCATCGTCGGCTTGCTACTGCCCGAGCCGGCTCCCGACTGCCTTGCCAAGTTGCCGCCCACCATCGAGATGCTCCTATGCTACCACATTCTGAACTGCATGCCTACCAGAGAGCTGGCCCATTGTGGGTGTTCATCCAAGAACCGCCAGATGTGCTAGCGGATATAGTCAGCCTCATGTCTGCATCACGGCCCGCCTGAAAGACTCGATGAACTTTTGAGTTCGACGCCGTCAGCCCTCTAAACAACACTCCACCTCACCATAATCATCCTCTGTTTCAGATTGCGTCTCTAGTAGCTGTTGTTGTGTCGCCAAAGCCGACGCGTCACTGTATGTACTGGGCAAACACCTTAACACTGCATTTCCGGGCAATGACTCCAATGTCCAATAGACTCACTTGCCTTGGCCTGAGCAAGCATCGGCCGCGGTATTGACGTGTTGTACCTAGGTAGCTTAATGGCTCTGGAGAAACATCCAAACACGCATTGATAGACGCTATCTAGTTTCCAATATAATCCCTAGTAATGGAAAGGACTTCGCGCTATCTGTGATGGAGCACTTGTCATTACCCGAACATCAAATTATAGTCATATCACGTGTGACAGCACCTCAGGGTAGTGAGTGCTTTAATAGTGTAGACATATACAAGACTGCGGAAGTCAAGTCTACTGCAAGCGGAAGAGCGTTGAAAGCTTTACATGGCTTTAAGCTGTTCAAGCAAGGTCCAAAAAGAATTAATCCCAAGAATAGAGGGGGTATGAAACAACGAGAGCCCATCCTATCTATACACAAGATCACTCCTATATGCTCCTGATTTTAGGTTTTTTTCTTCTACTTTTAGAAAAATGCCGAGTCTTGAGTTTACCACTGTATGAAGGTGCCACATACTTACTTAACTACTTACCCTGAGGTAGGCACACTTGAATAGAAAAGAGACCACATGCCCCTGCTTGTATCCGATCACCCATTGAGCCAATGTGTTGAAGACAAAGCTTTGGTAACTGCTCGGCACTATACGCTCAGTCTACTTCGCGGAGAAGCAAGTGTAGGAAGACGGACTCAATACTCTGACAGGCAGCATGTGTCGCACACGTTATCCTGAACCAAAATCAACCATGCCTGCGGGCTTTCAGGAGGCTCCAACGGTCAATATACCGAATCTAGACGACCGCCCGTAGTTACTGTATTCAACTGTTCAGACTGCGTGCGCTTGGCTAGTCGTGGGGTAGAAGCCTAGGAATTGCCCAGGTGAGGATAGCTTAGGGCACAACTTTGTATAAACTACTGTGCCATGGCTAGCACACTCTTAGTTGTCTGCACATCTCAAAATGACACAACAGATGCCATCGAATTCAGACAATTCCGACTACAGCCCCTGCAATTTCTCAGTCAGAGGTGCCGTTCTGCCGTTACTACAGGAAGTTTTGCGACTGTTCGATGATCAACACAGCTCGGGCAAGCTCTTCAAGTTCTGAACATCAATTGGCATTTGATAGTCAATAATTACGGAATGAGCTGGTCGTATTCCAGTTCCGCCTCACCCAAATATCTCAAGCACAACTACACGACAAACTTTCTGAGGCGTCATTACAGCCAAGCTTCTAAAGTTTTTGCAAGTGTGCCTCACTACAAGTAAACAGTGCAGGATCTGTGATATCCATGTCCCGAATGTAAGGGAAAAGACTCAAGCTTGCAATCCCAATGCATCACTCCACTATGGGCGTGCGGCTAAGCCCTTACGCGTCTCTTGGTCCTGTTGTTAAGCTCTTATGGTGGATTCAAGAGATCCTCAGCGGGTCCCATACTCTCCCACTTGCCGAACCGACATCTGAAATATAAGTAAAGCCACATCGGGGACGTATCACATGTTTCCGGCCTCCCAAATCAAACCCCGAATTTAGCATCTATCTGACAAGTTCTCCTCGAAATTTCTGATAACAATGGGCTCTGGTCCTGTGTATTTCAGCTCGGCATGATTCATGGCACGGAGTAAGTTCCGAGCCATCTGTAGGGTGGATGCTTCTGATGAGAGATGGCTGTGTGTTGCCCCCAAAATGTTGATGTCATAGACGGGGAGCTTCGTTTTTTATTTATTCTTGGCGAATCGATTCAATCGAGAAGATCTATTTGGGTTTATTTGATGTTGCATCCATCACTATTATGGCTGGCGCCTCATACCACACAGCGTGTCTCCTTGGACTTAACATCATACTTCCAATTGGCCCCGTACGCAGTGCCAGGCAAAACGAACAACTTCCAAGATATCTAACAAAGCTCATAAAGAAAAATGACTCCACTCTCCTAAAAGGGAACGTATAGATCCCTACAACTTGTCGCCCGCCTTGTGTGATACCTGCCTTCAGCCCCGGGTTACATTCCAACAATGGTTGTTCGTACCTCGGGGAGGAGTCTCCCGTGGCCAAGCCCCATCGAGAGGCCCCCTTCCACAGTGGCATCCTAGATAAGCAGCTGCGATGTTCTGTCTCTTGTGTTGGATTTGTAAGGGGAATGTCTGTTCAATACGAAAAAGGAACGCCTCTCGTGTAAGGTTACCTAGGTATCCGAAGGATTCCACAACCATAACCCGTGGCTTGTTGTACAACAATCAGCTCTTCCGAACCAGACATACCTGACAAGACATGTTTATTGATCAGCAATAGTTTCACTGTGGGTACACAAGTGTGTAGTTTTTTCTTGGTCGAGGTATTTAGGAGATGGGATATACCCCAGGGTAAGTATGGTGACAAGATGGTCCCGTTGGTGGGACGAGGCGAGCTTGGTTCCTATACAAAGCATAACAGACACTCTGCACCTAGCTGCAATCGCTCACTCAATATAGTAGAATCCATTTCCTGAAAATTCAAACTTAGCACTGCCCCATCAAATTTCACAGACACATAGCCGGCAGTAACAAATATGAGGTTTGACACCGTTGCCGCAGCCGGCCCGGTGTTCTAGCCCACCTCGAGGCCGTGCCATGCACATGCAGTGAGGTCGTCAGACGTGGCACTATGTCGAAGCGATGCGAGGCCAAGCGGGCCGAGAACGCGAGGGACACCATCACCGCCGAGGGGCCGTACTCGACGTGATCCAGGACGACACGTGCGTCTTGAGGGCCGTGGTGACCTGGGGCCCGTATATGTACCCGAACTCGCAGGCCTCGCGGCAGGATATGTCCGGACAGCTCTACGTCGACGGGGAGTCTGAGGAGCAGATCATGGCTCTAGACGCTTACAAGACATACAGCTCAAGAAGAGAGGGTAGCAGATTGCTGACAAGGGCTATCCAGCCTCACACACAGCCTGGGTTGACCACGATATTTATTAATTGGCGTGTTTGGCGCGGGGATTTTTTGGGGTTTACCTGAGGATTTCGCAACAAGGTTGACTTCGATCTCATCAAGCGATCTTGCCTGTGCAGTGCAGTGCGGTGCAGTGTGGTGTCTTGACCCGCCCTTGCTGCACGTTGCTGCACGTCGGCTGACGATGTAGTCTGCAGGCCCGAATCTTGAATCCAAGCAGGCCAAAAAGAAGAACCAAGGAACTAAGGAAAACCAGGGACGTCTGACTCGGGTGGTTCTTAGCGCTGTGGGTCTCGGGAGCCCCCCTTCCAGCCCTTCCCACCCCCTGGGCGCCTGGAATCCGGGGTGGGCAAATCAGAAAGGGCTGAATGCGACCCCCAGCACATCACATGCGAAATCAGAACAGACACACGGGACAGGCCTGAGCTGAGCCCAAGGCCTCCTTGCCACCCCTTTCTGGCCCGCCAGCCCCGTCTCGGCCCCGGCCTGGGCTGGCTGACCCCGTGAGTGGGTTTGGTGAAGACGGGCGTTCCATTGCCAATGGCATGCATGCATGGCATCGCATAAACCATGCCACCAACATGTACTGCATACTGTGTCGTACACTGCTTGACTGCCAGGACTACACCTGCCGAGTGCAGCGCGCAGGGAATCGAGTGGCATGTGAAATTCCCGCCTCGCCAGTTCTGATGACCGGCTGATTGACTGACCAGTCTCTCGAGTGCACGCAGCCCTGCGGAGCGGGGCGTGCATGCGCAGACGCACCACTGCACTGCAACCCGCAAGCGACAAGAGAGGGTTCGTCCTCTCCGTGGCCGCCGGCAGTTTGCTTGACTCTTATGGCCATCCCTTGGTCGGTCCATTCCAATTCCCATTTGGCTCGCGTGTTTCCTCGTCTTGTCTTCGATCCATCCGTCCATCCATCCATCCTGGCCTGACCTGCGGGCCCACACCAGCCCACCAGCCCACCTCCTCCCCCAAAGCTATCTCTCCCCTCCAAATTGTTGAGCCCGGTTGGGCTTCGACACTGCCAGCCAGCCAGCCAGTCAGTCAGTCACCAAGCATTCCTTACCTCGACGTCTTTTCCCCGCGCCACCCTCTCAGCCTCTCCAGCACCTGACACACCTGAGTCCTCGGGCCCCCTCACCCTCACCACCTCAGCTAACAAAACCCGGCTAGTATCTGCATTGGCGCTGGCATGACGAGATAGGCATAGCTTCAAAGAACGTCGACGACACAGACACAGCACAACGAGACACACAACATTGTACGAACACGAGCACGCTTCTTCCCAGCCTTCCCAGCCATCCCAGCCATCCCATCTCTTCCTCACGACTCCGCCGCACGCGTTTTCCAACCCGTCACCACACCCTTCCAAAGAGACGCCCACACACCACCATGTCGGAAGACGGCGGCCCACAGCTCTTCCGGCCCATCCCCCGCCGGCCCTTTGAGCTCGGCCTGATGAGCCCTACCCCGCCGGACGACGACTCCGCCCCGCCCAGCCCGTCCTCCAACAACGCGATCCCGAACGCGAGCACCAACGCGAGCACCACCGCCGGCAGCCACGGCCCGCCCTCCTCCCTGCTCGACCCGCGCGCCTTCGCTGGGCCCGCGGGGGACTCCATCAGCCGCGCCGCCTCCTACAAGAACCTGACCAGCTCCACCCTCGCCGGCATATACTCGCACAACGTCTCGGGCTACCCGCCAGGCGACAATGTCTACGGCTCCGAGCCCCCGGACACCCCCTGGGGCACCGGCGCCGAGACCCCCGCCACCCCCGCCAGGGGCTCCGTCGACGAGAGCATATACAGGCTGGTCAAGGACCGCTCCTCCCTGCTCAAGAGGCGGAGGTCCTCGGCCCTGCCCGCACGCCCGGGCAGCTCGCTCCAGCAGCAGCAGCAGCAGCAGCCCTCCCCGACACAGGCGGCCCTGTCACTCGCGCTCCGGACCACCTTCCTCTTCGTGCTGGGGCTGGGCTACGGCGCTATCCTGTCGCGCCTGTCCACGGAGCAGCAGTGGGCATCGTTCCCCGTCGAGGGCATCATAAGGCACCGCTATAACTCCGCATACCTCGCCTGCTGGGGTGTCTTCGGCGTCGCCCTGGGCAGCCTGCTCCCTTGGTTTGACGGGAAATGGGAGCAGGCATTCGAGAAGTCAAGAGACGAGCACGAGGACGATTTCGAAGACGGGGGGGAAGGGCCGGGCACCGACTGGGCTCTTGTCGTCCGTGGTGTTGGCGCCTTTGTGGGCATTGTCTTCGCCATCGTAAGTCTACGCCCTCCTGCCCTCCTGCACACTTTCGGCAGCACTCGGCTGGGCGGAGAGCTAACATCTCTACAGAGAAAAGTTCCATGGGCATCCACGATGCAGGTCTCCATGACCCTGTTCATGGCCAACCCATTCCTGTGGTACCTGATTGACAGGTCAAAATCAGGGTTCCTGCTGTCCGCCGCTGTGGCCTGGGCCGGCTCGGTCGTCCTGGTCGGGCTCAACCCAGATATCGTCCCTGCACCTTCTGGGTTCTCGTCAGAGTTTCTCAGCCGGAACCACACGGGCAGCGCCGGTGGCGAACCGCTGATGCTCGGCGGACTGGCTACCCAGAAGACCATAGAGACGGGGATCTGGGTGCTAAGCGTGCTGTTCTGCAGCTGTGTCTGCTTTGGCAACATCGGCAGGCGGCTGGCTCTGAACAGGTCAGCAGCCGGTCGTGGTAGATGGGGTGGGCTGAAATAGATGCGACCGGTTGGCGTTGCTGTACGCCCACTCATGGGTTGGTTCCTGGCTGGCTCTGACATATCTGGATTGCCGGCTGCTAGTATTATGGTAGAGTTTGGCTACACTTAAAAAGTACAAATTGCATTGTGGTCGTCAAAGACCAGTACACTGAATGGGCAGAGCCTCAGTTACCACGTGTTGCTGCGGGTGAACAAAAACGCTTTGCCGTAATTCGGAGCAGCTGGGTGGTTAGTGTTGGGTATGCCTTGGTTGGCTTATTTTTCCACTTTTCCCAGATCATCACAAGAGGTCGACGGTGATCACCACTCGCATCTATCGAGGAGGGTGTGTGATCAGAAGGTATGCAAACGCTGTCTTCAATTGCTGGCTTATTCATCATCGCTATCTGCGTCATCTTCCTCCTCCTCCTCCTGGAGCTCATCCTCGCTCTCCTCAACGCCTTCCGGCCGGGGTATCATGACAAATGCCTCCACGCACGTGATCCTGTTCTGGGTATCGTGGGTCCCGAGTAGCTTGCCAGCCTGCGGTGCCCCTTTGCCACCCCGCGGCTTCAGCTCGTCCTGCGACAGCTCCCACAGCCTGAGCTTCCCGTCGCTGCTGGCAGCCACGACGAACCACACGCCCGGGGCGTCATCCGACCGCATGATCTTGAAGTCCTTGACCCTGCCCGTGACGCCAGCAGCCTTGCCCCCGACCTCTGCGAGCAGCCTCGCCCGCGGCAGGGGCGCGGCCTTGCCCTCGGCGGCCCCTGGCTGTTCCAGGTCCTCGACCCTGGTCGAGAAGAACAGCAGCCTGCCGTCCTCGGTCGACACGGCAAAGACCGTGTCCTCCGAGTCGCCGCCCAGCCTGACGTAGTGGAACTCGTGGATCTTGGTCCTGGCGTCGGGCATGACCCTGCACCTGACCTTGCTGTCCATGCCAAAGACCAGCACGTCGCGGTCGAAGCCGACGGCGAACTCGTCGCCCGAGTCCGCGCTGGTGCCCCAGACGACCCTCCTCCCCTCGCCGGTGGAGTGGCGGCCCTCCCCGATCTCCTGCAGCACGGCCCTGCCGAAGTCGAGGACGCCGGCCTTCTTGCCGGTGACGAGGTTCCACAGGCGCATGCAGCGCTCGCCCTTGCTGACGCTGATCATGACCTTCATGCTGGGGTGGACGGCGAAGTCGTTGACGCCGCTCGGGGTGCCGCCCATGGGGGCGGTGTCGCCGCTGGGCCGGCCGGAGACGGCGGGGACGGGGGCCTTGATGGTGGACAGCAGGCTCCAGTCGCGGACCCTGGTGACGGCGATGGTGGAGTCCTCGGAGCTGGAGAGCAGCTTGGAGCGGGTGGGGAAGGAGAGGCGGGTGACGGTGCTGGAGTGGTGCATGAGGGTGCCCAGCTCCCTGTTCTTTGAGTTCTCGAGGATGGGCCGGCGGGCGATGGTGGAGAGCAGCTCCTGGTCCGGCGAGGCCTTGGTGGACGGGGGGTGGGCGGACAGGTTGTAGACGTTGATGCGCTCGTCAGTGCTGCCGGTGGCGAGCATGACCTTCTGCGACTGGCCCGGGACGGGGGCGCTCGGCGGGGAGAGGGCGAGGCATCGGATGGCCGAGGTGTGGGCGTTGAAGAGGAAGGAGTCGGCGAAGCTCGCCTGGGACGAGGGCTGGACGGTGGCCGTGCAGCCGTGGAGCACGCGGTCGTAGGAGCCTGCTATGATCTGTATCGTTACCGGCGACCTCATGCGTTTGGATGCTGACTTGTCGGTGCTGGTGTCTGTGGGTTTGGCGGGCTTTGGTGTTTTGGTCTTCTTTGGCGGTTGGCTCTTTGCTTCCGAGGAGCCATTGCTGGACTTTATCTTCTTGGTCTGCTGTGGCTTCTGGGCAGGCTCGCTCTCGGCCACCGCTTGGCGCTTCCTCTTGGCCATTCTGGGTGTATTTGAGGGTTGATGACCGTTTTCTGGCGCAATTCGACTGGCGAGACCAATGCGAGGATGGGGTGAAGATGGGAAGCTCTCGAAGACTCAGACTTTTTAGTGGGTCCACCAAGGCCCGGCAGGCAAAGCATGATGATCTCCGCAGGGGCTGGCCTGCTCCCCTGCTCGCCTGCAATGATAGTAAACAGGCAGGTACCTAGGTACATAGGTACTCAAGTAAGTAGGTACCCAAGTAGACAGACTACCTACTGTGACGGACACCACACAGCACTTCATCCAGTCTACAAACTCTATGAACCGAGTCTATCCTGCACCGAGTATTTTGCATCACATCGTGGCCAGAGCACGTTGTCGTCATATCAGAAATTGCAGGCATTGTGTCGTCAGCTCCCTCGCATTCACATGAGCCAGAAACAAAAAGGCCCAGACATGACTGGCGCAGCATCAATCTCGCTGCCCTGCTGGGCTCGTGCCTAGGGTACCTAGGTGCCCTGGTGGTTAAGTAGGCATTCTGGTTCTCGCCTCTTGCTTAATCCAGATTTTATCCTCTTTCGCGGGTTGGTCATCAACGAGCACGCCTCCTTGGATGTACACAGGGCCCTGCCTCCCGGGACGCGCAACAGGGTGGGCCACGCCAGGGCTGCTTCCACGATAGCCACATGCCGAAACTTGCCCAACCGAGAATACCCTGCAATGCAGCCAGACACGGCCACGTCAAAACTGACCCAACCAAACGGAACAGAATACCATGACGATTCCATCTACTCCCCCAGCTTCCAGGGGGAGGCCGACGGCAGGCTGGTTGGTGATGGCTTTACCATATAACTGGTCGTGATGGGACCTTTCTTTCCACCAAGACTTGGGATCTCATCATCACCAACAGCCACGCTTTCTAGCCACTTGTCCCAGGAAGCAATCATCACTCTCACCTGACTGTTCTGAGGGTGGCCACAACTACGAGGGTGTCAGTGGCGGTGGCGTTGATGGTAGTGCCTATTCCGGCTGTCATTCTGGTGCTATGCCCACAGCTGCTGTGCCCCCCCGGTGCTGCTCCTTCATCTTGATCATGTGAAAATACTTGTGGTGAATTTACAAGACAGGTATTCTACTATATGTACACCGAGATATGTACATATGCGTAAAAAGAATCAAGTTCCGCCCGCAAACGGCTCAAATCCAGCTGTCGGACCCATATGATCTCTCAGAAACCGATCTACAGAGCGAAGATTATCTTCCTGCTGGAAAGCACATGCAATCACACGCTGGCCATATGAGGCAGTAGATGCTGTGCGATAGCAAAGCATGGGGGCCACTTTTTGTTATTTTCCTTTTCTTCTTTCCCTTGAAGAAGGTTGAAGTAAATCTGACTCCTGGTACCAGAATTATCAATAATGAGGCTTCTTTTGCGTGTGCAGAACAGGGCTGCTGCTGCATGGGCAAGACAGGTTAGTGTACGGGTGAATAAGTTGAACCACCCCAAAAGGACCTGATGACCTTTTGGAGCCACGTATGCGAACAGAGGCCATTAGCAGGTAGGCCAAGCCAACAAGATACAAATTGAATGGCCCAGGCGCAGATCGCCGAGGCATGTGAGCGGCGCAGCGCAATGGACCACAAATCGCTCACGGGCAGCATGATGCGGTGCAAGCTGACCATCCCCAACTGTGGCATATGATATACCACACTTCGGCCTGGGGCTTGCTTTGGTTCTCACTTGGTTCTTTCCTCGTGAAAATGGCTTCACCAGTGCTTATCCCACCACGAAGTCGGTCCAAGATCCAGCCGCCATGGACGAGTACGCGTATCCAAGCGAGTGGATTTCATCACAAAGGCGGCGGGGCGAAGGGTCTGAGAGTCAGCACGAAGCCCAGGAAACTGGTACAAACCCTCGGAGTGGCGCCCCGTTGGAAATTCCACACCCAACAGGCACCAGCCGTTGGCTGAACCATCCCAATACTAGGACGTCTGGGACGTCAGTTCGTGACCCAGGCACGGAATATCCACAGCCTGAAGGGACCATACCCACGCAGCCAGCGCCACCATATTACTATGGGAATGTCCTAAGTGCTTCACATGGCTCCAGGCCAGAGAGAGCGCTGCGCATAGTCAGCGGGGGCTCAATCATTGAGCCAGACTCGGTGTTTGACGAGGAGAGCGGGAGGACTTATCAGAACCACCCCACCGCAAGATACTTTTTCCCCAACGACCCTGAGGAACAAGACCGTGCGGACCTGCAACACAAGGTCTTCAGGATGTATAATGGAGGGGCACTCTATCGAGCGCCCGTTGTCTCCCCGAGGAACGTTCTTGAGATCGCCACTGGGACAGGTATCTGGGCGATTCAGTACTCCTGGGAGCATCGTCAGCATTCACCCCTCTTTTCATAGCCCTCTTTCATTCTTAGGCTTGGATAATTCCGTATATTACCATCTCAGTCATCATGACACATGACTGACCCAACAACAGCAGAATCAAGGGTGACCGGCACCGATATAAGCCGCATACAACCGTCTAGGATACCAGAGAATTGTTCTTTCATCAAGGAAGATTCAGAGCACGACGAGTGGATCTTTCAGGAACCATTTGACTTCATCTTCATGAAGATGGTTGGCTATTGCTTCGATGACTTCCCCGCCGTCTTCCGGAAATGCTTCGACAACCTGGAGCCTGGTGGCTGGTTGGAGCTCAATGACAGCACTACCAAGCTGGTCTGCAACGATGGTAGCACCAGGGGGACGAATCTCGAGGCGTGGTCCCAGCGGATGTCTCAGGCGCACGCTATCGTCGGCCGGGACCCCGAGGCCCCCAAGCAATACAAGCAATGGATGGTTGATATTGGGTTCGTCGACGTCGTGGAGCAGGTCGGTCTACTTCCAGGTGCGTTTCAATGCCCCGACACCGGGCGCTTAAAACCTGGGTTGTGAGATCAGTGTCGGAAGGCTTTCCCGGCATTGCCCTTCTGTACTGACATCTCACTTGGCGCATACTTCCAGGCAACCCATGGCCAGAAGACCACCATTTGAAGGAACTAGGCAAGTGGCAAATGACAAACATCTACAGAGGCATCCGCGGTCTTTCGTTCAAGCTGCTGCGAGCCCTCGGTATGACGCCGCAAGAAATTGATGAGTTCGTCAGCGCAGCTACTGAGGACGTGAGGGATACGAGATTTCACTTCTCTTGGCCAATGTGAGTCAACCTGTATCATCCCATAGTACAACAGGCGTCAGAACTGACAGAGTTACACATCAGGTACGTCGTGTATGGACGCAAGCCGTATGAGTGGGAGGTACCCCGGCGTGGGATATCTGGGCGAATGCGAGCATGAAGAGCTCATCAGTAATGTTATTGCACATGCATTATCTATATAGGCAATACTTGCAGGACTTTCTTCAATTAGCTTGTTGCTGTGTTGCACTCCATGCCTCGAGTACTATGAACCTTTTTGTTAGCTATATAAAATCAACAACTACTGAAGGGGAAGACTCACCACTCAATTGCAAATTTTAAATTACCTGGGTACCTAGCCAAAGTCCGCACAGTTATCCGTCATCTGAGAATGCCTAGGTGACTATACAGAATACCAATGATTATCATCACTGACCAAGCATTTCGAAATAAGCGCTCTTGTCATGACTTCGAAGATGTACATGGATAGGTGCAAATATGAACCCCCCCTATAGCCACAACATACTTTCTATTTTTCGCTATTGTGCTGAATAGCACCTGGCTTTCAGCGTCACTTGGAATTTTCCTGGCCCTCCGTAGAGCTCCTTACCAAATAGGCTTAGAGCCAGCAATGCCAACTTGGCTTCTGAAGGATGGGATCTAGATTCCGTGGCAGGTCTTGGAGTTGACACAGGTCAAATTCCAATGTAAATCGCATTACACTCTGCCCCAGCCTGATTTGCCTGTCTTTCCCTGTGCCACCATTAAGAAGCAAATAGTTTAGTTGAAACGATTGCAGGAATTAGTGCAACGCCTTGAACGGTCGTCTCACCATAATCAACTGTCGAACAGTGTTGCATTGCCCACATGCAACTACCAATGATGCACTGCAATGGCTCAGGGAAAATCAAACCTGATGGTGATGAAGATGAATTGAGCTGCCTGTGCCTCCTGAGCCCTGTTGCTGGACAAGAAATGCGGTGATGCAGTAAATATGAAACATAAGTACATAAGTAGTGAACAGTCCGAAGCGGGCCCTTTGTGGCAACTTGCCTGCTTTTTTTCGCCCTTCATCCAGGCCCCGATGATGATATGAACGATGACAAGCTTCATAAGACATGCAGTCCGATGGCACAATGTAACCGTCGATCAGCGAAAGTCACGAAGCCACGCAGGTACAGAGTGGGAGTGCTACCAGAACGATAAGCGGCAAGCAAGGCTCCGCCGCTGCAGCAATATCAGTAGTCTTGCATGGTCTGGCCAATTGAGAGCCCTGGCGCAACCTGGTCATGGAGTTGTGGCAACCTGCCGACGGGTCTCGCGAGCGAAACGAAGCTTGGCGTCCGGGATAACTACTCAAAAGAAGACTGAAGGTTGTCTTGGCGACGCGTCTCCATACCACGTACAGAAGGTGCTCGGTGGGAACGTCTGCCAACAATCGTGCTCTGTTGGACCGTCGTGATAAGGCGCCATGATGAGCGAGCGAGTATGGAAGAGGCGGCATGTCTCCTCACCGAAGTGGTCTGCGCGCGAACATCCCTAGGTACCTACTTAAGTAGGTATGCATCCCTTGGTATATATGGAGGCCAAGCACCTCAGTTCCAAAGGTCTACGGGATCACGAGCACCCGCCCTGCCGCCCTATCACCTTGCCGAGCGAGTTCCAGGTGCATTGACCCTCATATTGTACTGCTTGCAAGTCCCAGTCGTCGACTGAACAATGAGGCCATCAACTCAGCTGTTGGCCCTGGTGCCGGCTGTTTTGCTCGTGCCGGCCCATGGCTCGCCGCCTCTCGTGAAGAGACAGGGCACCGCTGGAAATTTGGTAGACGACGTAGGTCATTCTTAGGATCATGCAATCGGTGACCAAGATACTGACGCGCCGGCCCGTTGTAGCAAGCCCTGCAGGACGCCGTCACAATCGAGGGCCTCCTTGGTCACGCCCAAGACCTCGAAGACATTGCGTACGCGACGGAGGGTCGTAACCGCGTTGTCGGCAGCGAGGGACACAACAACACCGTCAAGTACTTGGTCGAGCAGCTCGAGGCGCTCGGTGGATATTACGATGTCGAGCTTGACCCCTTCCAATACACGCTGCAGAAGGGAGTGTCCAACTTCTCGGTCAACGGCGCCACCTACAGCTCTGCTGGCCTTGAATACTCGCCCGAGATCAGTATAGAGGGTGTCCCTCTTGTCCCAGTGGCGAACCTGGGGTGTAGCGCAGTATGCTCGCCCCTGAGGAGTAGAAACGTTCCGAGACAAGGCTGACACCTGCCGCAGGAAGACTTCCCAGCTGAAGTATCGGGTGCCGTTGCTCTTATCTCAAGAGGCACCTGCACTTTTGCCGACAAGTCCTACTTTGCCGGTCAGTCCGGGGCCGTGGCGGCGGTCATTTACAACAATTTGCCAGGACTTTTTGACTCCGGGACGCTTGGTGGAGAGAACGCCTCGTTCGTCGCGACTGCGGCGGTGTCACAAGAGGATGGCCTTGCCCTGGTTGCGTCGTACAGCAACACCACTCTGGCCAGTGACCTAGATATTGTCACTGTCTTCAGCACAGTCTACAGGTAAATCAGATCTTTGGGGTCTGGGAGAGTCTGGACATATACACAGGTGGCTGACTGCTGTTGAAGCAACAACGTGATCGCCACTACTGCCCATACCAACTCCTCGGATATCCTCTTTCTCGGCGCACACTCCGACTCGGTCGCAGCTGGTCCGTAAGTATAGAAGTACGTCTCCCCAATCTCCATAGCAGGGCACTCACAAAAGGCAGTGGCATCAATGACAACGGTAGTGGGTCCTCAGGCATCCTTGAGGTGGCCATCCAGCTGGCAAAGGGAGGATGGAGCACCATTCCTGCCGTCCGCTTTGGCTGGTGGACTGCCGAGGAGGAAGGCCTCCTCGGAGCAGAGTCATATGTCACCAAGACATCTGCCGCCGAGCTTTCCCGCATCAGGCTGTATCTCAACTTCGACATGATCGCTTCGCCCAACTTCAAGCTCGGGATTTACGACGGAGACGGCAGCGAGTTCGGGCTCTCCGGCCCGGCTGGCTCTGACCTTACCGAGGCACTGTTTGAAGATTGGTTCGACAGCATTGGCCAGAATCACTCTGCTTCCGAGTTCAACGGCCGTAGTGACTACGGGCCCTTCCTGGATGTTGGTATCCCCTCTGGAGGACTGGACACCGGGGCAGATGACATCAAGACCGAGGAGGACGTTGAGAAGTTTGGCGGGGTCGTCGGGGCCCAGGCCGATCCTAACTACCACTCGGCCGCGGACAATGTCACCAACCTCTCGCTGGAGGCCTTTGAGATTATGGGCAAGGGTATCGCACACGCAGTGGCGTTTTACGGTGCCAATGGCTTCGCGGGATACCCGGAGAGGAACTCCACAGCCAGCTTGAAGAGCCGGGGCTCGGTCGAGAGCAAGCCTAGACAGACGGATCTGCACCCACGCCGTCGCAAGTCCCAGTTCTAGTCGATTTGGACCAACTTGATTGTATGGAAGGGCGGCCACGAGTTAATCTTGGAACCTTGGAGCATTAATGTTCATGTGAAATTCCCCGTCGTCACACCGCGAAACGACCTTCACTATCACGATCTGGCCTGCCATTCCTCCTTGTGCTCTGCTCATTGATTGCTCACTATGTAGCTTCACGCTGGCACCATGATTCCCCGCCGGTGTTATTTGGACTTGTGTCATGAATTGCACATTGATTGCGCGGTGTTCCACGCACAGCAGTACCTAGGCAGTCTTGCAGGACACCATGGCAGAAGATGCTCGGTTGGGCACTTTGGAACATTGAAACAAGTCCCTGCGCCAACGGAAATATCGGGCGCTCATTCTAAGACTCATCAATAAAGACCTTGTGAATTCTTTTCTCGCAATATTGAATCCGATAATAGACTCCTGACAGGAGGGAATATACTTAAGTACTTAGGTATCTAAGTTCCTAGGTACTTAAGTACTTACTTAGGTAGGAGGAGGCTCATATCCAAGGGCGACCAGCTGGGGGCCAGCTGCTTGCGGGCCGCAGCTGGGCGTGCCGATAAGATAAGGATTTTTCGGAGTGACATCAATTTACAGAGAGGCCGGTCGAGTCAACCGGCGACACTCACAATCTGCAGCCTACCGTTTGGCCTTGTGCTCATCTGTCAGGTAAAGATGGCCGCCTAGCATGAAGGGCAATGTCGAATTTGTCTTACCTGCGCAATTCCTGCCGTAGGACTCCGCTACGTTATTATTCGACACCATCGCGACGCTCTCGGTCGGCCAGCACTCCCGGCGCATCGACCTCGCGCAAAGCAATAGTCCCTCCGGGTTTGTTCGGCCCCAACGTTCTGGTTCAAAAGATACCCACTGGAAACCCGAGGATCTTTCGGTTCGGTCGCTGGGGAGCGCAGCCTCACTCGCTGCTGCTTTACAGATCAAACGGGCAGGCCCTGTTGCCCGCAAACCACCGCCATACTTTGGTCGACAAGCCCGGCACCAAGACAAAACCAATGCTGAGCTGGGTGCAGATCGTGGCCACCCCCACGGCTGACACGCCGGGGGCGTGCGTGCTTCTTCACTTCGACAACCGCCGATATATATTCGGCCACATCTGCGAGGGCACGCAGCGCATAATGAACCAGCGGAAAATCGGGGTTAGCAAGCTGGACGAGCTGTTCATCACCGGGCCCGTGTCCTGGGGCAACGCCGGTGGTCTGTTGGGCATGATCCTTACTATTGCCGACGTCATCGCCCTACGAGCGGCACCGGAAGACAGTAAAAAGAAAATGAAGAAGAAGAAGGACCAAGGGCTGTCCTTGATCCCGAGTCTGAAGATATACGCCGCCGAAAACATCACACAGGTCCTCGCTACCGCACGAAGATTCATCTTCCGAAAAGGCTTGCCGCTCGAGGTCCATGAGTTAAACCATAAGCCGGCGCAAGAAACCCCCGGGCAAAGAGCACCGGACTTCGAGGACGCCAATGTCAGGGTCTGGTCTGTCTCGGTGAAGCCAGAAGGTCAGCCCAAGTCTCAGGGTCGTAAGAGAAGCCACGACGACATGCTCGCCCAAGAGGACGGCCGGCCGAGCAAGCAAAACCTAGATGAAAACCAGCTGGAGGAGAATCGCAAGATCGTCCAGTCTGTCGTCGGCCACATGTTCGAGTCAGATTGGCAACTGGACGCCCTCGTGGGGACAACGTTGCACAAGGTGAAGCTTCCGGCCAAAATATTCGTCAAGGGTCCGGACGGCAAGATCACCAACTACGATGGGCCCATGCCGGGAGATGATGGCTCCGTTCCAGACATCCCGGTGTTCACGCGCACTCCATGGCCGGCAACCAAGATAACACAGTTACCTCCTACATCACCTTCGAAACAGTCCTTGTCATACATTGTCCTGCAGCAACCTCGAAGGGGAAAATTCAAACTCCAGGAAGCACTCAGACTCGGAGTAGCCAAGCCTGACTTCAGCAAGCTTACTGCCGGCGAGACGGTCAAGGGCGCTGGTGGAGTGGATGTGACTCCGGAGATGTGCATCGAGCCCACAATTGAAGGTCGCGGCTTTGCCGTGATCGATCTCCCTGACCTGTCCTACGTAGAGCCGTTCTTGGCCCGGCCCGAGTGGACCACCGAGTCGCTCGTCAAGAATGTCGATATTATGTATTGGATGTTGGGACCAAATGTCGCCCAGGACCAACGGATACGAGACTACATGAAGGCCCATCAGGCAGTCAGACATAACGTCTTTGCACCAGGTATCAGTCCCAATTACATCTCCATGGAGGGTGCGGCGGGCAACTCGATCAAGTCTCACCAGATCGACCCCGATAGATTTCCCTTGCCCGTCTACAGCAACGAGAGCAAGGCTGAAGCGTCAGAGGTCTTTGTGACGGCAAGCCCAGGCGCCAAGGTGCAACTGGCCCCACGTCTAGTATTCCAAGACGAGGAATCATTCCCCCCAATGGACACATTGAGTGTCGCTAGCGACATGGACAAAGAGGTCCAGAAGCTAGCAGATGAAGCGAAAACAACACTTTCCGATACCAAATTCCTAGAGGAGATCGAGGAATCCGAGAAGGACATTCCAAACCGCGACACCGAGATCATCCCACTCGGTACGGGATCTGCACTGCCATCCAAGTACCGCAACGTCTCCGCGACCTTGATCCGGGTGCCTGGCTACGGCAGTTACTTGTTCGACTGTGGTGAGAATACCCTCGGCCAGCTTCGCCGCATGTACGGCTACGACGGCGCGGACGAGATCCTCCGCGACCTCAAGGCCATCTGGATCAGCCACCTGCACGCAGACCACCACCTTGGTACGGCCAGTTTCATCAAGGCCTGGAACGAAGCCACCAGCGGAACGCGCATCGCTGTTGCGTCCCACGTGAATATGCTCGATTGGCTGCGCGAGTATGCCTACATCGAGGACTTCGGCTTCGATCGTCTGTGCCTGGTGGAGATCAAAGGCCGCCCCAAGGCAGAATCCAAGCAGGAGCCCTGGATCTGTACCCCGGGTATCACGCGTGAGTTCGGCATTACGCGCATCGATGCTGCGCGCGTCGAACATTGCCACGGCGCGTTGGCTTGTGTGTTCACATGGCCGTCAGGGCTGAGGATCGCGTACAGCGGCGACTGCCGGCCGTCATCGGTATTTGCCGAGATCGCGAGGGACTGCACCCTACTTATCCACGAGTCGACATTGGACGACGAGCTGGTGGATGACGCGCTGTCCAAGAAACACTGTACCATGAGCGAGGCGCTCGGCGTGGCGAAGGACATGAGGGCCAGGAGGGTGCTACTGACGCATTTCTCGCAGAGGTACCCCAAGATCGCAAACACATCGGGAGGTGGCGAAGGCGCCCCTGTGAAAGACCAGGTTGTCCTCTTGGCTTTTGACCAAATGTGCGTCAAGCTGGGGGATTTTAAGAAGGCTGCGCTGTTCCTGCCCGCGTTGAGGAAGTTGTACGAGGAGGATGGAGACGACGAGCCTCCAAAGCTTGATTAATTGGGACTCTTACCCATGTCAGAGGCAGAAAGGCGGCTGGACAATACTGGCCACGCCTTCATCTTGTTCATAGACGTAGAAAGCATGAGACATACTCGACTTATCATACCAAAAAGACCTTAAATGGGACACACACCACATATTTGCTGCGTCTGGCACACAGACTCTGCTACATGCGATTTGAAATTGTAGAACTGTGACCGGAATCCACAAAACAGTCAAGATACAGCTCAGTGTCTGTCAACGTCTGATCTGGCAGAATGGACCTAAGCACATTATCACACTCACACCGTTGACCTCGGGAAGTTTAGTTTTTTTGTAGTCTATTATATCTTCATGCAAAATAACAAAAGGAAAAACAAAAAAAAAAAAGATTGTAGCGAAGGACTAGGTAGCAAGACCAAGAAAAAGGACTGGGGGTGGGAGCCACAAGAGGGTTGTAGAAAAGGACATCAACTCACCCATCGGCTTGCTCATATCCACGAGGAATCAGGCATGTATAGATCTGAGAACTGCCCACGGCCCGCGCGGGACCTCCGCTCCAAGTCACGCCTCGCCGTCTCGCGGCTGATCGCAATCGCGGTCCGGAGCTCCTCCTCATCATCGTCGTCATCCTCGGATTCGTCTCCCGGCCGATGCTGTTGAGACCCCAAGAGGTCGACCTCCTGGATCCGGCGTGCAAGTGCTGCGTCCGCGTCGATTTGGCTCTGGCGGAGTTGACGCTCGGAGACAACGGCTTGGAGGAGGGGCACGTGGCGATAGATCCCGGCGACGGCTGAGACACTGTCGTCGGGGCCCAACGTGGTGGTGCGAAGGGCGAAGTCCGAACCGGCGCCGAGCTGGTCTAGTCCGGCCTGGAATCCCTGGCTCGTCTGCGTCATGCGCCCTCTGCTTTGCTGGATGGTGTTGGAATCGGGCGACGCGCCGGGGCACGGCCAAGCGGTCACGGCTGATCCATCGACGGTGTCAGTCCGGGGCCGATGACGATTGTTGCGACTGCTTGGTGGGGACCCCCTTGCCTGTTCTAATTCGCTACTTGTGCCTCTGGGTCGTTCCATGGCGATGCTAGACACAGCAGGAGGCGGGTGGAGAGCTGTCGGCGCATCATTAGAGTAGACGCTGGATGGAGCCCGGCCAAAAATCACTCCACCCTGCCTAGACGGCTCTTCGAGGTACGCGGTTGGGACCTGTGGTACCGCTGGTTCCTGTTCATCTTCTGGTTGCCTGCCTCGCCTGGACCTGTGAGTAGATTGCGTAGCAAGTGTGTGAACGCCCACTGCGGTGAAGTCGCTCACCTGTGTTCCCGTAGTGTCAGCAGCTGCGACGAAGACATCGTCATCGTCGTCTCCCTCACGCGGAGTGATGTTCCTGGAGAAGCGGAGTGGGTGGGGGACAGCTGACATGGCCATCTGGCTCCTCGCCCAGTTCTCGATGCCGGTTGTATCAGTGCGGAAGGCAGGGTGCTGGCTGCCGATGTTGCTGGCCCCCGACGGCCCGGCGATCTCGGTAAAGGTGTCGTACCAGTGCTGGAGGCGGTCCTGCTGCTTGTAAGCGGCGCCTGCGTCTGCCTCGTCAAACTCGTCGCGGTAGTCGTCGGCTGGCTCGGCATCACCGGCGTCGTCCTGCTGGTATACGTCCGTATCTTCGCCAGCTTGCATGGAGCGGTCACTGCGACTTTCCTCGCTCCTGACAGTGGCTGACGATGCTTTGGAGATAGATGAGGCCGTGAATATCGATCCCGAGATGGTGGATGAAGCGTGCTTACCTTGACGGCTGCTAGGTTTCCTCGACTCTTTGCCAAACGTCTCATCCAGCTTCTTGTCTATCTCTCCTCGGGCTATTCTCAGCTGGCCGGCTGTCAGGGGTTTGCCGTCCAACTCGCGCTCCATGCGGACAAGCTCCTTCATCCTCTTCTCATACGGTTCGCGGTGCCGACGGTGACCCCTGCGGTGGCCCATGACCCTCTTCCTGATGTGGCGCACATCCCTCGCCATCCTTGTGCTCTCCGCCAAAAGCTTGCCGCCGTTCTCCTCGCCGAACCGCTCGATCCAAGCCTCGACCAGGGGGATGAGCACTGGGGCACGGCGCCTGTGGGACCGGCCGTACATCATAGCACGCAGATCACACAGAGCTTGGCCCGCGGCGCCGATGCAGCTGCAGATGCAAGCCTCGCAGTCCGTCTCGACGCGCGGCATGGCCAGTCCGGGTGGATAGTTCTCGCCCACGATCAAGGAGAAGACGTCCGGTCCTGTCCAGAGGGACAAGATGCTGTTCATCCGGTCGGCGTAGTCCTGTACCTCGCCCAGCGATGTCTTGAGCCGCACGTCATGCTTGGTCGGGTTCTCGAGAAACTTCCTCACCGGGTCGAGGCGGTGTGTCACCTCCTCCGAGACCAACAAGAACACCCTGTGCACTATCCATGGGTTCAGACCTTTGTGGGCGGCACAGAGCACCGCGCACTGCGGGACAAGATCTTCAAGGGTCAGGTTTAGCTTCCTGTTGGTGTAGATGGAAAGCCTAGCCAGCCAGTCGTCGGGACGCTGAAGGGTCTTGGGTAGTTGGGCGACCTTCTCGGACTGGCGGGCCAGCCATTGGTCGGAGGGAAGGCCGTCTGTAAAACGTCGGGCTGTTGGCGGGAGGCATAGAAGGCGCACCAGGAGGTTGATATCCTCGCTGGTCATTTGTGAGATGTGGCGATATCGCTTGGCCATATTGACAGGGCCTTGTAGGTGCAGCACCCGATGGCTGTCTGAGGTTAAATCGGTTGTCTTCTCCCAAGTCCCTTCCTCCAGGGAGATCGACTTCAAAGGACACGAGCTAACACAATAATTACAGTGAGCGGACAACTCGTTTCGGGGTTCAAGAGAAGCACTAGATTCTCTGGTCAGGACAGGAACCAAAGCTTTTCGATTTTTTGTAGTATTTGACTTTCGAAGCCTTTTGATCCTGTTGTTCAGGATGTTGCAGGAACCAGTATCTTTAAGTTCGACCCTTGGGCTCGACTGATTGTGCCCCCTCCCCCGACGCGGGCAGGCCCGTTGCAAGAGAGGAGACAAGGGGACTGCTGCCCTTTGAGCATTCTCTTTGATATACCCCATGGTTCCCCGGTGAGCACCACTTGTGTCAGCCGTGTTCTTTGTTACGGGATCGCCGCGCCCTCAATACAAGAACATTGTACGGGCCGCCCTGTACTAGGCCTCCTTGACGTCTCCTGTCTTTGATATACGCTGTGCAGGTTCAATTGTCGAGATTCCGTTGTCATTGTCTGTGGAAACCACCCTGCTGATCAAGTCATCTTCGTCGAGTCAAACGAGGTCGGAAAAGGGACGGACGCTGATGATTCGTCGCAAAATAGTACGTCGGTATGCCACGGGGGAAAGGGGAATCGGATAGACTGTGCGCGTCAAGGTATCGCTGAATCCATTTGAAATGTGGTCGTGCCGAGTTTTGATTTGATCGTTATACGATCCATGACCATGACATTTGCCCCATGCAACTCGTCGTTTCCGTTCCCGGCCCCTCCCACCAAAATAGACACAAAATAATAGAAAAAGAATACCAGGCCTGATGTGTCCAACAGGTCCATACGAACTCCCCAACGCGCGCATGCCAGCCGTCCGCCCATCTCCATGTCCCTATTATAATCTGTGACACCAGAATGAATAAGAGTAATAGAGCAATGAATATCTCGTCCTATCAGGCATGCATGCTGCGTGCTGATGACAGCCCCTGGCTTGCCCGCAGCCGTTCCATTTTAATCTTGGCAGCTTCAGTGCCGTCGTCAGGGTGGGCTGTCTCTTTGAACCAAGGGTGTTGCAGGGCCTGCTTGGCCGTGATGCGATGGGCGGGGTCATAAACGAAGATTTTCTTCAAAAGGTCCCTGAAGTTTTTCAAGAAAGGGGTGTTGTTGGGAATGATATCCTGTAAGCAATATCAGCGGTCTGCGCAAGACTCGATCATCCGGGCGTGACCCACGTCCAGCTTCTTCATGGCCTTCACAAACCGACGCGACGCTCTAGTCGTCTCGGCAACAGGGTAGTCCAATCGCCCCCTCTTGAAGTATCTACTTGAGGTCAGAATCCACCCGAGTTTTGCAGAACAAAGGACCCGTGATATCGGGCCAGCGGCAGGAATCGGGGAAAGACACGTACTTGGAGGCTGGGTTGCCACCATTCCTTGTCATCTTGTTGACTTGTGTGACCAAATGGCTGTCGATCCTTGAGCCCACGACATTCTCCATCATGGCCAAGTGTTCTAGGTTCTCGTGGGTCTGGAACAACGCATCGCCGGTGAAGAATTCAACCAGTATGCAGCCAATGCTCCAGATATCGCAAGGGAACGACCATCCAAGCCCGAGGATGATCTCTGGTGCTCGATAGTGTCGAGTGGACACCACCGAGGAATGGTATTCGTCCTGGAAAGTAGCGGATCCGAAGTCGATCAGCCGGATCTCTGTGTCCAAAAGAACCCGTCGCTGGGTGGCATTGCGACTGACTTGGGCCGACGAGGATGGTATCTTTCTATTGTAGGTGAATGTCTGATAGGCACTGTCATAGAGCAAGATATTCTCAGGCTTCAAATCGGTGTGGATCAGATTCAAGTCATGCAGAACTATGTCCTGTCAGCAACGCCCTCCTAGACGGTGAACAAGTGACTCACAAGCGACGCTGGTCAGAAGCTGTCTCGCAAAACTCTGGATCTGGCTGTTGGGGAAAGGGACGAATTGATTTCCCTTGAGGAAGTCGAAGACACTCTGGCCCAGCAGGTCCATGACAATGCAGATATGGCCCCGGTAGTCGAAGCAATCGCGCAGATGGATACACCTGTTGCGGTTTTCTGCGTCGTTCGCCTTGAGCGTCGCCAGGACCCTGAGCTCTATCCTCGAGGCGTCCCTGTACTTTTGCACCGAACGAATAATTTTGATGGCAACAAGCTCGTTTCGCCTTCGGTCGCGAGCTTGGACCACTTTTCCGAATGTTCCCTGTCCAAGCATCTTGATCATTTGGTCTGGAACGTGTCAGTGGCTGGGTCTTTCCGCATCGGCGTAGATGAGGGAACGGCATCTCACAGTTATCCGTCAGCTCCGCATCTGGAACGACAATGTAATGTCCGTCGCTGTCATCAACAGTGCCGCTCTTGTACGACTGTAGGATTCAGGTCAGCAAGGATATCGTGGACACAAGGGCTGTTCCGCAGGGGATTATTTACGTCGGGGATCACTCGGACGTGAACATCGGCAGCCTTCTTGGGCGGCTGTGGGGGAGGATGGTAACTGGGATAGGCGCGCCCAATGATGGCATTTTCCCTACGCTTGACCTCATTGGCGACCTGCTGTCGAGTCCGCTTCCTCTTATTGCCGGGCTGAACGTCATGGTCGTATTGGCTGTTGGAGGATAATGACCCGAGGGACGTGGCAGCAGTGGTGTGTATGGCCGAGTTGGTCCTGTCACTAGAGGAGATTGTGGAGGCAGAAGGTGTCGCTCCGTTCTGGTGGGGGGTGGTGGTTGAGCCGTTGACACGGCTGTGGTGGACAGGATCGTATCGGGTACCGGAGCCGGCAGGTGCGTCGTCGTCCCGTTTCCGCCTCTTAGGGGCGTGGCGGGCGGCAGATGTGTTGGCAGCCACGGGACCGCCGTTGACGGGGTTGGCGTAGGAGTATGCGGGAGCACCGTTGGTGGAGGTCTGCGAGGCCGAGAGGGCCGAGACAGCAGCACTGTCGGGACCGGGAGAGTCGTCAATGACAATGATCTCCTTTGGGACCTGGCCCCCGTAGAACTTGTTCCAGTCGACGGGGCTCTGTCGTCTCCTCTTCCGCGAGTCGGGCGAGCCGTTGGCAGGCCGTGCCTTGGAGGCGGGCATGGTGGTGTAATTGTTGTGCTCGAGTATGGCAGGCAGGTCCAAGTCTTGTCGGTGTGGTCGGGCTAGAGAAGAGCCACTGGAGAAGGAAGACCCATTCGCGGTGGCCGAGGTCTGCGTGTTGGTGGAAGGGGCGTAACTCGAGGCGGAGGTGGAGTATGATGGAGCGACACGGCTCGTCGGGGGCAGGAGTTGGTTGGCGGCGGAACGGTACGAGGCGGACGGGTTTGAGGAATAGTATGGGAAGTGATGATGGGGGTTGTGATAATGGGAATGGGGTGGCAGGGTAGCAGTAGCAGTGGTCGGCGTCGACATGATTCTGGCTGCTGCTATTGCCCTGTTGCTCTGTGCAGCAGCAGAGGACGACGACTAGACGGAGGCGAGGTGTGGTGGGAGTTTGGAATTGGGAGTTGGGAGTTGGGACTCCAGGATGTGAAGGGCAGCCGGTCTGGCGGCGTAATCGACCAGCGGCTCTCCCTGTGGAAACCTTGGAAGGTTGTTGCTGCAGGCGCTTTTTGGGGGGGGGGGGGTTGCGGGTGGGTGCACCAAGGCAGGGCAAGGCAGGGCAGGGCAGGGAACTGCAGCAACCGCGCCTGGGACAGCCAAAGTGCGGGAGGGGGTCGGGAACAGACGGTTAGGGGAACAGGGCAAGTGACGGTCGGTGGCAGTGACGGGCTTGCTAGAACTTGGCAAGCCTGTTGTTCTGGTCTCTGGTAGGGAACCGGCAGTGTGACGGGGAGCAGTCTCTCTCTCTCTCTCTCTCTGTCTGTCTCAGGAGAAGGGAAAGCAGCTTGCTGGAGACCGACAAGCGTCAAAAAGTCGAGGGAGGGCCAGGCCAGGCAAAGTGGGTTGGGAGGCCGGGAGGGCTCCTTTTTTGCGGGTTTTGACAAGCCGACGGATTGGATGGGCTTTCAAGTTGGAAGCTGGGTTCAGCGGTTCAGGTGTCGAGGAGGAAACCGAGTCGCTGGGGGAGCTGGGACGGCCGTGTTTGTGCTGGTGACATATGTCCAGGCGGGCTTGGGTCGGTCGGGGGTCGGCCGTGTTTGCATCGAGCAGGATGGCTGGAGGGCAGGAGGGGAACAGGGAAAGATCAGACAGGGAAGAGATGGGTTTTTGGTTTGAGTTGGTGAGGATAGAATTCAGAGCAAGACCAGACTGCAAGACGAGACCGGGTAAGTCGAGTCGAGGTCAGGCCAGGTCAGATCGAGTGAAGTAATCGAATGAGGGCGGGAGTAGGAGTGGGAGTGGTACTCCGTAGTGGCAGCGGCAACGGCAACGGTGGTGGTAGTGGTGGTGGTGGTGGTGGTTGGTGGTGGTGGTGGTGGTTGGTGGTGGTGGTCAAGTGTGGTAAGTACCTAGTGTGCTAAGTACCCGCCTACCTACTCCGTACTGTGGTGAGGTGGTGAGGTAGCTAACCAGAAGCCCATCCGGTCCCTTGTTAGTCCCTTCAACGTTGGGTCTGGGGCCCGGAATTACTCAATCAATAACATTAACATCAAGTACGGCCGCGGGTGATTGATGATGAGGAGACGATCGTCCGGTCTCAACATCAGTCATGCAACGCCGTGCAGCGAGCCCAAGGGCGTGTGAACCTGTGCGGGACGGACAGGCAGGCTTGGGTGTGCAGTGTGGCAGCTGTGTGGTGCTGGTGACTGACTACAGTACACAGGTACCTACACTGACTGCCGCTGCGATCCAAGCCATACCAACCACACCCGGGCCGAGGGCAACCTTGGGGACCTTCTACAATGAGCTCAGTCCAGGGTGGGCCAGGCCCAGGCTGCCAGGCTGCTTCCGGGAACCCTGAGCCATGGCCTCAAGTGCTGTTGATCAATAACACCCTCTAGTCTACATGTCCAAATGTCTTGATGTCTGCTCCGTACATGACCACAGCCTGAGTCTGCGTCTGACCGAAGACGCTTCAAGCTGGTTCGTGTTGCAGTCTAACGGGGCCAAGACTGACAGGGAGCTGGGGGAGATGGGCGAGTCCCCGAGGTCCCAAAAAGCTTCCTTCCTTCCCTCATCAGTCCAAGACTGGCTGACTGGCCCAGCAAGCCCAGCAAGCCCAGCAAGCCCAGTCAATATTGCCACCCGTAACCCATCTCCCCCCGCGCCGCTGGTTCGCCCTCCTCCACCACCACGTCGGGCATTGAGCGGCGCACGCTGCCCAGGGCTGCCCAGGTCTGCCGGGCTGCAAGGGCTGCCAGGGCTGCCAGGCATTTGGCATGTCATGAATCAACCCACCGTCCAGCCGTCAAGCCGTCAAGCTGTCCTGCCGTCCCTTGATGAGTCGCGCCGTCGCCTGGGCCTGCTGGGCGGGCTGCTTGGGCTGGCTGAGCAGACGAAACGCACAATGCCTGCACACGCACGCGCACCTTGTTCTCGTGTCAGATTGACCATGGAGACCTCAGACCGTGACTGACGAGGACAGAGCCATGAGCAGTGTGGTCTTAAACACGCATCCATCATTGGCCCTTCGCCTGCCCGTCTGGAACTCACGGCCTCCAATGGCCTCCGATGGCCTGACCTGCCACCTGCGAGGGCTTGCTGCCAACACGACACCACAGTCGCCCACCCTGCCTGCCAGGCATGCCCTTCACATTTCACAACGAGACGCGTCCGCATGTCCATGTCTCCTCGCCCGGCACCTGGCAATTAATTAAATGGGACAACCGCGTTTGGGCACTACCTCCGCTCCGCGCCTGAGCCACAGCCAAGGACAACCGTTAGATGGCACAGTGTGCAGGCGCCAGCCCTCCAAGACCGCGAGGGAGGGTGGGCCACGTCAAGATCGCTGAGAAAAGCCGCTCCCGCGCGCGGTGTTGCACAGACCCGGAGACAGTGTTGTCCCCGCAATCGCCACGGTCCATTACATCTCGACCTTCACGCTGGGGTAAGACGACCCGGTGACGCCCCGACGCCCCGCCTTCCGAACCACTGTCCTGTGAAGGGACCTGGATTAAATTACCGTCTACCTAGGGCTGCTAGGCTGCTAGGCTGCCAGGCCGCCTGGCTGCTAGGGACTCCGTCGTCGACACCATCTCGTCGAGACAACGCCTGACATCATCTGCCACCCTACGTGACCGACCGGAACGCCTACCCAGGGAGCCAGCCAGAGCACGGCAGGGTGTGGCCCGTCGCCGTTGTGGACTGCTGGTTGAACAGCAGAACGGCTGGCAGTCTGGTAGTCTGGCTGTCACTTGGGCAGTCGGGGTGGACAGGCAAGACAGGCTGCCCCGCCCCTCTCCTGTGGAATGCTTTCGCCTAGAACCCGCCGAGGCCACCTGCTAGGTTTAAAGGAAGTGCTCCGTGCTAGCTATGCCGTGCCTCGCCCCAGCTCGCTTACCGTAGTTGGCCGTCTTTGGGTGGCTGCACGCGGCAGCGATCTCACTCAGGGTCCCCTCCCCAGTGCGCTGGCGTGCCCGTACTGCCCTGGCATCCAGGACTGTCAGGCAACCCGGCATCCTCGAGGCCTGTCTTGCCTGTCTATCTGCACAGCACACTAGTGAGCAGTTGGCCACCGCAACCAAGGGCGCAAGCGTTTAGATCCCTGCAGCTTTCTCGGGAAACTGGCATCAGCAACATGCACGCCAGGCACTCTATCTGAGCAGACGACCACAGGAATGGCAATGGCTAGGCTGCAGGGCCCGCCAGCTGGCACCTGCTGGCACGGAAACGCAAGGGATTCGACCTTTTTTTGGTTTCGTGAACAAGCACACCATGACAAACGGGGCAAAGGGCTTGGTGGGCAGATGGGCTGACTGCGAGTTGGCTTGGCAGTTGGCAGGCAGGTACTGTGTAGGCAGGTCCGTAAGTAGGGCGTCTGCATGGGCTGGCTATCTGCAGCTCTGCGGTCGACCCCTTGTCGATGTCCAAATCCATAACTTTACTTTCACCGTGTGTATTTCTAGACTCTGGCTGGATAAGCCGTAAATGATCACAGCCCTCGAGTCAGCCTCTGGACCTTGTTTCGGGCTCAGCTTTCGAGGATTCCGCGACCCTCCCCCCCCCCCGAGGGTGAGGAGGTGGGCGTGGAGGAGACTTCAGACCTAACGCGGCCAGGGCGGCGCCGTAGGTGATGCTTCTGTTGTGTGTACAAGTGTGCTGTGTATGTCTCGCTGGCTTTTCTTATGCCCCCCCCCCCAGGCGGACGCCTCTGCGTGACTTGTCCAGTAGCCCCGTGCCTGACTTCGGCAAAGTTCACAGGACCTCCGCCTGCTCAATGCTCCGGGGCGTGCAGACGCACCACTGGCCAGCACTGGCCAGCACTGGCCAAAGCTGAGGGAGAAAGGCGTAGCTAGCCCCGCTCATCCTGTCATCCCACAGGGACGGATTAGACCAGCAAGGGATCGCCAGTGTTGCCGCCAATATGGGTTGGGTTTTGCGGCGATACCTTTTTTTCCCTATTCCTTCCGCCCTCGGGCTGGTTGGGTTCCCCACTCTTTGACGAGGTTGTGACGGCAAGCATCTGTTTGGCTGTGCTTCCGTCCGCCGACGAGCCTGCGAGCACGAGGGCCCCACCCGCACGAGAAGCCGGATTTCCGTTGATTGAGGGATTGTTTTAGCCCTGGGAGCCGCGCCCTTCAATTCCCGTCGCCCCAAATGTGCACCGGCCGGTCTTGCTCGACGTCCAAGCATTCCCAGCGCGGTTTGATTGCACGAATCCGGCGGTCCCTTCCTGGTTTTAGCCCCTGTATTTCCATGGCCTGTAATTTAGTGTACAATAACAACAAACTCCCCGGCCCCGGGGCAGCAGGGCCCTGTCGGCGCTCGAGGCGGGTCCAGCTCTAACACAAATATAACCCCAGCAGCAGGGCAGGGGGGCATTCGTGTATCGTGGTCCAGCAGCTGCGCGTAATCGCAAGCCAGGTAGGCAGGTAGGTCGGCGAGAGGGCTACGAATATTTCACTGCCGCCTGGCCGGCGTGAGTCGCCCATGCTCACCAACGCTCGGGTCAAGCCAAGGGTCAAGCATGACGAGGCTGCGCAGCAGGCCTCTGCCTGCAGCATGCAGGTGCTCCACGTTTGACGGCGACCCGCTCAGCCTCGCGGCTGTTGGGCAGAACCGAGGGCTGTCCACCTCATTGCTTCCTACCGACAACAAGTGCTGTGGCGAAGAGGTGGCAAAGAGGCGATCAAAACATTAATCGCCCGCCAAACTGTTTCCATCTGAGAAGGGACGACCCAGTTGAAACGTCGAAGGTAGTTAGACCCGAGCTGTGCGTTCTGCGTCGGGCAGAATTTCACAATGCCCGCCCCCCCTTTTTCTCAGAGCAGTAGCTTCGCGGGTTGGTATCTCGCTCTCGCAAATGAGCCAGAATTCGTGGACAAACCTTTGGAAAGAAGCATATATGACAACCTGGAGCGGCTGATTTCTTTCCCGTCTGTTTTGTCACCGACCCAGCCCTCACCTGTCTGGCTTAACTTGGGAGAGACGGCTGTGAAACAGCACCCGAGGCCGGGTTGTTGGCGGGGCGAATCCCTAAATGTAGCACATCATTCTCACAACATCCTGATCACGTTTTACTTGCTGCAACAGGAGTCCGGACTCGAAAATTGAACTTAAAAATGGATCGCATTCATGATCTGCACAATCCTGGCCACCCCAGCTTCCGAGGCAGGCGACTAACGGTCCGTGATCGAGGCGGAAACCACGGCGGCTCGCCATGGGCTGCCGGGGTTGCAGCCCCGCCGAGTGTACGGCCGACGCGGCCGACGAGACCGACGGCCGCACCTCTTTCTTACCCAAGCAGAGCTCTTGCGACTTTCAGATGCCCCGGTTGAACACCACCAACCCGCCGTCTCCCCCGTGTCCGTGGAACTCCTCCTCGAGGCTGTCGGCCCGCACCCTCTGCCGCTGAGGGAACGCGGCTAGGGCCAGTGGCAACACCGCATAGCTCGTCAGCAGGATCAGGCCCAGGTTGACCGGCGTGGTGAGCCTGGGGTTCTTCTTGAGCCACTCGGTCTTTTGCAGCCTCACCAAGATCAATGGCGGGATCACCATGACCGGGGTGGCATTCAGCACCCTAGAGACGGCCGTCTCGCCGACCGCCAGCTGCGCGGCCTTCTTGCTCTTGCCCAGGCTTGGGACGTCGTTCTCGGCCTTGCCCGCCTGGGCCAGGCTCTGCTTCTCCTGCTCGGACAGAACGGGGTATACGTCGATACCTGTGCGCATCTCCTCGCCGCGCATGAGGAACACGTTGAGGGCTCCTGCCGTTGCGACTGCCGCGAAAGGCGTAAGCCGAGACAGGACTAGACGGGTGTTTGGGGGCAGGCTCTTGAGCCGCGGGACGATGGAGTTCAGGCCCAGTGCGACGGAGCAGGACGCCCCGACGGCGAGAAAGTATGACTGTGCGATCTTGGAGTAGGACAGCGGCGTGGACTTGTTCGCGTTGGCATTGTTGATGGCGACGTTCATGGACTGGTTGGCTATCTGCCAAAGAACGGTGCCCGTGTTCCCCAGACCCGGCGTGAGCATGCCTGCCGTCACAACCAGGTTGGAGAGGACGAAGCAGGACATGCGGAATGGCATGAAGACGGGCGTGCCGGTGTCTGTTGAGAAAACACAGCGTGAGCCCATGCTAAACCTCGATATCACCAGCTGCGGACAGGGTGCCTCGTACCAGGATGCAGGGTGGAATCGACAATCTTCTTGGCCTTCCACAGCTCTGGCGTCATCTCCTTGACCTGGCCCGTCTTGTACAGGCCCAGGGCCTGCTTCGCCTGCTCGAGTCCCGCAGTGCCCACCAGCAATGTCCTGTCGGCAGCAACCAGTCAGTCAGGGCTGTCAGGGAGCTTGCAAGATGAGGCCAATGGCCGAGTTGTCCCGCTCGGCCGCCAGACAAAGACACCGAAAGACAAGAAACCAATGGCTGCTTACTGCTCTTGCAGAGACGCATTCCTCCCTGGCCCATCTCGACGCCTTCGCCGGAGCCTGGGCCCCAGGGCAATTTGTGTTCTCTCACCTCGGATCGGTTATGCCAGCGGTTTGCCTGACACGGCCCCAGTACGTGCTGAGGTCATACTGTGACTCGGGAAGCTCGCGGTTGCCCGGTATGGAGGACGACATGCTGGCGCGGAGGGTCGGGGCACCTTTCCTTTCCTTTCCTTTCTCTTTTTCTTGATGCGCTTTCTGCTGGCACACGGCAGAAGAGAGAGGCCTCGGTCGAGTGGGTGCGTGGTCTACTCGAGCAGCTGTGCCAATTGAGACACGGGGGAGGCTGGAGGCCGTGGTCAGAGGGTGGTGGTGTCGAGTTGCACAGGTTTTGGAGTGTGTCGGCGGTGTGTGAGGCTTGCTCAAGCCGTCGCAAACCGGTCGTCGCACCGGGCTGGTTTGGTATCTCTGAGTCGCGTACTACAGTGCTCCGTACTTATCGCCGAGCTCGGCTCCAGGTCCCTGGGGGGCTGGGGGGCAGGGGGGCAGGGGGGCAGGGGGTGCGGCCACCATGAATTACCCGGCGCGGGGCACCTAAGTACTTACCCAGCTCACCCAAGGCCAAGCTGCGAAGGGAGCGGCATACAATATACAAGGATGGTGCTGCTTATTAAGTGAGGCCCGCCATGTCATCAACCCACCTCGGCGTGTTATTCCTAGCCGCACCCAAGCTATCCGCCTGTTTGTCCACGGTGCTGTAGCGGCCCAGTTGGTAAACAGCCGTCTTCCCACACTGCATCTTCCAATCCTGCGTCTTTAAGCAGCAGCAGCAGCAGCAGCAGCAAGCAGCAGCATAGCTCTTTCGAAACGGGCCGCGGTAGTCTAATGTCGTCCACCCAATCCATCGGATCGAGTCGTTAGGCTCTTCTGCATGTGAAGCTCTGCCGTGGGCATCCCCAATATCTGCAGCTCGAACAAGAGTTGCAAACAGTGTTTACATCCTGCCTCTTCTGCCTCTCCTGCCTCACGCCCCAGAGGTCCCAGAGGTCTCAGAGGTCCCAGAGGTCTCAGAGGTCTCACCGCAGCCAGCCATGGCGCGAAACATCCTGATCCGGCACCTGCCAATCGCGCAGTCCACGACCACTTTCCAAGCCATCAGCTACCTGCTTGGTGTCGCCCTCTTCTCCATCTCTTTCCTTGTCTTCTTGAACAGCAGTATTTCCTTTGTCCTCACTGACCTGCTCCACGTCGACCATGGCGTCGGGGACATCGTTGGCACCTTGGGCTTCGTCGATGAGATAGTCGCCCTGGTCGCGTGCCCCGTCTGGGGCCTGGTCTCGGACCGCTTGGGTGTTCGGTTTGTCGCCATGGTTGGCTATGCCATCATCGGTCTCGCCCTGTTTCTGTTTGTGCAGACATCCAATGTCTATCCCCAGCTCCTCCTGGCGAGGATCTTCTTCGCCCTTGGGGCAACAGCTACGTAAGTAGACACCACCGCCTTGGGCGGCCCTCGAAGCAGCCAGCAGGCTGACACGATACTCTGCTTCTCACAGGGCCACCATGGTGACCGCTACTCTTCCCTGTCTTACCGACGATTCCGACTCCCCTCGGGACGACGAGAACGGGACAGAGTCAGCCCAGCCCTTCCTCCGCCCATCCCACAACAACCGCGACAGTGTCACCCTCTCTGTCGAGTCCGATCTCACCATCACCCCCGAGCGCTACACACGGCCCGGATCCAACGGAGACGCCTCCAACGACCCGCAGTGCACCGTCGACCCCGCGCAGGGAAGGCCCTCCATCCTCGCCGGCTATGTCGGACTCTTCACTGGCCTCGGCGCCTTGGTTTCCCTTCTAGTCTTCCTTCCTCTTCCTGCCCAGTTCAGCAAGATCGAGGGCGTCGAGATCGGCGAGGCCGTGCAGTATGCCTACTACGTTGTGGGCGCCATTGCCATTCTCGTGGCCTCCTTCGTCTACATTGGCCTTCGAAAGCTCAAGGGTGAGGAGGGCAAGGGTTTCCGCACGCTGTTTGGAATCAAGAAGAGGCAGCTACCCGACGGATCCGAGCCCCCGCGACGGACATTCCTGCCTTACCGACAGCTGCTTCGCGAGGCTGTTGTGCTCGGCTTCACTGACTCTCAGATCGGCTTGGGCTATCTGGGTGGCTTTGTGGCACGCGCATCGACCGTGGCAATCTCTGCCTTTGTTCCTCTGTTTGTCAATTCCTTCTACAAGGACCTGCCCGGCGGCGATACCCCCGAGTTCCAGAGGAAGGCGTACATACTGGCCTCTATCCTGACCGGAGTCGCGCAGCTGTTTGCTCTTATCTTTGCTCCTGTGTTTGGCTATGTTTCGAGCCGCAGCCGTCGCATCAACTATCCCATCGCTGTTGCGACCGTCTTCGGTGTCATTGGTTATGCCATTTTCCCCAACCTCTCGACCCCGGAGGTTTCGAATGTAGAGGGTCGAGGCGGGTCCGGAGGCATCTTCATCATTGTTGCCTTGATAGGCATCAGCCAGATCGGCGCCATCGTCTGCAGCTTGGGCTCCCTGGGCAAAGGCGTGCTGGCGGCAGACCCTCACAAGAAGGGCACCCTGCCCTTGCCGGTGGGCGAGGCCTCAGTCGTCCAGGCAGAAGCAGCTGCCGAGGCTGGAGAGGGCGCACCGCTTCTTAACAATGGCAACGGTAATGGAAACAAATCGCAACCCCAGTGCACCAGGGTCCTGCTCAAGGGCACCATCGCTGGTGTATACTCGTGGTGTGGCGGTGCGGCCATCTTACTGCTCACAAAGCTCGGCGGCTATCTCTTTGATGTGTCGTCGAGGGGAGCGCCTTTCTACATGATGGCGTTCTTCAATCTTATTCTGCTTGTTGCGACACTTGGCGTGGACGTGGTACGCCTCGCCAAGCAGAAACGATCTAAGAATTGACCATGTCGATAATGTCGATGGATATGGTGGAAGAGAGGCAATTCATCTTTTGGTTTCTTCCTTGTGGCTTGGTTATTATGCACGTACATTACAGAGGAAGGAGCAAAGACAACTCGGTTGGGAGTAACATGCGAATACCAGATAGATTTCACTTCCCTCATATTCCCTTTCTACATTCGGCTCAGTCTTGACTTCAAATTTCCTGCCACATAAACACGTCTCAAACACATACATACAGATTACCATAGCCAGCTGAAGTCTTCCATTAGTCTTCCCTTGGGGTTGCGATGTGGTACTTGGCTCCCTGACCATCTGTACAGTTAAACTGGATTACAGCACGAATCACCCAAGCTTTCCCATGGTTCTCAATATGGTGGTGCCTGCCACGAGTCCACGGTATCTTATATCACAAGGTCCTATGTGATTTTACGGGATTCTCCCCTACAGGGTACGCTCCTGTAGGACAACTCGGTGTAGCTGGTTTGGCTTCTATCCCGCATACATATAAAACGTATGTGGCGCCGTGACACAGTGGTAGACGCACGCACAAGACCCAGCGTTTAAACCACATACAATGCCGATCCAGTCCTGAAAAGGCGATTATTCCTGCCAATAAAGTTCACGCCCGTCGCCCGCGATAGGCGCCGCTGTCATGCGCATACGCCACAGAAAGTGAGGCTCTGGTCTCTAGGTCGTCGCATCTTAACCACGTACATGTATGTTAAAAAGAGAAACATGCTTCATGCAAGATAATCCATTGTTTTCGTTACCGCACATATTTATTTCCCATGGTACTATGACTAAAGCAACCCAACTTTGAGCGCGTATTGAAAAGAGATGAATGTACACAACCCTTGAAACAAATATCTGATTTGTCTACAACTTGCCTGTCTATCCTTTTGTATGGGGGTGGGGGGTTGAGAGCGAGACAAGCAGAAAAGACGTAGTGGACTTACCTTGGGAATTAGCCGAACAGTTTCATGAAGAGGGACCATATGATGTCCAGTTTTCACTTTTCAAAAACCGGGTACCATTTCTCCTCTTTGTTAACTCTCTCCAGCTCCTTTCCGATCTCTGTCGTACTGTCATGTCCTGCGAGGAGTAAATCGAGCTCTCTCACCGGACGCAGCGGCGTAGGTGCATGGAGGACGGGCTCAGCAGGCGCATCCTCATCCCATATTTCTGAAGATTTGAGAGCCCGCAGAACATAACCCGGGCTCTGGAGCGGCTCCGTCATTTCTGGAGCAGGAGCGGGACATGACGGTCTTCCGGAGCACCGAGTCTTTCTTCTTGTCAGAGCTGCGGGACTCTCATCCTCGTCATCCGCGAAATAACCGTCGACACGGATTGGATTCGACCCAGGGGTTCCTGGTCGCATTGGGTCTCTATCCTCAGGATGCTTCTCGATAGTGAACGAAACCTTACCGTGCCCAGGGGCGGCGAGAGAAGGTTTTGCTCGCTGTGCCATGGAGTTGACCACCTCGTCTTGGACTTCTTGACAGCCTGCGTTGCTCAAATGCGACTCAAGTTGTAAGAGTTCAGCCAGAGTTTCTTCTGCGGCATTCACAGCCTCTTGCACCCTGCTGTTCAGAACCCGCTCCCGCTCGACGACCCATTGGACCGCTTGTTCAGATGCCCAGCAGACAGTAGACCCATTTTCAGCCATTCTGCTTGAGAAGCTAGCGCGCGAGCATGTTTTTCTCGAGAAGTAGCCGTCATCTCGCCGGCTGTGTGCGTCATCTACGATATCGTTGTGGTCCGCGCTTGTAATATTCACCGCGGACACGGCGAGCCTTAGGGATCCTGCGTCGCTGATCAGCGGTGAAGGGAGACGGAAGTCGTCGAGGCTCAGCTCGGATGGCGGGGGGGCGTCCGGATCACTCAGGGCCAATGGCGGGCGTATGTCGTCGCTGGCAGAAGGGGAACACTGTGCTGTTGACTGGCTGTTCGTCCTTTGCTCCCTGTTAGAAACAGCATTACGCCACATCTCAATGCAGGTTGGTTTGTTTGGGCAGGACTTGCCAGCGCGCCACATCTCAGTACAAGATTGGTTTTCCGTGAGGAAGGTCTTGTCTGACATCTTGTCCGATATTTACGAAGATTAAGCTTGAGTGCAGAGACTGACGAGATAATGTGTGAACAGGTCTAGTTGTAAGCCTGGTGGCAGACACAAATGCACCTTGGTCAACAAGGTGTGTGAGGAAAACGGTACGGATCGTCGAGTCTTTCCAAGGATGTCAAGACACTTCACTGAGCACTGAATGTGGTCGGGGATTTCGATGAGATCGGCCGGCGTTGATTGAAATCGGGGGATCGGTTGTTATAATTTCGATGACATTGACATGCGGGTTCAGTATATTTCTTTCACCCAAGACAATCAATATCAGCCGGTCACGAGGGAGCCGACAATACGATTTGTGACACAAAGGTGCACGAGTAGGAGAATCCAATTGTGAATCCTACTCGAGGGTCTTTGTCCTCTTCCGCTGGTTTTGTGTGAAAAGCGGCCGGGAATAGGAATGGACATCATGACCAAGGAAGATCTCGGGAATGGGGATTTGGTCACAATAAGCTCAGACAATGGAGGCGTGGAAATAAACTTGTCCACATGTGGCAATGAAGCACTTGAGCCTGCCGTCACTCAGGGACTTCAGGAGCTCTCGAGCAAGGTTACCTAGGGCAGAAGGCGAGGGAACCCCGTGTACGAGGCTGCGAAGATCCCATTTGAACCCACACTTTTCCCGGAGAATTCCCTCAAGCTGCTGCGACATCCTATCTTGGATTTGAGCATCGCTGCTAGCTTGTGGCTCAAAAGGGGAGGCAGTTTCCAGCCTGTCCAACGCGTGGCCACATTAAAATGTGTTTGATTTCTATAGCGCGAAGACTTTTCCTACCTGGCTTCACGAAGATTGAGAGCGGGTAAATGAGATGTAAAATCTGAAAACTGTTTTCCCCTATTTTCTCTTCTCTCTCTTTTCTTGTTTTCTTCTAGGATTCTTTGCGATCATCAGGAGATATTTCGAAGATCCGAACGAGAAATGGGAAAAGAGAAGGAGCTGGAACCAAGCTGGCACTGAATTCTTCAATAACTCATCAATTATACAAGCCCTAGGTCAACCGTCTTTGTCAAAAGTTGAACTGGTGCTGCAGATCACCGCATTGTACAAGGGTCTTACGTTGATCATCGGTGGGATTGTGCTCCTTGAAACATTATTCTTCCAGGACCATGTTCCTTCCGCACCTGTGGGCATTCTTTACTGTCGTTGCGCATACAACAATCGTTGTGTCGCAAGATTGTGTACTTAAGTAGGTACAAGATTGGCCCCAGGTACGTACAGCAGACGCGTGACCTATTGCTAAGTGCTCACTCAACTCAAACTCCAAATGACCCTTGGTTGCCATACGAGGCTGAGTGGTTGCCCCTAAACTACACATTCTCTGGTCGTCTATCCGAACTGTTCTCCCTGCACTTGTATGCTACCCCGAGGAGACCAATAACGACGAGGCAGCCTGTGAAATGGGCTTGGCCAACTGGACTGCGTCGTCTCTGCACTCAGCGCATCCAATGAGCGTCGAGCAACCACTATATGCCAATACCAGCTGCAATCTAGTCTACCAGAATGGCGTCAAGTAAGTAATCTTGCGCCTTACACCTGCCAGTGGTGCATTTGCCCGAGCACGCTGGCCAGGGCGGCGGCCTCTAATACCTACATCAACGAGGTGAGTTCAAATGTTGAGTTCTGGGCGTGTCCCCTCCCAACCATCGAGTTGTTGTCACCCAGAACATGACCTTCTGTGGTGTTCCCTTACGCGGGCTGACATAAACGAACCAGACTGGGACCGGTCTCTACACGGTCCAGATTACACACATCTTGCTCCGATCAAGTAGACTTGGGAGCTGAACAGCTCTTGTAGTGTTCACATTGCCGTGAAGTTGGGGTCTATCAGAAGACGGCAGGCTCTGCCTCGCTCAAGTGTAAAGGGTCCGCAGGGGAACGAACGTCTGACTGCGAGGACCTGAAACTAAAGGCCTTAAGTTGCTCAGCGTGTCAATGGAAAACAGAAGGACCGGACCGAAGGGTAGCAATCATAGAGGCCGGAATCGTCTCAGCCGGAGTAGAGAAACATAGGATGGAGGCCTGTGACTTCCTATTTTCAGCTACCCCTTTCAGCGTACAGTCTAAACTTGCCAGGCCGTGAATCAACCCGCCGGATGCTCTATTCAATCTCAACTATTAGTACTCTCTGGGAGGCCTTTTGCTCAGATGAGCATCTTCAGGTTAAGTAGAAGAGCATGTTTCGCTGCATGCCTAGGATGTCATAAGTCTCGAGTCGCAGGGTGAAAAATATGCGGTACAGGAAGTATGTTAAGCCCACACAGTAAATGAACCCTCGCCAAATCCATCCATGACGATTCCTTGTGTCACAGCTTGCAAGGACGAGACCTGAATCACGAAGCCAGAGTAAATTTTCAGAAGGAACCTAGACTGCGAGCTGGAATCGCGGACAGCCCAGCTTGGGTTGGATCGGAGAAGGTGAAATGCATTTTTTGCTTTTGAGATGTGGACTTGACCGGCCGGCTACCAGACGTAGCGAATTTGAGACCAAACAGATAGATAAAAACCTGGACAATCCCCAAACCAGCCAAATGCCCCGATCCCGACCGTGTGTCTCACTCAGTAATGCCCGCCGGACCTGTTCCGAGGATCACAATGTTGTAAATTTTGTGGGACGAAATCCTGGCCTTTTGCGTGCCAACACGCAGAATTCTGCAGGTAATGTGCGTCGCGACGCTTAGTTGCCGCCCAAGCCAGGGAAGTTCCGGTCGTCGAGGCTGAGAGGAGCGGCGCCGCCACGCTGTCCACCGCGCTGTCCGCCGCGCTGCCCGCCACGAAAGGGGCCGTCGCCGCGGGGGGCACCTCCACGGCCGCGGGTAGGACCGCCACGACGGTCGCCACGGTCTCCGCCACGGCCTCGGCCACCGCCACGGCCGTCGTTGTGCTCCTCCTTTGTCAAGTCGACATCAACAAGCTCTTTTTGCTTGACTGTCTTGGCCTTGTTCTTCTTGGCCTTGGACGGCTTGATGAAGAACTCGTCGCCAGCATCCTTGTGGTATTCCTCACCGGTTGGCTCATTGCCGCTCTCGACCTGGCGAAGGGATGTGGTGGCGTTCAGGGCAGCCCTGGTTTCCTCCTTCTTGGCATAGTAGTCTTGGAGAGACATGGTCTTGACCTCGGGCTCCTGGGACACGGCCTCGGCGTCCTCAGCCTCAGCATCCTTCTGCTCTGACTTGGCAATGGCCTCACCAGCCTGCTCGTCGTTGAGCTCGGCAGTACCCTCGGTGGCGCCCCATGACTGAGCAGCCTGCTTCTCGGAACCACTGCAAAAGGTAATTAGCCCGCTGTCTCTTGGGGAGTGTGCAGGACGAGGCACGGCAAGGCTTACGGAACGATATTCTTAGTGTGCCTGTCGTCAGCGTTGCGGTGATGGGTCGCGCCACGGCCTGAGATTGTGCGGTCAGTACTGCCACTCGCAGGGCATGGCTTGGCGGGATCAACAGAGCTACTGACCTCCACGGCCACGAGCGCCACGGCCGCCACGGGCTCCACCGCGGGGGGCCTCGTCGGTGGGCTTGCCCCGGTTGGCGCCAGAGCCAACACCTCTGTCACGGTAAGCTGTGTCACAACTGTTAGCCGTGTGATGTGATGTGATGTGATGCGATGCGATGGAAGCCACCATCGGGGTGTGCCACGGCGGGCAAGCGGGACACGGGGCAGGCTGGGCGAATGTGGCATACCTTTCTCGTTCTGGGAGAAGCCACCTCCGGAGCGGGCGCCAGAAGCAGGGGCGGAGCTAGCCGGACCAGTGCCGTCGGCGTTGGCCTTGCCGGTCTTCGTGCTCGTCTTGGTGACGGTCTTGACCGGAGCAGGGTTCTCTCCCTCCTCGGTGTCGTTACCTGTCGTTCAAGATTGGGTTAATGAGGAGCGAGCTGGAAGGGGCTGAGCTGAGGACGAGCAGCAGCAGCAGCAGCAGCAGCAGCAGGGTCGGGGCGGGCACAAATTACCAAGGAGGTCGTAGAGGTTCTGTGGCAGCGAAGACAGAGGTCAGCATTGACTCGTGGCGGGAGCAAGAGCAGGATGAAGAATTGGCCCAGCAAGGAGCGGGCGGCGCTGGTCGGTGGGACAAGGACGAAGACGAAGACAGCGAGGGAAAAAGAGCAAGGCGAACACGAGAAAAAGACCAAGGAGGAGCTCGCTCTCTTACCTTTGAGGCGACCGACATCTTGTCACCGGGCAGTTCGCCTTTCTGGAAGGCGTGGGATGTGCGACGACAAAATGGGACTTGACGAGTCTTGGAGTGGTTTGGAACGAGGACGACTCTACGCAGACATAATCCTGGACCGTCGTCGCGTTGCTCGGATTGACAGAAAGGGTTGAGAGGCGAGGCGGGTCGGGGGTGCGGCAGAGCAGGAGCAGAGGCAGGACCAGAGGCAAAGCTTTTGGTGGGCAGCCGGTGTGGGGAGTTTAATTTTTGCGTGCGGAAAACTGGCAGGCCTGGCAGGCTGGCAGGCTGGCAGGCTGGCCAAACCGTTGCTGCCGCGGCCTGCAGGGCCCTACTGCCTTGAGGTGTACAGTGCAGGTCCTTCCTTGCCTGCTTGCCTGGTTGGAGGGGAGGGGGAGGGGGTGGCCCGAGCTCCACCCTGTCTGTCTCCTCGCCCTGCCAGCCTGCCAGTGCCAACATTCCTCCATCCACACATACTGTGCAAACAGCCCAAGGCCCCTCGAAAGTTGGGGCTACAACGCTACTGTGGTAGGCTGGGCTGGCTGGTCAATGCAGCAGCGCAGCTCTCTGCTTTGGGGAGGGCCTGAAACGCCAATGGCAAGACCGCACAGGCGAGCCATTCCAACCATCAGATTCGCCAATGCGACATGGCTCCTTACATAATCGCCGAGAGCACAAGCAGCCAGGGGCAGGGGGCCCTGTTTTTTGGCCCTCTGCTGCTAATTTCAATTTGGTGGCATTTGGTTTCTGGTGGTGTTTAGGGCTCTTGTCGAGGGGGGGGGGAGGAGATGACGGACTTTTCATTTTATCCTAATCATGCCTGCCTCTGCCTCTGCTGCTGCTTGGTGCTGCTTTTGCCGCGGCAAAGCAGAACACTCTCGATTTCCCACGTTCCAATCGAGAGTCGTGACCGCCCTGCGCCCAGGAGGAAAACCCCCCTTTTCTGTCGCTATAACGGCCACTTGGGATCAACGCAACGCGAATTGGACCACCAGGACCACCAGTGCCGAATGCGTCCGCCATCTGCCCGTGCTCGGTCTGACCCCTGTTGGCCTGCCCGCCAATGCTAGCAGGCTGCCTCTCTGCTGCAGCTGACTGACGACGTCAGAGCTGATATGATAGCGTTTATTATTGTTTTGATTTACTATCATGATTATAGTACCTAGAATTGATCCGATGCGCCACCGAGTCTGCTGCCATTCATGCCACTCGGGATCGGATGCCTTCCTTCTCTCAGCATGTAATTAATAATAGAAGCCAAATGCTAATACCCCATTGAATCATAGTCTTCAGTCACCAAGACGTATGGCCCTCCTTACCCCCATTCTGAAAACCCTCAGACCCTCAGACCGTCGGCATGAACGCACCAAATACACCTACTTGAGCAGGCATGAGAGCGGCACGACTCCAGGCTGAATGAAGCCTGCACAACCGCTGTGTTGGCCCACCAAAGGCCCGGCTGCCTGTGGCTTCCGCTTGGCACCATCAAGAGCCGACGTTGGACTCACGTTGGCCGACTGTTGGGCCTCAGCCATCAATCATAGCCTGGTCGGTCCTTTGAGTGCCACTGGAGTTGATGCATGGGACCTCTGCTGCGCTGCGCCGCGCCGCGCCGCTGCCTGGTGCGTGTCAGCCAACATGTTTTTACACATTTCTACCTGTATCAGCTGTATCAGAGCCGGGGGGTAGATTTGGCAGTGTTATGAATGACAATCCGTGGTCACAGCCATTGCGAGAGTATTTATTGTGGGCATGGAGCACTCGGAAGGTTGTCCCGTCGTCTGTCGTCTCCTTCACCATTCCTACTACCTAAGTAGGTACCAACGCTCTCCATAAGCCACACATCAGGTTACAGGTCCAATTGTTCAAGCTGGTTCATATCCCTTTACCCACGTCGACGAGCAGCCATGGCTACCAACACAGAGGCACTATCATCACAGGTCGCCACCCTCTACCTTCATAGCAGTGACTGGTGGTCAGAGTTCGAAAACTCTAAGGATGATGCCGACCAGCTTAAAGCCCGCATGACAACAATACCCATTGTCCATCGTCTCTCTCGGAACGCCAGCAACAGGTACGAGACTTGCCGTTTCACTGTCAACGATGTCTTGATGCAACAAATTCTCATCGACCTTTTCGAGGATTACCAAGGCTTCGACTTGCACTTGGAGGGCTGGACTTTCCAAAAGCCCTTCCAACCCTTTGTTCACAGATGGGACCGATTGAGCCAACAGCTTGCAGATATGAGAGCTAGTGAAGATGTGCCCCTTGACATGAAGCACGCTATCAATGGTCTGGTGACCTTCCTGGAGCCTGTTCTCGCCCCGTGGGTCAAGGCCCTGGCGGGAACCCGTGCTACAGGCCAGGTGTCCTACCAGGATATCTGGCAGATCTTTCCCCCTTCAGAACTCATTGTCACCACTACACGGGGTGTTCCTCATCTCGGAAGAATTACCAAGTACGAGAAGAAACACGGCGAATGGCGGATCTATTTCGAGAAGCTAGGCTGGGACGGGAACCGCTGCGGCTATGTCAAGGAACGTGTGCAAATCAGGCACTTTGAAGGTGACCGCTATGTGAACTCACTGCAGGTCTATCCAGTGTCTTTCCACAGCGATCGCGAGGGCTTTGAGGCCGCAATGCTTGAACGAGGCAGGAAGTTTGAGCGCCTCAGGGGCTACCATGCCCAGGTTTACAAGGGGAGCATGCATTGCTTTGACGGTGCAGGAAAGAAGCAGGTGAGCTTAATATGGTGTTGTTGTGACATGGACTTGAGGGAAATCTGACAGCAATCGCAGGTTGAGGGCCGTGTCATCATTGATGCATTTGCATACTTCATGTCCACAGGTAACCCCAGGCCCGGCATGCGGTCATTGGACGGGCTAGGTTCGAGATCCAGAGACACGTCGAGAGCCAGGTCTCGGTATGGCTCGCGATCTCACAGTCCAGATGAATATCAGCCGGACGAGTATCGGCCGAACGAGTACCAGTCGGACGAGTACCAGCCGGACGAGTACCCGCCAGAGAATTTTTCCGAAACGTCAGATTCCTACGGATTTGTGGAGGTACCGTCAAAGTTCGAGGATGCCAATGGCTCGGACTTATGGGGTCGTAATGAGGAGCTTCCGCCGCTCACAAGTGAGCAGTGTATGATTGTGGATCCCTGGCTCGTAGCATTTGAGATGCAGACAAAGCGGTGGGGTGAGAAAAGCACTCCTGACCGACCGACTCAATGGACTACGGAAAGGCTGACCAATGTGACCAGGCGTTGTGAACATCGATGGCCTCTCCGACGTCGCCTGGAATTATGACGCCTTCGACAACCTTGTCGTCCCAGATGATGAGAAGCAGCTCGCTTGGGATTTTGTGGAGAGCAAGACCACGTCTAACGAGGCCTTTGATGATTTCATTCCCGACAAAGGCCGTGGCATAATCATCCTGATGTTTGGCCCACCAGGTGTCGGAAAAACTTTCACCGCAGAGGCAGTAGCTGAGCGCGCAAACGTGCCTCTTTACTCGATCAGCGCGAGCGCACTTGGCACAGAGCCTGCAGAGATCGAACAGAATCTCGACAAGGCACTACAGGTGTGCAAGCTGTGGAACGCAATGCTACTACTGGACGAGGCGGACGTTTTCCTAGCAGCGCGGCAGAGTGAGAACATGAAGCGCAACGAGCTTGTTTCCCTGTTCTTGACAAAGCTGGAGTACCACCCTGGCATCCTCTTTCTGACAACCAACCGGGCCTCCGATATCGACTTCGCCTTCCAGTCCCGGGTAGACCTATTCCTGCCATACTATGAGCTTACCGAAGAGGCACGCCTCAAGATATGGAAAAATTTCATTAATCGGGCAGGGAGAGACGGATTCTCCTCTGCCGATATGGAAGCGGGCCTGAAGAAGTTGGCACGTCTGACCTTGAATGGCCGAGAGATTAAGAACCTGGTCAAGACCACCCAGTTGCTCAGCCAGAAGGCTGGTGGCTTTGGTTCCATGGAAAAGCTCTACTTTCTCGCTGAAAAGCGCGTTCGTGCGCTGAAGCTGCTTGCAGAGCGAGGGGCGTGATTTGAACTGTGCGACGAACGGCCTGGACGAATGCGTTACCAAGTTTATGTTAGTCGCCAGTGCCGATGCGGTTCAAATGTTTGATGCTGCCATATCGACATAGATTGAGGAACGTGAGGTATATAATGAAGCTGTGATTTCTTTACTGAGTCGTGTGAATTCTATGTCGCTGTAACCAAAGCGAGCGTGACTTGCGCCAGCCAAGCAGACACTGGCATTTGAGGACATTTTGTCGCACCCACCCGGCCCCTCAACACCGAAGAGCATAATCCCAGAATAAAAATGTTTTTTTAGACCGAATTTGGGCTTGAAGACTGTTGTCCAGATGCCCCCACTGAACCTGACGCTGGCGTCCTCGTCTGTGTGCTGGGAGGAAAAGACCCTATCCTCAACCATTCCGTGAAGCCTGGAGTAATGCCTTCAGGTTTGATCCAGAAGAAAACCTTCCTGTATTCGAGTTCATTACTGTCGTCATCAAGGCGGATGTCCACCTCGTCCGTGATGTCTGCACTCCTGACGCGGAATTGATCTTCTGGCAGCGGTGCCTCGACGTCGCCTGGGACTTCTGGTCGCTCGGGATCAAGGCTTATACCGTGCTCTAGCTCGACGACGCGTATACCGGTGTAGTAGCAACTCCTCGTACTGAAAAGGTTCTCACGCTCGTGTCCAACGAGCGGCATGTGTCTTAGCGCAGCGAGTCTCAAGTCCAGTCGTCGGCAGTTGAGGACTGTGAAATAAAGGTAGGGCATGAACCCCATTTCGAAAATAAACTTTCCCCTCGGTCCGCTCTGTTCTGCCGTGAGGCCGACGAGCTGTTGGACCAGAGATACGAGCTCCTCGAAGTCATCGAGATATTTGTCGTAGACCAGTTCGTTGCTGCTCAAGCAGCACGACGCCCATATAGTTCCAGCGATGCATTTCATCTCATCGAACAAGTTGGAGAGCATCTCCTCCAGGCTCAGAGAGCCTTGTAGCCTGAGGCCTTTGTAGTAATTCCGCCACGGGCCTAATGCTCGACAGATACGCCGTTGCTCTTCGTACAAGTCGTCCGGCTTTGGAATTTGTCGTAGAGGGCCTTGACGATGGCTGAGGCCCAGCCGGATCAGCCGGGCCGTCCGGTTTACCAACCAGTCCCAGGCCGTGTTCCTCTCCGCGGCCGTGACGTCCACGGCCATCGGGTCTGAGACCAGACCGAGAGGCTCTGGGAAGTCACAGGTCTCAACGCCAAAGAAATACGGGAATGTGGCGAGGCGCAGGAATATCGGTTTCAGTTCTTGTCCCGCCCAGCCGGATAGCCCTTTGGGTATGCTATTGCAGATTGTGATACCATGCCGGCAGTGTTCGATGGCCATGTTCTTGTTTCCACGCAATGTTTCTATGCAAATGAACAGCAGACAGACGAGTAAAGTCATGTTCTTGTCACCGGCTGCGGAGATTAATTCCTTCAACGCCAAATTATACTGAGTGATTGCAAAGGTCTCCCTGGATGTCGTTAAGAGTCTGTGGCCATTGTCACCCAGCCCCTCGTACATCGACCCTATGCAGACGAGAGCATGGCGCACTGCTGGCTGCTGCTGACCGACCTGGGAGACGAGTATGTTCCAGAACTGCTTGCTGGAGTGCTGCGAAAGGACGGGTGCTACCTGGGCTTTAAAGAAATCCAGTGCCCGGGCTTCCATATCATTAGAGGTATAGATGGTGCTTGGATTTCGTCGGGTAACAGTCGGAACGACTGTCTGAAGCGTGAGAAGGTCTGCCCAGGAGTATGCTGCCTGGCCGGTGGGAAGGGCTGGGTAGCCTTCGCACTTGCGCCCTGTGGAGGTGCACCTCTGACACCGTGGTTTGGCCTCGTCACATTTCACCTTCCGTGCTCTGTTCCCGATCTCGTGAGTGCTTGGTCGCTCCGGGGACAAGCATTGCGACTCACTTGCACGTGAAGCACCCTGTACAAATTGACTAGTCAGCGTCGGCTGAGAAAGTCAATGATGCTGCTTGCGGACACTAACCTGTCCTCACCTTGGTGCTGCCTTTTCTTGTCATGACCGAGCTGTAGAGTATTTAGATAAGTATGTCAAGAAATTAGGGTTCGAAAATCCAATCCTCGGCTGGGGCGGACCGTGTCAACATCAGGGGAAAAAGAAGATGCAAGTCATGGACGCGTAGGGATGGACTGTTCAAGCTGTCAAGTAAGCACTCTCCTGGTCATCTTCCAAGGTTGGAACACTGCAGGATTTCAAAAGTGGGCGGAGCAATTCCTCAGCCGCAGCACTACGTTCTGCCGCAGCGGGATGACGACTATTACTAACAACCTGTCTCTAAAAACCAGGCTTGGCACTGATCCTGCTTAGAGCTATGGTGACGGAAGAGACACAATCAGCTGTGACTACCAGATGATCCCCCCTTAATGCCGAAAAGGACGCGGATGGAGAGCATTAAAGATGCGTTTTACCTAGGTAGCCGTATCGGAGTGCCTTGTGAAGGGAGCACCACTTGCTTGCCCAGACCTGAAGTGGAAATTTAGAGGAGACGAGGGGGTCGGTCATGTGAGGAGAAATCTCCAGAACAGCCAAGCGGCCCGGGGCTTCATCAGAAGTAGACGCCGAGAAACCGAGCTTCGTGCTCGCTGCCCCAAGTTCCCCTCACCATCGTGAGCATTTATGAAGCCTGGATGAATACATACTTAAGTACCTTCATATTGACGACCACGGGACATCTGAATTCTTCTGTACCATAATAACATATACCTACTAGAAGTCTGTGTAACCTAATAAAATTGATCCATCAACGCTATGACGTCCAATCCGGAATTCAACAGCAACACTACAGGAACCGAAGCGGCCAAAGCTCTGGGGGCTTCAATCAAGGGGAAGAATGGTCCGTGATGCTCATCGAGCAGCACTCGAAGACATGCACTGACCTCGCTTACCAGTTGTCATCACCGGTGTCAGCCCAGCTGGCCTGGGGTTCTCTACAGCAGTGGCAATCGCATCCCAGGAGCCAGCGGCACTCATCCTGGCCTCGCGGACCCAATCCAAGCTCGATGCGGCGGCTGTTGAAATTGGACAAAAGTATCCTGACGTACAGATCCACAAGGTTTCTCTCGATCTCGCGTCCCTCGACTCTATCAAGGAAGCCGCTGCGCAAATTGGTACGCTGGTCGACCGCGTGGATGTCCTCATCAACAACGCTGGCGTGAACTACATGGAAAGGGATGCCGTACAGACGCCTGGGGACACTTGGGTCGACAAGAACTTTTTTGTCAACCATCTCGGCCCCTTTTATTTCACCTACCTGCTGCTGCCTAATCTGCGTGCTGCGGCGAAGCCTGGCGGACCGAAGGGCTCCACACGCATCGTCAATGTTAGTAGTCATGGACATCGGCTCTCCCCCGTTCGCTTCTACGACTATCAGATGTACCACTATGTCTACGATGGAGTTCCCGACAGCCAGAAACCCCCCAAGGGCCTTCCCGAGGGGTTTCTAAAGCTTGTCGACGGCTACCCCGGGTTCATCGGCTACGGACAATCCAAGACGGCCAACATACTGCACGCCACAGAGCTCAGTCGGCGGTTTAAAAAGAGCGGGGATAATATCCTCGCACTGTCTGTCCATCCTGGAACCATCGAAACTGAACTATCACGGAACCTGGACGAGGAGGCGCGGAACACCATCAAGGGTACGGCGCCTCATGGTCACTGGAAGAATCTCGACCAGGGAGCAGCCACGACTATTGTCGCTGCATTTGACCCGAAGCTGGCAGATGTCGACGTCGGCGGTGAGGCATTCGGTTATATGTCTGACTGCCAACTGGGTGACGAACACCTCGCCGAGCATGCCAAAGACACCTACAATGCACAGATGCTATTTCATGAGAGCGAGCGGATGCTAGGGCATAAGACCGGACTGTAGATACGAGGTCGTGGCGAGGGCGACTGCACAACTAATTTGGCCAGCGCATAATCAAGAAATTCCATGATCACATGCCAAGAGACTAGTGAATCGTTACAAAATAAAAAGTCTCCCGTATTAACATATGTACCAACGTAGTGAGTGGCCTAGTTGCTGTCTTATGTACAGACATGTCTCTACCCTGCTTGGCAGTGCTCACGACTACTTAGTTACCCAACCGGAAAGGTAAAGAGGGATGCCTGGTAGCATCCCTCGTGATGCTGTTACTCTGCCCACCGGACGCTTAGCCTCGTAATTTAGGCCGCACCCCCGAGGAGTGCAGCAAGGCCCCCGGCGCCGGCTGCTCCGCCAGCAGCTCCGCCAGCAGCATTAGCTTTACCTAGAATATCTGCTGTCAGCTTCCAAAGTACAGAGGGAAATATCATGATGCGCAGGAAAACATAGCAAAAGAGAGCGGCCTCCTAAGATATTGTTCCACAAAAAAACGATGCAGCATGGCAAGCATGCCGAGGGACCCAGGGGTAACACGGGATAAAAAACAGGTATCGTGCGTCGAGAGGATGAGAGTCCAATGGCCAGGGATTGGAAATTACTTACCACCACCGGCAGCCCCACCTGCAGCTCCAGCACCGCCACCACTGCGTGGAATTAGTGATACGTTGTTGAGTTGAAGGAGACAGAACTCCAGGTGTAGTACTTACGCAGCGCCACCAAGGAGAGCCGCCAGCCCACCCCCGGCGGCAGCACCACCAGCTGAATGATCTCGTCAGTATTTAGACTGCATATAGCAAGAGCTGTCCACCTCAAGTATTCCACTTACCCTTGCCCTTGCCGCCGCCGCCCTTTCCTTGGTGGTGACGGGGCTCAACTGCGATGGCGGTCGCGCCAGCCACGAAGGTGATCATGTAGAGGAACTTCATTTTGAAGAGAACGGACGGAGATCCAGCTCTGAGTGTGTATAATAAAAGAAGGGTGTGGGATTGAAGGAAACTAACGGCTCAGCCGGGATTCTCAAAAGACAATGGAAATGGAGGGTACCTAGGTATGTGCGTAAAGATCAAGGCCGTCTAGAACCGACCTCACATCACGTCGGAAGCAGCATCCTATATACCATGACTCCTCTACAGGTGACTAATACCGGGCCCCTTGAAAATGAGGTTGTTTGTAGAGTAAGCGATCTGCGCAAATCTCCCGCAAATCTGCAATCCACCCGACTGGCCGTTTCGTAACATGGGCGGTGTGGTCTGAACTATCCTGAAGCTGAAGGGGTGGCAGTGAGGAAGTTAGTTTCGTTTCAATGCTCAGACGGATGTCCGCCAAGCCACTGACATTGGCAGACACCAGCCAGCTGATGAATGACGGAGGGAAAGCTAACGTCCGATGAGCAATAAGGGAGCCATGGAGCATAAAAAAAGAAGGGCTCAAGCGACATCTGTTTGAGGAGGCGAGTACGAGCGTCATCAGACGAGGTGAGCCGCCCAGTGGTAGCTGTGTCTCCGATGCGAGCGACGCTTTTTTAAGCTTGAAGTCTGGTGATTGGAGATGCAGACTTGTCGAAAATCAAAACTGGCACGCCAATCCTGGCCTGGGGTCGGAGTTCGCCAAGGACGCCATGGAAACCTGGGCTGGTTTGGAGAAATAGGGGCGAGGACGAGGCGAAGCGCAACTGGCTTGGAACCTCACGCACAAGCGAACATGGCCCGCCATTACAACCCTTACTCAGCATATGAAAACCGAAAAGTTGGAAGATGAGTCGATAGGAATTGAAACAGGTGTTGAAAAAGCACAGGGTGTATGGCCAGGAAATCAATTCGCGCGAGAAAAGGCCTCGGCTCGCCGAGAGGCTCTCGATGCTAAGGGGAAAGGGCCGGCAAACAATACTAATAATCTCATGCAATCACCAAGTGCGTTAGAGATGTTGCACCATATACCATGTCGCTCTCATCGAAATAGCCACATATGGCTTGGGGTGGCTGTGATTGTCGGTCCGATGCGAAGAACTGTTGATTGTCAGGCCCCCTGTTGCTGCACGTATCAGCATCGTTTCTGTCACTCTCGCCTCAATGGAGTGCCCCGAGAGAGGCCCTTTTGCGTTGGGGGAGTGGCCAACTTGAATGGAGGGGACAGGCATTCAAATGATCTTATGCAGCCAGTCGCCAGGTCTATGAACACTGCACACCTCATGCTGGCCGATGCCCAGGTGCGTCTAGACCACTAGGTGTGGCTGGTGCCCAAGGTCGAGCGAAGAGCTACTAGTATATTCAACATCTCCCACCGGTAGATCTCCTCTTCTAGCTCGCATCACCATCGGATAAGATTTTCGTGACTGTTCTCATCAGGCTAACTCAGATAGAGCTAAGCCAGCGTTTGTCGCAAAGTAAAAGAACAGCCGCAGCGTCAAGCTCGAGCTGCGGATGCCGTCTGGGCGAGCTTTTCTTTCCGGGTGAGGCTGATCGCTCGGGCAACGGCAACGTAAAATTACATTGGGCAACTTTGAACCGTACCTAGGTAGATCCTCAGGGTTGATCGTCCATGTAAGTGCTCCACTTTCCGCAGAAAGTGATGTAAGGCGGCGAGATTGCAAATGGCAGACTTCGAGTATTAGCCTATCCGCTGCGCGGCGATCCGCCTTGTGAGGTTCGTATCCACCAACGACAGCCCAAGGGCCGTACCAGGCCCTGGTCTAGCACTCTCCAATGGCCTCCACCTGGAGCATCACAACCTCGCTCTTGCACCGCCACACCTTGATTCAAACGGACGTGGACATTCAAAGAGTATGCCATTTCCAAAAGCCCGCTGCTTGCTGGATCTACAAGACAGCGACGGGCGGTGGGCTGGCAGGGAACAAGCCGGTCACGCTGGCCTAAGCTATCTCCCTTGCGGATATTTAAGTTGACTCTCCTTATCTAAACTGTGCTGGCTAGTTGTTATTAGAGAGAACATTGAAGGGAAGGGGACATGTCAACCTTTGGCAGCACTTGAGGTAGTCTATGTACTCAAGTGCCCTAGGGTATCTACTTAAGTAGGTACCTTTTCAGTAAATACCTATCAGTGTCAATTCGCGGTTCGAGACCCAAGACCACGTCAGAGAACACTTTGTCAACAAGCATAGTGAGCCATCAATGACCTTAGCATAGCACCGCACGAGGCGCCGGCGGCCGTACCGTATGATAGATCACAAGTAAGTTCAAGCCAAGTCGCTCGCTGCCCTCCGGCATGTAGTCGTGCAAACTACACATCATTCACTTACGAGAGAGTACATATTAGCGTATTCAGATACTCAAGCTCAGTCTTGCTAACCAAAGAAACGTGGTGCTAGTCATAGGAAGCGCCGGCTCCGAACCTCACACCGTCTGGCGCCTAAACTTATCGACACCTTTAGCTGTAAAATGTCAAACCTGGTTTATCTTTCAGTCCATCCAGCGCTGATGGTTATAAACAAGGCCCGCCCGTGGGTCATAAGTCGTCTTCTGGTTATCTCCTTCTCCAGTTCAATTTGCGTACGCACGTATCATCAGGCCAGCAACGCCAGCTCACCAGAAGCACTTGATCGTCATTTCTTTTTCTTCCACGTCCTCTCACCTGCGCGATACTTAGGTATTACTACATCATGCGGTCCCCTTTTATTATGGCCACTTTTGTTCTGGCCGGCCTCTCAACCAGTTTGATAATCACTCGTAATCCTGCTCACACTCCTGCTCACACTTTCCCCCTTACTCCTATCGCTACGCCTACCGAGGCTTCAGGCCGCCCTGAGCTGTCTCAGCGTGGCATCGACAAATGGATCCCATTTTTCAGCGAATTGGCCGATGCTCCGAGGAAAATCGTTTCTGAGGTTTTAAACCACGGCGACACCACGGTAACTGTTCCCGCCATCTTGTCGACAGTCACCGTCACCGGGGGGCCAGAGACGCCTACAGGTCCTGTCACCGTGACAGCCACCGTCACAGATGAGCCAGATGCGACCACTGAGCTCGTCACCGTGACGAACATCGTCACTGTGCCCGGCACTCTTACGACCGTCACCCGTACCCGGGAGTCGGAGACGAGCACTGGTCCGGTCACCGTGACAACTACTGCTTCCCAAGAGATTGTGACGACCACTGTGACGACTGTGCCAGTCCCGACAGAGCAACCAACCACGACCCAGGCCGTGCCACCGCAAGGGACCGGTTGCTATCTCCCACTGCCGGGCGGCGGAATTTCTGCACTGCCTTGCGGACCTAGTCTGACATAAGTTTGTGCTCCCCCCCTGGGCAGTTTCTGTTTGATTTGCTAAGCTTCTTAAATTCAGGTTTCTTGCACATGAGGATGTTATTGATTGGTTGGAGGTCCTGTGCTGAATTGCCCTCTCGGGGTGTAGAAACTACCTACGGCTAGGGAATTTGCAACATCTTCCCCCCCTCTCGTTGTGGGCTTCGCAACGCACAGATGTGTGGATTGGATGAATTAAAAGCCAGTGGAATACTCTCCAAGTCCATTATCTTGTGTCATATCAGAGGTGCGAGTTGTTGGTAGATGCAGAGATGGTAATATTTGAAGAACCTAGGTTTTGAAGGGGTTTTTAACACTCGTAATGATCGGTGTCTGTTTGGCTTAGCTATATCTGCGTAATCAGGGGGGGGGAAATTTGTTATGATGAGGAAAATTTTATAGTACTTGAATTCTTGTATGAAGCTTGAGGACCGTCACCCCCAGAGTTTGAAGGTTGTGAGCTGCTATAAATCAGTTGCCTCAGTGACGTTCAGAACGGTGTGAAGCACTGACTAGTCGTCAAACGCCTGGCTATATGGATGGCCTTGCGATGCTGGAAGATCTCAGTTGCCTTCTGATCACACACTCCAGTCATTTCTGATCAAATACCTAGGTAGTCAGAAAAAGCCCCTCAAAGTTGGGGTTTGATCGCCAGCAATTTGAAGAATCCCTTCTTTTTGCTGATTGCATGTGGGCTCCAGACACAGCCGTTAATCAGTGCTGAAAAGACAGCGGAGAGAAGTCAGCGTCTCATCCCCCCCGTCAGACCTGCGGATCGGTACGACTGCCAACGACTGGCTCCCATTTCCGCCGAACTCCAACATCCAGTCCACCGGCAACCTGTCCCTGCATCCTCCATCCCTAGATGAGCTGTTCATCGCATCGGGCGAGTCCCACTCCCACCCCTCGCGAAGAGTAATGAAAGCGGCAATGCGAAAGTATCCCCACCCAAGCGAAGACTTAGTGAATGGTGGTTTCCGCAGTGTGACAAAACGGTGGTTCCGGAAGGTCTCGTGCAAGATCAGGTCGACAGACTCGATCAGATCGGTGCGCGAGCTCTTCAAGAAGAACTTCCAGTAATGGGTACGCGTCATTCCCGAATAAGGCGAGATAGAGGGCGGGACATTCTTGTGTGTGTTGCCAAGCTGCATGATCATGAGTTGCTCTGTTTCGGTGTCTTCCGTGGCGCGCTCTTTATATGGGATCGGATATTTTGACTGGATCTGTGAGGATCGGGCTTCGTCGAGGGCAACTTGGGTCTCGGTCCGGCACAACGGGCACCCGATGAATATGCCATCGATCTCGGGACCGGAGGATAGGCGAAATGACGCGTCTAGAGGCCAAGGCTCAGGTCTTGATGTTGCAATCCATGTCAGCAGGCAAGCATGGCAAGCGGTGTGCCCGCATGCGGTTGCCCTTGTCGGCCGATAAAGCAGTTGTCTGCAGATGGGACAGATGTCGTTGTAGTCAGGCTCCAAAACCTCGTCTTGAATGGCCATGGCAATTTGTGCAAAAGCCTTTTCGTTAATGACAGTTGACGAGGGCTATCTGCTACCAAGGCGCCCAGGTGGTGTTGGCCGAGCGTTATCTTCCAGGCTTGCTTCACTCGTGCGATAGCACTTGAGGGCCTTGATTCGAGGCTTGTTTGTCGGTTGAACGAAATGTGTAATGCCACCACCCGGGCATATTGACCTTGGAATATGAGGACTGGCAAGATATTATATGCTTAAATACCTAGGTACCTAGGTAGTTATGCCAGCGTTGGCTTTTCCACATTTATTTTGAAGCACCAGTTGGCACCAGGCAGAAATGGAGGGTGCCTGGCCGAGCCCCACCCAACGCCCACCATTGATGCATGTATCGCCGGCCGTTCGAGTCATCGGCCAAGTTGCTACCTAGATAGGAAACCAACATTGAAGCGGTAGAGATGGGCGTAAAGGGAAAAGGCGTCAGTTTGAGAGCCTGAGAGCGTGGGCCACCACAGGGTATTGTTCTAAAGCCCCAACAATGCATACCTGGCAGGAGCCTAGGGTTGGTCTCAGGAGCAGCACAGTCTTGTTTCTGGAGGGGAACAATCTTTCCACACACACTCAAGTGTATTGAATCCCATCAGGCACAATTGGTGCCAGACTCAAGAGTCTGTGCCTTGTCGCAAGGGTCAAGCTACACTGGCTGAGACTCTACGTACCTACCTAGGTACCTAGATAGATTTGGATCGGCACCAGATGATCTGACTCACTCTACCAAGCCAGAAGCACAATGCTTACCAGTAACAAATAAACAACAATAGATCTAGAAAACCATCAATGAAGTTCACCGTACAACGCCTTGGATACCAAGTGCTCAACCCTCAACAAAACAGGTTCAGATTCCATCATCTCGCGCTATAGGTGGTCTATTTGTGTCGCTATAATTGACGCTGTCAAGTCATCAATAAGCTTGAAGCTATTCGGAGCTACCAGCCTTAGCTTGGCTGTTAGAGGCTAGCCCTGTGGCTTGGACACAAAATACTTGGAATGGACTTTAAAAAGGCTGCCAGTTCCCCTACAAGCACAAAACAATCTACCACATATCTTGATCACCTACGTGATGCAAAGTCCCATTTATTCAACCATTCGATACTTCGCAAACGGATTCCAAAGGCTGGTGGCAGATCAGGATGGAGCCAAGGATGAATACCCAGAAACAAACAAACGAGGTCAAATTGACACTTTCTACAGCCCAGGCCGATCCCGATCCCGACCCTGAAGAGTATGGTCCGATATACTTCCACAACGAGAACGGAGACTATGGCTTCATGTCAAATTTCTACATAATCACATTCAGGGCACCACACCCAGCGACATGGCTATTTAAGGAAACCGAACCAGTTTCAAGCGGTTTTTCCAGTGCTAGTACCCATTGTGGAGGTACAAGACCTGGCACCATGACATTCCGGCATTCCGAGCAATACTACATGTACTGTAAAGCAATCTACTTTGGCGACGAGAGCGCGGGGAGGGAAATAATGCGCGAAGATTCTGCAACAAAGTGCAAATCCGTTGGTCGTTCCGTCAGAGGTTTCAGAGAGAAGGCGTGGCAAAAGCATGACCTCAAGGTCCGGGTGATGGAAGAAGCCCTGTGGTGGAAATTTGGAGGTGGACAGCTGGAGCTCTGTCTCGAAAATTCTGATGGAAACCTCACTGGTAAGGAGCTCAGGACTAAAGATGACAGGTTCAAGGCGCTTGAAAGCCTAGGGCGGCAGCTACTTGAAACGGGAGACAGACAACTGGTGGAGGCTGCAGGACAGGACCGGTACTGGGGTATTGGGTATCGCCTCAAAGACGAGCCACATATTTGGCATGCTAATTGGGGAAGGAACCAGCTTGGAAGGTGTCTCATGGCTGTCCGAGAAAGACTGAGAACTTTGATTGATGGAGATAGAGAGGATGCGCAGGGGGAGTAGACATACGAGAAAGGGGCCAGTTGACGGGGTATGTGGTTTCGCTTCTATTCCGTATACGTCCGAGGACATACATGGCGCCTTCATACGGTGGTAATCACTCAAGACCCAGCGCTTGGAAAGAATACGATGACGGGGTATGCTTTATCCTGGATGTTGAATCCTTCGTGGCTCATCGGACGTGGTTCCGGTCTTGGACAACACAGGTGGAGATGGTGATGACTACTTGCCAAACTATCGCTGTTAATTAATGGATGCCTCATCCAATTACTTACAAATCTAAAATGACAGTTTCTGTTGCCCTGTCATCTGTGGTCTATCTGCCCGAGAAGTGGGGGCTCGCGAAAAGCCGGTGCTGCAGGGTGACTGACGTGATCTTTGGTGATAATGAGGACAGCCACCCGCTGGCATACTTATGCCATGACACTCCCGCGGCTGCCGAAAGGCTCTCAACATGAAAATTCTGCCAGGTCCTCCAGATACACTGCATTCAGAACAAGACTTCATCATGGGGCTTCAAGAGAAAACAGTTGTTGCTGAAACCAGGCTCGATGGTCCCCACGAACCGTCTGAAGTAAAGACAAAATCGTCCTGGAAAGGATATTTGTGGGACACTTGGACATTACCCCAGGACCAGCGCCGATTGTTGTTCAAGTTGGACGCTTTCGTATTAACTTTCGCTTCAGTAAGTATACTTCACCAAAATCTTACACAAATTGATTGTATGACAACTTCTAAATCAATTTCTAGATCGGTTATTTCCTGAAGAACCTTGATCAGACTAATGTTAATAATGCGTTTCTAAGTGGGATGAAGGAAGATTTGCTGATGTATGGGAACGAGCTCGTCACCAGCACATCCAGTAAGTAGTTCCCTGCGTGCCACTCAGCCAGCCCTGGATTCCAAAGCGATTGCAGTCAAATTGACACCCTTCCGAGTCCCCGCGAGGCTGAAATTAAGCCTGGATTTCTCGCTTACTTTATTCCAGTCTATACTGTCGGATATGTTATTGGCCAAATCCCGTCAAACCTCTTGCTTACACGGATCTCCCCACGATGGGTGATACCTATGGTACGTCTTTGATCTTTTCCCCTGATCAACCATTTACTTCCTGGTCAATAACATGAACATATCCGCCGGCTAATATCCACATGTAGCTCGAGTGTGGATGGGGAGTTGCCACAATTTGTACCGCCTCTGTAAAGTCATACCGGGCTCTCTACGCCCTGCGGTTCCTCGTAGGCCTCTTTGAGTGAGTGCATTTCAATGGGCCCCTCAGGTCTTACTAATCTATTCTCATCTATTGTCATCAATGTCGAAGCTTTCGGCCATGAGGACTGACATTCATACCGTCCAGATCCGGCTTCTATCCAGGTCAGTCTTCAAATTCTTCGATTCCCATGTGTAAATTTCACCAGGAACAGTCTTTTGAATGCCCCGGCAGCCTGCCAGAAATGAGAAACTTTGAAATTTCATGAACATCAAACTGGGATGAATCATTCTCCTCCACATTCCATATTTGTTCACACTTTGCCTTCATGATCTAACAGAACTAGGCATTCATTACATGCTGGGATCGTGGTATACACCCCGTGAGATTGGCAAGCGCGCCATGGTATTCTGGCTAGCTGGCTCTATTGGACAGATGTTCAGTGGTTTTCTCCAAGCTGCAGCTGTAAGCAACTCATTTTCCTCGTGTGTCCTTTCGCTTGGATAAGAACCTGCGGGGTATGGCTTCTGTGCATAGAGATGCCACTATGGGGATGTGGGATTTTTTCGGACGAGAAAACTGCGCAGTTTCAATGTAAAGCTGACTCGTAACTCTACAGTATAAAAACCTGAGTGGCGAAGGAGGATTAGCCGGTTGGAGATGGCTCTTCATCAGTAAGCAGATAAAGAAACACCTCTGGATGATGGAAAAAGAGCCATTTTTAATGACTCCACAGTTGATGGGATAATCACAATCCCGCTCGCCCTGGCTGGTTTTGTGTTCTTCCCTAACATGCCGGGTGGTGGGAAAACCTGGTGGATAACCGAAGCGGAAAGCACTCTCTCAGTGGAAAGAATGAAGGCAGTTGGGCGTGCCGGAAAGCAGCCATGGACACGTGAAAAAGTGAAGAAGATCCTCCGCAGTTGGCATACCTATCTGCTTCGTATGTGGCCCCCCTTTCACTAGGCTTCTCCCAGATCACATGCTCCTGACAGACACTGAGAATCTCCTTACCCATGAACAAACACAATTCATCACATACTAACACTGGGAACAGCATTGTGCTACGTTGTCTGGAATAATGGCTGGGCTCAGCCAGCAATGGGCGTAAGTGTTACCTGCAAGTGAAGAGGTACAGAGAGGCACAGCTGTCATGTGCTACCATGCGAGCCAACATTCCCGGCTGCAGGGTTGTGAACACATCTCAAGACATTTGAGGCTTGGAGAAGCAAATTAAGGGAAATGCCTGCCATTTAGCAGCCAATTTCTAAAGAGAGAAGACTTGCTGACTTGTGGTAACTCTCAGTACTGGCTGAAGAGCTTCAACGAGACTCCAGCCCCAGTGCCGGGCACCTCGTTCTCAGTGGCCGATATCAACGACTGTAAGTCACTCTGGGAGCATTGATTCATCTGAATATCACCTAATACGAGCATCTGACTGCAGTGCCGCTTCCGACTACTGGTATTTTCGTCGTAATGGCTTTGATATGGGGCTGGGTTTCAGATGGGCCGTGTCACGGCCTTCGCTGGCCTTTTATTTATGTCGGTGCCGCTATTACTGTAAGTTCAAGAGCTAAAGCACTTACATTGATGAATCTGTTACATACTAATTGTGGGGTCAGCTGCTTTTCAGTGTCCTCTTGCGGCAAATGCCGCTGTATGAAAACATCACCAGCCGCATGGTGGTTTACTGGCTCAGTCAGATCGGTGTAAGTGTCCTTGGTGGTAACGAACAATGCAGTGCACATGAATCTATCCTTCTCACACAATACTATGAATAGAATGGCGCAGGGCCACTCATCCTGACTTGGATCAATGAAATCTGCTCTGATGACACTGAGAAGAGAGCATTGATCGTGGCATTGGGCAATGATCTGGCGTATGTGGTGCAGGCAGTTGTAAGTCCAACCCGATCAATTTGGATTCATGAGCTAGAAAGTCAAACCTGCATGTTGGAAACTGATGTCGAGTCTACAGGCACCGAACTTTGTTTGGAAAACCACCGACTTTCCCGCGGCTAGGAAAGGGTACCTTTGGTGCATCGTCATGCAAATCCTGCTCGGTAAGCTGGCCCTTGCCCTCCCACAATACTTCTTAGACACTAACAAGACATTTTCACCATGAAGTCATGGTGACTGCTTCTATCCAGCTTCTCCTTTGGCGGGACAGAAAGAAGGCGGCCTCGGCCATCAATGGAGATCTGTTGCCATCGCCATCTCCTAGTGATCACAACCCCGGGGCCTCTTCGAGTGACATCAACGAAGGCCAGGCAGTTACCATTAGTAAATTCTCGCCTGTTTGAACTGGTCGTTGGTGTCTTTAATTTCATAAGGATAGATGCCATGAGAATCATAGGGAACGTCAGTAAATCCAGGGATGGACCCGCTTGTCTCTAGAACATGTTCATCTTTCGAAAAGGTGTCTGGTCTCTTCCTCAGCATCCTTATCTGGTGGAGTTGGGGCTGTTGAGGGCCTTTTCAGTATCCACGATACCAGTCCGGTCTGAGACACGGATCCCGCCTACCTGACTGGATAGTTAGCTCTTCATTAACTCAGGTCTTAATAAAAGTTGTTGGGTCTGAGTGCTGCCTCTTTTTGCTGGAGGTCCTGTCCACATTATGGTGTCATCCCGCCACATCATGCATATCCTCAAGTGTCAGTCTCACTTAATCGCACTGTGGCATGTTCAGGGGAGGTGCTTGATGTGTGGGACCGCGCAGCTACAAAGCTGTCACCCATTTTAGATTGGATATCACATCAGTAAGTATCTCAGACCTTGGTAATCCTGGTCTAGTATCCGATCGCTCGCGAAATTTGCCGTTGTGCTTGAGGTAGTGTTCAGTATCTCTCCTGGGCCCAGCTTCACACCGGCATAGATAACAAAGCACTTTCTATTGTGGCTGGGTTCGCTTCTAGTCCGTATACGTCCGAAGACTACATATGACGCCTTCATAAAGCGGTGGACCATTGAGATCTAGCGTTTAAACAAAATACAGTATTGATAATAGCGTAAAAATACAATAGGTGCAACGTGGCCTCAGCCTTACGACGCACAGACAAGGTTAAGGGGTGCCGTCTTGACGGCGGCGTCGACGCCGCCAAAGTAGTCATACCTACCTAGGTATAGCGAGATTAAAATAGTCTCTCAAGATGGTCGTTATATAAATGAATCCCACAAAGGCTTTCTTTCTATTGTAAATGTAAGTAAAAGGGTATGAATTAAAGGAGCTGCTATTGCTAGGGCTTGGTATCAAAGCGAAATCATGCAACTGGCCAATGTAGTCCATCAAGGCCACATGGCATCCCAAATGAACATCCAATGCTTGTAGTACTGCGTCTTTGGGCCTACGATCATACTGCGGCCATATCCGTCCGGCCGGATCTTATACGGCCGCGTGTAGATCCCGTCCTCCTTTAGGTGCCTCTTTTGTATCGTCAGGATTGAGAAGCTGCTTCTGCTGTTACCGACGAAGTAATCACTCCCAACAAGGACAATATAGTCGATCAGTCCCTGCTGGTCCCAGCTCAATGACGCTAGCTCGTCCGCGTCCTCGCCGGTGAGCAGGTCCGCCTTACTGACCACCGCCATCCCCAGCTTGTCGTGCGCTGCGGCCGAGAACTTGTGCGCCTCGCTGAGGTTGCCCGTCGCCACGTATGCCACCGAGAGGCCCAGCTCCTCTGCTTTCCCAAGGTAAGCCTCCTCTTGTTCCTCGTATGTCGGCCAGAACTTGACTGCGTCTGCCTCTGTCCGCAGGTGCGCCGAGAAAAAGGCCGAAGGGTTGTCGATGGCGCGTGACTTTCCCTCGATCTCCAGTGGATCCCGCGTCCGAGCATGTTCTCGAGCGAACGTACGCATATTGTCCAGAGCTTTCTTCCCGAGTCGCATCACTTGTTTGTTGAACTTGAGCAGCCCACCGTACGTGTTGGAGAATTCAGGCCCGTCGTGCCACCGTGGGTACTCCCAAAGAATCCCGGGGTAGTCGGGCATTCGGAATAGACGGGGGTGGTCCACCGACGGCGGTATGCCGTTTTTTTCGTCTCGTACCCATTCCCTGAAGCTGTCTGTGTGGTTGTCAGCAAGCGAGCCCATTCACGCGGCTTCAACAAGGGGGGGAAACCCATCCCATAGCTCTCGCTGAGGGACCGACTGTGTCCTAGGAACTGCGCGCGACGGCATCTATGGGCATCGTACCTCCGAAACGATCTGTGTGCTTGTCCAACTCGGCGCCATTACAATCGCCACGTTCTGAGAAAGCACGAGTACTGATCTTTTCTATGACAGGCTCCCTCGAGCTGTTGGAATTGTCAACATTGGGGATGTGTGCCCAAGAATCATAGATCGTGATCTGTGGGCAGAATTCGCCCATGCCCTTTCGAAAGTTTTCCTCGTCGAAAAAGTAGCTGAAGGGTCGGTAGTCTTTGCCGCTGTTGATGTCCACAATGTTTTCATCGTTCCTCTTCTGGATCGCTGGCATGACGATGCCTGACACGCCTGCTTCGATCGCATATCGCATGCATGTGAGGATAAAATTCCGAACGTTGCCAACGCCGCCCCAATTATTATCGCACAACCACACGACGCCTTCCACCCATTCCGTGACCTCGTTGCAGGCACGTTCCAAAGGCCACCCTACGAATGGTGCGTCGGGGTCGGAGAAGTCGATGTCGCTGACGTCTGGCTTGCCCAAGCCCTTCACTGCTGGGCTGGTGTTGACACTGCCGACCGTGCCGTCGTCCCCAATGCGGAACCACGAATAGTCGACCGACATAGCAGGCATCTGAAGGCGAATAGTCCATACTGCGAGTAGCAGGCCAATCGCTATCATAGGTATGAACTGAGTGCGACCCATACGGGTGATGCCTCCCAAAGACTTGCTAATCATGATCCAGGCTGACGGTAATGAGAGTGAAGGGAACCTAGGCAGGTTGAAAGCAATCCTGCGGCCGATGAGAAAACCCCAATGCTTTGATTAGACGAGCAAAACATGCAAGGGGCCGGCATTAAGGTTGGCCGCGAATGAAAAAGAAAAGGAAAATGCGAGGAGTGGCACCAACGTCGGCGCTGAGGCAAGACCTGGGTCTTGAAATACAGTAAGACATGCTTTGCATTTTGCCGAAAAGTCTTGATTGGCGATCAAAAAGTAGTGCTGACACTAATCATAGAAGCGAATGCAGGCAGGGGCCAGAAAATAGATATGCATTGAGAAGGTGCTCGGTGGTCTCATTTTCTGCGCATCCTGCGAGCCGGAGTAGTCGGCCTGATAGAGTTCGCTTCTTGTTTCGGCTCCCTCTAATGCGTGCTGGTGCAGGGTTCTGGGCGCAGGTCCAGCTTGCTTGGCAAAGCATCCTCCCGGCGATTAGTCGAGACTTATGTCTCGATTGAGAGGCAGTGTGGACCTTTTCAGCCCCTATGAATTGTCTTAGCCATTTGCAGAAGACGGTAAGATTAAATCATCCCACACATCCCGCTGCTGCACCTAGCGATGCCGGACTCACTCGACCTGGACCCCTGTGTGGTCGTGCTTCATACCTATCTAGGTACCCTTTTGCTTTTTATGATCATGATACATCACACTGTCTCTCGTGCTTTGTATCTCCGAGCCACGAGCTGCAGCCTTCGTGCCGAATTGCCAGCCCACCAGGACAGATGCGAACATGAAGCTAATGCCAGCCCTTATGCACCCAGGCTAAGCGATGCTGCAGCTGCAGCGCTATGAGCTGAAGCAGGACGTTACCAGGTTACGACTATACAAAGTCGTGCAAATGTTTAGGGTGCAAGGCATGAACGCCCTGACCGCACAACACATCGTCCAAGTAGGTGTCGGTATTGCATGTCACCGCCTGCGTTGTAATCATCTCAACAGTGCATTACTAGTAAACCCAACAATTCTGGGCAAAAAGTAAAGGCTCTGAGATTCTATTTGTGTCTCCAGGGTCTATCTACCCTGCCTGTCGACGTTGTGGAGCGCATACTCTCAGCTATACTTCACAACTACCTAGGTAGGGTCGTAGTCCGCTCTTGGCGGTGGTCGTGGTTCTGAGCTTACTCATCCCCCAGTGAAAGTGGCAGCTGTTGAGACAGAATGCACTGTGTGAAACAGTTCCCAAGATCTCCTATTTCACATGACATAGAGTTGAAAACATGGTTCAATTGGATGTCTGATGATCTGACGACTCGTCTGCTAGTCCTCATCCGAGGCCATCTATGAAAATTGAAAATACTTTGACTGCTCGCTCCCCTCAAGACTGGGGCTGGTGATATGAGCCCGTGTTATTTTATGCGCACCCCTGAAAGAGAGAGATGCCGCACAGCTGCTGGCTATAAAAGGAACATTCCTTTTTATTGTTTGATCAGCCACTCAACAATATGATTAGGTACAAATTCGTGGTAGATAGCCTTCTGTAGCCTGATAAACCACATGACTACACTTAATACTACTTGACTGCACCCTAGAGTGACTCCCACAGATCCAGCAGGCCACAGCACTGTCTGTAGATTAAGCTGTGTGTAGAATTCAAATTTATTTTCAAATCTCTGCCTGCACGCTCGTGTGGACAAGAATAATGGCTTATTCTCTGTGTTCTACATCCACTCGAATGTGACGAGGCTTCAAGCAACAACACTGCGTTTGCCCATTCCTACCCAGGTACCTACTTAAGTAGGTGCCTAGGTCGGTAATCTTGATGCAACTTCGTCATTGAGCAGAGATGATTTGACTTGCCCAGCACACAGAAGCACGGATTGAGTCAATCTCTGCCCATACTATATACAAAAGGTAACACGATAAGAGGATGAGGCCAGAATGGTCCAATAAATTACAAAAAGAATACAAAACATTTAGCACCAGGTTTTCACTGGTCGGCACCATCCCAACTACTAATCCAGCTATTGGTTATCTCTAGTAGTATATAAGCACCATATTGTTACCAGAATCCGGAAAAGATATTGCTCTGGACGGAGATTTACATATTCACAACAGTATTCTCCCCAGCCGAAACTGGGCGGCTATTGTGCTTGGTCGGACAAGTGTATCTATACACCTGGCAGAACGCAAAGAAAACATCTGTATGGCTCTTACTGGGCCGGACAACGCGGCAGCTGTATATATATAATACGTACAAAGCCCGTATGTCTACTCCACAACAATCCGGGCACTCTTATTCAACTTTTCCAGTTTCCAGGTGCAAATGCAACAGGTGCATGGTGCGAAGTCAGCGGGAAAATCATATAATCATCGTCCGTCCATTCGTCCCTTTACCTCGACGTGCCCCTTGAGTATCCAAGCCATAAAATCAAAAACACGTGCTCAGTGGTGTCCGCTAGGCCGTCGTTATAGTACCAAGAAGATTAAAGAAAACTCAAGCGAATGGGAAAGCCGACACCATATGCAATTAGAACACATACAAGAAGGGGCTGGTGTATGAAGAAATGTTCAAAAAAAGGTGCTATCTCGCACAGCTCTTTGACCGCCCTCTTGCCCACCAGACATGCTTCAAATAATCTAGTAACGCATATCGGAGGTGGCTGAAGGGCGCCATTTCTAATAGCCCCTTCCGCCATGGTCACCGCGATCGGCAAGGTTCATAGAAGCGATCGCATCGGCCGTCCAGTCCTCCTCGTTTTGTATAGACGGGTTGCGCGCGTGAGGGCCTGGCCCATGGGTTGGGTGCATGTGACCTCTCCAGTCCACACCTTGGAACTCGGGCAGCCGAATCTCAGGTGTGTCCTGGTGCATGCCAGGATGGGGACCGGAGTCGTCGTTTTCAAACTGGCCGAAATCAGGCAGATCAAAGCCATGCCCCTGTGGTCCTGTGGGCGTCATTTGATCACGGCCGTTGCCATGCCCATTTTCCCCGGGAGGTTGGCCGTAATTGGCATGTGCTCCTGGTGGAATCGCAGAGATGCGCTCGAGTTGAGACTCCAATTCTCGCTGCTCAAGAATCTGGGGAGCTGGTTCGACATTCCGCAGGGTGCTACCGACAGAGGCCAGACCGATCTGCGCACCACTGCTGCTTCGATGGCTTCCATAGCTGGCCCGATGCGCCTCCTGGTTTGCGTCGCCGTCGCCGCTACCCAGGCCAGTTGACGAATCCCTGATGGCGAACTGTGCGATTGTTCTCATCTTGCGGGATACCCAGCCTGCGAGAATCTTGCCACGCTGTTTCTCGCCAAGGCGAGAACGGGGGAAATCACCCCTCGAAACGAAGGCGACGATGTCGACGATTATCTGGTGCTCATTGAGAATCGAGTCGACGATAACGGGCACAATTGAGGCGAGGTATGCCTTGCGGCTGACCTCCACCACTACGACGACAAGACCGCCAGCTTGGAAGACCGCGCTGGTTGGAATAAATGTTAGTATATCGAGTACAATAATTTGAATTGGATGGGTTGACTCACCAGCCTCCAGGTACAATGTTCCTGTGACTCTTCTCCACAGATGCTTCAATATCCAAGGGATAGTGGCTCAGCCCGTTGATCTCAAATGTCTCACCAATGCTTCCTAATACGAACAGGACCTGCATATCGACCTGCGCGCCACCCGGACCAATAGGTCTGCTAACGCAGTGAAGGAATCCGAGGTCACCGGTTCTGACGTAGCTGATACTCGGATCTCCATCAAGCGCGCGACCATCGAATCTCTCCGCATCGAAGATGTCCTTGGAACCGTAGAAGCCTTTGACGCAGGCCTCAGAGTCGACCCAGATCTCACCATACTCGCCATCGCAGCAGAGCAAGCGACTTTCTGGGTTGACAATTGCAATCTGCGTGGAAACCGGAACCATGCCGGAATCCTGGAGGAGAAGGGCCTTGGGGTCTGTCTCGGGGTCCGTAGGGATAACGAGACCACGCCGGAGAGCCTTGGTATCAAGCCAGAGCTCGATCGGCTCGATGCACATGTAAGAGCGGGATGCAATCATCGGGTTGAGAACGTGAGAGTATACCGTGTTGATGGCCGTGCGGTCAAGGCCAGTTGCTGCGAAGTGCAAGCGAACTTTCTGGAACACATCGATCCGCGGCCGACTCTCCGCCGAAATCATCATGTTCTTCATCTCGTGCAGCGTGAATCCCTTGCCTGGCATGAGAGCCATTGCATGGTCAAGCATTTGAGGCGTGGCATACGTATCCTTGACCTTGTACCGTGAAAGAATCATGAAAAGAGAGATGGGGTTCTGTGCGAACTCCACGGGCGACAGCAGATACGTGGGTGTACCGATGTAGATCCCCATGAGGCAAGTATGTATGAAGCCCAAGCCTGTCGTACTCCTCACACATCCCAACACCGGACGGGAGCTGGTCATTTGACAAGTCTCCTTTTGGACCTTGCACATCCCTAGGATTGTGTCATGCCCTAGCTGCACGGCAAGCCTCCTCTGATCGGGGGTCCAGTAGGTCCAGATGATCACTGGGTAACCTGGCTGTATCCACGAGGGATCCACTGTTATTCCTAGGTCTCTCAAACCGTTGTTCTGTTTTGGAGGCTTCGTTGTGTTGTAGCAAGGTGGCACATTGATCTTCAGGATCTGTGCTGACTGTTTGATGTGTTGTGAGACTGGCTTCATCTTGAGCAGGTGATCGACTTCCTGGTTGACCAAGACCGCCCTGACGTTGTAGTCAGCGACCAGGTGCAAAAATGCGGGGACGTCCTCTGGCAGCCGGTTCTGATCCATCGGAGCGCAAGGAATCACGACAGCACCGAGGTTGATGCACGCATGGACGGCAAAGACGAACTCCTCCGAGTGCGTGTACATCAGTATGACATGGTCTCTCGGTCGGATCTTGACCTTGTTCTTCAGGTACATCGCTACCGCAGCAACCCTCGTGTCGAACTTCTTCCACGTGATGCCCTTGCCCTCTTTGCCTTTAGCGTCAATAGTACAGTAGGATAGCTCTTCGGGTTGCCTTGCCACTCTCCACTGGATGAGGTCGGTAATGGTCCTGAAATTGTTGAGTGGTGTGGACGTGCGGTCATCGATGACCACCTCGCGACGATCGATACCGGAATACTGCTTATCGACTGGTCCCAGCACCTCGGCTCGAGACTCGGCAGCAATATTGGACCAGATGCCGCCTATCGGGTCGACTCCGATGGGCAGGTTGAGGACTGCGTGCTCGACTCCAAACTTCACATGCACAGCGGGGAGGTTGCCCAGGTCAAACTCCTTCCGACAGAGCATGTTTCCAATCTCCTTGCGGCCGTTCTTAAGGACCCTGGGGAGCGAGTTTGGCGCGGTGATCAGCACACAATACACGCGCAGATGGTGCTCCTGCATCAGAACATCCATGCATCTCTCGGACAGGGAGTCCAAGAGTGCAGTGTCTAGTTGCCGCGGTGGGCCACCAGAAGGTCCTGGCGCCGTCGAAGCCGAAGGGGATTCCAGAACGACGACCGGGAGGTGCTCCTCGTTGACAAACACGTCGAACGCAGAGCAGTCGAAAATCTTGGGAATGTTGCGCATGATGCTGACAACAAGGTGCTGCACGAAGAAGTACCGGTATTCGGCGATCTCATGACCGTGCTCGACCCATTCCACCTTCTGCCTGATCCGGTCCTCGTACAGTCCGAGAACGAAGACTTTGCCCTCGATAATGGTACCTAACAATCCTGTCCGCAAGAACTCCGGCTCCACCGGGGTTGGCGTCGGGTTCCCAGGATCGAACTTGTAGGGCCTGGCATGGAATATTTGCTCCGTATGCTTCGGAAGAGCCCAGAACCCACCGGACAAAGACGGAGAGTCCACCCAGATCTCACCGATGGAGTGGGGGGAGGCCAGCAGGCCAGTCTCTGGGTCGACCACAGACAGGGTCGCGTCAGGTATCGGGTAGCCGAAAGCCCCGACGCGCACGGTAGTAGAGTCGCTGGACTTCTTCCTCGCCTCGTCGCCAATCGCAACCACGAGAACCTCGTTGGATTTCAAAGCTTCTCTGTCCAGGAGGACCTCGCTCAACTCGTTCTTAGCGCGATTCTCCGTCACATTGGTCGTGCCGCCACCAAGCAGACTGCCGCCAAAACCGTTGGAAGGTTTCTCCCTCTCCTCCCTGGCTCTTTCCGCCTCGGAATCTGTGTCCTCCTCATCTATGTCCAGCTTCAGAGGGCAACCCATGCGCTCCTCCCCGCCGAGCCAGTCTCGAACGCTGATGACCATGCCTCCGTGTTCTGGGAGACAGAGCATAGGCGCGACCACTTCTCTAGCCCTCGGGTTTCTCAATGGCCTCAGCCACCGGTCCGCCAGCAGCTCATGGAACTCACAGTCGACTGTGACGGTGTCAATGAGACAAAGCTTTACTGACTGGAAATTCGGCTCGGTCCCCTTCTTGTAGTTTCGGGTTGTCATCGGATCTTGCTGGTAATTATAAGCAGCCCGTTTCAGGCCCGGGTAGTCGGCAACCATCAGCGTGGCTCTGTACTTGGTGATGAGGTGAGCGTAGAGGCCAGGAACCTCGACAGCCTTGTTCTCCAGCCACACGGTCGTATGTCCTCCATAGACCGTCAGCAAGACGCCTAGTATCATACCGATGCCCTGGCGCGGATCCAGGTAGGACAGCAATATCTCACTGCTGGCGCCACCTCCAATCAGCCGTCCGTTCTTATCGCGGAGTGATGAGCTGAAGGTGTCGCCAGGTGAGTTGCCGGGCACCTGTGATACTATGGCGCTCAGGCAAGCCATTTGGTGCATTATGGTGCGGTGGCTCAGGACAACTCCTCTCAGGTCCCCAGTGGGAGCCCTAGAGAACTCGACGTAGGCCAGGTCTGGCACGGACAGTGCCGGGGTATCGTCCTTCTTTTTGGGGTGATAGCTGCCGAACTCGTTGGTCTTCCACCACTCCACCCCCTTGGGCCACGTGAGTTTTTGGATGGTGATGTCTCTCTGGAACGCCTTCAGGTTGTTATCGGTAGTCAGGGCCAGGTGGGCCTGTGTAGACGTGAGAATTAGGTTGAGTTTTTGGTAGTCCTGTAACTCATTGATAGGGACCGCCACGACGCCGGCGATGAAGCAGCCGAGGAGCGCGATGGCGAAGTCGATGATCTCGGAGTCGCGATAAATAAGCGCGACCCGATCACCCCTGTATAACGAGCTCTTATCCCGTATGACCTGGGCGACCTTTTCTGCCCTCGATGCTAACTTATCCCAGGTTATAGAGGCGGTCTCCTTGCCGCGATTGTCGAGAACCCAGTACGCTGGGAGCTTGGCAGACGTACGGCCGCGGTGGCGCAGGACCGCTGCTATGTTGTCGAACTGTGACATCTGGACATTGGAGTCGTGCGGGTCGTAGATGGCAAAGGGGACCTCGCGAGGTTCGAGAGGCAGCTGGTATTCGAGGGCCTCGGCGGTCGGCAGGTCGCTGGCGGTGAGCATTGGAGGCGCCATGGCGGCGGTCGGGGAGAAGGCGTCACTCGAGGAATATCGCTGTGGGCCCCCATATTGCTCCGAGGGGTTCTGGTCGTAAGCCTGCTGGCCGGCGAAATCAGAAAAGTAGCCCTGCGAGTCCAGCAGTGTGCCGGTCCTGCTGTCGTAGGGTGTCCGCTGCTGCTCATGGTCCCCATATCCACCTTGGTGTTCTGGGTTGAAGGCATAGTCACCCGACGCCATTGTAGGAGACCTGGTCGACTCGGCCATGCCCAAGTCTTGTCCTGTGCCAAGGAATAGAGAGTCGCGCTGGCGCAGACCAGGGCGGGAGTCGGCAAAGGTGCCGCCTGGGGCCAGCAGAGAAGCTGGGTGTTGTTCGGGGGGCAGAGAGTAGGGCGACTGCGAGCCTCCGGGGCCGGACGGAGAAGACATGCCGGTACCGAGGGCGGGGGAGTTTGGACCGCTGAGGTCTGGGGAGTTGGCACTCAGAGCCGCAAGGGCGCCTGCTCGTGTGCCATCGTTGGAGGGGTGGGAGGAGCTGTCGGGAGAGTGGATGCGCAGGCCGGAGTGCTCCTGCGGAGCAGCACCGTACTGGGAGAGCAGTTGTGTCCTTCGCTTGTGGTATCTAGCAGCGGGCGGGACGAGTTAGTATTGCCGCACAGCATGGCATCGTATGACACGAGGTGTGGGAGTCGGTCGCGGGACGAGAACGTACCCCTTTTGTGTGATATCGCCTTCCTAAAACACGACAATGGGCACGGGTCAGCAGCGGCGCGGCAGAGAGTACACAGGAGCGTCAACATACCTCGAGTTCCTTGTCCAGCTCCTCCAGGCGGTCCTGCAGCTCTGGGCTGAGTTCTGGCGACATGGCGTGTGGACAGCACGGTGGCTGTGGCGCTGAAGCCCGTGGTGGGCGTGCTGCAAGGAAGGGTGGACGTGTGAGGATACGGGCTTCGGCGGAGGATGGAACAACAGTCTGAACAGGTCAGGTGTATGTGCGGATGTGTATAGCGCGGATACACGGCAAGGGCCCAAACAAACGTTGGACCTGGCTCGGCTGTTGGCCGGCGACCCTGGAGGAGGTGCTTCCGACCGGCCGGGCAGAAAATGAAAAGTCAGACCGTACTCCGTATCGCAGGTCGTCCAGGTCGAGGGGGTTCGATGCGGAGGTGTCGTGTTGCTCGGGGCTTGAAGGGCCGTTGCACCTTGCGACGGCTTGGGTGGATAGATAATCAGGATAAGGATGCGATGCGGGTGGGCCCTTGGGCTGTGGCTACCTACAGTGCACGGTGCTGAGGTTCGTTCGTTGATATGGCTGGGCCCCCGCGTGGTCAGGACTCAGGAGGAGCAACTGATACCGAGTAAACAGGACAGGCCAGAACAGGGCAGCTATCCCGCAATATCTCGTGACGTAAGGCGGGATTCCATCCAGGGCCATGTCCTGCCCGTCCCTCCCCGTCTGCCCGTTTGGGCATTTCTTGGTTTGGGCGTGTCAGGGGCAGCCAGCGGGCGAGCCCAAGTCGGGTTAGACAAGCCTGACAAGCAGCCGAGGCGGCGAGACCCCAGCAAGCCCAGGACAGTACGACCCCAGATACGAGGTCCACGCGATTGTGGGGTCACCCTGTCTTGTCACCCTGGCCCATGCGCCATTGGGGGATCTGATTTTTTTCTTCTTTCTTGCCCTGCCTTTTCTCAACATGGCGCACGTTTCCTCACCACAACCACAACCACAACCACAACCACAACCACAACAACCACAGCAACCACACACACCTGCCGCCCGCTCACCATCAGCAGAGGAGAGGCAACACACCAGTCCCGTCTGTCACCTTCCATCCAGGTCGAGGCTGCCTGCACCCTGGGCCCTGCTGCGTGTCGCTTGCACGCGCCGGGCCTGGGGTGAGACACAACCAACGGTAAGCCAGCCAAAACAGCTGCCCTCTTTGAAGCCTTCTCTCAACGTGATGAGAATCCTTAGCATTTCACAGACCTGTTCTGAAACCCCCTGTTGATAAAATGCATCAAACATCTCCTGATCTACTCTCTACCCCTCAACACCACATTGCCTCAGACTTGACTTGGGATCAATTCGCTGACATTGTGACAGCTGAACATCTACTACTTACTGCCTGTCGGTGTACTGCTGTGTGCTTGTCTTTTTTTTCTCACCTTCCAGTTTGTCTTGGGGACCGTCGTCTCAGTTGTCTCTCTGACAAAGCACCTGTTGCCTAACAATTGGATTCACGAGCCGTCCTCCTTTGTATGTGAGCTCAGAATAAATAGTGATGCCCTTTTCAAGAAAACCTTCCGGCCGCAGTGTGTAAGGACCCTGTGCCCCGTTGTATGTTGTATAAATGTCCCAGGCGCGCTGCCCCATCTGCTTTGTCCCGCGCCGATTTCTCCATCCATCTGTCACAGAACATCTGCTCCAATATCCTCTCGGCCAACGCAAACCTTTGGCTCACAGCAAAGCCTGCCGCGCGCAGTCTTGAGCACAAACACCAACAACGACTCTATAGTCCACCCCCAAGGACATGGCCTCACGGCCGCAGGCCCGAAATGCAAGGTCACAGCCTCCTGCTCGGCAAGGCATGTATATGCCCGGGACGAGGTCTTCCCCTTTCGCAAGCGCCAGGGTCCCAGGTCGAGTTGTGCCCATCCCTCAACATATTCGTCCTTTTCTAGACTTGACACACGTGCCCACCGAGGACGGCTTCGTACCGAATCCTAGTCCCGGAGCCAGAGACGATGCGAATGCCGCCGACGATTATTACTACAAGATCCGTCGCCTCCCACCGGTTAGGCACCCCGCCACCAACCGTGTCCTCTCGGCTTACAGTGGTGTAGAGCTCAAGGCCGACTTGAGGTTCTCTGGGCATCAATTTGACGAGTACATCTTCCACGCGGCCAGGCAGGGAAGAGCCTTCATGTTCAGAGTCGAGAAGCAACACACCTTGCTGGGCTATCGATATCCACGTGGGCATGAGAGCACCCGGTGCAGGTTCGCGAGATGCCCCATCGGCGGAACCATAAGATCTGGGCAGATCCGGGTCTGTATTTCAGAGTTCGCCGACCCCCGTAACGAAATACTAGACCCGTACCACAATGCGGGATACGCCCACCTTTACTGCTTGGAGAAGTACTGCAACCTTCCCAGCCTCCTGGCCGAGACCACCATCACTTTCCTCCCGGCCGTTGAGCTTGCCAAAGAGTTGTCGTACCCTCCGGCCCTGAGCATCGCTGAGCGCGATGCTTGTGCAGCGTGGGCGCGCCATGCACGTCAGTCCTGGAGGGACTTCAAGAGCGCTTATCCCCTTGCAGAAGCTCGACCAATATACAAACCCTCAGTACATGAGAGACTTTATCACCGTCTCGACCAGATTCATGAGGCTAACGACACGAGGAACAAGCGCGGCCACGATGGGCCTCAGGTCTACACCTATCATCAGCCACGCCTAGGAATTGCTCCTGCAAGACTTCAGGCATCACCATCCGGCATGTCCACCCCCAGCTCCCTCCAGAGTTATGGTCCCCAGGTTTTCCAAGCCGTCCCAGGATTTCCACATCAGCCCCAACCACCAACGTCCCATGCACAGGCATACAACAGCAGTCTCAACATTGTCACGCCGTGCTGGGCTGGCAGCAACCCGACCCGGCTGCATGCAAATGGCGGGGCGGCGGCCCTTGGGCCAAGCTCAGATTATTCTTCAGAAGAGCTCGGAGCCCTCATGGCCCAGGACTTTGTTGATTTCCTGAATTCCGCTCTCGAAGAATCCCCCCCGCAGTGGCCTGCCGCACCTCCCGCAGCTGCTTCTCAAGACAGCGCCGGGCCCGAGCCAGGCACTCAGCCAAGGCAGACCCATGAGCCAGGGCAGGTTCATCAGACCCGGCAAGGCAACCACTTGGTTGCTGCTACCAGATATCCCACGCTGGCAGCGGGTCGCCGAAAGTCACGACGATCCTCAGCACCGGCGGTTCTAGGCGCCCAAAAAGCAAGGGCCAGGAAAAGTTTCATGGCAAGTAGGAGGCGCCCAAAGACAAGGGGTATCAGCCGAGTCTGGCCTAATTGAGGTGTTCAAGGGACCCAGAGCAAGGTGGGAAAGCCGTATCTGAAACAAGATCGAACCGAGTCGCTTTTACAACGCCCTTACCTGCTCTGCTGCGTTGTAGGAAGCAAGGCACCTATGAGGATTCCTCTTTGCTGTCGCTATCATTCTCTGACTTGTCGCTCTTTGGGTGCCTCACAGACTGCAGTCTTTCTTTTTCATTTCCGTTTTAGATAGCGTGCACACACATACAGCGAATCATATTTCATCTCTCGATTACAAAAGGATCTTGATGAGCCTTGAAGCTCGTGTAGGGTAAACCAGGTAACGTTTCTCGATAAAAGCAGGATGGTACTTCAAAACGCAGTGTCACTCGACTTGCAGGAATACAAGAATGACAACGTTGAAGCATTGTGTGACGAGGTGAACGTTACTCTGGTTGTTTTTGAAGGGCATGCTGTCAAAAAACGTCCCATCAACGAATTCTCAAAGATCCAAAACGTCAAGTCTTTTATGAGACTGCCCCAGTCTTTAAAGCCAGAACACTCATTTCGATGGCTACAACGTGAAATTTTTCATTTCAGGTCAAGGTACAAGTAACAACGGCACCATGCTTACAACGCCAAGCCATCGATGTCTTTGTGGCCCAGAAGGCGACATGTCTTGCCTTCGCAAAGTTGCACCATCTCCTTTGTCCCATCCAAGTCTTTGAGCAGCTGATTCCTGCCCCTCAACCACTCACTCTTCGCGCTGCCTCCCACACGCAGCACCGTCCATCCAGGCCTAACGGTCTCGTGCAGCTTCTTGATAGCAGCACTGACAAGCTCGCCCTCTCCTGCCAGCATCACACCCTTCAGCCCCACACGAGCCGCTGCAGCAGCATCTAGCAGGCTGGAGTATGCAGCAGGTTGTTTCCGCATGTCCGGCCCAAACGCGGCGATCGTCTGCTTTCCCTGCTCCACATACACGGCATCGTCAAGCAGCGACCCCAGCCTCAGGAGGTTCCACGCGCTGACGCCGTTGGTGCCAGGCTCCGCGTTGTCCGCCGCGTCCTTGGAGCGCACCAGGATGTCGGGCTGGTCGGCTGGGGTGGAGAAGAAGCCATGAGAACTTCCGTCCCAGAACAGCCGGATCTGGGTCTTCTGTAGCGAGTCGGCCCACTCAAGGTGTGCGTCGTCAAAGGTCGCCTCGTAGAGGTCGATCAGGCCAGAGATCAGGTACGCGTAGTCGTCTGCGAAACCGTGGGTGTCTCCAGGGCCTTCGCGGAACACACGCCGCAGCGTGTCCTGCCCGGGGCTGAAGAGTTGTTCGCGGATGAAGCTTGCTGCCTTCTTGGCACTGACGAGGTAAGGCTCTGCGTCGTCATGTTGACCGGCCGCTCTAAGCGCTGCGCTGGCTCGTGCAAGGCCGCCTATCGCCAGGCCATTCCAGGCGGTGACAACTTTGTCGTCCAGAGCTGGTCTCGGTCTGCGCTCATCGCGGTAGCTGAGCATCTTTGAGCGCACTCGATTTAAAATCTCCTCGACCCTTTCTGGGGTCTCATTGACAGATTGGGCTAGCTCCTCGGTGCTCATCTGCACACTCAGCGTGTTCCGGCCCGCGAGCTCACCCTGGATGTCGTGCTCGCTGTCAACGTTTCCGCCGGGTTTGATGTTCCAATATCGTGCACAGATCTCCAACTCATCCTTCTCCAGCAGCGCGTCTAACTCGTTATAATGCCAGACATAGAATGCGCCCTCCCTCTTGTTGCTCTCCGCCGTGGAGGGCGCAGAATCAGCATCCTCGCTCGCATGAATACCCCCTTCTGATGAGGTCATGGGAGGGCTGGTCAGGTATTTCGCAACGTCGTTTGTGATGTCAAGAAAGATTTTGTCGCCGTTCAACAAGAATGCGTCCAAGTAGAGGGGCAGCAGCTGAGCGTTGTCATAGAGCATCTTCTCGAAGTGCGGAAGCGACCAATCTTGCGTAACTGAATAGCGAGCAAAGCCATTGCCGACCTGGTCCTTGATGCCGCCGCGTGCCATTTTTCGCAAGGTATGTAGTACCATCTCACGGGCATCGGTGCATGCATCCTCTCCTACTACATCTTTGACTTCTTTCCCAGACGATCCCAGGCGAATAAGATGTGTAAGATTGGCCGGGGTAGGGAACTTTGGAGCCTCCCCGAAGCCGCCGTGGGCTTTATCAAATTGGCCTTTATAATGCTGCACCGACTCGGTGAGAAGTTCCAAGCTCGCGTCATTGCCGTCTTGGTGGTCTTCATCGACCCTGGACTGTTCGGCAAACCTCCTCAAAGCCTCGGTGATCTGCTTCCCACTGTCCCTAACCTTGGCCTCATTCTCCACCCACATCCTGCTCACCATGTTCAAGACATCCCCAAAGGTCATGCTTCCGTGATCGTCAGAGCCTTCTCCAGGCCAATAGGTCCCTCCAAAAATGGGTTCAAGGTCAGGCGTAACGAAGACATTCAATGGCCATCCGCCATGGCCAGTGGTTGCCACAACAAAGTCCATGTACTGCCTGTCAATATCAGGACGTTCTTCTCGGTCGATCTTCACCGGGATGAATTTCTCATTCAGCAGCATAGCAATGCCAGGGTGATCGAAGCTCTCATGCGCCATGACGTGACACCAGTGACAAGCACTGTACCCGATGCTCACGAAGAGCAGCTTGTTCTGGCGCTTGGCCAGGTCGAGTGTCTCGGGCGTCCACAGCTGCCATGCTGTCGGATTGTCTTTATGGGCACGGACATAAGGGCTCTTGCTCTGGTCGCATCGATTCGACAGGGACACCATGTTGAGGCTGGAAGGCCCCTTTAGACCGCTCTTGCTGGGTCAAGCTGCGCCCTGAGAGATCCCAATGGTCCAGGAGCGTGCCGAGGCGTCCGTAGCTCCAGGGCGGTCGCAAAACGCATACGCTCGGGCTAACCACGTGGGACTCGAGGTTTGCGAATCCAGGACTTTTCCAATGCCGGGTTCAAGCTTGATAAAGATCCTAGACCATGGCCTGCACGTGTTGAGCTGATGGTCGTCGACGTCGACTCAACTGAGTGGTTCTCGTGCAGATTGTTGGCAGGATCGCGGTCCGCCACCAGAGCTGCGGCGCAATTGCTGTGTGAGGTCATTGACCGCTTTCCCTTATTGGCGCATCTCAGCCACCACGCAATCAAAGCTGCAGGCAACGTCAGTCGGTCAGGACACCGTCCAACGCGCTTCAACATTGGCCGACAAAATTTAGAAATGTCTTTGCTAAAGCCTGCTCAAGTGGCATTGATGCTGCTGGGCTTTACAGTATTCTGCTTGCATGTGCTTCAGCTCTTCCACCTCCTACTCAAGTACTCGCATGTGCAATCACATCATCACCACCACATCACCACACCTTCAAAAGGTTTCCGCATACAATCTGATGACGGAGGCCTAGAGCTCACCCAATTGGATTGATTGAAAAATCAATCACCACAGACCATTTACCTAGCGATACTACACTCCCGTGGAAATATATTTTATGCGGATGTCTTTTGCAAAGTTGTCCTTTGCAGGCCTTGCCCAACCGCTGTCCCCAGGCAGGAAAGCACAAGATGAAAGGGGCAGCCGAGCAGCGAGGGCTTACTCGGGAATTGTTTGTCTCCGAGCCTTAGGTACTTAAGTACTCAAGTAGGCATTCGGCAACCTCAACAGCAGTGCTAAGTACCTAGGTACTCTGGACATAAGATCCAGCGTTTGCATCCAGTATAAACCCCATGTTTCACTCCCTTCAGCCCCACCAACAATGCAAACCATCTTTCGACCGAGACCTGGACCTGACTTCATGGTCACCGTATTTCCCATTGATGCGCACAGCCCGAGGAGACCAGTTGACCTCGCACGGCAGTCCCTACCTTCCAACCCAGGATCTCGGGACAGTCCCGTCCAGAACAAAAGGCCACAGACTACATTTCTATACATTGGCCGGCTCTGACTGCATCTATTTGACAAGATGAGGAACAAGCTCACCGTCATCTTTTCCATCGCGCTAGCCGCGCTGCTTGCTGTTGCAATGCAGCCCGACTCCATCGACTCCACCCCGGCCTTGGCTGACAAGGCGACGGATGCGTACGGTTGCTTCAGGCAAGGCGAGCTGTGGAAGGACTTGGGTACAAACCAGTCTATCTATGCTGCCTACGATGAACAATGGTGCAGATACCGTGTCATGATGTGGTCAGTCGGCAGCACGGTGAGAATATGATCAGGCACTCCTCAATCTATTTGATTTCCAAGCTGATCCGACAATTCTCAGGACAACCTTTGCGTCCGCTATTCGCCAATTCATCACGCCTTTAAAGTGAAATGGGTGATCACCAAGGTTCCTCACGGACAAACCAAGGGCTATGTCTCCCATGTAGGTGACTTTTTGATTCCCCTGCATCTTGGCGCTATTGGTCCCTATTGTTCCGAATGGCACCAGATCCTGGATATTATTACTGAATTCTAACCGAATTTACGTATACCAGGACGTCTGTATCTGCTTTCTTGAACAAGTTCTAAACCTCTGCGCCAAAGGCGGAACCTTGGACTTGATGTGTGGTCCTGGAACGGATGGAGGGGGTAAGTTGATTTAAAACGAGCCTCGTGCAAACGAGGTCTGACACCTTCCGTGAAGGAGGCGCAAGCATGCCTAAGCAAATTCTACACAATGTCGAAAACCTCATTCACACTTACCATTTAAAGAGGATCCGTACTTGAGTACTGACTTGTTCACAGACGTCATAGGAGCTGTGGTCACCGCCGATCCCCAGAGTGCTGTCAACTGTTACGGCTGAGACAGCGAGAAGTGCAGACATGGCCCGGTAATCCGGCACAAGTGGAAAGCCGAGTTCACCAGGGTGGGCACAGTACACTGATCTGAGTGCCTGCAGGCAGGTCTCCTTCGAAAGTTTCATGTCGGGTTGAGATAGTCTTTCGCCCAAGTGGAATTTCGAGAATCTGCCTCTACTGCAAATTCATATCCCAAATGACCAGTCTTCACTGCGTCAGCAATCCATGAATGCCGGCTTGGGCCGCGTTTCTACTTGGCTACAAACATCACCATACTCAAATTCTGTGCGATCAATATCTCTTCCGCAGCCGCTTTTGACGTCTGTTTTGACGTCTCACTGAGGGCCTCAAACTGTAGCACTTGAGTAGGTTTAATGCGAACCTTTGCCTTGTATTGACTTTAGCCACCGGTCCGGTTCCACTGGCAACGTCGTTGAGACATCTAGGCCTCGTAACACAACGACTCTTAAACTTCTGCGACGTGCGCACAACATATGTGCTGACTACGAGGAATAAATACTGTAACCCTTCAATCTGTTGTGTTACCTTCCATTTGCGTTCAAACAGACCGGAGGCCAACGTTTTCGTATCTCAAGAAATCGAACAGCTTATGGTGTAGCGTTCTCGAGCCACAATTCCCCATCTCAGTCTTTATAAATGGCACGTGCCTAGAGTCTAGACATAACACTTGGCTTTAGAGGAGTGCAAGAGATATTTATTAATTCTGTCACATCTACCGAAAGCCCTGTATTTCTCTTTCGAGCTCCTTTAAAACTTACCGTACTAGAGGAAGTTACATGGGCCAAGATTCAGACACGCGCGAGCGGGCTGTGACGTCCCCTACTTGAGAAGTTCCTTGAGCAGACGCAGGGAGGTCAAACGGTCGTGAATGTCAGGAACCTGTCTACCCATCACGGCTGCGATGAGCTCGTCGTCAGCACCGTGAGAAGCTAGGTCTAGAATCTGGTCATCGTCGTCTTTGGTCCATTGAACAGGGGTGTCCGCCTCACGCTTCATCTCTGCGATCATGGAAGAGAGTTTGTCGTTAGCCCGAGCCAGCGACTCTTTGTTAAAGGGGCAAAACTCGACGGTGCAGTCATACGCGGGCCAGTAATCCCGGGGGAGGAACTCGGCTTTGTTGACATCCACTTCAAACTCAAACTCCATGCCGGTAAGCTCTCTTTCGAGGTTGAGCTCTAGCTCTTTCTCGAAGTCAGAACTACTCTCGTCGCTTTTGTCACTCTTGTCAGCGTCATCAGCGGAGGTAATTGCACTCAGCTCTCTCTGGATCTGCCTTTGTAGCACTTCATCTAAGAGTTCATCGAAACTGCAAGCCCCGTCGTCACCGTCCGGCAGACAAGCACCTTCGTAGCATATATTGGAGCAGCCAGGGCACTTGGCCAGGTTGACAGTTCCGGCCGACGAGTTGTTTTGGGGACATGCTTCTTGTGTGCACACACCACGACGTGCCTCCCACTCTCCCCGAGGCAGAGCCATGGCGACTTTCCGCAAGTGATGAGTCTCTTCGAAGCGGGTGGGAAGTGGACGAGCGAGAAAAGAAGTGCATTGGACCTGCTCTGTGCGCGCCACCACACCGCAGATACAATAGTACTCCACTGTAAGACACATGTTTTTCGTCCCGCCTGGGCTTTCCGTCTTATGTGTCTTACTTTGGTGAGGCTAATAATTGTTGCTTGTGGTTGTGACTGTTGGTGGTGGCTTGATGAGCAGATAACCGTGATGGCCCATAAGGACTCATCGGACTTATAATAGAGGCCCACGATGCATCCGAAAGGACAATTCCGCACAATAAGCGTGCCTTTTGTGCGCTGACATGGTCCAAAAACAATGGCATGTTTCTTTGTGTTTTTGTTGAACCCTCTGAGCCATGGACAAGTCGCGAGGTAGACAAAGACGATCAGATCAGGTATTGTTGTGAGAAACAATCGATTGTATGATCCCGAGTGCAAAACTTAGTGCTTCACGATTGCAGGGTTCTGAGAGGAGGCCAGGACAACACTTGGCGAGAGCGGAATCGCTGCCAAACCTTTTTGTCTGCCTAGGTAGCATTCTAAGGCCTGCGGTGTTTGATATACACCCTCGTGCTTGACCCCCATCCCGCCCTATAGGAAAGGTCAGCTCAGTGGGCCCCATGAAGATTTTCAAAAGTTGTTTCTCCCTGTCGTGCTGGGAATATCGTTTTGAGACCGGTCAGAAGGAACCAGTTGACATCTAGACCGCACGGAACCAGAATCTATCAAAGAAGGTGGGGCGGTTCGTATTGAAGTCGTGCAGGCTCGGGTCTGGGAATGCTAAGATGATGTGGCTGGCAGGCACCGCGGGGTTACACCAAAGCCAACTCAGGCTGCTCAGGTGGGCTTGCAGCCTCATGTTGTCTGTTGGGGGCGGTTAGTTATAGCAATGTTTCATTGAGCCCAGGTTGCCAGGTGGTGGATCGATCGACTTGACGGATGCTACCCAAGCCCGTGGGCTGCATGGGTACTTCAGTACAGTACTTCAGAGGCTGCACGAACATGACGGATGCACTGCTGCAAAGGACTGACGGGCGCGTGGTCGTGCAGGCGTGCAGGCGTGCAGGCGTGATGCTCACCGACGTCTCGGGATGGGGCAAAACACGCATTCCGAAAGTGAGACAGCGCTATTGTAAGGGCACATGCCAATTTTCCCATTGATCAAACAGTTCAAGTTATAATATGGGTACGCAGTAGACTCTCATGTTGCTGCACGTGCTCTGCATGTCTGCATGTCTGCATGTCTGCATGTCTGCATGTCTGCAGGTCTGCAGGTCTGCAAGCGCTCTGCTCAACAAGGGCGGTGCGGCGCGGCGAGGCGGACCAGGGGCCCACCCAAGTCGCAGCGGTCGGCGAGCCCGACGCAACCATCCCAACCTACCTAGGTAGCCCATGGTGTGCATGATGCACTGGCAACAGAGATCGGCTTGCTGGTCACGGGCTGATGATGGGACGACCAAGAAGAGAGAATGCCAGCGACAGGCCAGGCCAGGCCAGGCCAGACGTGGGTTTTGGGATCAACGAGGACAGGAACTGATGGTGGGGTTCGGTCCGGTCGGGTTGGGTTGGGGCACTGATCAAACAGCTTGGGGGAGGGGGGAGGGTGCTGAGGCCCCCCGATGATCAGGTACCGTGGCTCCGTGGCTGGTGGGTGGGCGTTAAGGTTATCTATCGCCTCTTTCCCCATATTCTCTGGCCACAGGACGCCACGGCTCACGGTAAACGGTAGCTTCGGGCGTGGAGGCATTCCGTCATCCTGCACTGCTCCATAATTCTCTTCCCTTGCCGATCTCATCTTCGAACGACCCACGGACGTCTCCCCCGAGGAAGCACGAAAGAGGAAAGAGGTGCAATACAATTTCCTTTGCCAGCTTCCACTTACTCCCTCCGTACAGCCAATTGGTTGCGCAGCATTCCAGGCCACTCCTGCCTGCGGCTGGGCTGCTGGGAGGCTCACGCTGCCGTCAACGCAGCAAGAGCACGTCCCGTGCCCCTGCCCCTGCCCCTGCCCCTGCCCGTCAGCCCCGTCAAGCCGCAGCTGCACCTGCTCCTGCACCTGGCCTGCGCCTAGCCTGCACCTGCATGGCAGCTCCCTCCCTTGTCTCGCCAAGCTGCAGCCATCGCCAAACCTGCGCTGCGTGCACACATTGTCCATTCTCGCCATTGTTCGACCCCAAAACACGAGAGGGAGGGTCTCGACGGCCCCTCATGTTCTGAGGACCCGAGGCTGTCACCATCCATCTGCCTCTGGCCTCTGGCACACCTGCCAGCCTGCCAGCCCGGCCCGTGTGTCCCCACCACCGCATGGTTTCTGTCTCTGCCTCTGTCTCTGTGTCTGTCTCTATATCGTTAATTACACCGCAGCAAGGGCACTCACCGTCACCACTCGGGCTATCGGACGGAGGGAAACACACCCATTCCACGGGCCCGCGCCGGAGATCTTGGTCGATCACAAGGGGTGAGACGCCTGCGGCGAATGCCACCGCAGCAGCCACTGCGACGTGCGACTGCCACTGCCCAGCACCGACCGACAGACCGACTGCAACAACACGCGACACTCTGCCATCGCAACCACGCTGCTTGCCTCCCGATTGGGGAGCCTGCTCCGGCGACAGCCATTCCTCTCGCCCCGGCTCCCAGGCTTGATCCGAACCACTCTCTCTGCCTTGTCCGGCGCCGCGCTTGTGCGTGTGCGTGTGCGTGTGCCTGCACCTCGTCTCCCGTCTACCGTCTCCCGTCTCGTCTTGGGACTTCTGCTTGGGTGCAACCAGCTGGGGGTTAGCGCTGGTTCTCTGTCTGGTCGCATGCAGTTCTTGACTTCTGGAATCCCCGGCTGCGCTTCCCATCTGGCCCACTCGCTCCTCTGCTTGCTTTCTCGCTTCGGCCAGGGAATTGGACCTTCTTACACCACCCCAACTGCCGTGTCCGCAACACAAAACGACACCATCCCTCCCGCACCACGCCCGATATCAGCTGTCGCCCTGTCGCCCTGTCGCCCTGTCGCCCCGTCGCCCCGTCGGCCTTTCTGTTGTTCAGCCCCCACGCCTGGCCGGGTCGGGTCGAGTCGGGTCGAGTCGAGTCGAGATCCCAGAGTCCAGGCCACGCGCACGAGGGTCTGAGGTCTCCAACCCCAGCCGGGGCGCACAACAGCGCATCGGGCTATACCTGAGTCTCACAAGACACTGCCTCCGGCCGCACGACGTTATCATAACGCGGACGGCGACACAGGCACAGCGCCGAAAAGTGGCACCATCGATCAATCTCGACCCGGGCCACCTTGGGCCACCTCGGGCCACCTTTGTATCAGCCGCCACGCACGTCCGCGGTAGCAGCACAGCAAGCAACATTGCCGTCGACGCCAGTCCTTTGTCTCTCCGCCTGCATCTCCGCCTCGCCTCGCCTCACCGTCTACATAAAGCGAGTTCGTCCCATCGCCGTGACATCTTCGCATTGGGCGGACGTGCCCTCAGCCGCGGCTCTTGCAGCCCCGCGCAAACCCGACAAGTCGGTTCCGCGTGATGGCGGGCGAGGGGATGTGGAAAGGAGTCGCCGGCGACGAGTCATCAACCTCGGCTGCAGTTGCGCCTGCGGCACCTCCGAAGCAGAAACCCGCCCTGCAGGTCATTGTGCTGGTCAGTCGCTTCTTATTTCCTCCTGTCTGTCGCTGTCGTTGCACAACCTTGTACCACGCCTCATCACATTTCTGTGTGACCTCACCTCGCATAGTTACCCCCCCCCCCCCCCAAATCCCCCCTTCTTTCCATCCTAACGAACCGAGTCGAATCTCGTCACATCTCACAGCGTGTTTCCGCTCTCGCGGTATCATTGCGCTCGTCCACCATGAGCAAACCTTGTCTGCCGCCGGCGCGCACAACCCAACCCCTCCAACGGTTTTCTAGAAGCCAATCCGAAACTGCCTTTCGCGCAGCATCATATTCCCTCTCGAATTTGCTGCGATTTGACTTTCATGCTTTCGCCTGGCACAGGCCGAACCTCGTGCATGGGTAAACCTTCCCTCAAAGTTGCAGTGGGGGCTTCGTCGCAAGCGTTACAATTCGGCGGCGACTTCAGCAGAGACAATGTTCTCCGTTGCAGTCAATCACAGCCCAGGCAAATCACCTGGCGCATCCTCCCACCCCCTTCAGAGAGTACCCAATTCCATCACCACCACCTCCAGAATCTTGCTATTGGCCGAATCGGTCAAGTCGGATCAAGAGATCGACGGGCCTGCAGACTGCCAACGCAGTGATTTGTGGACCATTCAGAACGCTTGGACACGTCTGGCCCGGGGCTATGGTCGCAGTGGATCTCCATGCCCTTTCTCTTAGAGGAGAAATCCATTTTTTTCTTACCTGCAGACAGCAGCAGTTGTTTCCAAGCGCCCCTGCAGCCCTGCCGGGCCAAGCTACAGATAAATCTGGGCTGGGATCAGCCGCACCCCACACTCAGCCTCGTTTGGCCCTGAGCCCGGCTCGTCTCTCCAAGTGGAGGGGCGTGCGTGCCGTCCGCTTTGTTCACTTGGGCTCGGGGCACGCGCCTTCAAGCCTCGTCGTCCGGTCCATTCTGCTACACCAGTCGACGGGCTCTTCTGTTCCCGGCAGGGCGGCGCACCTGAACGGTGTGACACCACCGCTCCGGTCTAGACAGCATGCTAACCAGATGCACAACAGGGCTCCCAGGGTGGCCCCTTGGAATCCAACGTGACGGCGTTTCTCGTACGTTCGATAGCGTCGGGATGGAGGAAGGGCTCCGTAATGGCCGTCGATGCCGGCGTGCACCTTGGCGCCATAACACAAATCCTGCGAGACACACAGCCTCCAGATCTGGGAGAGACCGACGAGCTTGCATTACCATACGTGCTGCAGAGCGGGCCCTTTGCTGGAATGACGGTTTACTCGGCGTCGGCAAAGACGAATGCAGCCAAGATACATGCGGATCTGGTAGACACGTACCTCATCACGCATCCTCATCTCGATCACATCTCAGCCTTCGTCATCAACACCGCTGGACTGTCAGGGCCGAGGCGAAAAAAGCTGGCTGGGTTACCAGGGACGATCCAGGCCCTCAAAACGCACATCTTCAACAACATAATATGGCCCAACCTATCGGATGAAGACCACGGGGCTGGTCTCTTTACTTATTTGCGGCTGAACGAAGGCGGGTCCCCGGCCATGGGCAACGTTGATGGTTATCTGGAGTTTAATGAAGGCCTCGCTGTCAAGGTATGGAGTGTGAGCCATGGCCACAATATCGAAAAACACGCACCTCACCGCGGCAGCGGCAACAACACCAGACTCAACAGCATCGACGCCTCATCTGGCCTGATGGGCTTCGGCACTGGCATGCTAAGCCCGCGGTCCGTAGCCCACCACAACGCGAGCCCCAGCCTGGCGGCATTCTACCACCAGCAACCACACTTGATGCCTCATGATCGTGCGGGGTCCGCCATCCCGGGGTCTATTTCGATGAGCGGAGGGAGGGGCTCTGGGGCGATGAACCAAATAGGCGGCGGCCCGAGCCCGACGGAATACGCTTGTGTGTATGACAGCAGCTCATATTTCATCCGGGATGTGGAGACGGGTGTTGAGGTGCTCATCTTTGGCGACGTCGAGGGTGATAGTGTGTCGATGAATCCGAGGAACTTGCGCATATGGCAAGAGGCAGCGCCCAAGGTCGCGACGGGAAAATTAAAAGCCATCCTTATCGAGTGCAGTTATGATGACAGCAGGCCCGCGGACCGACTGTTTGGCCATTTGGCGCCGAGCTTCCTGGTTCAGGAAATGACAACCCTCGCCGAGGAAGTTAAGGCCGCCCGGGTGCGCATTTCAATGGACAAGGGGAGGAAGGAGACGGACCCTCGACGAGAGAACAGGAGGGGCAGCAAGCGAAAACGCGAGGGGATACCTCACGAGGACGCCACGATAGCGGTTCGGCGGCGGGCTTCGCGGGCGCTGGCCAGGCACAGCTCAGACAGTGTCAATGAGCCCGTGAGCCCAAAGACGATGAAGATGCCTCGGTCGGACTCGGGCCAGAGGAGTGTGTCAGTGGAAAGCCCGCATATCACGACGCCAACGGCCGAACTGTCATTGACAGACCTCCAAGGGCGGACGACATCGATTCCCAGCGGTACAAGTGCCCCAAACATGAACTCGGCCGGGACAGAGACCCGGCCGATTGACGGCCCGCAGCTCGAGGGGCTAAAGGTGGTGATCATTCATGTCAAGGACAAGATGGACGACGATGATAGTGTGGAGGATATCATCCTGGACGAGCTACACGAGCACGAGTCGTTCATGGACGTGCCGCTCGGGTGCGAGTGGATCATTTCTGAGGTCGGACAGAGTCTGGAGGTCTGACGGGCTCCCTCGAGTGCGACTTGGTGACCTTGACTAAGATTGTACGATGAGCTTTATGTTTCTTCTCTTTGAAAACCGTATAGTCGGAGCGGTGTTGGTTGTGCCTCCTCAACTTGCCGGCGATGCTCATGAGGAAAGCCAGGGGTCTTGGATATCGGAAATGTGTTGATGATCTCGGGCGGGATGTAGGTTTTTCGCTTGGCCGGTGTCAGGTGTTTTCCGGTCTTGGGGACTGGGCTCATGGGTGTAAGGGAGGCTTGCTTCGTTCTAGGAGTTACGTATACGTAGAAGGAGGCAAGGGGAGATACCACGGGAACGCTACTCGATTGATGCCTGACTTGGGGATGACTCCAACTTGGGAAATATACCGTGAAGCTGAGCTTGATTGTGTTCTTGTTTGTTTTGGTCTAGGCTCTTCGGATGCTATACTCAATTGCGCGTGCGCGTATAGTAGGCTCTCAAATATGCACCTGTTCTATGCTGGTCTCTCGTTTATACAGATCCCGGTGGCCAATTCTATTATATCTTCCCGTCCGCACGGCCATCATCATCCTTGGCTCGCCTCTCCGCCTCGAGCTTCTCGTAACCCTCCGGGCCCCCGAGGTCCTTGTTAAAGTCGGGCCTGGGAAGCTCGAAGCCCTCGATTGTGCGGCCGTAGGTGATGCCGCCCAACCTGCTTATCGGCCGGAGGACCTGTGGCGCCCAACACAGGCCAGTCAGTACAGTGGACTCAATACCGACAAGGACCACTTACGGATGGGTCGATGATGTTCCTATCCTCATTGATGGCGTCCTCGCGGACCCAGAAGCGCGTGCCCTCGACGACGGCCATGGTGGCGTTCTTGGTGCCGGGCCTGCTCCGGCTCTCAAACTCGCGCAGGCTCTCGAGCTTGGCCTCGATGGAGAAGACGGCCTCCCTGACGCGGGCGGGCCTGACGGTCTGGCAGTCGTAGGCCGGGGTCAGGCCGGAGATGGCCCACTCGCTGGAGCCGTAGGGGGCGTTGACGCTGGTGCTGTTGGCGGCCTCGGCAAAGTGCTCGCTGATGATGTTGACGGTGCACTCGCGGGTCTCGGCGAGGTTGTGCAGGGTGTGTTTGGCGGCGGCGGCGCCCTCGAGCGAGGAGGCGAAGCCGATGACGAACAGGGGCGGGTCGTGGTTGACGACCTGGAAGTAGGAGAAGGGCGCGAGGTTGGTGGTCTTGCCGTCTGGGGACACGGTCGACACGAAGGCGATGGGCCGCGGCACCACGGCGGAGATGAGGAGCTTGTAGTTGTTGACGGGGGCCCGGCCCTCGGCGAAGGGGTCGATGGTGACGTGCTGCTTCTGCCCGTGCTCGTGGGCCGCGAGGTGGTTTGCGCCGGAGCCGAACTGCCACGAGGGCTCGGCCGTCTGCGTGTACTTGAAGCCGTCGGGGTCGCGGGTCCAGGCCGGGCGCGAGGCCTCGACCTTCTTGAAGTCTGGGTGCGGGTTGCGCTTGATGTCGGACTCCTTCATCTTGAGGGCTGCGGCGGAGGAGGAGAGGAGCCGGCGGTGGTGTCGCAGGACGGGGGAGGAGGACGAGGTCGTGGCGGTGGTGGTGGTGGAGGAGAGGCGTCGGAGGTGGCTCAGGGACCTGCTGGCTGTGAGTCTGGGCTGCATCAAGATGTGTTACTTCCAATTGAACATGTTGGATTGCAGACCGATAACAACCCTAATTGCGCATCTGACAGCAGGCCACGGCGAAGACATCAATCTCGTCACAGCCCCTCCCCCTCCCTCGCCCCGGCCCAGGGCGTCGGGAGCTCGCTCCCCTCACCCCTCACAACCCCTCACCACCCCTGCCCCCACTATCGGGAGTGATGATGCAATGCTCAACGCTCTGCAACTACCCCGGCAGTACCCGCTAATAAGTCCCTAGGTCCCTAGGTCCCTAGTCTACACAGCTGGTGGCTCTAGACGTGCCTGGATAGAGTTCATTAAGTTAGTTGTTGGACCCACGGGATCGTCACTAGCATGTTGACGGAGTACTAAGTAGTTAAGTAAGTGATTTCGTTTCTGATCCCCATACATAGACAACGTATGTGGTGCCTTTATACAGTGGGAAACGCTCAAGACCCAGCATTTGAAGAATACCATGCCAATAACAGTGCAGAGAGAATACAATAGATGAGTAAGTCAAAGTCGCCATCAGTGGCGGCAATGTAGACAAGGCCCAATGCCCACACCAGCTCCATTCCAGTCTCCATATTTTGCATTGCATATCTCTCTCTGTCCTGCTGAAGGCCACAAGTGCAAGGACTGGACCATTTGCAAATTGGACAGAAATTCGGCAAAAGAATTGGATCTGGATGATGTGCGGCCCCTGTCCTGGTTGTTGCCAGCTTGGCGACTCCAACCCAGATGACAAGGAATGCCTAAATATCTTCAAATGGGATTCTACCAATAAAGTTATAGTTACTGCACTCATTAGACCAGTCTGTGCCACGCGGCCTCCTCAGCCTAAAAGTCCTCTCCGTGACTCCGATGAGGGGCCAGAAAGTGCCAGTGATGCGACTCCACAAGCTGGAAGTCTTCGCTGTCAAGAATGGTTATACTTGTCAAGTGCAACAAAGACAGCATGACCCTACGGACAACACCAGTCAGCTTTCCCATTCTGGTCCTCCACATCAGGCTTTGTACAAAAGCACTCACCCCTGGATCTGCCACGTCTGGATTGAGTTTGACATCGAGACCATCGCAAAACTGGCCGTGTCTTGGGATATGTCTTGTACGCTTCCTGCATTCGCGATGGCATCCCAAGGATTATGAAAAGAAGCAGGATAAGTTCCAGTAGAGGTGTCATTACAGTTATTCAACAACGTTACCATGTTATGTTGTTGCCAATCCAGTTTGCCAGATTTCCAAGACCGGGGGATTTAAGAGTACCGCTGGTATCAGGAATAGACTGAAAGATCCAGTCCCTCCATTCGTGATTGGCCTGGCAATCGTGGCAAGCTTCATCCAAGGTTCCAGATTCAAGGGCAGGAGATCAGTCTTCTGTCGTGGCATGCTCGTGTGCTGAAACAGGTGCCGTGATCACCAGGTACTCGTCAGAGCTGTTGGCACAACTGCCCTTGCCGGTCTCACACGCGCTTCCATCGATGCGGACGGACTCCAAGATGTAGTTAATACCGTTGTTTGCCACGTTGCGACACTCAACATGAAGGGGTCTGTAAAGGCCTCAAAATCTGATACGGATCCTCTAGTACTATAGTAACTAGTCCGCGGTTCCTTGAAAGGATAGCCCCAGCTTTCTGTTTCCCAGGGACGTAACGGCCTCCAGGGCTTGTCACATTTTTACATGACATGTCAGCTGATAACAAAACATCAGGTGACTATGTGTACTTCTGGAGCAAGACATGCTTGTCTTAGGTCGCCTCAACAACCCTGGAATGGAAACGCGCCATCGCAGAAAATGTCTCCTCAGCAAGAGAGGCGGTTTCGCTTCTAACTCATCAGCTAGAGAATCCTTCATTTTTCAGCCACGCAGTGTCATCTTTTACCAGTCAGCTTCAGTTTGAAAGACGAGTAACACCTGTTGCTAGTACAGGGTTTCAGTACCAAACAATCGCTTGCGACACATTGGTTGCCTGGCATCTGGCCCTTGAAGATGGCATCCATTGGGCCTGGAAGTTGCAGCTCCAGAGGACACAAACGTCACTCTAACCTGAGTACCCCGACTTCAAGCCGGAGAGGAGATGCACTCTGCTCCTACCCTAGCCACTCCGACTCATCAATAGCTTTGCCGCACCCGGGGCTCTTTGTAAGAAACGTCCACGGCATGTGTCTCTGCCCATCCTAGGATTTCTGTTCACAGATTCCCAATGTGATATCGAAGTGGGCTCACGACCTCAATGCGGTACGTATCGTTAAATCCATTGGCTACAGGCATTCGCCAAAACTAAAGCTCCATAAAAGACTCCTGCCGGCGGTGCACTCGATAGGATGTAGCCGGACATGCATTGTTGATAGTCGATAAGATAGAGTTGCCAGGCGGCGACTTGGAGAAGCTTATCACCATCTGCGCTGGGTGCCAGTTCGTCCCGAGCTTGAGACGCAGCGATCGGCGCGGCACTACTAGATGGAGTTGGTCGTTACACGCCGCTTATGCTTTTAGTATTAATCGTGCCTGTGTCTCGGAGACCTCCTCCTCAGACTTCCATGATCAGCCTCGGAATCCCCTCACACTGAATATCGACAAAATTGTGCCATTCATCAAGATGGCAGCGAAAGGCAACAGTGGCTCCAGTAGCCATGGAGACATCGACGAGTCCCAGGTGCCGGGAACCGTCCAACTCATCGACATCGACGAACACCTGGCGACTCAGCACGCCAGGGGCCAGAAGGACATAATACTCGTGCCAACCCCGTCTGATGATCCCGAGGACCCTTTGAATTGGTCGCCTGGGAGAAAGCGGCTGGCATTGACATACATCATGCTGTAAGCCTCTAAGCATGATAACCGACACCTGCAAGTTAAAGTAGCTTAAAATTTGGACGTCTACAGGTATACCTGGTTTGTGGGCATGTCCTTGTCAGTAGTCTATTCAGTCTTGGTGCCACTGTCAACGGCGCTGGACGTGACCATCGCGGATCTCAATGCCGGTACAGGGTATTTCTTTCTCCTGTGTGGTTGGGGACTGCTGTTCTGGCAGCCCTTCGCCTTGCAATACGGAAAGAGAATCACATATCTCATCTCAACGGTTGCAATGGTTGTAAGTCTTAGACCTCAGCCGTAAGTGTGGTCAATGAGCTAACTAGGTGTAGGCCATCAGCGTCTGGAGCCCATACGCCAAAGGCAATGGCCAGTGGATCGCCAGAAATATCGCAATCGGTTTCTTTGCGGCTCCCATAGAGGCCCTTCCGGAGACATCAATCACCGACCTCTACTTTGCTCATGAAAGAGGCACATATATGGGCTGGTATGCATGGATGCTGGCCAACAGCAACTTCTTTGCACCAGTCATCACAGGCTTCATCAACGACGGCATTGGATACAAGTGGTGCTTTTTCTTCCACGCTGTGTTTTGCGCCGTTACTTCGGTGTTTCTGTTCTTCTTCCTCGAAGAGACCAATTATGATAGGAAAACGGTTGGTGTGATCGAAGGCGTACAGACAGTGGCTCTCCTTGACCCCGAGGCCACGGAGCCAGCGACCGGAAACAAGTCGCCCCCAGAGAAGAGCTCCGGGACAGATCTAGCCGAAGGCCCAGCCGCAGGACCAAGTACTGTGTACCGACGCAAGACGTACCGGGAGAAGCTTGCACTATGGGACAAGCCTCGACCTTTCATGATGGGCTGGCGGGCTGTTCAGATCCTCAAGCTCCTCTCTTGGCCTGTCGTCTTCTACGCCGGGTTTTCCTACGGGACGTATCTCGTGTGGTTCAACATCCTCAACGCCACGGCCTCCATCATTCTCGGAGGCGAGCCGTACAACTTCAGCCCTGCAATCGTCGGCCTGTCCTATCTGGCATGCATAATCGGGGTCACTGTCGCCTCGTTATTTACCGGTGTCTTCAGCGACTGGTTCGTCATCCGCCTGGCGCGCAGGAATGGCGGCGTCTTTGAGCCTGAGCAGAGGCTTTGGCTATTCGCAGCAGCCACAATCATACTACCTGCCGGCTCGATTCTCTGGGGTGTTGGCGCAGCACATGGTGTACACTGGTTTGGGCTGCTGGTTGCCATGTTCATGATCTCGATATGCAATGGCTGTGGAGTCACTTTATCGATCTCATACTTGGTAGATTCCTACCGCGACCTGTCAGGCGATGCGCTGGCGACTTGCATACTGATCCGCAACACCATGAGCTTTGCCATCGGGTATGGAATCACGCCGTGGTTGGATGCCCTGGGCTATCAAAACTGCTTCATAAGTGTGGCGTTTGTTGGGCTGGCTGTCTGCTCCGTGTTCCTGGCCATGGTCAAGTTTGGTAAGCCACTCAGGGAACGGAAGAGATTGCAGTATTGGAAAGAGGTGAGGATCCGGATCGAGAAAGGCCTCGTCCACTGAGGAGCGATTTCATTTGCGCATGTTTGACCTCCGGCCTCTGCCAAGGCCATGGCATTTTCTCCTCATTCCAACATGAGTCTGATGGTTAGTTTCAAGATTGTAGTATGAGAGAATTAGTAATATGGCCATAGCAAACGTTCCAGAGCCTTCTAATTAAATATAGTACAGCTGTCTAGAAGCCAATTACTCGTTCGATTCGATCCTCCTGACTGACTTCGACCTTGATATCAGTGGTGACCATTATACCCTGGTTCTCCATCCACGGATCTGTTACGACCTTTCGCTCATTAGGTGCTACCTCGACACGAGCTTTGGTGGGGATACCAGCTCCCAATTCGAGAGCCGGTTCAGTGTCATCTGTAAAGCCCCGTGAGTCGCTCGTTATTGAGAAGCCCGTCTTGCTTCGACCCAGCACCGTGCTTTGAATTTTTGCCATGCGGTCTCCTATCCAGTTTGCGAACCTCTTTGGAACCATAGCTGCGATGATATGATGCATTGCAGGTAGACAGGCAGCTATTAAATAGATAGAAGGCTCGACTACAAGCCATAGGATCATGACGTTTGTGTAGCTCGGTGCCTACAGCACTCGAAGTCAGCCATCAGAAACATAAAAGGGGTAGCCCTATGCCAATGCAGCAAAGAGTAGGCCACAAGTTGGCCGTATGGTCATAGCATGTCTTGAAACCTGTACTAGCTCCCGAAATCTTTGTTATGTAGGCTAGGAATGAGGCATGTTTGTTCTTGAAAGGTAAATACTGTATCCAGAAGCTACTTACAATGTACTTGGCAGTATGCCTTTCGTAAACAGAGAGCCGGACCGCTGAGGCTACTAGTGCCGCGAGGCCGATTCCGAAGAGGAGTGTCAGAGCCCATTTGCGTGTGTTGCTCGCTCTGAGCTGCCACACTGTCGGTAGCGGCATGATAACAAGGACAATGTCGACGACCAGATTGAAAGGCGTTACGCTTCGGTAGAACTTGTCGACATCGACGCACGTGCCTTCCACAGCTCTATCCCAGAAGTGATAGACCGGGTTGCACTGGAACACGGATGTGATGGCAAAGCCCAGCCATTGTAGCGTAACAAAGGCGCAAACCATCCAGATGGCCGCTCTTAGCCGAGTGTCGCTGAATATACGGAGGTAGAGGGCGAGAATGGAAAATCGTGTAGCCGCATAAGATGCAAGCAGGAATTGCAGCACCGCGTATATGATCTTCAGCAAGATCTCGTTCTCCTCCAAGCTCAGGATGACTCGGTCTTCGTTGCTCCAGGACGTCTCCACCTTGACCATTGCCAGTCCCAAACCACATATGGGCATCAGCAGCACATAGGCCACGATGATCCAGAAGTCGTCCCACCAGAACCGCAACTTGGCAATGCCGTGCCTCGAGAACGTTTTCGCGGCGACAATAAAGGTGTCTACAACAATGGTTGCGATGGCAGCCCGCACCAGAGGCCTGGTGGCCTGCCACGAGGTCTGGTCCGACACGAGAGGGCCTTGCTCTGTCGACATGTCGTTGATGTTTGGCCGAGACTGAGTCGCTTCTTGTTCTTCGGTGGGGGTAACCGTTCAGAGGCGGAGCCTCCGCTGAGTCTCTGTGCTCAGATGCGTTGGCGAGAAGACAATAGGAATGGCCTCATGCCTATGTGGCCCATAATCAATCAGGACGGCGAGGAGCGCGGAGGTCAGCGGGATCGAGCTCGTGGGGAACTGTTCTTCAAGTGTATGGGGCTGGAAGACTGTTTTGCCTTGCCCGCCCCTGGGTCCGGCAGCGAGTCAGTTCACCAACAGGGACGATCATTGCCTGGTACCACGGTATCCCAATTCCGCAACAGGATCCGACAGGTCACAAACATGGTGACGAGCCCGTCAAGGCTTGTAATGCACGCCGTCGTGTGGCACACAATGGATAAGGGTGAGGATCACCACAAATACATCCGGGGCCTTCCTTGTCACGAAGCTCAGCCCGTCCAGCCCGCCCTGGAGCCGGAAGTCAAATGTGAGGGCACTGGGGCATCAAACTCGCAAGTAAGGGCTATGTCGGGAGCACTGACCTCATCTTACCCACCAGAAGCTTTCAAAGGATCAGTGAGCACGACTCGGGCGTGGTTGATGCGAGTTATTGGAGGGGGCCAGCCATAATACCACTCTGCTATATTGTGGATGCAACCTCGTGCAACCGTGCGTGGGTTTCGGGGCAGGATTGGTCGATCTCGCCACGCCCACCACATGTGCAAGCCCGCACGGACGAGCAGTTCACGACTCATCAAATCGCCATTATTATGCATGCCCAAGATTGCCGGGTATCTCCATCAGACGTGGACGTGATTTCATGTTTGGTGCGCGCCACGGCTAGCCTACCGGTAGATGTACATACGCGAGTTGGGCGGGTGTTACTTCCGCAACGCTTGGCCATGGTAGGCCATCGCGCTTTTGGCGATCAGCGGCTGTGAAATTCGAGGATCTTGGTTGTCGTAAGCAGTGTGCTGCACCTAGCTGGAGCCCCCGCCCCTTATTATGCTGGTTGGCTGGGTGCAGAAACAGGGCAGCTGAGTGGGCAGCAAACCCACAGCGGAACGACCCGTAAAGTTTGACCCCGTTTCCCACGGACTCTTTTGGGACGGTTCGCAAGGAAGCCGTCGGCGCAGCATTTTGCCCACGTGTAGTTATCAGATGATCTACAAAAAAGCTCACCGGGGGCTGCCGGGATATCGGTGTTGAAATGATGGTTCAGACTATATCGATGACATTAAGTGCACCGATCCGGGAAACCAAACACTTGCTACAGAACGGAGCCCACGATTCCCGCCCCAACAAGGTATCACTGACCCAGGCTATATGCTATGAGACAAGGTCTTCGAGCTTGACCTCCTGTGGCATCTCCGACATGTAGCGAACAAGCTGTCGATACATGACACTGCTTTCTGGAACACCAGCTGCACAGTGACGGGCGTGTTTGCCACGGAAGTTATTACTTAGGAAGACATGGCCACCAAGTAATTTTAGGGTACACCGACTCCATCCACGAGCGATGAAAAGTAGCTGCGCGTAGGAATGCAAGACACAGTGAGGCGCCCAAATCTACTGCCGACCAAATCTAAAGAGCTTTGGTCGTCTCTGCCTTCCGGAGCCGAGCGTCGTTCGATTGACAGCCCGGACGGGAGGTCTAGGCCCCGGAAGTGTGCGCCCGGGCACAGGGGACTCGGCATCCGTGCGACTATGTAAATGCAAATTTGTCTGACGAAACGGACGAATTCCACATGTGTCAGCTCAACACCATCGGTGAAGGTGATACTGGGATGGATGGCCGGAAAAATAAAGATCAGAGAACACGGACCGCCCGTGAAGTGTGAGAGAACGTGATCGCACGCGCATGCGCATGAAGTACAACCCACATACCTAGAGTTTTCACATACCGTGGCTGGCAGATCGATCCTACAATGACATTGGTGGCGCCCTACCATTGAGAATCTCGCCCATGACGTCTCCTACGCTCTTCATGCATGTGGCCCAGCTGCCCAATGGGCGAGAGAGCCGCAGAGACAGAGCGCAGCCGCCAAGAAACAAAAAGCGGACTTCATCTGAATGACAGGAGCTTATGGATCTCTATCGCTTTGCCAAATAAAACACAAGCTTCTTTTAAGTAAAGGGTACCGTGGCTTCGGCCCAGATTGACTTCAGGTCACTTCGCCGCGGAAGATCCGGGCCGAGCTTGAACATTTGCCGGTCATCAAGGCCCAAGCCCAAGCTGAGAATCAAGCATCAGACTGGGGCCAGTCTAAAGTGTCATGAGCTGGATTGAATACTGTGCTGAGATACCTAGGTATACACAAGCGTCCTGCGACACCGTCAGATCAAGGGCTCCGGGCTAAGTCAGGAAAGTTCCAACTCGTCTCTTGTGTAGGTCAAGCTCCTAGGACTTTTTCATGCTCAAGTGATCAGGCGAAATTCGACTTTTGGGTTATTCCTCTTTGGCTCAATTTGTGTACCACCTTGCACGTCGACTTTGAATTATTGTGCCAGTTCTTGAACGGGTTCATAGGACCCTCCGTCAATGCTCGCGATACATGAGATTAGCTGGGGCGGCTTTCTGTGTATGTTGAAGGCTCACTCTGCAATTTTGCAATAGTGACTGGAATATAATCGTTCTCTTACTGCAATTCACACGCCACGGAAGCTGCTGCACGACTACGGGGGTTAGTTTGTGGGCAATATGATCAAGCCGAACTGACCATTGATTGTTTCACTCTAGAAAGGAGTGTGTGATTGCAGACATGTTGGAAACCCGTAAGATATATACGCATGAGCCTCAAGGACTGTCAGAGATCAAAATCCTGGGACCCGAGGCCTCATACGGCCGAAAACCCCAGGGTTGGCAGAGCAGAATTTCTTCCATGGTAAACATTGAGCGGCCACTGCATTGAGCTCGCAACTCATATGTGGGACATGCGAGCCAACATCTACCGTGTGCATAACTATGATCTGTTCTATCAAGTTCTGAATTGTTCAGGATTACCCTCTCTATGAAGTAGTAGACAGATCTGGTGCTCCCGCGGCAGTCCCGTTCGCTGGAGTTTCTCCCAACTCCTTGCTGAGCCGATCCATCATTTTGGCATGGATTTTGGACCCTTTGCATGTAGCAGTCAGCGTGGTTTGGATGCTGATTTGGCCGATTGGGGACGCGGGAGCTAAGGTCCAAGACCATTTCGACGCTTGAGTTGCAGAGGAGATGGACAGGTTTACTCACATCCCCCTTCATTAAGAGACTTGACAATTCCAATGAGGAGCCTTGAACACTTGATCTCGCAAGCCTCCACAAGCTCAAGCCCGCCATCCTTGTCCTCGATGGACCAAAATGTGTGCATGACCACATTCAGAGGACTCCTCAACAGGCAAAATGTCCCCAGCTCGAAGTCTGTGAACTCGTAGTTCGACTCCACGTTGGAGCCCCAGAGGCCCTTTGGTAGGGTCTCGACCAGATCAGTAACCTTGTACGAGGTCGTCGGGCCCAGAGGCTTAAGACCCTCGGGCAACTCTGGCCCAGTCACCTGCCCTAGGGACTCGAATTTCTGCATGTGCGGGTCGCACGAGAGAAAGAACTCATGGTCCTGGAGCATCGCAATCCCCTGCTTCTGGGTGGCCCCATCCGGCAGCTTGGTAGCGTGCACGATCTTCGCGGAGGAACTGAGAACTGCCGGGCATTCAGCGCCAAGCCACGCGTTTGTAGCATAATGTGACGGGTGGAACCGCCCACAAGCTTGCAAGGTTGGGGGGGGGGGGCGTGGTGACTTACAGGACATGCTGCAGAGTGCGATGGTGTGCTGACGTTCCACGGGTCTACTACTGCTTTTGCAATATACAGAGGCCAGGTTCCAACGCCTTTTTGTCGACGCTGTCAACCGTCTCGCTGTTTGGTTTGGAGGTTCTGTGCCTGCGTTGACGAGGAGCCGCCCTGACCAGCCGCGATGCTGTGACGTCTAGTGTGTCATGATGCATGCCCCTTGCTCCTCCGGCCCTGCCCATCGCCCGAGCGCGGAATATCCGGCTGACTACTCAACTACTCAACCTGTCAATCCCAAGCTTATCTCCGACGTCTTCGGTAGATGTGCTGGCTTTGCTGCACCCTGTTTGCCACCCCCACGGCAAGACTTCCGTTTCTGAGTCTACCTAAGCTCAACGTTATTTACCAACAGAGAGAAATGTAACGCATTACATAGGATTGCACACACCTTGATGATCTTGATTGAGGCAAGAAGAACAACACATTTGAGCTGGCAAGGAGCAGGGCCTACAATCAATTCGGGGCAGTTGAACTATAAGAAAATGCGACTTGCTATATACTTACCTACCCTAGGGTAGATAGCTTAGCCCATAGGTGATGAACCTTACCCTAGGGTATAACTGAGACTTTGTGTGATGCCGAATTGGTGGTATAAGAGCATGATACAGTTTAATGCCTTCTTCAAAGTTCATAGTAAGGAACGTGAGTCACAGGATTGACAACCTTGGGAGTTATGCCCATCTCAAATCCAGTCGCACTATACTAGTACGTACATGAATAGCTCCTTTGCTGTTATGTACATGCGCGGCACACTCTATATTAGAAGCTCGACTGAGATACGAAGATATGTTGAAATCAATATAGAATCATATTTTTAAATATGGGAAGTTGTGATCGGTGCTCACGTTAACATTAGAGTGGTTGTATGCCCCCATGTATTATTCATCGCATGTTCTGTGAATCTTCAAAACCCGAACTCTTAGAAAACGCTGTGCTACCCTGCAGAATAAGTGGTTGTATTTGTGTCTGCCCAGAATAAACTAACAACTAGCCTATGCCAGGCTGTGCAGGTATCTAGGTAGTGATAGCACTATAGAACTCAGGTGTAGTCTTCAAGCACAAGCCAGAAGGTCACATGTGCAAGCAAGTGTCTTAAGATGCTCAGGCCCAGACACTGGTGAGAGGCAATTGCCTGGATTATATATTGGCAGCGCCGTGTATGGCTTCGGAACGTATGCGGAATCGAAGCGAACCCAGTTAGAAATCCAGGCAAGTGGAGGAGTGACTAGCAACCCCTCCACTTTCCGCCCGCCCTCTGCCGTTGGCTCGCGACTTCGCGCCCTTCTCCAAAGTAGCCGCTGCGGTCGCCCGTCAGAAATGGCAGGGGCTCGCCCGGCTAATTATCAAAGTAGGGACCTAGGTAATTACGACATGGTGCCGGCCCATTCCAACGTCACGACTCACTGGCAGAGCCTTCCAGATGTTGCTCACACACCCACCCCTGCACATCGAGTACACAAGAGCCATGCCTCGTCCCCGGACAACCTAACTGGCCCCGACTTGCTCTCTCTCCTTCGAAAGTAGAGGTGCAGCCCTCCAGCAGGCCGGCAGTCATGAACGCCGAAAAGACCGCGGTGGCTCGATGCTACGGGGATAACGAATATGACGGAAGTGTCCCGGCCAACCTGGTGCGGAAAGAAGAAGGACGAGGAGACGAGCTCGGTATCGAGTCTGCAAGCACAAGGTCGGATCGGACACAGCATGGGGGAGATGACCTGGAGAATCAGGACCGCATGAGGCCTCAGCACTCCAACACGACCTCAGCATCTATGTGGTCTTCTGAGAAAATGTCCTTACCCCAGGAGATTCTGTTTGTTGCAACTGTCTGTTTGACTCAGTTCTGCAATCGTGCGTCCCCTGAAATCGCCTCACCCACCCACAGACCGTCCACGTGGATATTCAAGTACTGATGCCATGTGTCACAGAGGCTTCATTCTGCGCGATGCTGTTTCTTCTCGATACGGTCGGCGACAGCCTCGGAGTCACCAATCCCGCTCTGCTTAGCTGGTTGGTTGCAGGATTCGCCTTGACCGCAGGGACGTTCCTGATCTTCTCTGGTCGCCTGGGCGACGCTTTCGGCTACAAGCTGATGCTCATGATCGGCTTTTCCTGGTTTTCGCTGTGGTCTGTCCTCGCTGGTGTTGCCGTGTACTCCGGGTACACGCTTTTTGTCTTCGCCCGAGTCTTTCAAGGTATCGGCTCCGCGATTTGCATCCCGAATGCCCTTGCCATCCTCGGCGCCGCTTACCCGCCTGGTCATCGCAAGGCAATGGTCTTCGCCTTGTTTGGTGCCAGCGCTCCGGTCGGTGCTATGATAGGTGGCCTCGTGGGAACCTCGCTTGACTTGCTCTGGTGGCCTTGGAACTTCCACGTCTTGGCCATCGTTCTGGCCTTGCTAACCGTACTCACCTACTTTGTTGTACCTTCACCACGGCCGGCTAGATTGTCACAACGCAAGATCTCACTGCGGTCTTTGAACAACGAACTGGACCTGGTAAGAGTTTCGTGCGCCACACAGCTTAATACCTATCCCACCTAGCTATGCTTCTCTAACAAGTCGGTGCGTAGGCTGGTGCCATCGCTGGGACCTCGTCCTTGATCCTGTTCAACTTTGCTTGGAACCAAGCGCCCATTGTTGGTTGGGAATCGGCACAAGTCATCACGACCCTTGTCACTGGAGTTGTCCTGTTCTTCACATTCATATGGCATGAGTACCGTTACGCTGCTAATCCTCTCCTACCCGCTTTTGATGCCGACGCTGGATTCGTCCTCGGTGCACTCGCTTGCGGCTGGGCCATGTTCGGTGTGTGGTCGCTTTACATCGTTCTCGTCTTTCAGAACATTCGAGGCCTGTCCCCCTTGCACACGGCATTTTGGATGATGCCCGTTCTTGTCTCTGGCCTCCTCGCGTCAGTTCTCACCGGCCATCTTCTCGGGCCAGCAAAGTTCACAGGACCTGCGGTGATGACTATTTCCTTGACAGCCTTTACGACCGGCATGGTCATCTTTGCAACGGCACCAGTGGATCAGATCTACTGGGCACAGACATTTGTTTCAGTTGCAGTCGTAGGTGAACCCAAAGTTTGCTTCCCCAAATTCACCCGCTGTTGTCAAATTATTAGTAGCCATACCTTCAAGTTCTTTTCCGTCACAAGTTGGGAAGACTCCAAATACTCTTGTCACCGAAATAGTTCATCAGAATTGCTAAAAACGAAAATGACCAGATTCCATTCGGGATGGACATGTCATTCCCGGCCGCAACCCTTATTCTATCTAATGCGGTCAAGAAGGAGCATCAAGGGATCGCAGCAAGCCTCGTCGCTACCGTGGTGAACTATAGTATCTCCCTGGGTGTCGGGTTTGCAGGCACAGTGGAAGTCAACGTCAACAACCACGGCAGGACAAAGGCAGACCTCCTTAAGGGCTACAAGGGTGCATTGTACCTGGGTGTTGGGCTGGCCAGCCTTGGGTTGATGATATGTCTCGTCTTCCTTGCTCGAGACCAATGGAGGAATTCTCGAAGGGCCAATGGCCAGAAAGAAACGCCTTCAGTCTCGCCTGGCCCTGAAGCGCAAGCCCCTGCCTAGAAGATTTCGGCCGCAGGCCAAATGTCTGTCATCTCAAAAGAAAACAACCGAATTCTTGATTGCATTTCTCCCACCCCTTGAATTTAAAATAATAGAATAAACGAGGCAACTGTGGAATTTAGGTGCAAGGTCTGCACCATGGCTAGGAAGCGCCTACAGTGCAAACCTCCGACCTACGCGAATGCAAACAACACATTGCAACCAACTAATCTGTTTACGCACGTAAACTGAGCCAAACCACAGGATCTCTATCCAAACGACCGAAATTGAATTTCAGCATCAGCTACGAGTTGAGAAGTACAGTGGTGCACCAAGTCACGCAATGTGCCGCTCTCATACGGCCGGCATGTTGTTCCTCAACCTTGAATTTCGCATGTGCTGCCAACTTTCAGACGGCTGTATTTATCCACCATACAGGTATAACGTCTCCCGTCGTAGGACTCTGTCCCGACGATGGGCTTGGTACTTGGCCATAAGTCAAGCAATTGGGTGGAAGACTGCCGGCTAGGCTAATAAGGAGGGCGAGAGTCCATGGCAGATTGGGCCCTGTCGATCGTGTGCCGAGGCATGCCTTAAGCGTACCCAGCGCGAACCCGGATCTCCGCACTGCACCGAGACCAGCCAGGCGGCAAATCCCCCCTGACATTTAAAGCCGCCGTCTTCGGACATGGCGTAATCTTCCATGACTTTCAAGTTGACTGTCAAATAGTGAGCTCGTGACAACGGCGAACAGGTGCAATCATCGAACTACTTTGACTGGGCAGCAACAATGACCATTTGGAAGTCCCCCCATCCTGATATTCACAGTAAGATCTTGTTCTCCAGGTGGGACCGAAGAATGACGCGCTGACTTTGGTAGTACCAAAGGGTGTAACTACTTGGCAATGGCTCTTCGAATCAGGGGAATATGTTCCATTTGGAAGTACATCCACTGGGTCATTTGGCGCGTATAACAATGCGGTGACCAAGGAGCGCTTGGACTTTTCTCAAGTCAAGGCAAAGGCTATCACCTTGAGCACAGTGCTTGTCAAGGACTATGGCCTCCAGGCGGGTCAGACTGTCTCAATTTTCAGCACCAATACTGTATGGTATGCTGTTGCACTATGGGCAACTGTACGCGTTGGTACGTGATCCCGATGTCTCTAAAGGACAACACTGGGAGAGATGCTTCAGTGCAGTTGCTAATATCCTGAGCAGGGGGCAGAATCAACGGCGCCTCGCCCGCGTACGACGTGGAAGAAATGACACATGCCCTAAAGACGGCCGACACCAAGATCCTGGTGACCCTGCCTGGCTCCATCGAGGCAGCTGTCGCAGCGGCCAAGGCTGCAGGTGTTCCTAGGTCGCATGTCCTGCTCCTCGAGGGTGAAGCACCTGGGTTCAAGAGCATACAAGACCTGATCCGGCAAGGCCAGTCTTTACCACCGGCGGATGTATACCATATACCCCATGGGCAGACGAACAAAGACATATGCGGCTACCTCAACTTCAGCTCCGGGACAACCGGCTACCCCAAGGCCGTCATGCTCAGCCACCACAACATCATCGCCCAGTGCCTCCAGCTGCGGCAGCTCCAGGTCCTCCCCGCGGACGGGCAGTACCGGACGATTGCGGTCATGCCGCTCTTCCACATAACCGGGCTCGTGCGCTTCATCACGTACCCGGTGTTCATGAACGGCGAGTGCTTCATGCTCCCCAGCTTCGACATGGAGACGATGCTGGAGACCATCGTCGCCCACCGCATCGAGGAGCTCATCTTCGTCCCGCCCATCCTGATCCGCATCGTGCGCGACCCGCTGGTCGAGCGGCACCTGCCGCGGCTGCGACAGGTCGTCAAGAGGTTCTCGTCCGGGTCGGCGCCCATGAGCCCCGAGATCCTGCGCCTGCTCGAGGCGAGGTTCCCCGGGACGGGGTTCCGGCAGGGTTACGGGGCGACCGAGTCCACGGCGTGCATATCGTCGCACCCGCCCTCGCACTTTGCCTACAGGTACGCGCACACGGGGGGGAAGCTCGTTGCGAACACCGTGGCCAAGGTGGTTGACCTGGCTGACCCGTCCAAGCTGCTCGGGCCGGGCGAGACGGGTGAGATCTGTGCCCGGGGCCCGCAGATTGCGATGGGGTATCTTGGGAACCCGGAGGCCACGGCCGAGTCTTTTGATGAGGAGCGATATCTGCATACTGGTGATGTTGGTCATATAGACGCAGAAGGGCTCCTGCATATTGAAGACCGCATAAAGGAGATGATTAAAGTCAAGGGGATACAGGTCGCGCCGGCGGAGCTGGAAGACTTGTTGCTTGGGCATGATATGGTTGAGGACTGTGCAGTCTTGGGTATTAGAGACGAGTATGCTGGTGAGAGGCCGAAGGCGTACGTGGTGGTCAAGAGTGGGGTGAGCCCGACCGAGGAGTTGGGCAGAACCTTATTGAGGTATGTTCGAGGGCGCAAAGTCCGCTACAAGTGGCTGGCCGAGCTGGAGTTCGCGGAGAGTATCCCCAAGGGACCCACTGGGAAGCTGTTGAGAAGGCTGCTCAAGGCAAGCGACCAGAAAGCCGGTAGGTCGAAGGGGCTGTGCGTCAGAGACAACAGCGACAGAGCGAAGTTATAGAGCACATGCAAGAAAGGCGATGTTATTGTATTTAAACAGTAAGGGAAATAAGGGAGATGGTATCTAGCTCTAACCCCAGAAACACAACCTGCGCTATGCTATACAAGATCCAGACCCTCACTAAGCAAGCAAAATATCGTACCCATCCCTGTTGATCCGGACCTCGTCGCCTCCCATTCCGTATTTGCGCCGTACCAACTCGAAGATAACCAGACCCGCGCTTGTGGAGGGCACCTGGCGCAGCGCGTTCCACCAGAACCCTCGGAACAACCAACGCCTCAAGGCATTGGGGCCATTGCCCTCCTGCGCCTTGCTCTCGGCGACGCAGTTGGCCCAGGTCTCCTTGTAGGCGTGATAATATGCCCTGAACATCTTCCAGCGCCACTTCTCCCCGGGCGCCTTGGCGTTCTGGTACTTGCGATACTTGCGTGACTGGGCGTCGAGGTACTCGAGGTGTTCCCAGTGCTCCATCTGCACGTGGGTGAGCGGGTGTATGATGACCTGCTGGGCGATAGAAGCCCCCATCCCGGCAAGCATGAGGAATGCCGGCTCAATGGCGTAGTGCGGCCGGATGGTCTTCAGGCGCTGGTCATCGTTGCCATCCCCAGGACGCCTGCTGGACAGGATGTTCACCATGTCGGCACTGAGCTGACCGTAATACCAGGCGACGAAGGAGTAGTATGACTGCGCCTTGACGTACTCGAAGGTGGAGAAGAAGATGGCACAGCCCAGGCTGTCCTTGGCGAAAGACAGCCCCCAGCCGGCGAAGATGCCTCGCAGGCCAATCTCGCGGAGCTTGGCGTAGCTGAAGGACCACATGCTCTGGGGCCGGGTGTTGGCGTCGCTGATGAACTCAGGGCCCTTGCCGCCGCGCTCGAAGCGTGCCTGGATGGCGTCGAGGGGCGCGGCGGCGACGCTCTGGATGGACCCGGCCAGGAGCCCCGCGGTGAAGGTCTCGCTGGGCGAGGGGGGAGGGTAGACCCTCTTGGTGGCCCTGCTGCTCTCCTCGTGCAGGCGGCCGAGGATCTGCAGGTAGCTGGTGTAGAGCACAGCGCCGACGCCGACGTTGGCGATCAGGGGAGGGAGGACCTGGTCGGGGATGATGCGCCAGCCGTGGTGCTTGACCGCACTGGCCAGGATGCCCGGGGTAGTGCGCGAGCCGACGGAGCGGAACCACTGGGCCCATGTCTGCCGGGTGGGCTCGTGGGCGGCGGCGGACAGGTTGGCCAGCAGGTAGCTGTGGGCCTGCTGGGCCTGCTGGGCCTGCTGGGCCTGCTGCTGCTGCAGGTTCCGGGCGTAGGCGAGGTAGTCCACGCGGGTGCGGAAGAAGGCCTTGACGGGGGCTCTGAAGTAGAAGGCGATGGCCTGGGCGGTGAAGGCACGCACGCCGGCCGCCGTGGCTGCAGTTGCGGCATTGGTGCGCGGGTTCCTGTCCTGGTCGGGAGGGCCGCCGGCGACGGGCAGCACGCCAAAGTCAAAGGGGGCTCTTGGGTCACCGGCGCCGCGGCCGGGATCGGTGGGGTTCATTATCGATGCGACATCTCATGTGGCCTGGCTGGGGCTGGCTGTCCTGCATGCGATGAGCAGAGTGAGTTGACTCCCCAGGTACCCAGGTGGTCCAGTTCACGCTTTATTGGGAGACTGACGTCGTTCGCTGCTGCTGTCACAGCCGGCGAAATCCGGCCTGAGGTCACGGCCAGCTGGCAGAGAGCCTGGGCCAGCTGGCAGCCGCCGCCAATGGCCGCCAGAATACGTGGGACTTCATCTTCACTCAGCACACCACTGCACATTCGAGATGGATCAACGCTGTTAGTTGTTACAACGTACTTGAAGTAGTCACTGCCCCATGCGGCTGTTCCGACTTAGCAGCCTATTTGGACTCCTGCCTGGCCTTCTTGAGGATGTCTTCGGCCTGGGCTGATTTGTTCTCGAGCACCTTCTTGAGCTCCTCCATCGTCTCCTTGACCAGCCTCTCGCTCTCGTCCGTGTGCTTCTCGGCCACCTCCCTCAGCTGCTGGAGCTTGGACAGGATCTCGCTGCCGTTGGGGATCTGCCCGATGTACTGCTCCAGGCCGCCCCCCCCAGCGAGCTGCGAGCCCTTGGACTTGGCCTTCTCCACCGCCTGGTTGACGTAGCCTTCCAGGTCGTCTGTCTTGCCCGACTCCACCGCGGTCCTGGCCCGCTCAAACAGCTCTTTGGCGTTGCCCTGCTTGAGTGCATCGGCGTTCTTCTCCACCAGCTCCTTGACCTGCGGGCTCTTGTCCAGGTAAGGCTTGGCTTGCTCCAGGCCCTTCTTCCACGCCTCGTCCCCGAGCTTCTGCACCTCCTGCACCTTTTCCTCGACAAGCTTGCGAGCCTTGTCCAGGTTCGACGCCGTAAGGCCGCCAGCCGCCATCTCCCGGACCTGTTTCCAGGTCTCGTTGACCTTCTTCTTGGCCTCCGGGCCGTACTGGTCGCCCATCTGCTTGAGCTGCTCGACACTCCCGCCAAACTTGTCCTTCAGCTGCGGGTGGTTGTCAAGGACATCGCCCAACGCATCTGTGGAGAGGTCGGCCAGCTTGGCCGAAAGGTCGGCCAGCGCGTCGTACATCCGCCTGAGGCTCTCCATGCTCAGGCCTGCCTTGGAAATCTCCTGGAAGTGCTTGTAGGCATCGTTGACAATGCGGTCTGCGTCCTCCTTGTTGTTCCTGCGGACCTTTTCGAGATCGTCAAATGCTGTGTCTACGTACTGGCGCCCACCAGGGATCCAGGTCACGTAGGAGTAGCAGAAGTCCTTGATGTAGTTTACTGTCTGGTCTGCGTCGGGCGTGTTTTTCTGCAGCTTTTGGGCCGCCTCGTTGTACTTCTTCTGTGTCTCTCTCGAGGCCTTGTTGACCGATCTCGCCATCTTGCCGGTGGGGCTGAAATAGTAGGCACCGTAGAGCAGCCCTCCTGCTGCTAGACCACCAGCCACACCGGCGGCGAAGGGCGACGCGCCGGCCCCAGCATTGCCAGAGCTCGACGACGACGACGCACTCGTGGACTGGAAGCGGAGCTGCTTGACCCGTGGGGCCTTGGCAGACCGTGCAGCTCGAGGAAGGGAGCGTGCGACAGTTCTTGAGGGAATCATCTCGGGGGGGTTTGACGGATGGGCTTTATGATCTCGTCAGGGGTTTGTTTTTGAGGATGTGAGCTGTGAAGTTGAGCCTGAGGTTGAGTGAGTGTGAGTGTGAAGGTGAAGGTGCTGGTGGAACAAGGGCAACAGGCTCTTTTAACCGCTCGGCCGAGACAACAAAATAGCTCCAGCGCGATGACGATGTTTGACGCAGGTACGCCTCAAGCTTCAAGCTTGCCGAGCTGCTGGCGCGGAGCTGATGGTCCGGCGGTACACAACACACCCAGTTCCAGCATTCCTGTGCGTCGTGATGACGTAGAGAGTGGCCACGGACGGGCCTCAACCTCTGCACTCTCACTCTGCAAGGCCGCAACTGTAGGATGGGGATCTGAGTAGCTGTTTGTCTGGAGAAATCAGCTGCGGTCAACTTCTGAATATCTGCCGTCAGGTCAGTGTGCATAAATGGAATTTGGAACAGTATCCAGGACTTCAGGAGCCTCGGCAAGTGCTAGTCTAAGTCCCACACTGCATGTAACACACCTGCGACCAACCAAAATGAGGACAGTGGCAGCACCTCATGATATTGCTTCCAGCCTTGTATTCAATGCTCAACACCCTGCAGCCCTGGTACCCAGCAGCAAGCTTGGCTCAGGCGGCTGCGATGCCCCCAGGATATCTGCTGGGCTGTCAGGCCTTGCCCAATACACCTAGGTACCCACCATAGCGCTCCCTAGGGGGTTTTCAAATGCGGCCTCTTGACCGTCCCTTCTACTTTAAAACGGTACCTTAAATAGTCCTTAATACCTTAGAACTATTTTCTTATTAATATTCTCTAATAATAGCTATAAAGTATATTAGTATTTTTCTTTAAGATTAATATTTTTTAAAAACTAAAAGTTTTTTAAAATTATTCTTTAAAAATTTAAAATATAAAGAGTAGAAACTTAATAAAAGATTATAATATATAAGTAAATAAGTATAGAGTTAGTTAGAGGTTATTTTAAAAGGAAGACTATTAGAGAAATAAGAGAGGAATTCTCTCTTAATTAATCTTTATATTAAAGTAAAAGTATAATATTAAGGAATTCTAAAGATTAATACTTTTTAAAGACTTAATCTCTCTTTAAGATACCTTTATTATTTAAAGGCTTATTAAAAATAGAAGGATTATTAGTAGTTATAGTTATTATTAGAGAGTATTAGTTAGTAAATAGTTTCTAAAAACCCCTAGGTGTGCGGTATGGTAGCTATTTAGGTATTTAGTAGCCTTGATTCCTATGGTAAGGAAACCTTGTATATATTACCACACATGAGATATTATGGGCGGATCAAACTAACCACCCGTCGCCACCCGTCGAACCTTTCAAGCCTAAGATTGTGACTAACGCATCCTCAGTGGTTACTCGACTTAAGCAACGATCCTTGGAATGCCATCCCTGGTCCCACCGTGCTCGCACCGCGGTCTAACCATGCTAGAGTTGCGAACCCAATTGTGTTTCCCTTTCACAAAGCCGCATTCCAAAAAGATCAAAAATGCAATGCTGGATCGTGGCTGCACCTCACAAAAGACAGCAGCAGAAATATTTACATGTGGAGCACCTGCACATGTGTGTGGGCTGAAAACACTAATCACCCATGGACTCCATGAGATCCACGTATTTCTATGTCTAAAGCTTGTGTATGTCTCACAACGTAATGACCCCACAGCATACTGGCAAATTTATCGTATTGGAAATTGAGCGTCGCAACCAGAAACCGTTTCTATGTAGATGCGACTCGAGATGCAGACGGCCAGGACTGGGCTACCCAGCAATCTCCTCCCTTAGCGAATGGAACTTGAGATATTGTCTACTCAAGTATTCACGGGTCCCTGTCACGCATGACAGCTACCTAAGCTGCGGAATGCAAGTCAACCACCAGTAAGTATCAATACATGAGTGGCACCGATGACGGGCTCCAATATTCCGGGGTACTTCCTCTTAGGTGCTGGTCATCTTCAAGTTTGCCCGCTAGAGAATTTCGAGGACAGCAATGTTCTATTGCCTGGGTTGATAGTGCGCTGTGCGGTTGAGGTACGTAGTAGTCATAAATACGAATTCATAATCTTGTATTAATTTGTCCCTCTACCCGACTATATGTGAGCTTTTAATGGTATCCCCCTTCCCTCACGTAAACCAGAAAAGCAATGCTTTAAAGGCCAGAGGCGCTCAGTGTCTTCTCCAGAACTTAAGCCGGCTTTTCTCACATGACAGGCCTCTGATCATTGTGGTCATGCATCAATGTCAAAGAGCGTTTAATTGGGGCCTGGGAAAAGTTAAGATACATGAAGATTATTAAAAGTGTACGAAATAACCGGCCAGTATCAGAATTGGAGATCGGCGAATAGCCCTCAAAGTTCTGATGCTGACATCAAATATCTGCTCCAGTCGTTTCCCAGGCCTGGAATTCTCAGTAACCCAATAGCCCGTGTTTGTAACAGAATTGGCAGAGGAGTTCAACGCACTCTTCAAAATAACCCGGTCCGGTGCATCATGCCTGCCCGTCGAGCCTATCTTCAATTGCAGTCAGATTCGGACCCCTCCATATGCCTGTCTTGGCAGCCCCAGGAGATAAGGACGTACTCCGTATGTTGGAGATATCAGACACTCTTCCCCGCTTCAGCGCTGACCACCGCCTGGCTCATATGTGGAATCAAATTCTAGAGACGTGGGCAACAATTCGTTGAGAATCCTCGGCAAGGAGACTGGGCTCGCTTGACCGATATCCATTGCATTGCCGAAAAGAATTGCCCGGACTTGTCCTTAAGACGTGCCTCGATAAGATAGCAACGGCAGACAGCCAGGGTGTAATAGCAGCTATCCGTTCTCTTCTGCCGGACTCTCGTTATCCAGCCCGTCACATTTGATATCACTGCACTCCCCTGTCTTGCTGTCGTACGCTCTCGGTAGTTCGCTCCACATATCGAACCGTCTGTATCGCAGTATCTAGATTGTAATGACACCCCTCATCCTTCAATCTCTCGGCTTTCTAGGGGTGGGGACCAACCGAATACCCCCCGCGATGACACTACAACCTGCACGGTCGGCGGTCCTGATCGTCTGGGCTGGCGGCATTGTATTTAAGCCTGCCGTGTCACATTTGTGTTCCATAACCTGTAAGAAACATCTCCCGAAAGCTTTTGACTTGAATACATGCCTCTCACGTCATCTGGACTCCGTTGAACTTTTCTTCTGAGTTCATTGACGGGAACTCGCATCTCACAGACTGCAACTCGGAACGGACAGGATGGCTACGGTCTCAGACTTGGCAACATTGCCGGCAGATGTTGGTCCTGTTCTCGCGGAGGCCGATCGTATTGGAGAATCTGAAAAGAAAGGAGAAAAGTCCACCACCGACGAGGAAAGGTCAGAGAAAGAGGGGAGCGTCGTCGACACGAATGCAGTTGCAGACAGCGGTGAGTCTCGTCGAACAAATTCCCATGAACAAGCAACAATTATCCAGTCCATGTCGATGTCTCGCAGAGACTTCATCCATATTCTCAGAACTTATGCGACCTGACACTAATGCCTTGACATGTATCAGGCCAGTACACGGATGAGCAGTATAAGCAGCTCAAGAAGAAAATTGATCGTTATCTTCTTCCACTCATGTGGCTTTGCTATGGCATCCAGTAAGCGTACTCTTTTACCCGCCTCATCCGTCCTATCTGTACTCTGTAGATATGGTGTGGAAATACTGCCAAACGCACCAATTTTAGACCCGCGATGGGCCATTAACACATCTTAGGCAAACAGACAAGACATCCCTCGGAATCCAAGCGACATTTGGGCTACGAGAAGACACTGGCCTCGTTGGACAACAATACTCGTGGTTGACAACGGTGTTTTACATTCTCTACATGTGCTTCGAATTCCCATCCAACATAATGCTCCAGCGATATAAAATGGGTCGAACCCTCTCGCTGTACATGATATGCTGGGGATTCATTGTTTTGGGTGTTGGTTTCGCCCAAAACTTCACCCATCTTATCGTGCTTCGAGCTCTCCAGGGAGTGTTCGAGTGCTGCATCAGCCCGGGCTTCATCCTGGTTATCGGAAGCTGGTACACCACAAGGGAGCACGCATCACGGTCGCTCGTGTTTCAGAGCGCCAACGCCGGCTTTGGCATTATCGCCAACCTGATCTTATACGGGATCGGATCGGTCCAATACCGAAGACCAGACTTTGAAGCATGGCGCTACATGAGCTACTTTCTAGGCTCCTTGACGGTCATCGTCGGCTGCTTGTGCCTTTTTCTTCTGGGCACACCTTCTGAGGTCCGTTGGCTATCGCCCGAGGAGAGAGAGATGGCAAACGCCCGCATTCGCTCGAATAACACTGGCCATGACCGCACCGGCATCAAAAGGTGGAAGTGGGAGCAAGCACGCGAGTGCCTCATAGATCCCTGCTTTTGGTTCGCCGGATTCAACGCATTCCTCAGTTCTGTTCCAAATGTAAGCAGTCCTCAACCACTACCTTGGTACCTTGAGCCACCCCCCCCCTCGAGAAGAAAACAAAAAGGGAAAGGGAAGGAAAGAAGAAGAAGAAGAAGGAGTGACTATATTATTGCGACCTTTGGCTCCACTTGATAGCTGACTGAGTGTTTCAGGGTGGTCTCACCACGTTTGGATCGATCATCAACACCACATTCGGGTTTACTAATCTCCAAGTCATACTCCTCGACATCCCGAAAGGCACACTCTCGGTTCTTTACTTTGTTGTCATTGGCCTTGTCACCAGCAGGTGGAAGAATTTGAGAATGTACTTCATGATGTTCTCGACAATCCCGCCATTTGTGGGGTTCTTGATTATGGCTCTTCTCCCAAACGAGCCGCAGTACAAGTGGACAAAGTGGGGCGGCTACTTCATGACTGTCCCTTTCGTCATCTCACTGTTCCTCGCTTGGACCCTCATCCCATCCAACACGGCTGGCAGGACCAAGAGGACGCTGACAAGCTCCTTCACATTCGTTGGGTATTGTGTTGGCAACATGACCGGGTCCCAAATATTCAAATCAGCTGACGCGCCTCGATACGTGTCGGGTACAATCGGCTGTGCGATATGCTTCGGACTCGAATTCTGCCTCATCGTGCTGTGGAGACTCGTCTACGTCTGGAGAAACAAGCGCAGGGAGAGGGAGCTGCGGGAGCAGGGCGTATCGGAGGAAGATAGAGTACGGTTGGGTGGAGAGCTCGGAGAAAACGACACAACTGATCTGAAAAACCCTTATGTGAGTACTAAGTTCAACTTATTGCCACTTCGCTTTGGGCTGTGTGATGTGTTTACTGATTAGCCTGTGCAGTTCCAATACACTATGTGAAGCTATCTGTGTAACTGGTTACGCTTCTATTCCGCATACGTCCGAGGACATACGAAGTGAAGACGAATATTGTATCTTTGGTTGTCTCTTCCCCGCGCTATTTTAAGTGTGGGAGAAGAGATGCTTATCTATTATTTACTATTACTATTAGAAGTATATAAATTAATAGAAAAACAGACTTTAAATATATTATAAGGTTTTTTTAAATATAAATTTATTTACTATTATTTTAAATTTAAAAATCTTTATAAATTAATATTTTAAAAATAAAGTTAATAATTACTTATTATATATTTTAAATTAATAAATATAAAAAATATTAACTTTTATTATATAAATCTTAATTTAATTATTATAATTAAATTAAACTTAATTAATATTTCTATTAATACTTTTAATTTTATAATTTTTATAAATATATATTTAAAATTAAAATTATATATTTATATATATTAATTTATTATTAATTATTTTTAAATATAAAGTTTTAAATATTTATTATAATACAAAAGTATTATTTATATTATATATATAAAATATAATAACTTTTTAAATATAAAGTTAAAAACTTATAATTATAAAATTTTAATTAATTTTTATTTAATTATTTTATTATATTGTAACTTAATTTAATTTAATTTAAATCTTTCTTTAAGTTTTTCTAACTTTTTTATTTTAAAAATTAAAGCTTTATATTTTTAAACTTAAGTTTAAAATTCTTATAGATTTTAATTTACTTTAAATTAAACTTATAATCCCTTAACTTTTCTAAAAATATATTAATTATCTTAAATAATAATAAATTTTCTTTAAAGTAAAGATTTACCTTTATATAGTTATAAATTTAATTATTAATACTTATTTTTCTTTTATTTATAAACTATTAAAATTATAAGTTTAAATAATAAAGTATAGTTACTTTATTTAAAGGTTATCTTTTAGTTTAATAGTATAATAGGCTAAGTTTAAATAATTACTTTTAAGTAGTTTTACTTATCTTTTAAGTTTATTAAATAAGTATTTACTTATAAAGTAAAGTTAAAACTCTTAAAGGAATAATAACTTTATCTTCACCTATTTTAACTAACTTATATTTATATATAACTTAAATTATATAACGAATTTAATACTTATATATAATACTTATTAATATTAAATTAACTTATAATTTATAATAACTTTAACTTTTAATAAATTAATTTATATTAAAACTAATAATATTAACTTAAACCGATATAATTTAATATATTAATATAAAAGACGTCTTCTAATAATAAATAATATTATAAATATAAATTATAAAGTTATTATAAAAAGTTTTATATAATAAACTTAATTAAATTAATTTTTAAAAGATATATTATATTTTATTTTTTTTAAAACTCTAACTATTTATTTCTAGCTTAATAATAGAATTAAAAAAATATAAATAGTCTATAAAAATATAATAAATAAAATTAAAAATAGAAAAATAATTAGTCTTTAACTTTTAAGAGGCTATAGTAGGTGTGATAGGGTGGGTGTAAGCAAGTAAGTAGGCGCAGTTAGCCCGTAGCTAACGGCTAGCTACTACTAGCAACCCCACTAGGCGCCCTATAGGGCGACCTACCTAAGGCTTTACCTCTAATCATATTTAGTAGTTAGCTACCTAGTAACTAACTACCGTACAAACTTTAATACAACCTCATTGCCCCTCAAGTTCTTCCACAGAGGCATCCTCCAAAGTTACTATCGGAGTATATTCTTACAGTCTGAGCTTAAATCATTGCCTACGGAAAGTAAGGGGGGGAATCTTTCCAAACTTGGAAGTAACTCCTCCTGTATTATATCCGTTCCCCTGCCAACTTGTGCCAAGCCCATGCGGCCCACCCCACCCATCCGACCCATCCGACACATGCTAGATGAGGGTGCAGTAGGCAGGTCGTGGTTCACATGTAGCATCGCTCAAGTGCCATCTAAACTAGTCAAGGGGAACATAGTGACCCGAACTTTCCGTACGGAGTAATATCACAGGGCGCGGCTGTGTCCGATGAATCGCTTGGCGTAGGGGGTGAATACGACGCGAAAACCAGGATTTGCGACTCGGACTCTGGTTGTTAAGAATCCAAATTGATTGACATACGTCAGGTGGTAACACAGGCTAGGATTAGTCTGTTCAATCCGAGGACAGTGTTTCTCAAACTGGCGAACGCCGAAAACACTGTACCGGAAAGGGTCAACATCCAAGACTTACGGAGTACTCATGGACAGCCAACACCCTTAATTTGTCAACCAAGATCTTCACTTGCGCACCAAGTCTGTATGTAACCTGCCAGAAGCATGCAAAAGAAAGCATCACCACCTAAGTACTAGAATCCAGACCACACAATCAAACCAGCTATTTTACTACCACAAACATAAATGCTAACAGATATATTAGTATCATTCAAATCAGGTACTTAAGCCTAATACCTCTATATAATAGAAATAAAGCATATGTGGTCTGGTTATAAAATAATTACAATACTAACAAGAAGGGTCTTAGCGAGACTTGGACCTTCGGGGAGTTACCGGCGGGGCTTTTTGCAGAGCGGTTCAATGTTGCCTGCCAAGCCTGGATTGATTAAGATTCCTTGACAGTCCAAAACAGGGACCCCGCCCCGATCCACGTCGTGTCGAGGAGAACAAAGCTCCGTCCGATTGAGGGGAACTATCTCCGCTCGTTCATGCCTCATGGGCCTCACTTAGGTGCATATAGTTGTATAAGAAGGCATCGATAGTCACTGGAAATTCTTGAAGGACGGCTTTGTTCAACCCATCATCTCACAACGATCTTCCAACCACCTCGAGGCCATATCTTGCCTGACGTATTTTCCAAAACCCAAATCTTTAAAAGCTACTTCAACATGAAGTCATTCTTTGTCCGCGCTCTGTTGTTTTGCCCGCTCGTTGTGGCAGCAGCTATCGAGAGCATCGAGACTCGCCAGGATGAACTAGCAGTATGCTGCTACGAATGGCGTGATGTGGTATGCTCGCCAAAAGACTTCCTTGGACATCATCAATAAACCTCGTAACTATTCTGACACGAAACTATTTGGATTTGCAGCGCGGAAACTCCCAGCTCTTCCGTAACACCGAGCTGTCCCAGTCGGTCAGGGGTGACCCTTCAGGCTGGTGTATCGCCCTGGTGGAAAGGTAAAGTAGCATACAGGATCCATTGTTTGGTCAAGATACTAATGACACTTGTTCCTACTAGAGACGTGAACGATCCCGACAACTGCGATGCCGCAACGGCTACTATCACTAACGGATTCTGTGGTAACGTTGGGGATTCAGTTCCCGTCGTCGCCTGCCCTTAAATACCAATTGGCATGGTCACCGATGAGGGCGTACACCTCACTTGAGACGAGAAGATGAACAGAATGGCTGAAAGGCTTGGTGGACGGTGGCCGGTAGAAAGCACGTATGTACACTGTGTCTACACATAGTATTCATAGCACAGCCCAATTACCACAGCCTTTATTAGCTCACCAAGGAGGGCAATCAAGCCCTCCAGATGAGTCATTGCCCCGGGAGCTTGATTATTGTCTCGTTGTAATGGTGATAATTGCATGCAAAAAGCTGCGTCGGTGTAAGAGCTCATCTCGATAAAGTGAGCGAGCCCCATTCTTTGCGGGCAAGGGTGTCGTCTGGGCGACAGGAAAATGTGAGTGACGGCCATAACGCCACTGAGTGGACAAATGTTTCCAAGGCAAATGTCTGCAGTGGAAAGGCCGCCTGTGATCCTCATGTTCATGTTTGTGAGATTTCAAAAGCAGTCATTGGTAGCACGGCGAACAGAGGAGGAAGCTTACAAATTGCTTCAAACCGGGCCACGTTACTGAATTTAACGACCGCATTTTATTGCCTGGAGCGGAAACTCACGAGCGACACAAGTCACGCCGCATTCTGTCTCTGTAGTCATCTTGTCGTTCCATTCGTCCAGTAATCCAACCTGTTCCTGTAGCATCTCATGACAATTTCTACGGAACTTGCACTGCAGCTCGTCATTCCGAGCGTGTTTTGAGATCTTTCTCAGAGTCCTGAGGGGAAAAACATATTTCTTGATTTGTGTTAGGGCATCAAGCTATCTGGGAATCCATGAAGACTCAGTCGACCACACGCAGCATGTTGTAAGCAGGGTGACCGATGGCCTTCTTGACGACACTGATCGGGTCCAGCTTCTGGCGCTTCCGCTTCTCCACGATGACCTCGCCGTCCTCTCCAATCTTCTCAACAAGCTCTTCCTCAGCCTCCCTGTCCTCGAAAGAGCCGCTGTCGAGGAACACCTTCAACATACCTTGGGAGTACCCACTGACGAGCGCTGTGCCCTGTTCAGAAGCCGTGACAGCCTTTGGGGCTGTGGGGTCTCCACCTGTCGGACCCGAGAGGTATCCAGCCCTGCCGCCTGCGAGGTTCCAGAACACCAGCTCAGGCATTTCGTACCCTGCCGCCTGGAACTTCTTCTGGATCCGCTCGTAAGAGGTGGACCACCTATCTCCATCGCGCCTGGAGAGAGCCGCGTTGAACTGCATGTCAGAGAAGACAAAGATGCGTTTCACCATGTCCTTCTGTGCGAGCTTGTTCTCAGTGGCCATTGGCAGGATGAGCCGCTCGAAGACCGCGACGAAGTCGGTCGACATTTCCCAATCGGAACGGGCCAATTGCAAATACTTTTCGTGCAAGCCCTTTGTAAGATCGATTTTCTGCACCCGCGGGTCTGTGCTGAAGGTGATGAACGTGCCCCCGAAAGGGGGTCTGGTCACCTCAGCGACGAGCAGGCTCAGACCGATTGACGTGTCCAAGGGAGTGGTGCCGTCAGGAAATACAGGGGTTTCCATCGACCCAGAGACATCAGCCACGGCGATGCAGTTCTCCAGCGAACCTGAGTCTTTGATACGCTTGACGAGGGACTTCCACTGGCCATCTAGGCTCTTGGCCGCAAGCTGCTCCATTTTTGCGTCGACAAAGGCCTTGGTTCCCTTTTTCTTGCGCTTGCCACCCACCACCTCGTGGCTATTGGAGCTGCCCGAGTGTGGGCCCTTTCGCACGGCCTTGATAAGTGTGCTGGGGAGAAGGGCTGCGCCGGAAATCTGAGCCTTGCCGATGGCGACTTTGTCTATGTACTCCCCGAAGCGACCGGTATCCTTCTCAGCGAACAGTGGAGCGTAATTATTTATGGCAACAGAGGGAAGTCTCTCGTACTTGATGTTCTCAAAGGTCTTGGCACTGATGTCCCGCTCAACGCATTCAAGGTGCTTGCGGAGTGCCGCCACATCCTTGCGGTAGGACTCTCGAGCGTGCCTGAGATAGAACTCGCGCTGGTCTCGGTTGGATTCGTTGTACTCGGCGAAGCCTTTGTAGGTGGAGAGTGGGTGCATGATCTCGGCAATTGACGTGACGACAAAAGTGTGCTTGTCGTGGAAGCGAGAGTTGGATGGCGCCCACTTGGCACAAAGCGACACGCTCCTCTTTGCCTTTGGGTCATCGCTACGGAGGAGTGCCAGATCCTCCTGGAGCTGAGCAGCGAAAAGCCGGGCGACTGACATGTGCAAAGCCCGGTAGACGGCGTCCTCCTGGAATGCGTTGACGGCGGCGTCATGGCGGTTGTCTCTCTTTTCGTGCCGCATCGCCCTGGCTGTCTCTTGATCTTTCGGCCAGTTCTTTCTCGACTTCTGGCGCTCTATGTTGAGAATGTCGCGTGGGTTGGCGAGGACGTCGAGCTTGTCGTTGACATACAAGGCGAGGATGTTAAGAAGATCCTTCCAGTATCCGTGGGCAACACCATTCCTAACGTCGAAACGGGCAGGGTCTCCATCGTCCACCTGCTTCTCTACAAACACCATCTCGGCTTCATCGACCTTCTTTTCGTCGTCCTTTTGCTCCGCCTTCTTCTGGATGACCGGACGGCTCAGCCACGGAAGGTTAGCAATGAGGGTCAGGGGGTGGAACTTGACGAGCCAGCCGGCACAGCGATAGAAGGTCTGACGGGAAGCCTTGCCCAGATGAATGGATCTTGCATTGAATATGATCTTCAGACTTGTGACGGGGTCGTAACGCCATGCACGGTCGAGCAGGTCCAGAAGCCTAGGGCCGGAGATGACGTCCTCGAGCTCGGTGAACAAGTCGACGAGGCTGTCCCTGGTGGAGCGTTGGGCGACATCAGAGTTTTCTGTGAGCATCTTGTTCTCCATGTTTCTCCTTGGTCCGCCCGTGTCGAGGTTTTCCTGCTGGGAGTGTAGGCCATGCATGAATGGGTGGGCGCTGGCGCTGGCGCTGGCGGGTTTCTGGGCCCCTGCGCGGGGCGTTCCTGGTTTGGCCATGGAAGCGTCCTCATCGTTGCTGATAGATATGGCGCCGAGATTAACTCTCAGTTCAGCAGTAGTCGAGGCATCAGACACGAGGACAGGCTCGGACTCAGCTGCCGTGGCTGTGTCGTCGCCTGCGGGGTGTGCTTCAGCGTCGCCCGCAGCATTGTGAGCATTGTGAGCATTGTGGCGCTTCACATCCTGCTTGACGAGGGCATCGAATTCGTCTTGCGAGCAGTGGAGAGCTGGGTTGGATGGCAGGAAGACTGGAAAGGAGGACTTGAGGAACCAAAGGTCCTGTTGGTCGTCGTTTGTGGCAGCCATCTCTTGTTGATGGTCGCTTCTGCTCCGATGCGGGGAGAAGCGAGCCAAGGCAGCAATTGAAAACCACGGCGGGCGAGGGTCTTTAATACCTAGGTAGGTACTTAAGTAGGAAACAAAGGACGCTACCCCAGAGATCCTCAGAATACGCACCTAGGTAGGTTCGGTGAGTCAAGTGGCCGAAAAAAAGGCTGTTGCCTTGGAAGCCCTGGTATTAATTACTGTGGTATTAACTAACTCCTTCCCGTTTGTTGCCTACTACACTTTAGCCACTGCCGCCGGCTGACTCACTCGGACGACAAGGCACTGAGGCCAACGGTGGCTGCGGTGCTCAAGTGAATTGAAACAGTTCTTGGCAAGTTGTGAGGTTGGCCGTCCCCTCCAGTGCTAGCTAGCCCTGCCGTTTCAATTGGGACATGTCATGCCGACGGTCAGTTCATTCCAAGGTTCCCCCTTCATCCCCCCACTGTCAGCTGCCTAGGTACTTGGCTATATCATCCTTCAATGAGTCCTGGTAAATCCAATTGAATGAATTGCTCCTTCACATATCCATCGATGCCTTCCAGAGGCCATCCTTTGCTTGGTCTCTAGAGGTCTTGGAGCTATGTCGTGGAAGGCTGCAGATGAGGGGGGCCAAAAGTCAGACATCACCAATGATCAACTAGATGCTGCGAATCTCGTTGTCCCGGTAGCTAGCGCTGTGTGCCCAGCTCACCCATACGGGGGGCACCCAATGGAAAAGCCCAGTGCAAGTGGCCGAGCTCGACCGAAAAGAATTACAATATCTAGATACTAAAATTTGAAAGAGTACCACTACCTTGTGAAGCCCGTGAAGCTTTCGCTTGTGTATGATCTATTATGTCTAAATGATGTCCACTCTAGTGGCCATGCGTTTCTATAGTACGTGGTATCATGTATGTGTGCGTTTGCTCCCAGAAAAATATCGCCTCCACAGCGGTTCCTTTGCTGTCGTGCCGGGACCATCCTCCTCTTCCCTTCCGACAACCCGCAGAAACACCTCATCAAGCGTCGTCGGGCTGACGCTGTAGTACTCCACACCCAGCTCATCCTTGTGTGCCTCGAATAGCTCGATCAGCCCGGGGGTGTCCAGGCCCTGCGCGACGGCTGACCCCCGGCCACCAGCCCATTTCTCCTTGTCGGTTCCCTCAGATCCTTCGTTGATGATGATCCCACTAGCCTTTTCGGCACCCTTTTTCTCCTCCTCGACCACCCCGTCCTTCTTCACCCTGAACCTGAGAAGCCCATGTCCGCCCCCTTTCGCACCCCATTCTTCAAACTCGACACCGCCGACCCTCTCGGCGATCCAGCTCTTGACCCGGTTCATCTCGGCCTCGGTGGTCTCGGGTGCAGACTTCAACACGACCTGGACCACGCAACCCTCGCCCCACCTCTCACCCAGCTCCTTGCCAGTCCCGAGGGCCAGCATCCTCCTCTTCATGATTCCCACCCTGGTAGCCAGCCGGTCCGCCTCCTCCATCGAGTGAGTGGTGATCAGAAGCGCGCGCCCCGGCGCGGCAACGCCGAGCAAGGTGCGCCACATAATTCTTTTCGCGGCCGCGTCCATGCCGGAACTGGGCTCGTCGAGGAGCAGGACGGCCGGGTTGCCCATCAGCGCGATACCCAGGCTCAGCTTGCGCTTGTTGCCGCCGCTCAGCTTCTGCGCCAGCCTGTCCGCGAATCTCACGAGGTTCGTGGCCGCCAGGACCGCCGCCACATTGGCATCGACGTCGGCCACACCCCTCGCACTGGCGTAGAAGCGCAGGTGCTCGCGGACTGTCATGCTGTCCATCGCGTCGAATTGCGGGCACACCCCGAGGTTCTGCCTGGCCGACGCACGGTGCGCGGAAATGGAGAGATTCTCGATGAACACGTCGCCAAAGGGGCTGCCGCCGATGCCACGAGATGGCCGGACATCGCCCCGTACCAACGAAATAGTTGTCGACTTGCCTGCTCCGTTGGGGCCAAGCAGCGCAAAGACCTGCCCGCGCGGCACGCCGAACGTGACGTCCTGAACCGCGTGATTAGTGCGGCCAAAGAGCTTGTGCAGGTGCTGCACGCGCAGGCTGTCGGTGTCAGGTGGGGACTGTGCATCGATGCGCTTGATCTCGGTTGCGACGGCAGGGTCAGTTATGGACGATGACACGGGTGTTGAAATAGCAGCGTCGTCTTCGGTGTCTGTATCCTTCACCGGGGACTTGCGGTGACGCAGGCGGCGGCTCAGAGTGGTGAGAAAGGTAGGTTTGTACCCACTGTCCCACCAGACGAGTACAAGAAAGAGGAACAGTGCTTGAATGATCAGGTAGACTATCGGTCCACCGTAGACAGTAAGAGCTCCGGGGTAGGAAGCAATCGTGGGGTCACCGGTCTGATCGCGGCAGAGAAGCGAGAACTCATTGAGGGTAAGGAGCAGTGACCTCAGCAAGTTGCCTGCGGGTGAGATAGTTGCATACGCAAAGTGAGCGATGGTGAGGTCGGAATTGACGCGGAAGGCAGGCGAATAAGTGAGAATGGACATGTACATGATGAAGTACAGGCTGGCACATGTTAACACGACAAGTCGGGGACATAAAGGGGACAAAAACAGTCCTTACAGGAAGAAGACTGCCTGGCCTCCGGCAGCAGTAGCAAAACAGGCCAACTGAGAGCTCGTAAAGAGCGAGACGACGTAGCAGAGCAGTATAGAGGTAAGGCCGTAGAGGAAGAACACCACGAACAGATAGCCTGGTGCATACCATATCCCGGATGCCTACATTCTCTTAGCATCTCCACAAGACCGCTGGGCCAGGAAACTGAACCTACCCCTACAAAGATGCCAGTCACCACGGCACTGACAATCAGCACGAACAGGAAGTCGAAGATCAGATACGCCAGCCACAGAGGTGCAGCCCTAATGCCGTTGCTGTAATGCAATGCTCTCACTTTCCTGAGTCGTTCCATACACGGGTAGAGTGCAAAGAAAGCTGGGTACACCGACATGGCCAGGCCAAAGTACAAGATCAGCTGCAGTGTCTTCCCGGCGCCTGGGGCAAACGGGACCGCAAAAGGCTGGTACGACGTCGTGATGCTGGTCTGCTCAAGAACATTGCTGATGGCATTCAGCGTGAGCATACCATAGATCACGGCTCCGTTGCCAACGTAAGCCATGACAGCCACAGGGTCCTGGGTGGGCTGGAGGAAGAAGCCTCCGGGGGTCACATTGTGGAAGTTGTTCGACACGTAGTCGTTGAACTCGTCGAGGGTATCAACGAGGTGGAATGAGCTGGCGTTGAGGCCCGTCCGGTTCGTTAAAGTGTCCATCGTTATCAGGCTGGAAGGGCCAATCGGTATGAGAGGGGTGATGTCGATGGAACCAAGGTCAGCGACATCGGGAGTGTTGGATTGAGCCCCTGGGTCACACCCGATGGCTGAGAAGCCTTCCAAAAACAAGGTGACCAGCCCAGCTGTGATGACCGGGAGCAGCACAGCGGCCAGGTAGGGAAAATAGTTCCGCTTGAGGACTGTGAATCGTTTGCGAACCAGGATCATGGTCTGCTTCGCTATTCCCGTCCCCCGCCCAGCAGACATTTGGACGCCAGGCTCCTCCCCAGACGACGAGTCTGATTTTGGGGGCTTTTCCAGGGTGTCTGGTGTACTCCCCGGTCTGAGTGCAAGCGGTGCATCGTTTCCAAGCTGGTGGTCTCCCATTTCCTCCGCCAGTTTGAGGAAGACGTCCTCTAATGTTGGACCGATGATATCGTAATCCTTGACGCCAGATGAGCGCAGATTACTGATGAATTTCGATGCAGCAGAAGAATCAGGAAGCCAGAAAATGTGCCTGTCGTCCATTTCATGGCGTGTGACCTTTTCTGCAGAAACAAAATCCTCCTGCTTTGGAACAGATATGCGATAGCCGACACCGACCTCATGCTTGAGCTGCACTGCCGTTCCTTTTGCCCTTAGGTTGCCCCGAGACAGAATGGCAACAAAGTCAGAAAGGACATCTGCCTCATCCAGGAAGTGGGTCGTCAACAAGAAGGTTCGTTCCCCGCGCTCAGCGAGAAGAATATCCCAGATCTTCCTTCTTGACAGTGGATCGAGGCCGGACGACATTTCGTCAACACAGCAAACGCGACTTCCGCCCGTAAACATCATTGCTAACTGGAGCTTTCTTTTTTGGCCGCCCGACAAGGTCACGGACTGGGCCTTCACCTTGTGGCCGAGATCGCAAGACCGAATCAGATTCTCGATCTGGCTCTTGTTGTCCCTCGTGCCAGCTGACTTCAGCTGATTGAAGATCTTGACGTGCTCAAATACGGTGAGCTCGTCCCAGAGCACGTTTTTCTGCGGGCACAACCCCAGGCCGCCTGTCCCATCGATTTCGATGGAGCCGCTTGTGATGGTGTTGAGGCCGGAAATGGCGTCCAAGGTTGTACTTTTCCCACTTCCGTTGGCTCCCAGCAGGACCAGAATCTGTCCTCGGCGAGCCTTGATGCTGAAGTCATTGACGGCATACACTGTCTCGGGCACAGCAAGGCCGATCTTACTGAGTACATTTCTGCGGAGCCAGCTTGGGGTCCAGTGCTTGGTAAAGTTTGACAGAACGATTGCGTGATCGGGTGAGGATGTGGTAGTCTTTCTTTCTCGAGATATGGTGCCATACAGCCACCTCTCAACGAGGGCGCCTAGCAGCGGGAACACGATAATCTGCACAATCAGAAATACCCAGAAGACAATCCCGGGCAAAGTGGACAGGCCGGTAGGCGCCCGACGTATGAGGTCTGCGGCGCGAGCCTTTTGCTCGAACCGAGCCATGTGTATGAGAAAAAGAACGTAGTTGCTAGAAGGGAACAGCAGACTGAGGATAGCTGTACCGCCGGTGCCGAATGGCCCTGCAACCTGTGCGATGACGGCAAGAATGACAGCTACTATGGTGACGGTGATTCCAGAGAGCTGGGCCTTGCTGAAGAAGCTGGCACCCAGGATGGAATAGCTGGAGAGCGCGAGACCCGAGAGAACGTGGTAGATGATCATAATGGCCCAGCTGGTATGGATGAACGCAAGGCCCCTGAGGATCGCCCCCATGATGATCCAACCCGGAAGATGGATGATGTCGAAGGCCAGGTGGTTGGAAAGCAACCGGGCCGCCTGGATGTGCCACGGCCGCTTGGCAGGGGTCATGGCCTCGATCAACTGCGAAATGCCTAGTTCGCGTTCGGATGCCATGAGTCCCGTCAGTTGGTAGGTGACATTGGACATGGCAAGGAAAAGAGCCACGGCCAGAATACTGATCAGCGCACCCATGTAGAGCCTGCGAATGAGGGCATCTCTTTCGGCGGCGGTCGTGTCGGTGTAGGGGTACTCCTCGATGGAGGCCGATCCCAGGCTTGCAGATGAGGCATTCGCGGAGCCAATGGCCGAGTCGATAGCCCGTTGGAAGGGTAGCGCGTAGATCTCGACATCGTTGGTTGTCCTGTCAACAAATATCCTCTCACCGAAGACCCCATCTGACCTGAGCGTGTAGTTCCAGACGCCCGACGGGCCCTCAGTCGGGGAGGAGTGAAAGGAGGCGGCGCCGAAGCAGGTGGATGAGCCACGCAGGGTGCTGGCGCAGCTCGTGAGCAAGTCGATATCATCTCGGACGATCTCGACATTTTTGCCGGCAGTCTCCACCCTCGCCGCGACTGTATTGATCACAGCCTCGATATCACCGCCTGTATGCCCATTGTTCACAAAGACAACCTTGTTGTGGTTTCCGGTCGAAGCCCGGAGGGCATCTTCGAGAGATCGTATGGGCGAAGGGGAGCCTATTCCAAAGGTACTCGGGGGCACTGGGTTGTGATTATGTTAATTACTTGTTGCAAAGCCCAGGCCCGGGCCAAAGCGATTCGAAATGTTTCCAGACACAACCAGACTGGGGACCGCAGACACGAGACTTGGGCTTACCAAAGAAGTTCCGGACGTAGGCTAGAATGAACATCTAGAACAGTGATGTCAGTCAGGGCACAGGCACAGGGTCTGTTAGAGGGCTGGCTGCTGGGAGGGAGTGGAGGGGGCTCACGAAGATTATCGGCGCCAGGAAGGCGCGTATTGTGGTGAAGAAACCATGGCGCACAAGAAGGATGAGAAGGTTCTTCTTTGTCAGGGTCCAGGTCTGGCGCATCAAGGCCATGGTGGGATACGGACCGGCGCAGAGGCGCGGCGTGGTCAACGTTTAAGCTACCGAGAAGATGGGCCAAGGTTCGGGGCCCAAGGTTCATGCGACGTCGGTTCGATCGCCCGGGAAGGCCGGGAAGGTCGGAGACGGAGGGTCAAAAACGGAAGGCCGCCGCTGGATTCATGCCGAGTGCAAGTGCGGAAGACGCAATTGACGAGGGAGGAAAACAGGTCAGAGTACGCTTGTACCAGGGGAAGAGGACCCACGACTGCCAGCAAAGAAAGAGAGAGAGAAAAAAAAGTCGACAAGAGACAGAGGCGGAATCGAAACACGACACTCGGGATTAGAACATTGAAACGCCTTGCGGACGGACATTGCACCGTCGAACGTTGCGCACGTTGGCCCAGGCGGGCACAGGGCGGGAGCTCGGCTTCGGCCCGCCAAGCAGCCACTGGGATCCGTTTTGCCCGTTTTGCCCACATGGGCCAGGTCAATGACGCGCCAGAGCGAGAGCCCAGCATTGTGTATTCCTCGGCCAAGCTAGCTGCAGCGCTCGGCGCCAGCGAGGACGTCAACATCAAGGACATGTGCGACCAGGCTGCCAGGCTGCCAGGCTGCCAGGTGCCCCTCTGACGCGTCTCTGCACGCCGTTTCTGCGTGTGTGCTGATGCACGAGTTGCACGGATCCTCCCCGGTGCGAGTCGAGATGCATCCTGCCGCGTACCCACGAAACGACCTGCATTCGGCAATCTTGGTGCAGCCCGACACAAGGTGAGGCAGTGCCAAACCTGACGAGATCTGATCCTTCCCAAGGCTGGCAGCGGCAACCTGACACCGGGGGGAATGGGGGAGATGGAAAGACTTGCACGGCACAATGATGTGGACAAGCCACCCAAATATAGAAGACCGTGAGAGGAGCAGCGCCAGCGCCGACGGGCACAACACATGGTAAACCAACGTGGTCTGCCGGCACCGCCCCCCACAACAGTCGGGGGCCAACCGGGCCGAAGACGTGCCCCAGTTGGGGCTGAGAAGCACCAGCTCGCGCCCAAGGACGCTGACCAATACATCCTGGAAGAGGAAGCCCACTACTTCTGCATTGGAAATCATGTGTATGAGCGAGACGAGGAATACATCCATTTCCTGGCCGACAAAAGGCTATCTTCCGCATCAGTACAAGTGATCAAGTGATACTAACGCTTGAATCGGCTCACAATCCGACGGAAGTAGACTCGGAAAACTCCGCTAAAGCAACTCCGAAGTAGAATACGTTATTAGGTTCCTAATCACCCCCCCTTTTAGATATAAACTTTTTATAATAATTTTATAATTTTAATAATTTATAATTAAATTAAAAAAAACTTTACTTTTAAATAAGTTATTATTATTTAAAATAATTAATTTATTTTTTAAAAAGTTAAATAATTATAATTTTAATTTAAAATAAATTAAAATGTATAAAAATTCTAAACTTAAAGTTAAAAATTCTTTTTTAATTTTTTTTAATAAAAGTATTAAAAATTAAGAAAGTTTAAATTAAATTAAAGTTTAAATTAAATTATAATAAAATAAATTAATTTTTAAAAAATAAAAGTTATATTTATAAGTTTTTAAGTTTATATTTAAAAAAGTAATTTATAATATAATTAAACTATTTTTAGATTAATAATAATTTTAAAAATAAAATTTATTTATAATAAAATAATATTTTATTTATATTTAATTATTTTAAAAAAGTTATATATTTAAGTTTTAACTTTTATATAAGAATGAAGTATATTATAATTATTTTAAGTTTAATATATATATATATATATATATATAATCTTTTAGTCGGACAGTCTATAACATATAGCTAGCAGTCGCGCCTACCGTTGCACTCCCCTTATAAGCGCCCCGCCACCTAGAGCGAGGACCAGAATGAGGAGGACGGTGCCGCCAGTCCTAAGGGCATCAAGAGCAATAAGGGCTTCGACGGAGGGGATCCCAGCTAGGAGAAACCTCCGCGCCCTAAGGGCAAGAAGAGAAAGCCCAAGAACAAGAAGGCTAAGCACAACACTTTCCCCCAGGCCGCGCACTCCCTACCATAAGTAATGGTCAACATCGCAAAAGATGTATCTCTAGGTCCATATTTTTTCTTATATCCAGGATTGGGGCACATCTTCTCTACCCTAGGCGCGACTTCTATTTTTAAAGCCCATATCACCGCTTCTTCCCCATACTTATTAATAGGGAAGTCTTAGCTAGAATACTTCAATAAATTAACTAGTAGTGATAAAACCTACACTTAATATATTAACTTTTAAACTTAAAAATAAAATCTTTAAGAGTTTTATAACTTAAGTAGCTAGAGCTTTTATAATAAATAAGACTTAAAGTACCGTTAATATTAAAATTATAATATAAATAACTATTTTTCTTTTTATTTTAATTAAATACACTTAGAATTAAAGTATTTAAAATATAATAATATAAATAGATTATATCTTTAAGTATTCTTAATATTATTTTAAAGAGGAATATTATACTCTATTATTTTATTATAAGTTAAATTTTAAATTAATATACTTTTTCGTTTAAACTAATAATATACTATTTAATTCTAATAAATAAAAGTTAAATTTAATTAAAAGAATTATTTATAAATTTATAAAGCTTTAAAGCCTTTTAAAGTTTATAATTAAACTTATAAATTAATATAAAATATTAATTACTATACTTTCTATTAGTTTAAAAGCTTAAATATTTAAGTATATAATTAGTAACTTTTTTAATATATATAATAAGAAGATAATAATTCTCTTCTAAGTCCTAAATTATAATAAGAAATATTTTTAAAACTATATTATAATACTATTTAAAATCTTTATAATAAATAGTATTAAAATATTTCTTATTATTATTTATAGTTTCACTTTTATTCTATATATATCTAAGGATATATATAGCGCCTTAATACGGTAGTAAGCACTCAAGACCTAGCATTTAAAGAAATATAGTACTAATAATAGTGGAAAGAGAATATAGTATGTGGGTATGTGGCTTAGCCTCGTACCGCGCAGATAAGGCTGGAAGGTATCGCTCCCGACGGCACCGCTCACTAGAATCGTCGACACAGTAGCCCAAGGGCTAATCTGCCACAATACTAGAGTCAAAGCTGGCAAAGCAGTCATATGGATAGTGTCCATTAATAATCGCTTATTCCCGTTATTCGACTCAGATGTTACTCGACGAACCCCACCTACACGGCTGACCAGGTAAGTAGTGCTTTATTGCGTGATCGACTCGCAGGTTTCAAACCTCTTATTAGATCTCGTGTGTTTTATGATACATGTGAATCTATTCAAGAACTGCTCACGCTGTGAAATCCATTTAATCATTCAAAATCAGTTTATGTCTCTCAACTACCATGTCGGGTTCTTTGTTGGACGAGGCATAGAAGCACACTTCCAGGAAGCGTCATGCTGGTCCCCAGCAGACGCGCTGTAGGTCGGCGACCATCCGAGGGTAAGGACTACCCAGACTGCCGTAACCGTGATAACACTTCTTGTAACCTCGTCGACCACCTTCGGTGCCGACTCAAAATCTTCTGAACTGCCAAAGCTGGTGGCCGGCTCATAGTAACTGTCCTTGATCTGAAGGGATGACGATGTCAAAGATGCTAATACCGCGTGTTTGCGAGTGTTCGGTCGAATGATGCTGAAGTGAAACATAGTTTCCGATGACTGTGTCGAGGAGGACGCTGGAGGGTGGTCATCGATGCCGGATATCCGCCTTCTTGATAAGACCCATCTTGCCACCGTCTTCACTCCGTGTGCATCCAGCGACGTGAATTCGAACGACCTGTTCTGGTGATTCGCTGCGGTCCACATTCGGCCATCGTCCAGGATGATCTTGTGGTCCTTCTTCAGGATGGCTCTAACCTCGCGGCCAACAATCTTCTCGAGAGGCGCCATGATCGAACCCTTCCTGGGCGAGTGAGCCCCGGTCGTTGAATCCGAATCATCATCGCGGTACCTGGTGAGCAGCACATCATCCTTGTTGAAGCGGACAAGCCGTCCATCTCTCAGGCTTAATTTCCCTTCCACCAGGCCCTTCAGAGCCGAGACAAGCCGGATGGGATCTTTTGGCGCGGCGAAGGATATCACATCGATATCTGGTACGTAGTGATTTGTTTCTGATGACACCTTTTGTACCTGCAGAAACTGTCTGGACTTGAGGTGCTTCACAACATGTGCTTTGTCGATATAATTGGGTCCTCGTGCAGGGTGTGCGAGTGCAAAAGATCTATAAGAATTTTCGGTCTGGTGTCGGCGCTTTCGTCCTGACGAGTGTCTCTTGTTTTCGTGGTCCAGCTCTGGGCTCGGGAGGTTCTCCCCAAGCAACGGCATAATTAATGGGTATTGTGGGACAGTGTGTAGAAATAGTGGATGCAAATGTGTGTAATGCGAATTAGGGTTTGTGGATATGTGTTGGGACTTGGGTGGCTGCAAGACATGGGACGAGGCCTGGGAATCGTTGGATATACATAGTTAGACGGATTCCAAGCCCCTACTGCAGGTGATGAGGTCAATGTTGGGCTGTCAACCTGGGTAGGCCGGGCGGCGGGTTCCTCGGTGCGCGCCCGAAACGGATCACTCGGCACGCTTTGTGTCAGCACACAGCGCGTCTGTGTCAACCTTGGTCAGGCTACCACAATCTGGGCATCTCACTTGCACCAGGACCCAAGGAAGGTCAGATGTTCGGCCTGTTACATATTGGGACTGATCAACGAGACCCCTGTCGCAACACACACTGAATTGGCGACACAGCCCCCAAAGGATGCACTTTGTCATTGGTTTCTCCAATTCATTCGAGAACCAGACGCTACTCTACTCTCGAATGGCAGCCTACATGTACCTAGGTAGAGATTGGTGGCCGCTGTCAAACCCAAAAAAATCGCCCGATTCGCTCAGCTGACAGCTTCACGACAGAGCCATGAATTGCAGCCCCTGGCTTTGGATAGCATCTTCACGTGTTTTTGGTGATGTGGTTCAATTGCTCTATCCCAGCTTTCCCGCAGGCCTCGTTGGTGTCTCCGGCCCCGTCGGCTCAGACAATGCTAGGCCGAGGGCCACGACGCGGAGTACTCGGTCGTGAAGCACGGACCGATCGGCCTGCTGCACGTCCCGCACAACATCGTCAAGATGCCCTTATCTCGGGCTTCTGTTTGCGTCCGAGGATGGAGAAATTGTTGAAAATCAAGATTTTGACTTGTCAAAAACGATCGCTGATGTACTCGGTGGTTAAGGTGTGGCGAATCGCACCGACGGTGGACATCACCGCCAAGCCTTCAGTTCGACTCAACTTCCTAGGTATCATCGTGAACATTCCGACGAAGCCGAGAAGAGCGTTCGTTAGCTGATCACGAGGATCTATGATACTTTCCATATCAGGCCTAATGGATGTCAAAGGTGCTCGCTACTACCAGAAACTACCAGAAACTACCAAAGTACTGGGAAGGAGGACCCGGGGCCGTGGAACCTGTCGGAGAGTCTCGGGGTCCAACTAACGAAGCTAGACTGGATCTTTTCTTCGTCAAGGTTTGTGACAAAGAAATCAGGAATGACCAGGCCATGGGGCGCATCTGGTCATAAGCATAACAGGGATCCACCCAGTGCCTGTGCCGGCAGGTTCTGTAATCAGCTGAATGATTTGATGAGAGCAACTTGAATGTTGCTGCTGGGTCCCTATTCCGACACTTAATGGACGTGATCACCCTGACAGGGTTTTTCCTGATGCTTTCAGCGGATGGAAACAGTCGTATTATCCATTCGTTTCTCTGGTACCACCTACTGGTCTGATGAACCAGGGTCAACTGGTTCAGGCCAGGAGTACCCACCACCTGGGCAGCCAGATGTAATCTGAATAAGGCGATAATGTAAGCTTCTGATTGGGCTCCAGTCAGGTTGGATTTCTAGGTCGACGCTGACTACTCCTGTCCTAGTCCCTTTGAGAATCCGAGAGATAGTGTTGCCGATCTGTCAGCTTTGTCACTCGATACTGAAACGAGTTAAGAACGACTGCTGTAACATCACCGTGTGCTGCCTAATTCTTGAGATCAGCAAGGCTCGCTGACAGCCGACCCAAAGCAGCAATGCCCCCAGTGCACTATGAGATACCTAGATAGTTAACTACGCAGATAGCCCTGAAAGTGGCCGTCCTGAACACAGTCGTGTCAAAATGAAAATCATTATGAGGTGCGTCAGAGAACCGATCTGGGAACCAAAACATGAACCAAAACAGAGGCTGGAGGTCTGAGGCGGAACACGGCCAATAAATCAGTACTTTTCTTGTTGAAGCCTCAGGGTGTCCACTTAGACGAGCAGGCTAAGTGTTCACATAACTAGACTGGCCAGCTTTTCTGAGAATGATTACACACATCACTTCTGTGATCAAACCCCTCACGATGCAGATTGCCTGAGCGTGTACAATGTCATGGTGGTCCCTCGAAATGTTTCAGCCCTGTCTTATACAAATACACCCCCTCCAAAAGCAGAGTCTCACTGTTCGTCACACAACACCTCGGCACTCCTGGCAGCTTACTTCCTCCCTTCCTCCAAAACTGACGAGTCTTGATCTAAGACGAACGTGACTTTGCTAGCTCCGACTGGGCAATGGCAGTTGAGCCTCCCTTGATCCTTTCACCTGCGACATTCTTCTCTCCCTCGGTGATATTAAGCAGCATGTCAGCATTGATGGGCTCATTAGCATGCTTCTGGGCCTGGGCAGTTGGTCCGTCCTTCAGGGGCACGCTGACCGGTAAGCTTACTCTCAGCGCTGTTGATCTCTGAGATGGTCTGGCCGTCAAGCGTCCCGGTGTGCTTCTGGCCGTTGTTGCTCGCATACATGTATTGTTAGCAATCATGAATGAGCAAGAATTGATTGTCCGTCACCAAGGAGTCTTATGCCAAGGATTCGGCAGGCACACAACTCACCTCGATCCGAGCCCGAGCGGCCTGCGACTGCGCCGCAGCGGCAGGCCCCCCTGCAATAGGAGCATCATTGTGGGTAATATATCACTCGCCTTTGGCAATGCCGCTGACGACCGAATCGCTGGAAATATTGTCGTGGACGTGGCGTTGGGCTTGGGAGGTAGGGCCTCCCTTCACAGGGTCATCCTGGCTGGTGAGCGTCTTCTCCCGGTTCGTGATATCAGAGATGATCTGCGAATTAACAGTGCAGTCGGCCATGGTCGGTGATCTTGACCCGAATCGTCTAGATGTGTGAGAGAAGGACGTCTGAGTGCTGTGCGAAGCGCTGAGAAAGGTATGAGGGCTGAAAAGCCGAGTGGGAATGCGTCTCGAAGTTGTTTGTGTCTTTGCAGCTGACCTCGTGAGAAGGTTGGTGCATTTCAAGAAAATTCGAGCGGGTGACATCGTGGATGATTTCCAAGGCTGTTTCGAACCCTTCAACACCATCACTGTTTGTGCCTGCTTGTTGTGCAACAGTTTGGCATCTCAGGGAAGGTATGCCATCATTTGTGCGGCTTCAAGCTGTACGTACATTCCTTTGATATTGTCCTATCTGGTAGTTGGCCGTTGTCTGTTGTTGCCAGCTTGATGATGTCGGACGTTAGGATCGGTCGACCGGTGACTTCACCAGTCCCACAGCAACCCGACTCTTCGTACAGCATACCCAGGTACTTGCAGCGATCATCAAAAGCAACGCACTAGCCGCACTTGACCAAATTATGGTGACGCCATGTTTGCAGGTGTCGGTTGAAAGCGAAACCACCAGGATGAAATGCTCCGGCCAATGGTAGGAAACGTCCATTTACTGTGCTGTGTCTACGTATATGACTGACAGAGGCAGTCTAGATTTGAGAGCATATCATTCACATCAGGCTGTTCCTAGATACCTCGTTTTCGAATGTGAGCAGTTCTTGGACGCCAGATGGGCTCTGGCTGTCTGGAATAGCAGCCACGCACACGGCTATTCATTAATTGATGTGGGCCTTGAACTGGACAGACACAGTAATACCATTGCCGTGTAAGTTTTGTGACAGGACAGTCAATGGAACCGGGCTGCCAATTCCAGTGATTCAAGTTGTGTTGCTCAAGACACATTGATGTGTCCCTCAGCTCAAGAACTCCACAATCCTGTCACCCACAACCACCGGCGCCTCAATGCAGTGCCAATGGCCAACGCCACTCAAGACCTCAAGACGCTTTTCTGAGCCCGCAGTGCCAAACTCCTCAAACATCTTCTTACTCGAGTCGAGCGGTGCCGACTTGTCCTCCTCGCCAGCGAGCAACAGCACCGGGCACTCAACGTCCTCGTACTTCGGCCTCGTGGCATTTGCGATGACCCGGCAATTCGACAAGTAGCCATACTTGTCCTGGCCCAGCAACAACTCTCTGATGAATCCCGCGACCAAAGGCCCCGACTTGGAGCCCGTAGCCGCCATGGGAATCGAGTTTGCCATTGCCTCCACTGTTGCCACCAAAAATTAGTAAGTGGGGGCATTGATTATAGATCAACATTTCCAGCACGACTTACTGCCCTCCTTCTCGACGGTATCGATGCGTTTCTCAAAGACCTTCGAAACCCCATCAGATGGATAAACAGGCCCAAGGAGCACAAGGGCCTGGATGCGCTCTTTGTGCGCGGCTGCGAGGTGCGTAACTACCATCCCACCCATCGAATGGCCCACGGCAATGACTTTACCCTTGACGGACAGCGCGTCGGCGAGGCCCAGGACATCGCCGGCCAGGGATTTGGTAGACTGCTCTATTTGAGTGTATGGCGAGCGCGCTGCGCCAGTAGTGTCGAAAGTGATCACGCGGAAGCCAGCCTGGGTGAGCCGCGACACGATGGGGGTGTAGAAATTCTGGGAGCTGCCCAGGCCGTGATGGCAGACAATCGTTCCCTTGGTCACATCGGACGTGGCCGGATAGTCCGTGTAGTGCAGGCGCTTGTAAGCTATGGTGATGAAGGGCATGATGGTCAACTGGTGGTATTCGACGTCGTATTGAGTTCTTTTCGAGGTAGGTGTTTCCCTTGATTTGTGCAGAAGAATCCAATAAGGCCGCGATTCAAAAGTTTAAAAAGAAGTGACGTTGCGACATTATCCTCAATGTCGTCGGCTAAAGCACCCGTAGAGAAGTGGAGCCGTGTCTGCCGATCGGAAGCGGGACTTGATGGCAGGACACTGGCCACATGCAAGGCTGGTTTCCACCACAACTTCGACCAGTCAGATCAGCTTCATTTGGCAACTTTGAGGCTGATAAAAACGCTGGCTGGAATTGAAGATCAAATTCTTGAGATTGTTTTCATCCTTGATTAGACCATTATCCGCAGTGGTCTTCAGGGTTGCCGTTCACTACACTCAGTGTAGTAGTGTAGTATAGTGGGTGTAAATAAGCCTACTATACTCTATTATATTAAGGGTATTTTTAAGTCTACTATATTATATTAAGGAGCTTAGTGTGTATAATATAGTGGGTTTAAGTGTAAATAGGGGGGGTAGGGGGAGGAGGGTAATAGAGGGAGAGGAAGGGAGGAAAAAGAAGAGGAAAGCTAATTAAGTAATTAGATAAAATAAGATAAAATAAAATAAAATAAAATAAAAGGAGAAGAAGGAGGAAAAAAGATTATTTATTTACTTACTTTTTTATTTATTTATATACCTACTGTTTTACTTATTTATTTACCTATTTATTTACCTATTTATTTACTTATTTATTCACTTATTTATTTACCTATTTATTCACTTATTTATTTACTTATTTATTTATTTATTTATTTATTTATTTATTTATTTATTTATTTATTTATTTATTTATTTATTTATTTATTTATTTATTTATTTATTTATTTATTTATTTATTTATTTATTTATTTATTTATTTATTTATTTATTTATTTATTTATTTATTTATTTATTTATTTATTTATTTATTTATTTATTTATTTATTTATTTATTTATTTATTTATTTATTTATATACTCCCTCCAGCCTATCCCCCTACATTTTAACTCACTATACTACACACACTTATACTAAAGGTCTATACACTATACTATATTTACACTAAGAGTATTTTAAAGTCCACTATACTATACTAACGAGCCCAGTGTGTGTAGTGTAGTGAGCGGCAACCCTAGTGGTCTTGCCCGATAATCGAGCGGTTGTGGTCACATGTGTATGGGAATCCAACTGGGCCAACAGCCTGAGTTCTTCTTATACTACTTGAAGAATTCTTGTAAATGTGTTAAGTATGGAGATTTTGGTGCTTTAAGGGGCTCTACTGGGTGAATTGTGTATGCATAAAACACATGTGCACTATATTCACCGTCGAATTTCGACCTCTAGAGACCGAGCGCCTAGGCATATTCTTAAATAGGGTTATCCGGTTCTAACTATTATTATTATTAGTATAGCTTTAACTATATTATATTTTTTATTTAACTATTTATTTATTTATTATTTTCTTAACTTTTAAATTAATTATTAATTTATATTTTAAGTATAAAGTTAATAATTATTTAATATATACCTTTAAATTTATTTATATATAAAGTTATTAACTTCTTTTATAAAGCTCCTTCTTTTACTATATTCTTTATATATTATATAAAAGTAAATAGATTTATAATAATAAAATAATATATTTAAAAGAAAGATTTAATTTTTAAATATTTAAATTTTTATTTACTTTATATAATATTTATTTAATATATAATAAGTAAACTCTATTTAACTTTTAAAAAGTTTTAATTTTTTATAAAATTTATATAAAAGACTTTTTAAATAAATTTATTATTATAATATTATTATTCTATTAATAATTATATATTTAAAATAAAGATTATAATATATTTAATTTATTTAATAAAAATAGATTTAAATAGTTATATAATAAGTATATTAATAGAAAAAATTAACTTATTAAATTTTATATTATAAAATTCTTTTTTATAAAAGTTATTTTAAAACTATTTTAATCTTATTATATAATTACTTTATTAATTTTTAATATAATATTATTAAAAATAATATCTTTTAATTTTATTTATATAATATAAAGTTTAATTATATATTTATATATTATATTTTCTTTCTATTATTATTAATATTATATTTCTTTAAATATTAAATCTTAAGTATTTACTATTATATAAAGGTATTATATATATATAGGGATTAAAAATAAAACTACCTATTATTAGTACCTAGAAGGCTTCACAGGTATAAAAAGTGAACTGTTAGGAACTCTATTCTTCTAATCGCATCTCCCTTTTAGAGGCCTGTGTTCCGAAGCAATTCATACTTGATGGGTCTGTGAAATCAAGGAAAGCGTAAGACAGACCCTTGGCATTCTAACAAATCCCTTTTTTTCATTAGTAGAAGCTGATAGCTAAAATTCACGGTATCAAGAGTACGGCATTTTCCTTGAAATTGGTACGGTGCTCAGGCACGGCACCGGGCCCCATCCATAAACTCCACAAGCAGCCTGCTATATCAGTGCCTTTGAACTTGCCGCCAAGCCTAACGGTTGCCCGGGTTGTTACTAGAGGAGACAAGTACTTAGGTATCCATGTGGTAAAGTATTAAGGATCGGCAAGATTGGTCTGGAAAGGGTAGATTCAAATTGGTCCGTGTTGGTCCGGCTATTTACGTTGCCTCCGTATATGGAGGCGGCTCGCGTGGTTTGCATTGGCAATCAATCGATATTATCCGTGGATGATGTCAAGTATAATAAATTGTCGACCCCGACGTCTTCGTGAGCGGATGTAAATTTGTCACAGATCCTCTAACACTCATATTGCTCTTCTCAGGACTTAACAATATTATTAGCCATCGGACCAGTCTCTCCCCAACATATCAAACACAATGCACCTCGGATATGTGGCTTGGTTGGCTATTTGTGCTGCCTTGCCTTCAGCTGCACTCATCCGATTCGGATGCTCTCAGTTGACTGTGACGAGGCTCGACCCTTTAGTCAACCCGGGAATTAACCCGTCTCCTCATCTTCACCAGATTGTTGGTGGTGTACGTGGATCTTTGAATCATCTGTGACCACAACATGAGGATGTGCCTAGATGATTGCATTAATACATCTAACTGTGCTCACAGAACTCCTTCAATGTATCCATGGACCCAGTCACTCATGACCTTCCGAGTCTATCCACATGCACCACTTGTCAGTTTACGGAAGATCTGTCTAATTACTGGACCGCCGTCTTGTTCTTCAGGGCTCACAATGGAACCTACAAGCGAGTACCCATCCGCGGAAATGCGGGATTCGAAGGTGCCGACGGGGGCATGACAGTATATTACATGCAGGATGGGTTGGCAGACTTCGAGCAGCAAAGCAGAGTCACTGCATTCCAACCGGTAAGTTTGCTCCGTACCAGTCAGAGAAGGAAGTCAAAGCTGTGCTTCAGGAGGTTCAGCTTGACCTATACGCTAACACCAAAGAACACGCAGGGTTTCCGTATGCTGGTCGGCGACCAGGGAGCTCGTACACCGGACAAGGCGGAGAAATACCGCCAGCTGACGTACACTTGTTTACAAGATTTGTACACCCGCTACCCGGAGACCAAAAACTTACCTTCCGGGCCTTGCCCGGCCGGGATCATGGTGAATGTTCGATTCCCTACGTGAGGAAACCCTTCCTGTTGGCCCTTGCCATTGTATGGTTTGCTGATCATCAGGGAGCAGTTGCTGGGACGGTGTGAACCTCGACTCAGCAAACCACATGGATCATGTCTCCTACCCCGCCAATGGTACCTTTGAAGGCGGTGCGCCTTGCCCTTCTACACACCCAGTCAGGATCCCACAGCTCATGTTCGAGACCATTTGGGATACTCGGCAGTTCAACAACCCGAGCGACTGGCCCACTGGTGGCTCCCAGCCTTTTGTGTGGTCGATGGATGACAGCACGGGTTACGGCAACCATGGCGACTACGTCTTTGGCTGGAAAGATGACTCTCTACAAAGGACAATGGACTCTTCATGCTATGTCAACTGCGACACCTTGACGACCCAAAACATGTCTGCTCAAAACGGGTGTACTATCCCCTCGGCGGTTGATGAGGATGTGGACGGATGTAAGTTGGCGATATCGTCATTTCGTCCTTCGTTCGAGCCGCTGATTGTCTTATCCTACGCAGGGCTTGATGCTCTACCCGGACTTTGAACGGAGACCTTGAGACAGATCAGTTGAAATACCGCAGAGATTCGGAATGAATGAAGGACGAGGAAGAGCGGGTGGTGTCACATGAAAATGTTACTGCTTTTACCTTGCAATGAATTTGTCTTCCCCTACTCGAGGTGGCACAACGTAAGCCCGGGGATCACGCTTCAGGCAGCAAATGATGGACGAACAGGATGCAGCAGCAGATATACGTGCATGCCATAGGATCACCATGTGTGCCAGCTGGATAATGGTGCTAACCACATACCTAGGAATATTCACTCCAAGTCGAGCTGGACTTCTGGCGGCCCATAACGAGAATACCTGATACTTGATAGAGAGGACTGCTGCTTACTTGGGCACCTCGCTACTTGGCTGAGGATATCACATCCCTTTCAAGTTCCATAGTAGAGCGGAGCTTGAGCTTCGGTACTAAAGACGAGATTTCACTTATTGGGCCCTCACAATAAGTGGATGCTCCTCGAGACGGCTCAACTGTTAGCCCTGGAGGCGAGCAGACGACAGACTCATTTCTTTGGCACAAACACGTCACCTGAAGTACAGAGTACGCCTTCTGAAGACCACTGCCACGTCACGCGCCATAGTTTTGATTTGATTATCGACTCTTCATGCCGCATTGCCTGCCCAATCCGGCCAGCCCAGGTGGCGGGCTATGAACCCAGCGTGTAATCCTCGCCAACGCAGCTATCGCGTGGCCCTGCATCGCATGTAATAACATCTGAAGTGACCCAGCCGGCTGCAGTAAATATCGCCCGGCGCGTCCATGAATAGAAGTACAGGTTGCCTCAATTCCGTAGTCCGCGTCTCAGCGACTGTGACTCGGTGCTCAATGAGGCCGCGGTTCCCAAATCTCTCTTATCCATAACCCGAACAAGTATTCTGCACTTCGGCGACATAGACGATCTCCTATTTCGGTTTCACCTGCCCAGTTGGCCACGCGTTGAAACTTGACTACCCAGTCGAAAGTATAAGTCTTACCGTGAACCTTGATCCGAATCGGATCCGTCTGATGTTACTGTGATGCAGCCCACAGGGCTCCAGGTAGTAATTGGTCTGTCAGAACGGTTTAGTCCCTGAGTAAGGTCATGGATCATCTCGCTGGGTCCGTCACCCACGGAAAGCCTGGCGCATGTGATAGGCGGGAGCTGCAACCCCTTGCCGCCGCCGACATCGACGCCAGAGAAACATGATTTGAAAGCCGATAGATTCGTTCCCGTAGCACGGAGGCATGCAAGTACCCTAGGGTAGGCTCGGGCTGCCCGCGGTCTGGCAAAGTTATGAACGTGCAGTTAGTTATTCCCGTTGTCTGGTCCACGACGATTAGGATCATTGATGCTCAGCCGCCGTGGCCCGATGGCTGTGGCTTTCATCCTTTCATCCCCTCGCTCTCGTGATCTGCAATGCCGTTCGTCGTCACGACCTGCCTACGAAAGAATAGACGACGCTTGCTCTTGCCAGCTCGAGGAGACAAGCATTCTTGGCGTGGATCCAATGCACGCATGCGACAGGAATTGCCGTTGTCCGTAAGACACGAGGAGCCTGCGGACGGTGAAGGAATTGTTATCCGCTTCCATCCGGAGTTTGATGCTCAGGGTCCGTACGCAGGACCACCCAGGAAACAAGGTGGGTCGTATTCATGCGCGGCTCTTCGCCCGGGGCGGACTGGACGGGCGGCGGTTTAGGCCGCCCAGGCGAAACAAGCTTCGTCGCAGCGGGGGCTGATCACTGACTGGCCACGCAGGCCACAGAAATCTCCTAGGGCCCATGCGGGTAGATTTCTCCGGGAGACAGGGGTTCCCGCTGTCAAATACTGTTGTATCTGGGGGTTTCCGCCTGCGCTATGGGTGGTGTGTTGCAGCGTATTTCCGGCTACCCGCCGCAATGTGTGCTCTTTTTCGTCCATGCTAATTAGCTCTTGGTCGCCCGTTGCCGGACAATAATAGCACAAGTCAGCGCCTTCTCCCGGTCTCTTGCCTGGTATAGCCGTCCACTTTGAGACGATCACGTGGGCCTGGGGTGCTTCAGCAGAACGTAGTCAGATCATCCGGGATATCACATCAGTGACATCTTGGCATGTTTTGAAGCAGTCTCTATGGAGTCTCAGTTTCTAATACCATGACGAGGCGCATCGTGGCCGTCGGGCTCCTCCACGAAAAGGGCGTCGATCCCCATCCATCCGTCTTGGCTTGTTTTTTGACATAAACTTGGCTTTTGCTTGGTTTTTCTTGGCTTCGTTTATTCTTGTTCATTTTCTTCGTGATTTTCATGATTTTCTTTCTTGGCCATCTGTGATGTGCAATATTGCGACTTAGTTGGGATTTCGTTATTGTTACCTTGTACGCTGAGCGTTCTGGGTTGTTTCTTGTCACTCCTTATTGGTCGTTGCCTGTAGATGGTCTAGACGGCCTCCGTTTTCTTTCATCCAATATGGGCTTCAACCCCTTCCGGTCTGTGAAGAACTTCTTCCACGACCTCAAGAATGCTCCCGAGGGACAGTACATTACCTCCGCGGCTGCACCGACCCAGTTCCCCAGCCAGGACTCGTTCAACCTCCCCGAGAAGGTGCACTACCTCGAGACCAGCGCACGTCTGAGCCGGCACTTCACACATGAATCCCTGGAGAAGCTCGAGCAGAAGGGAGCCGCGCCCCTACCGCCCCGCCCGGAGAAGAAGAAAGGCAGCGTGCTTGATGCTGTCGTGAGGGCGGCAGGATCGAGGTGGACCCTGGGTGTCGTGCTCCTCCTCCTGGTCGTGTGGGGCGTTCTGGGCGCCGTGTTTGGACCCACGGACACCTGGCAGGTCATCCTACAGGATGTCTCTTCCATCCAGGCTTACACTTCTGCCACGCTTCTCATGCGACAACAGAACAACAACACCCGCAGCCTTCTGCAGCGGATCTGTGGCCTCATCTCCCGCAGCGAGTCCAATGAGCGCATGATCCGGTCCCTGACGCCCGAACAGCGCGCCAGGCTCAGGGCTTCCACACAGAAGATCAGGTCTGAAGTGGTCGACTCGCTCGCCCACAAGCAAGACGTGTTTGACAAGATCTCGAACGGTGTTGCCAAGGCCACAGGGTCTCTGATCGCCCTGATCATCTACTGGGCGGGCATCATCGGCTGGGCGTTCTCCGGACTGCCCCTGAAATTCTCCGACACCTGGCAGCTCGACGTCAACACGGCCACCGCGCTTGAGATCACCTTCACGACGGTCTTCTTGCAGAACATCCGTAGTGCCCATGACAAGCACCTCGACAAGACTGTCCAGGGGATCGAGCGCCTCGACACCGAGATCGAGATGCAGCTGCGGCGCATGACGGGCGACATGACGCCGAACCCCACCATCGCCAGCGAGCCCTTCAAGCTGAACCGATGGGTCAAGGGGCTGGACATCTACGCATACATCATTGGAGGGTCGGTGGGTGTGGTGATCTCAGCGTTTGTGTTTGGCACCTGGATCCTTGTTGGAGACCCGATGGAGTTTGATGACAACTGGTTCCTCATCATCGGCACATACACCGGCCTGATTGGTTTCATCGACGGCTTCATCCTCAAGAACGTCGACGCGCGTGAGGCCAAGCTGGCCATGAAGCACTTTGACAAGTTACTTGCACAGGATAGCAGGATCTTTGCGCTGATCGGGGTCGAGGTGCCGGAGAGCCAGCTGGTGGTCAAGGACTCGCTCAACATCCGCATCAGCAAGACGGTGGGACGTTGGGTGGAGAGCACGACTGCAAGTTGGGGGTCGATCCTCACGGTGTTTGCGCTCCTTATCGTGGCGTCGGCGATGCAGTGGACCGAGACGGGCCAACTGCTCTGCAACACGCCGACCATGATCATCGAGGGCTTCCTGCTGCTGACGCTGATCCAAGCCGAGAACATTGCGGATGATAAGAAGCGGGTTACCTATGATAACATTCTGAACCGCAGGCTTGTTCTAGACAAGCACCTTGCAGGGTGGGGAGGGTCAGATGACTATGGCTCGGATGGGATGAGCTTTGACGAGAAGGATGGCGTTGCTGTGCAGACATTCAAGATCAATGGCCAGGACGTGGAGATGGGCGGATCCTTCTAGGGATTTCATGATGTCGGTCAGGATGGTCCAAACTAATAACCTGGGGGCTGGGCTGAATCCGTGCTGTCTTGTAGAACTTGGCACGAACTTCATTTAGAACATTTGAATGCATTGAGCGCGGTGCGGTTTGAAGAATAGTTAAAATACAGTCAGTCTTTACGGAGTAAATGATAATACATCTTGTTCCAAATCCCACCACTAGCCCACTTTACCCCACTGTCAAGCCGCCGCACGCTTGTAATTAGCCCCACCTGCCTCCGAATTGGCCGCCATCTGTGAGAAGCGAGCAAGAGGTGCACGTGCCACTAAAAATCACCCACACCCAACTCCAGATTTCTCAGCCAGAACCTTAATTTCGGCTATAAATTTCTCAACACACAGATATTTAAAGTAAGAATAAGAAAGAGATACTGATCGCTTAAAAAAGTCTGGTATTTTAATGCTAATTTCTCACCTTCTCAATGTCTATTTAAAAAGTCATTTTGTCTGGTGACTCTTGGTGGCACGTGCACCTTGAATAAAACCAGGGTAATTTTACCAGGGGGGGCCAACTCTCGCTCGTCCCAGACAGCATCTTCAACCTCATTTCTACCACGACCAAACCCCCCCCCCCGCCTACGACATGGATCGGCGGCGACTCCCTCCAGTGCTCACGATGCGCGAGGTTGTCCCTGGTGCAGGCGTCAACATCGTGCTCAAGGCAGACCAGCCAACGGGTCGCACCGTCCAGGGCGTCATCGCCCATGTCCTGACGCGCGGCGACCACCCTCGCGGCATCAAGGTGCGCCTGACTGATGGCCGCGTTGGCAGAGTCCAGACCATGTCTTCCTCCGCCCAGCTCCAGGACCCAGCGCTCCACGACGGCCTGTTCTCGTCTCAGGGCCCTCCACTCAGAGGTCGTCCTCGAGACGGCGGCGGCGACATCAGATACAGCGACCACCAAGGAGCTCCGCCGCCGCAGCAGCAGATCGGCCTGGACGCATACGTCAAGGAGAAGAAGCCCAAGAAGCGCGGCCGAGGCAGAGGGAGCAGCAGCAACATTGGCACCGCTGCTGAGGATGAGCCACCCGCCCACGACTTGGCCTCCAGCTCCAGAGCCCCATCCGAGTCGGCCACTTGCCCAGTCTGCGGCGAATTCGAAGGCGATGAGGTCGCTGTCGCCCATCACGTCTCGTCACACTTTGAGGAGGTAGCCACTTGAAGTCTGCACCAGATTCATGCCTGGTTGCACCCCAGGCCCCCAGGTTGTCACCCTTTGCTGGTCGACATGACATCTTAGCCATGCTGCAATGGCAAGACCCATTCCAGGAGGCACAAATCGAAGAAAACAACCCACTTTTATCAGACAGACTACGGCAGTGACCAAGAAGGGCCACTGGCAAGCTACAAGCCGAATCTTGTCGCCGGGCAGGCTCAGACACCATGGCGAACCGGCTGCCCCCGCTTTGTGCAATACCAGTCTCACCTACTTGCCTCAGAACTTGGGCTTTAGCGCCTGCCCATAGAGCATCGCCCCCGGTGCGGCCACCCCAAGCCCGAGTCTTCTCCACTTCGCGAGGTCGCAACTGTCGCCACTAGCAGCTGGCGGACTTTTGGTCGGCTGTCTGTCTCTCCGGCTGGTGCAGTAGTTCGGAAAGCATAGCAATAGTTCCGTGTTAACCCCTCCAAATGCTTCGCCGAGGTCAGAGGTCACAACTTCGGATTGGCGGCTCCCAGGCAGTCCACCACTTGGCTCCAGGGATACTGGTCGACTTCGCTCATGTCTTGGCCAAACGGTCCTGCAGGAACCCTCACCGTGCTATAACGGTGGCAAACACGGGAAGTTTGTAATATCGACCCTGACCAAACCTGGATGGCAAAAGGTTCAAAGTATCACTGTTGAGGTGTCCGGAAAACACAATTCAACAGCTATATGCTGGCCCTCATCTCATGGCCATCCCAACTGAATTAATCAAGCCCAACATAATTTCAGAATGCATCACATGTAATTTCACTGCTTGCTTCTCGCCATCATGATTGGCAGCGAACTGTGCGAGTCAGTGTTGAGGAAACCAGTGAGCTGAAAAGGGCCATGTTTAAGCCAGCGACGGCGGCACGGCCGAACGCTTCGCCTAGCCGACCGTCGATTTTCTGCGCGAGCTCATCCTTGTTTACTGCTACTTTTCGCCTCGCTCTGATTATTATCAAGTCACTGCGTTGTGTACCATCGAGACGCGATGACCTTGTGCACAACCTCAAGTGCCTGCTTGACGGCCTGATTTGATGTGCTTGGGCGGTAGGAACATTCAATTGATGGCAAGTCCATGACGTCCGATGAATGAAAAGTGCTTCAAGTGGCCTCGGCGCAGTTCTATAAAACCACTTCGCACGCGTCGCGCTCGAGCGATGACTAGGCCGCCCTTGAAATCTCGACTTCCAGTACAAGCAATTTCCCTCTGCGAGTGACCGCCGTTGATCGCTGAGCTGCCGCCTTTCATCCAACACGGAAGCAGTGCTGCAACAGCTCTGAGAGTATTCCACAATAAACATGTCTGCCGACAATGTAACGGAACGGGATGAAAAGGCAGAGCCCAAGGCTTGCACCTCTCGGCGACTGACGGATAAAAACGTCTCCGCAGAGGTGGTCACCGAAATCGAGGGGTTCCGAGTGTTTGGTCTGTCCTCAGAAGACATAGATTTCTACAATGGTTTCAATGCCGAGAAGCGAAAGCGTGTTGTACGCAAGGTAAGCGTCACTTCAATCAAGTCCCCTGGGGTTGCTACTGACAGTAACTGGCGTGTTAAGATCGACCTCCGCCTTATTCCCGTGTTGACCATCCTATACTTGATAGCCCACATTGACAGAGCCAATATTGGCAATGCCAAGATCGAGGGCTTAATTGAGGATCTGGGGCTCACGGGCACCCAATACAATGTCGCCCTGACAGCGTTCTTCCCTCCTTACATCCTGTTCATGTTGCCAAGTAACATCCTACTGAGAAAATTCCGCCGGCCGTCTCTCTACATTGGGACGTTGATTTCAATCTGGGGCACAGTTGTGACCTGCACCGGCTTGGTTCGCAATTTCCCTCAGCTCGTCGTGGCTCGGTGTTTGTTAGGGCTCTTCGAGTAAGACACCCACGCTGCATTGCGCAGAGATGGCTTGACATTGCCAGAAAGTTCTACTTGGGTAGCCAGACTGACATCCACAACACAGAACTGGCTTCTTCCCAGCAGCAGTCTATATCTGCAGCCGATGGTACATGCCAAGAGATTTAGCAAGTCGCGTCTCTTACTTCTACTGCGCGTCTGCTTTCTCAGGGGCTTTCTCAGGACTCCTAGCTGGTGCCATTGCCCAGTTAGATGGTCGCGCTGGTTACCATGGTTGGCAGTGGATTTTCCTGGTCGAAGGCCTATTTACCGTGGGTCTCGGATTAGCCTGTCTCTATCTCTTGATTGACTCGCCGAATTTGTCACGCAAATGGCTCAACGCAGACGAGGCCCGGTTTCTTAACCTCCAGAGCTTTATCAAACAAGGCGGAAAGCTGCAGTGGATTCAGGAACAGCGGGGTCAATTGTGGAGGGATGTCAAGGATGTCCTGATGAACTGGCGGCTTTATGTGCATGGCTCGTTCCTAATCGTCAACACATCATGCTCGTATGGTAAGCGACATCGCTGCTTCAATGTTGTATCCGTTTCGCCCAACAAACTGACAATTCGAGCTCCAGGAATAAAATTCACCCTCCCCACCATCATGAAGGCCATGGGACACAGCACCATGAACGCTCAATTCTTGTCTGCGGCACCTTATGTTGCGGGAGCCTTTTCTGCTCTCCTCTGCGGCAAGCTGTCTGACCGCTTCAACTGGAGAATGCCTTTTATCGCAATCCCCGGCGCTTTCATCTTGATCGGGTACTCCGTAATGCTATCCCTCAACGGAGCACTCGCCACCAACGCCCACGCCGTCTGGCCTGCAATCGTCCTGGCCATGATAGGCATTTATCCGATCCAGCCCGCAACTCAGGCATGGAATGCGAACAATATCGCTCCATCCAGCCGAAGGGCAGTCGGTGTGGCCCTGACGAACTCGGTTGGGAACATTGGCGGCATCATTGGTAGCTTCATGTACTTGGAAAGCCAAGCCCCGCGTTACGAGACCGGCTTTGGGCTGAGTCTGGCTCTCGGGGCTTACGCTTTGCTTGCGGCCTTGCTGTTGGAGTGGAATTACATAATCACTAATGCAAAGAAGCAAAGGATGGCTGCGGACGGTTCGCAGGGCGATGCAGATTTGCTGGCTATGGGGGACAAGAGCCCGCTGTTCAAACATGTGCTGTAAGCGCTTACTGAATTCAGGCCAGGGGCTGGATTCGGTGCACCTAGTAAGCAGCCAGGACAAAATGGCCAAGCAAGAGGGACCTCGCATATGCAGTCTCAGCCTCTTCTTTACTTTCTATATAATGGGAACCTGGCTGCCGTCTCTGCATTTGGGGCGTCCGGGCGGTTCGTCCACCATTCACTTGATTTTTTTTCGCCCCCTACTAGTAATTCCAAATATTGTTCTCCATCCAAACCGCATACGCACTGATCAATATGGCCCTCAGGCAACATTTTGATCTCGTCGTTATTGGCGCTGGTTTGTCATGTCGCCCAAGTCAAATGTGTCCCGGTGCATTACCTCGGCCTATGTTGCTGTTTGCTAAACTCAGGCATAAATAATAAATAGGCTGGGCGGGGCTGGTGAATGCCAAAACGTACCAGCATTTGCATCCTCGTCATTCTGTAGTCCTTCTGGACCAAAACGAGAGCCTTGGTGGCACAGTAAGAATCTTCGATTCTTTCTCTTCGCGTCATTGGTCCCTACCCTCACTTGTTATTTCAAGATTCTCGGAAGTGGTTCATACACGCACCCAAACTTTGCGCTATTGTTGGTTGCGGCGAAATTGGCAGCGGGTGCAGAAACTGTTCTGCTCGGTGCATCTGCTCCAGTAACATCGGCCATTTTCGGCGGCAGCTGACTTTGTATGATGCAGTGGTCTAAAGAAAGACTGTACCCCGGCTTGAAGACCAACAACCTCATCACCCTTCTCGAGTATCCGGATTTTCCCATGGTTCCCGAGGAATTTGGAGTCGAGAGAGGTCAGCATATTCCTGGGCACGTAGTCCACGAGTACCTGTGTCGCTACGCCAACAAATTCGGGATTGCAGATAAAGTCAGGCTCAAGCATACGGTTGTCAGCGTTGAGCATCGGGACCAAGGCGGGTGGATCATAACAACTGAAGCTGGGGGGGAAACCACCAAAATCGGTGCGGCAAAGGTCGTGATCGCCACAGGGCTTTCGTCACAAGAGTTTCTTCCGAAGTTTGATGGTGAAGAGACTTTCGGTTCACCGATATTCCACTCCAAGCATTTCCCAAAGTACGCACATACAATCGATACAGCGAAGTCTGTGACAGTTTTGGGCGGACCGAAATCGGCCTGGGACGCTGTCTACGCCTACGCGTCCAAGGGGGTGCGTGTCAACTGGGTGATACGTGGTACGTTCAAATAAAATGCGACCTTGAATTCTTACGAATCTAATCATATCCTTTAGAAAGTGGCCATGGTCCAATTTGGCAATCACCGCCATACGTGACACCTTTGAAAAGGTGGCTCGAGAAGCTTGTCAATACTCGATTCTTGACCTGGTTCAGGTGCGCACCGTGCTCTCTCCACTCCTTTGTCCCTGCTCAAATGAAGAACTGATTCCCTCGGAGGGGTCCTTGACGGATTGGTCACTCTTAATCGCTGTTGTTCGCTGTGCTTGCCCAGAGAAACATTCATCAAGTACAGAATTTTTACTATTGCTAATCTAGTTCAGCCCCTGCATATGGGGATTCGCAGATGGATACACCGGCATCAGGCGACTTTGGCACGAAACAAGAATTGGCCGTGCTATTACTCGTGGGTTCTGGTGGGCATTACGCAACGACACTGTCATGCTGAACCGGTACGACTATCATCCCGAGGCCAAGAAGCTGAAGCCATGGACCGATTCATTCTTCAGCGGCACATCCTACTCTATCTTAAACTATGACACGAACTTCTTCGATCACATTACGAGCGGCATTGTCAAAATCCATATAGCAGACATTGTCAGGCTGTCTCCTTCGACAGTACACCTTTCCGACGGAACATCAATAGAGACTGAATTGCTCTTGTGTGCGACCGGTTGGAAGCATGTGCCACCGATACGATTCTTGCCCGAGGGTATCGAGAAAGAGATCGGACTGCCTCACACACCATCGGGAGACGAGCCGATCTGGAAGATGGAGCTTGTCCGCAAGGCGGACGAGGAGATCCTCAAACGCTTTCCTCGGCTGCGAGATCAACCGAGTAGCAACAACAAATTCATCCCGATGGCTGAAGCCAAAGGGCTATCTACCCACGATGAAGATGGAGTCTCCAACCCGTCAAGGCTCACTGCGTACACACTCTACCGTTTCATGGTCCCACCATCTCAAAAGTTCTTCATGACCAGGGACATCGCATTCGCCGGTTTCGCTACCAACTTCTCCAATGTGATTTCATTTCACCTGCAGTCGCTCTGGATCTCAGCCTTTTTCGATGGACACATCGTGGTGCAGGAACATGACGACGAGACACACAATGGGGCAATGGAGAGGCTTAAATACGACACGCTTCTCCACAATCGGTTCGGAAAATGGCGGTATCCGGGTGGTCGCGGCAGTGACTACCCAGATTTCGTCTTCGACGCGGTGCCGTACTTTGATCTTTTACTCACCGATCTTGGCCTCAAGTCGCATCGCAAGAATGGGTGGTTAGCTGAGATCTCAGACCCGTATGGGCCGCCTGATTATAGAGACGTCGTCTCTGAGTGGGTCTCGAAGACGGAGGCTCTGCGCGCTGGACAGCAGTGATGCAAATGTGTCCGATAAACACTAATGGAGCGCATCATATCTGGCCGAGCGATCCTTTGTGCAAGAAGTCGTTGAAATCGTGTCATAAGATCATAAACTTCTATAAAAGTAGTCTCTCTAGTTTCGCTCCTATTCCAAATTTGTCCAAGGACATACATAGCGCCTTTATACGGTGGTAAACGCTCAAGATCCAGTGTTTAAAAGATATGCGGCAAAAGTGACAAGTTTACGCCGTCAGCCAGTACCCACATGATGAAATGAGAGGCCGAGATAAACATTCGTCTATGTTTTTCCAAATTCAGCTTTTGGTAAAAGAGCAAAGCCCACGCCATTTTCTCCAGTCGTTTGCGTCCCAAACTACCCATGAGACAAATTGAACCTCAGGCTTGGGCTACGGAGGCTGTACGAGTGTTGGAAATATCAAGTGATATGGAGGTGAACTTTGTCTTTCAATTGTTTGTATAGGAAGTCAGGCCGTTACCTAGGTACTTAGGTACGCAGGGGCGACTCATGGAGGTCAGAATGGATATCATGCTTCTATATACCTCCGTAACTGCGTATATATCTAATTAGAAATAGGTCCCCAGTGAGATTGATCGTCATAATAGTCTATGCAGCGGTCCTGATAAACTGTGACGCCCTTTCTGCCAGAGCATAAAGGGTTGCAGTCAAATGGCCGCTGAGCTGTAATGGTAGTACTGAAGCGTCTACCACACGCACGTTACTCGTCCCGTAAACCTTGAGCTCCGAGTCGACCACGCCGCCTAACTCTCTTGCCATCATCGATGCTGTGCCGATAGGATGATAATTCGGTTCGACTAGGTACTTAGTAAACACAAATGATGGTATTTACACGTACTACTACTCACAATTATTGGTTATAAAACCGACCCACTCTTCGTCTGACCATGGATCAGCTGTGACGTTATTGGCAGTAATACCCGCGACAGGCTTCGCATGCCAGAATGACTGGGCCTGCTTTCCGATAGCCACTTGGGTAGTCATATCTATGTCTGCCGCAAAGTATTGCGGATCGATCATTGGGGAGTCGTATGCATCGATGGAGGCGAGGTGCACCCGTCCCCGGGAGAAGGGCAATAGACACCACCAGGCAGTCAGCAGAAAACCTGAAGATGATGCTGTGATAGTCTCGCCTATGGTAACCTTCTTGTTAAAGATCAAGTCATGCTGTATCCGAAGAATTTTCTCAATGGCAGAGGCGTTCAACCCCCCTTGGGAAGCGGCATTTTCAGCATATGCAGTCAGCTTGGAGCCCACGTCGCTCGAGACAGCCGCTGTCTCGGCTCCGAAGAGGTCCTCAGCATTCGCAAAGGTTGCATAGGTAGTATACCCAGTGACGTTGTGTGTTGGCACATAGATGAGGTTACTGTTCGGTTGCTCCTGCAGATTCTCGCCGACTCCAGGCAGATCGATAATGGCTTCGATACCAAGTTCTTGGAGGACGCTGTCGGAAAGTAAGCGTCAGCAAACACCACATGTGCATTTATTCTAGGGAGCTGACTCACCTTGGATTGCCAATTCCAGACATTTCGAGGAGAAGAGGGGTCCGAAGTGCTCCGGTAGAAATGATCGCTTCTTTACTGACATCCAGAGTGACCGTTTGATTATTGCGGTCAACATATCGCACGCCAGTGGCTGACATGACCCCGTCTATTCCATCTTCTTCCCATTCGATGTTGAGTGCAGTGCCCTGGAAAAGGACGAGATTCGCTCGGCCCTCAACTGGGTAGTAATATGCTCTTGCAGAATCCCACCTCAAGTCAGGGTTTCTGTCGATGGTCATAGGCCACACGTCAAAACCACGAGTGTCGCCACTGTTCACGTCGGGGTTTAGTGGGTATCCCAAGCTTTCCCACGTTGTCTGCACAATTCCTGGAAAGGAGCCATTAGGAATAGCGTATCGATACCCCACATGTAATTCGCCTTGATACCCATGGGATTGCGGCTCAAAGCTGGCACCAGCGTCTTCTTGTGCGGTCGTGGGGGGTGTAAACCGCTCAGTCCGTTTGTAATATTGGAACAGTGTATCCCAGTTCCACCCTTTATTTCCAAGAGCCTCCCAGGCGTCAATTTCTGCAGCGTCCGCCCTGACGTAAGTCATTCCATTAATAGTGCTCGTCCCCCCAATGGCCTTGCCAGAGTGAAAACTGAATGACCGGTTTGCTGCGCCTGGCTGGGCTGTGGAGGGATAGGCCCAGTCGATTGAGGTACCCAAAGCGGTGATAAAGTTGCCTGCATCAGTGACATTAGGGTTATTCCGTGTGTCTTCACCTGGCTCGATCACAGCAACGGATACATTTGGATCCTCGGACAGGCGGTTGGCGAGAAGCAGGCCGCAAGTTCCACCGCCTGCAATCACGTAGTCAAAGCTTGTTGCAGTCGTGATTATGGCCTCTGATAAAAGGACCATGAGAATGCGGCACATTGATGCCTGTGGGTTCATTTTGAAAATCAAAGCATGTGCTTCACAGGACTTGTCCTGAGGTCTCAGCGGCTCGCTTCAGGGAGAACAAGGGAGGTAGATGTGATTGAGGCATCTTTGCAGGTCCAAAGAGCGGCTACCTGGGTATTCTAGTAGGAAGCTTGTATGAAAATAGTTACTACTAGTATTCCAGACCCCAAGGAATCCAGCGGTCGTACTTCGGAGCAACCTTCCAAGGTTGTAATAGATCTGCAATGATCCGTCTGCGGTAGCCATCGTGATTCGTGCAAGGATCCTTCTTCCAAGTCCTCTAGCACAATCTAGGACAGTAAGCCACTAAGCTCGCCACTTGCCAACCCCTCTTACGCCACGACCTGCGGGAAATTTAGATACCCAGGTACTGGGTTCTTCAGCTTTACTGTCAGAAGTCCCCAAGGCTTTGGAACTACCTACTGGGGTCCGGGGGGCTTTTTAACATAAGCGGAATATAGTACCTACATACTATTAAAAGGCTTTTATAAGTAATTCATAGTACTAAAATTATTTAGTCCTATATAAATTATATATCGCTTTTTAAGTTAATGTAATTTATTTATTAATATATTATTAGGGGCTTAATATATAAGTAAAAAAAGGGGATCGATTGTTATTAAAATTAAATTCTTTTTTCTTTTTCTTTATTAACTTAACTACTTTTTAACTAATTTTTAACTTAATTATAAACTAATATCTACCTACTTAACTCTAACATTCACCTACCTAATAATTTCTATAAACCTACTTAGTACTTATTTTTCTTAGTAACTCCTTTATATTTATAAGTACTTTTTAAATTAATATAAAGAGATTTTATAAAATAATTTTCTTCTTTAATTTTTAATATTTTAAATATAAGCCCCTTTTAATATACTTTTTAATATACCTTTTAAACTATATATATTTAAGTATTAATTAAGTATTTAAATATAAAACTATACTTTTCTAATTTTTAATACTTTAAACTTTTATTCTTTTAATATTTAATTAGTATTTAAATACTTAGTTAATACTTAAATATATATAACTTAAAAGGCGTGCTAAAAGGCGTGTTAAAAAATATATTAAAAAGTGTATTAAAAGGTATTAAAAAGGGTTTATACTTAAAGTATTAAAAATTTAAAGAATCTTAATTAAGTATATAGTTTTATATAAACTTTATATATAAAAGTTAGTATTAAATAAGTTTATAGAAATTATTAAATAAGTAAATATTAAAGTTAGGTAGGTAGATACTAACTCTTTAATTATTACTATATATAAGTTTATAGAGTTATAAAGTTAAGGAATTATAAAAACTTAAAATTTCACTAACTTATAAAATTTAATATTAATAAATTTAAAGATTTTAATATAATATTAACCCTTTAATAGATTTTACTTATAATAATATTTTATTAACCTTTTATTAATATTTATTTATAATATTTAAATTCAATTTAAATATTTATTTTTAATATAATTACACACTTATATTAGGGACCCCCCCTCCCTCTAGTAGGTACGTTAGAAGCAGTACCGCTATTTAGACCGTAGAGTTTACAGCCCTCCCTTATGTAATACTTTCAGAATCACACAACTTGAAGTTGTGCCAATTAGCGTGTTAACCTATGTGGTAGCCAAATGCCCAGGTGGACTCACCTTAGGTCTAATTGTTCTTTCAGTGACCTTGCCTTGTCCTCCGTGCTAGGAATAGATCGTAATTACTTACATATGTAAGGATCAGTCACTCACTCATGTCAACCCTGTCCACGAAACTGGACTAGACGCTGTTAGGGTTGACTTTGAGGTTAAGGTCAAGGGCGAGTTGATTAACATTGGGATGGCCGCCGAATTCCACCCCAAGAACGCTAAAGTTTGTTAAAACCGCATCACATTCATCTTCTACATAGGTAACCTGTTGGCATAATCTCAAATGATTTGATGATGCTATTGCGAAGCCCCCGACATTTGCTTACTTTAGACATATGGAGTAGGTATCTCTTAAAGGCTGTCTAACATGGAGTCGTCTAATTTCCATTAACAACTTTTGGAAAATTCATGCTGTAGTACGACTATTGCGCAAAAGGTTTGAAATCAATGATGATATTTCAAGTCATGGGGAAGGTGTCTCTGTCGAAGGAAGGCTTTAAGAGGCGTTTACAGCAAGTACTAATCGGAGGACTTCCACTGGCTGGTTTCTTGTAAAACGGGTTTGAACCGGAAGGTTCAACCTACCGAGGGGAGGGGGGTAAATTAAGTATATAGTACTATTATTTTAGAATAATTATAACATTATCTTAAAATATAAACACACTATTAATATAACTATATAATATTTAAATAATATAATACTTTTTAATTTAATATAATTTATTATAATTTACTTATTATTATACTTTTAATATACTATTAAAAATTTAATATATAGTAAAAAAAGAGTTTAATTCTTACTATAATTAAGTTTTTTCTTTCTTAACTTATCTTTAATCTAACTATTTATTAACTATTATTTAATTTAACTATATATAATTTATTAAAAGTTATAAAAGTATAGAAATATTAATATTTAATTTATTAACTAACTTATAAAATTTAATATATAATTAACCCTTTAATAAATTTCACTTATAATAATATTTTATTAACCTTTTATTAATATTTAATTATAATATCTAGATTTTATTTAAATATTAATTTTTAATATAATTACACACCTATGTTAGGGACCCCCCTCCCCTCGGTAGGAAGAGATTGTCCATAGATAGTAGGTTGGGCAGTGATGACACACTAGATGGTTTTCCTTATGGATAATCAGGCTTAGTAGGGTACACACCCCAAACTCAAGTGTTCTTTAGCTCCTATTTTTGCGGTAAATTGGCCATGTATGTCCTCGGACGTATACGGAATAGAAGCGAAGCCACCCATTGGCCGCCTCTGCAACCTTTAGTCCATGTTCCGATGATGTTCGAATCTCTCAACAGAGCAGGACCGCAATTGAATCCATCCTTTTGTTTTGCTTTGCGTGCTTAGAGCAGCGAAAGTCAGACTTGTGGGCTCTGTCCCGACTTGTCCCCATCGGCTACTAGTAGTACCTAGGTAGGTAGCTTGATGCTTATGTACGGTAGCAATGCATTTGTTCGCAGTAGATAGGGACTTTAAGGTCTTGATATCATATGCATCGATATAATGTCACTTCCATTTTAATATGCCCTTGTCGCAAATCAGGAGATAACGTGTAGACTTGATGCAAATGGACGCGGAGCAGTTTAAGGTGTCTTCCTAGACGAGAGCATAGTTTTCTGTCAGGAGTCCCCATTGATGCCGTTCGCTTAAAGATAGATTCCCTTGTATGCTTAAGAAATTTCTGCCCGTTCAAACATCGGTAACGTCGAATCCACTTATGCTGCCCCCAAAAATGCAGCTACCTGTATTTAGGCACCGCAGTGGCAGATAGTTCCACTCGATCCTCAGGCTCATCAAGCCGACTGTATCCCCCATTATACCCCATCGCTCGCTCGCGCTCCATATAACCTGGGTGTGTGCCCTGTCCATATGCGGGCGGGACATCGAGGTTCGCATGCTCTTCGTCCTGGTCGCTGCTGTTGCTGTTCTGCTTATCTTTTTTCTTGTCCTTTTTTAACATCTTCTTGATCCTCTTCTTGATCTCCTTGAGGACCTTCTTAATGGCTTTCTCCTTGTACTTGTCTTCCTGGCTCTGGCCGTCTTGGTTCCCGTTGTTGTTCCGGCCCCCCTTGCGCTTGCGCCGGCGGCAGCAGAGGCACCAGCATGCCGCCAGGGCGAACACGGCGAGCACGACTATCACTATGGCGGCTATGGAGCCGCCTGATAGGATGTCGTCCATCCCGCCTCCCCCATCATCATCGTCGTCGTCGCCATTCTGTCTTTTAATATATCGAACGGGAATGCTATGGGCTGCGTGGGCCAATTGGCGGATAGCCGGCATTGTGAACTGAATATCGGGACTTCAGGAGGATGGAGGGAGTTGTGGTGACTGGCAATGGCAAGTTTTGTTTGGTACTGCAGCAAGTAACACAACACGGTTACTGGTGTCGAATTATAAAGTTCCGGGGTTGTAGCTGTGGGGAATGAGCGACTGAAGCTAATATGACTGAAGACTGTACGGATTTGATTGCTTTGAAAGCTCCTGGGCAGTTCTTGTGCTTTTTATCTTTCGATACGTGTTAGTCTTCGGTGAGCCAAAAATATAGACATTTCCTTCCGGGGATGCCTGTCATGCTTTGTGGCTTGGCAGGTGTATCCATAGACCACCCCGTCACGGACCCTTCATTTCCTATTCAGCTATGACTGTCACCGCAGCAATGTCCCGCCCGCTTTGGCTCCGGCGTTGGTTGGCTGAATCGACACAGGCTGACTCGTAGCGACTGAGTGACGTAGGCCGTTTTTTCCCTCGCAGAATTTTCGCCTTCGCATGGAAACTGCAGGCCACTGGGCCGTGGCCGAAGCGGCAGTCCTCGTCCGGTGTGGCCGCGCGCTGCAAATCATCAGGCCTGGACGGGACAGGACAGGGCGGCTCAGGGGTCGGATGCGAGGTCGATCATGGCGCATCCGTGGGGAAGGCTGCTAGGCCCAGTGCCCGTCTTTAAAACTCTAATCCGGGACGAAGCTTTACCTAGGTACCCAGCGCACATTCATGTGACTTCTGCTAGTAGTGTATGTATGGATGGCTCTGTATTTTATTAATAGCCTTGCACGTATCCACGTTGCATGGATGTTATAATTTGCCATGTTCACGACAGTGGAATCTGAATGCTTCTCTGGTATTGACACCAGCTGTCTGATGCTGCAAATCGAGATGTTGTGCCCGCCTGCTATCTGAAATGCAACTGTGCTCCTCTTGGGACCTGCCACAACAGGCATTTCGCGCGCATTGATACGCATTGGATTTATGCGCTGGAGGCGATCGGTAAGCCCGCTGCTGGGATGCCGAGCCACAAAATTCACGGCAGTTCATTTTCGGGGCCGGCCCTCGCTGCCCGGCTCCCGTCCGAAACACCATCCAATATTGCTTATCTTTATTCCTACGACAGCATCGGCGAGAACGGGCCTCGACATTTCAAGTCTGCAGGCGTAATCGCATGGCAGGGGGCAGATGCAAGCTTTGTAACTGTTGCGGTGGCCACATCGAGACGTGGATAATATGATATGCTCCTGAGAATATCAGGGATTGGACGTCATTTCGAATCATATCATCTAAACCCAACAGAACAAATAAAATAAAATAAGAATGCCAAGACTCAGGCTGATAAACCCGGTCACAACATTAAATGCATCTCGGTGTGGGAGCTGCAAAGCCACCTGGGCAGCTTAGCATACTTGCAAATCAATGTCCTCAAGCCGCTTCGTACCTCTTTTTGACGCCCCAATGAGCCTAGACCAAACATGGATCATGGACTATGCTTAAGGAGGTTCCCATCAAGTGTAGACTACATCAATGCACGACTTCAGCAGGATTCGATTCGGTCGGGTCTCGGTTGGACGGGGGTCGAGTCCCCGCACCGGAGCCGGCACCGGACGCCGAGTGAGACTGTCTCCGTCATGGACGGTCTCAGATCGGCACTTTTTTCTAAAGATTTGGAAGCTGCTTTTACCGTTCGTTTTGAAAGATACAGTTGAAGAACCCTGAGATACCTACGTCGCAGGACTCGGGAATCATTCCAACCAGTCAATATCGCAGGGTCCAGCATTGAGGATGCCACAGGCAAGCCAGGACTGGGACGTCTTGGTCGTGGGGGGCGGCAATGCCGGGTTCAGTGCCGCCATATCCGCTGCCGAGGAACTATCCAAGGGCAGCTCACAGCCTCCGCGGGTGCTCATAGTTGACAAGTGCCCAGAGTCATGGGCGGGTGGGAACAGCTACTTCACGGCCGGCGCGATGCGCTGCGTGCATGGTGGCCTGTCAGACGTCCTGCCGCTTGTCAACAATGTGGACACGGAGACTGTGAAGAAAATCGACCTGGACCCTTACACGGCGGAAGACTTCCTGAATGACATGCACCGTGTGACAGATGGGAAATACGACAGAGAGCTGGGCCGCAGGTTGGTGGATGACAGCAACGAGACGGTGAAATGGCTTGCGGCCCACGGCATCCGCTTCCAGCTAAGCCTCAACCGACAGGCCTACAAGATAGGAGACCGGTATAAGTTCTGGGGAGGCCTGTGCCTGAAGACCCAGGACGGCGGGAAAGGCCTGATGGAGGACCACCGGCGGGCGGCCGAAAAGGTCGGTGTAGGCATAATGTACGAAAACAGCGCCAGAAAGGTCTGGGTGGACTCGAATCCTATCAAGTTTGACTCTCTCGAGGTTGTGGGGAAGGGCGGGCTGAAGTCTAAGATGCGGGCCAAGGCAATCGTCCTCGCTGCTGGTGGCTTCGAGGCAAACCCTCGCATGAGGGCGCAGTATCTCGGGCCGGGGTGGGATCTGGGCCACGTGAGAGGCACGCCGTTCAACACGGGAGAGGTCCTGGAGATGGCAATCCGCGACCTGGGGGCCAGACAGGGCGGCCACTGGAGCGGGTGCCACAGTGTTGCTTGGGACGCGGACAGCCCTGCCAATACGGGGGACCGAGAGACATCAAACGAGTTCACCAAAAGCGGGTACCCCTTAGGCATCACGGTCAACAGGGCCGGGGAGAGATTCTTTGACGAGGGCAGCGACATCAGGAACTACACATATGCTAAGTTTGGGAGGGCAATCCTGGCCCAACCAGGCGGCGTGGCATTCCAAGTGTGGGACAGTCAGGGGATCCCATGGCTGAGAAGTGAGGAATACCGCGACGAGGTCGTGGACAAGACCTTCGGAGGGTCAATCGAGGAGCTTGCCTCGAAGTTGGAGAGGGGCCGAGGGCTGGAAAGTGCCGCGGTGCTGGTCGATACCGTGAGGGAGTACAACGACGCAGTGTCGAGGCACAGGCAAGAGCACCCTGACGCACGGTGGGATCCTGCAGTCAAGGACGGGCTGTCGACGCAGTCATCTCAAAAGAGGCTGCGAGTGCCAAAGTCGAATTGGGCGCTGCCGCTGGCCGAGGGGCCCTTCATGGCCATCAAAGTGTGCTGTGGAGTCACCTTCACCTTTGGTGGCCTCGCCGTCGACCCCAACACGGCGGGTGTCATCTCGGAACTCACAGGCAGGACAATTCCTGGTGTCTACTGCTGTGGCGAGATGCTGGGCGGGCTGTTCTACGAGAACTACCCCGGGGGAACCGGGCTGACGGCTGGGGCAACATTTGGCAGGAGGGCTGGAATTGAAGCTGCTCGGTTAGCCCTGACCTCAAGATGACAGGACTCCCAAGCAGACGCCACCTGATGTGTTGGTCTATAAATTTACCTACCTAGGTAGTAACTCGGAATTGGCGACGCCCATCGTCAAAGCAAGCGATGGAAATCCCAATATTTTGGGCACCATGCCGCTTCTATCAACACTTCAAACTTACCTTAAGTGTGATACTACAGCTCTACTTCCTCAAGCTATTAGGTTGATTTGCAAGACACTGTGACATCATTTGAATGCCGGGACTCTCTTTAGGCCACGTCTGTGAGCCTTTACTGCCAGTCTCTACCGCTTCAGTATTTGAAAACCATGATGGTGCATTTCGAATCGGTCACTGTTGAGCGCTCAACTTCAGTTCAAGCATCTTCACTCTGACCTCAAGCTGCTATTTTCTCCAGGAACATGCATGACGTCTACCCACAGACTCGGCAACTTTGAACTGTCCGGTATTTCAAATGACGCCAGGACATTGAATGGAACAACTTTGCTACCTGGGAATGCAAGAAAAAGCCACTAGGAATCAGTACCCTATCATTGATGGGATCTGAATCCGTCCTTTTAAAGCCTTTCAGTACGTCGCAAAGCTGAGGCCACAAGCACCCATCGTATTATAACCATAGTCATTAACATAGTGTCCTTTTCAAGCGCTAGGTCTTGAGCGCTTACCACCGTATGAAGGAGCCATACCTACCGGGGGGAGGGGGGTAAATTGAATTTATAGTATAATCATTTTAGAATAATATTGACATTCTCTTAAAACACAAACACACTATTAACATAACTACAGAATGTTTAAATTGTATAACGATTTTTAGACTCACATTATTTACCTATTAATATAGTCTTAACATGCTATTAGGGGCCTAATATATAGGTAAAAAGGGAGTTTAATTCCCACTAGAATTAAGTTTTTTTTTTCTTTTTTTCATCCCTAACCTAACTACCTTTTAGTTAATTTCAGCTTAATTATTACTATATATTAAATCTATAAAGCTATAGAGTTAAGGAAATATGGAAATCTTATTTTCTCGCTAACTTATAAAATTTAATACTGGTGGATTTAGGGATTCTAGAGGGATTTCTAATATATATTAATATAATGTCAAAACCTAATATAATATCAACCCCTTAACAGATTTTACTTATAACAGTATTTTATTAGCCTTTTACTAGTATTTAGTTATAATATTTAGATTTTGTTTAAATGTTAACTTTTAACATGATTGTTCGCCTATGTCAGGGACCCCCCCTCCCCCTGGTAGGTATATGTCCTTGGACGTATACGGAATAGAAGCGAAACCATATAACTATATGTGAACAGATGGACTGGCACGGTGTGGACTACAGCAACCTTTCAAGCATCTTCTCGTGCTGCGGCACCGAACAAAATCTGCCATGTTTGTCTGAAAGTTTCATTCCAGTCGTCAATTGGGACACGCATAATGAACCTTGGATTGTGCTCATCTCGGCCCTACACCCCGAATTCTACAAGCCACCCCCTGGGGTAATACTATGTGAGACACATCAGCACAGTGCATGGCGGCACCCGCGAAGCATATATTGACTCGGAGCGATGTAACATTTGGCCTGGCCTTGGGCAAGCAAACATTGACGCTGATCTATTCGGCGATGCCGGTGTTACGACATATACCTAAACCTGGTCTTCGCCTTCTGCCAATCAAGCTCATCCGCCGTTAGATCCCTCGCCCTCGCCTCCATGACCTCCAATGGCTCATACACGGCACCAAACAATGTCCCGTTCCAACCGATGGTATCTCCCGGGTGCGGCGTGGAGCCGACACCGTAGTCCTCCGGGTCCTGGTGAGGGGTCGTCAGTTCACCGAGGGATGTGGAGTAGTTGGAGCTGAAGAACGGCGCCTCGTTGGCCAGGTTGTATTGCGCGGCGCAGATCTCGAAGCGGACACTCGGCAGTGAGGAGTAGTAGAGGTCGTAGCGGGGGTCGAGGGCCTCAGAGAGGGACCGGACAGACCCGTCTGGGTGGAGGACCGACCACGGGGCCCGGCAAGAGTCGCCGATGCAGGTCTTGAGCAGAAGCATCAGGCCGTTGAGCCGCGACGTCAGCCGAGCTGCCTCGGCGGAGCTGTCGGCCTTGATGGGGTTCAGCTCGTATGGGTCTGCCACCGTGTCGTACAGCTCGCTCTCGCCGGTGCACCAGACTGCGTACATGTAGCTGTAGTCCTTGGAGATGATGCGGGCTGTCTTGTAGGAGTTGTTGGTCACGGATTCCGAGTAGCCCATATTTGATATCTCGATGATACCGTTGCCCCAGTACTCGACATTGACGGTCTCGACGGTGGACACATCCGTGCTAGAAGAAGTGTCGCCCGAGACGCCAGCTGTGAAATACGGAAGTAGACTGCGGCCGTCCAGCCAGCTTGGCCACTCCGACTCGTCAACGCCGGCGAAATCGAGCAGTGTTGGGGCAATGTCGATGTGGTTGGACGGGATATCGGTGGACAACCCAGCGGGGACGCCAGGGCCACGCATAAAGAAGGGCACGTGTGTGTCCTCCTTGTAGGGGAGAGTCTTCCCACACGGCACGCGGTGCTGGCCCAGGTGGTAGCCGTGGTCAGCACTGTAAACGATGACGGTGTTATCAAGCTCCCCCTTCTCCTCAAGCACATCAATGAGGTGAGCAACCATCTCATCCACAGACTGCAGGGTTTGAGCGCGGGCGCGGGCTACCTCGTCGACGCGCTCGATGACGCTGCTGTTCATCAACGGGAGCTTGCCCACCCACGACGGCTTGTCGTTGGTAGCCGGGTTGAAGTTGGGCGTGCGCGGGGCAGAAACGTTCTGGAAGAGGTTTGCATGGCGAGCAGCCGGCACCGGCGGCCACTTCCCGCTGTCGTTGAAGGTCTGGTGCGGCGCCGTAGGCGCGACGACAAGAAACCAGGGCTCGCCGGTCGCGTTGGATGTAAGCTTCTCCACTCTATCCACGGCCTTTGCTCGCACGACGTCCTGGAGGTAGGAACCGTCGTAGTAGCGTGGCGTGGCCCCATCGATGGAGAAGACCGGGGTATTATAAGTGTACATCCATGGGTCGAGCATACCGTCAAACCGGTCCCATCCGGCCGGTGGTGTCTCATAGTTGTAAATCGCATATCCGTTCATGATCTTGCCGATAAACTCGGTCCTGTAACCGGCCTTCTTGAGGTAGTGCGGAAGATTGTTGTCATTCTCCCCCGAGGCTTGGAACTTCTGGAAGCTTCCTCCCGGAAGTTGGACGTTAGTGTTGTTGGTATTATGTGCCTGCTGCCCACGGAGCATGGCAACGCGGGAAGGGCAGCATAATGCGACTGTCGCGTAGTGGTTATTGAACGTGAATCCTGAGGCGCAGTGTCAATAAGATGTACTCGGGCTGAACTCGTTTCTGTCCGAATATCACACTCACCCTCCTGCTGAATGCGACTGGTTACCGCGGGTAGATAGTCCAGGGACCCCAGCTCAATGTCCTGGTCATCAGTCAAGACGAAGAGGATGTTAGGCTGCGCCGCCTGAACGAGTGACGCAGCGAAAGCGCCGAGGCAAATCAGGGACTGATACATCTCGTATGTCGGAACTACAACGCCTGAACAAACCACTCCCGACACCCGGACGACTGTGGTGGTCAAGGCGCATCACACATATATAATTTTTCATTCTCATGACGGCCCAACTGACCCCCTGCAGCCCGGTTATCGCTTATTTCCCCCTTTCGTTACGGCTACCGGGCATGATACCATTGAGTTTTGCTAGTACCAATGCATGGATGGGGGTCGTTGCAATGATGGCAGGGTGTGGGTCGATGGCGCAATGCTCAAGTGGCACTAGCCAGCCATTGACGAAATCGTGGTCAGCTCAAATCAGATCTCTTGCTCCAGTTATTTCCTCCGTCATTTGGGCATCGCGGATGCAAATTGTAGATACCGAATCATGTGCCACAGTTGCACCGTGGCGTCTGATCGGGTGCCATGACGAATCTGCGTCCGGCACACGGAACAGATGAATTCGTACAGCGACGACTCATTATCGAGTTGCAATTATGCTTGTCTGCGCAGCGGTGCGCGGTATTGTCAGGAGATCTCCGGCTCCTCTATCTTCCACCCCTACATCCCGAGGTCACATACAAAGAATATACCTAGGTAATGTGGGGTGTGCGGAACGAATGTGGGGATGATCTCCTACTGGTGCTGAACACTGAAGGTTCTCATGGTCAAGGATCATCATATCAACAGTCTAGCTGTCTTTGCTCACCGTCATCTCTGGGGAGATATTAGGATAAATGCAATCCCCCGATGGAGTGAAATCAGACCTATGCAGCTACTGAGCAGCTACACCGATATTTTTGGCATTCTTCCGGGAAGCTTTTGTGAAGATTTGATCCAGTCCGAATTCGGTAGCTCCCGTAATTGATGAGCTTGTTTGCTTTAAGGCCCCATGCACTAGTAAACATTATTAGCACGCTCTCACCGTTGGAATTACCCAGATAATTCACACACTCGAATGCTGGACACTGACCCACATTGTCACCCAATGTTCGAATACCGGCATCTCCGAACGTAGTAGCTTGCAAAGACCCTAGAATAGAAAAAGAAGAGACTATACTGAGAGACCAGGGTGTCTCCAAAAGCAGAATCACACTGAGGCATGCAAATCAACAGTCTTCTTAGGGACGTCTCTCGTTTATGGGCCTCGTGTACACTACCTAGGTAGGTACCTAGTGCTTGGTCTGTTACTGTGGGACCTAAGCTGTGTTGTCACAATATAAGGACTACGTGCCTATGGCCGGTGGCGGAGTCGCTTTTGTTCGAATAGAGTAGTGGCTTATTTGTGACATTTATGATACGTAGGCACAAGCCAAGCAAGTTATGTTGGGATCGAGAGTTGAGGATCACATTGCTCGCGAACTACGTATTTACTATGATTGAGTGCCATCTTCACGGCCCAGGTCACTACCTAAGTATGTTAAGCCTCATCAGCCTGAGAAATGCCTACTCGAGAAACCAGTTGAAGTTCTATCACTTGATATCTCATGATTGAAGAAAGAAGTTTATTTACTGGTCGTAGATGAATATTGTACACCATCAAAAGCAACAACCCCCCCCCCCAAAAAAAAAAGAAAAGACAAAAGGAAAAACAAGAGCTCTTCCCTTGACTGCGAGTGCCTCGCTCATGATGCTGTAGGCTTGAAAGCAAACCACTCCTTGACACCGACAGCAGCGTACGCGCCACTCCGTCCTGATGGATTCAGAATGGCCCTGATGGATTTTGTGGAGATGGTCGTGAACTTGGTCTCCGCGGGGCTGTTGGTGACCATGGTTGAGAACGCAGTGCTGTTCGCGACGCGAGCCCACTGCCCACTTTCATTGAGATACTCGACCCACCATGAGGCAGGCGGGGCAACGCCGGCGGTGGCCCCAGCGGGAGCATCGGCGAAAAAGGCGATGGCGGTACCGTTGAGCTGCACTGTGGCGTTCCAAGTGTAGTACAGGGTGTTGCTGGACGGCGACTGCTCGGCCCACGAGCTCCAGTAGTCCGGGGGTAGAGGATTAGCCTCGACACGCTCGTCGTTGATTGCCTTCACCCAGTACTGGATGGGCGTGCCGTTGGCCGAGGACGGTGTTGCCGCTGGCGCGATGTTGCGAGTCGGCGTGCGCGGCGGGGCGGCTCTCTTGGTCGGTGTGACCTTAATGATGGAAGGGGGCGATGTTGTGTCGTCCCAGTTGAGCTGGTCAAATGCGATGCTCCGGCGGAAGTGCGTCCCGCCGGTGGCGTCGCGAGTGTGGTAAACAAGGAAGTACTTTCCTGAGCCTGCTGGTAGCTCGAAGACGCCCGGGTGCGAGGTTGTGGAGGATACAATATCAAGGGCAATTCCGCGGTAGGTCCATGGGCCCAGCGGGTTTGAGGCGGTGCCGTAGGCGATGCACGCATGGTAGCTAGTCGGTGTGCACGGCGAGTTCGGGCCGGCGTTGTTCCCAGCATACAGCATGTAGTATGTGTCCTTGCGCTTCATGAGCCACGGAGCTTCAAAGAACCCATTCAGGGAGTTGACCGCCACAATAGTGTTGCTCTTGACCGTTACCATGTCTGTGCCAAGCTCAACGCCCTTTAGCTGGCCGAACGTCCCCCAGTAGAGGTACACTTTTCCGTTGTCGACAAGGACAGTGGGGTCGATGTTTTGGATGTTGTTCTGTACTGGCACGCTCTGTGAGATGATAGGCCCTGATGGGTGAGCATCTGTGAAGGGCCCAAGAGGACTGTTCGATACGGCAACGCCAATGGCGAAGGGGTCGGAGTTGGGCGAGTTGGCCTGAGTAACAGGCGCATAGAGATAGTACCGACCATCCACACCGCGGACAATTTGGCTGGCGTATGCGGATCCCTGGCTCGCCCATTTAAAGACTGTCTGAGGAACCGCAACATTTTGGTGCAGTGTCCATTGTCCACCTGAGGGTGTTGCACTTTTGCTCTCGAATATCTGCCACTGGTTCATGGTAAACTGGTTCTCGGTAGCCCCGGCCTCGTCCCGACCGGCCAGGATATATACAGTGTCGTTGACCACAAGTGGTGCTGGGTCCGCCGAGTAGATCGTGCCGTCGGCCAGAATTGGATTGCCTGTTGAGGTAATAGTGATGCTGGACTGGCGAGGCTCGAGCAGCACAGCTGCATCGGCTATTGAGGCCGCCGCCAGCCATGCTTGAAGGTACCACGCAACACGCGCCATGATGAGTCCCCGATTGTGAGAAGAATGAGCGATGTCAGTTCGACAAACCTGAAGGGAGAAGCAGATCAACATCCATCACGTCTAGAAGTACTGGTAGAGCATGCTCCCGAGGTCGTGGGCAAAGCTTGGCAGTGAATGTCATGGGCACATTCTTCTTTTGGAAAGGAACAGGACCATCCTACGTAACATCATCCAGGTGTAGCTCACTGACGTCCACAAATGGCAGTCGTCCGCCCCCTTTCTTGGCACTTTAAGTGGTATTTCGGGTGCTTTATCCCCGAAGCGCGCCACGGAGAAATGAGCGCGTCAATGTGAGACCGCTTAGCAGAGCCAGGTGGAGAAATTCAGCGGGAAACTTGCGCCCTGCCAATGTCCGCTCGCAAGGCAAGCTTCAACTCCCATGAATCAATTCAAATTGGCTGGCCCATGGTCATACAATTACTATAAGCACGACATTTTTTATCCATCTGAGCTTATTCTCTCTTAGTATACAGGCATCCCGAATGCATCCGAAACATAATGCCAGCTATCAATGCGCCTCTGGTCGTATACACATTCCAGGTGCCGTAGGTCGCCCTGCAAGATCGTTGCATTCAAGGTGAGAGGTTCAATTCCATGCTCCGCCCAGTCAACCAACACCATTTGGCCGCCAGGTTGGTCTGTGACCAGGGATTGTTTGGCTCGTAAGGGTTGAGATTGCAGTGCGCGCCACCCGGCACAAGAAAGCTTATTGAACTCGTTTACGGCCTGATGCTCTCATTGTACTTCGCCCGGGTTCAACGCCGTGAAAACCGATTCATACCTAGGAAGTTTACCACCGTATGAAGGCGCCATGTATGTCCTCGGACGTATACGGAATAGAAGCGAAACCACATACCTAGGAAGTACCGCACCGAGGAGGCCGGTTAGGATCAAAAAGTTAGACTCGCCGTGCTGGTGCAAAATACTGGCGAGTTCTTGATTGGGGAAATACCGGGCCGCTTGGTCATAACGACGTTGTAACGATGGCATCTTTTCCAGATCCAGTCTCGGAGTGTGCAGCGCTTGTGCTTGGCATTATCAAGGTTTGCCAAGTTGGAACCCTCCTCAAGGTTGAGTAGACCTACATAAACGAGCCGCCCAGAAGTTTGACAGTGCCTTTCCACTCGCCCGTCTCGTTGTCGTATCAATTGATACCGTCTAGGCCTCGTTAAAGCTAGAATACAGTGTGTAGCTAAAGTAGGCTGGGGCATATTTGCCATTGTCGTCATCCCGCTAGAATCTTTGTGCCACAGCAAATTCCCGGGCTGAGATGATTCCATTCCTGAAGTCTGCGCGGGACTAGCCGCGGACAATGGCGTCGTTGGCGTTTTTGGTGTCGCCGTAGGCATGAGTAGGTCGAGCCTAGCGTCATACCTACCTAGGTAGCTATTGATGTTGTAATTTGTGGCACATGATGAGTGCGCGAAACGGCACCATCAGCTTTCTTGTCAATAGGTGACTCGTTGATCCATTTTCTGACTAAACCCGAAAGACACTCTCATTATATCCTTGACATTCAATGTTTGTTACATTACTGTTCCGGGACCAGAAACGCATTTCTAGCCCACCCTTCCCTCATAGACGCAATGTCTCTTAATACTCTACATCTTAGGGACTTAATTCCCTTGTATATAAGTAGTTACAACAGTATTAAGTGAAGTACTAAAAGACCTTATAATTCTTTTTATTTTTAAGATACTTAGGTTAATTAATAAATAAACACCTTAGCTATTTATAATAGGTCGGTACTTAGTATTTATAAAATAAGTTAAGGATTTTAATTTACTTTTAAAAAATATAATAATTAAAGCGCCTAATTATAATTGATATATTAATTATATATTTTTATAATAAAAGTATTAAATTTTATATTATATTATAATTAATTTATAGTAATTTTATTAATAAAATTATAGTTATTAATAATAATATATTATTTATTTTAAACTTTTATATTATAAAAATTAATTTTATTAAACTTAAAGTAAATACTTTAAATATCTATTATAATAATCTATTAATTTATTATAAGTTTATAAAGCTTTAATTATATTATATATTTTTATATTATATAACTACTTATTTCTTCCTTAATTTAAAGCTTATATATAAAGTCTTTAATAATTTTATATATATCCTTATAATCCTTTTATAAAAGAACTTTAAATTTATTCTTTTTTCTTTTTTATACTTTTTCATATTATTAAAAATTAATAGTTATTAATAATAAAAGTATAGATTTAAAGGGGATAAATTTATTATATTATTTTTAATATTTTATAAATTATTTTAGAACCTTTTTAAGAGTTTTAATACTTTATTATAAAAGTTTTAAGGGTAGTATATTATAAATTATTTCTTTATTTTAAGTTTTTTAAAGTTAATAGTTATATATTTAAATAAAGGTTATAATATTTATTTAGTAAGGGTTTTATTAATATATATATATATTTAAAAGAATAATTTTTAATTAAGCTTCCTTTAATATAATTTATTTATATAATAATTATTTTTAGTTTTATTATATAACTTTTTTATAGTATTTTAATTAATATTATCATTAAAATAATACCCGTTAGCTTTATTTATATATTATAAAGTTAAGATTATAAGTATTTATTATATTATAACTATTATTATTAATATTATATTTTTAAATACTAGGTTTTATATATTTATTATTATATAAAGGTGTTATATATATTCTTAAATATATATAAAATAGAAGTAAAATTATATAAGTTTATAACAAATGATTAATAAATAATAAATTTATTAATAATTTATTAAAACTTAACTATTTATTATATTATTATAATAAATTATAATCTTTATATTTACTATACTTTTTAAATTAATATATTATAATAAATTAAACTTTAACTCTTTTTACTACTTTTATTTATACTTTATAGAATCTTTTAATAAGTTTTTATTTTTATTAATTATTAATTCTTTAATTAATTTAATTATTATTATTTATTTTAATAAAATATATTTTATAAAAATATTATTATTTTAAATCTTTTATTACAATTAATAGTTATAAATATTTATATACTATAATTTTATTTTAAAAAAATAATTTTAAATTTATTAAATTTATTAAATTTATAATATTTATTAAATTTTAAAAGTATAAAGTTCTTTAAACTAAGTGTATGAATTCTTGTTTTTTTTAAAAAAAATAGTTGTCTTAAAGTACTATATCCTAGAGAGTTTTGTTAAATGACAATCACGGCAACTTTAGGAGAAAAATTCTGATTATTTCCGAGCCAGATCTTTCACCTCAATAGGTAGTTAGGGTGTGTCTTCTGATGTTTCGCTTGGAAGTTGAGCAAGGACAGAAGTCCGCTGGCTATAACGGCACACCGTTCCCCACATTTCCGACTTGGCGAACGAACCAGTTCTTCTTGGAAGTCTTGGTCAATTTAAGCCTCTTCAGAAAGGAGTCCGTTTTGCACCTTGAACAGTCTACCGTTTCCCGAGGCAGAAGGCCAAAAGCTACTCTCCCCATCTTTCTCTAGGTTGGCTCCCTAATGGAATCCGAGGATGGGACGTCCCGAGTTGAGTCTAGCAGGGAATAATGACCTACTAAGGAGGCACATACCTAGGAATGTACACCCCATCGAGTAGTTAGCAGACGTTAGAAAAAAATGACCAATGTACATAACTCATCTAATACCTAGGTAGATATTGAAACCAACTCCAGATGTTTCATATGTATGCCCAGATGGCGTACGTACCTGCATGTCTTGGTTGTTTAATTACCCTCTGTCCGGTGCTCGTGGGCCCCTTCCTGCAGCCTGTTTCTGTGATGGGTCAGATCGCGCCAACCTTGGGAGGACTGCGTGCCGACTTATCCAGTTATGCTGCGCCGCAGGATCAGAAGCGGTGGACTAAAGGCTGGGCAGGAGAACCTCCCAGCAGCCTCGCAAAAGAATATAAGGAATGCCCACTGCTTCCTTTGCCCTCTTACTCTTGATCAGTATCCTCCTCATCTACATTCACTCTTTGAAAACATTCTTTTCTTTCTCAGGAACTGAGTTCTGTAGCATATTCAGCCTCCATACTATTCCTTTCGTTCAATCACATTCTGTATCAAAATGAAGCTCACCAACATCCTCAACCTTGCCCTTATCGGGCTTGCCTCTGCTGCACCAACTCCTACGACCGAGGAGAAAACCTTTGGAACCATCGCCAAGCGTGCCTCTGTCACTGAATCTTGCACCATCGGTTACGCCAGCACTAATGGCGGCACAACTGGCGGCAGTGGCGGCACCACGACCACTGTGTCTACTTTGGCCCAATTCACCAAGGCCGCCGAGTCGGACGGCAAGCTGAACATCATTGTCAAGGGCTCAATTTCTGGCAGCAACAAAGTCCGCGTCAAGTCTGACAAGACCATTTTTGGCCAGAAGGGCTCCAAGCTTACCGGGGTTGGCCTGTACATAAAGGGAGTCAAAAATGTCATTATTCGAAATCTGGCCATTTCCAAGGTCAAGGAAAACAATGGCGATGCTATCGGTATCGAGTCATCCACTAATGTCTGGGTTGACCACGTTGACCTGAGCTCCGACGTAAGCAGCTTCTGGATGCAATCTTCACCCCTTCAAGAACAAACAAACCACATTCTCAGCCTACATATTTACTTCTGTGACGGCTGACTTCTAATGCTCTAGCTTAACTCTGGGAAGGATTACTATGACGGACTCTTGGATATCACCCGAGAGTCCGACTTTGTGACCATATCTAATAGCTACATTCATGATCACTTCAAGGCTTCTCTGATCGGCCATGTTGACACGCACACTAGCGACAAGGGCAAACTTCACGTCACCTACGCCAACAACCGTAAGCAACTTCTAGATACAATATCTACCCCTTCGACGACAAACATGCCCCATTCTCAGACCATACAAGAAAGATTTCAGGCCCACTCCTTATTGAATCTGAATGAAGCGACTCGTTTGGTTGTTGACCGCTGACTCTTGGATGTTTTAGATTGGGCAAACGTCAACTCTCGTAACCCGTCGGTTCGCTATGGTACCGTCCATATCTACAACAATTTCTACGACAAGCTTGGCAGCACTGGTGTAAACACTCGTATGGGGGCCCAGGTCCGTATCGAGTCCACTGTCTTCGAGAACTCGGGCAAGAAGAAGGTTATCCTCACCGCGGACTCCAAGGAACAAGGGTACGCCACCGTCTCAGACGTTTCCTACGGCGGCGGCCAAAACACTGCCCCAAAGGGCGACTTTGGCTCCAGCAAGGTCCCCTATGACTACTCTCTGTTTGGAAGGGACAATGTCAAGGCCAAGGTTGTCGGCATAGCTGGACAAACCCTCAGTATCTAGGCGTCGACTTGGATTGTTCGGACTTGCCGAGCCATTGCATTGGGTGCCGGGCGCTTTTGAGCAGCGAAGGTTGAGAATAGCACAAACACTCAACTGCAGCTGGTGAAATTTGTGGGCAGCTATTTGCATGTGTTCTAAACCAAGGTTAGTCCAGTCTTGTTGTCACATGATGGTGCATTTCTTTGATAAGTTGTAGTTGCTTAAACTCATGGTATCACACCTGAGAGAGCATGTTCAACGGCAAATGCGGGCCCTTTGATAGGTTTACATTCAGTTTCAAGGCCAAGTGCCACAATTATATTATTATACTTCTACCTAGGTATCATCAATGTTATGTTTCTTCTGATGCTGGATGCTTAGGGATTTGCTGCTAAAAAAAGAGATTGTATATGGCTTTGTATGTGTGTGTATAAGTTAAGAACGAAACAACCTTGTTCTGCCAGGTTCATGTAAGCCGTGCACCTTCCCTGAAGGAGACTTATAACAAAGATAAATTAATTATATCATCCACATTTAACGTCCCTGTTCCTTCCAATCTCTGCTGCACCTCACTGAAAGTCAGTATAGTACTCTTGGCTAAACATCTTTATGAAAGACGCTAGAGGGCACTAAGTAATCTAGATCACTTCTGTGGACTGTATATTAGTTTTGGTAAGGACTCACTTTTCCCAATAAAACAGGCTTCAAAGATACAGCATCATGCACATACCTCTCCCCCCGAGATAGTGACTTCACAGCAAATATATAATGCAGAATTATTGAAAGTCTATGGACTTTGTGAGATTTAAAGCCGTGTTTTCACCTATGTATGTGTCTGTTAGTGGTTTCGAACTAACAATAAGACTTAGTGTTTGAGATAGTAGCTCCTAATAACGTTATATAGTTTCGCTTTTATTCTATATATATCTAAGGATATATATAGTGCCTTTATATAGTAGTAAGTATTTAAAATTTAGTACTTAAAAAAAATATAATATTAATAATAATAGTTATAATATTATAAATATTTATAATTTTAACTTTATAATATATAAATAAAGTTAAAAATATTATTTTAATAATAGTATTAATTAAAATTATAAATAGAAGTAGTTTATAGTTTAATTATTATAAAAGTTATATAGTAAGATTAAATCTCTAAAAATAGTTATTATATAAATAAATTATATTAAAGGAAGCTTAATTAAAATTTATCCTTTAAATATATATTATAATAAGACTCTTATTAAATAAGCTTATAAAGTTTAATATTATAACCTTTATTTAAATATATAATTATTAGCTTTAAAAAATTTAAAATAAAGAAATAATTTATAATATATTACCTTTAAAACTTTTATAATAAAGTATTAAAATTTTTAAAAAAAATCTTAAAAGTAATTTATAAGAAGATAAAGGAAGGGTATAATAAGCTTATCCTTCTTTAAGTTTATACTTTTATTACTAATAACTATTAACTTTTTAATAATATAAAAAAGTATAATAAAAATAAAAAAAAGAATAGATTTAAAGTTCCTTTTTAAAAGGATTATAAGGATATATATAAAGCTATTAAAAACTTTATATATAAGCTTTAGATTATTAAGGAAGAAATAAGTGGTTATATAGTGTAAAGGAAAAATATAGTATGGTTAAAGCCCTAATAACGTTATCACAATGCCTTCAAGTTGGGGGAGACTGGACGACCCCTATCCAAGCCTTGTATTTAGGGTTCTTACTGCAATTGGATACAAGACTCACTGCTCCTGTTTCTCACAGCTGGCTTTCTAGTTAGTGGTGCCGTCGGGAGCAATACCTCCTAGCATTGTCTGTGCCGCACGAGGCTGAGGCCATGTGCCCACAGACGTACTGTATTGTCTCTGTACTGTGATTAGCACTGTTTTTTTTTTCAAAAAAAAAAAAAGAATGCTGGGTCTTGAGCGTTTACTACTATATGAAGGCACCATATATGTTTTATATGTATAGGGGATTAGAAACAAAACCACCTGTTCCTTACAGGACATCGTTACAGTTGAGGCTAGCACCCGAACCGGAGGATATCAACAAGCAATGCGCCTCCTTGATGGTCTACAATACAAGACAGCTTGTTGGCATGATCAGAGAAGTGGTTTTAAAGTGTAGAGGTGCTGTGATAATTCACGGAAACGACAATAGTCCACAGTACCTAACTAGGTAGAGATCCATCCGTGGCGGTCTCCCGCGGTTATGTACGGAGTAACATTGCCACTGTTCCACTGATGCCTGCTCCCCTGGCTATCCAACCACTTGCAACCCGTCGAAGCCGTACGCCAAGTGGACCGGGTTCACACAACTGACCGGCTGGATCAGCCCACCGCTGGTGGTGAGAGCACATCCACTCTGCTGTGATCGCATGTACCAATAATCTCGAGCGCGGTGGGGATCATTTCACGCGCCCGGCCCAGAGCTGGGTAGACTAACATGGCGAAAACGACTTTATGCCATCTTTTCAGTCCTTACCAGTGACATCCAAAAAATGGAAATTGTGGGATAGAGAGGGCCCTTTTCAATCCTTCTTGTGCGCTAGCTGTCGGCTCATCCAGTCAGAAGGCATCGAAACCGCGACCCGTTGCATTCATCATGCCCTGCACTCATGGCGTGCTTTCTTGGCTGCAACTTACTTCGGAAGGTCGGGCAGGCCGCACGCACAAGCCGACACTTCCCAAGGGTTGATAAGTAAATCTTGGCCTGGGCGCAGGATTATGCAATTCAGCCCAGACATTTTACCAGAGGGAGCTGACGGGTCGCGAACGATTGATAAGTAGGCATGCTCCGGCGCGCATTGGGCGCTTATTGTCATGCCCGTGCCCGCACAGCGGCCGATCTCGATTCTGATCCCGATTGATTCACGACTGTTGGCCACCTGTTTTACCAGTGCCAGTGGTCATTGGCATTGTTGGGTTGTACTCGTACAGGTTTTCCACAAAAGGTTCCACGAAGCATCGCGTCTTCTTCTACTGCCAGAATGTCGTACAAGTTCTGGAACCGGCATAAGGCTGGCGCGACAGAGGTACCCGCCGACAGTTATACTTCTGACTCGGAACCGGGTATTCTGCACGACGGTGGCCTTGCCTATACGCGCGCGAAAGCCGGCAACGACTCCGGCGCGACCTACCAAGAAGCCGTCGGTGCGCCTGTGGAGCTTCGCTCACCTTTGGGATACAATGTCGGGTGGGCGACGATCATTTTTCTCAATGTCAACCAAATGGTTGGTACCGGTATCTTTTCAACGCGTGAGTGTCTCGGTCCGGCACACTGATGGAGGAACATAATGGACGGCTAATTCATCGACACCCTGGCATATAGCGGGAACCATTCTGGGCAGCACGGGTTCGATTGGCCTGGCTCTCTTCTACTGGGTCATTGGCTTTTTGATGGCAGCTGCCGGATTGGCCGTCTATCTCGAGCTGGCCGCGTATTTTCCTAATCGAAGCGGCTCCGAAACCGTCTATCTGGAGCAGGCATACCCGCGCCCAAAGCACTTTTTTCCCATTGCCTTTGCGGTCCAGTCTGTGATACTGTCTTTTAGCGCTAGCAATGCTATTGGTACGTTTCAGCTCGTACAGGGCAGAACAGAAGATACCTACAGTCAGCTTGGAATACTAACAAGCTATGATTCAGTCCTGTCCCGGTACATATGGCGAATTGCCGAAAAGACCCCGACGGACTGGGAATCCAAGGGCGTGGCAGTCGCGGCCTACACACTGGCTGTTATATGCGTTATCGCGAACAACAGATTTTCCCTGTGGGCGACAAACGTACTCGGTGTCTTCAAAATCGCGCTACTTATCGTTATTTCTATCACCGGCTTCGTGGTTCTGGGAGGCCACACCAGCGTGGCAAACCCGGGAGCCAACTTCAAGAACCCATTCGATGGGACCACAGACAACGGGAACGACCTCTCAGGGGCCATGGTTAATATCGCATTTGCTTACTCTGGTTGTAAGTCACCTTTCACCTTTTACGGGTCCCTGTCTTTCATGTTTTGGAATGTTGTACAATACAACACTTTAGGACCCGTAGCAGGACTAACTTCACCACTAGACCAGAACGCCTTCAACGTCGTTGCTGAGATCAAACGTCCAATTCCAACTCTCAAGAAATATGCCACCATCTCTGTGCTGCTCGTCGCGGTGCTCTACATACTCTGCAACGTTGCGTATTTTGCAGCAGTTCCCAAGGAAGAATTCGCCGCGTCCAAAGAGATCGCAGCCGGTGTCTTCTTTACCGCCGTTTTTGGCTCGCGAGGTTCCAAGGCGCTCAATGTGCTTGTACTGCTAAGCGCATTCGGCAATCTGCTTGCTGTCTTGATCGGGCAGTCCCGACTCATCCGGGAGATTGGAAGGCAAGGTGTTCTGCCCTGGACTCAATTCTGGGTCTCTACTCGGCCGTTCGGGACCCCTATCGGACCATACCTGTTGAAGTGGTTTGTTACATTTATCATGATTGTTGGACCTCCTGCCGGAGATGCTTTCCAATTCGGTAAGTCTCGAGAGACTACCTTGCTCTTCCGAACGCGCAAGACTGAGATGCTGACGTCTTCCGCAGTTGTAAGCTTGAAGACCTACCCAGACAGTATGTTTCTTGTTGCAATGACGCTGGGAGTGTACATCTTCCGATACCGCTACAAACGAGTTGGTCGCGAGCGTGCAGAGTTCAAGGCATGGGATGTGGCTGTGATCTTCTACCTCCTTACTAACGTCTACCTGCTGGTCATGCCGTGCCTACCGGGGGGAGGGGGGGTTCTTAAAAGTATAGTAATAGTATTTCTTAAGGATACTAAGATAATACTAATATAAAGTTAAATTTTTAATATAGCTTTATGCTATTTAAATTATATAATAATTTTTAAAAAATAAGGATTTTAATTTAAATATAATATTAAGTAGAAAAATTATATTTATATTAATATATTTTATATTATATTAGGTACTAATATAATTTCTTTTATAACATTAAGTAATAAAGTAATAGAGTAAATATAATATAATAGGATTTAAGTATAATATATAAATACTTTTAAAATATATTAAAATAAGGGTAATTTAATATTATTATAAAATTAATATAATTTTTAACTAATATAATATAATAAATTAATATTAATAATATAATTTTAAATTTAATATAATTAGGTAGAATATCTTTTAAATATAATTTTATTATAGATTTTATATAATATAAAGTTTTATTAATATTTAATTAACTAAAATTTAAATATAAAATTATTTTATAACTCTTTTAAATAATTTTTATATTAATATTAATTCCTTTATAATATATATATTACTATATTATTATTATACTATTATAAGAGTAGTATATATAAAATTATATTTTATTTTAATTTATTTAAGTAAAATATTTAAGATTGCTCTATAAGAGAATAGTGTAGTTAGGCTATAAACTTAGTATTATTTTTATATAGCTACTTAAATTATTAGGGATAAATAAGCTTTATAATAAATATATAACTAGGTGTATCTAATTAAGTAGGCCTAGTATTTTAGTATTTATATTATTAGTAGTATTTTATTTTAAGGTTTAAAACTAAGCTTATAGTTAGCTATACTATATATTATATTAATATTTATATTAACTTTTTAGTAAAAGGTATTAAAGGGGGTTATATACTAATAGGGTTTAGTCTTTAAAGAGGAAGGATAAGAAAAAATATATTTAAATCCTTAACTAATAAAAGTTAAAGTAGAAAGTACACTATAATTATTATTATATATTAGTTATAATTACTTTATAGCTAATATTTTAATATAGTATTATAACTTACTTAGAGTTTAGTAAGTTCTTAATTTATAATTAATTAATTTCTTATTACTAATAAGTATTTAAGGATTAATTATATTAATAAAGTATAATTATTATTATTATTAGCTCCTATTATAATAGTAATAGCCTAATATCTTTTTAGGTTGTTTAAAGTATTAAGAATAATTTTATTATATTAGTTATTTTCTATTCTAAAGTATATTAGGTAACTATATTAATTATAGTAGTTTTTAAAGCCTATTAAAAGTAGCTTACCGCGTGGGAAAGGTGGGCTCCTAATTTATATAAAATCTAACTATTAGATTAAATTTATAGAAGTTAAAAAGTAGTAATAAAAGCTAAAACTACCTCCTTAAAAGTATTATTACTTAGAATAATAAATATCTTAAAAGGAGAGTAGATAGTAATTTATAATATTTAAAAATAACTTTATAATAAGATAAGAGAAAGATTAAAGTTAAAGAAGAAGATTATAGAGCCTATAATAAAATGATATCTTATAGAAAATATAAAGTAAATTAGTGAAGGCTTTAAGTAAGAGGAGTATTAAGTATTAATAATAACCTAGTTAATATTAAGATAAGCTTTTAAAATAATATATTTAACTTAGTATAAAATAAGATAAGCTTTTAGAATAGTGTACTTAATTAGATATAAATTCCTAATTAAGGTAGCTAGCTATTATAAATATGTTAGTTATTAATAAGTAAACTAAATTAAATATAGGTAAGTATATAATATTTATATATAGTAATATTAATAAGTAGCTTTAACTCTCTAATTTTAATTAATAATATTAGAAACTTTAAATAATAAATGTTTAAATTATAATTTAAAACTTATTATAATAAGTAACTATATTTTCTTAAATAGAAAATATTATTAAAAAGGATAGTTAAATATTAAACTAATTAAGAGTAAAGGTTTTATTAAATTAAAAATTAAAACCTCCTTAACCTAAATAATAGTAGTAAGGAGTATTACTATCCTAGGTAAGGTAGCTTAAATAGCTTTAAAATAATATTATATAAAATTTATAAAAGCTTTAAGCTTTATTAATTATAGTACTATATATATTATAAAAAGTAAAAAGCTAAGATAATAATATTATAATTATACTAATATAATTCTAATTGCTATCTTAAGTAGTATACTTTTAATAGGTTATAAATAGCACCTTATAAAGCTATTAAAGGCCCTAAAATTTATTAGTTAAAATACTATACTTATTAAAAAAAGTAAGGAGGCCAGAAAACAACATTACTACACTTAATAGTAGCTAGTAAAGTTGATATTAAAGTTAGTAATAACTTTATAATATATTAAGAGCTAAGCTATAAAATAAGCTATATATTTAAGCTATAAGATAAATAAATTTAAGAAATTCTACAATATATTAATATAAGGCCTTAAGTTTAATTATATTAATAGCTTAAATACTTAATTAATTTATATATATTAAAGTTATATAAGTTATAAAAGCTAGAAGATTAACTACTTTTATTTCTATATTAAATTTATTCTTTAAAATCTATATATATTATTATACTATAAAGTCTTATTAGTTTCTATATAAAGTATCATACTATAAAAGGTATTTATTATAAGGTATTATAGTTTTTAATATTTATATTCTAATAGCCTTATAAAACCTTAAAGGTATAAAGTATTATAATTTAGGGTCTACTAAAAACCCTAAAAATTATTATAAGCTATATATTTACTAACTATATAAAAACCCTATATATATAATATAACGATTATAAGTAACTATTAAAGTTAGTTTAATATTTAAGGTAAAGGTAAACTTTATTAAAAGGTACTTAGTTTAGGGGGCTTTAAGCTATAAGAATATAATATAATAATATAGTAGAGATATATAAAAGAATAATTAAAAGACCTAATCTCTTTATAATAATATATTATTAAAAATAGATATATTATTTAAATAAAGAATAAAGTTATATATTTAATTAAAAAAGGGTAGATAATAAATAAATTAATAATAATAATATAAAGAGAGGTAGTATAAGATAATAGGTGTTAGATAGTAGGATAGTAAAATTTTATTTAAAAAGGGCTAAAAGTATAAGGGTAGGATTTTATATAATATAATAGGATGCGACTAGATAAAAGTGGTGGTAGGGTATACTTATAAGAGTATTAAGTAGTTATATAAGTAACTTAAGCTCTATACTTACTATTATATAAAATTACTACCTAATAAAATACCTTTTAAAATTATAAGCTAAGTCTTTATAACTATTAGTTTAAGAATAAATAGTAAATAAAAAAGTATATAGTGTTTAATAAATAAATTAAGAATAAAATTAAACTTATTTATATAATAATTCTTATTTTAACTTCCTCTAGTTAATAAATTAAACCTTTATAAACCTTTTAAGCATTATTTAATAAAATACTATTATATAGCCCTTAAAGGTCTATAATAGGCTTACCTTATTTTAATTTAGTTCCTCTATAATTAAAGTATTAATTAAAATAATAACCTTAGGTTTATTAAGTGGTAGTATTATATTAATAGGCTTATATTTATCTTTATTAATTTATATAAGTTAAGGTTTTTAATATTAAAGTAGTAGTAAGATTAAAAGGTTATTAATATCCTCTTAAATCTTTATAAATAGGTTTTATTAGCTATTTATAATTAAATTAATTTAGCTTTTATTAGATATACTATTTAAATATAATTTACTAACCTTTTTATAAGCTTTTTACTTTTAAAGACGTTTTAAGGTAAATCTACTATAGCTATAAGGTATATAAAGTTAATATATAACTACCTTTTAGTAATATTTAGAAACTTTAAATAAAGTATAATAATAATATTAATAATAATAATACTATTAATTATATATTTACTAAATAAGGAAGACTTATTAGATAGTAGTGTTATAATGGTTAGTTATAGTATTTATTAATACTATTAAGGGTAGTTATTTAAGATTTAAATAAACCCTAGAATAATAAAGTATTTCTTCTACTTTTATTTACTACTCTTTAACTATATATAAAATCTACTATTAGGTATATTAAATTAAAGTATATAGCTTAATTATTACCTTTTAGGTTTAAGCTATATAAAAACCTTACTATAAACTATATAAAGAGAGTATATAGTCTAGCTTCTTATTTTAAGGCTTCTACTTATATAAAAATTAATAATAATAAACTTAGGCTAAGTAGTTAATATAACCTCTATTTAAAAAATTCTATTTATATATATAAGGGCGGTAAAGATTAGAATAAGAATATTTAACCTATTTTTTACTATTTATAAATATTATATAAATAAATAATACTTTAACTATAAGTTAAAAGGTATTTAATATTAAAAGTATTAAAACTATTTCTTTAAATCCTAATAATATTTAAGTTAATTATTCTTATTAAATTACCCTTTAAATCTTTTTTTAATAGCTAAATATAATATTAGTTAAATTTAAGTAATTTATATAAAAGTATTATAAACTACTCTACTAATTAAGCTTTAAGTATTATTAAACCTAAGGCTTTAAGGGCTATATAAAAACTTTAAGTTTAGTCTTCTATAAGAAGTTTTAAGTACTACTAAACCTAGGGCTTAAAGCGCTATATAAAAACTCCCAGCTTAATCTTTTATAATAAGTATTAGGTATAGCTAAACTAAAGCTTAATAAAAGCTATATAAGTAATATAATATAGGCCCCTAAATATATTATATATAATATTATAATACCTACCTAATAGATAGATAATATTTAAATTATTAGAGCTATTACTTTTAATATAGTTAGAATATTATAAGTATTAAATAATAAGTTAATAGTATAAAAGGTAGACTTAAAATCTTACTATAAGAAGGTTAATATTACTTATATTACTTTAAGTAAACCTATCCTTTAACTATATAAGGAAACTAAATAGTATAAAAAGAACTATATAATATACTAAAAAGTATTATACTTAATATTTTAAAGTTATAAAAATAGCAATTATTATTAATAAATAA